GGGGGGGATCGAATTTAGAGCTTTTGTTGTTTCTCAACGGTTTCTGTGCAGAGGAGCTTTGGGTCCGGATCGGATCGTGGGTAGTGTGGTTTGCTCGTGTTCTTGTCGTCGCCTTTTCGTGCGTCTGCGCATGTGGGTGGCTGAGGAATTCCTTGTCGCCAGCTGCGCATATGAGTCAGGTCCTTTGATCCACGGGAACACCTAATGGACCATCCCGCCAACGGCTCGGAAGCGTACCCGCTACCTGCATTGGTGGACGGTGTTGGTTGGGTGCCTGCGGTGAGGCCACAGTACCGAAGTGAATGTTCGGTAGATTAAGCCCAGTTTTTGAGCACTACCACTATAAGCCGCGTTGCGTTATATTGGCAATTTTTGGACGTTGTTTATGGAGACGAAGGGAGGGTCCACACTAACGCCACATGTGAAGCAAGCGTCGGGTAAGCTAAGCTGAACGAGCAGGCGGGAAGTCACGAGAGCTGAGGCAGTTCAAATGAAGAGACCAAGATTGAATTAAAAAGCTATCTACTGGAAAGACCGGGTCGGTCTTTCCCCTACCCAGTGTAGTGAAGTCCATCACAAGTGACTGGGCTCCTCAAGGCACGCTAGGCTTGCGCTACAAGCGCTTGAGGACCACTGACCACGCGTTGTTTAGAGATGCCGCGTCTGACATCTGGTCTGTTAGCCCCTCCAGCAGGGACCGGAGGAGTCAAGCTCCTCAAACGGTGTGACTGGAGGCTCTCCTCACAAAGAGGAGAGAGCCCACCCACCCGGGATTAAAACAAGAGAGTGCCCAAGTGGATCCCTGCCACAAGAAGCTTAAAGGAAAAAGAGGAGCAGGTTGGGGGGCCGGGGGGGTTTAAGTAGTTCTAGCCAGGGTGGACCGTGCGCGTGTCCTCGTGCGCTAGCCTGGATTTCAGGGTCTAGGTAAAAGTGAGAGTATGGCTTCCTTCCCGAATCAGAAGAGCAGAGGCGACTACGTGTACTCTCACCTAGGCGCCGGCGGGCTCGGTTTGGGTTGAAATATGTGTGCTGTGGTGAAGGCCTGGGACGTCGCATCGCAATTGCCTCACCCACCTCACCTCACCTCACCTTGGGAACATCACGCAAAGTGGCCACCAATTCTTCAAACGTGTTGGCCCAGCTTCGCTTCGCCCGTCTTCTTCTAGTTCCCACCATCCTCTCTTCCTCCTTTCCCTCTGCATCCTCACCCGCTTCTTTACGATCCGCGACCCGCGACGCAGCTCAGCAAAGAAATCATGTCGCGACGCCCGTCTTCCGCGCTTCACGCGCCTCAGGGAATCGACCCTAGGCTCTTGAGCATTATGGACGATGATCGCTACTCTGGCGACCTCAGCTCACAGGCATCGCCTTGTACCTCACTCGCCATGCCGACTCGTGCACCTCAGGATCTGCCAGTCACTCCCACAACGGCGCCTCTTGACCAGTATCACATGCCAGTCGACCCGAGCTTCATTCTCTGCGGACAAATCAACCCGGTCGCTGCTACCCCGACCATCGCCAATAACCTGCAGTGCACCTGGACCTCGACCCCTCATATTCCGCCTGCTGCTTTCGGAAACGGCAACGGCACTGGGCAGTTCACAGCCAACTTTGCTCAGACACCACTCGACGCTGCTGGATACGGATGGAACAATGGGCAGCTCACGCCCAACGTTGATCTGACTTCACTGTCTGCTGTCGGAAACGGCAACGGCACTGAGCAGTTCGCTCCCAACCTTGGACCATCTCAGCTCTCTGCTCTCGGTAACGCATACTATACTGGGCAGATCGCGCCTAACCTTGCTCAGACACCACTCGACGCTGCTGGATACGGATGGAACAATGGGCAGCTCACGCCCAACGTTGATCTGACTTCACTTTCTGCTGTCGGAAACGGATACAGCACTGAACATTTCACTCCCAACCTTGCCCAGACACCATTCCCTGCTTTTGGAAACGGATACAGCACTGAGCAGCTCACTCCCAGCCTTACCCAAACATCACCCCCTGCTGTTGGGAACGGATACAGCATTGAGCAGCTCACTCCCAACCTTACTCAAACATCACCCCCTGCTGTTGGAAACGGATACAGCACTGAGCAGTTCACTCCCAACCTTACTCAAACACCACTCCATACCGCTGGATACAGATGGAACACTGAGCAGCTCGCGCCCTGCGTTGATCCCATTCAACACTCCTCCATCGGAAGTGGATACAGCACAAGGCATCCTACTTCATACACACCCCAGCACCAGTCTGCCGCTGTCAGGACCAAACCCACACCCAAGCAGTTCAGGTTTAACCCATACCCATGGCACATTCTGTCCACTGCTGCCTCAAAGGAGTCTAATAAGCAGCATCTCACCTCTTACACAAGTCGTGCTCCTCACCCCGTTGTTCCGACGAAGTCAAACATCCAGCAGCTCACTCCTCGCGCAACTCGAGTTTCGCCTGCCGTTGTTAGGACAAAGCCTTTGAGACAGCAGCTTGGCCCATACACTGCCAACAATCAGCCTGCCTCTCCTGCTGCCCATCCCGTCACGCATCGGCTCAACCATCTCGGGGCCGAGAAACCAGTTGCCTTCATCACGATTAGTCCAGGCTCCGAGAGACTCGAACCTAGGCTATCTTATGCACCTCTGCAAGCTCAGCCTCCGCCTCAAACACCGGCCCGTACAGAAAACCGCAGCATTGGTTTATCCACCCCTGAGAAGACGCCAACCACTAACAAGCCGGCAAACAAGAACCTTTCTGGCGCTTCAGCAGCCTTCCCATCTAACGCTGTGAAGAAGAAGACTAAACACCAACCTGCTGCGGTCAACGCTCCTCTCCGTCAGGGTCCGACAGCCCAAATCAGATCTCGAATCACGTCCCAGGAGGCGTGCTCGTTGGAGAACCCATCGTACACCCCGTTCGAGGCCTCGTTGATGTCAGCTCTTGAGGCTGAGATCAAGGTGCTGGACAAAGCTAGGAACGAAAAGGCGCGTGCGAAGTGGAATGCTATGCAGGAGTGGATGAACAACTACATGAAGAAAGCAAGGGACAACGCGATGAAGGAAGCAAAGGACAACGCGATGAAAGAAATTGCAAAGGACAACGCGATGAAGGAAGCAAAGGCAAAGGACGGAGCCACGAAAGAATTGGTGAGCGAGTTCGAAATCGGCAAGCAGAATGCCAGGAAGGACATCGGTTCGGAAGTCTACCATACATACGTTGACAGCACCGGTTTCGCCTACCACGACATCTGCCTTACTCGCGTGGATCTCACCAACAACACCAACGAACGGGTCCTCCTTTCGATCTACGAGACCGACTTTTGCCCTCACAACTACGTGACGTATGTGGGCATCCACGGCCCCGGCACTGCCTTCAAGTCCGAGATCCTTGCCAATGGAACCGACTACAAGTCCGCATTTCTTGAGTTCCGGAAGGCATTCAAGAAGTACACGCGGGTCAGTTGGGAGGCGCGTTTGATTCCACAGAACTACATCGCCGAGAGAGTCAGGGTGTGGGAGAAGTTGAAGATCGAACAAAAGATGTTTGAGAGGATTAACGAGCAGCCGTATAGCGGCAGCAAGCCAAGGGGGATGGTACTCGTGGCCCCTGAAGACGTGCTGACGAGGGAGGAGCTGGAGAGCTGCCTCGTCAAACGTTACAAGTACACGGCGCCGGCAGCTGGCAAGCCTCAAGGTGAGACTCGTCAATTCGGTGGTCTTTATCCGGTCGTTCCTGGTGATGAGCCCAATGACGGTGGTTGGACGCTGGTCGCTTCCTGAGGCTCTTCTTCTCTTGGTATAACGGCAGTTTCTTTTCTTGCTTTTCGATTGCGAGATTGAGGAGTTGTTTTGGTACAACATTGGGTTTAATTGGGTTCAGTTGGCTTCATTGCGTATCTCCTTTTTTCTGATATTGGGCCAGCGGATTGGAAGCAGCTGATAGCGTTTGGTTACCAGCAAGAGGCGCTGAAGTGCGCATTTCATGCGAATTCTCATGGGCGGTCGGGACATCAGATTATACACAAGCATTCAAAAAGTGAATAGAACATTTCACTCTCTTGGCTAGCCTCGAGCATCGGTGACCTTTGGTGATTCTGTGTGTGGGCAGCTGAAGCAGGTATGCCATCGTCATACTATCACTATTATTCTGTCAGACGGTGATCACAGGCGGTGACGTCAGGCAGAAACTGGTCGACTGGATGTCTCATTATACGCTGCTACTACGTGGGGTTTATATAATTGAACGCATGAAGGGGCAGCGCTTGCGAGGCTCAACAAGGGTGTAGATCAAGACGACACGTTGCCGAAGATGACCCTATGTTAATGGGTTGATGACGACGATGAGCCTAGCTCAACGTTATCGAACATACGTGCCGTCCAACCTATCCGTACCCCAATCACAGCCTGGCACCAAGCCGCCGCTCGGGGGCGGGGGGCGGGGGGCGGACGGGGGGGCGGAAGCAGCAGCATGTGTGGAAGGGGACCCGGCCAATATATTGACGATACTTAGTGCCGTGGGGGCCGAATATATCAACGAGCGGGATCAATACTTTCAGACCCCAAAAGCAACCAAGACTCACCACTCACCCCAAGTTATACTTTATCTGCGCTTGCGGTTTTGGCCCCCACCCCACCTCCAAACGCGTTCGTTGCCTTGAAAGTAATCAAACCCCTCAAATAGATGCGCCGGGCCCCCGCCGCCGCCCCCCTCTTCCGCATTGCAAGGCAGCAGCAAGAAGGAAGGGACAAGAAGGAAAAAAGAAAGAAAAAAACAAGGGACGGCAGGGCTGCCTACTGCCTACTACCGTCACCGGAGCGGAGCCTTGATCTAGCTCGCGTGTGACGAGAGAAAAAGGGGACGGGAGCGATTATATTGTGGCGGAGCCCCGCTCAGCTTGTGGGACTCTGTCACCCATAGGAAAGCCACCCCGCGCGGAGGGGGGAAGGGAAGAGGTGGGTGATGGGTGGTGGTAGGTAAGGTAGCTAGGGAGGGCACGTGGGGTGGGTGGGCTGCGGCGCTGCGGCGGGCTGACGGGAGAGAGTAGTGTGTGTGTGGGAAGGATGGATGGGCGGGCCGGAGGAACGATGGGGTTTTGGAGGCGCGCATGCAGAGACAGCTCCGTAGGGACGGATTCTGGGTCGTCGGGGCGTGTTTGTGTCACGTCGAGTTTTTTGGTTATTTATTTTTATTTTCCTTTTTCTTTCCGTCGTCCCGTCTCGTGGTGGTGGAGGGAAGGGAGGGTGGGGGCCGAAATCCTATGTAGGTAGGCAGCAGGACGCGGAAGATTATGCGCCGCGCTGATTCCACGGCTGGCGGTCCCGGCCGTTTTCGACAGAAGGATAGGGAGGCTTGTTTTTTTACCTTCTGCAGTTATGCCGAAGACGTCGTCGTCGTTGATGCGGGCTCGTGTGACTTGCGTCTGGGAGGATTTCACTTTGGCTAGCCCTCATGATCTGCCGCGGACACCTATCCTCGACCAAGAGGTTGCTGCGCCGCAAATCCTTCGTGATGATCCGTGTGAAGTTGCCGTGCGGAGGTGCGGCGGAAGGATTGTGAATCACTTGCAGAGTGCATGAGTCCGCGTATGATGACGTACCTGTGTCATTCCCGTCGTTGTCCCAAATCGAAAGGCGCCTGTTACCAGTGATGCTCTCTCGCATGACGAGGAAGCTGGGCCTCGAAGGTCAACCTAAAACATTGACGGAGAATACCCAGAACGTCGTGTTTGACACCGGTAGCATGGAAACGTATGATGCCAGCAGGAAGGTAAGGTAGATGCTAGTGTGGTTTCATCCAGGCGTACGAACGGATCGTGGCAGACAAGAGACAAATGGTCAGGGCTGTAAAACATGCGGCGAACCATTGGCTCACGGACCGATCCGACGTGTCACTCGATCCGGAACACGATGATAGGCGAGTATACGGACTTACGGAAAGCTAGGGAAACATGCTGTCTTCAGACTGCAACTATAGCGCATAGAGAAGTACAGTTCAGGGATGGCCTGATCTAGGCATACCGAGCATGACTACTTGTACACGGAAACAACGGCTTTATATACCCCGCTATTAGCATGGATCTTAGGTCGAGGTTACAGAGATGTATGCATGGACCATTGGAAGACGTTCGTTGACGGTCAAAAAGGCTGGGCACGGAAACGGACGGGTTCGCGTCGGGCACATTATGGCTCTATCATTGGACCATTCGCGAGAGGGCTCGAGTCAGTATTGGCTGATCCAGAGCTGTCAAGGATGAAATGGTGTACTCCAGGGTGAGGCTGGCAGAAGTGCTTCTGTCTCTCCATGGGCTACTGATTCCCATGACAAAGTCAGTGGCTACGGCAGCTTCCGGCAGAGAAACTGCTCAAAGGCGTCAGGCTGGAGACGGCACAGGAAATTCAGACGGGCAGTATTGAGCGAGCATCACCCCTGGCGGAGAGGCCGGAGGCACAGAGCGCAAGGCAAGACCGCGCGGTAGTCCTGGCGATCTCAAGGGGCCGGAGAGTGGGCCTTGACGAGGCGGTACACCATCCGAGTGACGTCGCGACGCCGTTTCCAGTCACACTCGATTGAGGCGCAGGAGATTTGGTCGTGCTCGGCGCGGCTGGTGAAAGGAGAGACAGAGCACAAAGGCGTTATCGGCCGGACGCCACGGCGTGCATGTCGTCTCCGGTTGCGGGAATCGGCGTCAGAGTCATCCACGGACGAGTCGAGCAACGGACAGTTGGTGGCGTGCAGTCCGGAGGCCGGCAACGGAGGAGGCCGGGGCGAGGGCGTGTGGGCGAGTGCTGGAGGGTCAGCTGTAGCGTCGCGAGATGGCACCTTTTTCCCCGTTCGCTAAAGCGGACCACTGGCGTCGCGCAGGCCGAGCGTGGAGCCCGCGCGCCGGCGTTACTAGCGCGGCCGGCAGCTGAGTGCTCGAATGCTCGGGACCTGCAGTCCGCTCCACTCCCCGCCCAGCGCCCATCACCGCCCATCACCGCCCATCACCGCCCATCACCACCCACTGCGCCGGCGCCCCCACCTGCAGCCTGCAGCGAGGCTGAATGCAGCCGCGGGCCCTTCCTGCCCTTCCTGCCCTTCCCTTGCCGCTGCACATGCGACGCTGCAGTAGTCCATGGCATACCATCATCTCATCCCGCCCGCCGCTGCGCGTGCTGCGGTTGCGCGTCTCACGTCAGGTGCCATTTTTGGCCCCGAACGACTGATGCTCGACTAGACCTTAGCGGCCGTCTCTGCCTGCGCCGGCTGCGGCGACGCCTCAGGCGCCTATCCAATCGCCGTCCGAGCTTGCCCTGTGGACGTTCACAACCGCACTGCGGCTGCGCCTGGCTATCGTCCCATTTCCTTTCTGGTGCCAACCCCCGTCTCTGCCTGCTGGCCCCCTGCCCGGCCTCTTCAGGATATATACGCCATGTCGCCGCCCCGTTCCTCACCAGCCGTCTCCCAGACAGCATGCAAGCCACCATGCATTCCTTATTACCCCTCCTGTTCGCCCTGCTCGCCGCCGCCTCGGCCTCTTCCTTTGACTGCCTGCCGGGTGAGCCGTGCTGGCCCTCCCTGTCACAATGGGCCTCTTTCAATTCCACTCTGGACGGGCGCTTGAGACTCACCGAGCCGTGGGCCAGTCCGTGCTACGACAATTCCGACTCTGCTCTATGTGCCATGGCCAAGGATAAGTCCCACGACGACATTGCAAGGGCCGCCATATACGGCGCTACCCAGAACCTCCAGTGGCAGGAGTGTGGCGCCCAGAAGTGCATGCTGAAGGCCGCCGACCAGGCACAGTGCTCTCTCGGCGCCTTGTCCGCTTACTACGTCAACGCCACAACCGCCCAAGATGTTGTACAGACCATCAACTTTGTCAACCGGACCGGTGTCCGCATGTCAATCAAGAACTCTGGCCATGACTACTTTGGCCGTAGTGTCGCCGCCAACTCCCTGGCCCTGTGGACCCGCAACATCCAGAACTACGAATTCCATGAGAAGTTCATTCCTGAAGGTTGCTCCAAGACTTACGAAAACATCGGCGTCATCGGTGCCGGTGTGAGCGCAGGCGAGGCAGCTCAATACTTCAAGGGAAAGGGCATGGACATCACCCTGGGTGCCCTTGCAAGTGTCGGGGCCGCCGGTGGTTTCGGCCAAGGTGCTGGCCATGGTCCTCTGGGCCCCAAGCACGGCTTGATGGTCGATCAGGCCGTTGAGTTTGACGTCGTCACTGCCGATGGCGTCTTCCGCACCATCAACGCGTGTCAGGAGCCGGACCTCTTCTGGGCTCTTCGCGGCGGCGGCGGCGGCACTTACGCCGTCATGATCAACTACAAGTTCAAGGTCCACCCTTCAATTCATTTCAACACTTACAGCTTCTTGGCGAATATCACGGACAAGACTCAGGACTGGGTCTACCGTGCCATCTTCACTCAATTTGTCGAAAGCCAGCAAGCCTGGTCCAGTGTCAACATGTCTGGCTACAACTTCTTCTCGCCCGACAAGATCGAAACACACCTTGTTTGGCCCGCAGATCAGCCCCTCTCTGCAATGATCGACCTTTCGTCCAAATGGGCCGACTTCCTGACTTCCCTCCCCGGCATGAGCATCACCAAGCACGCGTACGAGAGGTTCGCGACCTACAGTGACTGGGCCTCGGACTCTGATTATCGCGGCATCATCAAGCGCAACGCGCCGGGCGGAATGGCCGTCGTCGAGTCAGGCCGCCTCGTGCCTCGGTCATTGTTCGCCTCGCCGAAAAACCGCACTGCGCTGGTTGATGCGTTGGTACACGGCATGGCAGCAGGCTCTGCCAAGAACGAACACTTCCAGATTCAAGTCTATGCAACCACGCCGGCCAACACGCCCGATGAGAAGCACGAGACATCAGCGCACAGGGCATGGCGCGAGGCGTTGTGGACTCTGGACTACGTTTCCGGGTATGGCGAGGGCACGCCGCAGTCCCAGGTCGACGCACTCTGGAAGGCTAGCCGCAAGGCCATGTCCTTCCTGAAGAAGCTCACTCCCGGTGGCGGCTGCTACGTCAACGAGGGCGACTACGGCGAGCCCGAGTGGGAAGCCACGTTCTTCGGCGAGAACTTTGGCCGGCTGCTCGAGATCAAGAACAAGTGGGATCCCAGGCGGCTGTTCAACTGCTGGAAATGCGTCGGCTGGACGGGCCCGGACGATCGCATGTACTCGTGCTACGGCAACAAGCCGAAGCCCAGCGAGCGGCTGCCGGCCTGCGGTTCGGGGGCGAAGGACGGCTTGAAGCACCAGGATGGGTTGAAGCACCAGCATGCCGAGGGATTGCCGTGGAATGAACGGCTGGGCGTGGTGTTCTCGGAGGAAATGTGACTAGGATATGCGGCATGGATGTGGAAGCTGTGGGAGAGCAGTCGGTGTTGATAAGATTTTGTTTGGATAAGAGATGGACACGCATCGCACATAGATTCGCGTACAGAATTCGGCACATAAAACTGGAGCTTGGTGTTGGGTTTGGGTGGCTGGAGTCGGGGTGGAATTTTGTTTTTCATGCACTTTCGCATCTACAGTCCAAATGTTCAAATTCCTCTGCATTCCTGTCCATTCTTTGGTGTCTGAATCCGCATTCCGACGTCACAACCAAGCCCAAGGGCGCACCAGGTGTGCAGGTACGATGGCACGGCAGATACGCGCGTAGCGGTCAGGTCCGACTGCCCTCGCGTTCTTTGGCGTCTGACAAGGTGGTAGTGGCACAGCGCATGCATGCACGCAGATTCCACCGACGGGCCCTCCGAGCCGCAGTTCCTCTATTTCCCCCCGCACCCAACTCGACAGCCCGGGTCAGCCTTCTACCTATTTCTATTTTTAGACGGCTGCAATACCACTCCATCTCGTCCGCCTCCACCAACAGCAACAACAAAACAACAACAAGAGGCTGCGGCTGTGGGGGCAGGAAATGCACACTGCTTACAATCCGGCAGCGCCATGCGCGTCGTTCTCACGCGCCTCTCTATTTTCGAGAAGTGCGGGGTCTAGGTCCAGGTCTGGCGCAGTTTACTCAGGCAGTAGCGCCTCAGGCCGCCACGCGATCGACGCGCAACGCACGTGGTGGCAGTGGCAGTGGCCGTGGCCGTGGCCGTGGCCGTGGCAGGAGCCGGACGGGAAATGTTGCCTGCACATCGCAACTCCCGGCTGACAAACGATGACAAGTTATAGCACAGCAGTGACGACGACGACGCGGTTCGAGCCGTGCCCCGCCCTGCGACCACGAAGCTCGGCAGTCCTGTTTCAGCAAGGATACAGGCGCATCACATCCGCCCGGCAGAGCGGCACGCCGATGCAAAGTCGTCGCCGCGATCCCCGCGGCAAAATTTCCGCCCAGACCCTGGTCTGCACCGCCGCAAGGGTGGGTGCGAGGCGAACGACGACGTACGTGCTTCATCGTAAGGCTCGGCTTGCATCATCTTTGCCGTCCTCATTCGCCCTGCCTGGGGGGCCGCACCACCAAGGCCGGAGGTGGCCTGAATTGCGACTGGCCCGACAAGAGATGAGAGCAAGAAGCTGCACGAAACGTGCGAGCCGGATGCTGATGCGACCAGTCGTCGTCGTCGTCTCCCCTCCAGCTTGATTCTCTTCTTCTTCTTCACCTCTCTGTCGCCGTCCGTGGCTGCGTAAAAGAACGGGCATTGCGCCGCCCAACTAACAACGCCAACAAACACAGCCTTGCTTGGTAGAAGACACCCTTGTCGCTCTGCAACATCTGCTTAATTTATTTTGCTCGGCCTTCTTCACACCCAGCTTGGTCGGCCTTTTCTATCTCTTCCATCTCGTCCATCTCACCACCTCGACGCCGCCGTGGCCCATCTTCCATTCATTCCGTTGCTCGCCCACCGCACACCCAGCATATTCTCTGCTGTCGTTCTGTTCCTGCACTCTCCTCCAGCCAGAAAAAAAACAGATGATTGGCATTCCGGCCACGACATGGTTTTAAGCTGTCAATGACCCCTCTGTCCATCTTCAGGCACATAATCTGGTTACGTCGTTGTCGGTCCCACCTGTAGTTTGGGCACCCCTGTTTCTTCAGCTCAGCTACACAGCCTCCATCTCTTACATATCTTGCGCGCATGCTGTCGCGTTTCTCAATCCATCTTCGCCAAGGGCAAAGGAAAGGATTCAAAGTAAACTACAGCAACGACCATCTTTCCCCGATATCCCTGGGCACTCCCACCTACCTCCAGGACCCTACCTGTTCGCCAGCTATGTTCCCGTCGATCTCCCGCTTGTGGCGGGTATTCCTGATCGCTTACACGCTACTCGCCTCACTCGCGCTTGCTTTCAATGAGTATGTCCCCCATTTTCTTAATCCATCTTTCATCACATGCAACCATACCGCACTGACAGGTCAATGACTGCTGTCATGATGCAATAAGTACTGCCAGCTCTCTCCTTGCCACAGCAACAACCGAACCCCTCATCCCTGTCAACCCTTTGTCTCCCTCCTCTCTCAATCCCCTCTTAGCCAATTCCAGATAGTCCCTACCACGCCAACCGTTTGACATCTGATTCATCAAGCCCTTTCTCCGCCAACCCGCAAACGCTGACTTGCCGTCCCTCAGAGCGTCATCAGAAACCGCCTCCGACACCACCACCATCGCACCAACCTCAACCTCCACCTCGACGTCCACATCAACAACAACCATCATCTCCCCTCCCAGAACGAGAACAGCGCCGCAAATACAGCCGCAAATGCAGCCGCAGCCGCACCAGCAAAACCAACACCCGCTCAACTGCCCGTCCGGCCCAACCCCCTCCTGGCGCCTCCGATCATCCACTCCGTTCCCAACCACAACCATGACCACCACCAACACCGCCGCTACTACAGGCAGCGACCGTAACGAGGAAGGTGAAAAAGAAGAAAACGAAAAAGAAAAAAGCGGGCGAATGGCACAAGGCGACGAGGAGGGGCGAGGCAGCAGCCGCGCGTCGGGCATGAGCGTGAGCGCAGTGGCGTTGGTGACGGCCATTGCCGGGTTGGTTGTCGTCATGCCTTTATGACGCAGGAGGGGAACGGCGGTGGTGGGGTGGGGATTGAGGAGAAAGGGAGAGGCGGGAAGAGAGAGAGAGAGCAAGAATGCTTCACGTCAGACAACGACTTTTTTTTTCTTCTCTTTTAACGACATCCGATGAATTATACCCAGTTTGGAAGGGGGAGGATAGATGTACGGCAGACGTAAGATATATGTATATAACGAGAGAGAAAGAGAGAGAGAGAGAAAGCCCAAAAGGCTAGTCAATGACAGTTTCAACCACATGCATGGAAGCAACCGGCCGGGGTCATCCTCATCAGCAAGCCATCATCATACAGCTTATGTATCGAAACAGCGAAGAGCATGTGATCGAGTCTTTTTTTTTTCGCCCTCTCTCATTCTCTTCACCGAGTCTACCCCGAAATCATACATGCTTCACAAAACAACAAACACAAAAAGAAGCACGGACACACACACACACCCCTCAACCGATTCAAAGTCCCTATATGACATTTGAAAAACGACAAAGGAGGAGGGAGAATTATTCCAAGCCCCTCATCTACAATAAAGAAAGGGAAAGGAAAAAAAAAAGAAATCGTTTCCCCATTTCATTCCACCTACTACCCCACCCTTCGCAAACCCAAAATCGTTCATGTTCCCCTTTTCTTCTCTTTCTCAAACCACCCACCCACCCAACCATCCAATCCATCCACCCACTCAATCAACGACCACTCACGCACCCCCCGCACCCGCAGCCGCCGCACCTCCGGCCGCACCCGCCGCCCCCGCCGCAGCAGCACCAGCCGCCGCAGCAGCATTAGTAGCAGCAGTCCCACCAGTCACAGCCGCGGCCCCGTCGCCCAAACACTCCAACGCGCCCACCAACTCGGCCACGACCCTCTCCTCCAACTTATTATCCGCCCCACCAGCACCACCACCGGCGGCACCACTCCCCCTCTGCTTGACAAACTCCACCTCCCGCTCATTCGTCGGCACCAGCCTCTCCCGCAACGCCCTCCTCCCCCCCTGCAGCCAGCCCTCCAAGTCTTCCTTCACGCCCGCGCGGTCCCAATCGAGCGGCGCGATGCCGGCGGGGTTGACCATGGCGGCGGCGGCGGCGCCCGACGAGCCGCCGCCGCCGCTGCCGCCGCCCGGCGCGTCCGGCGACCCGCGGAAGCGATCGAGCACGACGCTGAGGAGGGCGAGGCTGTGGGCCTCGGACGCGGCGCCGAGCGTGATGGCGCCGGCGGCGACGTCTTTCGTCACCAGGAGGCCTCCCTGCTGTTGTTGCTGGGCGCCAGGCGGGTTTCCGGCACCGCTGCTGCGCGGGTTGAGGGCGGCGGAGGCGCGGGCGAGTTGTTCGGGGAACTGGTTGAGGAAGGCGGCGACCTCGGCGGCGACGGGGGCGCCGACGGCGTCGAGGAGGTTGAGGCAGAGGGGCAGGACGCCGCGGGTCCAGATGGAGAAGAGGCGGGGCGGGTGGTCGAGGGGCCCCATGCCGCGGGGGCGGCGGTAGTGGTTGACGAGGTTGGCGGTGCTGAGGCGCGCGAGCACGCCCTCGACGGCGAGGACCTCGGCCATGGGCAGGATGCCCGAGAGCTCGAGCAGGAAGAGGATGCTGAGCTCGCCGTAGACGGGGTCGGCGTCGGGCCCGACGGCGAGCTGGTCCGCCCAGGTGAAGAGCGCCGTCGCGTGCCGGACCGTGTTGGCGGCCGAGAAGAGCAGCGTGATCTCGCCCGCCATGACCTGCATGCCGGGCACGCGGAGGATGGCCGACAGCAGCGCGCTGATGAGCACGAAGTCTGCTGGCGAGCAGCTCTCTTGGTCTTCGTGCACCTGGTTCGCCAGCGAGCGGAGGCCGGTGGCGACGACCTTTTCTAGTATTTCCATGAGCTCGGATCCGATCTTGGACATGTTCTTCTGGATTCCAGGCTCCTCCTTTTGCAGGGCCTTGATGTGGGGCTGTAGAGTGAGGAGCAGTATCCTGAGGAGTGTCCTGTAGTAGTCCGCATTGTCTCCCATGAAGGCAATCTCAAAGTCAACGCCCGACACACGGATCGTGTCCCAGCAGAGCCTGAACAAGGCTTTCATGTGGTCGCTCGTGCAGTCGGCTGCTGTGAGCTTTTGTATCAGAACAAATGCAAAGTCCGCCCGGACGTGCACCAACCGCTCGAACAGCGCCTGCGATCCGTTTGACGTCTGATTTGCCTTCAGACATTGCTGGATGACCTGCGCAAGGATTCCCTCCAGGCGGTGATCCTTGTTTGCGATGGAGCTGAGCTCGATTGCAAGCAGCTTCCAGCTCTTCAGAAGCATTATTTGCGCCTCAACCAAAGACAGGTTGACATTTGCCCGCCGGAACTCGTCCACGAAGCCATTGTCCTTCTTCAAGCCAGTCCACATCGGGCTGAAGCCGAGAACTTCAGACGCGTAGTTGAGGTCATAGAAGTAATCGCGGCCAAATTCGGACCGTGTAAGAATCGTCCTCTTGAAGTTCGAGAGCTTGACACTAGGGAATTTGCTCTCGACGTTCTTCTTCAGGTTGCTGTGTAACGATTGATTGTACGCCGGCGGATCGACGCCGTGTTTCTGAAGAAAATCGAGCTTGGCAATAACATGCTGTGCGGGGCGCATATCGCCCAGTTGCCGAGCGTAGTGAAGGCACATGGCACCGATATCCGAGACTAATGAGGCCATGTGGATGTTGATCGCCTGAGTTTCTACCTTCGCCAGCGGTGCGCTGGCGGCCACTGGTTGCAACGTTCGGATGAAATCCATGATGCTCTCTAGGAAGTTTCTGTGGGAGTGCATCTTGGTAACAGCCCATGGCCAATGATTTTGTGCAAGGGAGATGAACTCTAGCATAGCAACAGCTCTCCGAGGATCCAATGACTTGATATCACAGAGCTGGTCTAGCGCCGAGTTCAAAAGAGGCTTGCCACGGGGCTTGCCAGTCACCTTGTCCTCCTTCCTCTTGAGGGAGTCTCGCGGTGTGTTGCCAGTGAGGAGATAAATTGAGAGCCATTGCTGTTTGCTGCTCACCACCGAACACAGGAACCTCCAGATGCTGACCTCGACTGTGGTATCCTTCAGAGCTCCACTCATGGACGAGATGACGCTCAGGAAAGCCTTTGCAGTTTCGGGGCCCAGGTGGCCCAGTAAAGAAGGGGGCTCCTTCTCTCCTCGGGCTGCACTTTCAACCAAAACTTCAAAGAGGTTCATAGTGGATGGCTTGAAGTTTTCGTGTGCAATTGATAGTCGGGCAAGCAGCGGGGCCGCCTTGAACAACTGGTGCTCTAAATAGGACGTCGGACGCTCGAGTAGGACACCGACTTGGAGGATTGTCGTGGCGAAGGTAATAGCCGCATCGGTTTGCGATCGCCAGAGATTCTCAATACGGACAGGCGTAGAAATAGAAAGGGGTTTCGTTCCGGTGAAGAACACGTTGAGGATTGCGTGGGTCGTGATGTCGTTCGTTGAATCCGAGCAGAATGCCTCTAGGAGGTATTCGGCTGAGGGTGAAATGACTGAGCTCAGCTTCTCGCTTGGGCTTATTGCTTCGTCGTCATAGCCATGAACGGTGCGCAAAATGTCAGAGAATATCTCCATCGTCAAACGGTTAAGTTCAAGCTTTTGGTCGACAGCTCCGAATCGCCAGCTGGGACAGCTCTCGAAAACGCCGGTGAATGTCTTGGTGAAGCTGAGTAGGACCTTGCTTGTGATCTTGTCCGGAGATCCACCTCCTGAGGCAGGAAGGGATGAAAATCTCACGAGTGCCTTTTGACTCTGCTTTCTGGACACAACGTTCTTGATTGAGTCGTTGAGCAAGGCTTTGAACAGGTGGGCGCAGGCTAGAAGGAAATCATAGCGACCCATCACCATTTCAGTCCCAGAGACGATCTCCACAAGGCTGCCGCCAATGCCTTCCAGGTCCAGCAGCCTACTCCTTGTGAAGAATGGCCAGACTCTATTGGGAAACACTTCAACAAGAGCATGGATGAAGTAAAGGCAGTTGACCAGAAGCTCAAGCGACCCTTCGTTGTTGGGCCTCTCCCTCAGTCTCTCAAGCTCCTGCTCGAAAATGTCGAACACCAAACTGATGATATCCTGGTTGCGGCCAAGTCCGTCGCTCGCATCTTCCAAGATCCACTGGGCGTCTTTCCGAGCATCTGCATCTCTGGCACTGGCGGCCTTCCCTGAGGCAGCAACAAGCATTGCAAGCAGGCCAATGTATTCAGTTGCTGTTGCAATGCTGATCGGCTTTAGCGATGCGGTGTCGATCGTCTCACTGCCTACCACAAACGTTGACAGGTATGCGGCCAGATAGCGCAGGGCCGAATGCTTGTGCATCCACGCTATCACAAGGGGCCTGGAATCCGGATTGAGTGCAATGCCTTCAGTTCCAAGAGGAATGAAGTGGACTTCATCCGCTTGCATCTCGTCAAGTGGAATAAGCTCATTACCGCTGGCCTCTTCGTCCGCGAGAGGACGCTTGGTGTCTTTCCGATTCCAAAAGAGGCTCATATCTTCCTTCAACTGGACAGACGGGACTTCATCCTCGCGGGTTGGCACATAGCCTTCGAAGTTGGCGGGGATGACCTGGGTAAACTGCGCCTTGTCTTGCAACCACTTGGCGGTAACAAGCTCGCCCTCATCGTCCGTCTCGACCCTCAGACATAACGTCTTCGCAAACTGCAAGAGGGGAACTGATTCGTAGGGATAGCGAAACTTGGCCTGGTCTAGAATTCCCATTCCGCCCTCGGCGACAAAGGTCTCCAAGACCGGATCCGGGATCTTCTTCGGGGATTGTTCCGCAAGAGTCCAATACGTCTGGCTCCCACTGAGCACTGTAAGGAAGCTCATGATGAGTTCAGGGCTGTATTCCACTGTGAACGAGCCCTCACGGATGAGCCAGAGTAGCTGAAGGCGCAAACGGGCATCCAGTTCATGGTCAGAGCTCGCAGCTACGTTATCCCGGACGATTGCGTCGCTGAAAGTGCTCGTCAAGGTCACAGCCATCTCTGGCAAAAGATCGTAGATCTTTGCACCAATTACGGAGGCCTTGACCAGTAATGTGGCGTTATCGTCCTCTTCGTCTTCGTTAATGTTGATTCCCCTGATGGTCTCGTTGAGTTTTTCCACTATAGTTAAATCGACGTCAGGAGAACCATGTGCGATTTGAGTCTCCCTTTCGTGGGCGAAAGCATCGCTATTGCCCTTGACAATAAGACTGAAGGCAGCCCAGGCGAACAGCGCAGGACTGGCGGGGGTGGGACCGAATCCGCAGAACTCCAGGAAAATCGAAGTGAGCTTTTCAACGCAGAACTTGTTCTTGACGTAAGCCCCGCCATCGGCACCATCTGTAGGAGTAATGTTCACGCCTTCCACTTCAACGAACTTAAGCAAGCCATGCACGTTGACCACTGCCAAGCATACCATGGCGATGAGGAGTTGCAAGGTCGAGGCCAGAGGTTGCAGATTCTGAAATGGCAGTTGGACGTCCTTGCAGAAACGGCAAGCGTCCATGGCCTCAAACCAGTCCACGACAACGTCCGAAGGCAGAAGTCCCGGGGTGCTGTCCACGTGCGTGAAAATGAGCTGGAGAATGATGATAGCCTCGGACAGCTGTGACTGTGTCCACACCTCTTCGGCCTCCTCGTTGCCTCCCGGCACGTCCTTGAACCAACCGCTACCCTTTTCAATGTTCTGGAAACTGGATTGTAGGGCCTGAGTACCATTCTTAATGAAGCCATTCTTCTGCGAGGAGAAAATCCGCTTTCCGAGCTCTTTAATCCAGGTCTGAGCGCTCGCGTCAGGTCGTGTGTGGTTGGAGGAGCTGTCCGGCTGCGTGGTTGCTGCACCCACCCGTGCCAGAATGTCGCTTATCTTCAGAATGTGTATCCGCTCGGCCAGGTAAGTGTCTAATATCCGCAGTTGCCTCCTCTCCTTCGAGTGAAAAGCGGCGAAATTCTGACCCATGCCGCCGCTCGTTGCGGCGATAATGGTCGACTTGGGCAGAAAGGTAGACGAACCGAGGTTGGCACCACCCGCAGCGTCCTGAACGCTGAGCGTCTCCTCCTCAGTGAAGCCAGCCAGCAGCTGAGTAGAAGGCCGCACTTGCCATTCCAGCAGCACTATTCTCAAAGCAGAATTCTCGTCAATGTTCGCCTCAGCCGACAGCCATTTGGTGTCCTCCTTGATCTCTTCGATATTGTACTGGCCGTTGTCGGAGGGGGTGACATTGATGGCGGCGGTCTTCGTCTCGAAAGCGGATTTGGACTGGGCATTTGGCGGCTGGAACGGCTGGAACGGCTTGCTAAGGACGGCGGCATTGGTGTCGTCGGAGAGGAAAGCGCACAGAGTGTCACCCTCAGAGCCAGCTCGAGAGCCACGTAGGGCAGCGAAGGCGTCCTGCCATGAGCTGCAGAGAAGATCAGTGGGTGTGATGCGCGGAGTGCAGGGTCGGCGGCACGTACAGCAGCTGCTGCTCTCCGCTCAGGCATCTGTCCAGCGGCGGGAAAAGGACCGAATCGGCAGATGTTGCAGGCATTTCCGCCGGAGTGCGCGCCAGGATTGCGCGCGTCTAAATGTCCATGGAGTGGGTGGTGGGTAGGTGGTGGAGTTGCGACAGCTCCAGAGCTCGACCTGGAAAACAATGCGCTTTGACGCGCTGCGCGGAGCACCGCGGCAACCACTTTTTGCCTACGCCAAGACAGGTCAACCTTGCCATGACATCCATCTAGCTTCTCCTCCTACGCAGTACATCATTCATCCCAATATTCACACGTCGACTACAGCTCATCTGCCGCCAACCTAAACACCGAATGGTTCTCACACGCATCTTGAGTGGCTCAATGTCTGACGTGGCTTGAGGCACACCACCGGATAGCAACAACAATTCCTTAGTAAGGAGAATGGTCAAGGAACCTTGCAGTTCTCAATTGTTATGCCCATGCGATTCTTGAATTGATCCTTCCTTCTATACCTTTCTAACCCCAGCACATATTAACTGCAACTAATAGATCTTTGGGTCCGAAGACACCATTCTTGACTCGAGTGACGAGTATATATAGCGTTTCCACATACACGAATTTCATTCGCATCGTGAGCCAGCGTCCAACTTCCGATATGTATTTACCTCATTCCGCCACATCCAAGACTCGCCCATCTCAAAACTGGATCAAAATTTAGCAGGAACGAGGCTGAATTGACAGATCAACAACTTACCAAAAGCTCAAACAACGGGTATCACAGGATACAGTATGTACAGGGACAAACGGATGGCAACAACGGCGACGGTACGAGAACGAACGAGTGGAAACGCGGCGGCGACGAACGACGGTAAACGGTAAACGGACGAAAGGACGCATCGGAACGTAACGCCAAAAAGCAACGCGCGAAGGAACGGCTAGGCTTCGCCGGCGGCATCCGCGTAGGACTTCTTTTGCTTCTTGTGGAATGGGAGTTTCTTGGGCAGCTTCTTGAGCGGCTTCCAAGACCTCTTACATAACCACGCAACAGCCTTTGAAAAGCCGGAGAACCTTTTTCCCTTTGCTAAAGATATTATCAACACCATCGTTCTGGTTTTGCTGCGGTTCCTCATAGTGGCTGTTGTATTGCGAATTACCTGTCTGCTGGGGCTGTTCCTGGGGCTGCTGGGCGCCAGTGTGTGCGTGCTGCTCGCCGGAGACGGCATTGGCGTAGGAGTGGCTTTCGGTGGCATGGTGGGGCTTCTCGGCGTGGCCGTTTTGGTGGTGGGGCTGCTCGTGCTGGGGCTGCTCGTGCTGGGGCTGCTCGTGCTGGGCAGGCTTCGGTTGCTGCCAGGCGGGGCGGTTGTGGGTAGCAACGGGGAACGAGCTGGCAGGGCGCTGGCCGCCGCCGCCCAGGTGCGAGGGCAGGTGGGCGTCGCCGCCGGTCAAGTCGACGTACATGCGCCCGGCGTTGTCCTCGGTACGGAACTGGAGACCTAGATCACGGCAGACCTGCTCGCAGCGAGGCTTGAGTTTCTGGACATGGCCGGTAGAGTGGTTACCCTTGCCGACAATGACGTGCAGGTGCGTCTGGCCATGCTTCTGCGCGTAACGAATGCGCTCCTCCAAGATATCCTCGGCCTCCTCGGTGAACTGTCCGTGCAGGTCGATCTCGTCACCAGCGACGCGGTCCTCGGCATTGTTCTCGCGGAAGATGAACTCGGAGGCCTGCTTGTTGTACTCATCCATCTTGGCGGCGTGGCGCTTGCCCGCCTCGGACAGCTCATGCGCCTTTGCGCCGTCGCCGGCCTCGTAGGCCTCGTGGGCGCGGTCGAAGCAGTCCTGGCGCTTCGAGCGCTCGTTGCGGGCGGCATCGCGCAGACGGTCGTACTCCTCCTCAATGTCTTTGGCGCGCTCGTGCGACTCGTGGTGGAAGGCTGCGAGTTGCGATCAGCGGAGCTGGCGGAGGGCGCGCAAGGGACAAACGCGGGACCTACGGCGACTGCCCATGTAGGAACACCCGGACGCCATGCTTGATGATGATGCAGCTAGTGGTTCTGGCACGTGGGAAAGCGAATGCGCGGGGAACAACGGCTCTGCAGAGAGGGGACCGCAGCAAGGAGGATCGTCAGGTACTTATTTATGAATGCCTTGGACGAGCTCGCGAAGCTAATTGCGGAGTCGATCGGCCAGCTGCGCAAGGGTCGAGCTGCCAATTCACCGCCGATCTGGACCGCCAATGGCCAGCCCGCCCAGCCCTGCCGCCCAGCAGAGCGCAAGCAGCCGCCGCAGTGGGGAACCTCTGCCACCTCAACCCGAGACCCGCACACATGCAGGGCAATCGGAGCGCCCGCTCCCGCTTGCCGCCGGGGCAGATGCGACGGACGTGTTTGATCGCGACGGTGCGGACGCTACCGCCCAGCCCAGCCCTGACATGACTTGCGAGGTGGAGCCCGTATGTGTGAAACAGGCTGTGCTGGCTGTGCTGGTTCCTGTCCCTGAGCGCCAACGCCTCGTACCCCCCTCACGTGACTTCATTTCGGATGACGTAACGCCACTCGCGAGCCCCGAAACGGCAACCGCCTGCCGCTGGCCCACACAAGCCTCAACCTGTCCCCTCCGCCGGCCAATTGCGCGTCCGGGACGCCGACCTCCCTGTTCCCTCCAACAGTTTCCCCGAGAATGGACGGACTTCCCGAGGAGCTTCTCGACCTGGTGGTCGCCGAGTGCGACCTGGTCTCCCTGAAGCGGCTGCGTAGGACCTGCAAAGTACTCGCCCGTCTGGCTACCCCGCGCGTCTTCGAACACGTGCACATTGGCATGTTCATGGAGAGCTTGCAGAAGATCTGCTGCATCGCCGCGCACTCCGACTTCCGCGGCATGGTCAGGAAATTGACCTACCATGGAGAGCTGCTGCCGTACTTTGAGAGTAGAGACGAGTACGCCGAGCGGATAGACATGCGGCCGCCCTTCAGTCTGTTCTACCAAATGTATTGCTTTGAAAAGGGGCTGCCGGTGCTGCCTTCAGGCGACATGAGGTATCGTGAAGCGAAGAGCGCGGCGCTCGCCATCTGGACTAAGCTGCCGAAAGTAGACCCGGAGCTAGACCTGGACGCCTACTACAAGGACTACCAGACCATCTGGGAGGAACAGCAGGACTGGGATGAGGAGCGGACCCAGATACTTCGACGAGCAATCTGCAACCTGCCGAATCTGGAAATGGCCGAAGTGTCGTTGCAAGAGATGGGGACGCCGAAGAACCACGGACCAGTATGGGGGAGGCTGTTGCCGCGGATCCTGCAGGGCCCGGACGATTGGAAGTTCATCGACTCGAACGAGGAGGCTTCTCTTGGTGTGAGCTTGGACGGGGCCCAGCAAATAACGCACCTGCTCAAAGCGCTGTGCGAGAGAACCACCAAGCCAGTCCGTTCGCTGAAATTTGCTACCAGCAACAATGTCTTCTGGTGCCAAGCAACCCGATTGCCGTTCGGTAACCAGAGTCTGTGGCCAGACGAGCTCGGAGGCCTCGAAATCGACGGTCGCGTGTACGAAATGAGATATGCATTTCAGAACCTGACACATCTCGAACTTCTCATCTCATTTGACCACTTTTGGGACCGGAGAGATTGGATAGGGAGCGGCATGCGGGCATTTCTGCAAGAAGCCAAGAAATTAGAAAGGCTCCACTTCGGTTACAGCGAAGAGACCAAGGACCGGGAAGACGACCGTTGGGACGATCCCCTCCAAATCCTGGGGGATGTGCATTGGCCGGTGTTGCGTACTTTACGTGCAAGCTTCACAACGCGAGAGAGCCTGTTGATTGATCTCCTCAAACGCCATTCGGCAACACTTAAACGCCTTTCCCTGGTGGATATGGCCTTGTCACGAGCGCACGGCTCGTGGGCATCTATCATTGAGCAGATTCCTCGCATCCTCAAACTAGAACATATCTACGTGGAGTCGCTATGGGATTCCACGTGCGAGGACAATGGAGGAGCCGGCCTGTTTGAGTTCTGGGAAGGCGGCGCTTATGAAAGATCAATCATGGACTACTGTATCAATGGTGGCCAACCTCCGCTCATTTATCCGCGAGACTGGAATCAGGCACATCCGGACGAGCCAACACAGGACTATTTTGCTCCTCTGCGTGACCATGATTCAGAAGAGAGCGAGGAGGGACCCAGTGAGGAGGAGGCTAGTGAAGACGAAGAGGATGAGTTTTTGGTGGAGTAAGGGCAGGCGACAATATACCCTGATGCATGTCCGGCCTGAGCAAGCGTTTTTCAGCGTAGTTTTTCTCCATATCAAAAAGATCACCCGCAAAGCTCTAACATTTGTTCGCTTTGCAGTGAAAATCCTGAGACCTTTCATGTGGTGGCAGGACGCGGTGGCCGTTTCATCCCTTCTTCCCATGCAGCTGAAGCCAACATGCACACTGCCCGTCTGATATTTAGATTCTTCGAGTGAAGATCCCGTCAATATCGATCTGCTGCATGCTGTCTCACGAGTATCGGGAGGCCCCTTAAACCATGCCTGAGCCGTAAAGCACATCTTCTCTTCGCCAACTTTTCTGATCTAGCGCGCATGTTGATGTACGAAAAATTTGCGCTTCTAAACGATCCAATCGCATAATTACAACACTAAGGGCTCCTGGAACACAGAATTCAAAGGGGGGTCCGGTTAATTTCAGAGAGGACACATTAATGATCTCTGGAGCAAATCATGCTGACTTTGTACTTGCGGGGTCAATCGCGATAAACTGATGCCACATGTGAATATGTGAGTGGCGAGTTCAATAAAGTGGAACTTTCATAAAATTATTTTGAATGCCCACAATTGCAGGCATGTCCCCTGTATTATACCTCAACGCCATTCATGCAATAGTGACAGAAGGACCATCACGGTCAATTCCTTCCTTGTCCCCCTAAAACCTCGTGCTTGGATACTCGCCGAAGCGAACGCGCTGCCTCCTGATGACGGGCAGCATGCCAGCTACCAAGCCCCATGATACCACATCCAGTGGTAATTTAATACAAGCGACAGAATATTATGGTTACAAAGCGATACACGGGGTCAATCCGATAAATCAGACACCCTTCCCACCGCGTTCGTCCTGCATTCCGATGACGACGTCAGGTGCCTCAGGATGCTCTTTCTTCGCGCGTGCAGTACTCGAACGCTCATCCCTACGGCTCGAGGCGGTGCCGCCGGTGCCGGTGGCGTGGGCTCTGTTGGGCGAGGTCAGCTATGCGTCGGACTTAATTGAAGTGTTGAGGGCTCAACAATAGGGATGATGAGGAGGGGATGAGGGGCATTGTGAGGTGGTGCCGGAAGGCGTGAGCCAAAACAACTAAGAAGATTGTAGTCAAACTGACTAGGTAGTACCTGCAAGGACGACTTACTCCCTGCCAGCTTGCGAGTTCTCGTTCTGGACGTCGGACCTGTCCGTCTTTTGGGTCGTGTGCTGCTCGTCCGAGAAGGTCTTGTTGCCGGCCTTGCCGTAGCCATAGCGCGGAATCGAAGTGCTGAGCGGCCTACTTGTTTGGGTGGCGGAAGCAGCGAGGCCGCGGCGCAAGGACGGATGCGTCGTGAGGCGGCGGTAGAAGGTCAAGAACTCCGATGGGGATGGGGTCGCCATGTTTGTTGATGCGGAGCAGATGCGGAAAGTTGAAAGCGCGAAACAACAAGCCGCGAGTGATGAAAGAGGTAGATGAGAACGGAGAGAATGTGAATTGGAGACGGGAAGCAGTTCTATGGACGAGGCTAGGTCGGGCTGAAGTACTAAGTGGGGCCGTGGAACGACATGTATACGTACATGACGGGCTGCATCCCTCTCGTGGCACCGGGCCGTCATCTGCCATTGCACCTGGCCCGGCACATGCGCAGTTGCGCTACTTCTGCGCATTGCCCACTGGTCATTGATGCGTTGATGACATCACCATGCCGAGACGCGGGGAAGTAAGCGGCCCCGACTAATACGCATTGGGCAGCCACGCGGGGCGCGACACTTTCGTCTCATCACAGGCCAGCCTCTCCTGCACCACACAGATGCTCCCCTTTGCACGTTGGAGCCGCAACACGCGCCGCCCCAGGCCCCCGCCGCATCCCCGTTCATTCCTGCAGACCTCGGGTCTATCACCACCTCCCGCGCGCCTGAACGGAACTTGACGACCAAAGCACCCAAAAGAAAAAAAGAGAAGAGAAAGAAATTACCCGATCGCGCGATCCACACACACACGCCATCCGCCATGACCAACTCCACCGATCCCGCGACCTTTCCATGCACACTGTATGGCTCATTTTATATCGCAGCTGGCCATTCCCCTGTCACCAAGCTAACGCATCGCAACCCCCCTCCAGCACCCTCAACATCCCGTTCCCGACCCCCACCCACGCCACCAACGCCCAGCGCGCCCTCGCCGTCGACGAGGAGCTCTCCTCCCTCGTCAAGCGCTCGCTCTCCGTCTCTCCCGACACCCCAACCGTGCTCGACGTGCACTATGCCGCTACGACGAACCGGATGCTGCGCGTAGCCGTGAACGGCTTCTTCGACAGCCTGGGCGTCGTGTTGGGCGTGATGGAAGAACTGGACGTGGATACGGTCTTGAAGGAGGGCAAGGAGAGCGTCGAGGGTGCGCAGGGTCTGATGCCGGTGAAGGATAGCGTCGCTGGTTGAGGGGGGAGGGAAAAAAAAAGGACATTTCATGGTCTGGATGTTTGGAACTGCATAGAATCGGCGTCCGGATGAAAAGGCTCGCTTCAAAAGGGGAGGCAGAAGGCCCTGCTGCCGAAAATTGTGGCAGCGATGATACCCTATTTGCGAATTGCAGGAGGAAAAGAGGAGGCAAAGCAGGAGTGGTAAAGTACGACTCAATGTGCCACCAGTCGGTGCTCTCAGCGTCGTATCAACATCTTGACGTACCAGGTGCCGTATCACTCGGAGGATGGCGAGGTCGTCTCAATGACCAATGCGGCGGGGTAAGCTATAGCATCAGTTCCTCACTCTTGACTGCCCGAGGCCAGACGACAAAGAGTGACGACATATCACATAATCAACCAAACGAAGAGGAATGAACGCGATGCTCCTAATTCACATAGTCTAGCCAATTCGAATCACTACATCAGGAAAACCAAATGGAACGCCGCCACCATGAGCCTCTCCAGCCGGCTCGGTGGATATGCAAAGACTGCGAGGTGTTTGCTCGCTCCTCCTTTCCCGTCTTCCTGATATGACCCAAGAAACAGAGCAAAAACAAAGAACAAATTCGCGCAATGCGTCCGAGTACTGCCACCGGTGCTCTCGCATTCCCTTTCCCTCTTGACGCCGTGTGACTGATTGTCCTTGCCCAGTTTCATCCCATGTTCGTTTCATCATAACTCACCGCCATATTTTTCGGCGGTGTCTTTGAACATATCGTAATTGAAGATCCGAATCGAAAGGAAGGATGCCGAATTGGGAACCGAATTTCCAAGGAAGATGGGGGGATAAAGAGTATGCGTATGCACAATGACAAAAGCAATTAACGCTGGGTAAAAGCAGACAGTTGCAAATGCGTGGGGACATCAAAATAAATCAAAAGGCCGCACCACGGCCCCCTCTAAGCCCAGGATTATTCAGAAGAGAGGAAGCTGGACACGAGATATCAGCGATAGCAGGTTTAGTCGCCTAACCTGCTGTCGACATCCGAATCGCTGACATCCTCCTCGAGCTTCTTCCTCCTCTCCTCGTCCATCTCCTTATAGGTATCGTACGAGAGCATGAGGAAAGCGCCAATGATCAAGCAACCACCGATGACGGCGGCGAAGCTGAGCGGGGAGTTGAGCGGCGGCGGGAGGAGCTGGTCGATGAGGGCAACAATGAAGATGGTCAACAGCGCGGCCACGGATGACAAGACCGGAGATGTCAGGCTGATCAAGACAAGGAAAGAGCCGGAGAAAGCTATTCGAGTTTCGAGTCAGCAATTGAGCTAGGAAAATACTCAGACCAGTAAAATACATACTTGCGTTGGCCAAGACACTGATACACAGCATCCAGGCAGCTTCACCAGTAGGCATGGCGAACTTCTCCACACCAGTGAAATGCAAAATCGGAATGGGGATCCACAGAATGAACAGCGTGAAGCAGCCGATCAAGCTACCAAAAGTATTCGCGAAGATCATGCCTCGGCCGGGACTGCAGCCATCAGGCGGGCAGGCCAGCTTCTTGTATAGCACCTCGTACAAGCCGTACAGTACACTGCCGACACCGATAATGAGGTTACCCACAGCACGGTTGCTGGCCTCGGAGGAACCGGGAGCCTTGTCACCGCCAGCACCACCGCCGGACTTGTTGCCGTGCTTCGCCGGAGTCACGTCGCCATAGGCGACGACGAGCACACCTCCGATAGCAACAGCGACGGCGATGATCTTCGAGGTGCGAACCTTTTCGTGCAGCAGCGGGATGCTGAAAGCGTAGGCGAAGAAGGCGGAGCAATTGTAGATGGCTGTCAAATCGCTTGCGGTTGTCAGATCGACAGCTACGTACCAGCTACCGCCGGCGACTGTCAAGGCACATGTCACGATAGCGGTCATCCGAAGCATGTACGGAACAGGCGACTTGGACAGTTGCCGACCTGTGGGACGCAGCGTGCCGTGCTCAACCATCTGCGCGGTGCTGCGCAGAATCTGCAAATGCCGGCGCCAGAATGCGGGCCATGGCTGGTTCCACTTCTGGAGGCGGAGAATGAGGAGCTGCGTCGGCCAGAGCAGGGACCAAGACCCGTGCGTCAACCATCTGCAAGGGAAAGGACCGCGAAGTCAGCGCCATTGGCCCTTCTCGAAGGTTCGTTGGGGGAAGCGAGCAGAAATTTGCGGGGGTACATGGTACTTACAGCATCGTATATGCCTTGTTCCAGCCCAAGTGGTGTTGGATGTAGACGGCCGTCTCCGTCTGCACGGCGAAGCTGATTAAGCTCAACACCAAGAAGCCGGCGGCGTACGTGTACCGCTTACGGGTCGCGGTCTTGGCCTCGAGATCAGGGTCCCGTTCGTGGAAAGTGCGGCGACGGCCGCCCATCTGCGGACGGAGCGTGGGCGAGTCGTAACTGCGGCGATCATCGCGTTTGTTGCCAAGCAAGGGCTGATGCGAACGACCGTCCGTCGGCCGGTGGAAGGGGGGACGCAGGTCGGAAGGCATGTCGTCGTCGTCGGCGACCGAGTCCCTGCTGTTGCGGTTGCGATCCTCGTCGTCGTCGTTCCGACTTCCCAGTTCCCAGTCCTCGAACTCGAGTTCACTGTCTGACGCGGCCGCAGAGGGAGGCTCCCTCCCTTCGTTCAACGGCTTGTTCTCCTCGGAGGCGTTATGGGGGTGCGGAGGATGGCGATGGGCTACCTCGGAGGTAATAGACACGAACGGCGAGGGGGATCGCGAAGGCTGCCGTGGTGACAGGACGACGGGCGACGAGCCCAGGGACGGGGTCGAGATTGGGGGAGGCTGATGAGGTTGAGCGCGAGGCTGGTGGTTGGGATGGAGCGAGGAGGAGGAGGGCGCGGGTCTATCTCTCTGGGGCACGGAATGGGCTGACGAGTTATTCATCCATGCGGTGTTTGGTGGGGATGATCAGGGTTTGGGACAAAAGCAGGCGCATCGAGTGACGGAGTCGTGACCTGGGCTTGGCCACGATGCACGAATGGCGCCGGGGCTTGGCGGCGCGCCCGAGGCCCGTCCCTGCTGTCTTGCGCGCGCGGATCACGGGGCGGGTGGCGGGTTGCGCAACTGACCCAGGCATATCGCGGGTGTCTGGCAAACGGCGTCTTCTAGGAGCGGCAGACCCCGAGGCAGCATGTATCGCGCAGGTGCATGGCGTGCGTGGTGCCTGGCGCCGGGCTCGTGGCCGTCGCGTCCAGGACGGACGATCTCCACGGATTTAGCATAACTCCAGCATCACTTCCCCGCTGGCCGTGATGACGAGCGCGACGGCAGCTCCGCCATGCCCACCCTTCGCAGCAGCGATCCGACGCATAAATACCAGCCGCGGCCCTGGGGCGCAGAGCGTGAAGTCGCACAGCCGTCCCGTCCATCTCGGCAATCTCCCACCTGCCGATCGAGCCCTGCCCTGCCCTGCCCCCTCTGATAAGCCAGCAGCCGCACCAATGCCTCTCGTCGCCAACACCCGCCCCACGCCCCGCGTGATCCTAGGGCTGATGACCTTTGGGTGAGCACGACATCGCACACTAAGACACATTTTCCACCCACGTGTCGCTCACCGATGCCGCCGTGCCTGTGATGTCACCGCAGCGCGGAAGAAAAAAAAAATAGCCCAATGGACTCCACTGACTCGCTGTTGCTGCGTCCAGGCCTGACGAGTCCAACGGCGCCCGCATCACCTCGCTAGACGAATACAACAAGGTCCTGGACCACTTCCAGTCCCAGGGCTACAATGAAGTCGACACCGCCCGCGCCTACGTCGGCGGCCTGCAGGAAGGCTTCACCGCCTCCGCCAAATGGAAGGGCCGCGGCCTGACGCTGGCGACCAAGTGCTACCCACGTGAGCCCGGCACCCACCAGGCCGCACGCATCACCGAGAGCGTCGAGACGAGCCTGGCCGAGCTGCAGACGGACTGCGTCGACATCTTCTACCTGCACGCCGCCGACCGCAGCGTGCCCTTCGCCGAGACCCTCGAGGCCGTCGACAAGCTGCACAAGCAGGGCAAGTTCGTGCAGCTGGGCCTGAGCAACTTCACGGCCTTTGAGGTCGCCGAGGTCGTCATGACCTGCAAGTACAACGGCTGGGTGCGTCCGACCATCTTCCAGGCCATGTACAATGCCATCAGTAAGTGCCTTGCCCGCCACCGTGTGTCGTCCGGTTTCGGCTGACGGCAGCCAGCGCGCTCCATCGAGGCCGAGCTTATCCCCGCTTGTCGCCGGTATGGTCTGGATATTGTCGTCTACAACCCCATTGCGGGCGGTCTTTTCTCCGGCAAGTACAAGTCTTCCGAAGTGCCCACGACCGGACGCTTCTCGGATGCTGTAGGCCGCATGGGGGACATGTACCGCGCCAGATACTTCAAGGATGCCACATGGGAAGCTTTGCGTATCATCGAACCCGTCGTCAAGAAGCATAACTTGACCATGCTTGAAACAGCTTTCCGTTGGCTGACCCATCATTCGGCGCTGAGGATCACGGATGGCGGCAATGATGGTGTCATCATTGGTGTCAGCAGTTTGGAACAGCTGCAGCAGAACCTCAAAGAATTCGAAAAGGGTCCGTTGCCGGACGAAGTGCTGAAGGCGCTCGACGAGGCGTGGCTCGTGGCCAAGCCCACAACACCAAACTATTGGCATCTGGACCTGAAGTACACCTATGACACGAGGAAGGCTCTTTTTGGTTGAAACAATCAAGAAAGGGATTGGGGAGCTAAGTGAAGACGGGAAATGCGAGAGTTCCCTGCAAAGCAGCCGCTTTCTGCAGGACCACTAGACTGACAAAGGGTAAGTGGTGTGAGACGTACATTGAAGGTCTATTGGGATGTCTGAACACGCAAAAATCAATTCTTCATTTTCCAGAGGATCTAAGCCTAGTGAACACCTCTCAATGTCGCCAAACAAAAACGCATAAGAAAGAATGGGGGGTATCGCCGACCGAAAGACTGCGTGCAGAGAACGCAACAAGTGCACACGAAATCAAAAGTCCTCGCCCGTTTGGAACCAATGCTTGAGATCTCGGACCTCTTTAATTGGCGCGAAGCGAACGCAGATTTCCTGAATGTCGTACTGAAGCGAGTCAGCTGGCACCAGTCCCCGCCGTATGAGGTTTCTGATGAATAAAACTAGCAATTTTACTTTTCGTTTCCTCTCTTCAGGGTCAAAGGAGGGGAAGTAGGGCTCCTCAGATTCATTCGTCCCAGTGCTGCCGTTGCTGGACGAGTCTTCGAGTGTGCGGAGGCCATGTTGGATGTAGTTGCAGGCGATGACCGGGCTTTCCAAATTCGCTTCGCCAGACGCGAGAACGCCATTGATAATCTCCATGGAAGCCAGATCGATGGGCAGGTTCACAAGCATCTGTTGGGCTTGGTCAGGTTGCTTCTGCGACAACTCGACGATTTCTTCAGCAGCTAATCCGTCTTCACCGCTTTGTCGTGGCCCAGGATCCCTTTCATACTTGGAGATGTTAGCAGGTGCGGTTTCACGAGATGGTACTGGCTGTGGCCCCACATTTGGGGCATACCACTCTTCGAATTCCGCCGCACCCACTGCCCGATAGTCTTTGACCGGAGACTTCGAGGCATCGTCCTCGGTTTCCTTTTGGGCCGGCCAATGGTCTCCTCTGCTCAACTTGATGATTTCATCCGAAATCTCGTTCTTGTACCACTCGCGCCAGGGAATACCCTCCTTATCCAGGACGTGGATATAGCTTGCAATGTTGAACTTGGGTTCTGGGTCATTCCGCTTGAAGTTCTTGAGGAACGACGACGGTGCGGGGACTAACTTGGGAGCATCCTCGGCCGATTTGGAGAGCTCAAGGAGGATATGCTTGATGTATCGGATAACGACCCGGAGAAGCTGGGCTTCTCGACTGTCGTCGGGGAGCATGTCCAGCGTGTCGGGTTGATCCCACAGGAGGAGAGTCTTGACCCAATGGGCCAGTGCGGGGTGGTGTTGTAACTCGGTGTTGGGATGGAGTCGCAGAAGCTGGTTGTTGCATTCGAGGCAGTGTATAACCACTTGTCTGATGGACAAATCCGCCGCTGCGAAGCCAAGTCAGCTTTGGTGTCCATCATGGGTGGAGAGAGAGAGAGAGAGATGCGCACTAGAGTCCTGGGGCTCCTCTAGCTGGTGCATGGAGTTGATCAAATTCACGGTTCTGATGAAGGGCGTCTCCCCGAACCAGGCTTGCGCAGGCCGGTAGTCCGGGTCGCTGGCAGTAATGACGTTGTACACCTCGTCGTACCATGGCAGCTCGTCGGTTTCGACCTCGAAGGCATAAGCGAACATGCGGATTGGCTCGGGCAGCTTGGAGCGGTTCGAAGCGGTCCTGAACCTGACGACGGCGTCGGTACCCTTGGGAAGAGCAGTCATGGCGCTAATGGACGTGGGAAACAAATGGCCGGTGTGCATGTTAGCTGCGGCGATGGGTAGGCCGAGATGATGCGGAAGATGCTGCGGGTGGGCCATCTCGCCAGCGATGCGCAGGACGCGTAGCGGGAGGCATGGACGGGCGGGAGGGACGGCGCAGGTCGCGCACTTTACTCGCCGAAGGTTTGTACGAGCTGCGGAAGTGACGTGGGTAGCGGTAGCGAAAGCTCGACGCCGAAACGCGGCGGGCCCTGCCGTTCACTAGCGCTGATCACCGCCACCGTCTTTCGACCAGTCACGTGCAGCATGCTATTAATATATCGTCCGTCGTTGCACCCAGCGAGAGACATGGCGGTCCCTCTGCTAGGCGTGAGAGCTGTCGCCGCCAGGGCTTCTGCATTCAGATGGGACATGCATGCTTGTGTGTCTGGCGAGTTTCACATCGACCCCCAACCCAACACGGGCATCTGACCGACTCAAGCCAATGGCATTTGCTATTGGGTCAGAGCAGCCCCAACTTCTTGTGGTTGCAAGAGATAACGTGTCAGCAGAGCAGTGGGACTGCAGGCGATGCAGCAGTCTCACGGGCGTCGACACGCAAATCAACGAGCTCTCCACGACCCCGCTTCCATGCCAAATATCGCTCGGACCATAGGACCCTTTCTTGGCACAGTGGTGGCTTTCTGGGCCAGTAGTCTTTGCCGATCAGGGTTGCGGGACTTGCCAGTCAGGGCCAACGTTACTGGCTGTGGATTGAACCAGTCAGTTCAAAATTTGGATCGAACAGGACGTGGATTGAGAAACATGTCTGGTGTAGTGTATCAAAAAGGGTGCGATAATTGGCTAGAACCGTCAAACATCAGCGCAGTTCTGCTGTGCAGCCGTTTGGTGGTAGGTAGCCCCTGTCCGAAGCTTTATTAGTAGCGATGAATTATTTCCAATGGACAGGGACTCAAGGATATCCCCGGACTGAAACTGGGGAAGCAATGGGAAACGTCTCTCAGGTGGACTTGCCTAGCAACCCTCAGCTCCAGTCCACAGCCTTGCTGCGAAACGCCTCTCATATACCGCGTTGGGGGGAAAGGCTTGCAACCAACACCATCCGTTCTCGAAGCCCGCTCGTGCGTCTTTCTCTCGCTAAATCCTAGTATCACTGGAGTATCGACTGGCAGTATGATGCATTCAACTCAAGCGGCTAGAGAGTCAAAACGCAGGTACGCTGTGTGTGCCGTTACTACGCGCCTTCGAGCCGAGTGCCGATTAAAGCTGCCCTTGCCGCTGTCTTCGGCCCGCATTCCGGGATTAAGAGCGCAATGGAAGGCGCTTAGCGCAGCGCAATACCTGGGCGATTGGAGGATGCAGCACAGGGAAAGTAAGGTTATTGACCTTTCGGTATGCAAGCGCCGGCAAGCAGAGCCTCGCGGTCCCAATGCGCTGGCCATTGCTGTGCTGGGGTCTGAAATCAAAGAAGCTGCCGCTGAACAAGTCCAAAAGTCAACGCGAGGAATGCTGTTGTGGTTTCCTCAAAGCGACAATGAAGAACGGGGGACTCGAAAAGAAAAGGCACGGGAATAGAAAGAAGATGGCTGTATGGTTTGTTCTCGGTTCGCCCAGCGGAAGGACAATGGAAGGCATGTGATAAGCACGGGGAGTTCGGCCGGCGGAAGGCACGGCAGGTCCTGAGTCAAGCAAAGCGCCGCGCCCGGCCGGTCGAGAGTGCATGCACAACTAGCGCCAACAGCGCAACGCTCGGTCACGCCGAGCAGGAGACGCCGTGGTGGAATGCCAGGCTGGGATCGGTTTTCACGAAGGACGGTTCGAGGCGAAAGGTGATGCGGTGTGGGAAGAGTCGTCATTAATGGATCATCACTATGTAAGAAGGACTGAGCCAACAACAAGCTGCAAACTCCAGCTGCCGTACCGACTACCATGCAATACTATCCGCTACGCCAGGAGAGCCCTGGCAACGCCGAAGAATTATGCCGTGAGCAGCGAGCCGAAACATCCAGAGAAAAGAAAATTGGGTATCGAGTAGATGGGAAGGGTTCCATTGCATCGGGGCGGCTAAAACTTGAAGATGATGTACCTGGGCGCGGGTTAGCGGCGCTGCTGGCTCAAAACAAACGGCCGGGTTGACGACGTACAGCGCGTGGATGATGCCGGGAATGTAACCCAGGATGGTCAACAGGATGTTGATGAGGAAGTCGGCATTGCAACCGCGCTCAAGGAAGACACCAAGCGGGGGCAAGACGACGGCAAAGATGATCTTGATGATGTCGCTGCAGGCCAGTCAGTAAGCAGAGGGCTGCGACACACCGCCGCGGCGGGCGAGACGGAGAGGGCAAGCGTACCTTCCGGTGAAAGGCATGATGGCGGGTTGGAGCTGGCGGAGTCGGGAATGTGGTGTCTGAGAGTGGGCGCGACGCAAAAGTAACACAGGAGCTGTGATGGGAGTGGACGGGTGGTGGCTGGAGGCTGTATTTATGGGCTGCGACTGGCGGCTGCGCGCATGACGTAGCGGGCATGTCAAAGGGCCGCGATCCCTGACTGCGCCGGCGCTTGGATGTGGCTGGACTCGGGCGCGCTCATCATTCATCATCTAGCCCCAACGCCCTGCACGCTCAGCCTTCAGCGAGCCAAGTCCGGTTTGCGCGTCGTGCGACTGCGCGTTGCCTTGCGGGCTGCGCTTCTGCCCTGTTGTCCCATCGCTTCCCGCGTCCGAGAGCTGCCAGCCCGCGCGCGCAGCCAGATCCAGGTGCCAGCTCCAGCCGACCCGCGCCATCCCAGGCGCCCAATCGATCGCCCTGGTCGCTGCATTCCGTCCTATCCGGACGCGCCCGGCGCTGTTCCGTGTTCCGTTTGCCAGTCCTTGGCCTGCCTTCCCCAGACGGCTTCAGCCCTGTGTGGCGCGCTGCGCACTGTGGCGCAGGCTGCGCACCCTTGTGTCGTCGTCGTCATGCCCTCCGAGCCTCTTCTCTCCATGACCTGCTTTGCCTCCTTGGCCTTGGCTCTCACGCGACCGGCATGCGCCACGCTTACCCTGCGGCTTGCCTCTTGTTCACCTGATGCTGCCCGGTGCCCGTGCTTGATTGTTGATCACTGCGAAAAAGGCGGCCTGAGGAACAGAGCTAAGCCGCAAAGCAAGCGCTATTTAATTAAGCTTTCACCGCCCATAAGTGGGGCCTGGAATATTGGAATCCGCTGAGCCGCTGATTGGCCTCCGCCAGTCTCCAACACCTTCAGACCTTCAGACCTCTAATGATGCGCGTACGACGTGAAGCGGTAAACCAGCGCGCTCTCACCGGCCAGTTTGCTGGGAGCTATTCCATGGCCGGGAGCACGCGCCTCGTCTCTATAGTACATACATAGTATAACAGGATTACTAGACCTATCACATGCGAATGATATACATGCGCAGAATTCGAGACTCCAGAAAGCCGGGTAACATGCACAGTGTGCCTCAGAGAATCCAGCCGGGTCAAGATGATAGCAATCTGCAAACCATCCACTGCAGACAACAGCATCTCGAGCAAAGGAGTGGGTCGTCGGCCACGACTTTCAGGCTTTATAGGCTTGCCCCGCGCCTCCGCCGCACCTCAAACAGACAACACATCCAATTCCACCATCCAGCGCCTTCCTTGACCATTGGCTCTGCCACCGCAGCTGTCGACTGAAGGATTCAAGAAAACACCGTGAACCATGCCGTTTCAGCCAGCTGCCCACGATGGTGTCGCCCACTGTTTCTCGCCCGGCCTGTTGGCTTTCGAGCACAGACCTGCCAATGCCTCAGCAGCCACCAACACCAACGTGCTGATCTGGTATGTCTTCTTGTCTTCAACATCCCTTGGCATTTCCCCCACAGCAGTCTCGCACGTGACTCACGCCTTCCAGGGTTGGCGGCCTCGGCGACGGCCTCCTCACCGTCCCATACCCCACCGCCATCGCCTCCAAGCTTCCCCCCAACTGGATCCTCGCCCAACCGCTCCTCAGCTCCTCCTACGCCGGATGGGGAACCTCGAGCCTCGTCCGCGACGCCGACGAGCTCGCCCAGTGCGTCAAGTACTTCCGGGAGCGGCGCGGGCCCGGCGCCAAGATCGTCGTCATGGGCCACAGCACCGGATGCCAGGACGCGATCGAGTACGTGTCGTCGCCGTCCGACCCGTCCGCCGCCGCTTCCAGGACCCCCCTCGACGCCGTCATCCTGCAGGCGCCCGCCAGCGACCGCCAGGCCATGCTGCAGTCGTTGGGGAAAGCTAGTTTCGACGCGGCGAACGACGTAGCGCGGCAGTACGTGGAAGATGGCCGTGGTGAGGATGTCTTGCCGTTCCGCGTCACGGAGAAGGATTTCAAGAAAACGCCCATCTCGGCACGGCGCTGGCTGGCGCTCGCTTCGCCGGATAAGAAGGGCGCGGATGACTTCTTCAGCGATGATTTGCCGGATGAGAGCTTGAAGAAGACGTTTGGTGCTGTGCCCAAGGGTTTGGGCGTGTGTGTCCTTTACTCTGGCAGCGATGAGTTTTGTCCATCAAGCGTGGACAAGGGGGGGCTGGTCAGGAGGTGGAGCGGGTTTGTGAAGGAGGCGGGAGGTGTGTGGGAAGAGGAGTTTGGAGGCGTTGTGCCAGGTGCCACTCACAACCTGAAGGGGAGTTCGGAAACGGTTGTCAGCGATTTATGCCGGAGAGTTGTCGGGTTCCTGCAAAAGGTGGAGAAGGGTGAGGCCGCGCATCTGTAAGCAGATGTGCTGTTTGCGGGTGTGCTCAACGAAGCGGGCACAGAAAAGGCCATAGAGCCACTTGCTTGGTCAGTCGAAAGTCAAGCTAACAGTTCAGTCTATGCACTAGGTAACATTGGATGGGTTTCAGACAAGTCTATTTGAACTACACGGTTGCCATAATACTTAGCTTCGATTTGACTTGCCATTTTGATTCAGTCTTGAACACCGCCCTGATTTTCTCTCCATACAATCTCCTGTTTCCTTCACTCTAGATAAAAATCATGTTTGTCTTTATCTAACAGTTACCCTGTAACCCGTATTTGAATTTCCCCCCCTGATTGATATCATCCCCCTTCACTCACCCTTCAGCACAACTTCCAAAGCCTTACCCTTCGGCGTGATGACAAAGTAATTCTCCAGCTCCATCTTCTCGGGGGTCATGCTGTCCGCCAGCCTCAAGCCTCTACACTCGCGGAACAACATCGCCGTTCCGAACCTCAGCTCCATCCATGCCAGGTTGATGCCCAGGCAGGATGTCGCGCCCGCACCAAAAGCGCAGAACGTTGCTTTCGCTCCGGGTGAAATCTCCCGGCCGGGCAGCCAGCGATACGGATCAAATCTATCCTCGCACGTCAGCGATTTTCGGTTCCTCAATTCTCTCACCAGACTTTCCATCTCAGTGGGGGAGGGAGGTTGGACTCACTCCTGGGCGTTATCCCACAGGTTCTCATCCCGATGTAGCGTGTACGCCTGCGTGCTCACTGTCGTACCCTCGGGGATGAAGTAGCCACCGAGGGTGACGCCGCCGGGCGGCGCGACGCGGGGCAGGCTGCCGGGCACGGCGCAGTAGAGGCGCAGGGTCTCGTTGATGATGGCGTTAAGCAGGGGCAGCTGCTCGAGGTCCGCGTCGGAGAAGCCCTCGTGCAGCATCGCCAGCTCCTGTTCCAGCGCCTGCTGCAGCGCCGGCTGCGAAAGCACGGCGTAGCTGAGGAAGGTCAGGGTGTTGGCCGTGGTGCCGGAGCCGGCGAAAATGAGGCTCGTCGACTCGGTGCGGACGTCCTGTACAACAGCATATGTTAGTGATCGAGCCGCTGTTGAGGAACAGAAAAATGAATAGGAAGAGAGAGAGAGAGAAAGGAAAAAGCCAAAAACTCACCATCTCATCCACCCGACTCCCCCCTTTCTCCGCCTCCGCCATAATCGTCGCCATCAAGTTCGAATCCCTCCCACCAGTCCTCGCATTCTCCACTGCCTTCGTCCCATACGCCAAAATATACTCACTGCTATTAAACGCCTCCCTCAGCGCCCTAACCGGCACCCTCGCGCCAATCGCCCTCACCCACGGCAACTCGGCGCCCACCCCATTCCCCACCAACGCCGCCTCCAGCACGCGTATATACTCGGTCCTCCTCCCGGCCTCCAACATGCCAAACGACTCCCCGAACCCCAGCACGCCCACCACATCCGTCGCCATAAACGTCCACCACTTCATCAGATCCGCCACCCCCTTCTCCAACCCCTCCTCCCTGATCTTCCCCACCGCGACCTCGCACTTCTCCCGCACGGCCCCCTCCCACCGCTCGCGCAGGAACCCTTTCCCGAAAGCTCGCGCGAACAGCCGCCGCCGCGCGGCGTGCTGCCGCGCGTCGCGCATGGTGAAGACGGACAGGCGCGGGAAGTTGGTCAGCTTCTCGTACCACAGGTCCTTTGCGAACTTGGACTGCACGCCGTGGATCTGCCGGAACGCCGCCACGTCGCCGCCGACGGCGACTTCGGTCGGCGAGATGCGCACGATGGGGCCGTACGCCTTGTGCAGCGCGTCGATGTGGAAGATGCGTCGGCCGGACGTGACGGCTTGTTTGAGCGGGAGGTTGGTCAGGCGTGAGGAGAGGGGGCCCGGGATTTGGCGGAGGGGGGAGGTGAGGGCGTGGAAGATTGTCTGGATGGAGGGGGGGCGGGAGATGTTAGTGTTATTTGTTGCTGTTGTTGTTGTGGTTGTGGTGGTGGTGGTGGCGGTGGTGGACTTGGAGGGAGGGTGGGTTTTTGTACATACCTGGACGAGCCAGACGGCAATGGTGAGGGCTACACCCGCGGCGAGCGCCAGGAGAGGACTGAGGGCCATCTTTGGGAGGCCGAGATATGGAAACCTCCGTAAAGTAGAGGAAAGAATGAGAAGTGTATAACGAGCTCGTTGTAAATCTGACTATCAGAAGAACAGACTTCTTGGGACCTGAGTGGCAAGAGGCATGGAAGCCAGACTACAGTATTTATGTACGCCCGACAGACAGTGGATAGTCCGTCCATCGGGATTGCCCTCGACCCCGACGCAGGGCCACAGGCAAAAGCAAGCTTCGGGAGACACATCTCCGAAAGCCAAGCACCGGATCCTTCTTGTTCCGCTGGCAGGAGGCTTGTATGGGAGCAAAGTGGTGCACAAGAGTTGCATCCGGGGAATGGCTGTGGGGAAGCGCGAGAGATGAGGGCGTGGCGTACAGTAGCGGCTGGCGCAATCTGGGTAGAGTTGGGACCCGGAATGGTGCACCAAGATAACGACTGGCGGCCTCAACTTCGCACCTCGCAAAAAGCAACTGACATGAAGCAAATGGACGGAGCTAATTAACCAAACAGCAGTCCGAATCGAAAGAGGAAGGTAACAGAAGAAGCAAATATAAGCAATCGATGCAGGACATAAATAAGCTTTGTTAGAGCCCGCGTTACCTCACCCGTAAGCTAGCCAGGCACGCTTGAGGCTCGCGTTCCATAAGGGCGGGGTTGGCGCGCGGGACCAACTTGCACTTCCCACCTTGCAGCAAGCTAAACCAGGCTTGAACTCACACAACGTGCGGTACAGGATCATCGCTGCATGATGCCCACTCTTCTGGATCCGCACCTTCGGCTCCCCCTTTCGTTCTCCTAGCTCTTGTACAACCTTCTTGCCGGGAGGGGCAGCAAGCGAACTCCGAAAAGCCAACCGGACGCCCGAAAAGCACAGGGTAATCATTGTTAACAGGCAGAGAAGGGGAGCAAGAATATCTAAAGGCTGAGTGAGCGCATACTTCTGTAGTACAAGAGCGATATATAGAAAAGATTTCCTTCAATGCAAGTACCATGGTAAGAGGCTATCAAAGTACCGTCTGGAGAAGCGTAAGCATCAAAAAGACACTGAAGATGGCCAATACCACGGCATTACCCGAAAAAACCTCGAAGCAAGTAGACAATGTCAGAGAGTCATGCAGTGCATGTAATCTTAGATTGATAACCACATCCCAGGCGTGTGGTTGACTGGTGAAACGCGGGCGCCACACCCGCGCATACGATTCGCGAAGCTGGGATACCTACGCTGCTGTGCACTGCCCGCCATGAGACAAAATGCTGTTCCAGGCCGGCAGCGACACGTGGCGATCTACCTTTCATGGAGAATTAAGCGTCGAGCCACCATGCGTTGGCTAAAGTAGGTAGATCGTGGACAAACTGAGGGCGCAAAAGTCATTTCTGAAGCATACAGTGATACGACACCTACCATGACGGCATGTACTCGCAGCTGTGGGTCCTCGAGCAACTTTAAGTGCCGCGATATGCAGGCATGTTGAGTCGAAACGCTAGTTTCCGTATTTGAATTGCCCTACTATTCTCGGACGGATGCATACACGACTCATGCTCACCTGCCTTGCTGTTCAGTGTGTCAATAACTCAAGTAAATGAATCAGTAGCACCGTATTCAAAGCGGTGTGGAGGCACCCCTCATCATAGTTTTTGTTACGGCTGCCAGTGCGTAGGCTTTGGTCGATCGTCCGTATTCGCCAACGTCTAGGATGGAAAAGCAAGGGGAGCATCAGACGTGGGAAGTTGAAGCAACCGTCCGGACATGTGAGTATTCACGAGTTGTACAAGCTATCCGGACAGGGCTCCGACTCCCCACGTGCATCCATCCGTTTACTTCATCGTCTCCTGGATGATCGTGTGCTTCTGGGCTTGCCGATATCCTCGATATCCATAACGCTGGCCTCGGGAATGTCTTCGGCTTTGACGTTTCGTTCCACCGCAACCTCTTTGACAATCTCCTGCTTCACCGTCTCGCCGTCTAATTCGACTTTGACAGTGGACCTGTCCTTCTTCACCGTTGTCTGCTTCTTCGCAACAACCGCGCCGGGACACAGACCCTTTTCGGCAAGCGTGCATTCCCCGCACTTCCTGCCTACGGGGAGGCAGATGGTCTGACCAAAGCCGACGAGAAGATGATTGATCGCATGCCACTTTTCTCGCGGCAGCCATGCCTCGAGCGCGGCTCTGGTTTCCTCAGGGTTACGCGTCTTATGCCACCCCCACAGGTTGGTAATCCGATGGACGTGAACATCCACGCCGATACCCTCGTCGCGCCCCCAAGCCGCGCTCATGCACAGATAAGCCATCTTGGGCCCAACGCCGGGCAAGGACACCAGCCCCTCAATCGTATCCGGAATGTCCCCGTCAAACTTATCGCGCAGGATTTCGGCGGTTTGCTTGATATACTTAGTCTTGTTGTTGTGAAACCCGACCTTCTCGATCAAAGAATTCAACCGCGCCGGTTCCACTTCCAGCAGAGCGCGCAGGTTGAATCCGCCCGGCAGGTTGTCCTGCAAGTTCTTCATGGCGACGGACGTGACAGTGTCTTTGGTTTGCGACGACAGCATCAACGCAACCAGCGTCTGCAGCCGCTGGTCCAGCGGCGAGTCCTTCCGGTCCGCCAGACTCTCGCAGCCCATTGTATCGACGGGAGCCACCACCCGGGAGCGCATCTCGGCGGTTAGGCCGTACATCTCTTCCCAATTGGGCGGCGGTTCGACCTTGACGGACCCGTCCGCGGCGACCGCCTTCTTTGCGGGGGCCCGGCGCGCCTTTTTCGCCTTTGTGCTGGTGTTGACCGTTCCGTCCCGCGCATCGCCGGCGCGCTCGAGTAAGGTCGGCGACGTGCGCGCGCGCGACGAGTCGGCGATACTTGCGGTGAATGACGGCGACGGCGGCGGCTTGGTTTCAGAAGCGGGTGCTGTGCCGCTCCGCTTGCGCTTGCGCGTCGAGGAGGACAATGACGCCGTGGTCGTGGGTTTTGCCGGCGCTTGTCGATGGCCCCGAAATGGGTCTGGAGAATCGCCGCCGCCGCCGTCGGACGAAGGCACGGAGGAGAGTTCGGATGAGGAAGAGCCGCGTTCATGGTCGTCGGCAGCGCCGTTGTCGTGGTTCGCCGCCGGCCTGATCGACGGTGGGCTACTGCTCTTAGCAGCGCGCTGGTTCCGCTCCTGCTCCCGCTGCTCGGGCGCAGCGGCGGAGTCTGAAACCCTCCGCGTTTGAGCGTCGTCGGGTCGAGCTGGAAATTTCCGCGAGGACGACGGCGACGACAATGCACGCATGACGACGGCGGTCTCGCGGGCGATACGGGAGGTGCGCATCGTCCTGGCTAGCGGCGTGCAATGGGGGGGGGATGGGGGTGGGCGCGAGGTGGGTGGCGGACTTCGTGGTGGATGCGCGCGCGTCGCGTGGGTGGTTGGCAATTGCGCACACTTGACAGGTCAGCTCGGCCCCCCCGGCGGCTAGTAAGGTCCAGGGGCACGGAAGGCCCGCTGGCTTGGCACACGCAATGCGCGCGCCGCTGCCATCGCGCAAGCAGGTGACCGCGCGCGCGCATCGGCGGGCCTCCCGGCTGTGCGTCCGCCCATCCCACCGAACCCCGCGTCCTCCCTGCACCACCGGTCAACGTTCCTTCGAGAAGCCTTCCGCGGAGTCCGCACGCACACGCCTCCAGCTGCCAGCATCCACGAACAGTATGCCGCCGCAAACCGACATCCCCACGTTCGCTGCCGCCCAGCTGTCCCTGCTCGACGCGGAGCTGCAGGCCGAGCTGGCCGAGACGTCGCTGCTCCTCTCGGCGCACCCGCCCCAAACGCTCCAGCGCGCGGGGCTTGCGATCCTCAACCTGCATGTCTCCTCCCAGCGCACGGGGCTGGGCGGCAAGACGGTCGTCGAGCTCGAGCTGGACCCTGCGGTCAAGGGTGCTGGCGCTGAGCTGCCGGAACACGGGATCTGCACCGGAGACATTGTGGGCGTGCAGGAGCAGCCCGCCGGCAGCGCCAAGAAGAAGGAGAAGAGCGACCTGAAGAAGAGCGGCGTCGAGGGGGTGGTGCTGAGGGTGGGCGCGGCCACGGTGGCTGTGGCGCTGGACAAGGAGGACGTCGACGTGCCGCAGGGGAAGCTCTGGCTGTGCGTGTCCCACGCAGTACAAAAGCTATGGGCAGACATTTATGCTGATTGTACATTAGAGTCAAACTTGCCAATGATGTCACGTACAAGAGGTGTGTCCTATGCTCTGTACTGCTGTGATATGAGCGCGTTCTATTCTGACAGTGGGAAGGATGACACAGACCATGGCCCGGCTGCAGAAGTTCACGGACTCGGAATACACGCCCTTCATCCGCGCGCTCTTCGGCCTGTCGTCCCTCTCGCCTCTGCCGAAGGAATACTCGGAAGCTGGCCTCGACAAGCTCCAATGGATCGACCCGAGCCTCAATGAGTCACAAAAGGACGCCATCCAATTCGCAATGGCTTCTAGGGAGGTCGCACTGATTCATGGCCCGCCAGGCACCGGCAAAACTCATACATTGATTGAACTGATCCTGCAGCTCCTTAAACAGGACCTGCGCCTCCTTGTATGCGGTCCGTCTAATATTTCCGTCGATAACATTGTGGAGAGACTTGCTCCTCACAAGGTCCCCATTATTCGTCTCGGGCATCCCGCCCGGTTGCTGCCGTCGGTGGTGAACCATTCGCTGGACGTCCTCACGCGGACGTCTGATGCTGCGGCCATTGTGCAGGACATTAGAAAGGAGATGGACGCGAAGCAGGCGAGTATTAAAAAGACTCGCAACGGACGCGAGCGCAAAGCCATTTATGGCGAGATGAAAGAATTGCGGAAAGACTACCGTGAACGCGAACGTGGATGCGTGGACCAGCTGGTCAGGGGCAGCAAAGTGGTCCTTGCAACACTGCACGGTGCGGGCGGCTTCCACCTCAAGGGCCAGCAGTTCGACGTGGTGATCATCGACGAAGCTAGTCAAGCACTGGAGGCGCAGTGCTGGGTTCCTTTGCTGTCCGCCAAGAAGGTAGTTCTGGCGGGTGATCACTTGCAGTTACCCCCGACGATCAAGTCGCTGAACAGCAAAGCACAAAAGGAGGCCAAGACAAGCGAGAAGAAGGCGCAGCAGTTGGCCAAAGGTTTTACGTTGGAGCAGACGCTCTTTGACCGACTGCTGGCGCTGCATGGGCCATCGATAAAGCGCATGCTCACCACGCAGTACCGGATGCACGAGAAGATCATGGGCTTCCCGTCGCAAGAGCTCTACGAGTCCAAGCTCATTGCAGCGGACTCAGTCAAAGCGCGCCTCCTGGCAGATCTGGACTACGAGGTTCAGGAGACGGAGGACACCAAGGAGCCCGTGGTGTTCTGGGACACGCAGGGTGGCGACTTTCCCGAGCGCACCGAGGACGAGGACTCGGGCAAGAAGTCTTCGCTATTGGGCGACAGCAAGAGCAACGAGATGGAGGCGGCGCTGGTCCGGTTGCACGTCGGGCAGCTCGTCGAGGCGGGCGTGAGACCGGAGGACATTGCGGTCGTGACACCGTACAATGCGCAGCTGGCAGCGCTGTCTCAAGTGCTCAAGGAGCAGTTCCCGGGGATCGAGCTGGGCAGCGTGGACGGGTTCCAGGGCCGCGAGAAGGAGGCGGTGATAGTCAGCCTGGTGCGCAGCAACGCGGAGCACGAGGTCGGGTTCCTGGGCGAGAAGAGGCGGCTCAATGGTAAGGCTCGCGTCGCGTTCCAGAAGATGACGATCGTGGCAAGCTGAAACGGTTGCACGGTGCCGAGCGCGGGACATGGCTGACGGTGGCAGTGGCCATGACTCGCCCGAAGCGGCACCTCTGCGTGATCGGAGACTCGGAGACGGTCGGACGGTAAGCAGGCTCTGGGGCTCGTTGCTCCTTGCATGGGGGCGGGCAGCGGCTGACGGGCGCAGGGGCAGCAAATTCCTCAAGCGCTGGATGGACTTTCTGCAGGAGCAGGCGGACCTGCGATACCCGGATGCTGCGGAGCTGTACGGATGAGCGCAGCTGGCTCTGGCTGGGCGGCACAGGCGGGGAAGCGCAGTCGGTGGGCCGGCGGGCGTGCACGCGTGCTGGGGCCGGGCGCAGGTGCGCGGTGGCTGCAGCCCCCCCGCTGCTAATTTCAGGGCGGCGGGCGTGGATTGGTGCTTGCGCACGCCGTGCCGACCGGAGCCAGGAAGGAGCAGGGCAGCGGGCGGTTCTGGAACGGCAGGCGCCTTTTGACGTGGCGCGCTGGCAGCCCTTGGCGCAGACACGGCGGCTGGTCGCGCTGTCGGGGTGCCTGGTCGGGGTGCCTGGTCGGGGTGCCTGGCGGCCGTTGGCGATCTGCCAGACGTCCAGAAACAGCGCCCGCGCGCCGGCACAGTGGATGTTCTGCATACTGCTATGCACAATCCGGCCACTCTCCCGCCCTGAAACGGTGCTGCCCCTCTTGCCTGAATCGACGCCGCGGGCTCCATGGCACTGGCTCGGAGCCTCCCATCTCCACGCGTGGAGCGGCCCGGCTGGCGTACGCACCGTGCCAGGCCCTGCCCCTGCTCCGCCAGCAATCATGCTACATAAGACTCTTGCGCCATCCAGGCACCGGCGCGCGCCCTCTGTGCCCTCGTGTCAGTGTGCTGGCCCGCCGCTCGTTTGCCGTTTGATTATTCGATTCTCCTCTGCGACCCTTCGCCCTTCATATTCGAGTGTCACCGCGAGCATGCCCCAGCTGCACCCAACATCTGCATGACGAGATTGCGCCCTGCCGCCACCCGCCAGCTGCTTTTGAGGCCTGCCCCCGCCCGCCATGCTTCCCACCTCGCCCCAGCAGGACCAGGCGCCGTCCACCTGGAAGCACGAAGCCATCCGCCGCGGCACCCTGAGGATCACCGGCCCTCCGCCTGCTGACCTGCCGCCCGTCGAGCCCGTCGACGACGCCGACAACGACGACAGGGACGACAAGGACGACAAGCTGCTGTCGCCCAAGCGCTTCACCGACTCGCACACCTTGGACCTGCGCAGCACCCACTCGTCCACTCGCCGCCGCCTGCTGCGCAAGGCCAGCCTGGACATTGGCCACCGCGTCGGCGTCTCCGCCGTCTTTCCCACCCACAAGCGCACCTCGACCGAGATCCAAGAGACGATTATGCAGTCCAGCATATCCGTCAGCGGCGCCTCGACCGCGACCCCCACCACCATCGGCCGCCCGAGCAAGCGTCAGAAGCGCGGCTCCTTGAGCGCTGCTTTCAAGCGCATCTTCGGCAGCAAAAGGCGTCTGGAGCGCGACAGCGAGAGGAGCCGCACCGCTTCTCCGCCGAGACATGCCTACCACCACAGCGTAAATACATGTCTCGTGCCGTTGCCCCCCCAAGTAATGCTGACCGTCTTCAGGAGCCGCAGGCCAGGCGGGTGTCGCCTCCGCGGACCTTCACCACCGAGCCCCGCGTGGAAACCTCGAGTTCAGACGAGTTACCTTCATTTACTGACAATCTCGGCCGCGGGACGCCGATCCAACTTCCCTTCCCCATGAACGTCAATGCTCCTCAGGAAGAGAGCAGCGACCTGGACTACATCGCATTCGACCAGGCGCGTCCGATCCACCGACGAAGAGCCACGCTGCCCAGCATGGTGTTCAACTCGACCGATGCGTCCACGCTTTCTGCCATCTGGAGCGAGTCTGCCAGCAGGCATGAGGATCAGCGCAGTATTAAGGACGAGATCGGCATTGCTGTTTCCGGCCCCGAACACCGCCAAAGCTTCAGCTCGCAAGGGCCAAGGCGAAGGTCCAATCGCAGGTCACGAAGCGCTGGCGCGTTAGAGGATCTGAGGAGACTGCATGAACGCGACCCGTCCAATCGCAATAGTATTGTGAACAGCCTACGCCAAATCAGAACCCCGGGCAGCCGACCGCAGACATCTCACGTGCCCACTACCGAGGAGGAAGAGGATGTCATCATGCATGATCAAGATGAGGTGTTTGAGACTCCAGCCGAGGGCGTGTCGCGCGCCAGCAGCAGCGACACTGTGATGCGTGCCAGCCCACCTGCCAGTCCCTCTCCGGGTGGGCATGAGGTTCACGCCTTTGATTTTGGTCCCTGGCGCACCGGCCATGGTTCTCCTGCACTCAACACCCCCTCAGCTCTCGGGCAACAGTTTGAGACCTCGGCTGAGCCGCCGCTTGTCCCGCTGGACGAGCGCATGGAGCGCCTGGAGAGCAACATGCGGTATTTTGATGAATCGCTGCGACGCCTGCATGGTCGCCAGAACCGACAGACGATTATCCTGGAGAAGGCGCCGCTCGGGCGAGGTCACGCTAGGAACCTGAGCACATCGTCGGAGGACTCGCCGCGATATCCCAAACGCCCGTCCATCCCTTTCGCCGACTCCCAGCAGCAAGTGCCATCTCCAGTCTCGTTGACTTCCTCTCCTCATGATTCGCAATTTACTCAGCCACAAGCTAGCTCATCGGTCCTGTCTGGCCAGATGTTCTACTCACCAGCCCAATACTCTCAGAGCCTCCCTCAGCATCGCTTGCCATCCCCCAAGACGTCTCTTCCCAACCTCATGAGCTCTCCGAGTATGACCACCATGAGCAGCGCGCCGACAATGGTTGCTACCGCAGGCCTTCCTCCGCCATCGTCGCATTCCTACACCGAGCAGCACTCGTATGCCCCGGACCAGATGACGGCTCTTTACTCCCTTCTATACCATGAACGCGCCGCGCGCAAAGATCTCGAATCGCAGGTTGATGATTTGCGCCGTGAGATGGGTGACTTGCGTCTACGTGTTGAGCGGCAGTATCCAAGGAGCCACCCGGATGGATACAACAACAACAGCACGCAACAAAACACCGGAGGTGATTCTTACGCCAACAACTACTGCTCAACTCTGGGGAAAACACACGTGACGTCCAACATTTACAACTATGCTGCCTACCCCGGCACTCAAAACGCCTACCCAACACCTTCACCGGACGTCAGCATCCTTCTTGGCACAACAACCACCTCGTCAACCGAGCAGCTTGCCGCGATACACCCTCGTATTTCGCAGCTCAACTACGAAGAAGAGGCTTCCAAGCAGCGCACGAGCCGGTTTAGCTTCGAGTCCGACGAGCTCGATCTTCCCGACAACGGTCGTGCCAGCAAGCGCCACAGCGGCGCCGGCAACAACAGTCCCGGCTCTCAGCGTCAAAGTTTCTTGCGCTATGGAGGACCCGTCGTCGCCGACCGCAGCAGCAGTGTGTACGAGTACGGGTATCCGCCGGACGACGAGACGGAGATCACCTCGGACGACGCCAAAGCCGGAATGGAGGAGTACCAGACGCCGCTCGAGGAACCCGAGAGCCCGGCGCCGCGGGATGGCGAGGAGGTCTTCACGGGCGTCGGCGTCGCCGTTGGAGGTCCGCTTCCTGTGCGGAAGATCAGCCTTGGGAAGATGATCTGAAGCCAGGAAGACGGGTAAAGCAATGAAAACAAAAGAAAGAAAAAAAAAGAGAAGAAAAACATAGATAGACTCATGGGATATGGAATATGGCCACACTAACAACAACATCAACAACAACAAAAAGGCGTTCAGGGCGTTGCATCACAGCTTCGGCTGGGATATACGAGTTTCCTACTTCACTTCTCCCTTTCTCTTCTACCCAAACCTACTGGCTAATGACTTCACTATGGACTAAGGAGTACCTTGAGTCCCTTTCTTTTGTTCTCCTTTTGATTGATTGTTTGCTCCGCCTTCGTCGCGTGAGTTGCGCACACGCCGCCAGCAAGTCTTGGCCCCTTGTTCTCTGAGCAAGCGTGTGAGAGTAAGATACCCTAGCGTTTCTTTGCTATCATGCATTTTCAGCGAACTTCCGATCTTCTTGTCTCTATTGTCTACATCTTAGTCTTATTTAGAGGTTGCTGAGGGTTTCTCTGGTATATAGAGGGAAATGGTCAAAGGATTCTTGAGATGAACATCTGTTCTCGCGTGCAATATCCAGTTTGATGGCCCACGACTAACAGAGCCTTCATTTTCGGGTTTTGCATGTGCGAGGAAAAACTTGGCTCGTTGCGTGATCGTATCAGCCGCTCGGCATATTCGGTAAATGTAGCCGTCAAAAATAAACTGAGACGTCTCCAACGCCCTAGTGACGTTGCGATCTGCGGCTGGAGAGCTAGGGCATATATCGTCTTACGTGTATGTGCTTGCGGGGTTCCGCGCGGGAGGAACCGCAATCCTGCCAGCGCAACACTATCGGCGTTGCTATTGGTCTTGACTGACTCTGTGTTCCCAGCCTTGCGCCGTTCCGCTGGATCCAGGCGTCCCTTGGCGTCGCTCCGTGAGCATGTATCGGAAGCAATATCAAGAGCCCTTTCCGTGTGATTCGCGAACTAGTGCAGGAGGAGCCGCCTTTCTGCCCTGCTACACCTCTCTGCATAGAGCCTATTGCAGCTCAGTATCGCCGGGAAATCTGTCGGCAAAATGTTAAAGGCTGTTTGATCACCACGCAGGAATGGTCCTTTTTCATACCATCACCACTTCGCATCAGGCGCTTCATTAAGCGCTATTGTTTCACTTTCAACGTACCCCATTTGTACATGCAGCTATCGGATAAGGCATGGGTTCTCAAGAGACTACTGCATACACGTACTCATGACTACGCCCATTCTGACATCGGTACGGTGATCGTAGCATATTTCTGTACATGCCTTCCGATATCGGAAGATTGAATGAATCGCCATGGTCTACTCGCTTCAAGCATTGGGAACTGCTCCTTACAGATACCAAGGTATATCAACTTGCCCGAAATGTCTTTTCAGATTTATGACAGCTTCGCATAAGGAGTTTTGTGTGTTTTTAGAACATTGGAGTCCCAAAGGATGCCGCAAGGTGCGGGAACTTAGTCTAGCCCATCAGCATGCTGCATCGTACAGTCCGTCCTTGATATGAAAGACTAGCAACGGATCACTAACATCACCCTGCTCGAGTTACTGTAGGCCAAGCGCTGCTCCATTCAGTGTACGACTAATACATGGCGTCCGTGCAAGCCTGGCTTTCGTCAACAACGCATCTTGCCGCGACAACAGGTCTACCACGGTATTGAGACGAAAATAAGATCATGCGCGACCTTCACACCACTCTCCTAGTCAGATTCCTTCTGCTTTTAGCCATCGCTCAGGTATTATTTCGGGCAGAAGTCTTGAAACGTGGTTGTGATTATTTTACTCAAGCTGTATCATGACAGGCCGATTTCGATTGATTGGAGAGGAAATTATTCTTTTTCACGCACAGCTAACGTTGGGATGGTATGCTTTCGTCTATAAAAACCGCTTGATATACCTCTTCTCGGAAGCGGAGCACCGGAACCCAACCCACGACCGGATTCGGACAGGTATTTCCGAAAGAATGAGGCTTACCTTGACACCAAAGCCCTTAGATGAAACAATCCTCCCGTTTGTTGACTCTCTGGATATACGCTCCAAAAGGAGTTCAATCCTCCGGTATGGTATTCCGGACGATCATAGTAGTTGCTGCCGGTGCAGTGAGGACTTCGGCATTGCTCCTTGAGCGACCCGCAGCTCTGTCAACTCTTTCTTCTGGGGACTTGTGTGGCTTTGCTTCGGCACGTCTTTCCGAATCCGCTATTCAGTGAGGGATTGTGGATATTGAAACCTTAATGAATTGTCCTTCTAAGGGGCATCACAGCTGCAGAGACTAATATACACGCGTCTTTGCACCATGAAACTGACGTGTTTCTAGAAAGCAGGGCTCGGCATTCAATATCAACAATGTTCTTTACATATGGCCAACAGCCTTGAACCTCGTGCACCTCTGCAAGCTGACGGAACGATGAATAAAGGAAATTTCCACGATGAAAGCTTGAGCCCTGTTGCGGAGGGCAACTCTCTTGACGTAGATTCTCCTGGATGGGGTTGAGCTTCTGCAGTCTCACAGAGACCTTATACCTTCGGCTTCCCCATGTGGGTACTGGAATCCTACGTCTATACGTGCTTGTACGGATCTAAAACTCGCACCTACGTCCAGACTTCTGATTTGTATGCCTACGTATGAAAGGTGTAGCGGCCTGCGCGGGGCACATAAGCATCAAATATTTTGTAACCCAGCGAGCCCTCTCGCCATCGGCGAGCAGCAATTACGGATACGGACAACGGAGCTCTCTCCATTTGCTTATGATCGTTGTGGGATGTGAGCTAGGACCTGGGGTGAAACATCCATATGTTTTGTGTGCATGCATATGGAACTTCGACAAATACAATGTCAGGACCCGTTGTTGAGAGGGTGCTTAAGCTAGGATGGTGGAAGTGACAAGAGCAATGGCACTTGTATACCCGAACGATATCCCAAACACAACACTCCCGTCACTTACGATTTTTCACTGTTCAGTCCTCTCGCCTAGCCGGATGCCTTCCCCACACTTCATCCGCATCCTTCTTCCCCTTCGTCTCGGGCACCACTAGAGCAACAAACGCTCCAAACCCAACCGCAAGCACCGTGAAAATGAAGAACACATATCCGCCCATCTTGGCATTGAGGATAGGGAAGAACTGCGCCACAACGAACGTCGCGATCCAGTTTGCAGCAAGTGCCCAGCTTTGGGTGGCACCAACAGCCTGGGGACCCACAAGCTCAGACGCGAGGATGAAAGGGACAGGGCCGAGACCAAGAGCAAAGGAGGAAACGAAGGCGACGACGGCGATAATAGAGAGAATGGGGACAACGCGAATGATGGAGATGCCGAGGAGTAGTGCAGAAGTGCCCATACCGGCAATGGAGCTAATGAGGCAAGTCTTGCGGCCAAGGCGCTCAATGAGCGGGGCGCAGCCGGTGGTGACGACAATGTTGACAGCCGAGACGAAGAGATTGAGAAGGGCGCTATTGGCAGAAAGGAGAGTGGAGAGGAGAGAAACTCCGTACATGATGATAGTGTTGATGCCTGATGGATCGTCAATGTTACGCTCATCAAGTGCGTACAGCGAGTATACTGAATCACCTACCTGAGAATTGCTGTGCAACCATGACGACCATGATTGCAAACGTAGCTTTCTTCGTGTCCGGGTGCCTGAGGACTTGGAACATGCTGAGGCTTTCTCTAGAATTCTTGTCCTTGGACGCGCCGCTACGGATGGACGCACGATCCTCACTATGGAGCAGGGTTTCCTCCTCGTCTTCGTAGCGTGTCAGCAACGACTTGATGGTGTGGAGGATAGGCTGTCATACCACTCATCTGATCAAGGTTGTCGACGCCCCATCCACTGATCTCCTCAGAGATGTTGGCGTCAGATCCCCTAATCTTGCGAAGGTTCTTCTTGGCTGCGGACGGATGGCCTTGGTCTGCCAGCCATTTCGGACTTTCAACACCAAGAACCAAGCCGATGGCCTGAACGATGCCGACAATACCGCCAACTGCGAGAATGATTCTCCACATGGAATCATGGCTCAGGAAGTAACCAAGAAGCTGGGTCAGAAGAATGCCACAGTTGCACGTGATCTGAGTGAAAGCACCAAAGAAACCCCGCTCGGCGGGCGGGGCGATCTCTGAGATGTAGATGGGCACTACCACAACAGCAGCGCCGGCACCTATGCCTGAAAGAAAGCGGCCAAGGGCGAGGACGCCGGCATGGGGGGAAAGGGCTTCAAACACAGGGCCAATCACAAAGAAGATGGTGGTGAGGTGCATGCATCTGAGGCGTCCGTACTTGGAGGATACAGGGCCGGCGGACAAGGCACCGAGAAGGCCGCCAAGGGTGAAGACGGAGCTGACGAGCCCCCATTGTGCGGGGTCCATGGGCATGCATTGGGGCAACTTGGAGGCGGCCGAGGCATCGACGGGCTTCTTGCATCTGATGACATCCTCGGGGGCGTTAAGCTCGGCCAGATGGAAGCCAAAGAGCAGCGGGCCCAGCGTGGCAGTGAAGAGGATGAAGAGGAAGTAACCGGTCAGGTCCTTGGCCCAGGCTCGGGGATCCATGGCGATGGCAGAACCGTCAACACAAGCCGAGGGATGAAGGATGCGGGCGTGGCCTGATGGGGTCAGATGGCAGTCTGGAGTCAAGGAGACGTGTCTGCGGGACTAGGGCGGGGCGTCATGGATGCATCCGCCACGGGAGAATCGTTCATCTGAAACACGGTGTTGCTGCTGCCGGCTTATCGTGCGGCGCAGGATGGAGGGCGCTCGGGGTGGAACGGCCCGTGGCCAGAGCGGAATGGAAGCAGGGCGGAAAAGCAAAAGGAGGCGACGTACCGGCGGCGGCGCGGTCGGACAAGCACGGCTGGGCAGCTAGGGCAGTGGAGCAGCGAGACGGTGGGCGGGCGGGCGGGCGGTTGGGGCAGCTGGGTGGCTGGATGGCGATGGGACTGGGCCTGGCAGGTGCGGTTGACGGCTGTCAGTTGCGGGTGGAAGGCGCGGCTGGGCTGGCTGGCAGCTGCCGGGGCCAAGTGCGCGGCGAGTGACGCGGAGGCTCCGCGCATCCCCAGCTGCAGCTGCAAACGAACTCGCTCGCCCGCCCGCCGCCACCGCCCTGACTCCCGAAGGCCCGCCACTGGGCTGCGGCGTCTTGGAAGCTGCGAGCCGCCCACCATGGCGCCGCTGTCCCCAGACCCGCGCTCCCAGCCCTCGTCCACTGCAGCCCTGCCCGCCAGCTCCGGCCCGCAGGCAGCGCATAACGGTCGGTGCGATCAGCTTACCGCGCCCTCCCTCCAGCAGATCTCCACTTCCTGTTGAAGCCGCACGCCCCGACGACCCGCCCGTTGCACTGCCGTCGTCGGCCCTTTGCATATCTGTCCTGACTTGCCGCAGCCTCGTCCCAGGGCCCCGCCACCATGCTCCACGGCGGCTACACGAGCAAGAAACGCGTCCAGGAGCGGTACAAAATCCTCGGCTTCATCAGCAGCGGCACCTATGGCCGCGTCTTCAAGGCCCAGAGCCGCGTCGGTCAGCCGGGCCTGTTCGCCATCAAGAAGTGCGCCCTGCCCGTGCCGTCTGCCAGACTGCCCGCTGACTCCCGCCAGGTTCAAGCCCGACAAGGAGGGGGAGGTCCAGTACACGGGCATCTCCCAATCGGCCATCCGCGAGATGGCCCTGTGCACCGAATTGTCCCACCCCAACGTTGTGCACACCGTCGAGATCATCCTCGAGGACAAGTGCATTTTCATTGTGTTTGAGTATGCCGAGCATGACCTGCTGCAGATAGTCCACCATCACACCCAGAACCCGCGCCAGCCTATCCCTGCCAAGACCATCCAGTCCATTCTATGGCAGCTGCTCAAGGGCCTCCATTATCTCCACCAGAACTGGGTCATGCACCGCGACTTAAAGCCCGCCAACATCATGGTCACCGGCAAGGGAGCCGTCAAAATCGGTGACCTGGGCCTCGCAAGGCTTTTCTACAAGCCACTAGGATCTCTTTACAACGGAGACAAGGTGGTCGTCACCATCTGGTACCGTGCACCCGAACTTCTCTTAGGCAGTCGCCATTACACGCCTGCCGTGGACCTGTGGGCCGTAGGCTGCATTTTCGCCGAGCTCCTTGCCCTAAGGCCAATCTTCAAGGGCGAAGAAGCCAAGCTCGACAACAAGAAACAGCCGCCCTTCCAGCGCAATCAGATGCAGAAGATCGTTGAGATCTTAGGCATGCCCAGAGCTGAGGACTGGCCGCTGCTTCGCGCCATGCCCGAGTACTCTCAGCTTCCCACACTTGCGGCCGGGAACCCACGCATCAACCGACCTATGGGGCTGCGAAATTGGTACGACACTTGCATGAGGACGAACAACTATCCGGATGGACTTGGCAACTCTCCCGGCCCTGAAGGATTCTCCCTACTACAAGGCCTTCTAGAGTACGACCCACAGAAACGTCTCACGGCCGAGAAGGCGCTCAAGCATCCTTACTTCAAGGTCGGCCTGCCCGATGGTCAGACTCCAAGCGACAACTGCTTCGCCGGGTCGACCATTGACTACCCGCGGCGTGCCGTTAAAGCGGACGATAACGACATACGGACCGGAAGCTTGCCAGGCACGAAGAGAAGCGGATTACCTGACGATTCACTGCTGAGGCCAGCAAAGAGGCACAAGGAGGTCTGATTTGCGAAAACACACAGACCTCCCTATCCAGCCGCTTTGTTTGTTTCTATGATGTTTGTGTTTGGATTCAGTCCGCACGAGAATATGGAGATCCCGGCGCGCCTGGAGCGCCCGAATACCCATATGAAGAACATTTCGACTTCGTGGCCGAAGAGCCGGATCATCCTTCCAGGGAATATGGGGATGCCGCGCCTACTCCTGCGCCTGAACTCAAAGAAGCACCTCCTGAGGACGCTACGAACGGGTTGCCGATGCCAGAACGTCGTTTTCGGGGCTCCATCCCGACACCATCTGGGGTAGAAGATACGTCCATACTTTCATCTGGATGTACTGATCTAACACCCTATAACTTCGGGGAGCTCTGTGAAGCGAGTGCGCCACCTCCGACACCTGATTCTATTAAGGGGGAAGACAAATCTAAAGCGAAAGCCAGTCAATCTGACGCGGAAAATGTTGTGGACAAATGAAATCAAACTAAGACTGCCCCGGAACGAGTGGTACCACGAAACGTTGTTTGATGCGCTTTCCTTACGCTATCGTGGCGCTGTTTTGTTTTGGTCCTGTATGGAAGTTTGGGTTTAGCGGTTAAGAGAGATCGCACATGACATGGGTACTGCATCGGTGCTAAGGGAGAGAGAGAGAGAGAGAGAGGGGGGACTATCGAATAGCACAGCCTGTGCAGCAGAGGTTAGAAGATTATTGCTGATGGCGTTTTCGAGATGAATATAGCTTTGTGCGCCTATTCAGTCAGATCACCTGGATGGAGAGTGTTTGAATTTCTCTTCTAGAGGATGGACGAGGAACTCTGATTGCGCAGACATGCTACAAACGCTGGCTCATCAAGTCTAGAGAAACATGCGGCTGACTTTAACTGAAAAATCCCGGGCCGTGGCAATTTTTTTGAGCTAAAGCTAAATGGTCTAGTCGGCCGGGCGGCGCTTCTGCCTGCGCCTTGACGCCTATGTAGTATTCCCGAGCGGAAGCACAGAGGGTACACAAAGTTTATTCCGAAGCTCGTGCTGAGGAAGAGACGTAAGCGGCGAGCAGAGCTCCACAACGACGCACTGACGGACCATTGAGAGGCGGCGGCTTGTCATCAAGCAAGTGCAAAGAAAAAAATGGTCGTGGGGAACGGAAATAGCACGATCCAGGTCGTCGGATTTAGGCCGCGGCAACCGCTAAGACGTGCAGATGTGGGGTTGTCAGCCAGGGTATTCGCCCATGCGGATGATTGACCGTCCCTCACCATCCATGCATAACTCCTCACCGCGGAGCAGCCCGCAACGAAAAGACGACGGCGGCCACGTGCAGGTAACCGCGCACTGCCCGTTTTCGGCCAAGGCTGAATCCTCGAATCCGATCCGAGCGGCTGACGTACTACTGCTACGCCCCATTCAAATGCAACACTCGACAGTTGCCGAGGACATCCCGCTTATGTGGTCCACTGCCGTTCGGAGGAGGATCCAATTATGACGGCGAGCTGGTTCTTACTCCGCAGGAGCTAAGAGGAGGGGAGGGTCCAAGCAGCCCCTCCTCTGCTGAGCTTCTTATTAACTGCTGTCACGACCTTTGCTTACCCCTCATCTGATCCTCTCCCCTCCGAGACTTCTGCCTGAGAGAGGTACCCAAGGTTGTTGCATCTTCGTATACCACAGCTTGCAGTAGCTTACCCGTTCCGCCAGGAAAGCCATGTCCACGACGTTGCACCGCGAACCGCCTTTCCGCGCCGAGCACCTCGGCTCGCTCCTGCGCCCCAAGGATCTCCTCGACAAGAGGGCCGAAGCCCACGAGGGCAAGGCCCAGGCTGCGGATCTGAAGCCCCTGGAAGATGCTGCCATCAAGGACATCGTGGCCAAGCAGCAGGAATGGGGCTACCGCGCGCTGAGCGATGGCGAGTACCGGTACGCATGCCGCTCAAAGCAACCTCGCAGCTCCCAATTCCACCAAGAAGGCGCCGTGGAGGTCTAGATATACGGCGGATCGCTAACCATGACTGTAGCCGGCACATGTTCTGGGGCTCCTTCTTCCCCGGCCTGGACGGCATGAAGGAGGTGCAGCAGCCGTCGCTCGACATGTTCCGCACGTACGTGCCCGACATGGCGGCCTTCCTCGAGACCAACCACGTCCCCGGCGAGACGGTCATCTGCACGGGCAAGATCAGGCACACCGGCCAGAGCACCTACGTCGATCAGGTCGAGTACCTCAAGACGCTCCTGCCCAAGGAGCGGTGGGGTGAGATCAAGCTCACGCTCGCGGCCCCCAACTGGTACCACTTGCGCTACAGGGAGGGCCAGGCCTACCCGGCAGACGTGTACAGCAGCGACGAGGAGTACTTTGCCGACATTGCGAAGGCGTACCAGACCGAGCTGGACATTCTGTACAAGGCGGGCCTGCGCAACGTGCAGTACGACGACCCGAACTTGGCTTGTGAGTGGCGGTCCGCATGAAGTTCGAGGTAAACAAGTCGGCCTGCTGATACCTTTGCGATTCCGCCAGACTTTTGCTCGGAGAAGATGCTTCAGGGCTGGGAGGAGGATAAGCGGAACAAGTACTCGGCGGACGAGCTGCTCGACGTGTACATCAAGCTGTACAACGACTGCATTTCCAAGGCGCCATCCGACATGCACATTGGCATCCATCTGTGCAGAGGTAAGTCCAGCCCCACCCACGGCCCAGCTGCACGTCACTGTTGGCATCTTGCTTGCTCTTAGCTCCGCACGCGCGCCCCCGTCAACCCCACACTTGCCCACACAACCCCCGCTTCCAAGCATCATAGCCGCGTAGCCCTCATTGCTGACCCTTGCTTCTTGACGTAGGCAACTTCGTCGGCTCGCGCCACTTCGCCGAGGGTGCGTACGACCGGATCGCGACCAAGCTCTTCCGCGACCTGCACATGCAGACGTACTACCTCGAGTACGACACGCCGCGGGCGGGCGGCTTCGCGCCGCTGGCGGAGCTGCCCACCAACAAGAACGTCATCCTCGGCGTCGTGACGTCCAAGTTCCCGGAGATGGAGGACAAGGAGGAGATGAAGCGCCGCATCTACGAGGCGGCCGACGTCATGGCCAAGGGCGCCGGCCAGAGCAGGGAGGAGGCGCTGAACCGCGTCGGCGTCAGCCCCCAGTGCGGCTTCGCCAGCCACGCGAGCGGCAACCTGATCGACCACGAGGGCATGGCGAAGAAGTTGAAGCTGGTCAGGCAGATCGCTGACGAGGTGTGGCCTGGCCAGCCGTGATTAATAAGAGGCGAAGGCAGAGAGGACTGAGCCGCGGATGAATAACGACGATCGACGACGAGAGAAGGGTGGAGACGAGGCGGGACAATGCATATCGTCAGCTTCAACACTGACACACGGGGTTGCATCGGATGAAAGCGTGAAAGGCGTTGGGAACAAGGAGCCGCTTCAACCGCGATATGAGGTGAAGACAGGCGCGCTGTGTTTACATACTTGATACACCATGGAATCGAATCGATTGCTGCATCAACTGACTCATGTGACGTCACGTGCTTGGTGACAACCGCGCGCCTGCCAAGAAGTCCCGGGGGCATCGCCGTCTCACCGGCCACGACAACGCAGCACCTGCGACTGTTGATCCTTGGCTCCACCCGAAATTGTCGTCACCCGAGACGAGCAAGTCTTCCGTCGTGCCATGCACAGATAGCACTGCCTTGACCGATTCGACCCAGCATCATGTCGCGTCCGGCCGCGGCGCGTAAGGCGCCTAAGGGCGAGTACATCGAGACGGTGAGTGGAACCTCTATGCAAACCGCACCGCAAACCTAGACACGGATTCGAGGCTGCCGCTGCTACTCTTTTCTTTTTTTCCTTGCCTCCCTACTCTGTCTGCTATGCATCTTTACTCAAAATTGTCCCGAATTACCAAACTTTCGTCCATCTCTGCTTCTAGTGTTTACTTTCACTACCATAAACGCAGCGGCGAGCTTCCCAAATCCTCGAAACTTGCTCCCAACCCAACAGCCACCTATATAGCCCCCCACCTACCAGCAGCAGTCCCAACTAACCCGCCCAACCCAGGACTCGGGCAACAAAGTCTCGCGCAAAGCCCACATCTCGGGCACCGCCAACATCACCCTCGGCGGCAAAACCGTCATCATGGCCGACGTCCACCTCCGCGGCGACCTCCACCGCCTCAAATCCTCGCACACAGCCACCCACTCCACGACCGACGCATCCGGCGGCGCCGAAGCCACGTCGACCGCGAAATCCGCCGCCGCCCCCTCCAGCTCCGCCAACGCCATCTCCATCGGCCGCTGCACCGTCATCGGGCCCAACTGCGTCATCAAGCCGCCGTCGCGCATCTCGCGCGGGCAGCTGTCGTACTACCCCATGAAGATCGGCGACAACGTCTTCGTCGGCGCGGGGTCGCACGTGTCGGCGGCGAGCGTGTCGAGCCACGTGCACGTCGGCGAGGGCTGCGTGCTCGAGCCCTTTTGCATCGTGCGCGACAACGTCAAGATCCTGCCGCGCTCCGTCGTGCCCGCCAACATGGTCATCCCGTCGAATTCCATCGTCGGCGGGAGGCCCGCGCGCGTCGTCGGCGAGCTGGGCGAGGGGTGGGGCGTCGCGGCCGGGGGCGGCGGCGGCGGCGAGGGGGGCCCCATGGGCCAGGGCGAGGTGTGGGTCGAGGGCGGGGATTTGAGGGAGTTGGTGAGGAGCGTGAAGTGAAGTTAAGTGAGAGGCGGTCGAAACGCTTCACGTAGAAAACCAGTAAAACCATTTGATTCTTAGTCCGACTGGACAGACCGAAATATCATCATGATGGTATGCATTAGGTTGTGTGTATTGTAGGGTCATTTTGAAAGTAGTGTTCTAATGAATAGAAAACTAGTAGATTTCCCATGTGATCTTATAGATACTCTATGCTCGCTCTCACCCAGGAAAGGTGCGCTAAGTCCATTTGTACGGGTAATGGGAAGCGGGTACCGTGGAATTATAGTGCCGACTCATCTGCCCACCTTGAATGACAACACCTACGCAGGAAGTTAGATCTATATCTTGTTTCATCAAACACAGATTACTCACGTCGTTTTTCCCAACAGCGACCGGATCGTCTTCCGCAACCTTTATGCCACCTGTCGTCTCGGCGTATGCCAGAGGAGCGTCGCCCATAACCTTGCGATACACGTCGCCGACCGTGGCACCCCTGCACAAATGTTAATAAAGGTACTCCGAAACAAGCCAGAATTCAAATGTAGAGAGATCTCATACTTCTTGACCAAGACACAGTCTCTGAACACCGCCTTATCCTGGGAACCAGACGCGAAGCTATGGATGTTGCGAACGGGGAACACGGGCACCAGGCCAAGCAACTCTGCCGCACGGGACAAGACCTGAACAACGCCTGTGCTGCCGAAGCGGTAGAGCACCATGTCCTTCAAGTTCTCGATTCGCCTAATTCATAGTGAGCTGACAGTCACGAATAAGGGGACAGTGCGAGTCATACTGCGTCAGCTTCTCGTCCATTTCTTTCAGGTCGCCGCCGTCGGGGTCGCCATCTGCGATAAGGTCTTCTCTCGTGTCGACGAACTCGCTGCCTTCGGTATATCTGATATAACCCTGCTTCGCTAGACGGCGGAGGAAAACTTCGCTAATGGCGGAGCACAGGACAATCGTCTTCGGATCTTGCTGTTTTGCTATCTTGGCAATGTTCTTGAAAAACAGAAAAGGTCAGCACTGCTGAATTCCTACGACCTGAAAAGATCGACCTTACCTTATCTGCATCAGGGTGATCGATTTTGTTCAACGCTATCACCGTTGGGAATTTCTCGTCGGTGAAGGCATTGACAACCCGCTCGATCGTCTCGTTCGACCAGTCCTGTAGAGGTTCCTTGATCTGTAGCTTGTCCAGACACCTTTGGACGACGGTGGAGGTACTACCATAGCCAGAGAATTGGTTCTGCAACGTCTCGACCGGTGTCGCCTCTATAGCAATAGTCAGAACCCGCGAGTGTCTCTGCGCGGAAAGTAGACATGGAAACTCACTTACGGCAACGTGCCGCCGTTTTATCGAGCCCCTACAACCGCGGTCAGCTAACGGCCATCCAGCACCTCGCCCAGCCTGATGTGCATACCATTTCTCCATAAGGTTACCCTGAATCCACCGCACGATTTCGAACCGCAGCCACTCAATGTCCTTCGAAGGGTCGTATCCTCTCGTCGCCTTGCCTAACCCCATCGTATCAGCGGCCATGTCTCAAATCCCACCCATCCCCCCAGTCCTCCAGCACTCCACCGCCGTGTCGGTCCGCGCCGAGAGACACGCAAAGCAAGCAAGCAACCAACCAAGCACACATCCTCCAACTCACGACTCGACTTACCCTCCGCGTCCGTCGTCCCGCTCACGTCCACCACGTGCACCAGCGCGTCCGCGTGTCTCAGGTCGTCCAAGAACCTGTTCCCCAGCCCTTTACCCATGTGCGCGCCGGGCACCAGCCCGGCCACGTCGAGCAGCTCGATGGGCACGCTGCGGCGGCCCTCGACGCACGCGCCGTAGTTGGGCTTGCATTTGTCCGACACGCCGAGGCGCGCGCACGCGCACTCGATCTGCAGGTAGCCAATCGCGCGCTGCGGGTCGATGGTCGTGAATCTTCATGTATGTCGGAATTACGCTCAGCAATCTGGCGGGCGGGAGGGATGGAGTTTGCGTGGTTCGTGGTGCGGTTCGAGTACAATGGTCGTATGCGAGGTTGGGGCGGGGGTGGGTGGGTGGCCCGGTGGGGTGACTTACGGGAAATTTCCTGGGAAAGCTGTTAGCAGGCGGGCTTGCGCGGGGAGGGGAAACCGGGGGAAATGTTACTGACCGACTTTGGAGGTGGCGTCTGTCAAACTGTCGCAACGGAAGAAAGCTTCAGCGGCTGGTCTCTTCCTCGTGCTGGCACATTTTTTGGGGGCGGGGGGAGCGGGGCGCACCTGTTCAGCGTCGTGGACTTGCCCGACGACGGCTTGCCGACGAGGCCGATCAGAGGGTCGCGAGGCATTGCTGCTCGACTGCGCAGGTCGGTCTGGGAGGCGGCGAGGTCGCGTTCGGGGTGCGTGGTGCGAGGCGCGAGTTGCTGTAGCGCGATGCCGTCACCCGCCGCGACTTAACAAACGAAAGATTCGCTGTATCGATAAGGTCGATAGCGCGCCTAAGGCACCGACGGACCCCGGTCTCGGGCGGTCTCGGGCGGCGTCGGCGGGTGTCTACAATTGGTTGGCCGCCGTTTGACCCTTAATGACGATCGCCGCTGCAGGCTTGAAGGCGCAAGCACGACAAGCACCGGCCCCCAAAATCCTCGGCGCTTGGAAGCAAGCATAAATCATCGTCACTTCAACGGCCTTCTGGCGCATACGGACACAGGCAGCGACATCACCAAATTCAAATGTGCAAAGTAAGACGTAATACTGTGTTTCGTAAAAGTGCTTGTGTCCCTGATGCAGTCCCCTTCAATTCTTTTGCGCAAGACGCACTCAGAGACCGCCACCAAAAAGCAAAGTTGGACACCGGACCTCTAACCAGACCGCCGGTCACCAAGAAGACATTATATCCCCTAACCCAAAGCAAGCCTATGCCGAATCAGAAGAAAAAGAAAACAGAACCCGCTGCATGCCAACACTATTTATAAAAGCACTATGTTGGAAGAAAGACATGATTGAAACGAACAAGAGGCTCGTTTACAGGAGGGCGGCACCGAGGAAGGTCGAGGCAACGACGACGAGACCGCACATGAGAGGAGCAGTCTCGAAGGCGGGAGCCCTCAGGCCAGCGGCAGCGCCGGCGGAACCGGAGGAGCCGGAGCCGGAGCTGGAGCTGGAGCCAGTCGCGGTCGCGGTGACCTCACCGGAGCCAGCAGAGGCAGTACCGGTGGAGCCAGTGCCGGCGTTCTGGGAGCCAGGGCCGCTGAGACCCTTGGCCTCACCAGCGCCCTTGGTCATGTAGTCCTTGGCGGGCTCGGGAATGGCAGGGAGAGAGTCGCTGTCAATGTCCCAGGTGTCGGACTTGGAGGGGCACTCGGAAGCCTTGCCGTCCGACTTGTAGCCACCATCACCACTGGGAGCGGGGGTGTCAGAGAGGGCAGACTTGAAGGCGTCGAAGTCGTCCTTGTTGGTGACGGAGTCGCCCGAGATCTTGACGAGACCGTAGTTGGAGCCCTCTTCGGCGTACTCGTAAACGAGACCACCAGAGTAGACACCGGTCATCTTGTCAGAGTAAAGAGAAGCGACCTCCTCAAACTTGCGCTTGTTGGTGTTGCAACCGTACTCGGAAAGGAAGAGAGGAAGGCTGTAGTCGGCGAACTTCTTGACCTTGGACTCCCAGCCGGACTGCGAGTACGAAGAGGGGTCGCACCACGAGTAGTCGTTGAAGGCGAAGAAGTCGGAGCGCTCGTCGTCAGTACCGCAGTTCATGTACTGGGCCATCTCGAAACGGTTGGAGTCGACATCGGCAGCAGAGTAACCGACAGGAATCTTGCGGTAGTTCTGGCTGCCAATGTACTGCCTCATGTCACGAGTGACGGCCTTGACGTAGGGAGCAGCGTCCGTGGTCTTGTCGTCGTTGATGACCTCGTTACCCGAGAAGAACAGCAGGGTGTTGTCGTAGTTGGCGAAGGCGTCAATGGTAGCAAAGACGTTCTGGAGGTAGACGTCGTTGTAAGACGACTTGGGCTCGTTGCGGTTGAGCGAGTACTTGGGGGTGTTGACATCGAGAGCGAGGTAGATGCCGGCATCGGCAAGCAGGCCCATGCACTCGTCGTGGCTCTTGGAGTTGTCGACAGTGTAGACACGGACAGTGTTGATGCCGAGGTCCTTGAACTTCTCAATGTCGCGCTTGCACTGGTCGGCATCGGCGATGGGGTCAGCGACCTCGGAGGAACCGCCGGGCTGGTAGTCGACACCACGGATGTAGAAGCGCTTGTCACCGGCCCAGAAGGCGTTGCCCTTGACGCTGACCTGGGGGGTCTTAGCAGAGCTGGTGGAGGAAGCACGAGCCTCGAGGTTCGCCGGCGAACCCAGGGCGGGAGCGGCGAGCGCAACGGCGATGAATGCAACGGAGCCCTTCATTGTGATGGATAGACGTGGATGTGGAAGTGGGAGGTCGAGTGTGAAGTTGGGTGTTGTTGTTGTTGAGCGAGTGTAAACAATCAGTTGTTAAGCGGAATGTGGAAGCCCGAAAGAGTGAGAGCGTTCCAAAGAAAGGCGCAATTAGTTGGTACCGGAAGCGGCCTGGGCGTGGTGGGAAACAGGAAATGGTGTGGATGGAGAGAGAAGAAGGGAGGCTGGCAGGTGGAGGCTGCGGGTTTTGTAAATGGCGGCAGCAGGAAAAGGAGAGGGCGAAAACAGGGATGTGCAGCGGCAAGCATGAGGGAAGGTGCTGCGGTGGCAGCCAGGCATGCACCGGTGTGGTGTTTTCGGGCGGCCGATCGCAGCACCCCGGACGCACAAGGCCCGCCTCCAGCGCCGCCCGTGGAAAAGAGGCGCAACGCCAGGGCCAGGATCCTCTCCCAGCGCAGCCGATCCCCGTCTCCTTATTTCTGGCGCACCAGCACTGAAACAGGCCCGCTCCAGTTTTTCGCGAATCATGATCTCGCCCGCCCAATCGCCCGCTCGCAACGCTCCGCAACGATGTCATCGAGAGCACACAATTCAATCTGCAACGCCCACCGTCATGCCCACCACCAATCCGCCAGCTCAGGGCGCTCCGCACCGGCCCCGCCGCGAGCCTGCGCTTACAATACGAGTAGCAGGCTGCGCTACCTCCGCCGCCGCCGCCCTCCCTCGCCCTGCGGTGCCAGCCGCCAGGTGCCAGCCGCCAGCCGTCAGCCGCCAAGTCTCCTCCCTCGCGCATCCTGGGGCTGTGCTGCGGCTGCGAGGGGAGTCGCCTCCGTCCTTGGCACAATACCTACGAGCATGGACTTTTGTGGGCTGTCCACGCCTGGCTGCCTGACGAGCCCGTTGTCGGACAGCCACCGGCCACTGCGGTGTCGCGGAATGATGGCTTCCAGCCCGCTCCGCCCTGCATCCAAATCTCCTCTTATAACAGGAGCCCCGCCCGCCTGCACTGGCTCTCCTGCGACTCTCCCGTAGCGGGAGGGTGTCCCAACGGCGGCTTCTGCCAGGTGGTGTGCGCGCCTGAATGACGAGCATGCAAGCCAGCGTCCCCACCTCCCCCGTTCCCGCGGCGGCGTGCTATTTTTGCTCGGCTCGCCACACCTTCCCCTTCCATGGCTCGTTTAATGCAGCTCATGATTTTGCCGCGAGCCACATAGGATTTGCCATCACCTTCCAGCAGAGACGCCGCGCTGCCCACGCTTCTCGAACGTGTTGTGCCTCGCCGAGGGTCTCAAATGCGGCCTCCCACGTTGCTCAGGGCGTGCAGGCTAGTCCTCTCGCGGGCCACCCAGATCCCACCACATCTGACGGTCAGGCGGAGAAGCGTTCCCGCTGCACCGGGGATCCACCGTGTCTCAGCCGGTCCTCAATCTCGGGTGGCTGGCCAGTCGGACGATTGGCCTCTTCAAACCACCTTAAGGTTCTTTGTCAAGGTTCTCCTTCCGCCGTGTTTGCCTAGTCCCGCATCCCTGCTTTAGCCAGCCGGCGCTGCACATGCCAGTTCGCAGCACACCCTATCACTCGCAGGAACTCACCCAGCCACCAAGCAGACATTGTAAAAGCGTCAGGTCATATTCTGCCACAGTCATGCCCATTACGCGTTCTTTGGACTCAACGAGGAGATGCAATCAGGCTCGCCTCAGCCCCAGCGTCAACACTTGTTTGCAGCAAATGCGCAAATGCAACCTGCTTTCATCCAAGATCAGTCACGCTTTCATTGCCGGTCCTCCCGCAGTGGTTATCCGCCAGTCACGCTCGATCAATCTTCCCTGTCGTTCGCCATACCCTGCCCAATCTCGTTTCCGTCGACTGATAAGCCGTAATACGAACTCACCCTCACGAAGTTGCTTCCCAGACAGGTATGCTTCCTGAAGAATCCAGGCGTTGTTCTAGACTCTCTGCTGTGCCGTCCTCGTTGCGGGTCGCCGTGTGTGGCGCTCGGGTCCCTTGGCGGCGGGAGCTAAGACCAAGTCAAGCAAAGCCAATAAACGCACCAACACCGCCCAGCACCGCCCAGCACCGAGCAGATTGGGAACAGCCCTGGGGGCCATAATCTGCTTTCTCGACAACATGACGTCTTTGAGTGTCCTTTCTGAGCCCAAACCTACATGACAGTAAGACGAGCGGAAATATGGTTATCTCTTGCAAAATCGTGTACATCTCACTCAAAAAATACGGCAACTCGTATCCTATTCAGGGCAGTACTACGCAATCGCGCGAGTCGTGTGCTAGAGTTCCACACCAACGTTCATTACTTTAATGACGAGCTTCGCCAGTCGTACACATAGTATGTATTTCGTATTCACGATGAGTCTGTTATCTTCCAAATACATTTGAACACACGCAAGAAGACTCAAAGAAGCGGAAGGAGCCTGAATATTCTGCCATTGAATTAGGAGGACTGATCATTACATCTTCAAAGTCATGCCCGTGCGTATCTTTCAAAGGCTCTGTACAAATCCAAGGCTGGACTCAAGTCACATTGAGCACAAAGAGAATGGATTTTTCATGCCGTCGGTGTTCGTCCATGCTCGCGCTTTCGAGGCGTAGATTGCATCAAGCTTTCCACCGACCTGTAACCAGGCTACTCGGATAAAACCCGTCTCATCGTCGCAACTACGCCTGCATAGCCACTGTGGAGCGGTCCCACGGCCATCTATTGTGTGCCAAAAAGACCTCTGACGCTTAGAGGAACGAGGCGTGCCAGCTTGAGCTCCGCTACAACACGCTGTGGCACGGATCCCCCGAGGATGGCAGTGGACCATGGCCAGAGATTTGTCCCAGGAGCCATCACGCAACCACATTAGCATATCGCAAGCTTTCTTCCGGCCGTCACACAATTAGTCGGAAGGAGGACATTTCATGCTCAACCCTAGTCGAGCACCTCAAGAGCCCACTCAACACCACGCATCACTAACCGCTTGCTTGACCCACAAGGTTGATCAGTATCGCAGTACTAAGCATTCATGGAATCATTTCTAACCGCTGGCAGCGTGGAAAGACTACGAGACGTGGTTTCCATGTGAAACGACCATAGGACAAGCAATGGCAGCCACCCAAATGCACGCCAAGTCATCAGCGACTCTTTCAGGCAACCCGAAAGGCGGTCATCCCGTGTAATACCAACAACACAGAAGGAAGAAGGTGAGGAACGTGCATTTCGCAGAAGGCGCGCGGAACGGGCGAACATAGCCTCAAACTTCAGGCGTGCGACGCCACCGACACTCAAAATCCTTCGCGCGCTGGCGCCGCCCCGCCTTGACGATGCGTTGGCACTTGTTGGCTAAGTGCGACACAAGACCTGAACAACGCTCCCCGTGACCGTCCGAAGATCACAATCACGGGCATCCCACATCTCCTCACCCTCCTCTCCACCCCGCATGAGGCAGTGAACCCTTCTCGCTTAGTGGCAAAAGGTTAGAAAGCAGACAAGTGATAGGCGAGAAGCTGACGCGTTCAAATTTCTCTCTCGAAAAGGGAAAGGATATTCGAGTTTCCTCTTTGGGAAGGAGGTTTGAAGTTGATGAAGCTTGGCTGCTCTTACTTCTGACCTCCTGTGACATCTTTTCCACTTTACTCGTTCTGTGCGCTCAAGTATACGTCCTCCGGTGGCGGCAGCGGCCGCCTTTCCACGAGCCGCACCCATCTCCTTCGCCTCCACAGACCCTTCTTCCTGCTCCCGTCGCCCTCCTCCCAACTCCTGACTGCCATCTTCGGTTTTGATGCCGCGGTATGCCCCAAGTTGGGCGTCGACTGTGCCGCAAGGCCGCCGCCGCCGCCGACGAGCGCGAGCCCGGCGGCCGCGACGCCCGTTTTGGTGATGTCCTCGTTGGAAGCCAGGGCGAGGGAGGCGAAGTCGATTCCCTCATCGTACTGGATGTCACTGACCCAGCGTTCACCCTCGATTTCGACCTCGACGCCGGTGATACAGCGGTCCTCGACCCAGTCGCGCGACAGGAGATCCAGCGTCCACTTCTTGTCCGCCCACCGCCAGCCCCGGGGTGCCTCGACGTCCTCGAAAAAGCGCGACCCGCGGGGACGATCGCCGGCGATGCGTGCGGGCGACAATGGTGTGTATGGCTGCGTCGTGAACAGGAAGGGCTCGTACTCGGCGTCCGGCGCGTCCGACGCCCGTCGCTGCAGCTCAAACACCTCGACCTCGCGTTGTTCCGGCGCATGAGATAGGTCGATGTCTGACTCGGCGAAGGCGTGCAGCCAGTGTGCGGCATGTTGGCCTTGCTCTTCGATAAACTCGTCCGCGTGCGTCTCTTCCAGAAACGTTTGCGAGCGAGGATGGCAAGCGCAGACAAGTACCCAGCCTGTAACGAGGAGGACGGCTCGCCAGGGGAGAATTTGAGCGGCTATGAATAGAATGATAGAGGCAACGAAGAGGATCAGGTACAGAGCAGAGGACACGGCTTCGTCAGAGAAGTTTGTGGGTGGGGTAATGAGGTTGATTGCAGCATCGTGGACACGGCTGAAATCTTCCATGGTATTCTGCAAGTCTCTCATGTTACGCCAAAAGTCCTTACTGAGCTCTGGAGCGGGCTTGATGTTTTGCGGCGCTGCCATCGGCGGCCCATTAAGCGGATGAACGTCAGTTGGTAGATGGGATGGCGGCGGAGGATGCCGAGCGAGGAATGCCGGCACCATGACGAAGAAGAGACATCCGGCCAAGGGCAATACTGCGAGCAGATTCGGGTCGAGGCAGACGAATGAGTAAATAGCCAGGAAAGCTAGGGTATGCGTCGGGTCTTTCCAGGAGAATAGACGGATGAGGCGGTTCTCAAAAACAAAGACGACGCCGATTCTAAGGCAAGTCTTGGTAAATTATACATGTGTGATTGGGCAACCCTGAACAGACCTGGAATTGAAGCGGCGAAAGTTGTACGACATTGTCGGTATACTGAAGCCTGGACGCTCGACGTATTTTCTTGATCGTCGGTCCTTGGGACGACTGCCATCATCGACATCTCCGCCGGGAATCATTTGTTGAAGCAGCCTGCAGTGAGTCAGAACCACTGTCAGGTACAGAGTTTCCCAATCTTCTCATAGTGTGGCAAAGAAACTTCATGTGCAAGGTGGTGTGGAAGCAAAGCTTGGGGGAAGAGAAAGGTAAACGTGAGAAGAAAAAATTGTCAGAAAGATCTGCAGCGACGTGCATCAAGCGTGCAGATAGACAAAGGGCTCTGATAACTTTGTCCAACCCGGATTTTCGAGAACCGCGTGCAGTCGCCGGGTTGCAGCATTTTGGGGCCAAAGCTCGACCAGCGGTCTCGAATCTTGTGGCGGCCGGGGTGGTGGTGGATCCTTGCGCACATCTTTGCAGGAAGGGAAATGGCAATCTTGGAAGCACGGCAGCCGCCAGACGCGAAAGGAGGATGTCCAAGCTTCGATATTGCAGGCATGAATTCGCATCTTACAGGCCACGGAAACCACCTGTGTACGGGAAGAAGAGCGAGGTGGCTTACATGTTCATCAAACGGTCCTGGATCTTGCTGGGCGACTCGTTTGCGCTGGAGGAGCTTACGCTGCGCTGGTGGCCGTGGCTGCTGCCGTACGTGCTGCCGTGGCCTTTGAAGGAGTCCAGCTTCTCCCTCAGCTTGTCCCCGGACAGCGAGTGCCGGATCGAAGCGCGTTTTCCTTTTGGACGGTCATGATCCGGAGGCGAGGGATCGTCCCGTGGTGCAGAAATGGCGACGACGGGGATGGGGTCGTCGCGGTTCACCAGCGGGTCGGAGTGGAAGTTCATGTCCATGGTTCGGGGACGGCCACGGGGAGCAAGCGCAGGAACGCGCGGCGACAAAGAAGGCAGCAGCGGCGGCAAGGCGGCGTGCGAGCACCCTGATCCGGTTTGTTGCGGCGGGAGTGCGACGTGAAGTGCTGTCGCAGTCGCACCGGTGGCCGTAGGTGTAGGTAGAGACGGCGGGCCGGCGGCATGTGACGACAGCGGGCAGGGCTGCGACTCAAGCTGGCAGGGGCGCGCTCCCTCGCAACACAGGCGGCTCTGCGCAGACCACACAAGCGGACGCGGACGCCTGTCAGCTAGCGGGTGCAGTGTCACGTCGCGAGCCAACGCGCTCGCTCGGGACCCAGCGCAGAGCGCAGGTACGTGGCCGCCGTGTGGGCGAGCGCGGCGCCGATGCTGCGGAGCGTCATGGTCGCACATGGGGAAGTGGAGCAATCATCACTTGGCTGTGTTTGGCACGCTTCACGCAACGCGCCTCAGCTTGCCGCGCAGTGCCAGCCACGCCGTCGGCTGGGGCCGGTCTGCAGGTGTCGTGCGTGGGCGGTCTCGCGGCGAGGCAGGGTGGCAGGCCCTGAGCCACACTGTCTGTTTTCTCGTTGGAGCCTGAGCCCTACAGCGCTGCCCTGCGAACGGCGTCGGCCAAGCTTGGCGACGGGCAAGGGTGCGGGTCAGTAAAGCCCCAAACAGACGTGCAGGCCCAAAGTCCAGCCCAGATTTACCCACCACCATCTTGGGCACCGCGCGAAGAGCCCCCCCCCCTGCTCTGCACAGCTCGTTGCTCCGCCCACAGCCGCCCGAGAACTGCCTTCCGCCCGCGCGCAATCCTCGATTCCTAGCCTTCCGCGCTGCCGCCGCGCCCGCACCGCCTCTCTGCGCTGCCCGCTCCGAGCATGGAAGAGCCGACGACGCGCTCATAGCGATCACTCCACGCCTCGGAGCTTGGAGAAGGCCCGGCCCACACATCTATACAACACACAACCGCGGATCCACGGCGGCGTGTTGGCATTGGGTCCGCACACCGTCCTTGAGCCGCCGCAGACGCAAAGCCGGCCTGCTGCCCCTTTACCATGGCAACCCGCAGCTCCCAGGCCGGACTCGCTCGAGACGACTCGATGCCTGCGCCCGGCCACGCCGCCGACGACTCGCACAGCGCTGGAGGTAAGGCACCACCCGCTTCCGGGTACCTGCAGGGCGCCTGTTCGGCTTCGGCAGACGCTGACACAACAAACGCGGCAGCCGGCCCAAACGTCGCCAGCAGTTTGCAGCCCGCTCCGGGCGAGAACAACTACCCGCCGCAGGACATGTCGACAGCGAAGGCGAGCGCGGATCCCACCCCGAGCTTTGCTGGGCGCCAGCGCTCGGTGAGAGAACATAAAGCGCCTCTAGGGCCTCGCGCCATGGATACGGGGAGGAGGCACGTATCATGAATACCCGGCATGCTCACCTGTGGGCTCGAGCTTACAATTCAGCAGGATCGTCAGCGGTTCCACTTCTGTGAACAATGCCTCCCGACTGCCGACGTCCACCAGCGAACCCTTTATCGCTCCTGCCACCGGGTCCAACCCGCGCTTTAGCTTCGGGAAGCTGCCAAGCCGGGGCACCGACTCCTTCTCCTACGACTTTCTACCCAACGTCAATTTCGACGACTTCCACGAGAGCCTCACCGGCCCCGAGCTGAGCGACTTCCCCGTCCCTGGAGGCGGCCGCTCCATATTCACGAACGAGGAGGGTGACAACGACAACATGGCCGCCGCCCCGCCCGAGCGCAAGCCACCCAGTCGGGCTCCCAGCACCCAGGCCTACTCCCGCCGCCCGAGCCTGTCCCAGCGCCGCCAGCCCAGCCAGAGTGACCTCACCGATGCAAGTGCAGGCCAGTCTGGTGCACAGCTTCCCGTCCGCACGCGCCGGCAGAGTCAGTTTCCGGGCCCCGCTCCAGTCTCAGATAACTCAACCATCTCATCTGGCAACACTACAGTGCGCGGTCCCCGCAAGTCGGTCGGACCTGGTCTCCTTTCTGCGAGCGGTATGGAAAACCAGAATCAGTTCACACAGCGTAGGGAGGTGTCGCAAGGAAATTTGGGACACAGTCGTTCGTTAAGCAAGAATAACCGAACGGGCAATCCGGGACCGGGCTACAATTCTGACGTACCACGGCTCTCCACAGCAACGCGAAGCAGCAAAACGAAGTCACTTCTGCAGCCATCGAGCCAAAGTTATGCGTCCCTGTCACCGGATCTAGGTCGTGCCGCGGGCAACGGGCGCTCCCCGACGAAGGGCGGCCCTGGCCCAAAGATTGGCACTCCCTCCACTGCCAACAAGAGACAATCCCTCCACCACACCAGCGGCCTCGGTGCACGAACGATCAGCCCGACTGATGCCCGACGGCTGAAACGCATGTCAATGGGACCGAACGTCGCCGCCTCACCGCGGAACCCGCCGACGCCTCAACCTGACACACAGCAGGAACCTCTGCCGACCTCATACAGTCCTGCACTCGCTCTAAGAAAGAGTGTTACCCCTTCGTCCTCTGCTCGTGCCACGCCCGACAACAGTGCGGCAAAGTCAATCCCAGCACCGGCACTGTCTAACAGCTCAAGCTTCAGCTCCCTCCGCGGCAACAGCCAGATTCCCACTCGTTCAAACCAAGCCCTCTCCACGTCGCGCCTCCCAACCCCCAAGCCGCGAAACGTGCACAGCTCAGCTGGACCTGAGACTACCGAAGAGGTCCCTCCTGTGCCCGCCATACCGAAAGCGTTTGGAACTCCACGCACAGAGATTGATCAGCCCCTTTATCCCACCCCGGCAACGCCAGCAGCTGACGAGGGCAATTGGAGCGCATCCGTGGTGGAGAGCACCGATAGCGATAACAACAAGGGGAAGAAGAAGGAAGCCGAGGCGAACAAACCAGTCGAGGCGCCGGGTAATGGTGACCAGAAGGCTCAAGGCACTGGCAGACCAAGGAGAGGACTCACCATCGGAGCAGATGCCGACGCAGACAAAGGTGGACACCAGCAAAATAGCGGCCGTACTAACAAGGGCTTGGCGCCGCTCAGGCTGCCGCCTCTGAACCTGTTGCCTCTCAGCAATCCAACCGCTGCGAAAATCGCCTCGTATCCGCAACCGTCGGCCGAAGTCGATGAGCGTGAGCCAACGACACCTCCACCCAAGAGGAATTACACAAAGACGCCGAGCACGCCATTGACAGCGTCAAAGGCCACCTTCCCTTTCCACGACGAAGAGACGGACCAGCTACCACCGATGCGAAGCAACACATCGCACTACCACCTCAGGGCGCTTGAAACTCCCTCGTTTCCTCCTCTTCCTACGGAACCGCTGCCTAATGAACCGCTACCAAACTCGGAGGACAAGAACAGCGACCGGACCAGTAATACCACTCCCTACTCTACTAGCTCTTTACCCAAGAACGAAGACGATCTTGGTGCTCTGAGCTCCAAGACACAGAACGAGTATGAGTTTGGAAGCATGGAGAAGGAGCCGCAAGGCTCTAGGTTGAACGGACCTAGGGCTCAGGCAACTCATAACACCGCGAAGAATGATGCATCGTCCGTTACTTCGACTGAACCAGAGACTCCATCTTCTGGATCTTCCATCAGGCGGAAGCTGAGCCTGAGTTGGAAGAGAAGCTCATCTAAGGGCCAGCACAGGAACCAGGCTTCCCAAGGGAATATTGGCTTTCAACCCACCAATGATCAGCCCCCTCAGCCCCCGAAGCATCACGATATGCCGCCTCCGAAGGTCCCTGCCTCAGCCACTTGGAGTGGTCATACCAACGCCACGTCGACCCCCAGTCCATCTACCAAGACAGCACCCACGCCACGCACAGCGCGGAGGAAACCTTCTGGTTCCTTGTTTTCCAGTGATTCTGAGGCGCAGAACTCGACGAACGGCGAGCGCAAGGTATCGCTTTCTCACAAGGCCCAACCACCTCCGTACACGGGCCCTACAACTAGGTCGGCCTCAAGTTCTATGATGCACAAGATGCTTGGAACCAAAAACTCCATCAGTGCTCTCAAAGCGCGCTCTTTGGACACTAATTTGGACAAGGAAGACCTTGCAGCGGATGAAGAGATGCGGAGGCTGAGCGCAAGACGGAAGGATTTCGAACAGGCTGCCAGAGACGTTGACGACCTGCGCAAGAGAGCTAAGCCACAGGAGAGGGTGTCGCCAGCACATGCGCTTCAAATGGTACCCCTTAACATCTTCGAACGCGGAGAGATCATCGACTACAAAGATGTCTACTTCTGCGGTACGAAGAGCGCCAAGAAGCGGGTTGGTGATTTACATGCATCAACGGCAAACTTTGGATATGATGACGACCGTGGAGATTATCAAATTGTCCTTGGAGATCACTTGTCTTATCGCTACGAGGTCGTGGATGTGCTTGGAAAGGGCTCTTTTGGTCAAGTCGTGCGTTGCATTGACCACAAGAGTGGTAAACTGGTGGCCATCAAGATCATCAGGAACAAGAAAAGGTTCCACCAGCAGGCCTTGGTTGAGGTCAACATCTTGCAAAAGCTGCGCGAATGGGTGAGTATCACTGTGATTGTGCCACTATCATACGGCTAACTTTAGCAGGACCCTGAAAACAAACACAGCATGATCAATTTCACGCAGCATTTCTACTTCCGAGGTCACCTGTGTATCTCAACGGAGCTCCTCGGCATGAACCTTTACGAATTCATCAAGGCCCATGAGTTCAAGGGCTTCTCCCTCAGGTTGATCCGTCGCTTCGCAAGGCAGATCTTGAGCTCGCTTGTGCTTCTCAAGGGCAAGCGTGTCATTCACTGCGACTTGAAGCCCGAGAACATTCTCCTTGCTCATCCGCTGCATTCGGAAATCAAGGTGATCGACTTCGGCTCCAGCTGTTTCGAGCACGAGAAGGTCTATACCTACATTCAATCTCGTTTCTATCGGTCGCCTGAGGTCATTCTGGGCATGAATTACGGTCTGCCCATCGACATGTGGAGTTTCGGGTGTATCCTTGCGGAGTTGCTCACCGGATCTCCCATCTTCCCTGGAGAGAACGAGCAAGAACAGCTCGCTTGCATCATGGAGATTTTCGGACCGCCAGAGAAGCACCTCATCGAGAAGAGCAGCCGCAAGAAGCTCTTTTTCGACTCCCTTGGCAAGCCTCGTGTCACGGTTTCGTCCAAGGGTCGCAGACGTCGCCCGAGCTCCAAGACGCTCGAGCAGTCCTTGAAGTGCAGCGACGACGCGTTCCTAGACTTCATCGCACGTTGCCTTCGATGGGATCCTGACCGCCGGCTCAAGCCAGAGGATGCCATGAACCACGAATTCATCACTGGAATCAGACGGCCCCGTGGAGGACCGCGTCCTGCCAATGCCGCGGCCCAGGCGGCGGCATCCCCTATCAAGCGCTACAACACAGTTGCGCATCAGACACCTCAGCGAACGAGGCCGTTGCCAGAGCCGCCGGCCACCAGCTTCAAGAACGGCGCAGCCCAGTCATCTGGCACTGCCAGGGTTCCCGGTACCGGCTCGCCGGCAAAGACTGGACCTGCTCCTCGTCGCCATTCGACAGTGAATGGAATGGCCAGCGGTCTCGGCATGAAGCGGGGATCTAACGGGCAGAACCAGATGGGCGGTTCTACCAACAATAACAACAACGCCCCCGCACCGCAAGGACAGAACAGTACCTTGCCGCGCGTGGCCCAGAGAAGTGTGAGCGGAAAGCCGGACCTAGCATCGGCAGCCGCGGTGGCGAGCCTGGTGAGTGGGGTTGACAGCCGACTGTGTTGAAAATGCTAACCTTGACGCAGCGGTCGCGCTAAATACAGTCCATGCCAGAATTGACAGTAAATCCACATCGTGCGCACCATCATCGCCGCTGTCGAAGTCCGGCTCATATACGATTTGCAAGGGGAGAAATGCGCTTCTCCGAGCCCAAGCGCCAAGGGTTGTGCATGCGCTTGGATTCGGTCATGGACAAATGGATGCCATGGATGATCATGGGGGTCCTTCACGATTGGGGAATGCTTGTTTCTGCGTCCGGTTTGTCGGATGCTTTGGACCCCCTTTACATTAAATTATGAGCGTGTGATGTTTTTGATTTTCTCAATGGCGAGTACCCTTAACGTTTCTGCACTTTCTTTTCTCTTCACACAGACAGCAGGAAGATGACGGGATGATTGCGGGAAGGGTAAGAAAATTAACAGGGACGAGAATGAAGGAAGAACAAATGAGCGTCATTCAAAATCATACCCTTGACTGGCACTGATTACTCTTTCTTCCTTTTCCTCTCGTTTCCTTGATGGAATATACATTTCGTGCCTGCTGCCGCTTTTGCTGCTACAGCTCGGGAGAGAGAGAGGGATTCATGATTCGGTATCGGGCGGGATAAGTTCAACCGCACGATTTTTTCCAGCATGCATGGAGGGCGAATGGCGTGCTGCCTTTTTTTTCCCCCTCGCCTTTTCTTTCCTTTCCCTCAGCATCAAACACCTCATGACATTACCTTTTAATACCCGGAGTTCGTTCTTGTACTTCTTCCTCCATCTTTGGATTTTTGTTATCTGGAAGGGTGGGAACCTCTGTTTGTCTCAGTTTATTACCCTTTTTTGGGCGGGCAGGCGGGCAGGTGGGCAGGCGGGCAGGCAGTCTCTCTCAGGCGCCTACTACCTATTATTACTACTACTACTTCCTTCCCTTCTTGTCTCACCTGTTCAGCCGCGGGGAAGGCAGCCTCGTGCGCCCTCGCCCCAGTTTTTCCAATCCACACACCATTTGTAAAGTATCAAGCGAGAGAGAGAGAGGGAGAGAGCGAGAGAGCGAGAGAGGGAGCGAGAGAGCGAGAGAGGGAGAGAAAGAGAGGAGAAGGAGATACGGGTGGGCGGAGAGATGAAAGAGAGGATCGGAAAAGCGGACAAAAATCAAAAATTTGTGAGAGCGACTTTTATCCTTCTTCTACTTCACTGTGTGCGTCACTGGTCTTCCACGTGGTTTTTTTTTTCTGTCTTGTAACATCTTGGTATGTGTTGGATTCATCCTTCTTGTACTCTCCGCATGTCGTGTCAGTGGTTGGGGAGTACGCTCTACTCTGCTCTACTCAGCTGTACGTACTGGGTTCTGGCGACAGGATATATTCCCGCATCCGCTGAGTTTGCATGTCTATCTGTACGGTGAGGTCACTTGTATTACTCTAGGGAAAGTAAAAAGGTAGAGAGTAAGGAACGTTTCTACATACTCTTTACGTCTCAACTTGGGTTGAGCATTACCCTCAAATACATTTACACCATCGAATAGACCACCATATTGCAAGGAGAAGCCAATACAGACTCGAGTCTAGTCAACATTTTCTTCTCGCCCTCGTTCTTACAGTAAGGGCCGGTTCTACCAAAAGCTAAGCGAGGCCCTCCACATCTATCTCATAGAGAAGGGAAGAGAGAAAAAAGGGAACAAAACGCCTAAGTAGAGTCTTTGCCGCCCGTATATGCGAGGTAGTGGGGGAATAGTCATCAAAAGGAAAAGGAAAAAGAGAAACCGCGAAAACCCACGCTATCCGCCCAGAGCCCCGTGCAGGAAGTCGAACACAAGAAGGAAAAGAAGCCCGCCAGATCTATAGGCAGGTATGAGAGAACAAGAAAAAAAAAACAGAGGTGAAGCCGAGCTCTACCAATGGCAGATCCCGCCCTCACTATCGTCCACGCTCCACACGCCCGCCAATCCGACAATCTCCATCTCCCCACTTGGGTGCTCGCCCATCTTCGTTAGCCGTGCGCCTTTTCCGCTGCTACCAGCGTCTGCGGGCCCGTTGTTGAGTAGCCTGCGCGCCCAAGCGTCGATGGCCGGCTCGCCCGTCTCATCCCTCGCCTGCTTCAGGAACGGAATGAGGGCCGTGCCGCCCGTGCCTCTGAGGTCCTTCTTCTTGCCGCTACCCTCCATGCCTACCGACCCGACGGTGGCCTGCTGGCGGCGATTCGCCGAAGCCAAGTTGACGCGCTGGGGATGCGCCGAAGAGGGGCTGAGCGAGCGCGACTGCGAGCGCGACTCCCGGCTCTTGACGATGATGTACCGGCTCACCATCTGGATGTGCTTGTCGCGGAAGGCGCGCAGCATGGCGAGGCATGCATCGAAGGCAGTGCAGAGCGCGCGGTCGTTGCGGCGCTGCTCCACGTAAGGCCGGATGTTAGCGACGCCGCTGACGGCCTCGAGGAAGCGCTTGTGCGGGCCGGGCATGTAGGTGCGCATTTCCTGGATGAAGTTGTGCGACGGGGGTGGTGGACCAGAAGCAGAGGGCTCCTGGGGCTTGGAGCCGGTGGGCCGGTGCTCGATGCCGAGAGCGATGTCGAAGAACTGGATGATGGAGGACTGGGCGTTGCTGCCGCCAGAGTACTGAACGTAGTGCTGAGACGCTGACGTACCGTCGTCAAAGACGACGCCGTTGGGCAAGCCGGCATCGGCCATGTTCTTGGAGCCGGCAAGGAAGGGTCGAATGCGGTGGTAGAAGACGTGCGGGTCGCAGTTTTCGTACATACGCTGTAGCAGCGTACCGAGCTCATCCAGCCGCTCCGCAAACGAGCGCAGGCACTCAGTCACGGTGTGGCTGTCGCCGTACCGCACGGCCTCCATGGCGGTTAGCATGAGGGGAATAGTCGGCGCAGCGCGCCCCTCAATGGCGACGGAGACCAGGTAGAACCATGATTCGTCGAGGGAGCCGGTAGCTGTGTTGAGCGTGAAGATGTTCTCCAGGCTGTCAATTGGAGCCGAGGGATCCAGTGGGCGCCAGTTCCACAGCACCAATCCAGCGTAGGTCGCCACAGGCGGCAGTTCCAGGTGGTGGCAGGTTGACAGGAAGGGGGCAGAGATGGAGGGGGGCACTCTCTGTACCACGCAGCATCAGCATGAATGTCTATGGGCCAAGAAGGCTCCCAACAATTCGGCGTGCACCGGAGCTACTCACGTCGACGGGAGAATCCCCACCCCAGATGTAGGCGTGGGCAATGAAGGCTAGGATGGAGTAGGCCCGACGCCACTCGGGCTCAGTACGCAGGTAGTCGGTCGAGAGGACGGGCAGGGCGTCAACAAGGCCGCGCAGACGGCGAGTCAGGATCAGCGCCTGTAAAGCGGAGACGGTGGTCTCCCACGGGCGGTAGTAGGGGTCGTCCAGGAACTGCAGCGGCAGCTCGGCCGGAAGGAAGCCGTGCTCCGGCGACACGTCGTAGTCGCCGGGACGCGGGATTTGCGGTAGCATCTTTTAGCTGGAGCGTTAGGCCGGGGGCGGCTGTGGGCTTGCTGCGGGGCAACGAGGGGCTTTGAGCGTGGAGAAGGGCTGGCCTGGGCGTCGACTCGTCGTACTGTGCTGGCTTTGAGCGTGGAGAGGAATCGGCCAGCAGGGAATTTTCTGTTGGCCGGGCTCTGCGGCTCTGCGCTAGCCGGAAGGCTACGGGCTTGGAGGCCAATGACCGCAGGTGAGCTGATGTCGCGTGCGCAGAGCGGGTGCCGTAATCGCCAGGCGGGTGATTAGGTGATCGTGGCGAACAGGTAGGCGGGCAGTTAGTAGGCGGGCGAGGCGGCGGGGTCTCGGCGGATATATGTACTGGGCGAAGGGAAGGGCTGGCTCAAAGGGGCGCGATTGCACGCTTGTGTAGCGGGCAGGCGGGAGCTCTTTAATAACAGCAGGCGCGATATATGGAGTTAGGAAATAGCGGGAGCCGGTGGGCGTCGTTGGGGTAGTGGGGCAAAAAAGTCGTCGTCAAAGAAATAGACAGCCCCTCCATGCGTGATGCGCCAACCTACCACTCCCGGAGCTTCCCGGCCGCCGTGAGATCGCGGGTGCTGGGGGAATCGCTGCAGGAACTCGTGACGGAGGAGCCGGGTGAGAGAGGGCGACGCAAAGCAGATTACTCATGGCGCAGGCGAAGGCCGGACGAAGGAAGGAGGGAAAAAATCATGGCCAAGCAAATTCTAGGCCCCTCGCCGAGATCGGTAGCGGACAGCACAGTAGCAACAACCACAAATCGCGTTTGCTCATCCCTACCTGCCTGTCTGGCGTGATATTGTGTCACGCCGGCTGTCCGGCTAAACTGAATCAATGCGTGTTGCGTTCGTCTCGTGGTGTTGCATCTGCCCCGCGGCAAGGCCCTGTTACGTCAACTTGCCAATTCCTAGCACACTCGGCGCGTTCGACCTGTCTCGCGAACCGCTCGGGTTGGGAAAGCCGAGAGCCGAGCTCCTACTCTTGCCCGTCGCCTTCGACCTGGAAACTGGAAAGCGGCGCGCGTCCTTGGCTCCAGGCCGCATCGGGCAACCACACGTGCCACATCAAGAGTGTTGACCCCGAAACGCGATGTGGCTCTGAAGGAACGTTGTAGACTCGCTGCGACGGTCGAAAGGGAGAGACCCTGCGCTCTAGCCGCCGTTACAGCTGGAAAAAAGAATGCCGTGCTCGGTACCGGGCTTGCAGCTCACTGTGTTGCAGTCGGGACGGTGGGCGACGCAGCGAATGGCGCCGAGGATGGCGGATGGCAGCTTGTGCCGCTTCCTACGCGCTCTGGCTGCAGGGCGGAAAAAGATACGATGGTAGGTCGCAGCGGGTATCGAAGGCCTCGAAAATTCGAGAAAACAGTGAGGCCGAGTCGTTGCTTTATAGTTGCTGCTCCGCAAAGGTGGGAGACGCGCAAGGATGGGGGCAAGAATGGGGGACGCACGATATGCTTGGTCCGCTGCGCAGCGCAGATGCAAGTCAACTGTTGCTATTTTTTGCGTCGCCACCCTCGCCCTGCAGTAGCGCCAGGTACCGCACCGCTGGGGCAGGCGCACCTCCACACCCGTGTCTCGTCCCAGCCTCGCAACGACAATACTCGATTCCTTCACTCAGCATAGTCGACGTCGATCACGTCTCAGAAGCGGATGAATGCTTTCTCCAACTCTCTCCGCTCACGTGCGTGGATCCGGAAACCCTACCCTTGCTCATACTTCCTCTCATCTAATCTCGCCTCATGATTTACCGCGCTATTCCCGATGAGCACACTACAGTATTCTTGGTCTTTGCAATCTTGTTGCTTCACGTGCAAGCGATTTACCTTAACTCCACACCGACAACGGACGGGGGAAAAAGGGGGAATGCAAGCAGGGTAGCAGAATGAGTTGGCACTGCGATGACGCTTTGGGAATAAAAGCGGGACTATGAGATGGTGAGCAGCGGGAGGGCTCAAAGCAGGACTGCAACATGGGCAGGCTTGGTCTCCGCAATCACTTCTGTGGAAGCATGAAATCTCCCTTTTGTCTCGGAAAGACCTCGTAGTATTGCTTATTTCGTATTGTTCTTGTTCTCCAAGAGGGCCTGGCATTTTGCCGGCAGTACAAACCATCCGAGGAAACAGGAGAAACGCAAGATGCAACACAAATGCTCATCCGTCTATGCAGGCGCCACTCCAGTCACACAAAGAAATGGAGAGAGGGAGAGAGGGAGGGAGAGAGGAAAGACCAGAGACAGCTAATGATCCATGGAATATCAATTGCTGTCGAGACACCCTACTCTCGCCAATGCCGTGAACGGAGATGGAATACTGGAAAAGAGAAACCCGGTCGACGATAAACAGATGGAAGGAAATATATATAGTCCCAAACCGAAAGCTCTTGCTTTATGTCTGACCCAACTTCCTACGCAAGTTTCTCGTCTTCTTCATGAGCTTCTTGTACTTGTGCTTCTTCATCTTCAGTTTGCGCTGGCGCTTGACGCTAATGGCGTGCATGGTGCCATTCTGATTCCGTGCGCGGTCCCTGATGAACTTACGCCACTCCTGCTCGCGGATCTCCATGCGCTCGAGGAAAGGCTGGCGGATCGTGATGCCCTCGTCGTATGCCGGGTCCTCGATGGCACCCTTGGAACGCGTGGGCATCCTGATGACCGGCGATGTGGTGGCCGAGAAGGTTTTCCGCCCGGTAGTATCCGTCGTCTCCGTAACAGTCAAGGTCGCCTTCCAGATCTTCTTTTGCGGCTTTTGCGGCTGCGTCTGCTGGGCTTCGGTGCCACGGGTCTCCGCAGTCTCGGCTTCCGATGCGGCGTTCTGCTGTGCGTGGTCGAACGGGCTTGGTGGCGGAGGCGCGTTGAACGGGCGCATCTGAGAGAGAAGGTCGTTCAGCGAGACCTGGCGTGCCGGAGCCGGACCGTCGAGGTGGACCGCGCCATCGTTGGCGGCCGACTGCCGCATGATCTCCTCCCTCAGCTCCGTCTCCTCCGACGACCGAGCGCCACCCTCCAAGCTCTTTACAGCATTCCCCAGAGTGTAGATAACATTCCCGTATTTCGAGGCGTTGCTCTGCTTGCGGGGCTCGAAAATGGCGCCGAAAGAGGATTCTGACGAGGTGACGGGTATCGAGTTGGTGATAGAGATGGGGCGGTGGACGGAGAAGAAGGAGGAAATGGCGACATCTGCGGTGCGGTTAGCTGCTGACGCGTGCTATCAGGGCCGCGGATGCCGTATACGCACCACTCTCTTGCAGGTAGCTTGTCGGCGGAACGGAGGGCACGTTCATGTGCTGCTGAGCAAGCTTTTTGCTCTTGCCGCGTGGCGTGGTCTTCTTCTCAGCCGACTTTGACGAGCTTGCGGAGCTGGATTGTGAGGTGCCGGGACCGCGCGAGTTGTCGGGAGGACATGAGGTGCTGGAGTTGCGGCGCTGCTGAGTGTGGCGCGCGAGGAGATGGTGTGCAGTTTGGAGAGCCCCCAGCGGGCGGGAGCTGATGGCGGATGAGGGGGGCAGGGCGCAAGTGGTGCGGGCCACACGCGCCAGCGACGGTGAGAACATGGTTGCACTGTTGGAAGTCGTCCAAGTCGACAGCCAACAAGCACTGGTGGGATGGTCCTGCGGCGGCGTGATCAAAGGCGCATGGCCTTGAGCCTGTTCGACCGGCTTCGGGCCAGGCCGCACGGAGATCGGAGAAACCACCACCGCTCCCTAAGTCCCGCCCGTCATTGCGCCCAGCCAAGACCGATGGGCTCCAGCTGTCGCCCGCACGCTAGTAAGTCACCCAGCCGCGCTGGCGTCAGCTCAGGCTGTAGAGCAACTGCAGGCAGCTCCATCGCCAACGGCCCGATTGTCTGCCCAGCTGTTTCATGCGTTAGAGTGTTTCATTTATGAATATGCTATTGTCTACGCTCGCATCCGACCGTCGTCCGCTCGTAGCTATCAGGGGCTGTGTGGAAGAAAATCGCAGCTATGCAACTGTTGCGCCCGCTTGTCACGCTGGAAGAGATGGCTCCCCAAAAAAAACACCAAACCAAGGTATCCTTAAATGCAGCCAATCCAGAAACAGAAGAGAGAAGAAAAAAGTACTAAGGTGAGAAGACCGGGCCCGGAGAACGGAAAAGGAAGAACACAAGATTATCTCGGGAAGCAAATGTCAACTTTTTCATAGTATTAGTGCGTTGAGGTTGCGCTGGACGATCATGTCCTGCACCGACGCCATCGTCTTCTTGAGGAGATCAGTATCCGTCGCTGTCGTATAGTGGACATAGACCTCCTTCTTCGGTGCCCGGACGAGGTTGCGAAACTTGTTCGCGAAGAACTCTTGGCCCGCCTCGATGTCGTTCGGCTTGCCGTAGTAGTCGGGGAAGTGCTTGTTGATAGGGCTGTTGCCCGCGATGATCTTCTCACGGAACAAGTCGACCTTGTTGAGGAAGAGGATAAGCGCCGACTTCTCGAAGTACTTCGAATTAGAGATGGACTCGAACAGCATAAGAGCTTCGTGCATTTGGTTCTGTTCGTCGTATGATCAGCATGAGTGTGCGGAGCGAGGCGGGAAAAGGGCCAGCATACGCCATTCCTGTCCTCCACCAGCACGTGGTCGTATCCGCTAATGGCGACCAGAAATAGAACGACCTGCACGTTGTCGAAAACGTGAATCCACTTCTTACGCTCCGAACGCTGTCCGCCGACATCGAACATGCGATACGTCAGGTTACCCAGATCGAATATAGTTTCGGAAATACCGGTCGTCCGTAATCTTGTGCGCAGAATGTCCTGGTCAGTTGGCAGGTATTCCTTAGCGAAGAGGCGATCGATGTCTTGGAAGTAGCTGTGCGGGTCTTGTCAGCGTCGAGCGCCCAAAGGCGGCGGAGGGCACGGCATACTAGCTCAGATTGTCGTGAAGAGCGTATTCGTTGCCCTTGAGAATGGCCATCTGCACGTTCTTGTCCTCCCAGAGCTCCGTGAAACCATCCAGGTACTCGCGCGGCATCGAGTCCTCGGGGCCAATCTCGGGCTCGTGGTTGATAAGTTCGGCAAAGTTCTGGGTGACGAGGTCAGCATTCGCTAAGCGCGCAGCGCGAAACCATTGGGTGCGTACAGAGCATTCCGGGTTGTCGAAGGGCAACGCCTGCTCGGCCATGGCGCTGAAGATGATCTCGAAGGCATTAATCAGGTTGTTGAAGATCACGACACGCCATTGCTTCCGCTCGGACTTGGAGAAGCCGCCGGCATGGATGACGCGCATCTGCTTCAAGACAGTCGATTTGCCGCTCTCTCCGGCTCCTGTAGGCGCAATCAGCACGGCAACACCGCGCGAACCGGCGGGACGGCGCACCTAGCAGCAACAGCTTCACCTCCCTTTCCTGACGCTTCTTGTCCAGGCGCAGCTGGCGCTCGATCTCCTCATTCTTACGGTAGGTCGGGTCTTCGGATTTCTTCCCAAAACACATTATTCCGGGGGCCATGAACAGCGAGCAGCTGCGGGAACGGGTTGGTTGCGCAATGGTGGGCGACGAAGGGGGGTTGATCGCGAGAGGTTGGGAGGCGGCCAGCGTTGCGAGTCGTGAAGGTGCAAATAAGTTGTCAGGCGCAATTGGCGAAGATGACAAAGAGGTCGTCGCGGGCGCCGTAGAGCGCTGGGCAGCAAGCGGGCTAGCCTGGAGAGACGAGCTGGAGCAAGAGACCCCTAACATAGGCATTGCGCTTCGGAGGACATGAGTAAGGCACTTTAACGAGCGCGAGTATCCCTGCGCAGGCTTGGCGCCCTGCTGATCAACTCAGAGGCAGCCGTGGCAGCGCGTCTGGTCGCGGGGTTTCCGGCCCAGCCATCGCACACGCGCTCCCGCTGGTACGCCAGATCGCGCCTGCGCCTTCCGCGAGAGGCTGTGTGCCAGCGCCCGCTGCTCCCCGCCGCCGCGCTCACCACCCTCGCTCGCTGTCGCTAGACGGCCAGCCCGCAGCCACTCTGCACCGCCCAACACCTCGCCGACGTGGGCGAATAGCGCTAGGGTCGGCGCTGTTTCAGAATCTGGACGGATTGGTGAGCACGTCCGCGTCCCTGCCCGCGCAGTAGCCGGCGAATGCCATGTCCTATCCGCGCTCAGGGCGATCTGCCTTTGATGAGATCGTGCTGCTGAAACGACATGCCGGTGCCTGTAGGCCCGGCTGCCGAGTTCCCCTGGGATGCTGCAGAATCGCGACCCCCAGGCACCACCATGTCGTCGCTGTTGAGACATGGGCACGCCATGCCGCAAGGCAATGAAGAATAATGATGGCTAGCGCGGGTGCCATCGCTCGCTTCCAATCTAACAAGAACACCGACTTGTCAGAGCGCGCATGGGCTGCGGGCTGCGCCTGGCGATGCGACTGCCTCCATCCTCTGGCGTCCGCCTCGTGGCCCACCCTGCGGCTCATTATCCGAGATGTCGGTCGCCCTGAACCAAGGCCACCCCTGCCACACGACGCCGTTGCGGACGGGAGGGCCGCCGGGGCAGTTGCGTCCGCGTGTCGCTCGCAATCATCAGTGCGCGCGGCCTGCACTGGATCCCCAACCGCACTCACACATCACCATCAGCGAAGCTGCGGTGCATCTCACTGGCGTCTGTCTTGCTGCGCCGCCGTGCGTGCGCCTGGATGGTCCCACTCCTGTTTTGGGAACGGCCCCTTGTTCGGGACTTCTCTCCACCGTGCTGGGTCTCGCATCCTGGGGCAGCGCCCTCTCATGGACTGGTAAGACAGACGTCGGATGATTGTGGCCCGCTGCTAGCCAGCGCACTATCTCGTGGCTGCGCGCCTTCCGTCTGCTTACCCCGTCCGTCCTGTTGGCTAAAGGTTGGGTATAGCGCCGGTCTATCCGCTCCGCGCTGTGGGACGGCTCAATATGCAGGCTTCAGGAGCTGAGCCCACTTGTCCACCACCGCCTCGCGGACGCCATGATTGGTGGTATTAAGACCTAAGAGCTGCAAGAGCACTCGTTCAGTCAATCATCTAGTCAGTGCCGTCCGTAGTAGGCTCCGGTCTTGGTGCACGGTGGGCATTCGGTTTGTCGTCCAATAGCCTCTTGCGTGCTCGGCAACCATTGGCAATAGTTCCGCAAGTCTTGATAAGGTCTGCTGCCAGTCACGGCGCGTCACACAAGTGTCCGCTCACCAGGCCTAATGCTATGATCTACCCGCGTTATCGCGATTGGTTTGGTACGTCTGACGCAAGACCCCACGTCGGCTGATTCGGACAAGGAGCCGGTGGACCCATATAGAACCCGAGTTCAAGCCAGTTCCAGTGCTATTTGGCCCACAGCCTTTACCAAATCATTTTGGTGCGATTCAGTATGTCGTTGTTCGGCCGATGTCAGCACCCTTTGCTACTCAGTTTGCTTTGTCAATTGGTCAGAACCGCTACGAGGATCATTCAAAACTCGAGCAATTAACCGACTTGCCTGAAGACGAGCTTTGGATACCAATGGATGCCTTAGCTCCGACTTGAATTCCGATGTTTTACGCACGCGTCAGACTTCACCTAGCACAGCACGATATACTCTGTGCCTATAGAGAGGGAGTCGAGTGACACTTATCGCATATGTGGTAGCCGAAATTTTTCATATTTGTTTATCAAGATGGTTGTGCTGGTAAAAGTACCGCGTAGCTGTTCATAGAGCTCGAAATATCCTAAGAAACACGCAACCGGGACTTTCACCCTAATGTCGGCAGAGTCAGTTGACATATACTACCAGTAAGCATCCTTTCGCATCACTTCATCAGAAGTCAAGAGCGGAGAGTGCGACATGGAACTTGATGTAGCACATATCTATATCAACCATTGAAGTGTCTTGGTGTTCGCAGAAAAGGCGAATGGTGACGGACATATGTCCGAGTCACCTGCATGAATGGAACAAGAAGTATATTGGGTGGTCGTCATTTTACTTGGTCCTTGGGTGAGGCGGAGGGAGTGATATCGAACAAATTACGACTGTGTGTGGTGCGGCTGCCAAAGACGGAAAGATCCTGAAGCGATGGGTGCCTGCTGCTTTCGACAACACCCAGCTCGCATCCTCACAACCCAACTTTGCGCTCCCAAATCAACCTCAATCTCGCAGCGCGCGCGCAGCTACTCCTTTCCCTTGACATCAACGTTTCTTTGCTCTTCTATTTCTCCGGATACTTCCCGTATCAAGGTAGCGTCATGTCGAACCGAAACGCCCGTCGCGCCTTGGTGGCAGAACGCCCGTCTGAGATCGCTGGTGAGGCGTCCAGCAACGCTCTTGTTGTCTACGATCAACCCGCCTTGGAGCTTCAGCTCACAGTGCCTGACCCGAATACCGATGTCGCAGTGGCCTACACGTCGATTGACGGAAACGTTGCCAGGACGATCGAAATGGTCGAGGAAGCCTTTCACCATGCCAAACTGTACACTGCCGATGAAGTGGAAGAGATGTTTGAGCTCCTTCGTGAGCAGTCCTCTGGCCTCTGCAGCCTAGCGTTGGCTGCCAAAGCGCAGTACGACAAATCCCTTCAGGATATGAAGGAGCGCGCTGGTCACTACGTGAAGAAGCAAGCTGAAATCATCCAAGGTCCGTCAATATTGCAGCTACGTAGACATGGGTAGCTAACGTTTTAATCCTGCACAGGACATGAACAGCACACCAATAACACGATTGCTGTCCAACACCAGTCAATCCTGACCCTCCAGCAGAACTTCTCTCGCCTCACTCTCCACAACGGTTGCATGCGCGGAGAGAACCGCAGCCTGACCAATGAGAACTATGCGCTTCGTGAGAGACAGGCACTGATCGAGGGCTTCAACGCGAACTTGCAGAACCAGATGTGGATCCTGCAAGAGCAACACAAGCGCAAGCTTGACGAGCTTGTCCAGAAGCACAAGGAAGAGAAGGAGTGCTGCGACGAGCGTCTTTTCAAGGCGTTCAGGACGATCAGTGAGATCAAGAAGTGTAACGAAAGCCTCAAGGAGGACGCAGAGAAAGCGGTGGATGCTGCCATGATGAACCTTGAGAAGAGATGCCAGGTAAGTCATCGCCGGTGGTTCTAAGCTATGCCCGCATGCACGTTCATCGTAGGATTACTGATTATGTGTAGGAGTATGAGGAGGCAAAGAAACTCCGCATCGAGATCAAGACTCTCAAGGACAAGATGAAGGCCATCGAGGAGGATGGTACGAAGCTTGTGGAGTCAAAGCTTCGGGAGATGCAAGCCGTGAGGAAGTTGAACGTAGCAGAGAAGAGCAACCAAGAGCTCAGGAAGACACTGCAGGCTAAGTATGATAAGCCAGATGAGCGGGAGATGGCGGCAATTGCTAAGCGTGACGATAGCTCCGGTAAGCCTAAGGATACCATGGTCAAGCTTGACCAGCTCTACGAGCAGCTAGCGGTATGGCTCTCTTCATCCATCGAAAAACACTTCCTGCTGATACATTTGCTACATGGAACAGGATCAAAAGAAGGCGAACAATGAGCTTCAATTCGAGCTCAGCGAAACCAAGGACTGTTCGGAATACTTCGCTCTCCAGGCCAAGGTGAGATACCGCAACGTTCACTGCCATTTTTTTCTGGTCTTTTCCCCGCTTACCTTGTTCTCGCCACAGGAGGCATGCAAGCGCGAGCTCCGAGCTCTCAGTGAGCTGGCTGAGCTGAGGCGTCTCTGTGCGCAGAAGGGTATTTGCCCCGAAATCAAGGACAAGTGACGGTGTTCTGTGGGAGAGCACTTAGTTGAGATCATCGGCTTGGAAAGTGATGGTCCGTGATGGATTGGATGAAGCTCAAAGCGATCGTCAGCGGGCCGTTTGAATGCTCATTTCGGCATGCAAGGCATGGAAATTAAGCTTGGGTTGACGTACTATATGTAGGCTCCGTCATGGTACAACATTTTCGGGCACTTTCTGGGAAGCTGGAAGGGAGCAAGGAATAACGGCGGATAAGTAGTCCAATGCACGAGTCTGGATGCGTCAATGTGGAACAGCCGGCATTCACCAAGGGCGGGTGCGGCATTCAAGGAGTGGCGGCGCGACTTCTGAAAGTTGGCTTGCATGGACACGCAACACAATTGCGTGATAGGCGCAAGGATGCGTCTGACTGCGGGTGGGCTAAGTGGCGTTCGGAGAGTGACGGGTATCGAAAGGCGGAGTTAACGGGATGGGGATGTTCAGATCTCCCAGTCTCGGGCCAAGGCCAGGGGCAGCAGGGCTGAAGGGCGTGCCGAGGTGTGGAGAAGCATGACGACGGCGGGCGACGGCGGGCGACGGCGGCAACAGCAACGGACACGCGACACTCCAGCACGCGAAGTGTGTTGACACGCGCGGTGCAGCAGGGCGGACACAGCCGGAAGAGGCATTTATTAATAAGCTTAACAAGAAGGTAGGGCGCCACCAAGGCTTGCGTGCCGTCAGCTGAGTCGCTGCGACGGTGGCTAGGCCGAACCCGGTCTCGACAGCAGCACCGGAACCGGATCAAATGGGCATGGCGTGCGGCATGCGGGGAGTCGTGGCTGGATCCTTCCTTCACCGCATGAGCCACCGCGCATATTTACGCAGCCGGCCCCCTCTGGTCGTGGGTTGCCGTGAACCATCGGCTCGAGATCGTCTCCTTCCGAAGCAAGAGGCAAGGCTGCGACTGCTCGCGCCTCAGAATCCCGCCGCCGCCCACGCGCATTGCAACCCACCGCTCGTATATCGATAGCCCCAACGCTCGGCCCTGCGCCAATCTGTCTCGTGGGGCTCGAGACAAGAGAGCGGACCATCAGCGCCCGTCTTGCACTGTTTACGCCTAGCCCTGCCGCCTAGAACCCGCTGATCGCCGCAGGCTAGGCCAGAAGGTACGGCCGAGCAAAGCCAAAGGGAATTCGCTGCGAAAAGCCATGGCGACCAGACGAGACGACGAGCCTCCTCCCACCGCCGAGCCCCCAGCTTCTTTCTTGCGCGTGCGCACCAAGCTCTGCGAGAACCTGACCCTGCCCGGCTGGGACCGAATGCTCATGGAGGAACAGCGCCCGCTGCTGCACCCGCCTGTCCAGCCGCACGGCGACTTTCCTGGCTGTATGCTACTGCCCCTCCGCCCTGTCACCTGGACACGTCCCTCCTTCCTCTTCTCTCCCCTCAAAAGCGTCCGAGAACATATCAATATCTCCGCAAATATCAGTCTCCACCCCGCAATCCACCTTTCCCCACCACATCAGAATCCCATCCGCCTTCGCATCTTTGTTTTCCGAGAGAACAGGAGAAAATGATTCGTCTTCTTGCACCATGTCGACGGGTTCGCGCCGCTGATTCTCGCGCCTTCTCTCTTGCTCTCGTGCAAATTTAGCCGCCGATTTCGCACACGCTCTTCGCAAGGAGAACGATGCCGGCCAGCAGCTCCCCCAGACCATCGCCCACCGTGGCTACAAGGCCAAGTTCCCCGAAAACACCATGGGTGCATTCGTGGGCGCGGTCGAGGTTGGGGCACACGCCATCGAGACGGATGTGCACCTGACGAAGGATGGCGTCGTCGTCTTGAACCATGTGAGTTTCCAATGGAAGAACCATCTGTGCCTTTTCACTTTGCTCTTTCATCCTTTCCTGGGGGCACTTGTAGCGCCATATCGCCAACCCGCGTTTGGCCCATCTCCCTTCCTTGAGCTCGAGGATGAGGTCTGGACGAAACGCTGACAGTGCTGTTCTTCTCGCGCGGCATGACAGGACCCGTCATTAGAACGCTGCTTCGGTGTCAAGGAGAAAGTCATCGACTGCGACTGGGAATACCTCTCGACACTGCGGACGCTGGCCGAACCGCACGAGCGCCTGCCCCGGCTCAGCGACTTGCTCGAGTACATCGCCAAACCGGGCAACGAGCACGTGTGGGTGTTGTTGGACATCAAGGCACGTAATCGTTCTTTCATCCCGGTCGAGGCTGGGTCAAAGACGAAACATCGACTGACAACTGAGATCCACCACCACAGAGAGACAACGACTTGGACGACGTCATGCGTCTCATCTCCGAGACCATCGCCTCGGTCCCGCCCGCGCCCTCGCGGCCATGGAACCAGCGTATAGTTTTGGGTATCTGGGCGGTATGTTCCCCCTCCCTCCCCTCCCCTCCCCTCCCCTCCCTCCCTTTCCTTCTGGTAGATACCACCGACAAAAAGCTGACGCAAAACGCACGTACGCACGTACGCACAAAAAGGCCAAATACCTCCCCTTCATCTCCACATACCTCCCCGACTTCCCCCTCACCTACATCTCCTTCTCCCTCCCCTGCGCCTGGTACTTCCTCACCCACGTCCCGCGCATCTCCTTCAACCTCTACGCCCCCATCCTCGCCGGCCCCCTCGGCGCCGCCTTCCGCCGCAGGGCCCAGGGGAGGCGCGGCAAAGGCGGCGACGGCAGCGACGACCCGCGGCCCGTCTTCGCGTGGACGGTGAACAAGGAGCGCATGATGCGGTGGAGCATCCAGAAGGGGCTGGACGGCGTGGTGACGGACGACCCGAAGAGGTTCTTGGACGAGTGCGAGAGGTGGAAGGGGAAGAAGGATGGGGATGGGAACGGGTCGGCCGTGACGGCGGCGCCGCCGCGTGGAAGGAAGAGGTTGGATGAGGTCGAGGGGTGGGTGTGGCGCGGGTGGGGCGTTGGCGAGGTGTTGGATCTGTTGAGGGTGCAGCTGTTTATTTTGGTGTTGACGCCGATTTTGCTGTGGTGGTTGAGGCCGTGGGGCGCGGTGAGGGAGGTGGGGAAGATGCAGAGGGGTGTGTAGGGGTGGAGGTGGGGGTGGAGATGGACGGGTGGATGGATGGTGGGGTGGGGTGAGCGTATTTTCTTTTTTTGTGTTGTTCAGACGCTGTAGAGGCAAAGAAAGTGGCGTTTGGATTTCGTGCTTTGAACTTTGGTGAGAGTTGTCGGGGGAAAGAGGAAGCAAATCTGAGGGACAAGCAGAGACGCTGACTGGACCAGGTATCAGGTGTGCCCAATCGTTCATTTCAAAGCGATTCCGGCCGCCTGGCTCGCTGCAGCAATTGTCCCCATGAGATGAAGTTCTACAATTCGACGAGATCACACACTCTGGCAAACCTCGCAGAGACAGGAAAGCAAAAGGCTGTAGATGCAGAGAAATCCATATAGGAGCGCCAGACTCGCACATGCTTGCTCAACGCCGACCTCACCGGCACCAACATCACTTACTCATCCCGACCAGGTGGTCAAGCCGACACTCGGCGGAACTTAGCCAGACCACTCCAGTGGTAGCAGCGCCGCCCTCGCCAACGCCTTCACCTTGTATTCCTGCGCCGGCGCTCGGCGAGAGATCAGTCAACAATATGATGTGCTATCGTTTGTGCCTGCCGAAGGGCACCACGGTGGCGTAGATACAAACGAAAGATAAGAAAGCTTCAAACGAACTTCATATCGACGAACTGCTCCATATCCTGAAACCCACGCCTCATTCAGTGTGCGATGCATAGTTCAGCTAGTCTGCCCAAGTGTTGAAATGGTGCGCTGCCGCCCTTCCCCCCGGCAAAAAAGAAAAAGGGCAAAAGGCAAAAGAGCAACCAGCTCGGTTCCTACTCAGCAGTAGCCCTTTTTTGCGAGCTCAGCCCCAAAATCGGCTGCAGAAACCATGGTAAGACACTAAGCCAGGATCAAACATGCGAATTGTCGCCAAGTAATCACCTTCCTAATGAGGGACGTCCAACGAATCACAGACCTGGGGGTCTATACACTTAAATGTCCTCGTGTAATTCCGTAACATGTCCATCCCACTAACCGCTCGATTTGATGTAAGGGGGTTTCATTTTGCAATATATATTAGAGAGGCTCCTCCAATGTTAGCTTGTCGGAAGCTGGGGGGGTCCGTGGTGACGGGCTGGGGACGCCGCGGCGGTTTCGGTGGGCGACACGACGCGGGTGGCTACAATCCTTCCATCTTGCATGGCCGAAGCTCAAATATGGACCTTGAATGTCTGTCAAATTTTTCTTTTCTGTTCAAGCTCATGATAATCGTCATTGGGGTAACCAAACAACACCAAAAGCCGTTTCAGAAAAGAGAGAAGAGAAATGAGAAGAGACGGACACTGAAGAAAGAAGACAGTTCCCATCATCAACCAACCCGGCGACCCATAGGCCCCGTAAGGAGAAGCGGGCAAGCAACAAAGCTCACTCGAACCATATTGCTCTCCAACCCCAAAAACGCATCAACAACAACAACCCCACCACTTCAGCCTCTCCACCTAGCTCACGCCCTCACCTCCTTCCACTCCACATCAACCCACTCACTCACGCGCGCACGCCACCCCTCCTCCCAGCCCTCCCAGCCCTCCTCACCCCCCTCGCCCTCACCACCATCTTCCTCGCCGCCCCCGCCGCACCACCAAACCCCAGCGCCTCATTCCACGCATCCGCCGTGCTCTGATCCCTCGTCCCCAGCGCCTCGATCTGCGCTTTCGCGTCCTCGCACGCGGCCTTGGCGTCGTCGGCGGCGTCGCACACGTTGGTGAGCTGGTCGCAGATGCGGTTGGTGATGATGTTGGGGTTGAGGGCCTCCTGCTGGCCCTTTGCGACGAGCGGGTCCGTGGCCTGGAACGTGAATTCGTCGGCGGGGCGGCCGTTGAGGCCGCCGGCGAATTTCATGGTCGGGGTGCAGGCGCCGAAGTCGAGGTTTTGGTTGTTGTTGTTGTTGGTGGTGGTGGATGAGGTGGTGGTGGTGTTGGATGTGGAGGAGGAGGAGGAGGAGGAGGAGGAGGATGTGTTGGCTGCTGCGGCGACGGCGGCGTCGGAGCTGGCGGCGGCGGATGAAGAGGAAGTACTGGAGGACGAGGCGGAGCCAGCAGCAGCAGCAGCGCCGCTCGCGTCCTCGGCCGTGAAGTTGCTGAAGCCGTTCTGCTGCAGCAGGTCGGCCACGCTCAGCCCGCCCGCGTCCAACGGATTCGCCTTGGTCTTCTCGGACAGGGCGTTGGCGACGTCGGCGCCGCCGACGCCCGGGTCGATGAGCGGCGTGATGCCGCGCAGGGCCTGGGTGGTGGGCAGCGTCGGGTCGGAGCAGACGGTCGGCTTGTCGGCGACGAAGTTGTTGAAGTTCTTCTCGGCGGCGACCATGCCGATGGCGGCTTGCATGGCATCGGCGCCCGTGCCGAGCTTGGCCACGATCTCGTCGGCGCGCTGGAGCTTGTCGCACGCGTTGGCGCCGCCGAGGAGGTCGCTGACGGCGGCGCCGGCGATGGTGGCGGCTTCGCCGGCGGCGCCGCCTTGGACGTCCGAGATGGCTTGTATGGGGACTTGCTCTTGGCCGAAGCTGGGAGGTGGGTATGTTAGTTGGTGGTGAGGTGGACTGAGGGTTGATGGGACGAACCGAGCTTCGGCCAGGACGGCAAGGCAAACAGTAAGCAGTGTTTTGGAAAACATGATTGGATGCCGTGGAATAAACAGTGGTTGAATAGGTGAATTACAAAGTCAAGGGTATCTTGTACAAGTAATGACCGGCCGGCGGATTCGATATTGGAGAATGAAAGACGGACTAAAGAGTGTTTGGGACGGCGGAGGCTGTTGATGATGGTGATGGATTTCGGGTGATGCAGCCGTGATATATAGTACAGCCGTGGGCCAGGAGTCTGCAATTCCAGTGCCTTAGTCCCGAGATGTCGCATATTCACCACAAGAAACGGCCGTGAAGCCCGTCAGGACACTGTCCAGATTCGGCGGCATAATGGTCTCAAGTGAATTCCTCGCCATGTCCATTGCCCATAGGTGGAGCGCGCGTCGGCATGGACGCTTCAAAACGGAGAAGGGTCGGTTCTGGTGGTAGGGATCGGGTTTTGAAGAGAAGTGCTTGGAACCCGGGCTGTCTGATTCGGGTTTCAGCGCCTTCACCACTTCCGGAAAGGGCAGTTTCGCGACCGCAGCCGAGCGCCTGCTGAGGCGCAGAGACATGGCAAGATGCCAAGCAGAAACCCATTTGCGACCCAGCTGTGCAGAACCGGCCATGGAGCGCCATGATTGATGGAAAAGGGCGGCGGTGGTGGCTGGAGTCGTTGCCGATCCGCCCATCTTCACTCCCAAATAGGCAATTGCATGTCCCACGCTAGTCCCGATCCTCATCGCAATGCCGACATGCCGCCACTGTTCAAATCCTCTCACGCGCCATAGGTAAATGAAGCCTTCCAACAATGCTGCCTTCAGGCTGCGTAGCTTGCCGTGAGTGTGATCGTCAAGCCTCTTTGTCTAGCCATCCTCATGCGTTAAACCCGGAGCCTGAAAGCCTGTCTATCTGTTGCAGCAAGACACCTAGATGATGTCCTGGAGTCGTGACTGGTGCATTGCTGCCTTGATCTCGGCTCCTGCCATCAAATGTTGTCAAGGCGACCTCGCATGCATGTACACCCGTCTCGGCGTCGTTCTGGGTGTGGGGACTGATGAATGATGAAGACCATAAGACCAAATATTACAGGTTCATGCTACGTGGTGTAGTGTTATTTCCGCTTGACTAGTCACATTTCAGATCATGTTTCTGAATCTCTTCCTGAAAGAGCCAAGCAAAGGAAAGAAGAAGAAACCAAGCGCCGTCGCATCAGCGGCTTACTAACCTTTGTCCAGCCAGTAGGTATCCCATTGCTTTCGGCAGCATCTGGCGCCGTTAACGCAGTAAGGTCGTGTCTCCCCTTTCACAGGACTTCGCATCCTGAATGTATCGCCACGTGATTCGTCCTCTATGCTACAACTGGGACGAGCCAGTTCTGGACGGTATACTCCATCAGCCCCCCCTCCGCATCCTCGCCAAAAACCCCGGAATGCCCCCCTTACACGAATTCTCAAACCTGCGCGACGCGCCTCTTATCGTCAACTCGACACCCTCACCCAACCTCTCCTTCAGCCCCCTCCTCTCCTCCTCATTCAGCGCCACATGCGTCTCCCTCACCGCCCACATATCGTTCGTGCCGCCGCTCCCCGCATCCAGCACCTCATACGACAAATGCGGGCCCTCCCACTGCGTGAAATCCGGCGGATTCACACACGCAAAGCACCGCGTGACCTCATGAAACCCCGCCAGCTCGACCCTTTCGAGGCGCGGCCACGCCTTGTCCTCCAGCAGCACCGGCAAGATGTGCGCGCCGAACAGCGACCACAGAACGGGGCGACCCCGCGCGCCGAACGGGTGCGGGCGGTTGGCGCGGCGGAAGCGCAACGACTCGGCGCGGTGCTGTTCGAAGACGAAGGTGCGGAGTGAAGGTCGTACCGAGCGGAGGAAGGCGGCCCATTCGGCGTAGCGCCGGTCGTCGTCGGGGGAGAGGAGCTCCTGGCGCTCCCATGGCGCGTACGTGCGGATCTCGAGGTGGGCGAGGCGTGGGCAGCGGCCGGTGAGCGTGACGAGGTGGTTTTGCATGGGGCCTGGGTAGGTGCTGTCGAGGGAGGCGGAGGTGGCGCCGTCGACGCCGGTCATGTGGCGGTGGACGTGCGAGGTTATTTCGCGTAGGGTCATGTGGGATGGGGTCAAAGGGATGGGGTCGGCGAATTGTTGGAGGTTGATGGTGGAGAGGGAGACTAGGTTTTCCGGATTAATGTGGTCTAGGATGGCGGAGACGAATAGTCTGGATGCCTGTCCGACGAGGCGGACACAAGTGGCAGTGGTGAACAGGGGTGGCGGAGGACAAGTCTCACGCAAGTCCCTCAGCCATGCAATGTCGATCGAGGTGACTTTTTTGAAGGCCAGAAACGTGTCCCAGAGAATACCATCGTCGCCAATGTTGTCGAACAACAGCCGCAGGCTCTCGCCAGCTCCTGACTCCGGGAAGCTCTCGGATGAAGTGGGTTGGTCCGGCTCATCGTCCTCGGAGCTTGTATTGTTGGTACGTCTGCCGTGCGGAGGATCGAGTACGGACCAATTCAGCTGACGGACGTGTTGGCCATATTCAGGATGGGCTTTTATTGTGCGAATCAACAGTTTCTGACGAGTCCATATCTCATCGTCGAGCGGGACCCTTGGACGATCGGAGAAGTCGAGCGGAAGTTCGAGGCGCGAATCCAGCCAGGCGATGGTGTGGACGGGGCCGACATGGGGGAGATCGGTGGAGTTGTGGACGCTCAGGTCAACTGTATGGTATATTTCCTCAATCTGCAGGCTCTAACGGTGAGTGCGTGATGGGAAAAAGCGGCGGGAAAAGAGTCGGGCTCACGCAGACACGATGGAGCCGGTGTGTTGCTGCGCTCAGGACGGTACGCGAATGCTGGTCGCAATTCTGGACGATGAGGCGCAAGACCTCATCGGGGAGCTGCATGAGAGCTCCCATGACGGGTGTAGAAGGATCATTGGGACGGGTTGCGCACGTCGGCGGGAGTAGGGTCGATGGTGGGTGGTCTTGGAGCAGGCCGAGCGTGGTGGCTGCGAGACCGGTCTCGGACAAACCGCGCTAAGATAATCGTAGATAAGATGCGAGCGTCGGGGACACGGGGAGACGCCGCGCCCGTTCTGCCTCGCTGCTACACCGTGACAGCTCCATTATTACATGTGTGAGGAAATCCTCTACGTTCGCCCTCCATGTCGGCTCCCCCAGTCGGTTCGCTCGGCACCAGCACCAGCACCGGATTGCCTGGCCGATGGGCTAGATAGGATAAGCTTGGTCTGCCACTTCCCCGCATGACGTAGGGACGAAGGCAACACTCGGAGCGTTGCATCAGCCAGGCACACATATCATCTCCGCTTGCAGCCCTTATATTCAATCCGCATCCGATCGTCATGGTGTACGACTCGACAATTAGCTTCACGCTCGACACGATATGCCCATGGTAAGCCCTTCTTGGTGCTCGACCATGCTGTGAGCACCGCCTGACCCGCCATCAGGACCTATCTTGCGCGCCGCAGGCTGCAGCGCGCGCTCGAGCGGGTGCGGACTGAGCAACCCGACAGCGGCACCACCTTCACCCTCAAGTATCTGCCCTATCAGCTGTATCCCGAAGCCAGTAAGGAGGGCGAGGGCAAGTACGAGTGGTACAAGAAGTCGCGCTACGGGGACAGCGATGAAAAGATGAGGATGTACACTACCATCATGAGTGCATATGGCCGTGATGCTGGCATCGACTTCAAGTCTGTGGCCTCTTTCCCCTCGTCGCCCCCGCACTTCCTGACCCAAGCACCACCTCTCCAGATTCGGCGGCACGGTGGCGAACACGCTGGATGCCCATCGTGTGATTCAACACTTCCAGGAAAAGAGCGGCCCAGAAGTTGCTGACAAGATTGTGGAATGTAAGCATTGCGGGTCGGCCCTTGATTCGGCATTCCTTGCCCGGCGGTGGATTCGGCCTTTTCGCTGACCCCATTCCCAGCACTGTACAGCCAGTACTTCGAAAACGAGAAGCATCCGAGCGCTGCCAATACGCTGCTCCAAGCGACTGCAGACGCAGGCATTGCCGAATCCGAGGCCAAGCCCGTCATCGACGACGAATCCGAGGGCCTGATGGACGTCAAGATGCTGATCCAGGAACAAACAGGCAACGGCGTCGATGTCGTTCCCTACATCGTCATCGACGGGCGCCGGCGCGATGTGACGCTCGAGGGCGCTCGCGAGGTCGACGAATACGTCAAGGCGCTGCAGCGCGTTATCAAGGAGAACGCATGACAAGCAGATCAATCAACCTGAAGAGAAGGAGCAAGCCGCAGCTTGGCGCGGAATTGGTAAGGCGGCCGACGCCGTGGCGGAGCAACCGGCCGCCGCATTCGTGTTCGCGTTGAGCAAAGAATGCCATTTTGGTTCAACCATTGGCAGAGGCTAGGCGGTTCCCCACACATGCTCGCTGGACAAGAGGAACGTCTCTTCCGCGCCGCATCCCGAGCCCCATCCGTAGAGGTATATTTGTCAAGTGCACGCCAAAATCTTACTCGATCCAGAACGCCGATCCGCACTCTCCCGCCGGTGATGATTTAACTTCAGCCACGGTATAATGTTTTCCTGCACATAATTAATCATCCACTCGCTCGCATCGCTATCGTCAGCTTCACTTCTTCCTTCGCTTCTCCACTCCACCAGCCTCCGCTCTTTACAGTCCGGCGGAGTTGTATTTATCTAATGCCACCAACTGCAATCACTGAACATTGACACATCCACTGGCACTCCGTCTACCTTGTACATGAAAAGCTTTTACCGGACCGACAACCGACCAATCGTTTTGTCCCAGTTTCCCCAACCATGGAGTACGTACTCTCGTCTGCCCCGCTCCACACTCCCCAACCAAACTCGCGACACACAAGTTCCTCACCTTTTGTCCTACCTTCATTCTATTCTTTACCCGGCTCCCCGAAGCATAATCCCCGTCTGACCATCACGTGCCTGCTAACAATCACCCCAGCGCATTACCACCAACCCTCTCGCCATCATGCGCAACATCATACCTCCACTACTCCGAAGCAACAACATCACCATTGACAGCCATCCCCTCAACCTTCCAAATATCCTTCGCCATCAACGACAACTATCTCAACTTCTCCTCCACCAACAACGGCAGCACCTCCCTACCACCGCTTTCCCAATCAACAGCAACACCACCACCCCTCCCGCCGCCATCATGGCAACACCAATGGATTTCCCTCTCCTCCCTCCTCAACACCAATCTCCTGACCCTTCTGCTACTCCCCCTCGTCATCCGCGAGATCCCGACCATCATGACCACCACCCTCGACCCGCTCCTCGATTACGTTTTCGACCCGTGGAGCTGGGGATATTTTCCCGTGTGGTGCGCCGAGGTGTGGCGATTGTTGAGGGACGAGAGGCAGGCGGTCGTCGCGGGGCTGGCGGGGAGCAACGCGGGGGTCGGGGCGGTGGAGAGGGTGTGGGTGGAGAAGGGGGTGGTGGAGGTGGTGGAATTGAGGATTGGGAAGGTGTGACTAGGACTGGGACTGGTGGTTGTACAGGTGCGAGGGGATGATAGAGGATATAAAAGTTTTGACTTTTTTTTTTGTAAGGGCGGAGGGCTGTTCGGGTGTGTCAAGGCGCTCGGGTTGGTCGGATCAAGCAGGCTGTTGTTGTTAAATATATCGGCGCTTCGGAAGTGATTACTGGTCGATGGATTTGTCCGTTGAAGGCGTGTGCTTTCCGCCGTTGTGCATGTGGAACCCCGGAAATGTCTGCCCTATCCATGAAGGACGGATACGGGGAACATGACGTGGATTGGTGGTGAACAATGAACGTTGTCATCCCGGGTACGGATGTTTCTACCCGCTGTGGTATGGTAGTCATGCGAAATTACCGCTTGATAGATGTGGCGGAACGCAAAACACTCAAAAACTGTGCATGTGAGAAATAACGCAAATTCAAAACGGATGTGCCTTGTGGGAGTGGAGCTGTCTGTGACTTTGTGTTCCCTTGGTTGAGACATTTGTTTTGGCCAAGAGAACAGCGCCTGTATCATGCAGAAGTAGCAACGACAGCAAATCCCGAAGACTTATAAGCATATGTCAAGAACCAGCGAACTCCTCACATCGTTCATTTGAACATCGACACTTCCTCACCTCTTACTCTTCGCATCCCCCACGATTTTCCGGACAGAACCATGCAATACTTCCACGTCCTTGTCCTCGCTTTCATTGCCCACACCTTCGCCAGACCGCTCCCTCGGCTCAGAAAACCATTCCAGACCATACTGTCCCTGAACGACCCCTATGAGTTGTTGGCCCAAAGCCGCCCCTTCACCCTTAATAGAGTAAGTACACCTGACTAACATTTCCCACCCATCCAGCTCCAACTCTGGCCCTTCTTCCACTTCTTCCTCCCCCACCAGCAGTACGTCCGGCCGCCGCCGCGGCACTTCCATCCACTACCACATGACCGAATCTACCACATGCTTCGACGACGACGGAGGATGCTCCACGGACAGCCGTCAGAGTGTGGATTTCGACTTCCAGCGCCTATACGATGAAGAAACCGCTCGTTCCGGAGAGAAAGAGATCATGGAGTGGTGAGTTTGCGATTTCCTCTTCTTTTTTTCGCGCCCTTCGCTCTTGGAAATTGTCACGCTGCTTCCCGGGCTCCGGTCCGTGGGAGTGTGGCTTTTGAGAAACAGTGTGTGCTTATTGTTGTACTAGGTTTGATAGGGTCGCGGTTATGTCGGCGGTGAGAGGGCCGTTGCATAGCGGAACTCGGATACGGAATGGCAGGCGTGCCGCTGGAGATGATTCTGAGGATGAGGAGTGAATACATGAGTGGTAGTGGGATGAAAAGGCGGTGTTGGCTTGGAGGTGACTGAGGAAGGTGGCTTGTGGTATACGTGTGGACGGGAGTTTGAATGCCCTGATTCTGGTGTGGGCAAGGACGGGTCATGTTTGAGGACAATGTGATGATCTTCTGAAGCAGTGAAATGTCGTGCGTTGCATGTGCTGTCCTGCTTTCCATTATGCGGAGCGTAGCATTCATCATTCACGCTGCTGTCTTCGGTCTTGGATACATGATCGTGTGAACAGTGCATCACTTCCACAGTGAGCTACCAAGGCAATTGGCCTGTGCCAACGTGGATATAAGCTTACACAGCTTGCTCCATAGTAATTGAAGCAGACTTCCGGTTATAGATACGAATGTTGAGCTTTACAAATGCATATAGATATAGAATTCTGCTACTTACGTGAGATGGCTGTAAGTGAATCAATTTTCTTTCTCGTCACCCACTGTGCTCCCGAATATCAGAGATAACTGATACCGGCTTACTTTAGTAAGGGTCGGAACCTTTCTGGACCTGACTAGAACCTTCTCCGCCGTAAAAGCGCTTCGGTTCAGCTTGTTCATTGACTGAACGACTACTTGGGCCTCATCATGATTTAATCCGCAATCACCGTTTTGGAAACACAAAAAGACGAGGCGGCACTGCGTGTACATTCACCACCATTACATATCAAGTATCTTAGATGATGCTATCTGACGGCGAGATCCATAATCTCGAAACCGATATCAAGAAATGGACAACGAGAAAAAAAAGTGTAAGTGGCAAAGCTTGAGCTCAGTGTTCTTCTATAGATTAAAGAGGCCTCCATTTCTCTAATGAAGAGTCGTTATTGTGTCCGAAAATACACAGCTCAGAGGGACAAGCCGGACTTGGAAGCCTCGGCTTTTCTGCGATATCACTTTTGAGTAGTCTCCGTCTTGGGAACTGGACTGTAAGCACGAAAAACATCACCTACAAAAGTAGTATGACTCCAAATGAAAGGCAAAATACTAAGAACGAACAAGAGCCGTCTCCATCGCCCTACGCCCGACAGATCCAGCCAAACTCACTTCCCATTGATAACAATACAGATATACATCCACTTTGTCAAACTGCCAACAGTGATCCGCTTTATCCATGCAAAGCTCAACACTCACGACAGTATTTTCTGAGATCCTCATCGTTGTTAGACCCCTCCATCCGAAAAGGCTTGCCCTCGTTACTCCCGAAGCCGCACGTGCCATAGAACTCGTCATTACGCACCTCATACCGACATACGGCGGGCGCGCCCGCAGGCAGACGGTATCTCCTAGGCCGCCCGAGCACTCGTGCGAGATGCTGGTGGACCTTAGATTGGTGAAACAGCAACAACCCTGGAATTGTTGGTCAGTCATCGGGGATGTTGTTCCTTCCGCCGCCCAATAATCCCTCTGGGCCGAGCCCGACCTTTTCCGAACACGGGACAAGGAATCCTAATGGATTGGTACGTACCGCTGTCCGCGCGCGTGCACAACTTACGCGCTAAAAAGCTGGCCCCAGCCCCTCCCGTCCCTTCATTGGCTGTGGAGTAGTCGTGGCTTGGGTCACACTGCGAAGTATCTGTCACACACTTGCTCCTGGTAGACGACGACGCTGCGGGGACTGTCATCACCGACTTTCCTTTTGGATATAGTCGGCTGAGGCATATCCTTCTATCTTGTCTGATCGGGAAACACAGGAGTGTGCAGCATGCTTGGCTAAGGGGCTGTGAGGACCTTTCATGTGAAAAATGACGGGGTTGCCGTCCTCCCGAGTGATCTTGAATGGCCAACCCCGCCAGACCTGAAAAGGTGAGCGGATCATGCTTCCGTTCTAATGAGTTCTTCTCTGGCGATACCCAGAAGCTGGCTTGATTGCTGTGATATCCTCTTTGCTAGACGGAATTTGGCTTATCATGTATTTAATACATCCGCCTAAACTAAGGTCGAAGGTGCCTATGTCACATCCACACGCTTGGCATCCCCCTCCTATGCTTTAAGTTAAAGTGCCTTGCCCTCAAAATTGCAGCAACGGCGTGGGATATCCCGCAATGGTTTCTGTTCCAACATTGCTGGATTCTGTTTCACCGTGCTCTTTCGCTGCGCATCTTATCCAAGAATTTGCTTCAAGTCATTACTCCAATCGACTGAACTGGATTCATTCTGAACCCAAGCAACAAGTGTCCCATCTTGTTCGCCTGCTTCTGGCCCTCAACGAGTTCCAACATATCCTGCAGCCCACGGGCACCGCCGACTCACGAGCTGAGACACTCCCCAATCCTGACAAGAACAACAATGTATTTGCACAAATACCAAATCCAAACAATTAAGAACTAGAACTACACCGAGTGATAGGGAACTCATCAGAGCAACCAGGGTATACATCACCCGCTCCATTCCCCCGACATCAACAGCCCTCCTCCCTCCCCCCTCCTCCTCTCCACCCCCTATACCAAATCCCAAACAGCAACCCCCTGATAATTCCCAAACCCATACCGATCGCCCTCCCACACCTCCCTCGTCACGCCCCTCCCGCTCCCCTCGGGCCCACCGTGCCACTTGTCGCCCGCACACGCCATGACGGTCTGGCCGGGGGCGCCGAGCTCCACCCTCTCGACGTCCAGCCACCAGAACCGGCCGTCCGACTCCATGGGCAAGAACTGCTTGTTGCGGCCGTCCCGGCCCTCGACCGCCAAGAAAAAAAGGTACGGGCGGCCCTCGCCCAGCGCCTCGCCGTCGAAGTGCGGGCAGCGCTTCTCCCACTGGAAGCGCACGACGCGCGGGGCCGCGGGGTCGCGGACGCGGATCTGGCGGGCGTCGGGCAGGAAGGCCGTCTTGCTGAGGCCGGCGGCGACGGCGAAGCCGTAGACGTTGCAGCCGGGCGGGGCGGCGATGTATTCGTGCCAGGCGACGGAGGGTCTGCCGTCGTTGCGGAAGAAGTAGGCCGGGTTCTCGGGGAAGTGGCGCAGGCCGAACTCGTCGTTGTCGGCGTCGAAGCACTCGGGCGAGAACTTGCGCGTGTAGGCCTGGGTGCGGCCGTCGATGTGGCCGGCGCCCCAGCAGCAGTCGATCAGCTTCCACTCGGCGCCGTCGATGCGCACCGCGTTCCAGGCGTGCCCGCACGAGAAGGGCGGGAGCGGCGCGCCGGGCGCCAGCGGCGAGTGGCCGAAGCCCTTGCCGTGCCCGCCGACGACGACGCTCTCGAGCCCGACGGCGGCGGCGAGCGCGGCGAAGAGGCCGGCGTAGCCTTCGCAGACGGCGAGGCCGGTGGCGATGGTCGAGGCGGGCGTGCTGGGCTGGACGTTGTGGGCGAAGAAGGCGGCGGCGTTGTAGTCGATGTTGTGGTGAAGCCATGTGAATAGAGCGCGGGCTTTGTCGGTCAGAGAAGGGAAGGGGTCGGTGAGCTCGTGCGCTAGCCACGAGAGGTCGTGAGACGGGATGGCTTCGCGGGGGAAGCGCGCAGCATGCGCGTCTACAGCACGGAAGTCGCGGCATTTGAGGCAAGAGTTTGTAGCTCCAGATCTCGGCTTGCTGGCCTGGAGAGCGGCCAGGTCGGGACGGGAGCCAAGCGGGACTGGAGGCGGCGGCGAGCCAGCAGGCTCTTGACCGGGCCGGCTTGTAGGCAATGGCGGCGCCTCTTCCGTGCTCTTGTTCAGGCCCCACTCGAGCGCCGAACGCCTGGGCTTGCGCGCCAACCCTGCATCATTTTGTGTTGTGGTGGGCCGCGGTGGAAGACTTGGCCTGGACGGGAGCGCAGGCGGGGGCGCCTTAGCAGTTGAGTGAGAGCTGGAAGTCCTGTTCAGGTACTTCGCGCGCACCGGGTCATGCCTTGCAAGTTCCGCGTCCTTTTCTTCCTGCGTCTTCTTGGGCGGTAGCGGCGGCAGCTTCGAAGGGTCGAATGGCGGCGCCTTGACGCGGCTCGACGATGTTGCAGCGTCGCCGTACAGCGTGCCCGACGTCACGCTTGTGCGACCTGAGAGGGCCGACCCCGCAGAGCGCCATGAGGCGACGGTAGATATGGACTCTTGTGACTCCTTCCGCCGTACGCTCTGCTCAGACGGGCGGCGGGGAGGCAGAGTAGGCGCGGGCTGCGAGCATCTCGTTGGCCGCGGTGGTAAAGAAGGCCTGGCCTCAGTCGCGGGTCCTAGGGTTGGTGCGGGCAGAATGCGCTTCTGCTGGGGGTTCGACTCGGCGGGGAGGTTGCCAATGGGCCTCGCATTCGTCGGCGCATAGCTCTGGGTGGGTAGGTTCACGGACTGGCTGCGATCGTCTGCGGAGAGGCGGGGCGGGGGGTTTGCTGGCGGCGGGGGCGGGGGGCGCTTCTTCGCGGGCGCGGGCTGGGCGTAGACTGGCGGAGGTCTTGCAGCGGTCTCGTTGAGATTCAGGGCGGCAATGCGGGCTTTGAGCGAGGGCATTGGAGCTGAATCGTCGGCCATGGTGGTGGCGGGGCGCTACGAAGGCGCGGGCCGTTTCCGCTGCAGCACTGCGGTTGCGAATGAACGAGCGACGCACTCCTGACGAGGAACACAGCGGGCGCAAGAGACGATGCTAGTACTATAGGTCGGTGGCGACGCACAGTGGTACGACTCGCTGCTGCGTAGACTCCAGGCGGCAAGGCTGCGCCGCAAGTGCCAGGGCGAAGGATTACGAGCGCGTGTGGTAGCGCGCGACGCCGACCACGGTTCGCCGGCACAGGCGCAAGCGTAGTGCCACTGCGCGCCAGACGCGCTGCCAGGCAATGGCATGGCGCCGTGCTGGGCGGCTGTGTCGCATTCGACTAGACTCCAGCCTCTGGCTCAACGTCCATGTGCAGCCCATCCGCTCCCCGTCCGCGATGACGATGTGGGCGTGGGAACGTGCAGCTCGAGCCGCGCGAGTCATCGGCCGGGGCGTGTCCAAGCGCTGCTCGAGGCAAGACAGCGCAGCCAGTGGGCAGCGGCGTCCGGTCGAGAAAAAAAATCGGATGGGGCGGCATATCGTGAAACAGCCCCATTACTCTTCGCTTGCCGCTGCTTCCCCGTGACCGAAGCAGGCCTGAGGAATGCGTTGTCCGAGGGGCAATATTCTAGACTGCGATCTCCAAGGCCTTCGGGAACGGGCCGTGGCTCCTGGCCGTCTGCTACCCTGTTGCGGATGGAACGCCGCTGGAGGCTTGTGGAGCCAGCTCCCGTCGCCCTTTGCCCAGCCATTAGGCATTCACGTGCTGAGCTGCGCTGGGCTGCGCTGGGCTGATGATGATGATGAGCAGAACGTCCCACAGTGCGTCGTGGTTTAGCTCCAGGCGGCTGCTGATGGCTCTGCAGCCTTCTGGTAGCGTCACCAACGTCGACTTAGCGCGAGATGCGAGCTATCTGGATCGTGGCTCCGTTTCCCCGTCGATTGCCACTCCTCTATCCCATCGTCTCCAAGCCAACCATCGCTGTTGTGCCACAGCATCCGGACCTTAATCTGCTTACTCGGTGCATCATCGAAAGCGGCATTGGGGACATGTCAGATTTTGCTTGCTGATGGGAGTTACAACAAATACCTCCTCATCTCCAATTGCCAACTCCTTAGAACCCCCATAGCCAGATACGAACCAACACACGGCAGGAAACGAAATAAATGAGAAGAAAGGAAAGGACACCGCCATCCGCCACCCGTCATATGTAGCCCGTCCCACTATTGCCATTGCCCATAATCCTCTCACCATCCCGCCGTGCAATTTGCCCAAACCTCGTACAGACACAAAAGGCCACCCCGTCCGTCTTGCGACGGCGACGCGGCTCTTGGAATATCGAAGCCCGATTAAACTTTTTTCTCAAGTAAGGAATGTTGATGCGTCAAAAAACAAACTCCGCTCATAACACCGTCCCGATCGACTGAACCCATAAACACGCTCAAACGACCGTAACCCACGGCTATAAATCACATAATAGAAGAAAGGTAGAGATCGGATCGTCGCTGTGAAAGGAGCTTGGGGAGGTTGATGTATCCATCCAGACGAGCAAGTGCACTGAAAATCAAACCGCTAGCCGCCAACGCCTGTGCCAAGAACAATGTAGACATGTCGCTGAGGAAATATACAACGCTCCATTACGGCTTTATCTCTTGCGCTTCTTGTTCTTGTCGGCCGCTGCGGTGAGGGCGCTGTAGCCACCCATGCCTCCCATAACGCTCGACGTCTCGTGGAACGTAGGTGCGTCGGGGATCATCTTCTTGACGGGGACGCCCATGTGGCGACCATAACGGCCCTTTCGGCCATTGCCCTCGTCCTCGCTGACGCAGCCGTCATGGCCGATGCCGGCATCCTTGCAGCGCTGGCAAGGTCGCTGACGGTCGCACCCCTTCTTGCTCTTCCTGCATCGCTGGCAGCGAGGCTTGGTAGACAAGTCTTCCTCATCGGGCGCGAACGCCGGCATCGAGAGCGACGCACTCGACGTCTTGCGCGATGCTGGAGGAAGAGAAGTAGGCGAGATAGGAGCCTTTGCTACTGTCGGCGTCTTCACCTTGTTCTTGGAGCTGTGGACACGGGACTTCACCATCTTGGTGGACAGCTTGGTCACCAGCGATCCCGCACGCTTCTTCATCATCTTCGGCATGACCATGCCATTGTCGTCAGGGACAATCTCGTCGCTGTCCCCCCTGAACGAGTCTTCCCGGTCGTCGTACTCGTCGCTCTCCTCTGCGCTGTCGTAATGGTGCAGGTCGTGGTCGTGCACATGGACCGTAGTGTCAAGCGACTCCGTGTAAGCAGGGAACTCGTCGACCTCGCTGCCGTCCTCACTGCATTCGTCCGACGAAGCAAGCTCGGCTTTGCCGCTCAGCGCATCGTCAATGGTCGAGGTGGATTGGCGACCGTGAGACGAGAAGTTCGAGGCGTCGCCAAGGCGCATGAGTTGGAGAGCGACGTCCTCATCAGAGATAACACTTCCGCCGATCGTAGGGTCAGGCGTGGGCAGAACACCACCGTAGGAGTTTCGCGGGATGCTCTGACCGGTGCCACGTGTTCGTGGGCGGTGTCCGTGCGGCTGTCCGCTGGAGGTAGCGTATGGAGTTCCCATTGGGAACCCCTGCACGTATGAAACGTCCCCATGGCTTTGCGGTGAAGGCAGTGGGTGCGTGTAGGAAAACGTCTGCTGGTTGGGGTACGAATAAGGCGATGTGCCATTGTTGCTGCTAATGCGTCGCTGCGGAGAGATAGACGAGATTGACGCAGTCATGGGCACCTGAGGGGGCGCAAAGAGCGGCAATTCCTAAGTGAAACACTCTTTGTTAGAACATAGAGAACGTGCAAAGTATCGCGCGTCGGAAGGCTTACCGAGCTGTCGAACTTCGCACGCTTTCGTCGACCACCCTCGACAATGTTATCCAAGCTGATCTCCGCACTCGCAACATTGTCTCTGCGAGAGCTTGTGACCGATCCCTCGCCTGCCTCGCTATCGCTGTAGTCGCCATTGAAGTCGGCAAGGCTACCATGCGAACTTGTTGCTCTGACCTTGAGCCCCGGACGAGAGCGAGACTTGCGGTTGGTGCTCCTGGACACACTACGACGACCGCGGTGGTTGTCAGGCGACATGCTGCGATTCCTAGCCGATATGGACGGAGGCCGAGAGTTCAGTTGCGGAGGGAGCATTTGGAAGGGCTCGTCGAGGCGGTTCTTGCGAGGGGAGAGGGATTGGCGAGGAGTAGGGTTGAAGTCATCGATGTCTTGCGGTATGCGGCGCACGAAGACGGTCATGTTATGCTCGAAGTTCTCATACCTCGCGATGAGAGTGTTGCCGTGCCGGTCCTCGAAGCTCACGCCGTAACCCTGACCGTCGTAGATGCCGTGGAAGTTCTTGACGGTCGCAACGATCGATTCCGTGGTGTCATGCGGCCATATGTTCACCCTCATCGGCAGGCGCGCGCGAGAGTGTGGTGTCTCCAGCAGCAGCTCGAAGCTGACATGCTTCGGCTTCGCATTGATGGCCGGTGACGGCAGTGGCCACGAGCCGACGCCCATGGGCACATCGACGGGAGAATGGGTCTGGTAAACTGAGCCCATTGTGTTTCTTGTAGCGATTGCGGAGTGCGTTTCGTCGAGTTGTTGTAGGGTTTTCTGTCGGATTTCGATGGCTGTTCTGGCTTGGCGGTGGTGGTTGTGCGTGAAGTCGGTGAGCAAGCTCGATACTTCCATACCAAGTATATCAGGGCGATATATGAGGTACGGAGGGCGTCCGTAGAGGTTGCCGGTACTCGAGTCTAGATCGTGTCCGCCGAAGTTGTTCGGGCAGACACCGATCCTGCCGGTGTCGCGAGGTGAAGAGGGGGTCCGGTGGAGAAGCGGTCAAAGGAGGAGGGCAGCAGCCTGGGCGACGGATTTCGTTAGCAATCTTGGACAAAAGTCATCGCTCGGTATCAGTGAGCTGGATGATGGTGCAGATGAGTTGCTGATCAGGGTCGTTGTCCCTGGGCTGATGGGAGGCGCTCCAGGGCGGAGCAGCAGTAGCGCCGAGTGAGGACCCTCCCCAGGAGCGAGGTGAAGAATACACTGCCCTGAAGGGGCGCAGACATGGTCGCATTCAGCATATGAAAGTATTGACATACCCTAGGAGAGCGGATGAGGCGTGGGCGTGGGAGTTGAGGGCGTTCCGTGAAGCGCCGGGTCGTCGTCTGTGGCACACCGATACGTCAGTTTGGACGGCACGAAGTGGGCGGGGCAGGCAGGGCGGGCGACAAGAGAGTGAGGGCTGCATCGGATGGGCTCTGGCGAAAGCGGCTGGGCACTTACGAGAGGAGTCGGGCCTTGGGGTGGGTGTTGTTGGCAAAGGCTGGGAGGTCAGTCGGAGAGGAGGATGTGTGACAGCCAGCGACTCTCGACTAGCGAGTGTCAGGCGGGCCGGATGCTCAACTTATGCGCTCAACACCGCACCCCGAACCCAAGAATGCGGATTCAAATGGTAAAGTGGGCTGAATAGGGCAGAGGCGACTCAGACAGCAATCAATTGCGCTTCACATGCAAGCTTATTCGGGAGTTTCCCATATAACGTGATGCGCGCCGCATGGGTACGGGGCGCTGGCGACGACGACCCGAGGGCAGGCGCAAACACCCAGCCGCCAGCCGGCCGCTGCAGGTGCTCAGTGCTGTGCTGTGCGGTGCCCATGACACGGCAGCGGATGCGCTTCCTCAGGTCTTCGCGCTGGCAGCCCTCACGGTGTCCAAAGTTGCGGCTAGCCCCCCAGCACAAGCACCGCAACCTTGCTGGACGACATGTACAAAAGAGCACGGGCGGCGGTAGGGCGAGCCAGCACGCTCACGGCGGGCGGCGCATATACCCGTGGTGCGCTGCGCTGCGAAGCCAGACTTCCCGAGCTCAGCACAGCGGGCCAATCCGCAGGGCTGCTAATGCATACCAGACAAGCTCCGTCGCTACGAGAAACGCAACTTGTGCTAGCGTGAGCTGTTCTGCCCGCGTTGAAAGCACTTGCTTGTTGTGCGGGGAGCGGGCATTCGTCTGGACTTCGGCGGGCTTCCATCTGCGCGAATGCGCCCTGTCTCCCAGCAGCGAGCGCGAATGTGAACATTAATTCACGCCAGCGGTACCTGAGTCGCCTAGATCTCGCGGCCTGGCGCGGCCGGCGACAGCCAATGACGGCCGCTGCCGCAGATATGTTGCGGGCGCTGGGGCGGATCGCACAATCGAGGCCGCGCTGTCATCGACCATGCGCGCGCTCAACGGCTTCGCGGCCGCGCTGCAGAGCATTGTCGTCGGCGTCGCATGCAGGCGCAGAAGGGGCCGAGCAGGCCAGGGACAGACCGGGCGCGGCGCTGCGCCTCTGAGGCGGTCTTGATGGGTCTCCAGGTGGCTGCTCCACACAAGGGACTGCACGGCATGGCCACCCGCTGAACGGCCCCGTTGATTCGAGCAAACACAGCGCGCGGAGACGGCCAGAGAGCACCCTCCCGGGCGAGACCGCGCTCTCGCGCTGCCGAGCTCGCATTCTTGCAGCTGCACCGGGCAGATCGCAGCGGACGGCGCAAGACCGTCTCTCCGCGATTACGCCGGAAGGCCCTGAGAGAACAGGCGATATGTAGTGATGCGACACGGCCCTTCTCCACATCGTGCTGGAATCGTGCTGGACAGGGCGCGGAAGCAGGCCACGCGCTCCGGGAGCTGCAGCGCCTGGACGCCTGTCTGCCGCAGCCCGCGGCCGGCGCAAGTGGAGATGGCGGGTGCTCTTCAGCGACGGCGGCATCGCGGCAGATCTGCGCACCCTACCCGCGCAGCAGAGCGCCAGAGGAACACTGGGCGCAGCCTCGCTGCCGTCTGCAGCCGCCGCCGGCCCGTCCGGAGTCGCAGGTGCTTACTGGACGTCGGCGCAAGCAGGAGCGCATCGCGCGAGGTTCGAATCGCTTGTACGAGGGTGAGTTTTGGGAAAGCGGGTGCCGATTCACTGATAGGCTGTGAGTGGGGCGCACTGCTGGCACTGCTCACAAGCCATCCAACGGCCCAACAGCCTGCCAGCACCCTGCGCGGCTGCGGAACAGGCACAGAACAGGCGTAGGGCGCTCGCGAAACAGTCGCAAGGCGGCGCGCTGGCGGTGCGGCGTGGTCGCAAATGTCGAAGGGGGCTCGTGCCAGGTCACGTTTCAGCGCGCCGTTGACGCATCATCCGGCGCGCGCCCTGCGCCGGGCGGGCGTTAACGCGGGATTCGCATCGGCCGGTAACCACGGGCGTGGGCGGGCTAAGAAGCCGGCGGGTGATAGCGGGGGGGCATGCGACACAAATAGCAGCGGCAGATTCGTCGCGCGATGAGCGTGGCGGCGAGCCCGGAGGGGTTCGTCTCAAAGATCGCATTCTGGAGACGCGCGGTGGACAGTTGCGGGGTGACGACATGTCTTGGCGGAGTATGTGGGGACGTGCCGATGCCGCTAGCGACCCTTGCACCTTGGGTGCGCTGCGCGCTGACCGTCTTTCGGCGCAGCCGGGGCCGTTTCTCCGGCCCTCGAATCCCTGCCGCCTTCCCAACTGGCCGTTGCTGTGTTTACCATGCAAACACAGTAGGCGCGCCTTTTACGGTGCAAGCTCCAACGCACTCTCTTGTCCACCCTTCCCACCGCCTCACCGTCCATTGTTCCGCAGCACCGCCTATCCGCAAGCACTGTTAGTAGTGCTCTACTAGCGGCCTGACTGTGCGCAGGCCCCCAGCATCCTGCGAGATCCACTTGCGCGCGCGCGCCGCGGCACGCTGCTGGTCACCGGTTGTTTGTTGTGCTCGCGAGCTCACCGTTCCTTCGAGCGCTGAGGATCGCCGTCCGATTCCTCTCCACCAGCACGCTCCACAACATCCTCGCCACTGCCAACAACGCATCGCTGCACCCTGCCACCATGGATGCGAAGGTACGTATTCTCTATGCTTGCCCGCTGCCACCTGCACACCCTACCCCAAGCATCGGCCTCAGGCTCCAGAGCACCCTCAACCCGAGCTTCATGCACGCTGACTCGCCGAAACCTCTCCCCACTCCCGCGCTGCTCCGTCCAATGGACCTTTGCCTCAGCGAAAAACTAATCCGGTGTCGCGAGCAGCCTCAGCGCCCGATGCGCTCCATGCGCGTCCACAATGAGAACAGCATTCCTGCTGCTCCCGCCGGCAAGACTATTCACCAGCGCAATAAGTCGACGCCCGCGCTCTCGTCGCTTGCCCAGAATGCTGGCATCAAGGCTGCTGCGAAGCGTACTGCCTTTGCCGACGTTAGCAACACGGCGCGCAACACCCATCTAGCCAAGGACGACTCCGCTGTCGCCGCCAAGGGTGCTCTTGCAGTCAAGAAAGATGTACTCGCTCCCATTCAGGAAGTACACAAGCCCGTTTCGCTTCTTCGTCCCGCTCAGCGACCGCTGTCCTCGACCGCCCAGAAGCCCACCGTCACCGACTCGGTCGCGCCCAAGACCAGTGCTGCCGAGGTCGCGGCCCAACCAGTCCACACCAAGGTCATCTCCAAGCGCACCACGACCGTATTCAAGGAGGACACCGCCGCTCCCGATGCCGAGCTAATCCGTCACCGTGAGAGGAGTAACACCGCGCCTCAACTCTCGCCGCCTTCTGAGAAGCTTTCCAAGGTTGGAAGTGTCGACGAGACGGCCGTCGACGAGAGCGTCTCGCTTTCAAGTGAGGAATCAACCACCAGTCTCGAAACAGCCATTGCTGCTGAGGAATGCCACCGCATTGCCGGTCTCGATAAGGATCTGCCAGAGGAAGACGCCCTTTCTATTACCGAGGATGAGTTCGCTGAGCTTGCCGAGAAGGAGAACCAGCATGCCAAACACGAGGAGAAGGATGCGAAGGCAGAGACCACTGCGCTTGCTGAGGTAGAGAGGTTTGAAGAGTATTGGGATGACGAAGATGAGGAGTACTACGAAGCCGATGGCTACACCGGATACACCACGCGTTCGCTCAGGAATAGGACTGAAAACACAACCGGTGGCGTCACCGTAGTCCTGGCCCCAAGAGTTACCGCGCGCACTCGGCGCGAACTGGATGAAGCCGCGGACTTCGTCGAGGCCACTAAGACCCCCGAGGATGTCGAGGACGAAGCCTGGGACACATCTATGGTTGCTGAATACGGTGACGAGATCTTCGACTACATGAGGAGGCTTGAGGTAAGAATTGCAATGAACGTTCGTTTCCGCCCTATATCTGACTTGCTTAAAGGACCGCATGAGGCCTAACCCATTCTACATGGACAATCAATCCGAAATTCAGTGGTCTATGCGCTCAGTCCTCATGGACTGGCTGGTCCAAGTACACCACAGGTTCACTCTTCTCCCGGAGACTCTCTTCCTTGCCGTCAACTACGTCGATCGCTTCCTGTCCTGCAAGGTCGTCTCCCTTGGCAAACTTCAGCTCGTTGGCGCCACCGCGATATTCGTCGCGGCGAAGTATGAAGAGATCAACTGTCCTTCCGTGTCTGAGATCGTCTACATGGTTGATGGTGGATACACCGTTGACGAAATCCTCAAGGCTGAGCGTTTCATGCTCAGCATGCTCCAATTCGAACTTGGCTGGCCTGGTCCGATGAGCTTCTTACGCCGCATCAGCAAGGCTGATGACTACGACCTGGAGACTCGCACTCTGGCCAAGTACTTCTTGGAGATCACCATCATGGATGAGCGCTTCGTTGGATGCGTTCCCAGCTTCTTGGCCGCCGGTGCTCACTGTCTTGCCCGCTTAATGCTCAAGAAGGGTGACTGGGTAAGCAGATTTTATCCAAGCTCTTCCCTCGTCCCACTGCTAACTTTGCATAGAGCAAGGCCCACGTCCACTACTCGGGATACACTTGGTCCCAACTCCGTTCGCTTGTATCAGTCATACTCGAATGCAGCGAGCATCCTGATAAGCACCACGCAGCTGTCTACGAAAAGTACGCCGATAAGCGCTACAAGCGCGCATCCATGTTCGTGGAGACCGAGATTCAGAAGGGCTTCCAGCTGCCTCAGCAAACCAACCAGGATAGCTATAGCACTGGATCTTGGCTTCGTAAGTGATTGCGACGATCTTCTCCAGCTGCTGCCCCACTCAACAGCACGCCGCTGCATCGCAACCTTCTGTACTTTTGCTCCCAAGATTTGGGTAGCTTTCCGTTGGCATTTTGTATTTTGAAAGGGAGCCGAAGTGCTATCGATTTTGGGATCTGCTTCATTTGCTTTTTTGGAGACCAGCTGATTACACCATTCTTTTCCCCCAGGCTCCTCTGTTTCCGCGCTGGCGCCTTGGTATTATACCCCCAGTGGATGGGTTGCTGTTTCGATGCGTTGAACCACGGTCGAGCTTGCTTCCTGAATCTGGACACTTTGGGCATTGTCTTCTTGGACTCGCCAAGCCGGAGTTCGCTCCATCACACGCTTGTCTTCGTCTGCTGGGACTTTTGCGGAACGATTGGATGCTTTCAATCTTTCCTTGGCCCATCACTTGAAGACTGGCTCCTACACTACTTTTCCTTTGAGATCTTGCTGTTTTCTGTTCATTGCCCTTCATAGTCCTCGCACGTCGAACGACAAGCAGAAGTACAATCGCCACCACAAAGCAACCGCAGAAAGAGTACTTACGAAGTCACGACGAGACGAACACTTAATTCCCCTGTTACCCTGATATGCCCCAAATTCCCCCCGTCCACGAATAGCGTGGCCCCAGCGTCTTTTCAATTTTACTGTTTCTTGCATTTTCCTATGTATAAAGGGTCGCGTCGGACAAGCTGGCACTGGCGACGGATAGAGAGGGTTCATTCAATGCTGGTCTTCCTTTCATGCTGGTCACGGCGCTGATGGTGGGAACAAATCGGCCACGGAAAGTTCCGGTTCGGATTCGAGAGGGACAGTTGCTGGGCTTTGCTTTTTTTTTCTTTTCCTTTTCATTTGATGATTCTTCCTCCCTCAATGGTATGGGCGGATGATTGATAACGGGTTGGCGGCTAAGTGGTTGGAGGATCAAAACGGACGGGTTTCTATTCATGTTGTGGACATGGCTGGTGGTGTGCTACACAAGATGCAGTCGTCGGCTGGGGGGTTCTTTGCGATTGCATTACACTCTGGGCGAAAATTTTACTTCAACTATACCCTCTTATACCCGGTAGCTGTTGTGCAAGCGTGAGTTGGAGGAGGATAAGGGGCGAGCTATTGAGTCCAATGACTTCTACGCCGTCACCATGAATGCATCTAATATTGGGTTCTTCCAAATCCAAATTCAAAAGCCTTTAAATCTGGGGTTGTGAAGCGACTGCTTTCTCCTGAACAAGATGCATCCCGAAAACCAACCCACAAAGCGCTCGTTCAGATGGGATATCCAGGTGTCGGCACCGTTCAGTTCTTTCTACAGGATTTTAGATCCGTTTTCGAAGTCTTCCCTTGTTTGAATGGGTATTGTGAGCTAGCAAAAAACATTACTTCGAATGATGTGGTGCAACTGCCCCAGAGACTTTGCTTTTCACCCCTTCACAGTTTAGGTGGTATCCTAGTGTGTGCCTGGGAGGTTAAGATCCGGAAATTCTCGGTGGTCAAAGCATTTCATTTTCAGCGGCGGCTACACCTAGCTTGCTTTCCCTAACAGATGGTATCTATCTGGCCCCCTTCCAGTCAAATCTTATTTTCGCGCTTCTCTTGAGGCCCTCGTGAGGAATGTGTGGATTGTTTATGCGCTGACACTTCTGACAGCTTCTCCACACCGTCATCGCATGGCGCGAGGTGTTTGTGGACCCCTTTCGATTGGCATGTGTTCCTTGCTTGGTGCCTTTATTTTTGTCTAGCATGACAGGTCCCCGAACCGCCATTGGAGATGGGCCGGATGCGTTCATCACAGGTAAGGTCGGGTGCTTATGCGGCTGCCTGCGGTGAGATGAGGACTACCGAATCGCCTGTTCATGGCGCAGAGTCAGCACATGGTCATGCCATCAATCGGTCCACTCCGAAGCTCCGCCACGTACCTCTTACGAACAGCATTTCCGACTGCTTCTTGACAGTCTGTACCATTGTCAGAACCGGCGCAGGGCCAAAGTGGTGCGAGTCTGATCTGGGACCCTACCCTCACGACTTCCTCCTCGTTCGCATCTTCCTCGACCACGTATATAATCTCCTCGACGTCGCCAAGGACAAGGTTGCAATGGCTGTCATATGCCTGGGCGCGCAGCACGGAAAACATCAGCACCTAGGTTGCAGGCCGGCGGTGGGCCTTCAGAAGCAAAAGAGCTCCAGAGGCTTGCCACGAGCTTGGCGACTCACATGCAGACGGCCCTTGAGCTCGCGATCGCCTCGTAGCTTCACAAACACGACCTCGTCCAGGGACAGGCGCACCAGGTCGAGAGGCTCGTTCACGGGCGCACCGGTGCCAGACTCGTCGACGTCAGCCATGTTTTAGGCGCGAAGGCAGGAGGTGGTGGTTTGGCGCGTGGGGATGGGAGAGCCGGGGCGGTCGAGCGGGAAGGGGCGTCGAGCTTGGCGGGATGTGGGACAGCACCTGTGATGACGGCGGCGGTTGGTGTGCGTCGGAGCGCCAGCATAGGTTGCGGTGATTCGCATCGACTCCGGCGCCGAAGCTCTGCCGCCCGAAGGCTGGGAGACGGTCACCTGCTTTCGCGCTGCGGGCGGGCGGCAAAGGCCGGGCGGGCGCGTTTCGCACAGGCTTCGACGGGCCCCGCGGTCAGACAACGTACGCTGCTGCGTTTCACTTGCCGCCACGACAGCACCTGGCTTGCGCGCAGAGCCGATGATTCGCGCGGCGCAGGCGGCGCCACGTGATGCTGCCTGGGGTCGGGCGCAGCAAACGCCATGATGATGATGACGCTGCCGCCGTCTCACGGAACAACCAGGACGCTTCCTTCCCCGGACCCTGTCACAGATCATTGACATCGACGTCTCCCTGCCCGCCTTGTCTCTTCCACCCACGCATCCATTCCACCCGCATCCCATCCCTTATCCACTGCGCCGACGCGATTCCACTGCCCCGCCATGAGCAGCGAAGACGACCATCCCCTCATCGCGGGGCGCCCGCCCGCCATGGACTACCTGACCTACCTCACTCTCATCGAGCACAACCTCAACCCCGAATTACTGCCCGTGTTACACAAGGTTCTGCAGGACCCCGAGCTGACGTCCAACATCGGCTGGGACCTGGTGCAGCTCCTGCTGCCGCTGCTGCCCGCTTCCGAGGAATGTTTGCAGGACATCGCCCGCCTCGGCAACCCGCGCGAGGTCGTTCTCAAGGTCACCGAGGCCCTGCGCCTGATTGACTTCGGCGCCATCGAGCAAGAGGAAGACGATGACGAGGCTCTTGCGCGCGCAGCGGACAACGCCATCATCTCCGATGACGAGAGCGTGGCAGGCGAGTCTAGCGCAGATCATGCGACTTCATCGAAGGATCCTCTCCAGATTATGCAGTTCGATGCACTGCTCTCCATGCTGTCTGTGCTGCATCCACGCATCAGGACAAAGTATCCCAGCCGTTTCCTCTCTACTTCTCTGCAGGCCGTGCTGAGCGCGTACGATGAGGCTGGTCCCTATGCAGGCCAGCTCACCCCTGCCGTCACCAAATTCCTGAAGACTCTGTCTGGCACAAAACGACCACATCTTCCGCCGAGAACGAGCAGTTTCTCAGTCGCAGGGTTGAATCGTGTCGCACCAGCGCCTGATCCGGAGGGCTCCAAAGAACTGCCAGCGCCAGCAGAGGATGACCTTCAGAAGAGACTCCTGCAATCGTTCCTTACGCACGTCTTGGAAGATTACATGAGCTCCTTCTCGTCATTCGACGGTGTTCCTGCGCTTTCCTGGTCCAGTCGCGTCCATGAAAAGTTGCATCCCGAGCGCAACATCCCGAACAAGAAGACTTTTGCAGAACGCTTCAACACCGAAGAGCCGCTCGTAGCGAGAACGGGAATAGTTGGCCAACTCGCTGCACTCTCCGTCGATCTGGATATCGACACTAACGATCTTCTGGCCGCCATCAAGGATACCAATCCCGAACCTACAGGACTACCCACGGAAGAAGAACCCCCTGCGGCAGCAGCAGATATTCCACTCGCAAAGACTGGTTCACTATTCCTCTTCACAGCACGAAAGATCGGGGAAGTCATCTACGGGCTGCGAACCGATGCTAAGGATCTTCCACTTTTCCCGGACCACGCAACGGTCTTGCACAATTTTGTTGGCCTTGAAACAGCGATGGATACTGGCCTTCACTCGGACGCTTTGGTGGACAGTCTGCTGACACTAGGCATCCTGGCGGTTGAGAGGAACGAAATTGGCGAACCGGCAGAAGACGAAGACTTCATCAAGTACCTTCAAGTTACCTCTCTTTTGGCGGCAAACAACCCATCGCCGACTCTCCGGTACCACGCACATTACCTCACCACGACTGTGCTGCGCTCTCACCCGTCAGACCTTGTCCGCCTCACGTTCATCCGCGATACACTGGAACATTGTCCCTACGAAAATCTCAAAGCTACGGCGGTTGGCTGGATGAAAGGAGAAACGATTGAAGCAAACATGGCCACCCTTAAAGCGGGACAGGAAGCAGCATCGGCGTCGTCGAAAACACCCGGGCACTCGCGCACGACCTCAACGGCTACCGATGGCGATGAGTCTATTTTCGCGACCCCTGTCGCGCTTGCCACGATCGCTCCGTTCCTCTTCCCCGAAATCACGCACGATCTCTCCGGCCCATCGATTTCCGAAGCATGGCAGAAATTCAAGCTCGATTTGTCGTTGTACCTGGCCACGCTTAACTTCTACTACCTCCTTCTTTCGGCAAAGCCGCTGCACACGGTTCTCGATGTCCCAGGACTACACGAGGGCAATGATGTGGGCGGCAGCTACCTCTTTCCTCTAAGGCAAGCGGTCGGTTCTTTCAGGAAGTCCCTGGAGGGAGGTGAATTGAAGAGCGAGGAGGGAGATCAGGGTGCTTCGCTTGGCTTGGGGGATCTGAACGTTTTAGAAGATGTGTTGGAACGGGTGGAAAATGGCGTCAAGACGCTTAATGGTGTGTGAAAGGATGGTCCTCGAGGTCGCTCACTGATAGAGGAGGGCACAGACGTTATAATTCAGGGCAGGTCCCGAGCTATTCATACAGAACAACTTCACGTATTATTTCCAGAACTGATGTATGTCTTCGGTGACTGACGGGCGACCGACCAAGTTTCTCTGATCACCACACAAAAGAGCAAGATGCTGATCAAGGGACACAATGGATACTAAAGTTTGGGCGTAGCGGCGCCTTGTTCCCTGGTGTCAGCTGGGGTTCCTGCTACCGACGGCTACAAAATCATTTGGTAACGTACGAAGTTGCTTTGCTGAATATCCCACACGAGATCCCGGAACCAGACAACCCCCGGTGAATGTGCCAGAGTGCGGGGTTTCATACTGTTGGACTTCAAGTCAAGTCTCGTAAGTGCGCATGCACAAGCGTGAAGCATTCACTCCTGCACAAACATACACTCCATCACTGTACATGATGCCCACCGAGGACCCTAGGAAGCCGAGCTGGATCCCGTGACCATCCATCTATATAAAATCTTTCTCTACTGACGCACCCAAACCCTTCGCCAACCATCACTCTTATCCTAAGCTGCCACCCAACTTTATCTGCTCGGACATTCCTCACTTCATACAACAGTATCATCACCAGAGAGGCATGTCTTCCCGCGCTACAGCAACCCAACCCCCCACTTCACCGAGCCACTGACACAGATTTGCAGCAACCTTGAAAATGCACATCAACACCATCTTCCTCCTCACTCTCGGCTCGATCACCAGCCATCTCGTCACCGGCGCTCCCGCCTCTCTCACCAGCGCATCCAACTCCACCAACACCATGACCCTCGCCGCCCGCAGCTCCTGCCACATCCAGCCCTTCCTCGGCTGGGTCGGTCAGCAGTGCGACTGGAAGACCGGCCTCGATCCGGAGGTAACGTCCCGTCCCGTCCCGTCCCGATCCCCAGCACAAAACCTCGACACCCTTCTGAATCAGAGCCGAAGAATATATATATGTATGCCCACTGACGTAGGCGGGTGCCGCTCCATATAGGGCAAAGGCAGGATCACGTGTCGCGAGTACTGCATGCACCTGGACGGCGAGCCGGACTGCATGACGGGTGCGCGCTGCTATGCTAGGGATGGCGACGACAAGCCGGGAGAGTGTTGGTGCCCGTGTGGGCAGCGTGAGATCTGCTCGTCTTAGGGCGTCCCTTGTCAATCGTCCCCCCGAGAGATTGTGGAAAATGGACGATAAACGGCCGGGGTAGGTGGAGCGGGCTTTCGGCATCATGCGCAAGTCCTGGGCAGCATTTAGATTGAGATCTTTGGCTCATGCCTTTGATGAGGGTTGCCGGCAGCAGGCCATGCCCTGGTTCAGGCGACGGCTTCCTGCATGAGGATGTTTGCTTGTATTCAGTCATCATGATCAGGTAGCAGCGGCGTATATATCGAACGCCCTGCCACTTATTCTTTTGGATTGTCCTGCTGTATTCTTCAACTTCTCTGAAGGCTTTTTCTTCTTCGCCGAGCACCTGCTTAGTCTCATCGTCTTACTAGAGATGTCGTCCACGTTAGTCACACGTGCGCTTCTATCCAAAGGCACAATTGCACGTCCAGCGATCATGCTCCAACGCATAGGAGCGTGTTGCGAGCGTTGCAGCACAGACAATCTCAACCAATGAGATTATCCCGGTCGTGTGGCGCAAGCGCATCGTCGTCCTCACGGTCCACTTCAGCTCCGTGAAGGCACGACAAAGCCGGGAGGTACGGCAGAACAGCAGTCTTGCTGTGCAGCGGGTGATGTGAGCCTGGAGGATCTTCGAAAAGAGGAGATTGAGATGATGAGAAAAAGCACTTCACCATCTGAGGATGACTGGCAGATCACCTACACCGAGCAACAATGTTTTTCCGTTTCCGTTTTATCTATATTAGTCTATTGCTAATCGATATCTTGTCAACACCCAATGGCCTAATAGTCTAGTGGATATGATTCTCGCTTTGGGTTCTACCAGTCTAAAGTTGCGAGAGGTCCCGCGTTCGAATCGCGGTTAGGCCCTCTACGTGTTTCTTTTTTTTTTGTTCATGTATCTCAAGCGGTATCTCACATAACATATCTTTTTATGCGGGGGGTGAGTCCTAGATGTGTGCGTTGAGGGCGGACACGCTGGTGATGGCGTGATTGCGAAGTGTGCAGGTGGGGTGGTGGTGCGATGTGCTGTTCCACCAAGACCACGCAAGGGGCAGTAGCAGTTGGGCGGCAGCGGTGCACGATGGACTCGCACCATGGCTGAGGCAGTGCGGTATCAACTATAAAGTACTGTCTCATGTGGCAGCCGCGGCAGCCGCAACTGGGCTACGACATCGTCGTCGTGACGTGGAGGGCGAGTGCTTCTCGAGGGGTTGGGGGCGGTGGACGAGGACGAGGAGGACGCGAAGTTGTTGCACAGGTTGTTGCCGAGGAGGTTGCGTCTGGTGAGTCTGCTACTGGAGTGGATTAACACGGCTCTGACTGGGAGTTGAGCGCAGAGCTGGGATGGCGGACGGATCTGGTGTTCTCAGCTTACTCTTGAATGCGCGACTTGCTACAGTAGATAGATCCCAAGTGTTTGTTAACTTTCCAGTTATTCTGATCTTGTCATCCCCGGACCATGCGTGTGTAATAAGAGGATATGCCAGTGGCGCTCACTGAATCCCGAGAATATATCTTCCAAACCACGCCAAAGACAAAAGAAAAGACCCATAAAGTACCTTGTTCCAGGAACTCATCTAGACCACGGAGTGGTGAAAGTCATGATCAACACCGACGTTCGTGGTTCTCATAATCCCTCCCGCCAGCGCTGCTGGGCCTGACACGCTACTCCCACGGCCCCCGATCTCCCGGTCAATCCTCTCGATGGTAATACTGTCACCGCTCACCTTGCGAGCCGCCGCCGCGATCCTGGACGACTCGAAAGACGCCTTACCACCAGCACCACCGTCGCTCGTCACCACCGCCACCGTCGTCCCCCCATCTTTTCCCCCCGCTCCCGCCCCCGCTCCCCTCCCCGCCGCAGCAAACCTCACCAACCCAATCTCCTCACTTCCCGCCGTCAACCTTCTCCCCCCACTGCCGCCGCCGCTCCGCGAACCTGACGAACCCTCCCCCTCAGACGACTTCGACGCAAACCACCCAACACCACTACTGCCACCACTACCACCACTATCACCACCACCACCACCACCACCACGACCATTACGACCACCACCACTATCCCAAACCCACCAGCAGCGCGAAGACGAAGACGACGAAGACGAAGAAGAAGCGAGCAGCGGCTTCGCGCACGGCAGGTTGCCCGCGACGACGCCGATCTGCGTCTCGACGACGTACCAGACGGTGAGGTGGCGCGAGTCCCAGAGGAAGTCGCCGCGGCGGCCGTAGGCGGGCAGGTGGACGGCGCGGACGACGGCGGCGGCGGCGGCGACGAGGCCGACGCCGAGGACGACGACGAGCGAGAGCTTCTTGCGGACGGACATTTGGAGCGGGTAGATGAGCGGGATCTATTTTGTTTTTTTTTTTGTTTTTAGCGTCGTTAGTGCGGGTTGGGGAACGTGGGGGTTGATGATGGTGAGTTTTGGGGTTCTTTTGTTTTCTTGTCTTTTCTTTTTTTTTTCCTTTTCTTTCTTTCTTTCTTATTTGAGGAGGGGGAGGAGGAGCAAGAAGAAGAAGAGAGGGTGGGGGTTGTTATTTACCGGGATGAGGACTGCAAAGGCGAAGTCGGTGGTGATGTTGACGACGCTGTTGAGGTAGCTCAGGCCGTGCAGGATTTCGACGCGCCAGCAGGTGGTCTTGACGGCCGGGTCCCAGATGACGCGCAGGTCTTTGCACTGCAGGAGGAGGGTGATGAAGCAGGCGACGGTGTAGATGGCCAGGAGTATCATGATCCACGCGATCAGGCTCCTGTACTTTCCTCGGCCGGTGATGCGCAGGAGGAAGAAGCCCACGGATTCTTTGACGAACAGGGCGGCGAAGAGGTAGAACGGCTGCGAGAGGAAGTTGAGATACATTCCCTTGCTGAAGACACTCGGCTCGATGTACTGCCGGTGTCTGGTGATGATGACGGTCAGTTCACACCTGTGGGAGAGGAGTCGCGGAGAGGCACCTTCCTCCTCCGTTCTGCACCTCCAAAATCACGAGGGCCATGCCCATCAGACTGAACAATGCAGCCATGCACATCATGCAATCCTAGTCATCTGTCAGGCCGTGGCGTCCAATACGACCTCTCTTGGCCTCCGCAAACTTACATCCCATCCGATATTGCGACTCATCCGAATGCGGACGTATAGACGAAGCGCAAGGGAGAAAACACTTCCGAGCAGAGTCATCCCGATGGTAACCCCCAAAATGGAGGGCCGAGCATCCTCGTCTAGCGGGAGAGGACCTTGCTTCTCTGGTGCAGCCATGGCCGAGGAACTGTTGTCCTGCGTGTGGATGGGTTGACGTCCAAAGAAGCAGGAGTCAGCCCTCTGGGCAAGCGCAGGATAAACCTATAATAATAAAATGCATACAGATTCCTGCCTTCCGTTACGGGAGTGCTAATAAAGCCACACAGAAGGCTGCGCTAATGGTTGACAGCAGGACACTCCCGTCGGTCCGCTGGCAGATCAGAGCTCGGTCGAGGAAATACTATGCGATTCGGCTCACTTAGCTTCGATGGTGCAACAGTGAACGAACGGCGCCGGCCAGTGACCGGAGACAAAAGCCAGGACCAAAGGAGCTGGTCACTACTGCACTATGTAGCTTTGGGGTTATCTCTCCCTTGATAACATGTGCTGGTGTGGCGCGCGTAATCGTTTCTGGTCGACGGTGATCACAGTGTGATCCGTTCATCTCCCTAGAAGCCCTGTCGCGCTATGACGGGCTAATGATTATCAACTCCCCATAGGAGCGGTTGTAGCAAGTTTGAAGTCGGGAGTACTTTGAGACTAGAGGGCTATATTCGCAGTCAACTCCATCTTCACGCACGGAAAACCTGCCCGAGTCTCTCGCTTGTTCACAACCCGCGTACTTACACCGACGTCATACGTATTGTCAGTTCCTCTAGAGCGGCGGAAGGATTGCGGCTGGCGGCTCGTTGGTCAAGGTCCTTCAAGTGAGTTATTATTATTAGCGATAACCCGATCAATACCATCAGATGACCTCACCCGCCAATGAGATTGAACTGTAACCCGCATTCAGCATTCGGAATAGACTTCATGTCCTTCAGGAATGGCGTCTCCCACCGCCCGCCGCGAAGGTTTGGCTTTAACTAGCGCATCCGGAATAGTAAGCGTGGCACCGCTGTTCCTACCGGCCCCTCTCCGTGACCAGCATTTCCAAAGAGTTAACCTGGCTGGATAACGAGACGCGGTCCTGGCCGTATGCTTAGGCGGGAAATTGCGGCAGAAAAAACGAAAGCGAAGCTGAATGCATCTTTTCGAGGCGCAGCGGTTGAAGCCGACAGGGCGGTCTTTGATAGGTTGAACAGTTTACTAGTACGTACATTTATAGTTCACAGGAGATACTTAAATTTGGAAAGTAAGCGTTGATAAAGCAAGATACGCTGCATGACTTCATTATTGCAGCTCGTGGCAGTCCATGGATGATTAAGGTACCAGCACTTACTAGCACGTATGAACATGTTGAGAATCCGGAATTTGACTCAAGTGCACGACAAAGTGTGTAAAGTCGATGTCCAAAGGAGCCGGTCACGATGATCCATCACAACATTGTTGTAGCGATGGGAGAAGCAGTTTCCACCACGTCCATGAGCAATGGGTCCGTAAGTGTTCAAGTGACGATGAGATTTCGCCTTCAGGAACAGTTTTCTCGGGGAGTTTCGGTAGTCCTCACCATCTCCGTAGCACCCAGGCCAATGTGAGCCCTACTCGACTTCTTTGGAAACTGGGTCCAATGCGGGTATGCGAACGAGCGCAAAGCTCTTGGTGGTGTGAGGCAACACATTGACGGGAAAGATGTCCGGTGCTACCGCGTGGGGACAGAAACCTAAATTAGACGCCTCATCCAGCCCGTATCTTTTGATCAGTGCACTCCGAATCTATCCGAAACCCTGTAGGTGGGAACGCAGGAACATGGTGCATTGTTGTGGGCTAGAACACGTACCCGGTACGGTCAGCATCCTGGGGACACCAGCAACAACCGCCCGGGTAAGGCAGAACTTGTCACAAAGAGCTTTTGTTGAGTTTTCCCAAAGGGGGCTATATCCCCCTTTCCATCAGCTTTCAGAGCAAAGGCACTTGCAAGCGAACACGCGCAGGTACCCTCCGAACTCTACACAGTCCTCGCATTGCGTATTACGGAGCTTGTCGTGTAGTTCCTTACAAGTTGTATGAGAAGCAGTGTCCGTGGCAATGAGCGCTCTTAGCACGTTGGGCACATAAGTGACGATGTCCTTGTACTCGGGGTGGAGTCAACCACGTCCCTGGCACCTTGACTGATACGTCGTAAATCCGTAAGGGTGGCCAAATCCACTTGGGCGAGAATGAACTGAGGGGTTCCAGAGGTAGTGTGTCGAGCATGCCAATAATGTCGCACTGTGGCATTTTCGGGAAGTGGCCGTTGTCCAGAGGTAGCTTTGTGGGACTGGCATGAGCGCGCCAGGCAGCAACTTCAACGTCTAGCAGGCAACAGTGGTATACCCATACCCACAGCCCATGTGCTCTTGCTTCTTTCCATAACCCCTCCCGTGCACAACCCTCACAGACCCCTCCGTGACCTCTTCATTGGCCGCGGACTCTCACCCCTCTCCTCCCTCTCCCGCACCACCGCACTCCTCCTCTCCTTCCTCACCCTCGCCTTCGACGCTGGCGCCGGACCCCCGTTCGACGTCTGCTGCGGCTGCCGCCTCCCCTCCTCGCTCACACCATCCCCCACACCCTCCTCCGCCCGCACCCCCTCCCCTTCCCACTCCCTCCCCTCCTCCCGCATCCTCCTCTTCCTCGGCCTCCTATCCACCAGCGCCATCCCCGCCATCCCCGCCACCGCCGCCTCATCCGCCTCATCCCCCTCTTCTTCTTCCACCCGCCTCGCCTCCCTCCCCCGCTTCTTCCATCCCGCCGCGGCGCTCGTCTTCTGTCTCGTGGCCGTGGCCGCCGCGCGCCTGGCCGCCTGCTCCGCCAATCGGGCGTCGACCTCGGCGCTGATGTCTTCGAATTCCGGTTCCGGCTCCGGCTCCGGCTCGACGACTGCCGCCGTCGACGATGGTGCTGGGGGAGGAGGGGGTGGCGATGGCGACTGTTGCTGCGGCACGGCCGTCGTTGTGAAGGTGAATGGATACGTCGGGGCGGCGGCGGCAGTAGCGGGGGGATCATCATCGCGAGCGGCATGAGAAGCGGCAGCAGGTATGCTGTGCCCGGTATTGATACCATTGTTCGTCCGCTGTCTCTTACTCCCTCGCTGCTGCTGCTGCTGCCGCTGCAAGCTCTCGCCAGACGAGACGCGTCGTACGCGCTTCTTGTTCTTCGTTCGGGCCGCGTCGTCGCCATCTACCGGGTCGGCGCCGGGACGGTAACGACGGGCGATGAGGCCGGTGTGGCCTTCTTCAGCAGGAAATTTTACACCGTCAAGGTCGCGGATGGCGCGGGCGGCAGAGGCGGCGGAATGGAAGGGGACCTTTATGATGCCGTTTCTATGGGCATCACCGGCGGGGAGGTCATAAAGGTGGATTTCGGAGCGTGTGGGCTTGCGGAAGGGAGGATTGATATCGACACTAGTTGATGGCGGTTTTTTGTCAGCTTGTCTTTTGCCCTCCAGCTATTTCAAGCACATTGTAGTCTCCAAGCATTAAAGTGGGAGAAAGAGAAAGAGCGGGACCGGGGCGTGAGACGTACGGATCATACTGGCACCATATCGGCGAAAGACCTCCCGTTGCCGTCACATACCACGGGATGTTCGCGATGACGATGCGCTTTTCCGCCTTGTCGGCTACCTCCATAATTTCCCCCGCCCTCACGGCGTCCTCCCATATCCGCTCTGCGCGCGCCCGCATCGCATCAAGTTCCGGGGTTTCTCCATCGACATGCAGGCTTGCCAGGTGGTCGAGTAGCGCGCGGTGGCTGCGCAGATTGGCCAGGTGCGTCTCGTGCAGCGAGCGCCAGGCGGCTTCGGAACTGGGCATTGTGTTTGCTGGTGCTGCCATGGTTTGGGTGGTTGGCGTATGCGTGTACGTGTGTGCGCGTTTGCGTCGACCGGCGTGCGGTGGAAGGGGAGAGTCTATCCAAGATACGTGTACGATGGGTATCCAATGGGCTCAAAACGCGGTGGTGATGGAAGAAGAAATGTGCGTCTCGCGGTGCGGCCGGCGCGGAGGGACGATGTGTAGGTAAGTTTGTTGAGCAGAAGCAAACAGGCGCGAGGTGCTGTCAATGCATTTGCGATCGATTGTTGGTATCGTGGTAGGCGTTTTCCGCTGGCCGAACGACGGCAGTCGAGCAATGCTGGGGCGTAGTTGGAAGGGGAGGAAAAGTCGAGGCGCGACGGGGAGACGCGCCGAGTCGTCCTTTCTCGTGTGCGTCGGCTGATCGACGGCAGGGGTGCGTGCCTGCGGGGGTGGCTGACTGGCCGGCGCCGCCTGTTGCAGCCAATTGCTTGCGCTCTTTGCAAAGCTTTGTTTATACACATGCTTACTAGTGACTTTAACGGACTGGCATCTTCCATGAAGCTTGCTCAACTGCCTAACGACTACGGCAAGCATCACGACAACAATCACGCTTTGCTGATCATGCTTTGCAGCTCCGGTAAGTAATGGAAGAATGGGGCTGCCGACATAAGAAATACCACATAGCATTCGAAATAGTGCAATTTTGCGGTTTTTCACTAGGCCAACATGGTGGTTTGGGTGCAGGATGCAATCTTTGATTGATTCGTCGTTTGTCTCATTTCATCGTCAGCCATATAATCCGCTCCCAACAAACAAAAGTGATACGATTACTATTAGTCCGTCATGATGCTAGTCGATCTGGCAGAGTAAAACTTCCCGATGCCTACTTCAAACCGTAGAAGGGATCTTAACTCACACGCCATCGTACAAGATACTACCACAAGTGACGGCCTTGCCTCGCGCTCCACTTTTCCCCATCCCCTGATTTCCACATAACGCCAACCCTCGCCCGCCCCAATCCGCAATGGAATACTCCCATAACACCATCGCTTACTTGTGTTCGTTGTTTCCTGCAACCGCATTCGACGATGGACTTCGCCTGGACAATAGGAACACGAAATGGAAAGGCCATGCTATGCCGCTACTCCTCAAAACCTAAAACCGCCCGTCCCCAGAAACGTTGCCAAATCCCCCAACCCTTTAAGGTGATCGTCGAAGGCTTTCGAATCTCGCTCGCTCGTCTCTTCCTCGCTCTCCTTCACCGGCGCAAGCTTGCCGTCTTCCGCTTCCAGCTGCTGGAGCTGCTGTAGCGGCGGTAGCGTTGGGGCTACGGCGCCATTCAACTCCACCTTGACACCGTCGCCATTGACAACAGGCGGAAGATGGTGCTGTTGCTGCGTACTGCCGCCGTTGAGGGCCATGGTAGCAAGAGGAGGGTGATGGCTATCGTGGCGCTCGTGCGATGCACCAGCGTCACTACCGCCCCGCGCGTTCAGCCTCGTCGAGAGCCGGCCGAGTTCCGAGTGCCAGCGCTCAGCGAGCGGCCAGACCGGGGCCGACTTGCGGAGGATCTCGAGGACGGGGGCAACGATGTTGCGAGCAGGCGCGTCCGCGTTTTCTGCGCCGCCAGCGCTACGAGGGTGATCGGAGGCGCCAACGACGGGCATGGGTACGCCTTGGAGGATCATGTTGGCGACCGTCGAGGCGGCGGTGTAGGCGGCAAAGAGAACGACGACGGGGTAGGCCGGCAGTGGCGCACCGGCGTCAGCGCCGCCGCTGACGAAGCTCGCGTCGGCGTCCAGCGTTGAGATCAGTGCCGTCACGCGCCCGGCGGCGTACGCGATGGCGTCGATGACATCAGTGACATCTGCGTCGGTGTCGCGGCCCCCTACACGCCGACCCATGCGGTGAAGCTGCTTCCGAGAGAGGAAGATGAAGGCGCAGTAGTATACGCTGTGAGTGAAGGCGAAGGAGTAGCCGTTGCCGACTTGTATGTGGAGGTCTATCTTGCCCGGCGTGTCCTGCTGGCGCGAGGGGAGGGATCTTGCCCATTGGCGGAGGCTGCCCATGATTGCGTGGTATTCAGTGTCGTCTTGCTCGTCTGCAGGCGGATCTGTCACCCACGAGACGGCGCGGTGCCAAAGAATTGCCACTCGAATCATATGGCCGAACTCTCCAACCTCAGCTTTGGGGCATTCGGGCGAGGTGTAGCCGGGTACTTCACCATTGAGGGTGGGAGTCGACACCGGACTCCCAAAGTGGAAATCATCCTCGCTACACGGCAACTGGATCTGCAGTTCTTCAGCGCGAATGGAGGGAAGACGCCCGTTGCCACATGAGAGAAACTGGTCCATGATGAAGCAGGTCCAAATGGTACGGCGAGCGGTCTCAGCGGCGACGAAGTCTTCATCACCGGTGGTGGCTTGCGGTAGAAACATTTGAGCCATGCGGCCAGCCATGCCGAGAAAAATGTAGGCACGTATCCCACGGCCGGAGCCCCAGTGATGCATGGCGAGTAGACAGAGTGACTGCACGTCGGGCACGGAAGGGCAATCCATACTCGAATTGATGTTTGCCTGAGCCTTCTCAGCGAAGTACTCAGACGCACCACCAGGGGAGCCGAAATGGCGGATCAGACCAGGCGAGGCCCTGCAAGAAGTGAGTTTCTTCTCTGCAGTAGATTGGGAGACGGAGGACTACCTGGCACCCGAGGAGAGTATGGCATAGTTCAAGGTCTGCGGGAGATGGCCCTCCCTCAGCTGGCGCATGAAGCTGGGACGGTGGAAACAGGGAAAAGGCCATAGGGCGAAGGCGCGCTCGCAGTCCTGGACGTGGCTCGGGTGCAGCTCAAGCTGGCTGGCAAGGTCGGATCGGTCCGGGAGGGCGGTGTCCTTGTGGGGTTGCTGGGGCTGGGAAAGCTGAGCGGTGGCGGTTGGGGACGTGGTGTTTGCGAGCGGCGGGAGCCCGGCTATGACGGGGGCCCTCGGGGCGCGCGGGACCTTGCCGGGGAAGACGCACTGCTGCTGGGCCTTGACACAGCCTCGGCACGGCTGGCCGTTGTCATCGTGGAGGCATTTTGTCTTCTGGCGGCGGCAGCGGATGCAGGCGGTGGCCGAGCGGGTGGCGAGCGGCTGGGGCTGGGGAGGGGCCGCCTGCATTGGGTCGAGTTGGGGCATCTAGGGTCTGGTGGGTTGGAGGGGTGCTCGGAGTTGGGGTGGTCGGATGATGGAGGCACCACGGGCCGGCGCGTTGTCTTGTCCGGCGCTAATTCAGCCGGTGCTGGCGAGCGGGAGGGAGGCATTCTGGGCAGCGACCGCCAGGGGGGCCGACCGGGCCTGCCCGCCCAACAGCGTGCGTCATCTCCAAGCTACGCCTACGCTCCTCGCTCCAACCTCCGGCCGATGCTGCCACTTTGCCTCCAATAACCGACCGCGGCCAATCCTGGGCGGACCGGCTGTCGGCAGCCTATCGGAAGCAAAGGCGCTGTCCTCGGGGCGTGGACGATCCCGAATTGTCGCCTGCAGCCAATCCCACCTGGCCCAAAATAATCAGCCCAACTCGCTCAGCCGCCCAGCCGTCCACGACCCTGACCAGCCCGAGGCGCACGTATTCTCAGCCTGTCCAAAAGCCCTCGGCACCATGTACTCAGCCTCCAGCCGACTACGCACCATGATATCGCCCCAGGACCCCCGGTTTCGGCGCTCAGAGCTGCGTTACTTGCATCCTTGCACACCAACCGACGTTTCGAAGGCCCGGTGGCCGGCCGGGACGGGCCGGAGAACCTGGAGCCATCTCGGGCCTGAATTTAGCAACCCAGGCCATGCTTCGCAAAGCCTTGCGGCCTTGTATTTCATGGCGGCAGTCACTGACTGCGCATCGCCAACGCCCTAGAAACCCGCAACAGACCGGATGTGCTCAGCCGGGTAGGTGTTGCGTGGGATGAGACTACGGAAGCACTAGTTTTAGACCCGGTCGCTCCGACAGGCAGCGCTCAGAGACCAATCAGATTCCCTCTTGTTCGGCATGCCGAATATACGGAGCTGCAACGTTTGGCCTTCCTCAACCACCATTTCTCCAACAGCTGCTACTCCAGGGAACTGCGCGTTTGAAAAGAGCACACAAATGTTGTCGCCAGGCTCTCTCATCTTCACTATCACCGAGTAACGCCTAGTATCGCCATCAATCTCGCGCCTTCGTTGCCTTATACATCACTCGCACTGATGTGAACGTTCAGCTCGAGTCTGACCCGGTAAAGCTCTGCATTCACCCGACTCGCGGAGCTCTAGCGACGCCAACACTCCGACGCCGCCATTACCGCAGTTATCCGTGTGGCTGAGAAGACGTTCGGCCGGCCCCATTTGCGTGCCACCGACGTAAATGGGGGCGTAGCGTACACCGGGCGTCGTTGGATGATGACGAGGCGAGCGGGAGCATCGCGGAGAAGCCGGAGATCGAAGTGTGGTGGCAAAGGCGGATCGTTGTCTCATGGGGAGCCATCGTGTATGAAACACGGTTGTTGCGCCGCGTAGCCAAGTTGGGTCCCGGCCCGTTTCGGGTTATGATCTCCAGGTGGTGTCTCTGCTGTGTGGAAATGGGGCATAGCGGTGGTAGACATGTGTGTCGCGACGACGGCCGTGGCGTGGAAGCGTGGTGCTGGTCAATCGGATGGGTGGTGACAACCAGACCTGTGAGGGTAGAGATATGCCTGATTGATACCGGTACCTGCTTAACATGTCAGTGATGCTCAATTGTCGGTGTCTCTCAAGGCACATCCTGACGCGACGGGTTTGGTACATCCATGAGTCACCAGCAAAACATTGCGACGTTGGATGAACAATCAATTGATGCTCTTCGACTGCAACACAGATGACCACCATTATGCTGGGGTATCTTCAAAATCAACGCTTTCTCTCTCTTTCCCCCCCTCTCTCTGCAACAAGATAATGCCAATATGTTTCCAAGATCAGGATATTACGTAGTCGTCAAAGCGATGCGAAGCGAAAGCGAATCACACTTTATCGTCCAGTCGTCGAATGGGCTTATTGCGAGGAGCCACCAGAGACAGTGATCACTTGGCCTGGATGATGATGATGACGTCAGTGAGTGCACATAACAACAGTAACTGTTCGCTGGAGGACTAACCGTTGACCCATCCACCATCCTCGCTGGCCAGGAAGCCGACCACCTTGGCAACGTCCTGGGGCACCGCACATCGACCAAGCGGGCAGTGGTTCGCCATGAGGCCCTCAATCTTCTCAGCGGACCAGTCAGGTGTGCCTCCGGGGATGTAATGCCATGCGTTTTCGGTGAACATGTCGCTCTTGATGCCGCCAGGAGCAACACCATTGACAGTGATGCCTCTCACACCGAAGTCGGTGGCGAAGGATTTGATCATGCCAATCACCGCCATCTTGCTGGCGTTATAAAGCACGTGGTCCTTGACGCCGAGCAGGCCGGCAGCAATGCTGGACATGAGGATGAGGCGACCATTGTCCTCGAGGTGGCGGAAGGCAGCCTGGCCGACGAAGAACTGTGCGCGAGTGTTGAGATTGAAGACTTGGTCGTACTTCTCCTCTGTAATCTCCAGTGTCTTGTCCCAGCTTTCGGTGCCAGAGTTGCTCATGACGATGTCCAGCTTGCCGAATGCCTTCTTGGACTCCTCGAACAAGCGGTTGATCTCGGGGACCTTGGAGACGTCGGCCTGGATGGCAGTGGCCTTCGCGCCGTTGGCGTAGGACTCAATCTCCTTGACAACTTCTTCGGCGGGGCCCTTGGAGGCGACGTAGTTGACAATGACAGAGGCACCGCGCTTGCCGAGCTCGAGAGCGACGCCGCGGCCAATGCCACGACCGGCACCGGTGACGAGGGCGACCTTGCCCTCGAGGCTGGCAGTAGGAACAGCGACAACCATGTTTGCTCAATGCTACAGTGGCGGAGTTAGAATGACCAGAAAGCGGAGTGTTGTCTCGACAACATACGGGTATATAGCTGGTGAAAGTGGCGACAGGAAACGGCAGCAAGAAGGGACGGTTGCGGAGGAGATTAATGGACTAACAGACTCAGGAATGGAACACAGGGCATTTTACAAAGGTAATTGAGGACTATATAAATGAGAGCTACAAAAAAATGTTACCAGCGGATCTGGGAGACGCGACGCGTCCCGGAGCCGGATCCCCGCCCTTAGTCCGGAGCACGATTCGCTAGCCCAGGGCCGGAGGCATGGCTTTCTGGAATCGTTCCACGGCAGTCCGATGGCGCTGTCAGGCGCCGAAAGCGCGATTGGCCCAACAACGTCAGCTGCGACGTGGGGCCAAAGTGGGCAGTGAAGCGTTTGCGACAGGCCAAGCCCTGTGGCATGGTGTTTTTAGCAAGTCCGAAGCACTAGCCGCTGAGGTGAGTGCATGCACCATCGGCAAAGAAGCGGGGTGATGCGTGCAGCTGGCAAGAGGGAGTCCGAAGGGTGGGTGAGGCTGGATTTAGTTTCCGACTGCAGGAACGCGTGCGTGTGGAGGAAGGATATGATGAAGCAGCGGAGGATAGCTACGGTATGGCGACACCGCGGCGCCCGCGCTCGGGCCCGGTGATTGTCTTGTCTGTTATCTTATCACTTCTGCGCCTCCGCCCACCGCCTAGCCCCTCGCCCGCCAGCGCACTGTAGCAGCAGCTCTGCACAAGCTCGACAGCGCCAGCCAATGGCCACAGGACGCCCAATCCCTCGTGCATCACGGCCGGCGGTGTCGCAAGCACCTCTGCACACGCGCATTCGAGCCACGCAGCGCCCGCGCCGGCCGCTGGCAACGGCTGAAGTGGCGGGACATCAAACGCCGAGATGGCGACGCCACGCCTTTGACGTGATCCATTGCTCCTGCTGCCGCCATCCTCCAGCCCATCCTCTCGACCATCCTTGATCCTGCGCCAGCCGACTGCTGAGTTCCGGTGCCTACCGCCGTGTGGAGACTGATCGCTGCGGACTTGTAACAGGGGCCCTCCAGTTGTCCCCTCAGGCACCCGACGCCGGCCGTCCTACCCCAGCCGCAATCGGCGAAGTTCCTCCACGCAAAAGCAACATCACCACCGCCACCAAGATGCACATTCTCGTAAGCCGCCCGCTCACCTCACACACGCCCCTCGGCAGACGTCATTGACAGAACCTCCTTCCAGGTCACCAACGACGACGGCCCGCCGTCCAACGACTCCTCGCCCTACGTGCACCCCTTCATCGCTGCCCTCCAAGCCCACGGCCACACTGTCTCTGTCGTACTGCCGCACGTGCAGCGCTCATGGATCGGAAAGGCACACATCGTCGGCCACAGCATCCGCCCGACCTACTTCCGCCCTGATCCCATCCCCGCCACTCTGCCCACCTCTGAAGATGGCACTCCACGCTACCCCAACACCGGAACCACCGACTCGCGTCCCCTGCCTCTCTCGTCATCCGCCGAGGAGTGGGTGCTCGTCGACAGCACGCCCGCGTCATGTGTTCAGATCGGCCTGCATCACTACTTCCGCGACCGTGGCCCCATCGACCTGATTGTCTCGGGCCCGAACTACGGCAGGAATACAACGGCAGTGTTTGCGCTGAGCAGCGGAACCATTGGCGGTGCCATGGAGGGCGCCGTGTGTGGGAAGCGCTCCATCGCCCTGAGCTTTGCCTTTTTCGACCGCAACCACGACGCCACCATCATTGCGGAAGCGTGCGAGCAGGCGGTCAAGGTGATTGAGCATCTGGCGACGAACTGGGGCTCGGACGCGCAGCTGTATACCGTCAACGTGCCGCTTCAGGCGGGCGTGACCAAGCAGAAGACTGTGTGGACGGAGATGCTGCAGAATTCTTGGTCGAGTGGAAGCTGCTTCCAGGAGGTGCTAGTACCAGAGAGCGAGGATGACGGTCCGGCCGAGGCTGAGAGAGAGCTGCGGAAACAGGAAGAGCGGGCAGAGCAAGGTGGGAGCAGTCTTGCTGAAAGCGGGACGGCCACCCCGCACGCGAGATATAACCACATGCACTTCAAGTGGGCACCTAAGTTTAAGGACGTCTACGACAGCGTGGAGAAGAGTGAGCCGGGCAATGATGGTTGGGCGGTGAAGAATGGTTTCACCAGGTAAGTCTTAACTCATCCTGGCTTTGTTTGATTTACTGACTGACTGCGACAGTGTTACGCCGCTGCGGGCCAACTTCATGCATTCTTCAGCGAACTACAAGGGTGAACTGCAATTATAGAAAACCGTGGTCAAGCAGTGAAAGGCTTGTTGGCACAATCCTACACTTGCCTTTTCTGCGGTTTGTATATACCCTTAAAAATTACCAAATGTTAAGCTTGTCATTCGTTGCATGCTTCATCACGCATTCTCCATTCTGCAATATGTCAACTCAATATAGGCCAGCGAAAGATAACGAAAACATCAAGCATGCAATGGTATACCGACACATTGATCTGAATCTCACGGTTCACACCACCTTCTTGTCCTGGCCGAATGTACTCGCGGCCGTTCTTAACCTGGTAGGGTTGAGGTGCACCTTCCCTAGCAATCCCCAGAAGAAGCTATCGGCTTTCAATACGCATGGCGGCAAGTGAACTCGCTCTGATGAGTCCCTCTTACCTTTCGTCCAGGTGCCCACTCAATGCTCAACGCTCCTTCCTCCGTGAACGCGGTGCGTAGTCTGATCTCCTCCAGCCATGCTACGACCTTCGTCCTCGTCTTCAACACTTCACCAATCGCAACAACAACAACGACAACAACAACATTCTTCATCGGCCATTCTTTGAATCATCGCCTCTCGCTGACTTCCCGTAAAGTTCGGTTGCCACGACAGCGCTAGCACTACTATTACAACAATGATCCGTCCGATACTCCGCCCGATACTCCGCCGGTCCGATGGGTCGGAAGGGAGAATACAGGGGCGCCCGCTAGAAACTGTTCCGGAAAATGCCCCGCTAGAAACTGTTCCGGAAGATGCCCCGCTAGAAATCGCTCCGGAAGATGACCCGCCAGAGGATTTTCCGGAGGATGACGAAGACGCGGAGAACCTGGGAAACCCGCTGCCGGAATACGCAGAGGGCTCGTCACACGCGGGGGACTCGGCATACAGGGGTAGTGATGATGAACGTATCACGATATCAGTATCGACATATGAGAAGGTATGAGGCACCACCGGGTTTTGTCTGATCGGTCTCATGTGGCTGACTCTCGGTTCTCCCGGAAAGCTGTCCCTTTGGATTTCTGGTCTGCTAACGCTTTCTTTTATGATATTGGTCGCTGCCCTTCTTTTGCTTGTTTACTGTTACGTTCTTGTTCTTGTTTGACGTCGGTCAGTTCACTGAGCGTCAACAACCAGCGAGCAAATAGAATCTCGGCAATCGTGTATTCAAGGCTTTCTCTCCATTATTAAAAATTCGTCATTAGGATCATGCATAACAATATTCACAACGCCTCCCAATCCTGCCCCCTCTCCTGACACGCTTGAGTTCAGTCCGCGTTGTAGATGGACAGCTCCTCGGACCCGCTGTCGTCGCCACAGGTCTCCTTGAAGCCGCCGACGACCAGCGCGCGGTCCTGCACCCACTTCTCGAAGCTGGCGGCGGCGCAGCTCTCGCCGGGCCCGTCGACGCAGCCGGGCAGCGGCTGGGGGCTGCTGTTGACGAGGGCGCGGTAGTAGTCGGTGCCGGCGCCGCCTTCGTAGCCGTAGCTGTCGCACGACATCTTCTCGACGGCGATGTTGGTGAGGAAGGGCAGGATGTGGGAGCTCTTCCAGGCGCGGCGGTGGTTGACGGCGTCGGCGGGCATGGTGGCGTTGGGGTCGTTGGCGCCGGTGAAGGCGGAGCCGTTGAAGAGGCCCATGGCGACGAGCACCGTCGGCGGCAGCTCGCGGTGGGTGAAGGAGACGTAGAGGCTCTGCGCGTCGCCCGAGGCGTTGGACGCGCTGGCGAGCGAGGCGGCGGTGGCGTTGAGCCAGGGGTAGCCGATGGCGCCCGCGGCCGGGTTGCCGTAGCCCGTGTTGTGGTGGTACATCAGGTCGTTGGTGTACTCGAACGCGAGCCAGTCGTCCGGGCTGAAGAGGGCGAGCGAGCAGAAGGGCGAGGTGCCGCGGATCACGGACTCGTAGCCGCAGAGCTGCTGCATGCCGTAGATGTCCGAGGCGGTCCAGTTGAAGCCCGGGACTGCGGCCTTGAAGCGCGCGATGATGGGGGCGGTGTACTTCTTCTGGAAGGCCTGATGGGGTGTGTGCGGTTAGCGGGCTGGACGGCGGCGTGTTGGTGGTGGAGGCTCAACTTACAGAGGACTGCTCGCTGCCGCGCGAGGAGCTGTAGGCCGGGCAGGCCTTGTACGGGGTCAGGCTGTCGGCACCAGAGGTCTCTTCCTCGGGAACCTGCTGGAGGGCGCTCATGTTGCTGGTGCGATCCAAGCCGCTGATCAGGGCTTGGGCGCTCTTGACGGTGCGCTCAGCCGTCGACGTCCACACCTTCTTGGGGGTGCCGAAGCCCGGGTAGCGCCGCGACAGCTCGACGCCCAGCGACATGGCTTCCAGCGTGCCGATCTTGGTCAGCTGCTCCATGTCGCGGTCCTCGACGATGGGATCCTGCCAGGTGGAAAGGAAGGACAGGGCCTGCGAGGACGAGAAGTCGGCCGAGGTGTTGGCGAGCTTCTCGGTGAAGGGCTCGATATACGACTCGTAGTCGAAATCGTTGGCGTAGATGGCAGCATGGCGGACCAGGTACGCTGCGCGCGTCACGTTGCAGCCCTGCGGAGGGGCGGGGTCGAGCGGCGGGTCCTGGGGCGAAAAGTAGGGCGCGATGCCGGCGAGATGCTCAAGCGGGTCGAACTCGTAGTCGTCGGGCGAGTAGAGGATGCTCTGGCCGCTGCGGGCGTGGGCTGCGCCCAGGAGGGCGGAGAGGGCTAGGAGGGAGGTGTGCATCTTGTGATGCTCGTCGTGTTCTCCTTCGCTGCTCGCTGGCTGCGGATTGATGTGGATGAGCAAGAGTGTATTCGGTCCAAACAGCCCTTCTCCCGGTCGTGAGTTGCGGAGCTCTGAGATGTCAGCCACCTTCTACGAACGGCCGGCGTTCTCATAAACAGCTGCATGGCGCGCGGCTGGGGCGCTGCGCTCGGGCAGGCCGGATGACGTAGTGAGCTAAGCTTTTCAGGCGGCCGCCTTGGAAGCTTGAGGGGTGGGCCGGCCGGTTTCTGCAGGAACAGGCAGCGATCGACTCAAATGCCATGTTTCCTAGCGTCTCCCGCACCCGCTACTCGGCTGTCTCGGATCAATGATGGCATTCTCGCCTGCCCTAGACCTGTTTCCTCCAACATCGGTGAGGCGCACTGGCGGTGAGTTGGCACCGTCTCAAATTAGAATCGCGGCAAGATGACGACCGGCCTCATGATTTCCGATCTGACCTGTCCCGACACTGGACTAAGGAAGCAGCCATTCACCGCACACAGCAACGAGTCCAGAAACGAGGAATCCACCCGCTCTGAGACATGCGCAAACATTGCTAGACCGCCCTTCGACATTTGCTCCAAGATTAAAAGGATCACAGCACCCTGCACACCTTTACGCAGTCAAATTAAGTCATCTCCCAACCCTAGTTCTTAATTGGATCCAAGTCGTCAATCTCGTCCGGGTTGTAGTCACCCGTGATCCACTTCCACGGCGTGACGAAGTCGACGAATCCAAGGTTGGGACTCGAGATGTCATAGCCCATCAACCTTTGCATCTCACGCGGCCATGAAGCGACGTCCTCCTTGGTGTGGATAAGGTATTGGTTCTCCTGTTGCCACGCCGGAGAAGTCAGCATAAGTGGGTACCATGACAACGTGAAACTCCAATTACCTCCGTGCGCAGGTGACTTTGGCAGAAGAACATCGAGTGCATCGGCCGCCGCCAGTCGGTCGTCGTGTTTGCCCCGCCTGCGTGGTAGAGACCGCCAAGGTGGCACCACGCATCGCCCGCCATCATTGTCGCTGGCACCGCCTCCTCCATCTTCGGATAGCGCTCCATACCCCAAAGGTGGGAGCCAGGAATCGCCTTGGATTTGCTCTAAATCAGCTACTTTTCTTTTGTTGAATGCGAATGCCGCATCTGCTGACGAGCAAGGATTCCAAATTCGGATCTTCCTCCTTTCTCATCTCAATTGGAGAAGCGAGTGAAGAATAGAAGATGCGGAATGGAAGAATATAAATCATGGGAACAGGGCAGAATGAGGCACACAAAAAGAAGAAACTCACCACCGTCGCCCCGTTCTCAGGCACCGTCTGCGTTCCAGGAATCAGGAACGCCATCATCACATCGCTGCCCATACGGTAGCCGGACTCCGTCTGGTCGTCGCGCCACGCGTGGTGCACCTTCTCATCGCGGTGGAGTCTCTGGCCCGCCCCGCCCGGATTGCACTCCATCGTCACGCTGTTCGACAGGATGGGGTAGAGCGTGTACTCGTGCCGGTCGTCGTTGTACCAACAAGGCGTCGTCTTGGAGAGGAAGTGCGACGTCAGTTGCGCGACAAGCGGGTGCATCAGCCAGTGGTTGCGGAAGGTCGGGGACCGCGCAGCTAGGCGCGTGCAGCGGCGCGTCTCGGGCGGGAAGAGCGCTCCCTGTTTCCGACTTGTCAGTATCAGACGGGCTTGGAGCACTGGGTGAGACTCTGAAAGAGCGACAAGGGGCATGGCGGAAGAAGAGAGATGGAGGAGGATCGGCTGACCTTCCACGGCTTGTCCTTGCGTAGATATGGCTGCGTCTCAGCATTGACTTGGTCAACAAGCTCTGGTGTGGTGAAGTTTTTGATTATGACGCCGCCATCCTTCTTCAATGCCTCAATGATGGCCTCCGGCTCTGAGGCATCGATGCGTTGGATAACGGGAACAGCGGACGGCATCTTTGGATAGTGCAGCTCGAGGGTACTCGAAAAGAATGGAAAGATCAAGGCGTTGGCGACTGCTGTATTGCGCCCAGATCTACTCCCTTTCGATGTATATAAGCACTCCCACAGCGACTTTATCTTTCTGACTGTTTTCCTGTTATCTATGCACCTGAACGTCCCCGCATATTCTTCGCCGCGAGATCTACACGCGGTTACGATCCCCCGGCTTGTTCAGCCGATCCGGAGAGGAAGGCTTAAGCGACGGGGCTGATATGAACGCAACAGTCGGGGAAAGCAGTTGCGACGACCAATCCACCATCTACACAGATGTCGGCTGCGATAATTGAACACGCATGGAGGTCTGAAGATGATATAGAAACTCCGCAGCAATAGCTGGCAAGAAGGTGGGAAGACGTTCCAGTCATACATAATAGGCGATCGACCGTGCTGCCGGAAGCCACCCCACTCCTTGCGATTGGCGTCCTTGATATCTTATCTTGGCATCTGCAAGTCTCGGATGTCACTGCAAGCTAAGGACTTCAATACCGTTCCTGGTATGATCATTGCCGTGGTAATGCAGTCTCTTCCTCGTGTCGAGGGCGCAACGCCGAGTACTTTGGGTCACTTGTTGTTCGGATTCACAATGACACAGATGATTGATGTGAGGCACAAGACGACGCCAATACGAGATTTCTCGGATTCATCAGAGCTAGAATAAGTCTCTTTCACTCTATGTTCGTATATCATTATGTCTTTTCTCTGTTTGTCGTGAAATTGAAACTTCATGGGTTCGCGACGAAGTTGTCCTTCGGCGGAATCTTCACCAAACCTCGCGACTCCTTCGTCCGCCATTGGATGGCCTTGCACATCCCATACAGTACGTTCAACGTTGGCATTGGCACGCCCATAGCATTTCCTTCGCGCAGAGGCTCGCCTAGAATATTCTCGACCTCGATGAAATTGCCCTGGTAAACACTTTAGTAGCCACACTACCTAGAAACACTTTGAACCAGCAACTGCTTACCTTTCGCAGATCATTCAGCATGCTTGGCGGCAGGTACATGGTCAACGGATCCATATCGATCATCGTATCCGCGACGTCAGCTGGGAGCTCGTAGCCGGCCGCCTTCGCCGCCGCCCTGATCTCCTCCATGGCCGGGCGGACCAAGTAGTCGATTGCGCAGTCGGCCAGGCGGATGCGGCCCGTGTCGAGGCCGGTGATGGCGCAGATGGAGTTCAGGCACGCGTTGTACACCAGCTTCCGCCAGCGGCTGTAGCCGACATTGTCGGTGAAGTCGCACTGCGTCTTGCCGCCGGCGCCGTAGATGCGCACAAAGTCCCGCGCGGCCTTTTCTTGCAGCGCCGGGTCGAGGTTGGTGTTGTGGAAGGCGCCGACTTGGAGTCGGTCGTTGTCGTCGTGTTCGATGACGCCGTGGGCGATCTCGTGCGAGCCGATCAAGCTGACGCCCGAGAGCACGGCGTTGTTGGGGAAGGCGGCGAAGACGGGTTTTTCGATGTTGAGACCGTTCTGGACCAGCACGATGGTCGTGTGGCCCGGCGTCACGGCGGGCGTGATCAGGTCGACGAGCGTCGGCGGGACGTCTGGAATGTTCTTGGTCGTGCAAACGACATAATCGAAAGGTTTAAGGCCTTCTTTCTGGACGTCGGGGACGCTCCTGACGACTGCAAATGGGCGAGTCAGTAACGTCATGGGCGCAAGGCGAGAAAGGCCGGGTGTGCGTACTCTTAGAGGGCCGCCAGCCTGCGATCTCGCCGTGATCACAGGACTTTATGTGAAAGCCATTCTTTACCGCCGCATCGTAATTGGACCGCAGAACGGCAGTGACGCTTGCCAGTCCACCGACTTCGAGGTTCAGAGCGCCAATGGTGCCGACACCGCCGCTGCCGACCAGCAGAACATTTGCCTTTGCTTCGGAACCCATTGCTGCACGTTTGTGAGATGTGTGTCGAGGGTGGAAAGGGCGGCGCGTTGTGAGATAGAAATGAGAAGCCGGTTCTCATGCGCCAACGACTGTCGCGGAATCAATCGAGTAGGCCATTCCAGTTGAGCAAGTCATCGCGACCGGCTAGCGTCGGGACTCGGGAGGAGCCCTAACGGCGCCCTGCATCGGCCTACATCGCATGTGGATCCCTAGCCGCTCGGGATGGGATGGCGCAGCCGTAGAGCGCAAGGCCGATATCGATGCGGGTGGGGCGTGTCGGTCGGGTTGACAGCAGAGAAAGAAGGCCTTATCGTGCCTTAGATAGCTATCAGTGTCGAGCTAGCCCACAGACGACTAGCGCCACAGCACAGCCGAAACACTCCCCGCTCCCACTCTTGCCCTGGATTGCGCTTCTCCCGCTGTTCCAGCGACCCGCTAGCTAGCCAGACGGATCCGCGCTTCTGAGCATTTCCCTCCCCGCAAACATACACGCCCCGCTGGTTTGGGATATTATCATGATGTCCCCCCTCTGGCTTCAGCTCATGGTACATTGGCCGTGATCTGGATTCTGTCACAAGTATTCCCAGAGACTGCTATGAGTTACGCGTCACTCTTGAAGCATTCTAGGACTTCTCCGAGCTTTCACTGGAAAACGCCATTGTCAAATTATTTTTGCATACATCTCGACCACGAAAGTTAAGAGGAAAGCAAAGCGCCTTGCAATGCCGTCTCAAGGCCTGCCGACACCGCAGCGCAAACGAGCCAGTCATCAGGAACGGCTTCTCGTGCCACTGCAACCAAAGGTCTTCGAAGACCGGCAGACTGCAGGCGATGTACATGGGAGCAACTGGAAGAGGTCGTGCTGTCCTGATTGGAGCGAGGAGCATGGGGGATGACGTCAGCGTTCTGCCGTTTCGGTCGCTTGAGAGCTCACGCCAGGTCTCCACTCGCATCAACAAACTCTGACCTCCGTGCATCTCTCCATCACCTCTCAGCGCATTTCGCGATCCGGCACTGAGGCCCTCCGACCGCTGTGGCTGTGAGACGATGGCGCTGCTCATGTCTTTGGCACACGACGAGCCGCAGCTCAGCACATGCGGTCCTTATTCGTCAAAATACGGCTGTGGCGCTCCCCTGTGTCATGAGATCGTACGTTCACTTGCTACAGCTCAGGTCCAAGCCAAGATATCCTTCTAGAACACGGTAAGGCTACTCAATTCTTGATTTCATGGTCATCGAGAGTGTGTAGACGAGACAACGCCGATGTGCTGTTGAAATGAAGAGCTCCCCTCGGAGGACTGAGAGATCGAATCGAATGACGCAAAGAGGCAGACGTAAGAGCACTACCTTCAGAAAAAAACACCGCCATGGGGACGAGAGAAGGGTCCTCACTAAAGACGAGGCATTCCAAGAGCAGACGACCAAAAACAGACCAAGGGACCAGTATCCGCACTCGAAGCTGATTGTTTTGAAGACTGCCCAAAACTACACATATTGATCCTGGGAGAGACCTCCGCCCTTACGTCTCTTGGAATTAGCGAACAGGCCCGCACCTCATCGTTTCGCCATCATTGCGCCAGCTTCAGCCTCATGCTTGCCAAGATCTTTTCAAGCTGCATCAAGCCGAGATCCGCAGGAAGGCTTGCCGGTCCCTCGACAACCACGTACCCGGGTCCCGGTGGATCACCGCCATGCGTCAGCCGATCATATAGACGGGCAGCGGCAGCGGCAGCGGCAGCGGCAGGAAACCGTGTCCATGGCAGCGGGCCAGCTATCCACCTCTCCAAATCTCCACATCTCCACATGGTGGGCGCCCGCAGCGGAGCTGGGGTAAACATACGGCTAATACATATACTTGGCAGACGCCACCACAGCTGCACCTCGCGCCTTGCTATGCCGAATTCTATGGTCGCGGAGACCAAGCTTCGAAGAACAGACAGCAACACGCTTGCACACACGTAAAATTAGAAAAAGGCAACGATGATGTCGACAGACACGGAAATACTACTCTCTGAAGTGCTCGACGCGAAAGTTCCATAGATGGTTATCTTCACACCGCCCAGCTGGACCCCAACCTTTTCGGCAGAAGGATCCCGAGGCCAGGCTTTGGCTCTACAACCTCGAGCACGATGAAACCACATTGACTCGCAAGAACGCACAGGCAACACGATTCCCCAGTGTGGAGACAGCGAAAAAGATGATCCCTTCAGCCCTTCCCGCACGCAAGCTTTCCGTACGGCTCTTGGGGGCCGAGAAGGTCGGGTACACGGACAGACGGTACAACAGATCATTCCAAGGTACCCCCTGGTATTCCTTCAAGCCTTACCCCGCTTGGCCGCGCGTTCTCTACCCTGCACTACCCCGGATCACCAAACGACACTGCCCGTGATCTACCTACTGCTTGAAGCCACTTCCGCTTTCACCGATCTTCTCGCCCTCAGACGCCTTGGCCCTTATATACATATTGCCTTTCGGGGCTTCTGGGTTGAAGGACTGGTGCTCGAGTCGAGACGTCAACTCATCAACTCTGTGATGAGCGGTGGATGGCAACAAGGCATCAGATTCCGCGTGCCTATTTTGGTCTGCCCCACATGAGCGATGAGCGCGCTCCATACCGTGATCGCGACCGAGAAGAGTTTGCGAGAGGGTCTGCCATTGATGCAGCTGCTGGCTGACCGCCAAATTTTGTGGCGACCGGTTCTAAGCCAAGTACAGGCTAGCCAAGCAAGCCAAAAGCGGGTGGCAAACCCTGGATTGGCCGAGGGCTTGTGAGGATGCTAGCGCACCATTAACATCTCGGCGGGGACAGTGTTCCCCGCAACATCGCTGGGGCGGAGAGGAGGGAACGCCGTGGCTGGCCAAGGACCCTTGGACACGGTCGTGGGAGAGTGTCGCATGCTAGCGATCCCACAGGCGCGAAGACGATCGGTGAAGCGGATCGACGTCAGCCACGCCTCTTCGTTGCGCAACGAGAGCGAAATTGGTTTGGTGCGCGCGGCGCTGTGGCAGATGGCTGAAACCGCGTGCGCGGAGGACCTGACTTATTTTGACTTTTAGGATGATACCCCAAGCTGACGGACGGACAGGGTCGGATGGTGGGTTGCTGATGAGGTGTCGATGGCGAGCGATGCAACGACTGTTCTAGTCGCCTTCTCGAAGCGCGGCATTTCTTACGATGACGGGTTCCTGGCTTTTTCCGCAGCCTGCCTGTCTCATTGCCGGCATCAGCATGCGTTGCTTTGTGCTGGTGCTGACTTTTTTTTTAGGGTGGAGTTGGTGTGGTGCGGTCGAGCCTGTTTGGCGGGGCGCATTGACGGGGCTTCCGAGGATGGGGACCCCACGGCGGAGACGCGGTGAGACCTGGGGAATCACGCGAGGAATCACCGACCGGCCTGTCGCGACCGGGGGCTGCGCTGCGGTGCAACCTGACGGCAGTATCCACCCGCCAACCCGCTTCTCTCCTGGAAAGCGGCGTCGACCGCACACGGGTGCCCGGTTCTGCTTTGTGCCACGCCACGGAATGTGGGCGGACGTCGCATGCGCCAAGCCAACAGCCAGGCAGCTGCTGGAATGCGCCGCAACCGGACGCCAACCCGGGAAACGGATGGTGGACTCGAATGACAGAAGACCTGCTGACACCGTCCACATTAGTCATCGTCAGTTTCTCACGCATTCCATCATATTGGAGGCGTCGCGACCGAGCGCAGCGCGGTGAAAGAGTCTCTGTGGGCTGGCCTAGAATGGAGACTGGACGCGTCTCCGCTGCTCGCCTGGAGGCTCCGCTTTCGCTTGTGCGTGCAGATTCGAGCAGTCACCAACCGCGGCCACGGGCACCCAAGATCCAGGGGAGAGAGAGCAGATTGATGATGGGGAGATTTGGAGACATGGGTTTCGAAGGCAAAGGCAAGTGCCGCGACCGAGACCCGGGAAATCGGCTCTCGAAAAGGACAACGTGCCCCGGAGGCTCCACTGCCGGGAAACAACAGGGGCTCGTAACAAAATAGCCGTGGTGAGGTATCCACATGGCAGCAAGAAAATTTGTACGGCGGCCGCCCGTCGGGCTTCTCTGAAGAAATTACGGCTTTGTTCCTGCGTTGGGAAATCCGATGGCATGTTCGGGAAAAAGGACGCCGAGCTAGGCCGGAGAAAAACATGCTGGGAGACATGCACTGACGTTTGACGGCGAAGAGCTTGGTACTATGAACAACACACGGGGCACAAGAAGACAGAAGGCAACAAGGTGGTGGCCACTGGCGACTGTGTCGCGTGTCAGCAGCTCCTCAGCCGTAGCGCTCGTGTACAGACTTGGATGGCACGACGGACAGGAGAGCGGTACAAAGGGCGGTCGGCGCGGCGCAGCCACTGAGCAGACACGTCTGGAGACGGGGCTGACAGACAGCGCTGCGATTCGCGTACGGTGGGCGGTCGGGCGGCCGAGCAGACGACGCTGACGGCAGGACTGCTGGCACTTGGTTGTACCTGTGATTACGGTACTCCTGTGCCCGCTCGGCTTCGCGTATTTCTACTCGCTCGGCGGAGGCCGCCACGGCACGCAATGGGCAGTCTAGGCGCGCGTGGGTGGCGCCCTCATGCGGCGCTGCGGCGCGCGGGCTGGCGTTGCGCCATGAATGCAAGCCGTTGTCTGGCGCTCCGGCTGGCTGATTCTGACCGCCATGTGGCTCTCTGCCCATGCATTTTTTTTCCTTTTTATTTTTTTCCCGCTGACACCCCGGCTCCCGAAGCGACGTTACATGTCGTGCTGCGGCGCCTTTGCGCCCCTCGCGCGCTTGGCGATGGAAGCTTGTCCGAGGGGAGGAGGTGCAAGAGTCAGTCGGGGCGCTAAAGTCCGCCGGGTGGGTTTCGACACGGCGCGGATCGTCCTGGCTTGGCTCTTCTGGTGGAGCGCGGGCATCTCATGATGGCGCGGAACGGTGGGCGAGCGAGGACGGCAGCGGCAGGCGGCAGGCGGCAGGCGCAGGCGCGGGCAGGGGATGACGGCGGGCTCGGCGGGCTCGTCGGGCTCGTCGGGCTGCTCGAAGCGACTCGTCCACCGGACTGGGTTTGGGGTCCGCTCCACGCTCCGCGGGGCAGAGGAGCGAGAGCGAGGGTGGTGCGGAGAAGGGTTGATGCGGCAAAGGGAACAAGGACAGCCGGACAGCAGCTGACACGGCTGCGTCGTCGTTGTTCGAAGGATCGCGCGCCGCCGACGCGATTGGCCTTGGCGGCAAGCCACCGGAGAGCTTGCCCAAACTGCAGCACGGCGGTCCACCGGTTAGGCCAGCATCGCTCGCTACCAGGCGGTGATTGGGCGCGTGCGGGGTGCGACGGTGTTTTCGTGTCCGGGATTGCGTCGCTCCACTGTTTTCTCCAGTGGAGGAAGGCCGCCGGCCGGGGGCACTGGGCCGATCGGCTGGGGCCTGGGGCCTGGGGCACCGGGGTCCGCCTTGCCCGCCTTGCCCGTGCCATTCCTTCACAGCTCCCAGGCTCCCAGGCCTTGTCATGTGCCGGCGAGCGTTGCGGGTGCGCCGCCGCCGGGTTGCATGCTGCTGATCGCGGCCGGCTCGTTTCTTTATAAGCCCGGCCGCCCTCCCGCTGCCATCTCTTTCACTCCTCCGTTGCACTGACCAGCGTGCAAGCATAGAAGAGGACCCAGCCTCGCGGGCGATTGTCTCCTCTCCCACACCCGCCCACCCTCGCGTCACCCCGCTGCTGGCCCGCCATGTACCAGATCGGAAACATCTACTTCATCACGGCCATCGCCGTCATCGGCGGTGGCCTGTTCGGCTTCGATATCTCGTCCATGTCGGCCATCATCTCGACCCAACAGTACCTGTGCTACTTCAACCAGGGCGGCATGACGGGCGAGAACAAGTGCGCCGGCCCCAACTCGGACGTCCAGGGCGGCATCACCGCCGCCATGCCCGGCGGTTCGTATGTCGGCGCCATTGCTTCCGGTACGTTGGTCCACGCTCCGGTGGGCTGTCTCGCCGCCTTTCCGCATGCGGCCCGCCCTCGCACCGCTCCAATCAACTGACCCGCGTCTGCAGGCTTCCTTTCCGACAACCTGGGCCGCAAGAAGGCCATCATGATCGGCTGCTGCTTCTGGATCATTGGCTGCATCATCATGGCCGCCGCCCAGAACATCGGCATGCTCGTTGCCAGCCGCTTCATCAACGGCCTCTGCGTCGGAATCTGCTCCGCCCAGGTCCCCGTCTACGTCTCCGAGCTGGCTCCCCCCACCAAGCGCGGCGCCGTCGTCGGCGCCCAACAGTGGGCCATCACCTGGGGCATCTTGATCATGTTCTACATCTCCTACGGCACCTCCTTCATCAACGGCACCGCCGCCTTCCGCATTCCCTGGGGCCTGCAGGCCATCCCCGCCGTCCTGCTCCTGTTCGGCATGCTCTTCCTGCCCGAGTCGCCGCGTTGGCTCGCCCGCAAGGACCGCTGGGAGGAATGCGAGAGCGTGCTCACCCTCGTCCACGGCAAGGGCGACCGCGGCAGCCGCTTCGTCCAGACCGAGTTCGCTGAGATCAAGGCCATCGTCGAGTTCGAGCGCCAGAACGCCGATGTCACCTACCTCGAGCTGCTCAAGCCCAACATGATCAACCGCACCCACATCGCCATCATGACCCAGGTCTGGTCCCAGCTGACGGGCATGAACGTCATGATGTACTACAGTAAGTGGCCCCGCGCCTGCAGCCGGAGATGTGCCCGCGTCTGACCTTGCGCCCGCTTTTAGTCTCGTATGTTTTCACCATGGCTGGTCTCAGCGACACCCTGCTCGTTTCGTCGTCGATTCAGTATGTCATCAACGTCGTCATGACCATCCCCGCCCTGCTGTACGTCGACCGCTGGGGCCGTCGCCCGACGCTCCTGATCGGTGCCGCCCTCATGATGACCTGGCTCTTCGCCAACGCCGGCATTCTCGCCACGTACGGCAAGTACGCCGGTCCCAACGGCGTCAATGGCATCAAGGAAGCCTCGTGGGAGGTCAGTGGAGCCGCTTCCAAGGGCATCATCGCCTGCTCCTACCTCTTCGTCGCCTCGTACGCACCGACCTGGGGTCCCGTTTCTTGGAGTGAGTCCTACATACATTTCCACCCCTCCTGTCTGGTAGAATATGCTAACCGCACTCGCAGTCTATCCTCCCGAGATCCTCCCGCTCCGCGTCCGTGGCAAGGGCGTCGCGCTCGCGACGTCGGCCAACTGGATCTTCAACTTCGCGCTGGCCTACTTCGTGCCGCCGGCGTTCGTCAACATCCAGTGGAGGGTCTACATCGTGTTCGGCGTCTTCTGCATCGCCATGTTTATCCACGTCTTCTTCATGTTCCCCGAGACGGCGGGCAAGACGCTCGAGCAGGTCGAGGACATCTTCACCGACTACCAGAACGGCATCAAGTACATTGGCATCCCCGCGTGGAAGACGCACCAGCAGCTCGGCGGCGCCAAGGCGCTCGAGCGCGGCGACGTGGAGAAGGGCGGCCTGCAGGAGGAGCACAGCCCCGAGCGCGTGGAGGAGGCGGCGAAGGTTTGAGAGCGGTTCTTTCCTCTCTCTCTCTATATCTCTCTCTATGTCTCTCTCTGGTTTTGTGTGTTTATGGGGGACGAGTTTGCAAAGTGGAAGAGTGATATCCTGCAAATGACGCTGATGGTTGGCGGAGATTGGGACTTCTTTGGGGTCTTGACACAGGCTGCATTCAAGTCGTGGCCTTTTTTCGAAAGGAAATAAATAAAAGTAATGAATCGGTACATACATACCGCCTTTCCACACAAACGCAGCCATATGATTTTACCAACCTTCCATGACTCCATTCCTTTGCCATGAGAGCGCTTGATGATCCTCTGCCGTTCACAAACTCGTGCGAACTTCGGTCTTTTCCCCCCCACCTCCTCGAAATTACCTTTTCCGGACTAGCGCGTCCCCTTGCTCTGTCTTCCCCGCAATGCTGATCCATGGATCCCCTTAGCGCCCGCCGAAACCCTTTTTTTTTCTTTTCCCTCTCTCCACATCTATGACGCCACCGTTGTCATCCAAGCGCCATCTCTGGTGGATCTAGATGATCGGGATCTTTTGCAGCTGATCGTCGGTCGCGTCGCGTCGCATCTTTGCACATCCCATCTCTTGGTTTTTTTTTTTCCCTGGGACCGTGTCGCGAGATCTTTTTATGCTGCTCATGTCGTCGATCTCTTGCAAGGCTCCTCTACTGTTTCGTTGCATAGATGTGGTGGGGGTTTCTTTTCTTCTTGCTCACGCCATGGTCTGCGATTGTTGGGGGAGGGGGTTGGTGATGCCGGCACGATGGATGCGATGCGGTAAGGAGGCTGGTTGAGTGTGCAGAGAACCGGAAAGACGACGGACGCATGCGCGAAGGAGGCGGGGGATCGGGGTGGGCGTGGGCGTGGTGGGATGGCGAGGCTGCAGATGGGCAGTGGAGATGTAGCTTGCGCCTACCATCTGTTTGTTGGTAGGCTAGTTTGGAAGAGGGGGGTGGTTTTGGTCCAAACGTCGATCAAGGGGTCGAAGGCTGGGAATGTGGTAATACAGGGCGAGGGCGGTACTGGAAAGGAGGCGAGGTAGGTGGCGGATAGAAGCGCTGCAGCCAAGAGGACGGCTGCGATCACCCCGGAAATGCATGGTAAGAGCTGGCCGGGCGACCGTCGAGCAGTTCTAATAGACGTATGTGTTCTAGCTCCATACGTCTTGTCCAGAGGTCCTTGGCTAGCCTTATGTCGTTACAAGCGAGGTTTGGCGGACCACACGATATGCGTATTTTTTAAATCGATTCAGACAGGCGGCTCTTGGATCCGGGCGATCTCCCAGAGTTGCGTCGCCTCATGAGCAACTCCGGCCAGGACTCTCGCAAAGGATCGTATGCGACATTGAGCCATTGCTAGAGTCAAGAAATTCTCTCTTCATAAGACTCGAGCGGAGGAGCGAGGAATTCACTGCTGGGTGTTTCAATAAACGGCTTCCTGTAGCACCTACTTGGCAGACTACGGGTCACATTTGTTAAAAACCTATGAGATGAGACTGCTAGCCATACCGCGCCCGAGTTGGAGTTGTGCTAGTATCAACGGCCAGTCTTCGTGCACAATCAACAAGTCAACTTCTTCTGAAAAGCTTTCGAATTGGCGGTAGGAAATGTGCGTCCTTGTCCCAGTGGAAAAAAAGAGAAAAGGCCTGGTTCCAGATTATGGGGATTCGAGGCAATGCAAAGACTTATAACCTCGCTTATTTCACTCTGAAGAGCACACCGATCACGCAACTGCGATGGGCGTCGACGGCTTCTCCGGATACTGCAGCTTCGCTCTCATCCGCCTGTAGTCCTCCTGGACTACTGGCTCATACTTGACCGGGTTCTGCTCGCCTGCACATGCAGGTAGGCATTCGATAACTGCGCTGGGATCGGGACTGACAAAATATGGGATTGAGTAGCGCGCACGCGTCATGGCTTTGCCCTCGACAAGCTCGGGCTGAAGTGGAGGGAGCGTAACTCGGTGCAGGGTTGACTTCAAGTAGTCTGGGGAGCGATTAGTGTTTGTTCCAAGCAATTACGGCTCATTCTGACATACCGTTGCTCCACCGCATCAGTAGATCCCCCACATTCATGACAATGGCATTCTTGATCGGGACCGCTTCCATGAACTTTCCGGGGCTGTGAGGATCCTCCACCTGCAGACCACCGCAGTCGTCCTGAAACAGCATCGTGATGGACCCCCAATCCGTGTGTGCTGGCATCCTTGCCACCATGTTACTCTCGAGTTTCTCTTTCTCAACTGGCGGGTAGTGCAGCAGCCGCAGCTGGTTATTATGCCCGTTGTGGAACTTCAGCAAGAAATCTTCGTCGCCCAGACCGATGCCTACGGCCAGCGCTCTGAGAACGTCTTGTGCTGTTCCGAAGCATGCCCAATAGAACTCGGTCATGAAGTTCCTGAATCCGGGTAGAACCTCGTCCGGCAACCATACGTTCGGCATGTTCTCGCACTTTTCACTGCCAATCTCGTAGCTCTCCTATTGTTGGATAAGTTTTCAGAAAGGCTCTCCTTTTTATTTCTTTTTTGAATGCGACTTACCTTGCAATCTTCGACTTTTCGCAGCTCTTGATCCTTTGCGTCCGGATCTTCATCCCCTTTGTGAATATACTGAGAGACTTTCTCCAGGCCAGGCCACGAGTATCCCCTGTGCACGTTTGGTCCTGTGGTGATCTGGCGTCAGCATAATTTGTCCCTTCCACGTAAGTGATTCGGGGTTGGATACCGGGCGGATGAGGTGCGAGCATCTTCTTCTCATGCGGCAGATCAAAAAGCTTCTTGGACCACGCAAAGGCCTGGTCCAGTACATTGTCTGAGACTCCATGGTTGACAATATAAACAAAACCCACTCCGCGGGCAGCGTCCGTCAGCTTTTTCGCGATGCTCTGTCTCTCCTCGGGCGAACCACCGGACCAATGACTGAAATCCACAATCGGAATGGAGCCCATCTCGGCGGGCCGTGATGCTTGTGTCTGATAAAGCCAAGGTTTCACGGCACTACTAAGCCTGGAGGAAGTCAGCCGCTGGCACAGTACAACGCCGAAGGTTACACACTGATCACTGAGCGGATTCGCTTCGAGACCCAGGTAAGCTGCGCAAAACTCACCGCTCCCAGCGATATCTTGAAGTGTTCTCGGGAAAACGCCAGCCGATAGCTATTAATGCAGTCTTGAGGTTACATTCGGCAGTTCATCAGCCAGGCCGTGGAAGACCCCCCGATCGGCCGCGCACACCATCGCCGCTGTACCCCACTCTTGGTTTGGAGGCGGGGCTGCCGCCTCCAGACACCAATGTGAGTCGCACAGGAGGGTGATCTGCACGACGCTCCCCTACACAAGTGCTTATCACGGCTGACTCGCCTCTTTGGCCTGCCGTGCGGCCTGGTGCCGCCCGCTTATCGGGATACCCGGCCACTTTAGTCCAACGACAAGGGTCAACTGCCGCGATCGCAACAGTATATGCTGTAACAATCCCCTGGCTCCCGGTTTGGTTTGTTCTCGTCTGTTTGTTCCGCAATTCGATCAAAAGGGCAGTGCGCGATGGGTTCGGAAAAGCCGAAGGGCCGTCTGGCATACTGGGCAAAGAGGCTTGAGTGCCCAGTTGACGAGAACGCCAACTACAAAAACACCTTCTGGTGCAACAGAGATCTCATTCCAATCCCGCCGGACCGAAGAACATGGACGTGGCAGGGCTTTGCGGGATACTGGGTCATCTGCGGGCAAGTCATCGAGCCCCATTGTTGTGCAGGACACTGACCAGTCGGCATTCAGGATCAACACGACAGCTTGGACAGCTGGATCATCACTCTTGTCCCTCGGCTTGAGCGTACCTCAGGCCATGGGGGTCGTGGTGGGTGTTGCTCTGATCTCAGCCTTGATTGCGGTCTTCGCCGGTTGGCCTGGTAGTCACCTGTACCTCGGATTCACCGTCTTATCCCGCGCGTCTTGGGGCATGAGGGGCGGTTTCTGGCCAGTGTTGAACCGAATCATGACCGCCTGCGTTTGGATGGGCATTCAGGTCAGTTTCCCAACAACCAACCAGCACGCCATGACGTCCACTAACAACTCCAAAGGCATACTGGGGCGGACAAGGTTCGCCGCGCCAGCACCCCCACACTCCCCCCAAAAAGAACCACCAACTCACATAACCCTTTCTCCCCCCCACAGCCGTCAAGATCATCCTCCGCGCCCTCATCGGCCGCAGCTTCATCGAGCTCAAAAACACGCTCCCCGCCACCGCCAACACCGACACCGCCAGCCTCATCAGCTTCTTCGTCTTCATCGCCATCTTCCTCCCCCTCCCGCTCATCCCGCCCGAGAAGCTGCAGCTCCCCTTCAAAATCACCTTCGTCATGATCACCGCCACCATGTTCGGCATGCTCGGCTGGGCCGTCCGCGCGGCGGGCGGCAGCGCGGGGGGCCTCGTCCACGCGCCGGCGACGCAGCACGGCGCGGCGCTGCGGTGGGCCGCGGCCTACGGGCTGCAGTCCATCGTGGGGTCGCAGGCGTCCGGGTGCCTGGGCCAGAGCGACTGGACGCGGTACGCGCGCGCGCCGCACGCCGCGCTGCTCGGCCAGCTCGTCGCCGCGCCCGTCTTCATCGTCGTTACTGCCGTGTGCGGCATCCTCATCACCAGCGCCGCCGCCACCGTCTACGGCCGGTACGTGTGGAACCCGTTCGAGCTGCTGCTGCTGGTGCAGGAGGAGGAGGGCGGCGCGCGGCCGGCGGCGAGGGCCGGCACGTTTTTCGCGGGCTTGGGCTTCTTGGTCAGCCAGTTGGCGCTGTGTCAGATGTTGAATGGGATTTCGACCGGGATGGATATGGCGGCGTTGTGTCCGAAGTGAGTTGGCTCTCTGCATAGCGGCGAGTGCGCGCTCGCTTGCCGCAGCTTCTCCCCTGTGCTGGCCGCGCGCCGGAACGGGAGATGGTACTCAGCTAACCACGACTGCCGGTCCATGGCCAGATGGATCAACATCCGCCGCGGCTGCTACATCCTCACCGTCATCGCCATCGCCATCTGCCCATGGAACTACGTCACGTAAGCCTGCAGATCCATCCCTCACATACAAGAGAAGCACAACAACAAACTCACACCCCTCCCTCCTCTCCCACAGCAACCCCGGCACCTTCATCACCGTCCTCTCCGGCTGGTCCGTCTTCCTCTCGCCCATGACCGCCATCGTCATCTGCGACTACGCCCTCGTCCGCCGCGGCCCCCGCTACCGCGTCTCCGACCTCTACCGCGGCGACGCCTCGTCCGCGTACTGGTACGTCGCCGGCTTCAACCCGCGCGCCTTCGTCGCCTGGATCGCCGGCATGGCCCCGCTGCTGCCCGGCTTCGCGCGCGCGGTGAAAGGCGTCGGTGGTACGAGTGGCTGGGATCGCGTCTATCAGGTTAGTTATTTTTATGGGTTCGGCGCGACGTTTGTCGTGTATTGGGCGTTGTTTGCGGTGTGGCCGGTGGAGGGGCAGAGGGAGTGTGGGGGGTTTGTGTTGGAGGGGGTGGCGGAGATGGTGGGGGTGGAGGGAGAGGGGGTGGAGGATGATCGGGGGAGGGGGAGTGGGAGTGGGAGTGGGAGCGCGGGTGGGAGGGGAGGGGCGGGGGAGGGGCATGTGGAGATGGGTACTGTCGATGGGAAAGAGGCTGCGAAGACGTTTGCGGAGTGAATGGCGCGACGTTTGAGTGGCATGCTGGGTGGACTGCTGGCCAGCAGCGCGCTATAGGGTCGAGTGTACGTGCTTTCTTATTAACGTCTCCCACTTGAAACCAGGTCATTGTGTCCGAAATTAGTTCCGATCAAGACTATTCATACATACATCCATAATCATTCCATTCGCCGACTCAACAGCACTCGTCCCACCACCCCTTTTCAGTACAGCGCCTTGCACTCCCAACTCTCCGGCACATCAACATCCCCCTCCCCCTTGTACACGGCCTGCTTCGGATACATGCACAGCGGCCGCTGCCTCTCGACCCCCTTCGTCACGTCCTCATCCACAAACTTGGTCGCCACAATCTCGTCCACGACCGTCCCGTTCTCGACCCAATCCATCAACGCCAGCAACGCGTCGTGCTTCCCGTCCTCGAACCCGGGGACGCCGTGCACGCCCGTGCCCAGCTCGGCCGCCTGGTTGCCGCCCGCAAAATACCACGGCGCGTCGACGGCGTCGGGCGTGCCGGCGCAGTGGTCCATGCCGGGCACGAGGAAGAAGCGGTACCAGTCGTCGAGCGGCACGCCCCGCGGCACCAGCGCGCGCGCCACTTCCTTGTAAAAGTGCAGGCTGCTCCCCGTGGCGATGAGGCCGTCCGCCCAGCCGTGGTAGTGGAGGAGCTTGCCGCCGCCGGCGCGGTACGCGGCCATGGCGGCGAAGGCGTCGGCGGTGGCGTTGCCCGGGTCGAGCTCGTCCGCGAGCTGGACGACGGCGTACGTGAAGTCCTCCCAGCGGAAGCCGGGCTGGTTGAGGAAGTAGCGGATGTAGTCGGTGCCGTAGGAGAGGGGGGAGCCGGTGGTGGTGCCGAGGAGGGCGGTCCATTGCGCTTCGGAGCCGAGGGCGAGGCCCGGGAAGACGAAGGTGGCGTTGGTGTCGATGTAGGGGGCGTAGATTTTGGAGAGGATGGCGAGCTGCGGCGGGGTGAGGCAGGCGCTGGTGTTGGAGGTGGGCGAGCAGAGGAGGGCGTCCGGGTTGAAGTTGCAGGCGAGCGGGTCGGAGACGATGTTGTCGGCGAGGCCGTCTTGGGCGTCGCACTGCTTGATGACCTCGGCGCCGATGACGGGGAAGAGCGAGGGCGGAATGCGGTGGCTGCTGTTGAGGGGGAGGTTGTATGTCCCCAGCTTGGCCGTCCACGTCTGCAGATGAGTGGTCCACCAGGCGGGGGCGCCAGCGAGGACGCCGTCGAAGTCTTTGGGGTAGAGTTGGATGCTGCGGAGCCCTTGGCGGCCGCCAGTGGAGCAGCCGCTGTAGTACGAGTACTTGATCTGCGAGCCGTAGTACGCCGAGACCAGCGTCTTGCCAAGCTCGACTGAGCCGTGCATGGCGCGGTATCCCCAGTCGGTGAGCACCTCGGGAGCGTTGGCGCCCCAGGCTAAATCTCCAGAGGTCGAGTTGTGGCCGGTGTCTGTTGAGACGACGGCGAAGCCATAGCCGACACCAGCGCCCTTGATGCTATGTCAGTGGCGTGTTTCCTCGGGCAGAAAGGTGTGATGGTCGTACCATGTCCAGCCAATTGACACCACCAGCGAAGCCTCCGTTGCCGACTGCGAGGAAGCGGTCGTTCCACTCAGTGGGAAGGAACAGGCCGAACCTGAAAGAGGAGCTGCTCGACGAGGTGACGTTCACATATACAGCGCAGAGAGCAGGCAAATTGGTGGGGTTCGTCGGGTAGGGCAGGTCTGCGGCGCCTTGGCCGTAAGTGCCATTGCCGGCGACGGGCACGGCGGAGAGGACAGTCGCATTGGAGGGCAGGGCAGCCTGCAGGGCAGCGGTGGAGCAGTCAAGAGCCCGGACTCCGAGGATGGTGGCGGCGGCCGAGACAAGAGCTGTAGCCCTCATGGTGGCGAAAATTGCTGGTCGAGGAGCAGTGGTCAGGAATATGCACTAAGGGGCGATAGAGCGGCTTTTGAAGAGGAGAGCATCGAGGTGTGCCGGAGCTCGGAATTATCGAGAGTGTGGAGTGCATGGAGGCGGGGAGAGTCATGCAAACGCGACTGGAGCCGCAATGCAGCGCGGGAGCCGAAGATGGTTGCCGCAAAGAGCGAGCTAAGTGCCGCGGCGGCTGATCTTGCGGCCAATTGGGCGTGGCCGAGGTGGGGACCATGTCCAACGGCCGGGTTCTGCTATCGACTCCAGGAATATGGCTTGGGTCGTTTACCCGGCTGTTTCAAACAAACTGCGTTCCTGCATGGGACGAGGCCCAGCTGCGTCTGCTCCTGAGCTCTGTCTGCAGACAATCGGCAGAGATGCAGGGCAGAGATCGAACGGAAGGTAAGTCGGTGATCAGACGCTGGTTCGGAATTCCCGACAGGCGACCCTGACTTCCGGTCCGACATTCGGCTTCGCGAATGAGTCCTTGCACATCATCGCAGCTTCCGTCTGCGGTATCGCGCTATCAGGCACGCCGAGGGGCTTCCCCAACGTCGGCACAGAATCGTGGAGTGAGTACGGATCAGTACCAGGACAGACGGCGTCAGTCCTGACGTCAGGATGGGAAATTGGAAGATAAGCTTAAGTTGGGCAGATCCCTTCTGCAGCAGGCTGTGGGCTGGAAGACCTGAGGCTGTGTCAGGGGCATCTGCGGCGGGAGGGACATGGCTCGCCTGCTGCAAGGCGGAGCAGCCCACGCGAACGCACATTTATAACCTTCTCCTGTCGAGCCCCGAGCTGGCAGGCCGACACATTTCGACGTGCGACTCCCCAGGCACCAGGCAGATGGAGACCGTCGTGGGATCGGCCTGCCGCCGGGCCTGTGATACGGCGATCTACACGTGTATCTTATGCAGCATCAGATGGCCGGTCGCACAAGCTTTCCCGGCTGCAAATCATGTCGGTTTGACGCGGTGAAGAGCGGGTCGTCCCGCAGGCCCACGCTGCTCCCTTCACATACTTCCCGTTTGGGAATGGTCGAGAAAGCCGAGGTGCTGCGCCGTTCTGCGCCGTGCTGCGCCGTGCTGCGTGGAGCTGGCTTTGCCCGTGAGCCCCGACCACGGGACGTGGGCCGTGGGCGGGGATGGTGATCGACCTCGCTGCGGCTCGCCATTACGCATTTCTGCGCGTCTTGTGCCGATTGTCCGGTCAGACTGGCAAAAACTTCTGCTGAGTGGCCATCGTGAGAACCCGTCTCGGCTAGCGCCTTTCCAAGCAAGAGCGGCAGGGCTTCGCGCCGTGGACGGGTAGCTCGCAGTAGTGCTCGCAGTAGTGAGACGCGCCCAATGTAATAAGCGCGGTAACTCTCCGTAGCGCCGCAACGCTCCCCGTGGCCGGCGGCGACCTGCTTCGTGCGCCCCCTCGTCTCGCAACCAGCGAAGCAAATGACCCTCTGTTCTTCTGCTTTGGCGCGACCGCCCTGGAGGCTCGTGAGGCAGCCAGGCGTGGAAGGCGGAGATTTGGAGGCTGAGGCGCGTGTGTCAAGGCGACGGAGGCGTGGCTGCACACGTGTCGCAGCACAGCCCGACGCCGTTGGCCCGCCATTCAACCCGTGTTCACAAAGCGCCAAGGCGTCCCAGCGCCTGGCCAGCAGGGCGGTGGACTCGTGTGGGCTGGGCGTCGTAAGTGCGCAGCTCACCCGCCGTGGTGATCGCCTGCTATTTAAAAATTGTGCCCCGGAAGCCCAGCGCACGGGGCGACTGCGTGGTACGTACTCCCGTAGGGCTTGTCTGCAGCCGCTGCCTCAGCCACACACCCCGACCATACATGTGCCGCCCTCCCGCGCCCTTACCCTGAAACACGACAACATCCTCCACGCTCGCTCTCGCCTGCTTTCACCTCACAATCTCTCGCTCGCCCAACAAGCCCTACCTCTGACCCTCTGAGCCGTCGGCCTGCCTGCTCGCTCCACTCCCGCCCACCGGCCCGCGCCCGGCTCCCAACCACACTCAGCAGCTCGCCATGGCTGCCAACGACTACTACGGCTCCTATGATGCGGGAAGGAGAGAAGATGCCCCTTTGCCCCCCGTGCCACACTCATCGACGCCCTCGCCGCTGCCGTCGCCCCATCCGACTCGCCCGCACATCGACACCCAGAATCTGCAGAACTACGGCAACTCCTACCCTTCTGCTCACTCTGTCCACTCGCACCCCTCCGCCCACACATACCACACCGGCCACTCACCCGTCGGCTCTCCCTTCACCGACCAGGCCTATCCTGCATATCCGCCAGGCACCCACCCGCCGCCTAACCCATACGGCCCCGTGCACAGCGACGACGACACCTCCTACCATGGCGCCGGCACATATGGACAATACCGCCCTGCGGACAACGATCCCTTTGCAGATGGCCAGGCTATTCCGCTCCACGCACAGCAGCCGAAGATGGATGCAAGCCCCTCGCGGTACAATGGTGATCCCGAGGGTCAGGCGCCTCTCGTCGGCGGTCCCGACGGAATGAGGAGAGAACGTAGCAGACGTCACAAGAAGAAGGGCGGCTGGTTCTCAGGCAGGATTACTTGGGTTGTTTTTACCCTGACAACCGTTCAGATTGCGGTTTTCATTGGCGAAATCATCAAGAACGGTAAGTGGCACCAGCGCTCGTGAAGGAAGAGCGGAATGCTAATGCTACCATCAGCCACCTTGACCGGTTCGCCCATCATGATCAAGCCCTCTTTCAACCCAATGATCGGCCCCTCTGGCTACGTCTACATCAACATGGGCGCTCGTTTCGTTCCTTGCATGCGTCACATGGGAGGCGGAAACGAGGTCAACATCACTCCCGACATTGCGTTCCCGTGCCCCAACTCCACGACTGGCATCGCCGAATGCTCCCTGAACGAGCTCTGCGGAATGAGCGGCATTCCCCAATCGGACGGCGAGCTCCACCCCAACCAATGGTACCGCTTCATCACGCCAATCTTCCTCCACGGAGGTCTTATCCATATTGCTTTCAACATGCTTGTTCAGATGACGGTTGGACGCGACGTGGAACTGCTGATCGGCTCCATTCGTTTCTTCCTGGTCTATTTTGCAGCGGGTATTTTCGGTAATATTCTCGGTGCCAATTACGCACCAAACGCTATGCCTTCAGTGTATGTCTACCCTGTGAAGTTTTCGATCCTGGCTAAAAAATTTTAAACAGCGGTGCATCCGGCGCCATTTTCGGTCTCATCGCCATAACCCTTCTGGATCTTCTCTACCACTGGAAGGAGCGTTCCCACCCCAAGAAAGAGCTTCTTTTCATCATGCTCGACGTCGTCATCGCCTTCGTTCTGGGTCTTTTGCCGGGTCTGGACAACTTTGCTCATATTGGTGGATTCATCATGGGCCTCGGCCTTGGAATATCTATTCTTCACTCGCCTCAACTCCTCCGCGAGCGCACCGGCATGGACGAGCCTCCCTATTCCGCCGTTCCTAACCCCAAGCACGGCAGCGAATTTGAGTCCGTGAAGAACTTCACCAAACAGCCCGTAAGCTTCTTCAAGGGCAGGAAGCCGCTTTGGTGGGCGTGGTGGTTGGTCCGTGCCGGATTCATTGTCGTCGTGTTTGTCGCCTTCATTGTGCTCCTGAACAACTTCTACTCCAGCCACAGCGAATGCTCGTGGTGCAAGTACCTCAACTGTATTGTAAGTTCCATTCTCACAGCTCACTCACATATTCAAGATGCTAATTTTGCATACAGCCCGTCAGCGACTGGTGCGACTCAAACACGCTCACCGTGGAGCAAACGAACAGTACCAGCAAGCGCGACCTATTCGGCTTGGAGAGATACGCTTTACCGGATTTCGACTCGCCAATGCCTATGTATTGATTGAGGCTTAATGCTGTTCGGTAGTTTTGGGCTTGGCCCGATGTTCGACATTTCTTTTCCCTTGCTTTTGCGCACAGTCTATGGAAGCCCCTTGAAAGCGGAGCTCCTACGAATGCATGACAAATCCCCATTATCTCGAGCATGGCGGGTGGCGTTCTCATTTCTTACTGCGTAATGTTCTTCCTAGCTGTGCCAACCGGTCATAAGCTGGCCTTCCATTTTGGTTGTGGGAAGCTGCAATTTCTCTTCTTTTCTTCGATGGCAAAATGGTGGCGAAGAGAGAGCGTGAAGCTGTCTTGAGTTTGGACCACTGGGTTCGAGATGGATGGTTTGTATCCAGGGCAACAAAAACACTGCTGCCGCCGATTCGAACACGGTAGGGAAGCCAAGGGACGTGAAGTCTCATCTCCTTTGAGGCGGTTTGGGAACCTCTACGCAGCTTTCTTGTGGGCGTAAGCGAGATCTCTGCTAATTCTGAAGAGATTCCAGCGTCTGCCTGGTAGCTTATATAATTACTCGTCTTCTTTGAGTACACGCATGCAACCATACTACTGGCTATGCCAATGTCAAACACGTTGATATTTTGGTTTTCCTATTCTTTTCGCCTGCTGTCAGCTGACTTCGTGTTCATCACCTTTGTGACCTGCTCCGCTGCCGACGTCGGTCACGGCGCTTCCACTAGCGCACGAGGCGGTTCCACAACGGTCCTCTCGGCCGGCCACAGAGCGGGCTCCGCGAACCACGATTGCACGATTCCTACTGTAGCAGTCAATAAGCTCGTCGAAGCTTTGAGCCCCCTGACGCCACGATGCGTTATCCCCGCCGTGCTGCCTACCATTCATTCCACCTTTCCCAAACCGGCGGCGGGTGCCTGTCGATCCTCGCCGCTAGCAGGGGACGCGATCCCTCCAAAGGTCCTGTTCAATCATCTCACATCAATCGTCCGACGCCTGGACTCCTGACCCATGCTTCCATCTGCTTCCGCCGGGTAAAATGGCATTATCGCCCCGCTCGCGGTGGAGCAATACACCGGCCACTGACTTCCAACGGCCGCCACCGCCAAGCAGGCGGCCATATCCATACATCCGTCCGAGATTGGAGAATCCTACCGGTTCGAAATGGGCGATTCGGACATCTAGACAGCTGCATGCACTATGACAAGCTTCAGCAGGCTGCAGCGGCGCTGTCCGTCCAATTTCGCAGAGCATAAAGAGCGACCATGTCTCCCTCCGCAGTTCAGAGTGCCGTCGCTCAGCACTCGTTTGTACTCGCGAACCCTACCTTGACGAAGACCAGTCGCTCGTTACCTACTACACCATCTTTAATACCTTAATATCTTACCGACGACAAGATGACCAAGTTCACCACCCTCGTTCTGGCCGCCGCCGCCGCCGCCACCGCCGCCGCCCTCCCCAACCCCTTCCCGGCATACTCCCTCGAGCCCCGCCAGGACGGCAGCAACTGCACGCAGTACTGCTCCGTCTCGGCTGGCTGCGCCTGCACCGTCCGCCCCTCCGACTGCACCGCCCTGTACGAAGTCCAGCCCGACGACACGTGCACCAGCATCGCCGACGCCTTTGGCAACTTCACCGTCACTCAGTTCTACAAGTGGAACCCGAGCATCGGGCGCTCGTGCTTTGGGTAAGCTTCCCCTCCCCCTCTCTCCCCGCAACACCGCCGACAACATCAAAGAAAAGAAGGAAAGAGACGTACGGTACAAAAGAGGGATATCGATCGGAGAGGAATAACAATACGCGCCAAAGACGACGAACGTACCCATTCATTCATTCATTCATTCACTAACACACACCTTTTTTTTTTCTTCCCCCAGTCTCCAAGCCTTCGTCCCCGTCTGCATCGACACGCCGTGGTACACGTTCACGCCGCCCGTGCAGCCGGCGGCCGGCACCAAGGAGGCGCCCGAGGACGTGCCCGTCCCGCTGATGCCCAGCACCGCCGCCGCGTGCACGACGTACGAGCTCACCGGCGCCGGCACCCGCGTCGACCAGATCGCCGCCGAGAACGGCATCACGGTCGAGCAGTGGAGCGCGTGGAACGGCAACGCGACCGGCGCGTGGGCTGGGTACTGGAGCTGTGTTGAGGCGTAGATGGAAGAGGAGGAGATGATGATGGGGGAGTGCGGGTGAAGTGCAGGGAATTGGGGTCGGAGCGGAAATGGAACCCCGCGATCGTTACTCATTGACTGTGGTAGTGATGGACGAGCTTCGTATGGTGGGCCAAGGCCACAGATGTTGCTGAGGGTTGCCCGCGATGATGGAAGATAATAATAACGAAGGGATCATCAGATACGGTCAGATTTTAGATAGCCAAACATTGCGATAATTCCATGTGATCCGGGTACTGCCGCGCAGGAGGTCATGGACATTAATAGCGGTGATTATTCTGGAAGGCTTCCGACTGTTGAGTAATGCAGTAGCTGGAATGGGGAAAATAGCTCATTCTTGCTGGAGTCTGGAGAAGGACTGTCGACGTGATGTTCGGGTACCTAGGGCGTCATGAGTGATTGGCTCATGCAAGTGAAAGGGGCATGGATGTAAGCGCGCTGCAGCCGTGGATTTGCTGCTGCGTCGGCCCGAGACGAGCGGCGGCAGGGACAGGCTTGGCGGATGGGAGAGAAGAAACAGAGCAGTGGTGACGGAATGCGAAGGGGGAGCAGACTCTGACGTGCCCCGAGCCCCGCTAACGCGTCGCGCTCAACACTGGGACCGAAGCTTGACCTCACCCACGTTCACAATCGCCCGCCCACCTTGGCAACGTGCGGCCGCCGACTCGACTCCCTCAATTTCCCTCAGGCGCGACGCGCTACACCCCGCGCCCAGCTGTCGCTCGCACCCGCAAGCCATGGCTGCCCAGCTCATCGGCATCGCTGTGCTCGTCACCCTCAAGGACACTCACCACACCGTCGTGCAAGGCCGAGTCGCCAATGTCCTCGAGCGCTCTGCCACCCTCGTGCTGCAGGATGGTGCGTCTTTTTGCCTGTGAAAACCCAGCCCTCCGCTGACGCTGCACGCAGTCTTGTTCCCAGCCACCGGCCACCGCCTGCCTGGCTACACCATAGACGGCGCTCACATCGCCGACATCTCTGTCCAGCCGCAGCAGTCCACCCTCTCCACGCCCACCTACCCTCCGAGCCATCCGCCCGCCTTTCCGCCTCACCCGCAGCCTATAGTTCCCACCCCTGTCCAGTATGCGGCTCCTCCTCCTCCCAGCGCACCGCCCATCGAAGTCCCCGCCGTCGCGCAGCCCCTCCCGACACCCACAGTAGAGCCTCCGAGGCCAAAGCAGGCTTTCGTGGACCCCGCCATCCTGAGCTTTGCAAAGAGGCCCGGTACTCAGGCCAGCCAGACTGCCGAGGTGTCCATCACGCCGGTGAAACCCATTGCGGCGGCGGCGGCTGCTGCTAAACAGGCTGGAAAACCCTCTCCCTTCGTTGGAGCGGCTGCGAAAAAGGTGACGGTTGTTGGTGGCAAAAACGCGAAGCCCAAGGAGAATCCAGCTACGCTGACGGGTCCGTTCAACGCGCTGGGTCTGGACGCCGGCGAGGAGGATGGAGAAGAATCGGACGATCCGACCATCAACGAGGAGCGCGTTCGGAGGGTAAGCATCAGTACGACGCGTACGGGCAAGCCGTTGGAGACCCCGGCGGCCAAAGCGGCCGAGGCTGGGAAGAGGGCAAAGAAGGGTACGAGAGGCAAGAAGCAGAAGAAGGACCAGGCCCTTCCGCCCGCTGGCGAAGATAACGCGCCAGATTCGTCCCCCGAGGCTCCGCGCACGACGCCGGCGAAATTCAAGGGCAAGGGATGGAGGCAAACGCCCATGTTGCAAGATCCGCCGACCGCGCGGACGCCGGGCTTGATCGGCGGCAAGGTTGGCATGGAGGCGGTCAGGCTATCGAACCGTAAGACGAGAAGGCAGAAGGCCATGGACGCTACCAACGGGTGGGCAACCGAGGACGCAACCGATGTCCAGGAGCTTCCCGAATTCGACTTCGCTGAGAACCTATCGAAGTTCGACAAGCGCACCGTGTTTGAGCAGATTCGGAATGAAGACACGACGGCCGACGAGGACCGCCTGGTCAGCTTCAATCGTCTACCTCCTCGCGCCGGCACAGCCGGCGGGAAGAACCTCCATCCGACTGAGAATGTTCTTGAGCACAGGCGGCCAAACCTAAGGAGTACCTCGAATTCCTCGAGTGAAGACGAGTTCTCGGACTTCGACAGCGGGCGGAACTCCCGGCGAAACATGTCTCGAGCTTCGAACAGACGTGCGCCCTTCAGGTCAAACAGCGTCCTGCAGGATGACATCCACAACGCGTCAACGGCTAGCTTGAACAAGTCAGTCCGCAACCAACAGCATCGCGGTTCGACCGTTGTGTATTCCTCCACGAATTCCCCCGTTCCGGGACGTCCTACCCCGCCCTCCTCCCCTTCTGTAAACCTCCTCCCTCAACAACCCCATGCCAGCTTCCGCGTATCTCAATCAGGCACGACGTGTCACACGATCACACCCGGGACGATGACTGCGGTCGAGGAACTCGCAGAGGTGGAGTTTGGTCTGACAGAGGAACTCATGGCCGAGAACGCCGCGCGCGGCATCGCCCAAGTCGCCCTGCAGGCCGTCAACCCGGGCGGACGCCGCCTCGCGCGCGAGAACCTCGCCGTCAACGCGCGCCCGGTCGTCGTCGTCCTGGCGGGCAACCACCGCACGGGGGCGCGCGCCATCGCGGCGGCGCGGCACCTCCACGCGCGCGGCCCGCGCGTCGTGGTCGCGCTGCTCGGCTACGAGCGGCCGACGGACTACGACAAGGACGTGCGGCGGCAGCTGGAGCTGCTCAAGCGGCTCGGCGGCTACGCGCGCAGCTGGGCGGACGTGCAGCGCGGGCTCAAGCGGCTCGAGGCGCCGCCGGAGCTCATCGTCGACGCGCTGCTGGGCCGCAACCGCGAGTTCGACGCGCTCGGCCGCGAGGACCGCGCCTCGGCCATGGCCATGGTCGGCTGGGCCAACAAGAGCCGCGCGCAGGTGCTCGCCGTCGAGGGCCCCTCGGGCGTCGGCGCGTCGACGGGCGAGGTCAGCATCATCGAGGGCGAGCCGCTCGAGGTGCGCGCCAGGTACGTCGTCTGCCTGGGCGCGCCGCGGTCCGGCCTGTTCAGGGCGCTGCAGATGGGTCACGTCCGCGATCCGGACTGGCTGATTTGGGTGGTGGATCTGGGGTTGAACAAGGCGTGGAAGCGGGTCGGGGGTTTGGGGAGGAAGGGCGTGAGGTTTGGGAGCGAGTGGGCGGTGCAGATCAGGTTCGATGCTGCCGGTGGCGGGGAGGTGGACGCTGAGGAGAAGTGAAGTAGAGGTGGAAGTGAGGGGGGCTTTTTTTTTTGGATGCGAGCGACATGGTGGATGGGAAGGGAAGGGGAGGGGAGGGAAAAGTAGGTTGTATAAACAGGGTTGCGGCCGGGTTGCATGGCGTTTTTTTTTTTTTCAAATTCCCTTTCTGATAAATATTTCCCGGTATGCGCGTTGCTGGCGTATGAGATGGACAGGAGTGCGACTTGCAAGCATGTGGGTGGGGGAGGAAGGGAAAAAGCGGCATCAGAGGGTCCGCTGGGGTATAGAAGATGAGATATCCTTACCTCCGGTTTTCTTGGATGAATGGTTGAAACGTTGTCGTCCTTGGCCTCGGCCCCCACCCATTAATCTCACCAGACGCTTACGCAGGATCGCAACGGGATTCCTTGGCAGAGCTCCAAAATGCCGGCGGAAACCTTGTAGGCGAGATGCTGCTGGTCGGCCCATCAAAGTCCTATCTCCGAGGATTTTGGTCATCTGGTAAACCCATCCTGCGGCCCCGTATAAAAGAGGGTATGTACAAATGAAGCAACCCAGCCACACTCGCCGCCCTCTTCCCCACATCGTCGATTCTCTGGCTCCATCACATACCCAACCGGTCGTACCGTTCCTACCGACTACCACATCGCTTGGCTTTGTGCATTCTGTCTTGCTCATTCTAATTATCCCTCACACTTATAAAAGAAGAGAGATCGAAGCAAACCAAAAAGAAGAATGTCGTCCCCCTCCTCCTCGTCCTTCCCCCAACCGGAAAAACACGAAGGCTTCACCCTCGTGGTCTCGGTGACGATCCAGCCGGACAAGGTCGACGAGTGGCTGGGCCACTTCTGGAAGGCGTTCGACAGGGTCTCGGCCGAGCCCGAGTGCCTCAGCTTCGAGGTCTTCCGCTACCCGGACCAGCCGAACAAGGTCAAGTGGGTGGAGAATTGGAGCAAGAGCGTGGCGTGGTTCATGGAGGTTGGTCATCTCTCGATCTCTCTCTCTCTCTCTCTCTCTCTCTTTGATCTGGTCCTTTTCCTTTCTTTCCCCTGTTTTTTTTTTCCTTCGGGGGCGGGCCCGGGGTTTTCTTGGTGAGGTAGATTTTGCTGATCTCAAATAGAACCAAATCTCAAAGGCGTACATGCAGGCGTACCTCGAAGCGACGGATCCGCTGTTGATGGGGGAGAGGGAGAAGGAGGTGTTGGAGAGGTTCGGAGGGAAGTGGGCTCGTGCGCGGGAGGGAGTCTACGACAAGTCGTATTGAAGGGTTGGATAGGGCCCGGCGCGGGGCTTTCTTTGAGGATGAGATGCATGCGAGATGGGAACAGGGTGGTAACATCAAGTCTGTGTGTCCCATACGCCGTGGGTTTGAATTGAATGGCCGTGCATGGTACAGATCTGCGAGTGGCGGGAAGTAGTTTGCTTGAGTGAGACGCCGTCCGCTCCGGTTGCCAACATGCTTCAATTATATGGATGTGTTTCCGCCTGCTCTGGCGGGTACCCAAACGTCACCACCAGCCATTAACAGCCGACGTCACGACGATCCGCGTCTTCTTTTCTTCAAGCATCCGCATACGTAGACTGCACACAATCAGCCCCCATCACCGAGGTGGGTTACAATACGGAGACGGAAGGGCGTCGCCATACACTTCCCGTTTTCCCCGCCCTCCCCTGGCCATTAACCCGTAGCTATGTCACCTGCTTCGATTGTTCACGCTTTGGCATAGGCAAGCTTTTCGAAATGAAACTGTCACTAGTGCAAGGAAGGAGAAGTTGAACAGAGATGATAAAAGCCAAGGTGCACTTTTGCTTTGTTTTATATATATTCAGCCTACATTCACGCGCCGGCATCACGAAACACATCCTTGTTCTGCTATGAGTAACACTAGAAGGGGATGAACTTTGTCCACTTTCGCTTCTGCGGCTTCGCAGGGGGCGGCCTCGTAGCAGGCGGCCTCGTAGCGGGCATCATCGTGGCAGGCGGCATCTTAGCCGGCGACTTCGTAGCGGGCTTGTTCGCGGGAGTCCCGGAGGGCTTGTCGCGGGCATTCTTCACTACAGCCAACAGATCAAAGTAGGACGGTACAGTCCCTTTGGAGCTTTCACCCACCTTTCTAGCATAATGCACAGTCAGGCGGGACTCCATCATCGCCGCCAACATCCGGTCCTCCTCCTCGATCCGTGTCCGCTCCGCATCGAACCACTTGTCTTCTCTGGTGACGATTGGGTCTTCGGGAACATCTTGTGCGCGGGCTTTGCCTTTGCTCTTGTACGTTCTCATGTTTTCGTTGTCTCCGAGCCCGTCGGGGATGGTTCAAGATTGGTGTTGAGGCAGTGCTTACGAAATGCGTACACTTCGTTGGTGCGCATGGAGAGCTATCCGTGGAGTAGTGAGTTTATATAAGTTGTCCGGAGCAGGTGTTGTACCCAAAACACGCATTGCTCTACATTGAACTAGTCAATGAACAATGCTTTATGTACGAACAGGTACGAGAATTGAACAATGTCTTAGGTCTAAGAGTCTTAACACCAAAGTGTGCCTTGGTTTTCTTCTCAGCCTCAGTCCCAGAACTTCATATCCCATAGTTGAAATGATCTTCATAGTGATCGTCATGGTTTTGATAGTGTATTTTTTGGTGATAGGGAGTGTCCCGAGCCGTATAGCGGTGGCGGGGACCCCAGGTGGGATTTCGACAAACTTACGGCCGTGGTTGACCATAATTTGTTGATCTTGTTTTTGCCGAAAAACAAGAGTTCGTTGGTCGAAGATGTGCTGTGGAAGTGGTTTCGTTAGAGGCGTCTCGCTGTAAAAATAAAATTCGAAAAGTCTCATGGGAAATGTTTGATAGGGAAAGGGTGATAAGTTCCAGCTCGTTCATAAGACTGCTTTCATTGTATCAAGTAGGGCGGGCTCGTGCGTGGAAAAGCATCTTCTTTGTGTTCATCAAAGACAAAGGATTGATTCCGCACTAGGAAACAGCAGGATATGCCTTTCATTCACCCTTTCCAGCAAAGCTAAAATGTCCTTGCTCGCTCGGGGTACGCCAGAAGAGAATAGAAACCGCACAAAAAGTATCAGATTGACCGCCCATGTGGTAGAATCTCTACCAAACGATGCCAGCGCTTACAAGCTCCATAGCCCATGCAATACCTCTCCTGGATGTAGTTTCAATGAACGCTGGAAGCGAATTCCACGAATCATCGTCTCTTTGAGACATTATGCACCCTTAGCTTTCCTCGCAGATGGCTTCTTCCCTTTTCTTGGTTGGCTGCTGCTGAGTTGAATCTTGAATTCTTCATTTTCAAGGTCCAGCGAGCCGCGGAGAACGGACATCGAGATGAGTTCCTTGCTGTAGCACGGATGGCCACCTTCAATTCTGTCGCTGCCCATCAAAGCCATGACTTCTAGGTCTCCGTGATCAGTGGCCAGGATGATGTTGTTTCCAGCGTGCTTGTATTCCCGTGCTGACTTGGATATGATCTTCGCACCGCAAGCTTTGACGATTTTCTCTATGTCGCCAAACCCATTGCCGTATTCCTTTCTCGTGGCAGAGGTGAAGAACATGACTTTGTCTTTGAATAGTTCAGACCGGTCGATATTGAGGATTTTGTTTACTCTCTCTTCGTCATCTCCCCAACCCCATTCACTGGGAGCATTGAGCGGAGGAAACTGGGATGGATCCAACAACTTGCCCTCTTGTCGACTTCTTAGCACCCACTTGTCTGAAGCAATCGTCTTGCCCAGAGCAAGGCCAAGCAGCAGCTTCGCGCTCTTCAGAAGGCTCCCGTTGGTTGACCCAATGCAAACAATGTCGCAGATTTCAGTAACCTTGTCGACACTTTGAACACCTGACTTTCTCAAGAAGGCAGAGGATCCTTCGCGATCAACCACCTTGGTATTGCTGAATGCGACTCGTGGTGCCTTGCCACGATACGGTGATGCAACGTGGATCACAGAGCTTACAGAGCGTTGAGGGCTCTGTGAGCGAGTTGGTGTGTTGTGTTCCGATGCCGTTTTCATGGTCGGAGGGCGACTTGATGGGACAGATGCTGTGTTTGGAGTTTCACGGTCGACGCGAACCACGATGCTGGAAGCGAACGAATCATCAGATTCATCCACACCCTTGGCCTTCTTGTTCTTCTTCGTGGGTCGCCCTTGTTCGACATTCGCCGGCGAAGCCCTTTTCTTAGTATTGCGTGAGACAGGAATCCGAACTTGCGGCTCGGGTTTTGCCCTTCGTGATCTTCTTTGGTTGGTGGCGTTTGAGGAAGGCTCAGCCTTTTCCGTACCAACATCCATGGCTTGCCGGGGATCTGACGAAGGTTCGCGCATTGATGCGTCCTCTGATATCGCGCGAGCATCATTGGTTTTGCTTCTGCTTCTTCGAGCTTCCCGTACCATCGAAGCCTCAAGTGTCTCATACTCTGGAACCTCGCCTGTTTCCGCTTCTTGCTCCGGTTCGGATTCCTCCTCTCCCTCTTTTACTGGCTCAGCGGTCTGGTCACTGTAAAGAGACGAGCCAAGTTCCAAAGAAGGCAGTATATGCTCATGTGCTGTCTTGCTCCTTGGCCTTTCCGCGAAAGAATCCTTAACAGCACTCGGAGTACTCACGTTTGTACTCACGAGTTCTTTCGGGTCCACCGTCTTTGGCAGTGCGTCATCAGCGTTCGTGTACACCATGGGCAACTTGCGATGAGTGGCTGGAGTTTCCGCTACAATTAGAGACTGTTGTGTGGGTTGTGCCGGTGTAGCCGAAGGCAAAGTATGGGATCCTTGCATAGAGTGCTCCACCTGGACAGTTGTCCGCGTGGTTGACGGCTTGTGGGTCCTGCGGGTAGTGGCATGTTGACGCTGCTGGGTTTCTGGAACCTCATAACTCTCTTCATTGCTCCTCTGACGAATGGAGGAGTCCACTTTGATGTCTTCAATTTTTAGGGTCGACTCAAATTCATCATTGAGGCGAATGCAATCGTCGGGTCTGAGGATTGCGCTTTGACGGTGCTGACTGGTTGATTTGGGCAATCTTATCGTATGGTAGCCAGGAAGGGATTCAGCTCCTGGTGGTGAGATGGTGAAGCCGTCGACTTTGGCTTCAAAGGAAACGCGCCAGTCGTCGATAGCTGTCATTGTGTCAGCAGGAGACAGATGAAGGCGTGGCGGATGGACACTGACTTATCAGCGCCAGACAAATGGAGCCTTGTGCGATCTCTGCTTTCTGTGTCAGCATGAAGTGGCTCTGAAAGCGAGGTGAAGCTCTGTCTGTATACGCACGCGGAAGCGAGGACTGAGGCCGAACCGTGACATGACCGCGCCCATTGCGCAAGATGCAGGCGCTGCGTGTTATATCGTGTCGTGAATCGCCCGTCTCAAGGAAGAAGCCGGCGGCCGACATGGTGGTGCGCGTCAAGCTGCAGGCATGACGAGGTGGAGGATCAGTGGAAAGAGGAAGCCAGGGTAAAGAGACCAAGGCAGACATGAATGAGGTAGGTGCGCCGGCGCGATCCGCGTTGCGCCACATCGCGAACCCATGTGACCCTTACGTAATACACTTTCGCTTGCCCTTCGTGGAAGTCGCCCCCCTCAGAATTGCTGCAGGAAGAAGTCACCTACTTGCTGAGCACTGCAATATGACACCGTTTGCTTTGGAGCGTTCATAATAAACTTGCATACAACTCAAAATTCAAAGCTTCAATCGCCTTCCCCTGTGTTTATTCATCGCAAGCGTAAACAACCACGTCTCGTTTACACTGTAACGGAGAGCACACATTTCCAATGCAGGTCAGGAAGTAGATTCAAACGAAAATCCGAGTTTGTAACGACTATCGGCAGCAAGCCGCCGCGCTGCCTACGGAGAAGAACCAAAGCAACTTCTTCCTTGTCAACACGCCCGAATACTTTTCCGTGCCAGCTTCCTCACCCGCGTCCATCAATGCTCTCTTGAACTCTCCCCATTTCGACCCACGACTTCATGCATGGAAAGCCCCATAATGCTATTCAAGCCTGCATGAAAGAGAGAGAAAGAGGAATGCTTTTTCCGCTAAGACCATCAAGGAAGCACTATGCTCCGATAAGTACCCAGCGTCTTTGGTTTGTAGAAGACCGCGTTGTTTGCCAGGAACGGGCTTAAGCTAAACAAGAACACAAGACATGCAGACGGGCCATGCGCACGTCGAGAGACGACGAGTAAGGGCAGAAAGGCCGTCAGGTGGGGTAGACTGATCGTCTAGACCATCCAATACCTCTCAACCTTTACTTATGTACCCTCAGCATGGAACCACTGACAGGTAGCCGAAGTATTCGCTCCATCATCCGGCTACCGGGACTGCTGCTGCTGCTGCTGCTGCTTCCTTCGCTGACGTTTGCTCCAGCGTTTGCTGATTGAATCGGGGGCAGCCAAGTAGTACTGAGCGTCAGAGTGACGTGAACCCGGCTGTCCACCGCCATTCATCTTTCCTAAACCTGCCGCTACTGACCTTGCGCTGAGAGTTCGAAGTCTTGGTCGCAAACTGCTGCATCGCCCATCTGCAAATGACTCGAATTGCACAATGTCGGGAACCTTGGTTTGGCGCATCATGCGGATCAGTCATAGCTTCCTAAGCCAATCTGACTGGCGAAAGCGGTAGACACGCTACGAGCGTCGTCGTCCTCGGGGAAGGCCCGGCCACCAGCTCCACGGCCGTAACCAACGGGGCCAGGCTGTCCGCTCGATTCAACGTAGCGCTTGAGGCGATCCGACTGAGAGAGCGAAGTCGGCTTTCCGATGTCGTTGAGGCTGAGTCCTGCAAGGCTAACTCCACCCTGACCAACTCCACCCTTGCTGTCGACAATGCTGCCATTGGTGTCGGTGAGTTCCGATGCCGCGATCGATTCACCAGCAACACTGCTAGCAGCACCCGGGCTCTTTCCATTGGGCCTTCCTCCGGGACCGGGGGTGTTGCGTGCGCCAGGTAGCGTCGGCCAGGAATCGGTGAAGCCAGAGAACATAGGAGGATAGTTGGAGCTGACCCCAACCCCACCAAGCGCAGAGGAGTGGACCGAGGAAACGTCATCGGGAATGTATCCAACAATGGAGCCATTGTCCGTGTACTCCTGACGGCCCTTGTTGCCGTTGACATTGCGGCTAGACGTCATGTTCGAAGCATGTTGGAACGCCATCTGGTAACGTTGGGGGCCGCGGTAGCTGGTCTTGGGACGGCTGAATTGCAACAGGGAAGTCTGAAGGTTGTTCAAAGGGCCCTCGACCAGACAGTTGCGCTCCTTGAAGTGCAGAAGGAGGAAGTGCCACAGAGGGTGCTTCGACAAAACCTTTGGGTTGCCCAGAATGACAAGACCGTACTTGGCACGAGTGAGAGCCACGTTGAGACGGCGCGGGTCGCTCAAGAAACCGATTCCTTGGTGGTCGTTGGAGCGTACGCAAGAGAGAACGATGAAGTCCTTCTCACGGCCCTGGAACGCATCAACGGAAGCAACCTCGATCTCCTTGTAGTTCTCCTTCTTGAAAGTACCGTTCGCCTGCATGGACTGCACGACATAGCTGCGCTGACCCTCGTACGGAGTAATGATACCGATGTCCTGGGGCTTGACACCAGCCTTGAAGAAGCGCGTGACGATCTTTTCAACGTTCGCTGCTTCGGTACGGTTCAGGTAGGATGTTCCAGAGGCGGAGATTTCCTCATTGCCCAAGTTAGACCAGAACATCATCGGGCTGTCAACGACCGGCCAGGGGAAGTCGACCTCCTTGCGCATCCGCGACTCCCGCGTGACACCGTTCTGCAGGGAGCCCTCGTAAAACATGTTCGAAGGGAAATCGGACAAGCAGGGATGCATACGGTATTGCACCTGCAAACGAATCGGGGCGCAACCGAGAATAACAAGACGCTCGAAGAGGGACTGGTTCAGACCAGCCTTGGCGGCCTTTTTGTTCATAATGACGGGCCCAAGCTGCTGGTGATCGCCAACCAAGACAACCTGCTTGCAGCCCAAAACGAGCGGAATCATGCACTCAGGCTCAGCAGATTGGGTTGACTCGTCGATCAACACAGTGCGGAACTTGAACTTGGCCAAGCGCGGGTCACCGGCACCGACGCAAGTGCAGCAAATGACGTCGGCATTGGTCAATATTTCCCGCTCAGCAGCACGGGTCAGTTGCTTGAACTTCTTTTCATCCTGGCTAGACAGTTCGCCCAGCTCGCTCTTCAGCTGGTTCAATTTGTTGAGCTCGACGTTCGTGTCGTTCATGCGAACCTGTTCGTGGAGGGAAAGGAATCCAACAGGTGACTCGACATCTTCCCTAGACTTTGCGGTAACCCGAACGGTCTTGAGGCCAGTACGATGGATACGTTCGCAGAGTTGATCCACAGCAACGTTAGACGGCGCACAAACGAGGACCTGGCCACCGTTGATCTTGGCCAAGTGGTAGATGATAGTGGCCGAAGTAACCGTTTTGCCCGTACCGGGGGGACCCTGGATTAAGCTCAGAGGTTTCTGCAGAACGCTCTTCACAGCATTGATCTGAGAACCGTTGAGCTCCGGGAGTCCAGGAACACTGAACTTGCGTGGAAGCTGAGTCTTCATAGGAGCGGCGGCAACCTCATGGCCCAGGAGACGGTGGAAAATGTAACCAGAGACGCTCATTTCGTCAATAGCGAAGGTCTTCATGGCATGCTGCATGCGGTCAAAGGAAGTGGCCTTCCAGACATAGTCGGCGGTGAAGTTATGAGTGCACTCAGTAGGGACTGATTTGTGGTCTCCCTTGGTACGCAGCTCAATCGTAACCTCATCGGACTGGTTATTGGGAATCTTGATCACGTATCCCACGCCTTCCCAGTGCGGCCTGAGTTCACCAGTGTAGCGCAGCCGCATCTCGTCTCCCACGGCAAGCTTCACATCTCCCAATTCCAGTTTCGGCAGCGTGAAACTTGCCAAGTGCTTATTGTTCAAACCATAGTCCCAGCGCACAATAAGACCATCCTGAGACTGCGACTCTTTCAGCTTGCGGTCGTAATCGGCCTCGATCTTGACCAGCGGACCGAAAACGTTCTGGTACTGGTAGGCATCATCGTAGCGGAGCAAGACCGGCGCGGGCTCATCGTCAACTCCAGCTCCTTTCTCCAAATCCGCGATAGTGGCATTACTGTTGTCCTTCCACATTTCCTCCAGTTTAGCAATCATCTGGGGACTCAGGTGGCGGGCGCGGAGCTGTTCCTGGTCCGAGGGTTGGGAAACGAGCCACGGGAGGAACGTGCGGTCCTCAATCAATGGCTGCCAGCGCGAGGTATCCCAATTCATGTCCTTAGAAGAAGGCATGGCGGCGCATGGCTGGCGGCACAGAAGGACGACAACGGTGTCGGATTTGGCTGGAATGAAGCCAAGAAGAAAGACGTTTTTAGTCCCACAGTTGTAGCACTCCAATACAGTGTCGCCGAGCGAAGACGAGGGGTGGAGCTGGACCTCTTTGTGGCGGGAGCGGACAAGATGGTTGATCATGTGGGAAGAAGACGTGTTGCCACGGGCGCTGCAAAACCACTTGCTGCAGCTCAGGCACTTGATGACACTGCTGGGGTTGTGGATGCCGCAGTAGCTGGACGGCGACAGTTAGCGCAGCGCTTCAAGCTGGTGGAGGGGTTGCTCACGCGCAAGCATGAGAGGGCAGCTCAACATCCTCATCGGGCTTCTGCTGTTTGCCGCCAACCTGCATGCTGGCCATGCTCTCCATGTCATCTTCATCGTAGGTGTCGCCATCCTCGTCGTCGTCAAGGCGGCGCCGGCGGCCGTTAAGGTTGGAGCGGCCAAGATCGCCATCCAGGATGCTCTCATCGTCGCCGGCGTTGATGGTGGAGGCCGAGTCGGAAACCAGGTGGTTGCCCAGGTGAGTAAAGGCGCCCTCCATGATGGTCGTAGGCCCGGGCGGGCTGTGGGGGATGCTGGGTTCCGTTGCTGGGGAGCTTGCTGGAGGTTGCGGAGGAGGCAAAATCAAAGCTGCGGTGCGGGCGGTGGTGGGCAGAGCAGTCGGGCACGGACGCGCGGGCCGCGAGGACGCTTCCTGCAGAACGGGCGCAGCGCGGCTTCTGGATGCGCGGACGAGGCGGGCGCGGCTGCGGGATGGCGATGCTTGCGCGAGTGATTGCCTTGGGCGCGGCGTGCGCGGTTGGGGAGAGGAGGTGGTCAGGCTTTGGCGGCGCGGCAGACGGGCTTGAGGGCATGTGTCGATCCGCCCGGAGAGAAATTCTGGGACGCCGCCAAAAAGTTCAACACCACTAGCTCCGCCGCCTCCAGCCGCTGCACGCCCTGCCTGCCGCCCGCATCCCGCCCGCATCCCGCCTGCAAACTGCTCCGCCGTGCGAACGCCTTCGACTCCGCATTGCGCCGATTCTCACTGCTGCCAGAGCGCCGCATCGCCCGCCATGATTGTTCGTCCACCACACCCGCATCCAGCTCTCCGCACCGCACACTGACTCTTGCACAGCGCCGACAGGCCCGCGAGAGGCGTGACTACCTCTACCGCCGTGCCCTGACCCTCCGCGACGCCGAAATCGCCTCGAAGCGCGCAGCACTGCGAGCCTCTCTCGCCAGTGGCAAGCCGCTGGACCCGTCCATCGCCAACGACAAAGACCTGCGTGCAAACTACAAGTACGACGAGTCGCAACAGGACCGCTCCACCCAGGAGGCGCTGGATCTGGACGACGAGTACGCGCAGCTTTCGGGCGTCGTGGATCCGCGTGTGCTGGTGACGACCTCGCGCGATCCCAGCACTCGCCTGGGTGCGTTCGCCAAGGAGATTCGCCTGTTGCTGCCCACGAGCATCCGCGTCAACAGAGGAAACCTCGTCCTGCCCAACATCGTGTCGAGTGCGAAGGCTGCCGGACTGAGTGATGTGATTCTGCTCCACGAGCACCGTGGCACGCCCACGGCCATGACCATCTCCCACTTCCCCCACGGCCCCACCGCTTCGTTCTCGCTTCACAACGTCGTCCTGCGCCACGATATCCCCAATGCCGCCCGTGGCACCGTCTCCGAGTCCTATCCGCATCTGATCTTTGAGGGCTTTACCACCAACCTCGGCAAGCGCGTCGTCAAGGTTCTACAGCATCTCTTTCCCCCACGCCCTGCCGCAGCAACTCCCAAGGACGTCGGCAACCGTGTTGTTACGTTTGTCAACCGCGAGGATAGCATCGAGGTCCGTCACCATGTCTTTGTGCGCACGGGCTACCAGAGCGTCGAGCTGGCGGAGGTCGGCCCGCGGATGACGATGCGTCTGTTTGAGATCCGTGGAGGCACTTTGGAAAACAAGGACGGTGATGTGGAGTGGCACATGAACCAGTTCACACGCACAGCCAAGAAGAAGGATTACTTGTAATGCCCGCAGCCAGCATTTGCGGGCAATGGAGTCGGATTCCGCTGCCAAGGGGAGAGAAGTGCAGGGGCGGACATTAAAAAGAGGGGATTGGGCATCTGGACGGCGCATATCACGGTACTGGGGTTATAACTCGGGGATTTCCAGGGATGGAGCGGCATCTATGGCGTTATTTGGGCACGAATGGAGGAGGAAAGCGCGCGGGATGATGCGCATGATGGAGCACCGCGACGCGTCGAGACTGTCTGCAAGATACAGCACAACAGGCCAACAGCAACCAATGCATAACCCACACACGACAAGCTTCCGCCGTGCTGCTATGCCACGTTGTACCACCCCCGTCAGCAACTTGCACACATGGCACGCACATGCATTAGGGCGCCTCCACGCACGCCCTAGGCGAGATCGAGCGCCTCACTGCAGATTCGGAGTCATGAAGCCGCCATGAGACTGCGCGGCAGGCACGCGGCTAACTACCTATCGTCGCCGAACGCCTGTTATTCTCCGCTTGACTACCGCCTTCTCATCAGTGACAAAGCGGAGTCACATGCTCCCCACTCTCTGCCAAGCCGTTCGCTCCCCGATAAACGGACAGCACATCTACTCTCCCTCGTGATGCCACCAGCGGCTACTCCCGACCACCCGCGTCGCGCGGCAGACCGCGACATAATTTTCGACCCCGCAACTAGCAGTCATGTCCAATCCTTTCTAGCCGCGAGAACCGCGCCTCCTTTGACCGGAGTTTACTCCTCCTTCCTATCAAATCGTCCTAGCGGCTATCTGGCGCTCTACCGGCGGGTGTTGCGCCTTCGTATCGGCACTTAGGGTAGATCAATTGTGGGCAGCCCTCGGAGACACCTCCAGCCTCACTGTACCGAGTACCGTCATTGGACCTCTGAAATAGAAAAAATTGAGCACAGAGCATCTTCACACCGAATGATGCCACTGCGATTTCATCACATCTCCTAGTACAATTGCTATGGACGAGAGAAGGGCCGAGACCGCTCAGCCTCATCTTTGCTCCCTGACGGTCATGTGGATGGACGCTCGCAACCTATCGGATTATCGAGGGAGAGGCAGAGATAAACAGCCTGGACAGGTAGGCTCTCACCTACGGATGAAGACGCAGCTAATCCGAAGGAGAGATCCGAACTGCAAGCCACGTCGAATATCAGCATCGTGCTCATCGTCGATCTCGGATAGCAATTGCTCCAGCTCTGGAAGCGCTGCCTGCGTGTGCATGCATGCATGCATGACAGTTGAGCCCCGTGCCCTTGTGCCTCATCCCATACAGCGATTTGCACCTTTTCAGGTTACTCACGCCTTTCGCCATCAGCTGATACGCAATGCGAGACAGAAGTGAGCAAAGACGACTCTGTCTGACCCGTCATGATGATAACGATGAGCAGTCGCGGCCTCCAATAACAGTAAAAAGCGCAGAGGGTCAGGAGTGCCTATCTCACCCTTCTATCTCATCGCACTGTCAATCTGCACGATCATACGTAAAAGCACACGCCTCAGCCGACGATGGTCCACAAGATTCTGTCAGTCCCCGTCCTGCTCTGACCTTTTCTCGCCTCTTGCTCTTGGTTCCAGAGGCGACGGCCGAGAGAACGAAGGCAAAAGCAAAGAGAGACATGCATCATGCCGCCCCCAACTCCCCAAACCCCTCGTCCGTGCCTGCCTACCTGCATGACGCACAAACCCCATAGCACGCACCGCTGCGCACACCCTTATCCCCTTACTATTCCCACCCTTTTGCCGTGCTCTCAGATGCCCTTGATCCACTCGATGACTGCCCTCCCTCGCACAGATCTCACAGCGGAGTCAACCGTTTGGCCACGGCATCCGTCGCCCCCGGCTCGCCGCTCTTTCCTTTTGGTTGACCGTTCATGCACATGTGCGTACACGCATACGTCCAACGGACATGCATGGGCACATGCAGCCACGCACCGTGGAATTTCCTACCTGCCCTCACATCCACTTCGGTCCAGTGCCGCATCTGCCCTTTTCGCTCGCTTTGCATGCCCTCCAAGGCCCTGCATGCCTTTCTACACACAGACGTCCATTCTCCATCAATCTTCACTGCCTGTTCCCCGCTTGTTCTATTCCACTGCCCGTACACTCCACGCTAGCCCTTCCTCGCCCCTCCTGCAGCTTAGCCAGGAGAGGGTAAAAAGGTGAGAAGAGCAACGAAGGAGAGAATGGAGACGAGGGAACGTGCCGACAGGCGTTGGTCATTGCACATCGGGGAGAGGGGAAGAGGGGGCCGACGATAGTCTTGTCCACACACACACACACAACGCACACACTCACACACACACACACACACACACACACACATGCAGAATCTCTCTCCCCGCAAACCGCGCGTGCACGGCGTGATACAATCTGGAGTTCATTTTCCGCAACACACCGCTTCTCTTCTCCCCCTCCCTTCGTTCCCCTCTTGGTTCCCCGATCGTCCCGTCCTCACCACCGCGTGCATCACATGTGTGGAGGAATATTATTATTATTGGGACGAGGCTGGCTGAACTCCATGTACGACGAGACCGAATTGGAAAGGGGGGGAGGAAAATGCGGGATCAGCACCCGGCCTTGGAGGAAGTGGCTTGCATCCACGACGGCAGGGACGGAGAGGCGAACAGTCCGCCTCGTCTGAAATGGCTGCGGCATCTTTCCTCTCGAGCCTTTGTCAAAAAAAGCAATGAGAAGTGGCGTGGGCTGTTGGTTGATAGCACACACGACTAATTGGCCGTTACTGGAAGGATCCATTATTGAAGTCGTTGTTGGCTATCAGACGCTAAACTTGAAAGCATTTGCGGGATATAGAGGTCGAGGACAAGCGCTGGCTGCACTCACTCTAGGGGAAGAGGGGAATGCTGTTAGTCCAACACACACGTACGGACGTAAAGCTGGCTTGCCAATGCAAAGTAGCACGAGAGAGCTTGGCATGCGTTGGACAGCCTCTCATTACCCATCTCGAACGCTGATAAAATCCATATGGCGGTGAGCAGATTCGACAAGCGCTGCTGCAGCTCGAGTGGGTTGCAGCAGCACTAACTCGCCCTTCGCGATCACGTCCGTCGCGTTAGCTATTGGAATTTGCCTTACGTAAAATAGTTGGAGTCGGCGCCCCGAGGGTTTATGTATAGTGCTTAAGTCCTATGTCCATGTCGTCGGACAATGCGCTCCCGGATGCCCCGTGCAAAGAGCCCATCATGTGTTTTGCAGCTTGCAGCATGCGCTGCGCAGGACGGGCGCTCTGTGACGCCATCTGTGGCAGTGGCCGTCCCATCTGGGCGCCTTGCAAACGCAGGGAGAAGAAGAGCGGTGGGCAAAGGCGCGTGAAGCTTCTCTCGCCGTCTACCTACTGCGGTTCCATTCTGCGAAAAGAAGAGCAGAGCGCCCCTATGAGGGCATGTGCACGGCACGCATAGACAAGCGGCTGCACAGAGCGCGATGGGAACAGGCGAGGGCGGTGGGTCTGGTCTGTCCAGAGCAGATGTGGTTGCGCTACCCGTGCGGCATGCAGAAAGACAAGTCACGAAAGGGCATGAGGGCATGAAGAAACGGGCAGCGAGCAAAGTAGTCAGGAGGTGGGGTGGAGGGGCAGGAACTAGCGATTTGGAGCATGGGCCAAGCGAGCGAGCGAGGGAACGAGGGAGCAGAAAAAAAGATACGAGCAAGATACGATAGGGCGACGCCGAGCCGCCTGTTCACCTCTGTTGTGTGCGTCTCGCATGTGGGGTTCGTTGGTGGATACCTACCGGACCCGGGCAAGACCAAGACGGAACATCGGTAAATGTGAACGCGGAGCATGCGTAACAGGAAGGAAGCAGCCTTGGGTTTTCGTTTTTTTATTTTTCCAGCTGCACTGCGTTCAACGAACCCTTCCCTTTCCGTCGTCCTGCTTGCGCCCACACGCCACAGAGTGCCCGGCTGTCCGGCCGAAGGATTCCCCTCTCATTCCATGCCTCGCTTCTCTGCATGGCACCCAGGCAGCAGCGTGTTGCTTTTCCGTCTTCTGCAACGGTTCCCACCGCTCATCTTTAGCGAAGTGCAGGAAAAAAAAAAAAGAGGGCTTGCACAGCCCCTCCGCTGGCGGGCCCCGTTTCTGCTGACGAGAGACGATGACGCTTTGGTAGTAGGCGGTGGGCGGATGAAAGACGCTGCAAATCCGCAAAGTACCGACGGCCGGTTGCGGGCCAAAGGGACCCACGGCCCTCACCTGCTGCACGGTTCAACAAAGAATACAGGAAAAAAATCAGCGGGCAAAGCGGGCAATGCGCACGGAACCCGCCAGAGCACGCAACAAGCACCCAGGTCGGCCAGAGTCATGCTTACGAGCACGCGACGTCAAGGTGATGGAGAGAGAGGAAGAGATCGTTGTGTTTGTCTCATCAGGCCGGCCACCGCTGTCTGTCGCCACAACCCGTCGTGATTATCATTTCATCTCAACTGCCTATCCTTCCCTTCGCCCTCTCTCCACTCTCAAACACAGAACCCCTGAAGTGATACCCCTTTGTCGTGGCAAGCCCACAACCCCTCGCACTCTTTTTGCGCTGCGCAGCCAGCCCGTCTTGCGCCTTCCACGCTTTTCCGCCCTGCGCCGTACCAATCTGTCCGTGTGCGCCAAGGCAGATACTCCTCCATGCGTAATCAAGCGTACGCTGCAAAGAATACAGAAGCACTTAAGGGGTATACTGGCTAACCTGCGAGACAAAAACCGTCGGAAAATAAAGACTATGCTCCACCCAATGCGAAAGGAGTACACGCGTATAGTAACAATACCGAGATGATCCCGTGGCTGTGAAGGCTCCTGGCCTCTCTCTGGGATGCTAAATCGAGACATGAAGAAGTAAAAAAGACTGCCGAGAGGTTGCAGGTACAAAGGGAAGGTTGGACTCGTGAGCCCAAGCTTGAAAATCGATCAAGTTCGTTAGAAAAATCCAGATATAGCGAGAGTTCCTTTTCCGGGTATGGTCGCGCGGCTGGAACAACGAATGATTCCGGGCCTCAAGGTCCAAATGAAAATACACTCCAAGCCAGTCTATAGCGACGATGCGGAACTCGGGGCGCTTTGAGTTTGGCCCCCATCTCCTTCTCCAAAGTACGCCGATGAGACAACCCAGAAAACAGCGGAAGACAGGACAATTGTGCGGGGGAAGAGGGTATAATCGAAGGGATAAAAAAGTAGTACAAGCGAGCGGGCATCTTCTTCTCTTGCTCTCGCGGTGACAAATCCGAGATTTGCAACGGCAACAAACTTCCAACCTTGATTGGAACCGTACTGCCGTCGATGATGAATATGAAAAGGTTAAAGATGGTGCCCCGTGCTAACCCCGTTCCCATGCTTTGCAGGCTCTCCCGGTGACATTACGGGAGAGTGTTGAGGAAGACAATGATCGCTTATGCTGCCGTTGAACGCCATGAGTATTTGATGATGCAGAAAGTGCGAACAGGTCATCGTGGTCGGCTTTTTTTCTTTTTTTTTTGTTGGTTGTGTTTCGTAGTCGTGGGTCGTTGAAAGGTGGTGGTACAGGGTGACGGAGCTATGACGCTGAGATTATTTCAGCGAATCCATGGTTGAGCTGCGGCTTATCGTGGCGAGTGTGTCACGATCGTTGTCGCGCTCTCGAGACTCTTTCTCTTTGCGTTTGTGGCCGGAGGGCGTGCGAGAGAATACGCGCTGGAATAAGTCCCTCTTGCTGGTACGTGTGGCTTCCATTGGAGGACTGGGCGATTCCGACTGGCATGCGTTTGCAGCGGCAGTGGCGAAATGGTGCTGCATCTGCATGTTCTGCTCAATGTCCACGTTTTCGGCCTTCTCAATCTTGCAGAAGAGCGTCGAGAACATGTACTGGTCGCCGTTTGTGTTGTACAGGGGAAGGTGTCGGTACCCCTGCTGCAAGCTGCTGAGCTTGGCAGTGAAAGTCGCAAGAGGCACGCTGCTCGAGCTGGCCGTCTTGCTATCGGTCGAGTTCCAAACCGTCCAGCGCACGAACACAAGGTCCGGGAAGCGTGTTTCAAGGCTCATGGACAGCAGCGAATTGAAATTCGGGTCGTAGCCGTTGCCCTCAATCACAGGCGTGCGCTTGCGAAGTGGGACGCCAATGCCCGAGACGCCATTGCGCGCTGACGCGTCCATTCCACCCTCGCCTATTGCGGCACCCCGGGACTTGTCGTTGGCGCTGTACATTTCAAACTCAACGTATGGGTTGATCGAAGCGTCCGCTTTCATGCCGCTGGGACGCGGCAGCTGCTGCGCGGAGATGATGTGAACCGAGAACTTGACAAGCTTCTTCTGCTGCTTGGTGCGTTTGTGTTCGCCGTTGACGATTTCGCGCTCCCTAGGCTGACGCAGCTCTTGTGGCTTGAGCACATAGCCGGTTCTGTCGTTCCCCGCCGCAAACATAGCGTCGTTGATCTGCTGACCCAAGTCGTATGTCTGCCAGTTCAGCGCCGCCATCTGCACTCCTCGGCGCCAGAATTTGATCGGGTCGAAGTTGGACGAATTGATCCGATAGCCTGACGGATAGACGCGCATAAGGTGGTGCAGGTTGTGCTCCTCGAGTGCCGCCTTGGAGGAGGAAGATTCCTTGTTGCACAGGCCATCAAAGGTGCGTTCGGCGAACGAATAGATGTGGTTGTACGTTTTGGCTTCCGCGGACTTGAAGTCAGAATACTTGATGCCCCGCGTGTACACACCAAGGTCACCGAGGACTTTGACGATCTTGCTGGTCTTTTTCTTTCTCTTCTTCTCTGCATAGGTAGCAGGCGGACTGTCGCTGTCCTCTGCCGAGCTATGCAGGCTAGCACCCGCTGACGTTACAGACGTACGCGGCGTTTGCCAAAACGGGGTAACGCGATCCGGGGGGCTAGACGAGGGCGGGCTCGAGAGCAAAGGAGAGTCGGGGATTGGGCTGTTGTCAATGTTGATGGGTTTGGAGAAGGGAGAGCTGAAACTCCGTTGCCTGCTGCGAGAGTTGGGCGTATCGCTCGGGGTGACTTTGTCGTCGGCATCTTCCGAGGCCTTGACCTTGATCAATATCTTGTTCTTGAGCTGCTCTGGCGACGGAAGGACTTGAGTGTCGTCAAGAGGCTCCTGCTGGAGCTGGTCGCCAAACTGGCTCTTCATGATCTCAGCCATGAGAGCCTGCTGCTCTGGGTTGCAGTGAACCTCCAGAGAAATGATAAGCGGGTACGGCGACGATACGAACGCGTACTTTTGGATGACCGCGATGCAATCGGCAAACAGCACATGGGTGGTCAGCGTCCGACCATGAACGACGATCGGGCGACCGTCGCTGCCATCCCAGCAATCGATCTCGATGCAACGGCATCCTTTTTGCAGCGCAACAATGTATGCTTCAGTGCTGGAGTGGCCTGCAACCTGGCGTCCAAGGAGGTAGGTGTTGTGCGAACTCGAGATAAAGTACTCGTTGAGCGGGTGATCCAGCTTGGGCTCCGATCTCGGCGTGGCGAGGACGTGGTTTGCTGAGGACGTCATGAAAGCCTGAAATGCCTGAAAATTCATGCTCCCCAGACATGCATCGCCGTTAAGCGAAGATGCGGAGTTGTTCCTCGGCTTTCCGACGAACTTCTTGAAAACGGTCTGCCAATATTCCTGATCGGCAGCCACGTCAACACCCTGCCGCTCCTGCAGGAAACGTTCGAAATCGCCCCAGTACAACTCAGCGTTGGCGCCTTTGACTGAGTCGTAAATCGGTTTTAGGTCACGCCTCTCTTTTAGCTTACGGACGAAAGTCAAGAATTGGCCGTAACGCAGGTAGCCCGACTGCTCGCCAGCCTTGTTGAACTGAGAACGCAATGCATCTTCTGTGCTGTTGATCTGGAGACTTCGGCAAAGCTTGACGGTGCTAGGGAAGTCGAGTTTTTGGTCTTCCTCGGGGGTCTCGTGGCCTTTGGGGCGGTCAAAGGTGCGCTGCCACAGGGCTTTCGCAGTCTTCTCGCCGGTGCCTGCAAGACCGGCCATCATCTCAATGCGGCTGCGAGAGACTTCCTCGAGAGTGCCTGTCCAGAGCTGAAAAAGGAAGTTGTTGGGGGCGATCAGGTGCATGGCCTTGATGGACCTGCCCTTGTTCATCTCAGGGTCTGAGTAGATGATGGTGAACCACCGGTCTTCCTGGTCGGCGGAAATCTGGAATTCCTCGCGGTAGTTCCGGGCGTCCTTCCCAATCCGGATTTCGCGGACATCATCGATATAGAAAGATTTCGAAGGACGGGAGGAGTCCCACGTCACTTTCGCAGAGCCAAGGTCCAGACGAAACCTCCTGCTCTGGGTTTTCTTCCCGGTGACCTTGGTAAGCCAGGTCCCTTGCTCTAGGACGTTGGAACGGATAGGAGCGCCTTCCGTCATTGTCCCCGTGGCTGACCGACCGGCGGTGATACCAAGGCCATGGACAACGCATTCCTGGGAAGTCGTTGCCTCGCCCGAATCCTCAATCGCCTCCTCGTCCGGGCCCTCCAAATCGTAGTCCGACACGTCCCATGCGGCTTCCCGCGGATCCGAGACCGCGTTCCGGCTGTCGCTCCTCCTACGCATGATGACGGGTCCGGCGCTGTGGTCGCGGCGCGCGCTTGCGCCGGAGCCGCGCTGGCGGGTGAGTCGGCTGTGGGCGCCGCGGGATATACGTCGGATCAGGTTGGGAGATTTGGTGATGGCCATGGCGTCGGCCATGGCGTTGGAGCCGGGGGAGGAGGTTGGCCCCGGGGCCGAGGTGGACATGTAGGCCTCGGGCAGGGAGAAGGGCGCGGAGGGGAAGGAGGTCGCTATGCGGGTGGGGTGCATGCTTTCGGGGGTGGTCTGGAGGGAGGCGGTCGAGTCCAGCATCGAGGGCGCAGAGGTCGGGCTGTTGCGCTGGGAGAGGCTGGCGCAGGGTTGGATGGTGAGCGGCATGGTGGCATGGTGTGCATTGAAGCGGTAGACGGAGCTTTTGGGCGTGGGCATACGGGGGCGAGGCGCTCCATTGTGGTCTGGAGAGTCGTGCGCCGAGTATGCCGCGAAGGAAGTCATGGTTCGAGCGGGAAGCGGTGGCCCTACTGGCGTCGAGGACGGGACGGCATATTAGGAGAGGACAAGAATGAGAGATGGTCGTGCGACCGAGCCAGCTGGGTCTCCGGAGGTGTCGTGGGCGCTCGGGGCTGTCGTGTTTACCGCATATTGAGCATCGCGCATCAAGCGCAGGACAGGCAATGATGCGGCAGGTCAGCTGAAGAGCGATGGGGTCGAATGGCGCGGAGTGCGGTCTTGCTCCAGAAGAGGGCTTGCAGCGCAGTGAGGCTGGGCCTGCAGCTTATCCTAACAGGTAAGCATGCTTCTCCACGCGCGCTCGCGGGCACCGAAAGTGCGACGGGGGCCGGGGCGGTGGTACGTACTGAGGGCGAGGCTGCGGGCTGACGCAGGCTGCGGAATGCGGTCGTGGGAATTGCGCGAGAAGGCTGGCGCCGTGGCCGTGGTGGAAAAGGAGTGCGCGGGCTTGAGGTGACGGCGGGTGCTCGCAAATCTGACGATGGCAACTAGTTCGTTATTAAAGAGGACGGACCCGAGGCGCAACGGCGACGGGCCACGATGAGCCATCCCTGCCCTCGTGCGGCCTGGCGTTGGGCGCAGGCTCGCAAGGCATGCCTCTCCGCAGCCGACGGTGCGTCGCAGGCCCGCTTGGCCACAGCGCGCGGCATGGGTGCGAGAAAACGGCCCACGGCGGCGCGCCCAGGGCAGGATTCGTTTCAAACGCCAGAGATTATTTGCGTCATGGCCTGCACGCCCGTTCCACTTCATTTCACGCCCGCCCGCCCGCCTGCCCGCGGCGCGCCCCTGGGCCCCGGACCGTGTGCGCTGCCCTGCTGCCCTGACCTGAGGCGCCTCGCGACGCAAATCATCGTGCGCTGGCAGCGCAGGCGGCAGGCGGACAGGTCATTGCGCCTGCTGTCCCGCGCGCCGACGCATCCGGAGCGTGCGTGCAGCCAGGAATCCGTTCAGCCCTGTTGCGGAGCTGCGACAAGAATAGCGAGCGGGCTAGCGCTTATCGGGACCGCCAACAGGCTGCCCTCCTCGTCAGGCACAGCGGCAACGTGGCGCGCCCTAAGCAGCTTTGCGCCTGTGCGGACCAGCTCTGTGGTTAAACTATACAAGCTGCGGTGCGCTCGTCGCTGATCCGAGGCCGGGGTGCGTTGCCCGCCGTCCCATGCCCGCGCCAACCCAACCGCCAGTGCGCAACAGTCCGTGGCTTCGTCGCTCCTTCGACACGCCCAAGCCTGAGCCGCTGCGTGCCCGTACGGGTGCAGCCATGCCGACTACCGACCGCCGTCGCGCTCGTGTGTCATGTCCAGCGCAGCCCGGCGCCGGGGCCCTTTTGCGCAACGCCTCACAATCTGCATGCGACTCAGCGAAGCGTCCGCACCGGAGGATCGCCGCCAGCAGCGCGCGCACGCTCTTCGGTCGCCTTCGACTGCTTCGAGAAGACTGACGACCCCTGACGCTCCTGAGCCGCGAGGCCAAGCAGGGCGCGTTCCCCACAATCCCGTCCGTCGCCCCGTAGCCCTGCGCATTGGCCAGCTGCGCCTGCGAAACGAGACGAATTTCCAGTTTCCCATCAGCTGACTCGGCGCCTTCTCCAATAATCTCCATCGAGCGATTGAACAGAGGCCGGCGAGCGGTGTGCGCGCTGCGTTGTTACTGTGGCTCGCCCGCCTCGTGATGGGCCGTGGCCGGCCAATTGGCGTACTGCGCGCGATGCTCCCGGCCTGGGTTGCCGTTCAATGCGACGCCGTCACCAGAGCGAGACGCCTCAACCAGGGCCCTCACCACCATCACGGCCACGCGCGCGCGACAGACCTGCTCGATCCGCCGCGGCGGGCCGCGTGCGCTAGGCCAAGCGGCCGCGCGACAGCAGCACCACCGTCACCCGCTCCAGTCAGCGCCAAAAGGGGGTTTCATCAATTCGATCAATCCGAAGCAGCACATCGGACCACCGCGCATTCCAGCTAGTTCCCAAACCACCAACTAGCTTGCGTGTGTCCTTGGCCGCGTTTGCGCGCGGCACGCCTCGTCATCCCTGGGGGAGGGGTGTCGCCAGGAAACCTGGGAGGGCAGCGGCAGCTGCGTCGCACGAGCTCCGGACAAGGGCAGGGCACGGCGCATCCTAATGACTTGCAGGAGGGGGCCTGTCTCATGCCGGACGGGGAGGGGGGGGAACTGTGGCACGCAGCTCCGCCAACGGCGACGGGGGGGGAAGGCGACGAGGCAAGGAAAAAGAAAGTGGAAAGTTTCCTGGCCTGTCGGCCGCGCGGGCGTCGTTGCTCGAGCACAGAACACAGCACGCGCACAACGGGAATCTTCACAAACGCAGTCATGGGCCTGCGTGAAAAACCTTCGTCATTGACTTGCAGGGGCCGATGTGCAGTTTGATCCCCGCAGCGACTGCGCAAAAAGCAGTTGCAGCCTCGGCGCCCTGCACCGCCCGGCGCCCGTTGCCAACATCATCATCATCAGCATCATCTCGCGCCTTCCCAGCGGGCTGGTTCAATCTTGCTGCGGCCTGGCGGGCGGGCGGGCGGCGGGTGGGCGGGCAACGAACGGCGCGGGCATCCTGCGCGGCGCCAGCCCTGCTCCAATTTCCCCTCAATTGGGGCCGGCAGCAGCATCGTCGCACCGCACGGATGTCAGGCGATTGCCTGCGTCTGCGTCGCACGAACAGGCCCTCTCAAAGAGCCTCACGCTCGCGATTGATGGCAGAAAAGTGGACAGCAGCCTGCAGGAACGTCCGGCCTCTGCGGCGCCCGCATGTTCAGCACCGGCAGCACGAGGGCACGCCTGCGTTAAGGTTTCTCTCCTACTCCACTTCCCTCTCTCCTCAGCACTAGGCCGCGAACGTCCTCTTGCGCATAATTGTTAGACGCACATTGCTGCACACGTTCGGCACACGCCCGCAGTGATTGGCAAGAAGGCGGGCAAACACCGCCCGCCGAAAAGAAGCTATTGAGAAATGCTCCGCATGACCACCCTCTCTGCCTTGTAGATAAGCTTGAACAATGACAACATGACAGCCCCCCTCCTCGCGCTAGTAACGGCACACGCAATACTTCCAAGTTGCGCTGCAGACTCAGCATGCGCCTCGTCCAGGAGCCTATTGGAACAAGACGGCAGACCGGCAGCTAGCGGCGGAGCAGCTCACGGCAGCGTTGCACCGATGGCACACAAGAGCGAAGCAAAACAGCATCATGGATTGGCATTGCGCCTTGCCCTCCGTCTTTTCCATCACACCGCGCCACGACTGTTGGCCTTGTGTTCTGGGCCGGCTGATGCAATCAATCCAGCTCGCCGGCCTGTCACGCGAAGAGTGCAGCCGGGAAACGTATACCAGCTCGGTCCACTCGCTATAGCAACAAGGTTAGGGGAGTTGGTGCGCTTTCCCGCATGCTAGTATCCATAGATCTATCGTGCATCCGCGCCTAGATGGGCGCTTCAACTAGCTACCCGCCCTCCCTGTTGCAACATTAAGCGAACGGACCTCGTACATGGATTCGAAACAGTATGCGCGCAAGGGAACACGCAGAAAAGATCGCCTGTCCCTCAGGCAGGAAACATACCACGTAGGAATGTATGCTGGGTCTCATGCAGAAAGTGCAAAAAAGTCCGCACGTCCGGCGTTGCATGCTGTCGCATGTCAAGGCATGCGCACAGCGACGAGGCGCGCACGGCTGGAGCTGGAACCCCCCAGGAGAAGACTTTTTTCAGCTCCAATTCCAGCCCTCAGCCGTGTGAGCCGTCCAAGGTTCCAACACCGTGGTCCTGTTTCGCCGTGGCCGTGTCGGTTGTCCTCAATATGCTCAATTAGGTCTGGGGCATATCCCGTGCGGCTCGGAATCCTGTAGATTAACGGCGAAAACTATGTTGTCCGCTGCCCTCGTCGACGTTCCCGCGAGTTCGACATCCCGCTGGCAGTGCCCGCCGGCCCGTGTGCAACGTGCCCTTCCATGGATGCATTGTTGCCCTCCGCCGCAGCTGCCATTGATCCCACAAGGGCTTTCGGTTTCGTGAAAATTATTCGCTCTCGCCGGCCTAGGCCGGCCAACTCACTAGGTGACTCACCTGCCGTGGCCGCCACCGTGTTTGCGTCGTCTGACGCTAGATTCGCCTGAGAATCAGGCATCATGAAATGCGAACAGGCAAACACCTGTTTGTCCGTCGGTGAGTCCATGGCGGTTGTGTTCCCGCTCTCAACAAATGCCTTGGACTAAGACGCCTGCTCCTCACCGCTGGTCATTGCTCTTCCCGCACTTGCATCTGCCGTGTCATCGGCCCCAGCGCGGATACCCACAGAATGCAGGTGCGCGTATGCAGGCGCCGTAGCGGGCGTTCGTGCTGCAGCTGAATTACCGGACGCCTCGACCAAAAGAGAGGAAGTGGTGCTCCATCCGGCCGTCGGTATCGATCTCACGCCTGGTTCAGGCAACTCGCTCCTCCTGGGCGCTGTCAATAGCTGTCGAGTCGCCTTCCCCGAAAACAAACTTCTTCCACACGGCCTCCGCATCATCTGCTTCTACAGCACCGTCAGCATCGCCGATCCAGCCTTGCGCGGGCGCAGCTGGACCCTCCTCAGCTGGCACGGTGATTTGACGGCGAGACCCAAACGGAGAGCCCAGGCTGCGGATTTCGGGAGCGCTGTCCGATGCCTGCGCATGCAGGGTGCTGCTGCAAGAGCGCCTGAAGGTGCTTGCAGCCCTGCGCCCAGACGGGAATGCGGAATTGAGTGGCTCTTCGGTGGGCTGACTCCTCCTCACGCATCGACTTCGTGCATTCGCACGATGTCTTGCATAGGTGTTGATCGGTAGCTCTGCCGAGAGGTGCAGCCTCGCAGCACGATCTGCGGAGCTGTCGCGGAGAACTGCCGACGACGATTCGAGGTCCTCTCCAATCCCACGGCAGGGCGTTTGCCGCTTGGAACCGGTCCGTTGCGCGACAGAGGATTGGTCGGCTCTATCCAATGCGAAGCCTTGGATCTCCAGCCGTCGAATATCATCGAACCCTTCTTCAAGCGAGCTTGGACGATCAATTAGCTCCAATGAGCCCCTCGACCGTGGCCTGTTCGATACCCGTGCCAAATTATTGTAAAAAAGCCCTTGCGCACCTGGCTCGGCCGGACGAGACTTGGACGGCTTCGGCGGAAAGCTCTGGAACTCTGGCTGCCCCTCGGTCTGGACACGCGTCTTAGCCTGATCCAGACTGTTACTACCTCCGCCCAATTCCACCTCTTGTTGCGATGTCGGGCACTGCATCGAGTCTTCCTTGTGCGTCTCCAAGGTGCGAATTCTTTTTTGTTGATCATTGCCAGGATCTGTATTACATTCATCAGCAGATGCAAGGAGAGCGTCCGCCTCTGACGCAGGGGTTACAGGGGCCCGACAGGAACATTCATCAAGTTCTTGCAAGAGTCTTTCGACATCTTCAACAGGCTCAGCTTCGGTGTAGGTTTGAGCTTCCTCTGATCCCTTGTCTGTGTCAGGCAAATTAGTCAGAAGTTGAGTCTCGTCCTCGTTCTTCTCAGTCGAAACCTCTCGCGCACGAACTGGCTGCAGCTCTTGTACCGCGTCGTCCATGTCGAACAGCATTGGATCCGATGGCGTGAGGCGATGTTCAGGTTCATGCAAGTCGTTGCCTTGTGTAGGTGGTTGAGTTGCAAGAGCGTGTGGCCCTATTTTTACGACAATATCCTTGTCGTGATTCACCAGGGCCCCACTCATCCAGGGGCCACCGGCAATAGCTTTCATGTTGCTCAGGAAAGGCGCCCGTGTCGCGCTATGTCCATCGCCCCTTCGAACCCCGTTATTGCCCATCCGATGCTTCTTTCCTACGGTTTCTCTTTCCCTGGTGGACATGAACTGCATCCGTAACGGCTGAGAGGGTGAGAGGCCGGCCCAGTCACGGCGGGCTAAAAGCCTCTTACGCTCACGTTCTACAATGTCGTCATTTACTACACCATCCAAACGGCGCTTGTTTATCGCTTCGTCTCTTTTTCCAGCATATCCCCTCTCGTGTGATGGTTTCCCGTCGTTCTGGGTCTTCGCGGACGGTACTACCCTGGTGGGTGAGAAAGTTAAGTCGCTCTCATACAACAGCGGCAACGGGGCCTCAGCACCCTTCGAGGCATCGTGAATGGTCCACGGGGAGATGCGGCGGTGTGTCGGCAATGACCGCGGTGATCTATGCGCCGATGGTCGCTGTGCTGGTTGCCGTGCTGGCCGCGGTTTCATCGAGGAAGGCCGTTGCACCAGGTGAACCAATGTCTCATGTTGGTTGAGAGGCTGGCGCTTGATTGGCAAACGCCGCCCGAGGGCTACACCCAAATCCTCCTGCTCCATCCCGTCCGGCAGGAAATAGCGACGTCCAAAGGGCGGAGAATTGTTGGCATTGGCGTTGTGGTGCTGAGTGCGGACCTTGGCAAAATGTTGTTTCTGGCGATGTGTGAGAGTGTTGGTGTTCGAGTGCCGTTGCAACCTGCCGCCAGTCCAGTTCATTTCGAGGGCTACCGATTGTGGCAGCTTGATCGACAGGGAAAACGAGCCCAGCGGCGGCGGGCGATCGGCGGGCCAACGGCTCGTTCGCTATGACGCCTGCCGTGAGAAGCGACGCGTGTGGACGCAGCCGTGTCTTTGGGTTGGACCGCCTGTCCCCGTGACCCCCTGCTCTTTCCTGATTCGGCTACCTGCCAGCTTCCCCGCCTCGCCCTGCATCTCCTCCCGCTCGTGCTGTTGCCCTTCTCTTCCCCCCCCTCTAGCCGCCAGGTCCTTCGCTACCTTTTCGCATCTTGCATCTACGCTCTTCCTCTTAATTTCCTACGCCTTTTCTCAGCTGAGCCGGCGCGACGCAAGCGACCGACTGACTGAGCGCCTGCACCGTATCTGGCACGTCCCACTCGACCGCCACTCCAAGCTACTGCTTGACTGATACCGATTCTATGAGGTCAGCGTTGCGTGCGTCCGCTGATCGCTGCAATTTTTCCTGCTTCCCTCGACCTCCCACATCCTCCGCCGCGCGATGAAACACTGGGAACGGGTCCGGCTTAACGAAGGGGAGCACACCTATACGCCTATGAGCGAGGTAGAATTCTGGCACGGCCGCTGAATACATTTGGGGGGAATACTGCGGTTTTGTATAGGGGGCCATGCGGCGTGCTGGGCTCAACAGCAGGGGCAAAGCGGGCCCTCCTCAACGACAGGCTCCCACGGTCACTCCGCTTTTCACCACAAAGCCACAGTATGACCCGCAGTCAGCTACATCGCTTCGACAGTCACCCGCCGACAGGGATGTTGGATCATCAGTCAACAGAAGCACTAGAAGCAACGTGGCCGCAGTGCAGAAGGGTTTGGAGGACATGACGTTGAAAGAGGGGGTAGGTCTGTGGGGAGATGAGCGGTCCGTACGGACTGCTGCGTACAGTCCAGCGTCAATCACACGCCATGGCAAGGCCTCCCACTGCCCCCCGACTGTCAGCAAGGTTCAACACCAGCAACCTACCGCTTCGATCGATCCCATCTCGATCCCGCAAGCGTCACAATGAGCTCTCATTGCCGTCAGACCAATCCGACGGACGTCCAGACCCATTATAAATGCACCAAGTCCAAAAGCGTGGCTATGGCGGTGGAGATTGCAGTGACGCCCAGCTCCACTGCGACTCCGGCCGGCGAGCTGCGATGGGGCTAAAATACCACGTCGACAAGCCAGATGAGCATTCGACATCTCGATCCCGCGGTCTGGGTCGCATCGACAGACGCACGCCCGACATAATGCCTAACGCGACTTCACTTCTGACCGCAAGGCCGCCTGGTGTCCGGTGCTGCGCGTACGGTACAGTCGCGCTTGCCGATAAGTGCTGGCCCTAAGGCAATCTGGGGTGGTAAAACCGGCGCTTACCCGCAAACACACGCATAATGATGTCAGGCGGCTGGCTGAGGGGTATGGCGGGGCGGCTGGAATGCTCGAGGCGACTGCGACAACACGCACACCATGGTGTGAAGGCTGACTTCAGACGGCAATGGCCCCTCCAGCACACACGTCACGTTCGAATGACATGTGAAATCGAAGCAGCAAGCCTGAGTTCCTAGCACACCGTCGCAGCACGGCAGGCGCGGGAGGCTGCCAAGACGGTAATTAGTGGTGTACAAGGGTAAATGCACCCCAGCCGACGGAGTCAATTTTGGGAGGGGCGTGCAGGCGGACAGGAACATTGCGCGTGGTGTTGGGCGGTTGGAGGCTCACAGCCACCCGCCTGTCGTGGACTGGAGCCGACCGGATCGGCAGAGGGGCAGCGCGGCGGAGACTAACGCGCACTCACCTGGAGTGCGTGGCGGAGCCCCTCAGCCCCCATAAAAAATCCAAACGGCGGCGGACGAGAACCCATCGAACGCGCCAGGCCGGCGGATTCTCGACGAGCATCAGATCGCCCCCCACCGTCGCCGCATCGCGCGGGAGACACGGCGGCAACGTCTCCGCTGGGAGCAGAGTATTGGGCGGGCGCCCTCGAGGCCCTGCAGGGCCCTTGGATCTTCTGGTTCAAAGGGCTCAGCGAGGATGCGGCGGAGAATACCCCGGGTCAATCAGCGCACCGCATGCGGTGTGTTAGGCGAGCTCGCCCGACGTCATAGTGGGGCAAACAACAGCAAAAGAGGCGACGGCGGCAAAGACCAGGGCTCTGATACCGCGTGCCACCGGTCTGGAGCCCGGGTCGTTCTCGTCATCGCCGTTCGTCCTGCGCGTCGGCGCCGCACATGCAACGCTGAACGGACGGGCTTCCTTTCGTCTGTGTCAGAGCGCCGTGCCGACTGCAGCTTCCCTATCTTAGAAACACCGCATCGCCGGGGCCCCGGTCCTGCGAAGCTCGAAACCGCGGCACCGCACAAAGCCGCCGCGAGACGGGCGTGTCGCCGCCTGCGGCCACGGCGGTCGAAGGGCTCAGGGCTCAGGGTCCATGAGATCATGGGCGGTGCGTGCCGCCGAGACGAATCGAGGTCAACTGCCACATGTTGATAAGCCCTGCGTCGCTAGCGCCAGATTCAGGTTGGATTAATCACGCAGCCGGCGGCGTCGAGCCGTGCGTCAGGGTTACTCCTTCGGGGCCCTAGCGGACATGCATAGGCGCATAGGCACCGTAAAATCCCACTCCTTCCAAGTCGGCATCATCTATCCAGTCTTCAGCAATTCCCATTCTGATTGCTCCACTCGGTCCACTTTTCTCTCCGCACTCCAGACAGGTTGAGTCCTGCCCAGCACGTTGTCTATATAAACGGCTGATCCCGCCGCCGACCAGTTCTTCTCTCTCAACCAAATTTCCCTGACGGGACAACACGTATCCAAATCTAAGCAGCTTTCTTGAACGCCCCTTCCACACATTCTACCTCGTTTTTCAAAAAAAGTCACCACCATGTCCGCTCAACTACTCCAGCCCCCGAGGCCCCGCGTCATTCGCCGGATCAGCCATGAGGATGCCACGAGGAAAGACCTCTCTGAGAGGCAAGGTCCCACCGTGGTTGTGCCTCCTGCGCATCTCATGGCTTCGTCTTCAGCACATGAGGTTGCCGCTGCTATGGACCAAGCCAGGCAGGGAATCGACCGCTCTTCTACCTCGACTCCAGAGACTCCTCCCGAGACCATCGTCACCGACAAGTTCGCATATGCGTTCGATATCGATGGTGTTCTCATTCGCGGCGGCAAGGTCATCCCCGAAGCCATCGAGGCCATGAAGATGCTAAACGGCGAGAACGAGTACGGTATCAAGGTGTAAGTTACTAGTCGCCGTACATGACTCGCTGCGGTTGCTAACTCTAAGCAGTCCTTACATTTTCGTCACCAACGGCGGCGGCAAGACGGAAGAAGAGCGATGCATTCAGCTCAGCCAGCAGCTCGAGATCGAGGTTTCGCCCGGCCAGTTCATCTGCGGCCATACTCCCATGAGAGAAATGGCTTCCAAGTACGGAACTGTTCTCGTCGTGGGCGGCGAGGGCGAGAAGTGCCGCATTGTCGCCGAAGGCTACGGTTTCAAGGATGTTGTCACCCCTGGCGATATCATCAAGACCAAGGAAGACACTACCCCATTCAGGAAGCTGACCGAGGAAGAGTGGAACAACTCCCGCGTCCGTGACTTTGACAACTTGAACATCGACGCCATCTTCGTCTTTGCCGACAGCCGTGACTGGGCCTCGGACCAGCAAATCATCCTCGACCTGCTCATGTCCAAGAAGGGTCGTCTTGGCACGCGCTCGGAAACCTTCGACGAGGGCCCGCCCGTCTACTTCTCCCACAACGATGTCGTCTGGAGCACCTCGCACGACCTCAACCGCATCGGCATGGGCGCTCTCCGTGTTTCGCTGGAAGCCATGTTCAAGGCGGTGACTGGCAAGGAGGTCAACACACACGCCTTCGGCAAGCCCCAGGTCGGCACGTTCCAGTTCGCCACTCGCCTCCTCCAGCAGTGGCGCAAGGACACGCACGGCATCGACTCGCCTCCCGACACGGTCTACTTTGTCGGCGACACTCCCGAGTCGGATGTGCGTGGCACCAACGAATTCAACAAGCACGCCGAGAACACGTGGTACTCGATCCTCGTGCGCACTGGAGTGTACCAAGACGGCACCACGCCTCGCTACACGCCCAAGGCCATCACGGACGACGTGCTCGAGGCTGTCAAGCACGGCATGGACCGTGAGTACAAGCGCATGCTGAAGGCGACGCTGGAGCAGGCTGGACCTGTCAGCGAGTAGTTCACGAGTCAATTGCATGTCCATGCTTGCAGATGGTGCTGGATGGATTCGGCGTTTATTTACGACGTTTATGTTTTTCCTTGGTGTTATGGTTTTTTAGGAAAGATATCCCGACCCCAGCGTCCCCGGCCATAGGACGCAGTACGCGGCAAAGCACACCATAGCTTGCACCAACGAGCAGCTACCCTCGAGTCCGCGTCGACAAGGAGCATCACAGTTTTCCCTTTACATTTCCCACTTACCCAGCTTCCGGCTACTCTTGTAGACAACACAAGCAGAAAAACCATACATGGAACAGGTTCGGGTCATTGGTTTTGGCAGAATCAGCCAGGTACTACTCATCAGATAAAATCAAAAACATGTAGATCGGAATATGAAGTGGGCAATTTGCCTTTCAAACTGAAGCTCGACCATTGCAGAGTGATGCGGGGTACACTGGAGAAAGCTGCAAGGCCCCCAAACCTAACTCAGTCGGTCGACGGCGCCGTCATCCAAGACGCCTCTTCACAGGCAGCTGTGTGGCTGCGCCTCGATAGTGGGGACTGCGGTGGTGCTTGCGACGCGGGGGCACGAGTCGCCGGTGCATAGATGCCGTTCCTGGCAGCGGAGGTGGTGTAGTCTCCACTCGCTCACGCACGCATGCTGACTGCCGGCTTCGCTGAGACACGGGTCGCCCGGGGCCGGCACACACCAACCGGTCCTTCCCGAAGTGACTCAGCTTGGCAGCTCTGGTGGCTGCGACAAGACGCCAGCCGTCACACAGGCGCTGCCCGCGGCTGCCGCTCAGCTCTGGGTGCTTAGCTGCCAGGCGATGATGGCGTCACGGAATTAAACACCGCAAAACCAATATGCGCTGCATCACAAACACAACAAGGCATTCAGGCATGGGAATCAGCATGCGTGCGCCAGGCGTCTGCAGCATCACAGATCGGATGGGCTGCCGAGGGCGCTGTAGCGAGGGCAGGCTCGAGTCATCAGCGCAGCCGGCGTTTCAAGCGGAGGCAGCCAGGAGGGTGCAGCATCATCCGATTGCATGCCGCTGTCTTATCGATAGATCGAAGATGATTGACACGCCACCATCTGCGACGTGCTCTCCCCAGGATGCACCCTGGACCGCACCGCTGCGGGCAAACGGCGTGAAACGATGGGCCACGGCCTCGCCTTAGACATGGCGACTCGTGCAGCAGGTAGGGGCGCATCTTTTCCTAATCTCGCCCCTTGGAATCGCAACCGGCGGCTTCGCCGAGCCTTCTTACGCCTCTTCTCGTACGATTTTCGCTTTCCAGCCGCTGTCCAGCAAGAGTTTCGCCGCCGCCGCCAGGCGTGGCCAAGCGACGCGTAAAGGGCGATGCATTTCGCCGCTTGCTACACAGCATGTGGTGATTTTCGCCGCCCAGTGGCAACCGCGGACTGCCGAAGAGCCTCTCCTGGTCTGCTCACCACCAAGCCCACGTCGCTTTTTTCCTGCTTCGCCCTTGCACCGCCGGGGTGTGCTTCGAGCTGCGATTCGTCCATTCTCGGCCCTCCGTTTTGCGCCGCTGGTCAACAACACAAATGTGACCGCCGCAGGGGCGCTTCTCACCACCGCCACAGGACCGTGGCCCTTGGCAAGATGCAAGCGCAGGCGGCATTATTGCGCCACAGACCTCACGCTGCAGAAAATAGCTGCCTATCGCGCGCATCCAGTCCCATGCAAAGATTGCTGCCTTGCGCGCTTTTTCCCTTGTGCTGTCTGTTAGCCGCGCACTGCCCTAACATTTCTTTTTTTTGTCCAGCGATCAGCGCTCCGCTCCACGGGAACATGTGTAACCGCGGGTTTAGCGAGCTGGGGAAGCGTGATGATTTGCACTGCTTGCCCGGAAAAGAAGTCGTGGCCGCTGATCAAGACATGGGCTTCTTTTCGTTTCGGACGTGCGCTTGGATGCGCTCGCACTCGCCGGCCAACAAGTCTTAGTCATCGCGCTTCCGCCGATCGCGAGCTGACTGGATTTCATGCCCAACCGATCATGGCCAACATCGGTGCTCTTGCGGAGACGACTCGTCCAAGCGCCTAGAGCTTTGGCGCGCGCGAGCCTGGTTTTGCCACGGGGCTAGGACGGGCGGGATCGATCTGGGAGCTCGAGAGCAAGGCAGCCGCCCAACCGGCGTCGGAATCCGAGAGAGAGAGCCATGCGAAGAGAATAATGATGATGAGTTGATTTTTGGCTGGCCCGCCGACTAATCTAGCCCCAGCGGCAAATAGCATTTCACTACCGTTTGCGGTTGTTGGTAATGGTCATGGTGGTGGTGGTCGTCGTCCCTCCTAGCGGCAGGCGGCACAGCCTCGTACCTACACTCTCCAACACGTGCGGAAGGAACAGGAACAGGTAGCCCGGCGGCGCCCTGCACCCGTCGCTTCCGCTCTGCTTCCGTCTACCGGTAGGTTGCACCATCAGCCGCTCGCCTGCGCTCATTATTGTTGCTCCCTGAAAGCCTAGCCTTGTTGGCCGTGGCATGCTTGCTGCCCTACCGTCGCTACCACTTTCCTTCTTGCCTCTTTGCTTACGGCGCTCTTTCCCGACATTCCAGGAGCTGCTGCTTCTGCTGCTGCTGCCGCTGCCGTATGAGAGATTGCTGCTTGTCAACAACGTATGATTGTGATGGTGTAAGATTGATCGGCCTTGCTCTCCTCAGCCTTGACCCACTTGCAAAGGGCGGTGGGAAATTTCCAGTACGTGCCGCCCGCGCGCACGTGGAAATCCATGGCAGTTGGTTGGCCGCCTTGGAGTAGCTGCGGTGGAAGGGTCATGGTGATGAGAGATCAAGAGCAGTCAAAGCGCAAGGCTGAAGGAACACAACCCGCCAGACGATCCCAACGCCATCTACGAAAAAAGAGCATGGAAGAAGGGCGGTACGCGCAAACGACGCGGAAGCGCTTGTTCTTCAACTCACAAGGGGCAGGGCAACTCCAAAACGACGGACCTTGACCCTTGGTACACGGCGAGGCTCCTGCGCGGCGACGAGGGCACGAAAAAACCCACCACCACTCCATGAAACAACATGATAACCATCGCCGGCTCCTGATCGTGCTTATGTGCCGCGCCACACAGCCACGCCACTGCCACTTGATGATCCCTTGTTTGGACGAGGCTTCGTCCCCTCCGTGTTGTTCATTGCCCGCGCGCCTTCTTCCGCCCAGCCCTGATCCTTATCTTCCTTTCTTCTCCTGCCCCCTCTGCCTTTATCTCGTAAAGTCAGCCTTACCATAATTTCAATCTATTAATAAAACGTTAAGATTGTGGAAGATTCTCGATGTTGGATAGGATGGACATTTGTCGGCGTTTTCTGACTCGGTAGTCTTGACAATGGCATTTTTTCTTTTATCACGCCAGACGCACATACTACGCTGCGCCCGGACCGGACCGGACCACTCTAGCCTCGTCTTTTTCTCTCTCTCTCTTTTTTTTTTTCCTTTTTTCTCTGTTTTCTCTCGTGTGTCCCGCTCCCTGCTCGGCCATCGCCGGAGCCAGGGCGCGGGCGTGTCGGGTCCAACGACCTTCTTACGCACTTACCAGCTGTTTTCCAATCTACATGACGCGGGACTAGGATATGCACGCACACGCCCGCGCGCATGCATGAACGCGTAGCACGTGCGTTGAGGGAGTCGATCACGAGGGTTGAAGAACAAACACACGGGCCTTCTCTTCCTCATGTTGATTGCACATGCCAGGCGTGCGATCTTTTGTGGGTTTCGTCTGTTGGGGGAGGGGTCTTGCAAGGCTGAGAGTGCTTTACTTATAGCGACTGCGAAGTGTGTTGGAATAGCACGGCCCCCGATGGATGTCAGGCAGACCGTCGTCGTTGCACGTTAAGATACAACACAAAGACGTTCGAGGATCTGGACCAGCGAGAATGGATAGAAGGTTTAGGCTGCAAGGGTGAGTTGCAGTGGTGAAAACAATTATGAGAGCACATCTGGTCGGAGGGGCTCTGCAATGAAACTGGGACTTCACTGTTCGACAAGCATCACTTGTCGCTTCAAGTACAGTACGAACGGGAAAGAGATCAACCGACTCTCGAGGGCTTACTAAGTAGGTACGTTCTTATCAGCTGTAGCCTTTTCTTTGGCTAGTCCTACATCATGCATGCGTGATGGGCTAATTGGACACTGCTTATTGGAGATAAGGTGTGGCATGCTATCATACAAGCCACAGATTACGCCTTTCTAATCCGCGGCTTCGGCCATCTCGGACATAGACTTTGATTTCTCGGTGTTTCGTTCTCCAACACTCGACGCCTCACGCTCATTGCATGCCTTCGGGCCCCGCAGCCAACGCGAAGCCTGGCCGAGCGCGTTAAAGTAGCGCGCTGTCGTCTCCCAGCGATGACTTCACGGCGGGCAGTGAAGATCAACATTCCGGCCAAGGAAACCTTGGCCGAATTCGGCAAAAATTTATACATGGACCTGTAGCGTGGCGTGGTGGTGACGAAGAACAGTCTCCAGCTTCCGACTAGACGGATGGCTTGCCCGGACGGCTTGCCCGGATCGCTCTTTGCCGCGATGACATGATAGAAAAAAACCGGGGCGAAAGAAGAGGAGAAGTCGGTGATACCGAACCACGGATGCCCCGACGGCCACCGATCCCCAAGCCCCAGACCGGAGGCACGTCCGCAGACGCCCGGTTGAGCACCGTTACGGCCAGCTCCCCCCAACGCGCGAAGTGAGGGGGAGGGGGAAAAAAATTCATGTGGCTTGAGTTAGTGATACAGGGGGAGAGATGGGGAGAACAGAGCTACCGGGTTCGCTGTGGCGCGAGGCCTCCCTCCCGCCCTCCCCGAAGCAAGCCAGACAGTTAGCTTACCCGGCTGGCAAACGGGTTCCAGAACGGCCTGTTTCGAAAAAAAATTCCGCTGATTCTTTTCCTGCTTGTTGTTTCTCCACTGTCTGGGGTTTTTTGGTGGTGGTTGGTTTCACGGTAGGTTCGGCCATGCACGACATCCAACGGGGGTGCGTTGGCTACTCTTGTGTTGTTGGCAAAACGTGGAGTGTAGCATCCATGTGGGGGGATGGCCCAGAGTTTCTCGAAACCGCTCTCCATGTGCGTGGCCTGACGTTCCAGAACATGAGTGTCTCGTTCTACCGTGTATGTACATCTCCACCACAAGCGAGCGGCCCACGGCGGAGGGAAGATGTGATGATCACGCCAGCAATAAACACGGCCCCGGTTTTTAGCCTTTCTTCGCTCCCCGCACGCTCAACGCCGTTTCGACCTTGACGAAGCTTTTTTTCCCGGCTTTGCTCCAGTTGCTAAAAAGCTGTTCGGCCGTCCCCACGCCGTGAGAGACTTTCCATGCCCCGAACAAACTACGGATCCGTTCTTTCCAAAGGTCGTCCGAAGGATTTTAGCTACGAGACCGCGTCCCCCACGTTTCAAACCGGCAGATGGCAAGCACGATCCGTCTACCCAGAGACTGCGGCTCTGGAAGTTTTCTCACGCAGCCCGAGCGAAGCACGTGGCTCTCGAACGGAAAGGAAAGAGAGGGAGGGAGAGAAATAATGAAGAAAAGAAAGAAAGAAAAAAAGCAAGCTTTGTGGTGGTGTTCCTACGCCGCTTTGGGCGATCACATGGCGGTCGGGCATCGAAAGTTTGGCGCAATAATGCGGGGTGCAGCTTGCCTAAAAGCCCCAAAAGGCAAGGTAGATCAGGCCCGCCGAACCGTTTCTGCAACGAACACCCCCGCCGGCCGCTGTCCACCAGCACTACTACCTCGTCTTCCTCCTCCTCCTACTCCTCCGCCTCATCGGTCCCCCTTATTACCCTCTCGGCGAAAATGTGGAGGTGATGCACGAGCGGTAGGCTAGGGAGATGCTGCTGCTGATCGTGGTTTTGAGTTGAGCGGGAAGGAATGAGGAGGAATAGGGGGGGATAGTCGTGCCGATGCGCACACGCTTCGTTAGAAGGCCCCCGGCTCCGTCGGTGTTGGTCGGCCTGGTGGTCGTCATGTCGAAAGGGGTGCTGCTTTTTCTCTTGGTTTTTCGCTTCAGGTGATCGGCATGCGGGGACGCTTGCAGTTGGGGGATCGGCACTTCTCTCCGCTCTCTCCCTCCCTCCCTCTCTCTCTCTCTCTCTTTCTCTCTCTCAAGCACGGATTGCAGGCTGACAGCGAGAGCAGTGCCGACTGGAAGTGGCCTGCCAACGCGCCGTCCTGGCCGGTAATGTCGCTCTCAATTCCAGCTCCCTTCCTGATTCGGGTGTCGGGCGTGTTGATGAGCAGCTTCAGCTGGTCCGGGAACAGAGATGGTGCGAAGGCGCTTGTCGTCACTGGCAGGCAACGGCATCCAAGCGGGTTTGATTGGCGAGCGATTCGCTCATGGTCGGTTGGCCGAAGCAGCTGCATGGCCTCGCTACACTTGCCCCGGCAAGGACGTAGCGTCGTTGGTGTCTCGGTCGCACGTCACTGCTTCTTTTTCCCACGCCTCGCCGGGCGTGGGTTGGAGAGAAGCGCCGTGTCCGTGTCACTGCCATTTCTTCATGTCCTGCTGTGCCACTGCATCCAGTCACTGTCGCCACACAGCAGCAAAAACCAACCGAAGAAGGGGAACACAGAGACAGCATTCACATGCAATAGCAAACAGTCGGTCACCACCAGAAAAAAAAAACCCCCCCCAGGGTCCTGAACCCTTTGTGCAACGTTCAACTTTTTACCCCGCCTCCGATCGCAGGGACGAGCGAGCCGAGCGATGATCCCCCCCTCTTCATCCATCATTGCTTGCCATCCAGACGCACTGTCTGCCCCTCGGTCGACCGAGAAACCCGCGAGTCCGCGCCTTACTTTTGTCACCTCTGCTGATCAAGCCGCCGATCAGCCCTGATGTCGGCCTTGTCAAGGCGAACTGACCCACATCTACGTGATCTCTCAGGCCGCTACGTGTCCAAGGGCAAAGGGGAAAGGAGGGGAAGTGGGCGGGGAATGTAGGAGGTGGGATAAAGGGGCAGGTAGGAAGGAGGCTAAGGCCGAAGAGACCGGGGAAGCATGCACGTGGCAAGACAGCGCGAGCTTGCTGCTGCTGCTGTTGCTGCTGCTGCTACTGATGCAGACATGCGCGACGTCGTAACCATGCACACTGGTGAGTGGGTGGTGTGTCTGTGGGGTGTGGGTGGTGTCTGTGGGGATGCTCCGCAATTTTCCAGACCTCCCCCCTGTCCAGCGCAAATAGAAACCCACGAGAATTTTCCTCCCCCACACGCATTTTTTGTGGGGAATCGGACACGAGTGACTTGGAGTTTCCCCGCAGATGCGTGTGGGGGGACAGGTGCCATGTCCCGTCGCAACTGCCGCCGTCTGCAGGTGATAGCTGCGATTTTTCCAATTATTTCTGTCAAGTCCGAGGTCAACTATGTCCGCCGAGGGGAGGCATACTGCCAACAATTGCTGCTTGTCGCTCTCAACTGCCAAATGGCCGGGGGCACCGCACATAGATGGGAAGTCCCCACACGCCGTCGTATTCGTTTCCTTCAACCACGCCCCCATTCCTCTTCTCCCTCTGCCCTGGCATCCGACGACACTGCGCGATTTCGAAGAAGGACGAAGGAGTTAGAGCCGGCCGATTCTTTCCCGTCACGCAGCTTACATATAGGATCATGTGCTATTACATTCCTCTATTTTATGACCTGTCTCCTGCTCCCATCCCTCTGGCCCCCAATCATGCATGCAAGGTGTGTGCGCCGCACCAAACCTCACCTCACCCGCGTAGCCGGTCAAACGCGGCTTTAGTTATACCATCACGGAGCAAAGGGGAAAAAAAAAAAGAAAAACGCGGGTGTGCGAGGGCAACAGAGAAACGGAACGGAAGGCTCGACAATTCGTTCGATCGCTGCCTTGTGAGACAGCAAGGGGGCACCGATGGAAAAAAAAAAAAAAGACTGGTGACATTATCGAACACTGATATTAATTCTGCGGTAAGCCTTCCGGCTGCTTACGTTCGCGGCATTATTGGCCTGTCTGCTGTTTGCGTCACGTTCCCGACTGCCGGCTCTCGCTACCCTCACCAGACGCACGCACGCGCAAAGGGAAGGTGTAGGAGAGAGGGGTGGGTTGACACGGTAAGGCTAGAACGCTATAGTACCGGATATTTGGTCCGAGTGCCAGCCCAGACCGGGCACCTCGCTTGTTATCCGTTTAGTGATATGCATGCAATGCATGGACGCCCGGGTCTGGGTGCGGCGGACAAGCCTACGTTTGTGGTTCCATCGCCGACTCCCTCCGCTGTGCGTCATCTCGGCCATATTGAGGCTGGGGGGGAAAGGGTGGCAGGGAGGGGAAACAGGACGTGTTACGCGCGGCGGAAGGGAAAGCCGTCTTTCGGCGAACGGGAACGACGTTGCAAGGAGCGCGAAGACACTGCAGGAGATGGGGAGAAGAGTCTGGTGTGGTCATACCCCACTGTCTCCCCGTGCTGCTCCGGATTCAGCGTTGCATTCACAGTAACGGACGGGACATGGCACCGTGGACAGCGCCACGTGGAGACCGTATGCTCTCCGCCGAGAATGCCGTTCAAACGAAAAGTGGACAGTGTGGTGATGATCGCAAGGCTTCTTGCATTCCTCTGTGGCAGCGAGCATGCTACGAGGCTGGTGAAACGAGAAGGATCCGCAGAGGCGAGTGCGTGGGCCCAGCAAAGCAATGTCGGACTCGTTTGGTTCGCCATTCTAAAGCGACCCCTGTGAGCTGCGGAGCAGCTTCAAATAGCCAGGAAGAACGGCGGCTACGTAGGTGATTTGCTCCTCTTCTCCAGATTTCGGACTTGCGCGGGTTACTGAAAGGGGAAAGGAAGAGCATTCGATACGTCATATTGCAACCTCACACCACATGGCCTGTCGGCTACCCTGTACGGAGAAGTCCTCGGAGAGAAGTCCGAGTTCGCGTGCCCAATAGGATTGGTTGCACTCAAAAGAAGCCAGGCAACTGCTGTATGTCTTTGAGAAACTGTAGAGAAGAAATGATTGCATTTGCACGGGCTATGAAGATTCAATAAACGATTGCTAGTGGAAATTGCTCATCCGCTATGCATGAAATGAAAGAACATGGCAAGCTCCTTTAGAGCTCAATAGAACCGCTGGACAGTACGCTGTGAGGTGCGTAATATGAGATGTTGCAATCCGTGGACCAGGCCCGAAAGCTTCACGGAAACACTTTGTTCATGGCCTTGCCAACTTCTAGTATGGAGCGAAGTGTCAGTCATGTGATCTTCCACAGGCGATATCAAAGGGCTTCATACCGAAGATTTGGTCGGGACGGCCACTCTCCATACTGAGACACGTCTTGTCCGTATTGTACGTTGAGCTCGTCTTCCCAGAAGTCGGGGAGATGGGACCCTGCTCAGAGAGAATCGACGAGTTCAGCGTGGCCATTGACTTCCGTTCGCCTGGAGTCTTCTTCCACCGGAGGCCACCGAGGAACTTGTGGTGTGCATCATGGCCGCGCGAGGCTTGGCGGTGATCGTCTGTATTGGCAGAAGCCCAGACAGACGAGAGCGGCAGGAAAATGGCAACCACGGTCGGGGACAGGGCTCCAATCTCATCTTCGGTGAAGAATTGTATGGTGGAGCATACACCTGTGGGGGTTAGCTAGTTGAGTCTGGAGTGGTTGGATCAATGGGCTTACCTGGGATGATCAATGTCTGGGCTGCCATGATGAAGACAATCTGCATGGGTCCAAATTGCTTGAGTCCCAGCTTGCGGCGGTTCCTGATGGCTAGACCCAGCTTGCCGCAGAAGACCAAGCTGAAAAAGCAGATGCTGACGGTAGAGGTGATGTTGGCCAATGGTGGGAGCAAAGCAATGCCTGTGGCAGTCAGGCCCAAGATAGATCTGGTATTCCAAACGGCCAGGGCGATGCGGCAGCCGATCGCTGTAAAGGCAACGATGGCTGACGAGATCCTTATGGCGATGCGCCAAGGGCGGGAAAGAGTTGCGCAGACAACGGAAGCCTGCAGGAAGAGGGACGACTCGATGCAGACGAGCAACAGGAGAGTCATGATGCCGGCAGTGATGGAGCTGGCGTAGTCGGAGCCCGGGACGCGGGAGACATCTCCAGAGAAGTAGGTATAGAAGTTGTACCACTCGCTCGTGTAGAAGGTGGCGTTGGTGATGGCCCGAACGACGCTCAAGGCCAGGGCCAGGATGTTGAGGATGAAGATGGGAGAGCGACGCTTGTCGTGCTTGGTAAGCACGAGAAGCAAGATGACCATGATCATGGAAGCGCCAATCTGGCTACCCCAGACGATGCTGGCATGGACGGCATACTGGGCCCAGACGTTGAGCTCATGCAAGTTGATGGTCCCCGAGAGAGGGTTTCCATACGAGTCGTAGAGCACGAGGGTCTGGTTCCATGGATTGAAGGGCGGCGCATTGATAGCCGACATGTGGTAAGCAGTATCGTTGGCGGTGGATGGAGTGGGAGCCATGGCCGGCGCTGTCGAGGGAGTTGTGAATGATAGCAGGAGGAGTCTGGAACATGGAACTCGAGACGAGCGGCTTTCTTCATGGCCAAGAGGATAGGGAGGACAATACCAAGGGCATAATGCCCAAAGCGAAGGATTGTTTGAGACAAGCGGTGCTGAAGAACAATATCAAGGTCCAAATTGGGTTAGCGTGTACTGGCACAGGTGTCCTACTACGGCTCTCTTGCTTCGTTGCTTCCTTCCTGGTCGAGACCGAAGTGAAACCATCCCATCTTCATATTGTCCTCGCTGCACGTTGCAGGCGGCGCACGGAACGGATGCAGCCAGCCTCGAGCCGGTCCGCGGGTTGGTCATGACGAGAAATCGATTGACAAACAATCATTGCCGTCGCACGTTGGATACAGAGATCAGTCGGTGCGGATCCGGCAAGCGTGACCAAGGCTGCCTTGCTTGGCAGCGTGCAGCGTGCAGCGTGCAGCGTGCAGCGTGCAGCTCGCGTGCGGAGGCAAGGGCGATGGCCATTTTCGGCAGCGCCGTTGTGTTGATGCAAGTGCGTCAGCGCCCCAGCGCCCCAGCGCCCCATCTCCGCTCCACCACCTCCGACCTCCGCCACCACCGCCTCCGCCGCCGCCGCCGCTCCATCTCCACTCCCATGCACAGCTGCTCATGGCGCACCCTGCGCCCCACCGATCCATAGATGGCTAACAGTCCGCCGCCCTTCCTGTTCCTGCTGGTCATCTTCCTGTTCCTCTACCTGAGCCCCGATCCCCAGGCTCCCGTCGCCTCGCGCAAGCTCGACCGCATCGTCGACCGCGAGCGCGCCGCTCTCGATGCCCTGAACAACTCGACCTTCGGAGACCTGCAGCCCGGCCCCGACGGCCAGCGCTGGCTGAACCTGACCGGCCTGAAGAAGGACCATGGCTTCCACTGGAATCTGCTGGACACGGTCCGCGACCGCGCCCGCGACCAGGCCCGCTACGTTCTGGGCGAGGACACGGTCGGCCTGATAGACGGGAGCAGCGACCGCCTTCCGCTCGTCTATCACAACATCACCGGCTTTGTCCAGGGCACCTGGCGCTCCACCAAGACCTACCCCGGCCCCCACCTCAACCTGTCCGCCGTCACCCCACACGGCACATACTCGTCCGAAGACTGGACTCGCAATGTGACCTCTGCTGGCGGCGACATTAGGATACACTTCAGGGAGAAGGACCACGGCGAGCCTTGGAACACAACTGCCCGGGAGGTGGTCGCCAGGGTCACCATCGGCGAAGACACGTCGTATGGCAACTGGTGGGACATGCGCCTTCACGGCCTCCACCTGGAGGACACCGGCACCGTCGTGCTGACTACGACGAGCGAGAAGTTCGACGGCATCTTTGCTCTGCCGCACTTTTTACTCTCCAAACACGCCTTCACCCTGGGACAGGCCCTCCTGAACCGCACCCTGAATGCCACCATCGAGGAGCAGAAGGCGGGTGCGATTGAGGATTTTAGTCCGTGGTCCTCTGTCGTCGAGGGCGAGCAGGAGCTCTTCTCCGTGCCGCACTGCGAATACGTCATGTACCTGCAGCAACACCCGCTACCTCTTCAGTCGCTGGAGTCTTCTGCCTACGGGAACGGCCTGGCCATGAAGTTCTTTGAAGACGAGTTGCGCAACCCGTATAGAATCTCTCCTAATCTGCCTCCGGAAATGACCATGTCCATGATTGCCTTCTCTCCCGACTGTGGCTTCATCATAGAGTCGAACGGGCCACCGGATGTGCCACCGCAAGAAGGCAAGCATCTGGTAGGGCCAAAGACTGAAGCATACGCCATTGTTGCACGTCGCCACATCATCCTGTTTGCTCTGGTGATTGGTTCGCAGCTGGTGCTTCTGGTTAGGCAGATGAAGGAGGCTTCAACCCCTTCCACGAGGAGTCGCATTAGTTTCTACACGATTGCACTCCTCGCTCTGGGAGATGGCTTCACACTCCTAGGCTTTGCCTTTGTTGGTATGTCCTATGAAGCCATAACCCTCATCCTCCTTGCTACCGCCTACGTGGCTTTTCTATCCGCCGTCTTTTTCGGCATGGGCTTTCTCAAAGAAATCTGGACCGTTCAATCTACGGAGCGCAGCAGAGAAGAGAGGCGAAGCAACGCGGCTTCTACCCGCGCAACGCCAACTGCTACCCAACCTGGTAGTAGAAGCGAGACCCCAGCAGCGCAACCATCAGCTCCAGTCATCTCTGCGGCCGGAGCTGATTCACTACCTCTTCCCGTCACGGCTCGTCAAGCCATCAACAGTGGAGCCACGCCCATCATCATCCCTTCAGACCAAGATGTCGACGCAGAGATCGCCGAAAACGAAAACAATACGACCGCCACCGACAACGAACAGTCCTCGCGCTACGGGTTCGGAACGGTTTACTTCCGTTTCTACCTACTGCTGTTCGGCCTCGTCTTCCTGTCCCTCCACGCAACCACCTGGCCATCGTCTCTGCAAGCCGTCTACAGCACCCTCCTCATCTTCACCTACTTCTCCTTCTGGACGCCGCAGATTTACCGCAACGTCATGCGCAACTGTCGGCGCGCGCTGCGTTGGGACTACGTCGCGGGCCAAAGCGTCCTCCGTCTGCTACCCTTTTACTACCTGTTCGCGTACCGCGGCAACATCCTCCTGCTCAAGCCGGACCTGAAATTCCTCGCCGCCCTCACAGGGTGGGTGTGGCTGCAAGTCTGCGCACTGCTCAGCCAGGAACATCTCGGCCCGCGCTTCTTCGTCCGCGAGAGCTGGGTCCCGCCCGCGTACGACTACCACCCCGTCCTCCGCGCCGACGAGGAAGGTGCGTGTCTGCCTTCCGGCGGAAAGGTTCTGGCGGGCGAGGACTCGAGCGGCGGGTCGGCGACGTCGTCTTCGCCTTCGCCTTCGTCTGCCACGAAGGCTGGTGAGTCGAGGGATAAAGGGAAGAAGGTGTTTGACTGTGCTATCTGCATGCAAGATCTTGAGGTCCCCGTCATTCCAGCGGCCGGCGGCTCGGGTGGCGGTGATGCGGATGGCGGTGGCGCACTGTCAGGGGGGCTGTTGGCGAGGAGAGCGTACATGGTTACGCCGTGTAGGCATATCTTTCATAGCGTGTGCTTGGAGGGGTGGATGCGGTATCGGTTGCAGTGTCCCATTTGTAGAGAGACGTTGCCGCCGTTGTAAATAAGTTAGATGGGATATGTTCTGTAGATAGCTTTGGTTCTGCACTTTGAGCATGGAGAAGCAGGCGTATTCAAGCTACGTACATATTCATAAGCGTTTCCTCATGCTGCATGTCAATTTCCTCGGGCATTGATGTCGATTCGTCATTTGTTCCAGTGATGATTCATTGCTCTCGTTTCCATGCACACCATCATGCACCCACCCCCTTTCAACCCGATGATGCCGGCTTCCACCTCAAGGGGTGCGCCTCGGTATTCAAAACGTACTCATCCAAGCTCACCACGTCGGGCTCGGAGAAGAGCAAGTAGAAATACTTGAGCGTCCCGCCCAGCCAGAACGACTCCATCCGGTCGGCCTTCGGCAGCGGCTCGTTCGCAACGCAGTCGTCGAGCTCGGCGTGCCCGATATCCGTCCTTGTCAGCCGGATGACGTTGGTGAAGATTGTCCAGGCGCGGTCGCGGAGCGTCTCGTCGCCGGTGATGCGGTAGAGGGTGAAGATGGACTCGATCGCTTCGGGACTGTATGATGTCAGTTCAGGCGCTCCCTCTCTCTCTCTCTCCCTACCCTCCCCTCTGAAGAACGACAAACGCCTTCGTGAGAAAACGAAAAACCCAACCACGCACCACGCACCACCACCACCACTTACCGCAAGCCACCCCGCCCATCCTCCACCCTCGTCACGCCCGGCGCCAACCCCTTCTCCCGCGCCACAGCTGCCACATCCACATCCCCATCCACCCCTCGCCCCGCCCGCTGATCATCATCACCCCCGCCTACGCCTCCGCCGTCCTCACCCCGCACCCCAGCCTCGACGCCCCTCAACCACTCCCCCTCATCCCAGGCACACCCTCCTTTTCCTCCTCCTCTTCCTCCTTTTCCTCCTCTTTCTCCTCCGCCGTCGCCATCGCCGTCGCCATCGCCGTCCCCATCACTCGCGCAAACCAAAGTGCGCATGACCTCGGGCATCACGCCGTTGGGGCTGCTCTCGTACGCCCAGAGGCAGCCTTCGGTCAGGCGGCGGCCGGTGGCGACGAGGTTGTCGTCATTGTCGTCGATGGGCTTGTTGTCGCTGGGCTTGCCGTCGTCGAATAGCTTGCCGGCGAGGGCAAAGGTGCCGCCGATGAAGCAGCTGAGGTGCTGGGTGCGTGGGTCGAGGAGCGGCGTGATGGCTGGGTCATCGGCGGTGGAGATCTGGACGTCGCCGGATAGGAGGAGGGGGGGTCTGTTGTTACTGTCGGGTGTCATGGGGGTGTAGAAGATGTGTTGCTTCATCGGAACGGCTGCGGTTTCGAAGAGCTTGCGGTATTGGGGGGTTGCGGCGGAGAGGAGGAGGTGTTGCTGGTGAGGGGGGAACGCAGGAGGAGTTGGGTTAGCGTTTTTTTTTCTTTCTCTTTTTGAACGGGACAGGTGATGGTGGAGTAGAAAGGACGACGTTGGGGGGATATTATACATGCCTTTGGAAGATACTCGTACAGCGAGTCTGCCATGCCACCGACGGTAAAGGAATCCCAAGCCGTGAAATCGAGATTCCTGGCGTTGACAGCAACCGGCCACAGCCCCGGCATCTTGGTGCGGTTCTGCTGCTCGTCAAAGACATCCATGATGCGCTGGGCAGCGTCGAAGAAGCGCAGGTCGCCCGTCAGCTGCGACAGCCGCGTGAACTCCAGCGTGAGGGACCCCAGCTCCGCCGAGAGGGCAGCGTCGGACGCTTCTTGCGCCTGCTCGCCGCCGTTGGCCACGTTGTGGAAGTTCCATCGCGTCACGGGCATCCGGTTGGGCGTGTCGAAGGCCGCGTACAGCATGTGGCCCAGCTCCCACGCTTTCTGGAGCAGCGTCGGGTACTGCCCGCCGCTGACGTCGTACGCGGACAGGAGCCCGCCGAGGTGCCGGGTCGTGGCTTCGTATACGTTGAGCTCGGTCAGCGCGTTGGTGGAGAAGTCGATGGCGTTGACGGCGGCGACGGCGTCTTCGAAGTCGGGCTTGAGGCCCATGATCCAGAGCGTGTCTGTGTTTTGGCACAGGTGAGGTTTTGGGCTCATGAAGAGCGTGGGAGCGTCTGGGAGGAGGTTACCAAGAGAGTCGACGAGGGTTGCTGCCCAGCCGCCGAATGTATCGCGAGCCTCGCCGGAGATGGGAGCCACTTCGTCCTTGAGCCATGCATGCTCCTTGTACCCCGTCCAGGCGTGGATAAACTCTGCTTTGATCTGATCGAGGCGCTCCAAGCGCACTTTCCGGGCCTCTGCCGGTTCCGGTGGGAAGTCATGCTGTATGCGGGGGATCTCCGTGACGTCCGTGGGCATGGACATTAGGGACTCTACCGGATACCGCTGCGTAGCTTGACTCCAGTGGAACCTGCCATCGTCCGATTCAATGAATACCGGCTTTTCTTCTCCCCCTTCAGGTATTCCTAGGCTGAGTGGTAAATTGTACGTAGGTGGCAAGCTGCGATAGAAGATTAGAAGTACGGCGGCAAAGAAGGTGAAGATCAGCAGTATCTTGCGCGATGACGGTAGCATTGACGGCAACATGGTGCAGGATCCACCAGTATGTCAATTGAACCACCACATCAAGTCGGGGGAGGACAAGCTGTTAAGTGGCAAGCCGCTCAGTTCTCAGGGGTTGCTTACGCCATCGTCGCCCACTAGGCTTGTGTATCAATGCTGCCTTCACTCAGGTCTTGGAATCGACAACAGTGGTTAAGCGCGCGGAAGTGCGGCACAAGGAGTCCATGCGGCCCAGGTGCTGATCACCCCATCCAGCATTCTGATTGGGCATTTAAGGACTTCCAAGAATCTTTTCCAGTTTTCCAAGCGATCTGTGTCCCAGGAATTTGGAACGGTTCCGCGCGGTTCGGCAACTTTATCCGATCTATGTGAGTGTGACAAGTTGCGTGATTGCTTGGTCTAGCTCATCTTCAGCAAAATAGAGACGTCATTTTGCTTTCTAAAAATGGAGCAGTAAGTTCAATCGTAGTTTGGTGTACCGATATATGGACTGGTTCGATGGTTCTATGAACGGAAATGGGGGTGACGTCGTCCAATTACAACAAGATCCAACACTCGAGCTTGATAGCATACAAGCTACCTCATATGAATACATACAGCCCTCACAACGAGATGCCTATGCCAGAACATATTCTCTATCGGTTCTCGTCCACTTACCCCACTTTCAGAAGTCATAGACATCGAGGTCTGACCGCTCCAGCACCTGGGCCATCAACATACTGGCTTCTCAGCCTCCCACTTAAGCCAAATTCGCCCTGCGTTCCACAAAGCCATATAACATTTACGAAGTTGTTCCGATCAAGATCTCATTCCCAGGCTTCTCCATCCTTCACCATCACTTCGTCTACATGGCTGTGGATGGGGCGTCTGTCCCAATACAGACAGCCGTGGCCACCAGTCTCCATCCGCATCGAAAACACCAGCAATGCCTGATCAGAAAGAGGCATGTGGAGCTGTTTAAAAAAAGATTACAGGAAATATGAACTGCCAGCTTTCCAGGTGTTCCATCACCGCACTGCAGCACCCGCTCCATCCATAGCACCCAACCCTTCTCCCAAACCACACACGCCCATATTTCCCACCTTCACACGGCCAAACAACACCCCCTCCCCAAAACCCGCCCTCCGTCCCTGGTGCACGCGTTCTCCTCGGCCCGGCCCGGTCATCGGCCCGAACTCTCGCCGCCACGCCATCCAAAAAGAAAAAAACTCTTCCAAACCTCAACCCAGGGTGGCAAAAGAGACAAAACGCCAAAAGAAACACCAAAAAAGATGATGATGAGGACGAGACTCGAACTCGCGCGGGTTGCCCCACCAGGAAACTTGTTAAGCTAACACCTTAACCTGGCGCCATAACCAACTCGGCCACCTCACCATGTGACAGGCAATCTTGAAGCAAATCTGAAGATCTACTGCGCGATGAGAGTAATGCTGTACAGTAAGGTTATATAGTGTGGGACGGGACTAGTAGCGATAGGTAGGTAATTAGGAGCCGGGTGGTACTTGACATCTATCCGTGATGAGTATCTATGGTACACATGATGTTGTTGCGTTGCGGTCATATATATTCGCTTCGTCTATGCAGACGGAAGGAAGACAACGAGCAATACTTGCATTAGTCATTCAGACTAGCATTGAAACGCGAAGGGAAGATGTTGGCTTCAAATGTCCTGTCGAAGGCTGGTGGCGTTGGAGAAAAAAAAAAGATGACTGTATGTCCATAGACTGGAGCCTTGATGGGATTCGATCGACGAAGTTTGAGGAAAGACATTGATTGAGGAGACACGCTGTCAAATAGAGAATGAGGGGGCTCAGGAGAGTGTGGGGAAATGCAACTGCGGAATGACGCAATAATCACCCGGCCGCCAGCGGGCTGCATAACTCAGAGCACGATGAGAGCTTGCTCCGGAATGTTGTTGAACCTTGATGGTCCCAAAATGACCGCACGTCTTTTCTACTCAGCTGTTATTGGATCTACTAAATTCTCTCAAGATAGTTTTCAAGGCATCCCTTTGTGTCATGGTGAAAACCAAGCGTTCTTGTGACATAGGATACTTGCGAGTATCACTACTTTCGTGATGATCGATTGCCAGCATCAGAGGCAAAGCCAGAAGAGCACAGAGGAAAGATCTTCCCAGAACCTCACATCTTACCCTTGAGACTCTCACAATGCACCACTCGTACCAGCACATACGAGAGAACAACACGTACAGCATAAATCAGAAAAGACCACCCGCTCGCGTTCCATATAGACGAATGAGATAATCTCGTAGCCATCACAAACCATTTCATTTTTTTCCTGTCGTCGCATATGCATCTAACAGTACAGAAAGGAAGGCAAGCAATGCAGATTCCAAAATGTTTCCAGAGGAATACTGCACCTACATGCTCTTCCAACCTCTCCCCATCACGCATGCAGAAGATCCACTCATCCACGCAAGCTGGTCAAAGTCGAAGGGAAAAAAGCAGCCCCGACGCTGAAACGCAAAATCGCACAAAAAGCAAAAGATCTCCGTTCATATCTCTAGCTCTTCCCCTCCATCATTCAGCAGTAGCAGCAGTAGTAAAAGGCCAATTGGGCCACTTTCGTTTCCTTGACTCATGGGACATTTCTCATTCGCTGATGTTTGATGATGGGGTGTTTGGTTTACGGCGGGGGGTATAAGCCGATCGTGACTACTTTTTGCTGGAAGCAAAAAAAGGACTCTCCCATATTCCTTTTCCTTTTTCCTTTCTCGTCTTTTTGGTTCAATTTCATGACACTGTCCCCTCCTTCTCACAACTCCGTCCTTTGGGCCGTAAAGTCCCAAAGCATTTTGACAAGGTTGTCCGGGAGTGTGTAGAGGTCGACGTGGAACTCGCCGTCTGCCGAGTTATTGGTCAGTGTTGCTTGTTCTCGTTAAGCGATAGAGAGAAACTGTTGATGCTTGACTTACTCTCTACGTCGTTCTTCGTGTACGTGTCGAGAGTCTTGTTATCGTGGACCATCTGGACGACCTGGAGCAGGTCGTCTTCACCAAGGCGCTGGAGGCCATCCGCCAGCTTCTCCATGTCGACCTATTGATTTTAACCGCGGTTAGACATCTTCCACAAGATCCGCGCGATGACGGCTTTGGTGAGAGCTTTGACAAAACCTACAGCCTTATCTTTCTTCTTCTTGGAGTTGGCACTGGGAAGAGCACTTCTGCTCCTGGCACCGTTCTCCTCGCCGGGAACGGGCCCGGATTCCTTCAGGAGCTGAAGAAGCTCGGGCTTGGGATTCTTGAACGTGACCCAGTGCTTCGACTCGTAGCGCTCGTGCTGGAAGTTCAAGTCGTGCTCGATTGTATGATCGGCGCCCTTGCCAGCTGCGGACAGGGTGATCTGCATCTCGAACTCGCCCCAACCCTCCTCTTCGATGCGGAACGGGGGCTTCTTGACGGCTGTGAAAGAAAAAAGGTAGTCTTAGTTGATCCGTCCTTGCCTAAATTTTGACGTGAGCACAGAAGCTGGGGAACTCACTCTGAGTGGCCCTCTTCTCGAACGACGGGTGAAGGCGGTACGTCGCCTTCTCGTACGGCGTCGCGGGAACCTCCTCGCCGTTCTCGTTCAAGAGCCAAATCTCAATGCTCCACGCGCGCATCGGAAAGCCCTCCATCTGCTGCGGCTTGTCGCTATAGGAAAACGACTGGTGTCAGCGAAAGCCCTGCGTATCCTGTTACAGAGCCGAGCATGTTAGAGACTCCTGCCTTGCCATGCCCTCCGGCTCCGCGTCGCATCACGTCACGTTGTGGTTCGGTTCTCTGCACGCATGCTCGTGCTTCGGCTTTGGTGGCTGCACGACGAGGTGCGCGTGCGCGAAGCAGCCAAACAGCCACAGTAGCTACTACTACGGACCGCATTCGCCGCGCCCATTCCGATGTGTCTCGGCCCCTCACAAGCGCACGCTGCGAGACGACATGTGTAGCGACACAGCCTGGAACCATCACGGTGGCGGAAGAGCGATGGAGACGGATTGCGGCTGCTCGAGAGGCGGAGGCGAAGGCGGAGGGCTGGCAGGGAAAAGGCTCCAACGTGCTCAGGCGACGATGCGCGTGCGAGACTTACGTGATGTGTTGCTCGGTGACGAGCTTGACCTGGCGTTTAACCTGCGTGTCCCGCATCAGCCAGTCTGCATCTCATCCGCGCCGCGGGCCCTTTCTTCCGTTGTGTGGCAGACGGGAAGCTCGAACGAGCAGCTGCCAGACCTTCTGGGCAGGAAAGGTTACTTACCTCAGGCATGGTTGCTATGGTTCAGCAAGGAAAGCTTGGTGGCTGGTTGGGGTCGGGGTTGTCAAAGCTCTCGTGTTCCGAGGTCTTCCTTGCTACGTTTTTGCGGCGCGGTTGAGCTGGCCAGTCGAAGTTTGCAGGTGCACGCGGGAAGATGCGCGGGTGAAGGAAGGTCGGTGAGGGAAAGGGTCCGAAGCGCGGGGCGATGGTGAGGCTGCTCGGCGGGTGGAGAGGTGTGCCTTGGTCGCGCCGGAGCAAGCCAACGACGCGCGAAAACGGCCTACGCGCGTGGGTGAGGTCGACGTGGATCAACGACGCGCTGCGGCGACGCCTAGATTGGGGCCGGAGGAGACAGGCGGCTTGGAAAGTAGAGCACCGTGCTTCGGGCAGCGGCAGCGGAGGTTGCAGCCGGCGCGCAGGATCGAGTTCGAGACTAATGCGCCTGGTCTCGTGGTGAGTGTGGTTGCGCGGTGCTGGCGGGCGAGCAGCGACGACAGCAGCAGCGAGCCTCACACACGCACGCACAAAAAGCCGATCATCTGGAAGCACACGCCGGCATAAGGCTTCACGGACCAGCAGATCGTGAGGCACGGGCAGGCCATGGCACGCACGCAAGCGCTGCATTCAACGCTCTTTCACCCGCGTTTCCGCATCGGCTGCATCACTAACGCCTGTCTGCCCATCACGCCCATCAACTCAACCCACTCTCCCAAGCCCAAAGACCCACACGTCCCGTTTCACAGCATACATCGCCTGTTGTCCAATCTCGTGCCTTGGCTCTAGTGGTGGTTAACTACATAGAAAACCGGATGACTTTCTCTATCTACTTTCCCTCAATGCGCGCGCGCTTAGCCCTGCCATACCAAAATTCCCTTTCCCTTTCCGGCAACGAATGTTATTAAAAGTCATGATCGCCAGTTCCGTCGCGCGCAATGAGTACTCAGGCTTGGGGCTGTTGTGAAAACGGGCTGGGGAAAGGTTTGGGGACGGGGGGGCGTTGATGCTGTTGATGGTGATGGTGAGGGGGGGTGATTCAGCCTGAGGCTACTGCTGCCCGGAGCCGCCATGTGGTCGTAATGGATGCGTGATGATTTTGAATGGGGGGTACTATTGGGGCATTATCGGTGATCGTTCATATGTGCACTTTCTCCTGCCTCCAACATCTACTCGCTGAAGAGCGCCTCGTTCTCCTGCTGCGCCTTGATGAAGGCCTCCTTGAAGAGGTTGGCGTCTAAGGTCTTGGTTAGCTCGTGGCCCTACTCTCAGAACTTGCGGTTGTACTTACTCTCGCCGTTGGCGAAGCGGATGGCGAGGGTCTGGGCCTCGGGCTCGCCTTCGCTGACATCTGCGGCGGCGTTCCAGACCCAGCTGCGGTCGCTGCCGACGTTGGGCGACAGCTTCATGTCGGGGACGACTGCATATCCATGTCAGCAACCATGCCCAGCACTCCCCCGGCCCAACAGAATCACATACCGTAGTGGTTGGCGCAGACCTTGAGCGTCTTGTCACGCCTCATGACCAGGCGAGTCTTGCCGTTCTCCTTGTGTTTGAGCAGGCGGACGTCGCCGGTGCCACGCTCCTTCCACTCCCTCGACTCGCGGTCGAACTTGAAGAGCTTGGCGCGCATCTTGAAGACCTGCTCCTCCAGCTCCTCGTTGGTCTTGGTCTCGACCTTCTCCGTCAGGTGCACGACGGGCTTGAACTCGACGTCGGGCTCGTGGTTCTCGGGCTCCTCCTCCTGCAGAATCACCCCAGGTGGTCAGCTCTTTGTGCGCGCGGGCAGCGTCGCGGGCGAACGACTTACCTCGTCAGCCTTCTTGGCCTTGGAAGAGCCAGACGGCTCGTCGGTGACATCCTCCTCCTCCTTCTTTTCCTTCTTGGGGCCGCCGCCGAACATGGAGAAGACGGCAGAAGTGGTGGCGGACGCAGCGTTGGCGACCTTGTCGGTGACGCCAGCGCCCTCGGCGGCCTTCTCGTCCTTGGACTCGGTTGCGCCGGTCGTCACCTTCTCAGTCTCGTCCTTCGCGAGCTGCGGCTCGAGGCCAGCCTTCGCCTCCTCGGCGGGGTCGAGCTTGGTGGCAGACGGCTCAGCCATTTTGAGTGGTGGTCAGATGGAGTGCTGTTCGTGGATGCGCGATCGCGAAAAGTCAATGATGGCGTGGGTGCGGGGAGCGCGAACGTGGACAGGCTGCGGCGCACAGAGTTGAAATGTGTGAGAAGTGGTGGTTTGCAAGATGAGAGCCCCTCGTTAGCCAGCCAGCAAAACATTGCCTTGGCACGCTTGCCCGCGTTCCACGTGACTTTGCGATAAGATTGGACTGCCGCGATTCATGCCCGAGGCGCGTGCGACTGTGGGCCTTTTCTCTGCCTTGCGCGCATCTCATCTGTCATCTGATGCAGTCACCACGCGCACTTGCCCTACCAACCCGCCCAGGGTGCCAGGGAGGGGGGGCACTGCAAACCTACGTCAAGATGGACCCTTGTCAGCACGCAAAACCACTAGCCCAGCCAGAGCTCCCAGTCGGCTAGTCCTTGGCAAAATTTCGAGAGCAATACACATTGTAAGTCATGACTGTCTTTCCGAGTTCCATCGTCCCGCCCGCCCTTCGATCTGCCTGAAAAGTAGTGAGAAGTAATAATGGTCCCCCAGTCTGGCAACATCATCTGCCGTCACTCACTCCCTAGAAGCAACTCCTGCTAAGAGTCCGTTTCGTGTATCCCTTCCAGCGCCGAATTGAAAGAAATCACCCAATGATCGTACGAATACTCCATATCCGATGCGCCCCGTGCAAAACCACCTCCCCCACAGTATCGTAAGCACTCATCTACGGCTTAGTCTTCTTTCCGCAGGGCCTTTCCTTGAGCGGCCTGCTCTCTCCTTTGTGCCTCTGCTGCTCTTTGTCATGCGGCTTCTTCAGTCCCAGCCGGCGGGCAATCCTGTTGGCGTTCCTGCGGGCCTGATTGACCGGCGTCACCAGATCAAGCTGCTTGGCTGCATCGACAATGTTGTTGGTTACGCCTCTCTGCTTCTCGCGGAGCTTGTTGCTGACCGCGAGCGTCTGGTTGAACAACTGTAGTGCCGTCTGCGCACCTGAATCGGCCGAATGGAGAATGGCGTCGGTTATATTCTTGCTGGTGCCTCCGAAGCCCTGCAGGTGCTTGAACAGGGCCAATGAAGCGTTCTTCGCGTTTGATTGTGCAATGACGAAGTCCGTCTTCATCAGATCAGTCCAGTGGGACATCTTGAGCCACGGGGAGCCGAAATCGACGGTGAAGTTCTGTGGCTTTATCTTTGGTCTAGATTCGGTGCAAACCGTAACGTTGAGGATACCGTAGGCATCCTTGGGTTCAACGCTCACGGCGTGAACACCTTCCACGAGTTGTTCGGTTGTGAAGGGTACGCCTTCCGAACCGCGCTGGACACGGATGACAATCTTGGGAGCTTTCCACAACGAGGCTAAACTCTTCGGCGGGGTCAGGACAAAGTGACGATCGCCGACGATTCGCAATTTGAAGTCTCCAGAGTCGTTTGCTCTGGGTGAAAACGGGTGTTCGACTACGCTGACTGACTTGGTAGTAGCGTCATTGGACACTACTTTATCGGAGCCAGATGTGGCAGCTGAGACTGCCGTTGCATTGGGGTCGAGCTCGCGTTGTAATACCGAGACGTCTGTCTTTGCACCAGTGAAAGCTTGAAGAGCCGAATTCAGTGCGGCGGCTTGTTCAGCCTTTTGAACGGCGTTGTTCTGGGCCGCTCCTGGGAAGGTTACGCCTCCGAGTAGCATTGCGGCAATTGAACTGACGAGCAGGCCAACGATAAGAAGAGCCCACCGTGGCTGGGTCCGCACAGTGTTGCGGACATGAGCCGCAGACCCTTTGAGCCATGACTTCATTCCACCCTTCTTCTTCTCTTCAGTCTTATCTTTCCTATCGCTCGTCTCTCCATTAGAACCAACGCCAATGCATGCAAGGTGTCGATTGAGCTGAGTGTTATCAAGGCTAAGGAAATTGTTCAGGTCGATGGGTACAACGCCGATCTCTTCTTCACCTGACTTCAGGCAGATCTTCAGCGACTTGCTGTCCGGAGAGAAACTGTAATACCCGCTGACAGGGCTCGAAAGAGAAACGCTAAGAATCGGAACACCCCTGTCAGCCATGATAGCACGCAGCTTCACCAGATTCTCATCCTCCAAGCGGATGAGATCCATAGGCTGGTTGCACATGATGACCAAGTTCGGAAGAGTAGTGGGAATGCTATCTGCGAGCATGTCTGAGCCCTGGTCATCCTGGTTGAAGATCTCCTTGAGCAAGACGTCGCTACCATTGTCATAGGACATGCGAATGCCTGGAGTGCAAGTCTTGGAAGACCGGGGCTGAGGCCGGCCAACCTTGAGAGCTGCGACCAACTTGTCCGTTATCAAATCCTCGGGGCTCTTTATGTCGGTGGACATGGAGGACGGAAAGCCAGCGAAGATAACCCGGAAGGGGCCGGCCCAATCCCAGTCCAAGGTGTCCTTTGCGACCGAATACTTGAGCTCGTCCATGGATACTCCGGCCACACCCGTCCACTGCGAGTCATAGGAGCGGATGATGGGCTGGATGATGTGGACAGCATCCTTGTCGACAATCTCGAGGGGCTTCTCGGTTATTGTCGAGGCTTCCGGGGTTCGAATATCAGGCCGAGTGGTGATTCCGGAGTCGGAGGGCTGGAAGACCGGCTCGGGCAGCTCGTGCTCATCGTCGGATGTCGGATCCTCCTCGTCGCCGTTGACACTGCGGGTCTCCTCTAGGTTTGAGTTGACCAAAGCGAAGCTCCCCGAGGAGACTGTTTCGGCACCGTCGTCGTCGGAAGGGACGAGGACACCAGAAGAGTCCATGAAATCGTAATTGTCCTCGTGCGCCGCCATTTTGTCTTTCGCAAACTCGGCCGAGTCTGTTGTGTTGGCAAAGGAGAGGGGGGCGTGGCCGTTCCGCTTTGTGTTCTGTGAGGCGGCTTGCCGGGGAGGGGGTTTGTAGCTCGCAACTCGGTCGTTCGCCGTGAGGTTCTCGGGCGAGATGTCGCGGTTGAGCGGTGGCGAAGGCGGCGTGGCGTCTGACTGCGGTGAGTAGGTGCTATCTCCTGTGCGTGGCAGGCGGAGGTCCATGTTGGGCAGGAAGGCGGCAGGCGAGGGGAAAGCTCCCGAGGCCACGACGGTTTGACGCAGCGAATGACGACAGAGGGTGCTGCAAGCCCCTGGGCGAGGGTAGACTCTTGAAGAACGCAAAGGAAATTAAGAAACAGCGCGGGGTGCGAAAGGGTCTTGTGCAAACGAGGAAGCCAGCTTACTTGGGCAAAGGACCCGTGGTTTTGGGGAGGTAGCTGCCTGAAGCACGTAGGGCCTAGTATGCCCGGGGCGAGCTCGCGGGGGAACAGCTGATCTCGAGGGAGAAAGAACGGCTGCTTCGCGGGCAGGCGGCAGCGTCTGAAAGGTGAAAGGCGGCGCCCGCTGCGGTGAATGCAGCCAGGCAACTCGTGTGGTTTGTATGTATTGGCACCTTGGTGTACAGAGGGCAGATGAGCTAGGTGTCTGGGGATGCAAGGCAACACGCTGCGCCGTGGTCATGCTCCCGCGGCCCGGCGGGGCTTATCGCTTATCGCGGGCCTCCTAATCTGATGCGCCCTCTGGCCGCGAGTCACATGCACGTCCCTTTACGTCGTCATTCCGATACCGTACGTAGTAGATTAATTTACACTCTCCATGCCGCGACAAGCTGAAAAACCGCACATAAACCAACCTGCCACCCGTGACCGCTTCATGCATTTCGTCTCCTTCGTTGCAACGAGGCCAACAACAAGAAAAGCGCTGCGCCCTTCGCTCTGAGCCAACAGACTTGCAGACCCAAACTCTTGCCTGGAAAAGGTATATTATGCCGCAAAGAACCCGACATGAACTTGCACTTTGATAACGCCGTGGAATCCTTATTCTCCTACCAGCGGAGCCTCGTTTATGGGCTCGCCCAGCCGCCTGCGACATCCACCCACTCTGCAAGACAGCTGCCCTGTTTGCCTTCAACGTCGACAATGTCCGTATCGCATCTACATCTGCATCCCACTCCATTCTCCTTTGGCTGATCCGGCGTGGCCCAGTACTCGTCCTCCTCGATCCGCTTTTTCTCGTCCAGCGTCGTCTTCTCAAGGTATGGGATGTGCGGGAGTTGGCGCGCCGGTTTGTTCGCAGGACAGTGCTGGATCGTCGTGTGCCGGTACCCAAAGTCGCGGAAATAGTGGATATCACCCGGCCCAAGCAGCGCTCCAGCAGCAAGAGAGTGGATGGGTGCGTCTCCCCACTGGCAACAGTTAGCGAGCCACTCGCGTGCATTGGAGCAGAGTCAACCTACCCGTTCATTCCAAAATCCTCCACTGCGGTCCATCGTCTCGAAAAAGTCATTGTACTCCTTGCTTCTGAACCAGTCAAGTCTAGCGATCTCAAAGTTGCTCCAGAAATGACACATGTTGTACGATTCACCCTCCATTGCATCCGAGTCGATCTCCGGAAGGGCGCCAGAAGCAGGGTCCGTGTTGAGAATCTCCTCCGGGAGCGGCTTCTTGGACTTGGGGTCCTCCTTGGGTGGCTCTTCCGGCTCTTCTGTGGGCTCGGGCTTCTCCACGAACATCTCCCACAGTCCCTTCGACTTCAACTTGTTGTTGCGCTTGTAAGCCGACGCGTAGCGGAAGATGTTTGGCACAGTTTCCCGCAGTTCCTTGACAGCGATGGTAAAGCCGTAGGTCTTGTTGTTGCGTTCCATGTGGATGAAGGGGTCGCTGGCAAAAGTCAGTCTCACGAGATCATAAGACGGGATGGAAGGAGCAACGCACTATGTGATGTCACAGAAGTACTTGATCTCGGGTTCAAGACGCCAGTACCAGGTGTACTTTTGGAGTAGCTCGTGCTTGTAGAAGAACCTGCCAGATCATGTCAGATAAAGGAGTTGGAATCGTTGCCGCAGGGGGAGCCATACCCAGAGTAGAAACGGCACATGTGGTGGTAGCTCTCCATGCCACCGTACATGATAGCCTGGTCACCCTGCTTCGCAATGCCTTCCTTCGCGACATCCTTATCAACCCAGTCTGGGAAACCCCACATTGAGCTGTCGATCTTGCCCCACTCAACCGGAGCGCTGGTGTAGTTCAAGATCGTGTCCTTGAAGGTCTGGTTGAAATCGCCATCGTTCAAGAACACATAGGGGTAGTGGAACCACCTGTTGAAGTGCCTCTCGATGGACTTGATTGACTGTATCACGCCGTCCAATTCTTTATTCCGCGCCAAGACAACAAACGCCGCATTCGCCTTTTCGTGATCCTCGGGCCTCTTCGGGGGCTCTAAGCAGCCAGGATAAAAGACTTTGTCGTACTTCTCGTTGATTTTCCTACAGCGACCACCACGTCAGAATCCGCAACCCATCAGGGGCACATGTACAAGAGAACAAACCTAATAGACGGAGGAGCGCCTGCCGGCACCAGCAGCTGTCCTGGCGACGAGGGATGCCGCACGAATATGATGATTATTAGGATTATGACGATGGTGGGGAAGAGCACGACGAGACCCAGGGGTATCGAGATGGAGGAGTTGCCTTTGATGCGTATGCGGCGACGGAGGAAGGCCAGGCGCGGCGATAGCCGGTCAATCTTGGACTCCTCGCCGTCCAGCGGAGCGGCGGGGCGCACCGTGGGTATGCGCTTCTTGAGGCTCTGTAGAAACGACATGTGTGCGGCGGGTGGAACGAGCGCGGAGCGTCGGGGGCGGAAGTCAAGCTACTGCGGCGGCTGCTGCTGCGAGCTATGTCCGCCGCTCTCAAGCCCGACGACGGCTTCGAGCTCGGCGAGCCTTGGGTCCGGGGGCGGGTGCGCAACGTAGAGGCCCGGGCCGGCAAAGAGGTCGTGCGAAGCTCTGGCGAAGGCGGGTGAGTCGTGGACAGAGTGCTGTCGCGCCGCGTGCGAAGACTCCCGGGAGAATGAAACGAGTGGCCGGAGAGCGGTCGTGGTCTCCAAAGACAGCACCACCACGCAGGAAAAAAAAAAGTTTCTGCAGCGCGGAGAGTCGCGCGCGGACAAAGGAGGGATCGAGGGCTGCGGCCTAGGATCTCGTGGTGGTGTGGCCGGAGAGGTTTTGGCGAGCAGATAATTGGCGGAGAGGGAGGATTGAGCGCGGCAGGAGGCCAAGAGGAGCACGCCGATAACTAGAACGCTCCTGCTCGACGACAGGGATTCGGGGGGATGCGCAACGCCGGGGGCGCACGAGGTGCGGCACAGGAGGGGTCTCTTCCGGGTGATGCAGCGGCGAGGGTGCAGAGCGCAGGCTGAGTCTGTTTCTTCACGCCGGCGCGCGGGTGGCTGGCAATTGGCAGCTTACGACACCTCGCGGTGATGGACTGCGGCTAAAACGCGTTAGCAGCCCCTTGCCCTTGAAGCGGTTTCGCTGCCGCTCCGCTGCAAGCCTGGGTGCCTGGGTTCGCCGCCCAGAGAAAAGTGCCGGTCCTGGACTCGCCGGTCGAAAACCGAAAGCTGTCCTATTCTCCGTTCTCGCCCCAGACCCCCGGCGTCCGCGCGCACGGCGCCCAGCCTCTACGGATCCGTAGCCAACCCGCGCAATCAACCCTCGCCGCCAATCCTCGCCCTGCTCCTGTCAACCGCTGCCGCCGCCCTCCCTCTAATTTCCCCTTTGCGCCCTGTCGCCACGTGACGCCACTCGGTCCCAGTCCCAGTGAACCTCTGGCGCATCGCCCCTAAGAATAGCGTCGCGACACGACTTTTCGCGCCTTGCTCCGGTCTGCTCCGCTGTGAAGAAGCGCTGCGCGTCCGAGGAACAATATCTTTTTGCCGCGCGACGCTTGCGGACGGCCGAAAGCAGACGCAGCGAAGACCGGATCACGCGTAATCCACCAACCGGCATGACAATGGCATTCAATCCGAAAAACCTCAGCTATGGTAATTCATCTCCACGAAATCAATCAATGTGGTGTCCGTGCTTGGAAAGCCGTTGTGACTCTGGCCTGCCCTTCCCCGTTATGCTCAGTCCTGCATCAATACGAGCTGACACGCTTTGCCAGACCACAAGGAGCCTGCTTTCTTGCGCCGCATGAAAGGCGACTTGACTGCCGGTCGTGATACTGACCGCCACGAGCGGCCCGTTGCACGACCTAAGCGCTTGAAGCGTGACGATGAGGAAGACGACGGGCCAACTTACGTGGTCGAAGAGAGCAACGACACGCTCACCAAGGCTGAATATGAAGCCCTTGTCAATGGAACTACCGAAGAGTCTCCAGCTGCCCATGCCACTTCGGATGCAGCCGAAGGGAAAGATGGAGACGAGGTTGCCGCGGAAAAAGCCAAACCAAAGCAGCAGCAAGTCGCATCTGTTGGCGGTGCTTCAAAGAAGCGAAAGGCTGTCAAGATAGGAGGTGATGCAGACGATGAAGAGCGTGATGAAAGCAGAGCAGATGAGAAATCAGGGAAAGCAGAGGACCCACAGAAGAAAGAAACAAAGCCCAAGAAGCCCAAGAAAAAAGCAAAGGCTGTCAAGCTTTCTTTTGGCGATGAAGATTAAGAGAGCACCTGGTTGAGCGTTGGGCTACCGCTGTTTGCAAAGCAGATAATTACTTACGAGTAGCCTGGAAATCACACGTGCATCGGAAGCCGCACCTTGCGCGGTTTCCGCTTTGCCATCGAGAGTGCGGGTACACCCTGGAATATCTTGATGCGTTGCGCTTCACACGCCTTTTATCGACCTGCACCGATTCCTGCATCCAAGCCCGCGGGCCTATCTTCGGCAAGGTAGACTCATTCTTTGAAACTTGGTCACGTTCAGGCCGCATTTTATTGTTTTAATCACGCTAATTTATGCACACCTAAAAGTACGCAGCGCATGCATGCATAGTCTTCCTATAACTAGACGAGGTACTGAGGGTTTTTCATTCTGTAAACGTGTGGAGGGTGGTATCTACGCAAAGTGATGGTATATGGACAAGGGAAAGAAGAGCAGAGGAAGTAAAAGAGACCTGTAGCGAAGGGGAAGACATCAACTTCGCCTTGAACACCCGTGCAATCGGCTCGTCTTGCGACACCCGAATTTTCATCTTTTTAATCGTCAACTACCTGCCCTCCGCATGCTGCGTTCTGCAATGCTGTGCTAATGAGAGCCAGGGCCTTGAGCAGTCTCAGACTGTCGGACCAAAATCCATGATCACGCCCCATACGCAGCAGCAACGCCAGGAGCGGGACCTTCGAGGTCGACACGTTCGACGCTGTGCTTGATGTCGTGGCTCTCACGGACAAGGTTACCGAAGTACTTGCGAGCAACTTCAGACTCCTCTTTGAATTTGGTCGTCTTCTCTCTCTTGACCTGCAACTCTTCGACACTGCGCTGAAGGCCGACGCGAAGCTCATCTGTCGGAAGCTTGAGTGCTTTGCGCACCTCTGAGCTGACACGAGAAGCATTCGCGTGCGTGTAGTCAAGCAAGTCAAGTTGTGCCGAAAGCTTGGTGCTGAGACGACGTGGGAGGGACTTCGGAATAGATTGCAAGGCGTACGAAACGCCAAGTCCCACTGCAAAGTGTTAGGAATCATTAATTTGAAACACTCTGTTGTTGCAGAAAACTTACCAGCTAGGATGAGACCGGGGACAATCATCTTGCGAAGGCCGTTTGAACCCATAATTCTCATCGCACCCATTGCGCCATCAACCCAGCTCATACCGCCAACAACTCTGCTGCCAACGACGCCAGCAACGGTTACGGCCATACTCGTTCCAGCAAACTTCTCCTGACGCTCCCAAAGATTCGCCACGTCAAAGAAGTCCCAAATTTCAACATCAAAGTCAACTTGCCTCGCAAGAGCGTCCCGCCTCTTGCGGAACATCTTTTCAGGGTGGAATGTGAGATGCGACCAGTCATCACCGAGGTGCAATATGCCCAAACTGGATATCCTCCGGAAGCCGGTCATCGTCTGCTCTCTGGCGTAGTCTTCGCAGCTGAAGACGCTCTCGGAAATCTCCTGAATCATGGCAGCCTTGATCTCCTCTGCATACTCGAATGCACTAAACAAGCCAGGATACACAAGCCCAAGGTCGTGTTCGGCGACGCGTGCAATCGTTGTTGTCACCGTATCTCTTGTGTATTCATAGACATCCGCGGCGGTGTCTTCGATGGTGTGGTCGGCATCTTCACTAGCTTCGGTTCGGGATTTCTTGGACTGCTCGTACGCTGGCTCCAGCTCCTTTAGTTCGTTGGTAACACGGTCCAGCTCGGCTTGGGCGACGTCACGGTTGATCGTTGCGAGGTTGTTAAGATCTCCGAGAAGGTTCATGAGGTATGTCTTCGCCGGCGCCAGCTTTGAGCGCGCTCTTTTCTCTAGCACGAAGCGCCTCAGCGCGGCCTCCAATTCTTCAAAGTCTTGAATCTTCTCCTTCTCTTTTCCCTTGCCCTTGCCGGTTGACGAATTAGGGTCGTTCTTGTCATCATCATCAGGATCTCCACCAGGGCCTCCGTCACCAGAACCAGAGCCAGATCCACCACTCCCACCAACAGTCATCTCTAGAGGAGCGACTGGAATCGCTCGGCTGGTAACGAAATGCACAAGCTCAGAAGACTCCTTGAACGTAGCAGGGCTCATCTTGGCAACCTGCTTCAGGATCTGATCCTGGCAACGCTTCTTGTCCCGGATATTGTCGAAGCCGTTCACAACCATGAACATGTACGCCTTTTCCCTCGCCGCGTTGAAAATGAACTCCTTCGCAGACAGCGTGAAGTGATTGGCCGCAGACACGACAAAGATCACCACATCAATCTCCTCTTGACGGGCGAAGACTGCAGTCGTCTTCAAGGAGTCGGCATTCAATCCAGGGGCATCGATAAGCGCAATATCCACCACACCGTTGTTTAGGAGCGACTCGTCGACAGCGCGGATATCCTTGATGTAGATCTTGCACGAGGCGTAACGGTCGTTCTCCAGAACAACATCTTCGAGCTGCGGGATAGTGTAGACGTCATAGGTTGCCTCGTTGTCGCGGTTGTAGACTGACCCGAGCGGAATGGCGTGCACCTCTTCAATGCCGCCGTTTTCCCTCGAGTCCAAGACCTCGCAGAAAATGCTTGTACATGGCTGCTGATCCTCGGGCAAAATTTTCCTGCGCAGTAAAGCATTGCAGAATGTCGATTTTCCCGCGTTGAGATCACCAGTGACCAAAACCTTACTAGATGTATCCTCAATGCGCTCTCGCAGAGAGAATAGGTGACGGATGCTCTTGGTTATCTGACCGTCAAGCAACTGGGCAATAGCACCCTTCTCCAATGAATGAACCAGTTCTGTTTGCGACAGAGCACCCATTTTGAGGTCGATTTTCAGGACGGAAAAGTCCTGGGCCAGCTGTGGCGTGACCAAACGTGGCTCCTGTGCAGGTTTCTGTGACGCCGCCGAGCTTGCTTCGGCGACCGTCGAGCTTTCCCCAAGCGACGTGCCAGCGCGCTTGGGAGGCGTAGGCCGATGCGGCACGTCCTGCTCCACGCCACGGTGATTGTCCCAGGTCGATTGAGTGTGGTGGACTCCTGGACGCGGTTCCGAATGGCCATTAGTCGGCGCAGGGGCATCTGAGCGCTGGACCTGTGGGTAGTGCGCTGGCCATTGCATGTTCAGCGACTGGAGCTTCTTCAACGTCTCCACGGTCCGACCAATGGAGCGAGCCAGGGCAGTCCTATTTTGGTTGTAGTACAGCTGGTGGATATGGCTGGCAAGAGTGCGCCGCTCGTGCTCGGATGCGGGATTGGATTCGCCGGGCAATAAGGGCGTGTGACTAGGGGTTGGACGGTCTTCAGTGATGCCAGGATGCCATCCGGAACGCGCGCTGCTGCCGTCGGCAATGCTGCCACCATAGCCGGAGTCATCGTCGAGCATGGCGGCAAGGCGGCTGGCACTCTCTGAGACGGAGCCGGTGCCAACAGTCATGTAGGATGGGCGGCGTGATGTAGATGGCGAGAGGTAGGATTCGGGGTGGCGGCCGCGCGGGTTGCTGGTAGGCGAGGCATAGTCGCCACCGGAGGGCTTGCTGGGATCCATCACGAGCTTATGGATAGTGTTCGGTCGTGGGTGTGCATGTCGCGATGCGTTGGGTCGCCGCGCGTTGGGAAAGAAGAGTTGTGGTGTGGTAGCGAGAGTCAAAGTTCGAACTGGAAATGCGACCGCGCCAAGCTCCGTCGCTCGGACCACCAGCACGGGCGGATGTCATCACCTGCAGCTCCCACGTCTCCTCCCCCACCCTGCCGCCTGCACAAGCGCTGCATCTCGCGAAAGACGCTCCCAAAAAAAGCTTCTCCGCTCACGACGTTCTGCACACCGGTCTCCGCCACATCGCCGCCATGAATGTTTGTCGCCCTCTGCGCACGCCCTCGGCGTCCACCAGGCACTGACCGCGCTATGTAGATCGTGGAATGGGCCTTTGGCAAGCGCATGACGCCGCAGGAGCGGCTGCGCAAGCACCAACGGGCCCTCGAGAAGACGCAGCGCGAGCTCGATCGTGAGCGCGTCAAGCTGGAAAACCAGGAGAAGAAGCTGGTGCAGGACATCAAAAAAAGCGCCAAGAACGGTCAAATGGGCCCTCTGCGCATCCAGGCAAAGGACCTAGTGAGAACAAGGAGGTACGGACTGCCTCGGACTGTGGGGGGGAACAGGGCCATCGCTGACACAGCCTCTCTAGGTATATCCAGAAGTTCTACCAGATGCGCACCCAACTGCAGGCGATATCGCTGCGCATACAAGTATGTTCAGCAGTGCCGTGGTCCTTGCCCCAAACGCTCATTCGCCTCGCAGACGGTCCGCAGTAACGAGCAAATGATGCAGTCCATGAAGGGCGCAACGGCCCTCTTGGGCAGTATGAACAGGCAGATGAATCTCCCTGCGCTTCAAAGGATAGCGATGGAGTTTGAGAAGGAGAACGACATCATGGACCAGAGGCAGGAGATGATGGACGACGCCATCGACGATGTCACAGGGTTGGAGGACGAGGAGGAGGGAGAAGAGGTCGTGCAACAGGTCTTGGACGAGATTGGGGTGGACCTAGGACAATCGGTATGTCTCATCGGCGTCGACAGCGATGTTGTTTTGCAGCTGCTAACACCGCATTCAGCTTGGCGAGGCACCAAGCGGCCTGCAGAAATCGGGCGTTGCTGAAGGAAAAGTAGCACAGGCTGTCGGCGGAGGTGACCCAGATGACGACGATCTGCAAGCAAGACTTGACAGTCTGCGGCGATGATTTGGAACATAGCAGCGCGCGCCGGCAGTCATCCGTCCGGCGCAGACGCAGCGGGCCCGGTGCCGGGGGCGTACGTGCATCGTGCATCGGACCGGACGAAAGTTTTATCCCCGTCGGGATGCCGGACGAGCAGCAAGTGATCAGGCGTTCGGGCGCAGACATGGTTATCCCGGAGGAGCCCCGTTGGGGAAAGCGAACTTGCTCCAAGCGACCGCATCAGGTCTCAGGAGCCGAGTCTCATACCCTTTTTGATGTTTACGGTTGGCGGGTCATCTAGGATGCGGGCAGGGCGTAGAGGGCGGGCGCGGCATTCCAGCACATTTCAGCCAGAAATAGTAGACACATGAATTGCGCAATGCGAACTGCGGCGTATCAGAGTAGCGCCTGGCGTGCGCTGTGTGTGTGGGGCTGTCCGACCACGGCGCGCCGGCTACAGACGCCGTGACGTGCTGCAGCAACGGCGCCGGGCCTGCTGCTGTGTGCCTGCGCATTCACGCGCCCAAGCCTGGCTGCGTGCTGGCTGTGAAACTGTCTGGGCATGGAGTCTTTATGAGGCGAGAATGCACGCGAACAGCGGCGCTTTGATTGTACTGCGCTACGTCATGCAGAGCAACTCCGGCGCTGCCGCGCTCTAGTAAGGTACGGGTTCGCTCCTCGAGAGCGCGTCGCGCCCAGCTCTCCAGACACCTAGCAGCCTCTACGCAAGCCCGCCTGGACGTCGCGCGTCGTCATTGATCCGCCCCCGCTCGCCCACCTCCTCCTGCCGGCACGCCGCGCCTGCAAGCACTGCCTGCGCGCTCTGCCTCCTGTGCGCATAGTCTGCTTTAAATCAGCCCCGCCGCGGATCAGTGGGTACTCCGTCTCGAAGCCTTGTGCGCAGCGTCCCCAGCCTCTCGGTGGCCGCAGCCTCAAGCCTGCGCTCACCTCTTGCACATCGCATCTCACCTTACCACCGACAACCAACTCTTGTGCGGTGGCTGCTAGTGTCGCCCCCGCTGCGACATCTCCGTTGTCCCGCACTTGAGACACCGCCCCCCCCCCTTCACCACCCGCCCCAGCGCCCACACGCCCAAGCGCTACAGTCCCGCGACCCCTCGGTATCTGCTCGTCGCCGCACCGTCCACCGCCAGCTCACAACCCGCTCCGACCGACGCGCTCAGTCGTGGGCCCACAGCATCCAATCTGGCAGGCAGCAAGCGGAGGAGCTTTTCCAGCCAGGGAGGCCTGTTGAACAGGATGTTCGGCAGCTCTTCCGCGCCTGGAAAGGACATCAAGGAAGACGAAGCGGCCGTCGATGCCAATTCCCTCAATGATACGCGCAAGGCACCCCCCATCGACATCCCCGGCGAGGCCAACGCTGCCGGCGAGAAACGCACCAGCACCGCAGGCAGCCCTTCCAACGGCAAGTCAGGCGAGGACGCTAGCCCGAGCATCGAGAAGAAGCGAAGGAGCAGTGGTGTCTCGCGCGCAAGAGACATGCTCAACAGCGCAAAGCAATCGCTGCATCTGCAGAGCTCTTCGCCCACCTCGTCCAACATGGAGAAAGCCGCGCAAACCCCCATCCAGAAACTGAGCAAGACGGATCCCGCTCTCGGTGTCCCCCAAGGATCGCAGAACAACTCGGCTGGCGAGTCGCTGCCGGGCCAGCACTCGACCTTCCGCGTGGGCGTCACGGAGGATAAGAACAAGAAATGCCGGAGAACCATGGAAGACACCCATGCGTACCTATACAACTTCCTTAGCACGCCGCAGCCTTCGCTCGAGCACTCTAGGCGCAAGGGCTCTAACTCTACGCAGGATTCCAAGCCAAGCCTCTCTGACGTCTCAGAGCAGCCGGTGCTGGAGACGGACAACGGTTACTTCGCCATCTTCGACGGCCATGCGGGTACTTTCGCGGCGGATTGGTGTGGCAAGAAGCTGCACTTGCTCCTCGAGGACGCCATTCGCAGGCAGCCCAACACGCCGATCCCCGAGCTGTTAGATCAGACTTTCACCAGTGTCGATCAGCAATTGGAGAAGCTCCCACTGAAGAACAGTGGCTGTACTGCTGTCATTGCCGTGCTGAGGTGGGAGGACAGGGTACCCAATGCCAACTCAGCCACGGGATCAACGTCGATTGCCCCCCTTGCTGCCGCTGCATCTTCGCGGGCAACACAAGAGGGCAATGCAGATGTTACTGCCGCAGCGGATCCTTCCGCAGCAAACCCGGACGCGAACCCCGCGGTTCCAGCTCCAATTGAACCTGGTGACCCTCATGCTACAGAGGCGAAGCTCAGGGAATCCGCTACACGCCAGCGCGTGCTGTACACAGCCAACGTTGGTGATGCTCGCATTGTCCTGTGCCGTAAAGGAAGGGCGCTCCGTTTATCGTACGACCACAAGGGCAGTGACGAGAACGAAGGCAGACGCATCGCTAACGCTGGAGGACTCATTCTGAACAACCGTGTGAACGGTGTCCTAGCCGTCACTCGTGCCCTTGGCGATGCATACATGAAGGACCTGGTAACTGGACATCCTTACACAACAGAAACGGTCATACAGCCCGACCAGGACGAATTCATTATCCTGGCTTGCGATGGTGTAAGTAAACTTTTGTCCTATTGAAAAGAGGGCCTCTACTGACAAATCGTGAAGCTTTGGGATGTTTGCTCTGACCAAGAGGCTGTGGATTTGATCCGCAACATCAAAGACCCGCAAGCAGCATCGAAGGCGCTCGTCGACCACGCTCTTTCCAGGTTCTCCACCGACAACCTGTCCTGCATGATTGTCCGCTTTGACAATGAGGCTTTGCTAGCACGACAGACTGATTCTTCCATTGGCGTGGATGGAGACGCCCTTCACAAGAAAGGAGGCGTGAGCGAGACGGAATCGATTGTTGGACAGGCAAAGAGGAGTCTCGGCGATGTCAGCGAGACAGACTTAGAACAAGTCAGCGGCGAGATGATCTTGGAGGAAGAAGAGGCAGATCCTGGCCCCGAACTCAATCCAGAGGCGCTAAAGGCCGCTAGAAAGGACATCAAGAAGGACAAAGATCAGAAATGAGCAGGGTTGGCATCGTTCACGGAAGAGTCAGGGTTGAGAGCAGGGCTACAAGCCATGGTGGCACGAAGTAACATGCTTTCGAGGATAGGATTTATCTTTGCGTGGGAAGTGGACTGCGAGCGTTCGAAGCAAAGAGGGCCGGGCTTGCATGCATGAGGCTCGCCGGTGTCCGCATGTGATGCGATTGCAGATGTATCACGTAGTTGCTACATTCGCTTTTCATCTTTTCTTTTTGCCTGCAGATTAGGACCCAGCGGCAGTCTAGTTAGAAATGCTTGTATTCCAGTAAGAAGCTGGCGCGCGCGGCAAGCGGCACCCACGGGTGAGGCGACCATGGAGTTTGGTTAAGATTGCAACGCGCATGAACGTTCCAAACCATTGGGCGCTTGGCCCTCACGAGTGACGGACGGCTTGGCTCAACAGCGGCAAGCGATTGGGTGCCGGTGCGCTCGAAATAAACGGGACACAACTGAATGCACGTGATTGCAAAGCGATTGCGGAGGATATCCCCCGTCGCAGATCGTTGCCAACCCCACAGCTGGTGGGCCCACGACCTCACCACCGTAACTTTCTATCGTGACCTTCCGTTTCGCCCCGCCCACCCGCGATCGTCGCCCGCAGCTCCAGCCCGTCCACCGTGCACCTCTCCATGTGGCTGAGTCCCCGGAGTCGCCGCCATGTCCGCCGGAACAGAGGCTGCGGAATCCGCGAGCACGTCCTCGCCCAGCGCTGCCACTGAGCTACCCCCGGCTCCAAACGGCCCCGCCTTCGTCACCCCGGCCTCATACCTGCGCCCTCCTCCTGCATCGCGCCCCTCGCAAACTCCCAAGGTGCTCACGCCCACCGACAAGGAACAGATCGAAGCTCTGGTAGGTCGAGGCAGCGACGTCAGGCCGCGCTGCGGCGCAGGCGGTGAAGCCAGGGAACAAAGCTAATCTCGGAGCTTGAATACCTCCTCCAGCGCGCGATTCGAGCCTTCCTCAAAGTCCGCACGAGCTACGATGTCCTCCCGCTCAGCTTCCGCCTGATCATATTCGATACTTCCCTGCTCGTCAAGAAGAGCCTGAACATCCTCATTCAGAACGGTGGGTCGTGGACGCGTCCGGATGTGCTGGACACGACGCTGATAGACTCCATTCCTAGGAATCGTGTCCGCCCCGTTGTGGGATTCCAAAACCTCCACCTTCGCCGGCCTGCTCACGACGTCCGACTACATCAATGTCATCCAGTACTACTGGCACAATCCTGACGCGTTGGCGCAGATAGACCAGTTTCGACTCAACAACCTACGTGGTAGGTTGACATGCGAACGTACAGTCGCTGCGGGAGTCTAATACGGTGATAGACATTGAAAAGGCCCTTGGTGTCACGCCCATCGAGACTGTATCCATCCACCCGGAAAAACCGCTGTACGAGGCATGCCGTCGGATGCTGGAGTCCCGGGCCAGGAGAATTCCGCTGGTCGACATCGACGATGAAACGCAGCGGCACATGGTCGTCAGCGTCGTAACTCAGTACCGCATTCTGAAGTTCATCGCGGTCAACGTCAAGGAGACGGAAAACCTGAAGAAGACGCTGAAGGAAATCAACGTGGGGTCGTACGAAAACTTGGCAACAGCCTCCATGGATACGCCGGTCATGGATGTCATTCATATGCTGGTTCGGAAGAGCATCTCCAGCGTTCCGATTTTGGACAGAGACGGTGAGCAGGACGAGGATGCGTGCCTCGCGTGAGTTGAGACTAACCTGTCCAGGCGTCGTCATAAACGTGTTCGAGTCGGTCGACGTCATCACGCTCATCAAGGGCGGCGTGTACGACGATCTGAATCTCACGGTTGGTGAGGCGCTGCTCAAGCGCAACGATGTGAGTTTGATCTGTTGGTGCAGATTGTCATGGTCGCTGACAGGCTCAGGACTTTGCCGGAATCTACACGTGCTCTATGTACGATCGCCTAGACACCATCTTCGACACTATTCGCAAGTCTCGTGTCCACCGGCTGGTGGTTATTGATGAGAACAGCCACCTGAAGGGGGTACTGACTCTGAGCGACATACTGGAATATGTTCTTCTGGAGGGCGAAGGAGACGAGGCCCCGTCGTAAAATCCATGAGACGGTGACCGTCAACTCAAGTCCAGTGTTCCCTGCCTTAATAAGTACAGCGAGGCTCGCAGGTAGAGCGGGCAAAGTTTGTTTTCGGGATTACTGTTTTTTAAGAGGATATGAATTGGTGTAATACGACGGGCAAGGAGGTGGATGCATATAACTGGGTGGGATCTAGAGGCGTTTACTGAGCATGTACTTTGGAACGGTCTCCTACATTGTTTTTCTTCACAACGGAGTTACAAGGAATCGGTCCCTGCAACAAACCAAAGACGCTTGCCTGCCGGTGCTGTGGGCGCTGCAAAGCTGTTCGGTACGTCGTTATTCGCACTATTCTGATGCAACATGCCAACTTCGGACATGGGTGAGCGAGGCACTTTCGAAGGGAAAACAGCGCCTTCTGCCTGGATGCACCTCGTATTTGAGCCATCTCAGAGCCAACAGCGGGGCGCATGATCGACTACAAGACTGCAAATCCGTGCGCCACGAAGCAACATCCATCTTGTCCACTTAAGTCGGCAACGCGACCATTGACGACGTGCCGCGCACAGCGCCATCCGGCTGACAGTTGTCCTACTCAGGCAGGTGGTTTTCCCACGCCGCGAGGAACGGCCAACTGATGAGAGGCTTCTTCTGCTGGCGATTGGCCAAGGCCACCCGCCGTAGCATCCCTGCGCGAAGGAATGCCTTGTGTATGCCGTTTTGTCGCACCGAAGGATCAGAAGACGGGTCGCGAGTGCTGGACCTCTGCAACGTGGACGCCGACTCTTCGAGGATGGGGCGAGACTGCGAGTGCTGTCCGCTCGAGAACAGGAGGACTGCGTTCGAATTAAGTGGCAGGCGTGTAGCGCAGCTCTTCTGTTGTCACGACTGTACCACGCGACCGGGTAGACGAGGAAGAGGCCAGCTGTGAGTGGATGGATAATAAGAGGAAGGCTTCTGGAAGGCTGGAATCAAGAATTGGCTAAGCCTAGCTAAGACCGCGGTCAACGGCTCGCCAAAAGCTTTTGGCGCAGACAGGCAGTTGCACCGGCGCTACTCCAAGCCTTTGCGCAACTGCGTTCGAGACCGCACATGGCGAGTCAGGCCCATGGCCGCCCACGCCCATTCTCCGCCTCCGCCCTGCCGCAGCCCCCAGCTACCAGCGCCGGGGCCTCCGTAGCAGCAGTTTCCGTTGGCAGTTTCGTTCTGTCTGCCCCCGCCGCCAGCGCCCCGGCCTATCAAGATAGCTGCCCGGCAACCAGCCCGCGCAGAGACTGCAGTCGAGTTTCTGAGCGTCACCGTGTGGTGTGATGTGATGAGCGCGGGTGGTCTCGATAAGGGAAAACTCTGCTAGGTATGTACTTCTCTCCTTTGCGTTTCCTGGGCGCAAGCTTGACTGACCCATGCCGCGCTGACCAGCAATTACATGCAGCTCCCCGTCCAAGTTGCGGGGAAGCACGACCAGGTTCTTCCCCGAGCCGCTGGAGCGTCTCCAGCCTGCTCTCGATCTCACGCGCGATCCCAGCTTGGTGGGTACCTCCACGCCCGCGGCCTGCCTCCGTCACTGTATCTTCAACTTTCAGCCGCACCACACCACCAATCATGTGCTACACGGACCTCGCCTCGGCCGATGCTCACCTTTCCTCACGTCTACACGGGCGCGCCCGCGCCCAAAAGTGCCGAGAAGGGCCAGCCCCCGTATCGTGGAACACTAAAAGCTTAACGCAACCCTTGGACGCCTTTCATCGCGCCCACCGAGCCTACGCACGCCATGTCGTTGCAATTTGATATACGTAGTAGATACGCGGCGCTAACGGCGACAGAGTCAAGATAGCAGCTGCTTGTGGCGTATAATGCCTATCGTTCCTCCATTCACTCTTAGTGAAGGCGAGAAAATCGACAAGCGCTTGACGACTGACAAGAGTTCACGCCCAGGCCTGCCACGTTTGCCACTTCCATCAGAGTATTCCGGGGCTGGAAAAGACTCGTGGAAAGAATCGTGCTCTCTGGTCACCAACGGGGTCTCCGCTCCCGGGACTAACCGCCTATGGGAGGAGCGAGGTGCGAGAGGCGTAAGGCTAGGCCCAACTACGGCGCGGGGGCAAACACAAGGGCACCTGTCGTTCCAGATTCATTCTGTCGTGTCGTTTGCATGCGCGTCGCGATTGGGGCGCGTATGCTTTGCGGTACCTACCGGCCGGGAGGCCTGCGTCCGGGCGCAGCGGCTTGTCTTGCTTGCGTGATAACGTTCCGGCTGGATGGGATGGTCGTTTGCCCTGTGCTGCGCTCGCCGCCGTGCACATGGCGGCTGGGGTATAAGACCTCCGGTGTCACTGCAGCCAGTTTCATCTCATATCCCTTGTATTCCCAATCTTCACTTCGACCGTCCCACAGACACCAACCGGGGCGTCAAGCTATCTGGACAGGGCCCGCCCTTCTTCCCTCCCCGCTTCTCTGTCTTTCCCTCTCCAACGCTCCGGCTGAGAGATTGCGCAAGAGCAAGACCCTTCCCTTCCTACAATGGCCGAGAAGGACGTATACTCCGTCGACGTCGGCGACCACGAGCCGCCCGCGCACGAAGCCCGTGACATTAAAGATGTCGTCGACTCCAAGGGCATGGCGGTCGGCGAGGCCGCCGATGTCTACGGCGATGTTCAGACCGCTGAGGAGTACGGCTATGTGCACAGAGGGTCAGTAATCATGTGCTCTCTTCAGTCTCCATCTCAACCTTCACTTCAGCCTTCATCTCAGGCTTCGTTCAATTTCACCAGAGGATCACCCTGGCTAACAACCCTTCAGATTGAAGTCCCGTCACATCCAGTTCATCGCCCTTGGCGGTACCATCGGCACCGGTCTCTTCCTCGGTATTGGCAAGGCTTTCGCCACGTCTGGTCCTCTCTCTGTCCTCCTCGGCTACACGTTCACCGGTCTCGCTGTGTTTGGCATGATGCAATGTCTGGGCGAAATGACCACTTGGCTGCCCCTGCCTGGTGCTATTCCTCAATACTGCGCGCGCTACGTCGATCCGGCCATGGGGTTCGCGGTAGGCTGGAACAGCTGGTACCAGGCTGCCATCACACTGTGCGCTGAAATTTCAGCCGCTGCCGTGGTCGTCGGATATTGGAACGATGAGATTAATCAGGGTGCATGGATTACCATCATCATCGTGCTGGTCATCGCTCTCAACATCTTCGCCGTGGCCATCTACGGAGAGGCAGAATTCGTGTTTGCCTCGATCAAGATCATCACGATTGTCGGCCTCATCATCATGGCGCTTTGCCTGGATCTGGGTGGAGGCAACAAGCAGGGACGCCTTGGGTTCCGCTACTGGAAGGATCCCGGTGCGATGAAGGAGTACATCGGCACCGGCAACTCAGGCCGCTTCCTCGGTCTCTTCGCGACGCTCGTCAACGCCGCTTTCTCGTACGGCGGTGTGGAGATGGTCGCCGTCGCTGCGGGCGAGGCCGACGATCCCCGCCGCAACATCCCCAAGGCGGTGCGCCGTGTCTTCTGGCGTATCCTCTTCTTCTACGTCCTCGGCTCCCTCGCCATCGGCGTTCTCGTCCCCTCGACCGACGAGCACCTCCTGTCGGACGGGCCGGGCGCCGCGCGCTCCCCCTGGGTCATCGCCATCAACCGCGCCGGCGTGCCCGTCCTGCCGCACATCATCAACGCCGTCATCCTCACGTCGGCGTCGTCGTCGGCCAACGCCTTCCTCTTCACCGGCTCCCGCTACCTCTTCGGCATCGCGCAGAACCACCAGGCCCCCAAGTTCCTCCTCAAGTGCTCGCGCACCGGCGTCCCGTACTGGTGCGTCGCCATCACCGCGACCGTCTCGCTCCTCACCTACATGTCGCTGTCGTCGGGCGCCAACGAGGTCTTCAACTGGATGATGAACCTGACCACCATCGCCCAGCTCTTCACCTGGTGCTCCATCCTCGTCGCCTACATCCGCTTCCGCGCCGGCTGCGAGGCCCAGGGCGTCACGCCCGACCAGATGCCTTTCCGCTCCCGCGGCCAGCCCTACCTCGCGTACGTCACGCTCGCGTACTTCGCCATCATCATCCTCTTCAACGGCTTCGCCGTCTTCACCAAGGGCAACTGGAGCATCGACGACTTCATCACCGCGTACATTGGCATCCCCATCTACTTTGGCCTGTACATCTTCTGGAAGGTCTTCAAGCGCGAGCCGTTCGCCACGGCGGCCGAGATGGACATTTGGAGCGGCAAGGCGGCGCTGGATGCGCAGGTGTGGCCGGAGAGGATTCCGAAGAACTGGGTCGAGAAGGTTTGGTTCTGGATTGCGTAGAGAGAAGAGGAGGGGTTGCGTTTTGTTTTTGTGATATCCTGATGAGCTGGGCGAGGAAGAGATGGAGGTGCGAGATACGCAGTTATGTTGTGTAATGGCCATTTAATGAATCATCTTGATGATATATCCTCTACGCTTGACTGTTTGCGGCTTTGTTTTGTTGGTGTACTCGTGGCGAGATGGTTGCGTAGGTATATGGTGAAGGCAATGGACGACACGACAGGAAGCAGTCAGGAAGATTCGGATTCGGACTCCTCGAACGGGCGCGCACGATCTGGCATCCAGCAGGACCCGCAGCGCTTGTTCTTTTTTTTTTTTTCGATATCGACGCTTGTTAGCTCGTCGAATGGTTTCCACGCCGTTTAAGATCAGGAGTGGTTCTTGCAGATACTGTATCTCAATCGGTAAGCCCTTTCTCTGATCGAGTATTTTCGAGAGCGAATTATAATCGAACCAGACTCTCGCGAAGCATTGTGTCTCTTTTCTTTTCTTTTCTGCTATTTTTTATTCTTAGGCATCTCTCCCATGCGATCGAGTGGAAGTGTTCGGTGGTTGTGCCTCGGAAAAGCAGCAAACAAGATTTATCCGCCCCCATGAACCGGAAAAAGAGGCTCGCCGCACAACCCCTCCATCACCCCGCACCGGTTCCATTTCAACCGCCTTTTTGACGGTCGGATAAGGGGTCGCCTAGGTGGGAGCAATGAGGTGTTGTAGTATGCACTTTGCAAGGTGCCAGGGGCCGGACGTAATGTGGGGAAATGTTCAGGGTTCGTCCGCCGGCTATATATGTGTGGCGAAGGGATGCTTGAGAAAAAAAAAAGGAAATTGCTGGCGCTGGAAGCCTTTGTGGAGGCGGTTGAGTAGCCCGTTTTGGTGAGTACAGTCCTTTACGTCGCGGGAGCGTGGGTTGTCGGATCTGGATTCGTGATGGGAGACTGGGAACGTAGAGGTGCTTGAGAGGCACAGAGTTGCATACGAAGTCCGAAGCAGATGAGCTTCAAATGACTATAGTGATTTTGGCGTCGCGTCGTTGACTCATACAGGCTTGGAGAAATCTCATGACACTCGAGTGCATTACAGCCATGAGCAGCAAACGCAATTTCATTCGAGATGTGAACTTTTGGTTAAGATGGATAGTGAAAAAAGACCTTAGTTGGTGTCTCCAAGAAACGCCGGTTCCGCAGTGAGTAAGCACTGCAGTCAAGCCGCATTGACTCGAGACGTCCCATCTTGGTGTGAAAAAGTCGAAAGAGAGAAATGAAGAAGAAGAGAACAGAAGAACCTCTCCCACCCGCATGATCAACTCAGCCTAACCTGCTCAAAGTCGACCCCAACCTCATCCCCCCTCCCCCTCCCCCCTCCCCACCATCACCTCACACAACATCACCACCCCCACCGCCCCCATCCCCCAACCACCCCCCCAACCAAACCAGCCTCTCCCACCCCCCCTCAGGCCCCTCCCCCGCGTCCTCCCTCAACTCCCCCAGGAACTCCTCCACCTCTTCCTCCCGCCGCCCGTGCGCCGCGTACATGTCGACCACCCACCTCGCCAGCCGCGCCGCCACGCGCGTCAGCGGCGCGACCTGGTGCGTGTGCGCGGCCAGGCGCCGCTCGGCCCGGCGGCGGGCGCGGCGCTCGTGCGCGAGGCGCTCGTGGAGGGCGCGGATGTGGGCGTGGCGGCGGAAGGAGAGGGGAAGGGGTTGGGTGGGGGTGGTGGTGGTGGTGTTGTTTGGTGCTGGGGGGGTGGATGGGGATGGGGATGGGGATGGGGCGGTGTTCTCGTTGCTCTGTGAGGTGGAGGTGAGGCGTCGCTTTTTGACTGAGATGGTATCGGTGGCTTTGCTGTCTTTCGTCTCATTCTCATCTTCTTCGATGAAGGGGTTCGAGCGCTTGGAGGTGGAAGTGGGAGGGAGAGACTGGTGTGTTTTGAGTGGTGTCGTCTCGGAGCTCTTGTTCCCGCTTTCTCTGCTATCGTTTGTCTGATCTGAAGTGAGGTTGGGCGTCTGACTCTGTAAGAGGGCGGTTCTGATGTGTCCGGTTTTCACAGCGTCTAGAGCAGTCTTTGTCGTAGTATTTTCCGCCCGGCGCGGAAGATCGTGGGAAGGAGGAATGGTGTTGGCCCCCGGAGTGACAGCGCCGAATTCGATGGCGGGCCTGTTCTTCAGCGTTTTGACCATTCCTGGATCCAGTGTCGTGAGGTCGAGCACTTCGATGGTCTCTTCGTGCTTGTTCACCTCACCGAATGGTGCCGACGTATACATGTTGCTGTTTCTCACCTCCATCTCCAGCTCCGTAGCCGCTTGTGAGGAATTTGTTGGATGAGGGCAGCGAGGATGTTTAGCTCTGATAGAGATTGTGGCTTGCTGGCGCTTGTTGTTGTTTGCAGGTGACGAAATGGCCGAGCAAGCTTGTGTATAGCTCTTGGAGAATATGTCAGTGGGATGGAAGTAGAGAAGGGAAGGCAGCTTGGTATAGGCGCAATTGACCCTTCTGACACTTGTGTGAGCCCCTGTTTGGGAAGGGCTGCAGTCTTCGCTGCTTAGGTCAGATGGGGATCAAAGGGCACCATCTCACATTTCAGGGAAGGAGGGGAAACAAGTACCACTGCTGTTCGTGCCTTTATGCAAAGCCAGAATGTCAGTGCTCTTGGTGTTTCGAGGAAGACGCTTGATAGATGAACAGAGAAACGAGATCTACGTGCACAGAGATAAGCAGTCACAAGTGGAAGCCGTATGCAGGGTCCGTCCGAGCCGTGGTTGTGCTTCAGGATTTTGAAACACAAGCCTGTATATTTCCACCGTAGTACCCCAATTCTGTGCTCCTTCTTTACATTTTTTTTTCTCTCTGACTCTCGGTAAGTCATTCGGCAGATTTGCCTCATCTCAGATTGTCTCTCACTTGTGCGACATTCCAAGCTGTTACAGTGTCGGACCCGTGGTGTCCTTCTGTTGGACAGTTCTTCTCTTACATGAACCCCCAAGAAGGGGCGTAGAGAGCTGTCCCGGCCTGACGGAGCGAAAGTGGCTGAATCTCCTTCCAACTGCATTTCCTCATATCAACAACGTCACAGTCATCTTCCCGAGTTCTCCGCGGACAAATTTCCAGCCCCTAAGCATCACTGAAACCAATTCAAGCTATATGCTTGGGTCCCCGATTGATCTAGATCTGAAGAGTAATACTGGACTCTTGGAATAGAGATTGGAGAGGTCAACGACTGTATGTACAGCCATGGTTTTGCACGGAGCTCGGGATTATGCTTGGAAGACAGAGCTGAAACGGGCGACCAGAGGCCACCACGGCAATGCGAATCTCCAAGAAGATTATCAAGAAACTGGAGGATGAAGTACTTCACCCTAGAATTCGCAAACTTCGTTGCAGTCCGCGCAATGTCGGGATTACAACGCCTCCGCAAGCCCAACAAAAAAGTTTGCTTTGGGCTGGGCTCTGCTGGAAGCTGCCGGACACCCGAAGAGATCAATTACGCCGAAGCGTGGTTGAACCTCAGGGCGGCAAAGTGAAGTAACGATTGAGTCCAGGAATTTAGAACCGTCACTGAATGCATGCGGGTCGAAAGATTCGAAGGATGAACGATTTCCTTTCTGCATTGGCGATGATTGCGGATCGATGATGTTGGATAAAGGAGACGAACTTCACATGACAGCTGTAGAGTTGTTCAACTAGTTGCAGGCGTGATCAGACCAAGGGTTGTGACATCGAATGCGAAGGATACGTACGTGATCCCAAAGATGCATGCCCTAGAAGTCTTCCCGAACGGGCAACTGCCTTGTGACTGCCAAATGCGGATGGAGCGCGTGTCCGCGGAACTTTGATCACTGGGGAAGCATATCGATTATGACGCTTTCTCTTCTCCACTTCATCCTGCAAGTCCGCAGCCGTGCCACCGCCAACGACAACGGACTCCTCCGCTTCCACACGTTTAGTTTGAACGTTCACAGAAACTTGAGCATATCTCCTGCCAACATGCCCGGCGGCAAGAGCGTCAGCTTTGCGCATGCGCACATGGGCCCGGGAGGTCAGAGTTCCAGCGAGACGGCGAAGACGGGCACCTCGCCGCCAAAGCACAAGCCTACGGCGCGCAGTCTGGAGCAATTCCAGGACATCCTCGCGAAGACCAGTGAGGATTTCAAGAAGATGCGCGTGCGCAACGAGGAGGAGCTGGCCCGGGACGCTGTAACAAACGTGGGAAATCTGGACGCGCTCAAGAAGACGCTCCACGAAGGAATGAGGATGGGAGGCCAGAAGACTGGGCTCGCGCTGACGGAGATGCTGCTGGCCGAGTTCAAGGCGGCGGTGGATGGCGAGGTGGCTGCGTAAGTTCCCAGTGCCCGGAAGCTTCCAAGGTCACTAATACACTGGTAGACAGGAGGAACGTCACGAACGAGAGCGCCGCGATCGCCGGAAGTAACGCCCCGGCTACCCCAGACTGCTTTGTCTGCTGTGAGGAGAGTCATCGGCGAGCGGAGCTCGAGGGAATCAGCCTCGCTTTTAAGAGGCGCGAGAAATGAAAGGTTTCTTACCTGGCGCTTGTCATGACTTGGCTGAGAGTCATCCGCGAAATTATTGTTGTTGCACAACGTGTCTGGAAAATTGGACTTCGCTAACTTCCTGATCAGGCAGGAATTACCACCGGCGCGCGATAGTCGAGCCTCTCCTTTTCTCTGCCCCGCACAAGGCAGGGCCAAGCGCCGGGACGTGTGGATTTCAAACCGCGTGATTCTGGACTCGACGCGACACGCAGCTGGTGGCGACGAGGGAGCTATGGACAACAAAGCGCTTATGATAGCAATTTCTCGTCACGTTGGGCTGCGTCGAGCTGAGTTCCCAATTCGGCACCGGCGAGCGCTGGCCGACGGCGCGTCGGGATTCCCCATTCGGATGCGTCTCACTGCCCCGCTGCACCCCGCAATGAGTTGCAGCCGACTGCGTCTGGCCATGCCGCGCGGGGGCATGCTCGCAGCCTACACGGAAGACCGGACCAAGCCCAGCTCAACCTCAACTAAGGCTTGTGCCCCGAGTCGCGTGCAATGGCGACCTCGGATTTTCCCCTCTCTCCCTTCAACCCTTCTTAAAGCCCGCCACGCTGCCGCTGCTTCTCCTGTCGACTCTGTCCCTTCGTTTTTTCCATCCACCACTTGCCCTCTTCGTCCCACCACACCAATTGCTGGCTGTTATACCTCTTAGACTGCTCTCATACTCCTTTCGAGACCCAGTTGTCACACCTCGCGCGTTCGAGCTTTGGAAAAACCACATCGACCACAATGTCAGGTAGGTCACGATCACAAGCTTCCAAGCGCTGCTTTGCCACCTCCCACGGGAGCTCCTCCGCTGATCCCGCACCAACACTCCACCGTTCCACTATTTCCCCCCCATCGTCCCCCTTCTGTGCCGCAGCCACAGCCCCCAACAGACCCAATTCTTTTTTTTTGCTTCTCTTCCCCTCCCCCGATCCATTCGCCCACGCGCACTCCCCATCCACCCATCCGAACGGAGCTCCACACTCGTCCCCCCTCCCCTCCCCCCCAGCCCACCGGAGGACCACCAATCTCTCTCATCCAACAAGATCGTTGCTGACAAGAAAACTTGTTTTTCCGTTCCCCCCCACTTGCAGCCAAGCACTTCATCCACGACCCCACGCACCTCGTCAACCGCGCGCTGCAAGGCGTGACGCACACGAACCCGGCGGTCGCGCTCGATGCGGAGAACAAGGTCATCTACGCGCGGCCCTCGCCCGCCACGGCGCGCAGCGTCTCGCTCGTGTCGGGCGGCGGCGCGGGCCACGAGCCCAGCTTCGCCGCCTTCGTCGGCCGCGGCATGCTGGCCGCCGCCGTGTCCGGCACCATCTTCGCCAGCCCGAACGCGGAGCAGATCCGGCGGTGCATATTGAAGCGCGTGGAGAGGCAGAAGGGTGTGTTGGTCATTGTGATGAACTATACGGTGAGCTTTTTTGGTCCCTCCTTCCTTCCTTGTTTTTTCTTTTTGCCATTGGGGGTGGGCGGGGAGGTGGTCGAGTGAGAAAGAATGCGTGGGGGGAGGTTGGGGTTTTCCGGAGACAGTGTGGCTGACGTGTGGGTGGGATGATCTTCGAAACTTCTAGGGCGACGTCCTGAACTTCGGTATGGCGGTCGAGAAGGCGCGCGCCAGCGGAACCGAGGCGGAAATGGTCGTCGTCTCCGACGATGTGGGCGTGGGCCGCCAACGCGGTGGCAAAGTGGGAAGGAGAGGCATCGCCGGCACGGTGCTGGTGCAGAAGATTGCCGGAGCGCTTGCCGCTAAGGGGTATGATCACCCGAGCTTTCCCGTTGTTGGGGGGAGTGGGGAGATGTGTGCGGTGGGCTGACGGGCTTCTCGAAACCTTGCAGTGCCTCTTTGAAGGAAGTAACGGACGTGGCGCGCCTCGTCTGCAAGAACCTGGCCTCCATCGGCGCATCGCTCGCCCACGTGCACGTCCCCGGCCGCGTGGTGACCGGACCGACCGATGAAGACCTCAAGGACTCGGAGGTGGAGATTGGCATGGGTATACACAATGAGGCTGGCTCGGAGCGCAAAGAGGTCGACTTCCCTTCGCTGGTCAAGAACATGCTCTCGAAGCTGTTGGATCCGACTGATACCGACCGGAGCTTCATCAGCATCTCGGAGAAGGATGAGACCGTGCTGCTCGTGAACAACCTGGGCGGTGTCAGCCCGCTCGAGATGGGCGGCATCACGGCCGAGGTTGTCGAGCAGTTGGAGGCGAATTGGAAGATCAAGCCGGTCAGGATTCTTTCGGGCACTTTCATGACCAGCCTCAACGGCCTCGGCTTCAGCGTCTCGCTCCTGAAAGTCACAGACACTGGTCTGGGCAGCGGAAACTCGATACTTGAGCTTTTGGATGATCCTGCGGAAGCACCTGGCTGGTCTGCTGCAATTCCCAAAAAGACTTGGGAGGAGAAGCCAACAGCGGTGCTCACCGAGGAAGGTAACGGTGAGGACGACTCCAAGCCGAGCAACCTGAAGTGTGAGTATTCATGTTCTATGTGAAAATCGTACGGCGTGTGCTGACAGAAAACGCAGTGGATTCGGCTGTGGCCAAGAAGGCGCTTGAGGCTGGCTTGAAACAAGTCATTGCCGCCGAACCGGATATCACGAACTACGACACTATCGTCGGCGACGGTGATTGCGGCATCGGACTCCGTCGCGGCGCTGAAGGTGGGCATTTCCCTCTTGCTGTGAAGACAAATGGCTGACCCACGTGTTCAGCCCTGCTCAACATGCTGGAGACGACGAAGACACCTGACGACGCAGGACTCTTGCTGCATGACATCACGCACGTGGTTGAGAAAGAAATGGACGGCACTTCCGGCGCAATCTACGCCATCTTCCTCAATGCGTTGTCCCACGGCCTCCGCATTCAGGCCGACGGATCGTCAAAGCCGGTGACGCCCGAGATATGGGCGAAAGCACTGCAGACGTCTCTCGATGCGCTTGCGAAATACACTCCTGCCCGCCCTGGCGACCGGACTTTGGTCGACGCATTGTATCCGTTTGTAGAGACTCTCGGAAAGACTGGAGATGTGAAAGCAGCGGCGAAGGCGGCAGAGGATGGTGCGAACGGAACGAAGGGTATGCACGCCTCTCTGGGGAGGTCAGTCTACATCGGAGGAAGCGGATACCAGCAAGTCCCGGATCCTGGCGCCCATGGCTTGAGTCAATTCTTGACAGGCTTGAGCGACAGCCTATAGGTGAGTCATACAGGTTGACTCGGGCGGCTTTTCTTTCTCCGTAGCATGTGCTTCCAGCAATGAATAATCATAATTTGGGTTATCCGATCGACTCTATGAACGCCGTGCCCGTGCGCTTTTTCCCAGACGCATGCCAAATAGAACCTTGAACGATCACGCGCACCTCTGTGTTTTCAGGTGGCGGTTTTTTAGCTGAGCAGGACAAGGATGACGGAGTCGCCACGGAGGAACCTGTACAATAGACCGTCAGCAGGCGTCCCACGGCATGTTTCGGGACCATCACTTCTCACATCTTGCTGATGAACCTGTCCTTGTTGACGGCCCTGCCGGGCTTGCCGTTGGCGAGCTTGGGCTTCTCAGTCCACATCTCCTTGACGTTCTCCAGCACCATGTTGCAGTGCCTGTCGAAGGCCTTGACGCGGGCGAGGAGCTTCCGGTTGTTACGGCACGAGATCAGGACCTGCGTGTGCGAGCGCACAGCCGTCTGGAGGAGGGAAAGCGGGCCGGAGGTGAATTCGTGTTCCTCGAGCTGGGCGATCTCGTACTCGCTGTGTTGGTCATGTCAGCTGGGCGCAATGTCGCCGGGGGCGCGCGCGCGACGGGATGCGATTGTGAGGACGTACGTCAACTGGTCGCGGGGCTTGCCCATAAGCTCCCTGGGAATTTTGTCAGCAACAGTGTGGTTGACGGGGTTTAGCGGAGCTCGTACGCAATCTTTGTGGAGTCAGCCATGGTTGCGGTGTTGACGGCGGGACAGTTGGCAGTGGTTAAGTGGAAGCTCCAGACAGCCTTTGCGATGGACGACGTTCCGCTGCGGCCGTGTCTTGGCGTCGGGTCTGGTCACGTGGACCTCGCGTCAGCCAATCACGTCGGCCTGGCGCGACTACCATGATGCACGCAGCTCTGCGGGGAGCTCGTCTGATCACGACGGTCAATTGCTGTTTGAATCAATGACTCTATTTGCGCATGAGCTCTAGGCAGCAGCCATGGGCGTGCTTGCGCTCCACAGCAACGCTCTGCAGTGCGGATGGCTGGAATTTGAGAACTTTCGTAGAGTTTGCGTCAAAGTCTGCGTTCATCGTGCGCGTCGCGCCGTCGCGTTCAGACGCGAACCAACCTCTTAAAGCGTCTCACCCCGCGTCCTTACCCTTCCTCCACAACATCATCCGCACCCACTTTCCACGCTCATTTGCAACTCCACCGTGGATGCCTTCACCCTCGACGCATCATGTCGTCTCCCTTTACCTACGGGGAGCCGTCGCCCCTCAACATGCCCGTTGTTGCCGGCGACGACGATGACGATCCGACCTCCGACATTCCTAGGCGTTTGATGAGAGGTAAGGCTCAGACGTGGGCAGTTCGACTGCAGACGCTGACTTCTCTGTTCGCTCCACAGTCAAGGTCCTTTACACATTTGATGACTCGCACAAAACGTGTTGTCTTGCGCGTCTGCCGAACGCGTTGAACATCCCGACCGTCCCTATTGATGAGGAGACCCAAGTAGGCGTCATTGAGCTCCGGACGTGTATCGAAGCCATTGTGGCAGCGAGGTATGTGTCAATCACATCCTCGGCCATAGACGCGTCCGTTAACCGCGTACAGCCCTGAACTTGTAGCAAAGCTTGGCCACGACTACACCGTGTACGCGTACGACTACTCCGAATATGAAACCCCGCTCGTCGGTCAAGGAATGCTCTCATGGATCCTCGCCACCACCTCGCCTACCCCCGATGCCCCGGCAAGTTGCTCCAAGACGATGGTTACCGGCAAGGTCCGCGAAAATATCCTGGGCTTGTTCAGTGGGGGGATTAAGGAGACTCTGGAAGTCAAGCTGAAACTCGTTCCGGTCCCGACTTTCCTACAGAGCGAATATCTGGAGACGATGGAGAGATACCGTAATGTCAGTAGGGCTCTGCCCGAGGGTTTTGACCACAGCCAATGGGCCGCCCTTAAGTCGAATCCGGAGTTCAACGCTTTCGCCGCACAGACTGCAGCCGGCCCGTCTCAACCTTCGGGAACCATGCAACGCGTCAACAGCGGTGGTGTGGAGACCCTTCATCAACTGCTAACCCAGAAGCCCGTTGAGGAAAGACGTGGTAGCCAGCCGTACGCGCATACCTTGTCTCAAAGCCGCCAAGGCAGCAGAGCCGGTAGCCGAGCAGGCAGCAGGGCAGGCAGCCCCACTCCTAGCATGCGCTCTAGCGCTGCGCTACAGCAAATCACCCACGACCACTCTAGACCATGTTCAAGAGGATCGTATACCAGCGAGCGGCCAGCTTCGCGTCATGAATCTCAGTTCGACCATCGCAATAACCAGCAGCATGGCCAGGAGTCTGAGCAGGAAGACGGCCCGCCAAGGAAAAGAGCATGTGTTGTACAGGCTGATTGGCGCGGCAAGTCACAATTTGGACCTAGGGCCGATACCCTTCGAATAACAGCAAGCACCGCTGCTTCGGTCCGTGTACACAAGCCCACCCCTATCAACCCTGCTGCTGGAGGATGCACCAACTCGCTGGAGCCACCACCTCGCGCCCCCACCCCGATACCTCACGAGCTGCCTCAGCCGCGGAACCGTCCTTCCGTTGGAGGGACTAGCTCTCTGCGCCGGGCATCATCCTCGCAGAGCATGAGGCGTTACACATCGCCATACGCTCCGCGTGGGCCTTACTCGGAATCTGCCATTGGGTCTGAAGACGAGCAGATGGCTGATGCTGAGGACTCGCCTGCAGACTTTCCGTCTTCGCCTCCAGTGTTTGGTCCGAATCATGATTCGCCCGCGGCTTCAAGCCCTGGTCTGCCAACCCTTCCCTACCCGGATGATTCTGGATTCATGAGCGGTACTGGAATGGACCGAGAGTTGGAGATTGGCGCGGCTGACAAACCCGAGCAAGTCCGTCCAACAACCGAATCTCATACCGAGCCTCCTTCTGCAGTCATTTGCTCGGACCAGTGGCAATTCGAAACTCCTGGCCCTCCCGAACTCTTGCCGACCAATGTAGGTCGAAGGCAGCCGGATTATCGATCACAACGTGCGGCTGCATCCGCAAAGCGCATGACACCAGGGCCTGGACCCAAACCTGAGACACGTGGGAGGAAGCGAAACGATTCAAAACCCCCGCCTCCGCCACCGCCACCACCGAGGAATCTCGCACCGGCCCCTCCTGTGCAAGCACGCCCGACTTTCGTACCCCAGCAACAACCTTCGGCTCCGGCGTGTCCTCCAGTGCCGCAACATTCTCAACCTCAGCCACAGCATCAGCCCTCACCTTCTCTTCAACAACAGCCAGACATCTCACCGCAATCCACTTCCCAAAATCAACCTGCCAAACCGCCACAGCTTTCATCCCAGTCACCGTCTCAGCTGCAGCATGAACCTCAGATCCAACCCCAGTCTGAGAATGATGCCCAACCACAAGGTCTTGCCAGCCAGCCTCAGTCGGCCCCCTGGCGGCCGCAATCCCAACAAATACCGCAATCACAGTCTCAGGTTTCGCAAGCTGCACCTCAACCACTGACTGCATCTGCCATAAGCCCTTCCGCCACTGTAACAAGCGCATCTCCCGAGGCGCCTACGTCAGCTACTCAGCGCAGTAGCAAGCTCCAAAAGAAGGGTTCAGCGGCGCCTAAGGCAAAGAAGACGCTTCCCCGTTCCAACACCTGGTCCGCCGGCACTCCTAAGGAGCCTCAAGCTGACGAGCCAGCTGTGACACACACAGAGTCACGGGCGGGATCACCAGCACCTCGCAGTGGGTCTGGAGCTAAGAGAAAGAAGGCCATTGAGGATAGACTGATGCAAAGCCTGGCTGAAGGTACGATGCCCGACTTCTGTGAGTGCTGTGGAGCGATCCAGACGCCTACATGGCGAAAGGCATTCTACAAGGAGATCGAAGGTAGCCCTGCTGGCATCGCGACGTCGTTGGATGAGCCAGGAGCCATTGTCGGCTTCGAGGTAATCCAGCCCAATCCGGATGAGGAGAACGCCGTTGAAAAATACAAGGTGTTCAAGAAGAGCTTGACCAACTTGGACAAGAACAACGGGGACTATACGAAGATGCAACTCTGCAATCCTTGCGGTCTACACTTCTTCAAGTATGGCAACATGCGGCCCGCGGACAGGTGGGAGGTTAAGCCTAGGACGGTCGGAGCGAAAAAGCGCGGTGGCGGAAAGCCGGCCAGGAGAAAGAAGGGCGATGACAAACAGACCTCGCCGACATTCGACGCCATGCAAGAGCCACCGTCGCAGTTGATGAGCGATTACCCCGATTACGTCATGGAGTTCATGGATCCCGAGCAAGAATCCCAACAAGCCGAGCAGCAGCAGGACCAGCAGGACCAGCAGGACCAGCAAGGCCAGCAAGACCAGCAGGACCAGCAAGACCAGCAGAACCAGCAGGAGCAGCAGGATCAGCAGGAGCAGCAGGACCATTTGCAACAGAATGGGCTGCAACACAGCGTGCCTGAACTAACTGACGCCAGGCCTACGGAGCTGCAGTGCAACCATGATCGAGCGGAGGATGCCTTGAGGGATCAGCGAAGGAAGGCCGAGTCTCGACAAGACGAACAGCCCGCCAAATGGCAACGCATTAATAATGCCCAAGACCGAAGAGCTGTCAGCCTGGAGCCCCTAAGAGAAGACTCGAATGACTCGCAGGAGCCCGGATCGGGCGCGGCTGGTGCAAGCCGCGCAGCATTGGCTCGTGCCATTCACTCTAGCCCTCCCCGGCTGATCGGGTTGCAAGAAAGCGAACTCGACCTTGAGGATGAAGTGTCTCCTAGTAGACCGACTAGGCGCATTCTCTTCCCGTCCCCCCGTAGGTTTGGGCAGTTCAAGTCTTTGGAGGACGGGCAGAAGGAGAAGGAGATCGCGCAGCCTGTGTTCGGTCAGCTCCCCCGTCCCCCTCGTAGCGAACCTGCTACCGATGTCCAGGACAAAGAAAACGTACCCCCGGCTGAGATGGATGACGGCTTTGCTCACTTGTTCGACGACCCGGATGGGAACCTGCTGCAGAATTGCTTCAAGTCTCCAAGGAGCGCAAAGAGTACTCGCACTTTATCCGAGTTCATAAAGACACCGACGTCCAAATCGAAGCGGGCTGCCCTTGGTGCCAGGGATGGTTTTGTGTCTCCAGCAAACGCTGCAGTCAACGCGGCTGTAGATGACATTCTGCTTCTTTCTACACCCTCGAAAGCTTCGAGGACGCCGAAAGCTGCTATGTCTCCATTCTCTCAGGCCTTCCTCAATGACATCCTCAACACTACCAAGACGCCGCGGTCTGCGGCGCGTAACATGGCCAGCTCAAGCTGGGACCTTAGCTCACCCAGCAATGCCGGGCTCATGGACTTCAGCAACTTCGATTTTGGCATGCCGCCAAGCACAGACATCCCATTCTCGAGTTCGCCGTCCAATTTCGGTGCAAGCTTCAATTTCGCGCTATATGAGGACCCGCTCACAGCAACGTCGAATTTCTGGGGTGGCACATCGGTTTTCAACGATAGTAGCGACCCTGTGCGGGGTGGCCAAGCCGACGGCGAGGGACCGAAGGGAGACGAGGTTCCCGAGAACGGCGAGATCGAATTTGACCACATCATCGACGAGGTCACAGCTAGTGCTAGCAAGAGCGGCGGGAAAAAAGACGGCGCCGAGGGCGCGGACACGACTGTTACGACTACGGAAAACGACATGGAAAATACGGGCGCAGCGACACCGGCGGGTTCTGAGGCAGCGGTGGATCTTATTCCCGTCGGGCTGTGATTTGTTTTGATACACGGAAGTCACGGCTGTTTGCGAGAGCATGGTTTTTCTTTTTTGATGGAATTCTGGCATAGCGAATTGGGTGGAGAGTCGCATTCTTTTCGGCGTACTACTCCGTTGTCGTTTACAGAGCGAGGCGCATGGGAACACACTATTCGGGCTGGCCGGATCTTGGATTATGATTCAGTGGGAAAGTACAGGGAATGGGCGACAGGGCTTGTCGGAAACTAGGCCAGACAGGCAACAATAGACAAATGTATTTCTCCACATATCTGGTGTGAGGCTGACAATGTGACAGGTGCGCGGTGGGTGGTGGGTTTTGTCAGTCCAGGGACAGGTGCAGACAGGCGCACGCATCCCTGCTGGCCTGGGCTGCGGCGGCGGCCGGCGCACGAGCGGTCACGGGCACACCCGGCGCGCATCCGCGTCGAGGGATCGGCGTCATCGTCGTTTACCCAGCCAGCTCCTTCCAGAACCTCACATTAACGACACGCTCACCCACGTCGACGCGGCCCCTTCCCCCCGCGCCGGCCGTGATTCTGAGCCCACCGGTGAAGACTAGTGCCGATCCCGGCGGACACCAGAAGCGCAGGCGCGCCTGAGCCTCGCACATGCCATCGACAAGGCGCACCGCCCCGCGACCCGCATGACTACCATCGCCCCGACGTCCTCCAACGTCCCCGCGTCGCTCGCTTCCACGCCCGTCTCCCTGCCCGACACCGCCGCAGCCGCTGAGCGCGCCTGGTTATACGTCGACAGTGCTGATCCGCATCCCTCGCTGCCACGCAGCCAACGCCGGGATCCTGGGACGTAAGGTCAGCTTCCAAGCCCGCGTTCCGCCGCATACCAGCCATAGGGCACTGGAACGCTGTCAGTGCGCAAGGTCTTGCAGCTGAACCTCACGGGTTCCAGGTCTTCGCCCGCCGATCTGTCGGCCCCAGACTCCTGCTCCGGGAGATATCCGATTGCTCGCGCGCTCCGCGTGCCACCATCCTGCTACTTGATCCATCACCCTTGACCAAACCGACGCCCGAAGAGTCCGCACTAACCCTCCACCCGCCTTGCAAATATGGGCAAGAGAACTTCTTCGGCGGTGGACACCCGCTCAGCCAAAAGGGCAAGAAACGCTGCTTCCTACAAGACGTCCGATAGCACCACCTATTGGCACACCAAGGCAAGTGTCGCCAGGTCCAACACTCGGACCAGGCTCGCCGTTGCGCGCAGATCGAGTCGACGCGACAGCGACGCTTCTTCCTCAGACACCCCGCGCCGCAATGTCGCTACCCGCTCAATGACTTTGAGGAAGCGCACTCAATTCCCGTTCCTTCAGCTGCCCGCCGAACTGCGCAACCAAATCTACGAATACATGCTGGACTTCAAGGGCGTGGCGGGACTGCTTACGAACCACTATAAGGCCCACGTCCACGACAACACTTCCATCGAATGGCCCAACCGTGACGTCCATCCTTTGCTATTAGTGAACAAGCAAATGACCCGGGAGGCCGTGTACATCCTTCACCGGAAGACGCTTTGGCTGCCGCATTCGACGACGCCCAACAGCTTGATCACAGACGTCGCCTCTGTGAGGCTGCTCGAGAACCTGCGCAAAGTTGATATCACGCGCGACGATAGCTTCGGCGAGATGCACACGTGGTGTGACTTTCTGGAGTTCTTCAGGCTGATCAGGTCCGCCGTCAGCGTCTGGACCAAGTCGCACAAGCTGCAGGAGCTCACCATCGCAATGCAGGGTGCACAGGTCGTGACACACTTGGCCACGTGCCCCGCCCAAGGCCACTGCTACTTTCTGGATGAGATTGAGAAAATGATGTCCAGCCTTGAAGAGCTCCGTGGTATCAAGACCGTTAATTTCGGTGGTTTTCTGGAGGAGTATGCGACGGAAGCCAAGAAGTGGATGCAAACGCCGCCCGTTTATCTCCTCAAGACCCTCGACGACAACCTGCGCAAGCGAATCTTCCATTATCTCGTGGACATCAATGATGCAAACGATGCTCTCGTCAAGGCAAGCAACACGGCCGTCAAATCGTGGAACCCACCTGCGACGATGGATGCGATAGCGCCGTCCATGACTTCCCCCAGCCTCCTCCGCGTGAACCGGAAAATTAACGAGGAGGTTCTTGAAGCCATGTACGACAAGACTTTCACTATCAGTGCGCCCCCACCGCACCACGCGCACACTTGCACAAGCGTGACGAAGTTCATCGGCCCCAATGTCCTTCAGAACGTCCGCCATCTAGCCCTTGATATCGACTCCCGAGGCTTGGCCTCCGTTGCCGCCGATTGGCGCATCTTGATCAAGGAGCTTGCCGAGAAGCTGAAGGCCACCAGTGAGCGGAAGCTCCAGACGCTGCATATCAACATCAAGGATGCCGCCTGGATCAAGGAGCAGATCAAGGCGGAAAGAAAGGAATCATCGACCGGAAGAGTATCAAAGGAGAAAGAGACCGATTTCTATGGTCTCAAAGCACTAAGCAAGTTGACCACGAAGAGACTGAGCAGGACCTGGCTGCACCAAATATCGTTTGGAGACGGTGTGAGCGACGATGTGAAGAGGACGTTAGAGGACAGGCTGTGTGGTGGCAAGTCGAACAGGCACCCTCATGAGACGAACTCAGCCTACGGACCCGACGTCATGGACGTGGATGATTGAAAGGTGGTCCGGAATGCTGGATGATGAGCTCGTCCGAATCTTCTCTTCCCTTCTTGGAACAATATTTCCCTTTCTCTCATTGTCACGATCAATCATGACCCTCCTCTTTCATTTGCTTACGATCAAGGATGGTTTCTTATGTTGGGCATCTGCAAGCAGTCACGCCTGCACCCCGTTTTTGCATTCAACTAGCCTACAGGCTAATGACGGGGAAGCGGCAAAAGTGGACACTTTCAATGATGGGCGGCTACGGATGATGATTCCGCTAGCACAATCAGGCTGGCTTGATATGTCATTGGCGGAGGAAATGAGTGTTTCACCAACATCTGGATCAATGATTGGGCGGGGATCCTAGGTGCCACTTCCTCCTTGCTTTTTTTTCCTTGCTGGTTTCTTTTCTTTTTATTCACGGAGTAATCTCAACCAGGGTACTTGGTCCGGGGTATTTCGGAGATCATGCACGGGTACATCGGAAGAAAACCCTTCTTTTGTTCTTTTTTTTTCCTCCGCCTTCATGTTTGTTCGGACACCTTCCCCTTTCGTGGAGTCTTGGGACTGCCACGTTTCGGGCAAAATGCTTTCTTTTCGGATACATGGATTACGGGGCAGATGACGCGTGGACATGGCGCATGTATACCGAGCAAAGCAGGGACAAGGACTGGGGGACGAAATTCCGAGTTTCCCTTTTCTTTCTTTTATGTCACCATGTTGATACTCCTCCCCCCTCCTCATGTCTAGATGTGTGTGGTTGATCGTGTCTCGTGTGGCAAGATATCCTGGTTGCACCCTTGGTCGGATGGCATGACACAAGTGGGGTTTTACTAAAGATGCTGCTGTGAGGTATGCAAATAAGAGCCTTGGAGATTTGTTTCTTCCTTTCGTCATCCTTTATGACTTTTGCTTGACGTGGTTTCGTTATGTGACTTATTTTGTGTAAGACTATGGGAAGCGGGTCATGGGTGGGAGTGGGAGTCGCGGCAGAGAGAACCATCAAGCGCTAGAAGGCTGGCGGAGGGGATGTAGAAGGGAACGCTTAAGGAGGGAGTAGGAGGGAGGTGGTAATGTAGTTCGTCTTATCTCATCGTTTCCTTTAGTTCTGTCTTATTGCTCTCTCCTCTCCCGCGTATGATGCTCGCGTGTGAGGGCAGAGAGTGATGGCAACAGCGGAATATTCCAAGGGCGCAAAGCATTTCCCGCGAAATACAGTCTGCTTCTCGGGATTTGGAGCATACTGACAACTTACTGGTCTTCCCTTGGTATTTCTGTTCACCTTACCCTATGGGATTAGGTTATCCTTCCTGAACACGTCTTCACATTCTATGGGTATGAGATATTTATTTGAATGTAACACTTGAATTCAATTGATCTATTAGTGATACTGTAACTCCACTCAGCCTGTGTGAGCAGACGGCTCCGGCAATAGATGATATGGCTTGCTGCAACTGTTGGGGGATCTTAATAGCATGCTTGAAGCGCGAGCATGTAGTGCAACCTTAAGCCACTGGTGCTTGAGGCCTCGAACGCCCAAAAAAAAAAAAAGTAATCCAAGCAGCACTTGCATGAAAGGACTAATGAAGCCATCGCAATGCAAATATATGACGCATGATGTGGCTTTGGCGCATTATCGCCAAGTACACACGCTCGACCGACGTTCTTCTTTTAGATGTTGAAGAAGTCATCGTCGAATGTTGTGTCGCCACCGCCCGTGCTACCTGTTCCGCCCATGTCGAAGTCCGTATAGTTGAACAGATCATCGAACGTGGAGTCGCCCTGACCGAACATGTCGTTCTGATCCTGGTTCTCCTGCTGTTGCTGGCTTTGCTGAGCCTCATCCTTCTTCTTCTGCTCCTCTTCTTCCTTTTTCTTTTCTTCCTCCTCCTTCTCTCTTTTCTGGTTTTCCTCGGCTTTCTTCAGCAGTGCCTCTCGGCCGGCCTTCACATTGTCGGCAGCGCTGGCCTTCGTCGGGTCGGAAGCCTTGTCGAGCGCGCTGAAATCGATTTCGAGCGCGGCGTCCTTAGTGCCGGGTTCGTCGGCGGCGTTGGTGTCGCTGTTCGCATAGCTCTCAAGACCGGGGAGCAGTGCGAAATCGAATTCATCATTGCCGTCCATGTTCGTGTCGCTTCCGTTATCCTCGTTGTCGTTGCTGGCTGCGAAGTCCTCAAACATGCTATCGAAGTCGGCATTGTTGTTGACGCCTGCCGTGGTCGGGGTGCGTCCGAACAGGTCGTCGGTTGTACCAGTCGCAGGCGCAGGCTGCGCCGGGTCACCCGCGGACGCTTGAGTCTGGATGGCCGGAGGGCGCGGGGGGAGATGCGTATGCGCGGCGATGGAGGGCGCGTCTGCCGTCGGCTTCGAGCTATGGATCACGGCCGCCGGCGCATCGGCCATGTCGATGTCCTTCTGCTGCCGCTGCTCTTGCTTGACCGGGACGACCGGGGCGGGTGCCGCGGCTTTCTTTTCCGCAGCTATCTTCTGTGCAGCTTCGGCGGCGCGTTTCTGCTCCTCCTCCTCTCGCTTCTCCCGCTCTTCTCGGCGCGCGGCGTAGTCTCGGCGTAGAACTGCCTTTGCACGGAACTACAGAAACATTGTTATTTGAAGTTGGGTGCCTGCTAAGTGGCGTGACAGCTCACAAGCTCGTTTTCAATCTCATCCAGACACTGGTGAAAGCGCTCGTAACTCGCAGAGATGGAGATGTTGTTGTGTCTCGGGCCGTGGAGGCCTTGGGTCGACGGGAAGGTGAGCTTCGGGCGCTGTGGATTCTTCATGCTATGGCCGACCTCGAGCAGCTAGACGCGATGAGCATTCGTTCAGCGATCGTGTGTGGGACTGCGCATCACTCACTGCGCCGTTGAGCATGGCCTGCATGGACTCAAGTAGGACGCCCGCATTGTGAGGGTGTCGCGGCGGCTTCTCGTCCTGCCTCTGTGTCGTCATCGTCACCGGCGCCTGCACCGGCTTGGTGTCGGGGGGCGTGGGGTGGGCAGCGGCGGCCATTGTAGGTGTGTGCGGAGTGTGGGAGCTCGGAGGTGGTGGGTGGCCTGGTGTGGGTGAGGCGTGTGGGCGTGTCGCACCGACAGCTGTGGCCAGTGGGCTGTGGCCAGTGGGCTGTGGCGGGGCGGTCGGGCGTGAGGTGCGGTGGCAGAGCAGGCCACAGGCGTCAGTCGACGCACGGCGGGAGAGCGACAGGCTCGCTCGTCGGGTCGGAGCGAAGCAGCAGCACGGGCAGCGGCTAGGGCAGCAGGGCGGCACGGCGGCACGGCAGGGTGTGGTTTGGCGTGCGCGGGCTTTCTCGAAACAGCGCAGCCCTCAGGCATGCGGCTCACAGCGCACGTGGAATGGCCCTAGACTAGGCAGTGCCCTGCTCGACGACCGAAGCTGTCGACTCCACCGGCGATCCCGCAGGCCGCGCGCCGTTGGACAGCGGCTTGATTCAGACGCTATTCTTAACTTAGCGCGCGAGCGGGCCGCCGGTGGAATTTTGAGCCCTAGGCTGGGTAGCGCGCTTTCCCTCGCGGCGGCAGCGGGAGAGAGCCCAAGAAGTTCTTACAACTCGCAACTCACCCCACAGCTCGACTGCGCGCCGACAGCTCTGCACGTCGCTTGCTTGCCCAAGCGCCCCCCCCCCTCGTCTCTTTTCCTCTCCCCTCCATCCTCCTCTTCCTCACCCCTCCGCCCCCGCGTTCCTTGTGTCTGCCCAACGCGAAACCGCCGTCTGTCCCTGCGGCCTCGACGCCTCCCGTCGCCGTCCCAGCGAGTCGGTTTCCGTACCTGTACCCGCACAACCTCGCTCGCCTCGCCCACGCACGCCCTCGCTCGCTGCGAGCGCACCCCATCTCTGCATCGCCTGTCATCTGCATTCGCTCAACTCCATCTGTCTTTGGCCTGCGTCCGCGGTCCCGCCCACCGGTAGCTCTCGCTCGTCCGCTCCGCCCAACAGCAGCTCTGTCGCGTGTCAGTACCACCAACCCCCACGCGCCAGAATAGCTTCCCCATCGCGCCTGAAGCTCGCTTGCTCATCCATACCACCAGACTGCCATCTCGCATTTCCGCAATGTCTGACACGGCTGCGTCTGGCGCCTCGCTGCCCCCGCCTCCGGCCCCCGCTGGCGCGCCGGGCTACGACAATGGCGCCCAGGGCAACCCTCAGGCTTCGCAGGGCCACATGCCGCCGCCGCCGCTTGCCCCCGTCATAATCCCTCCCAACACGAACCCCATCCCGACGGCCATTAGCTCGCCAATGTCCGGCAGTGTCATGTCGCCCACCTCCGCTGGTGGCTACGTTCGTCGCGCCGCCCCGGAGCCGAACAAGCGCGCCCTGTATGTCGGTGGCTTGGACCCTCGCATCACCGAGGATGTCTTGCGCCAGATCTTTGAGACTGCTGGCCACGTCGTGAGCGTTAAGATCATCCCGGACAAGAATGTACGTAGCCCTCTTTTTTCCTCGGCTTTGTCAGCACGTGGTCGCGTCGCATACGGGGACCTGCGCCATCCAAGCTTTACAGCTTCCTATCGATACCTGGTGTCGACGGCGCAGTACGAGCTTGCTGCCCCGCATCACCGTGCTGGTCCCCACGTGCGCTGCGACAATGCGATGTTGTTCAACGGTCGTCCATCACCCCTCTCCCTCCCTCTGCCCTCTTGCGTGCGCGAACGTCTCCCTTACAAGGCTAATGTATGTAGAAATTTCAGTCCAAGGGTCTCAACTATGGTTTTGTTGAGTACGATGACCCTGGCACAGCTGAGCGTGCCATGCAGACCCTGAACGGCCGTCGCGTCCACCAAAGCGTAAGTCGCCTAGCCCTCCCGCCTGGTACCACGATTAAGTGACACCTGCAGCAGGAGATCCGCGTCAATTGGGCCTATCAATCAAACAACCAACCTAAGGAAGACACGTCTAACCACTTCCACATCTTCGTCGGCGACCTATCGAACGAGGTCAACGATGAGGTGCTCCTTCAGGCTTTCTCCGCTTTTGGAGCCGTTTCTGAGGCGCGCGTCATGTGGGACATGAAGACCGGTCGCTCCCGTGGTTACGGTTTCGTCGCCTTCCGTGACCGCTCCGATGCTGAGAAGGCTCTGAGCTCGATGGATGGCGAGTGGCTTGGCTCGCGTGCCATACGCTGCAACTGGGCGAACCAGAAGGGCCAGCCGTCGATTTCCCAGCAGCAGGCCATGGCCTCCATGGGAATGACGCCCACTACCCCCTACGGTCACCACCATTTCCCTACGCACGGCGTCCAGTCCTATGAAATGGTTGTCAACCAGACGCCGCAGTGGCAGACGACGTGCTACGTCGGCAACCTCACTCCTTACACGACTCAGTCCGACCTCGTTCCCCTCTTCCAGAACTTCGGCTACGTCGTCGAGACTCGCTTCCAGAGCGACCGCGGCTTTGCTTTCATCAAGATGGACACTCACGAGAACGCTGCCATGGCCATCTGCCAGCTCAATGGCTACAATGTCAACGGACGTCCGTTGAAGTGCAGCGTATGTTGACGACCGACCAGGATTTTTATTTTCTGTTACTAACGGGATTGCAGTGGGGCAAGGACCGTCCCCCGACTGGCCAGTTCGATGGCTATTCCCCGGCTGGCGGCCCCAACTCCGCCTTCCCGCCCACCCCTAACGCCTACTTCCCGCAGTATGGTGGACCTGGCGGCCCCATGGGCTCTCCTCAGGGTACGTGTTACCCCAGGATCGAATGCATGCCTTGTTGGAGCTGACAAAAGTCTAGGCCCTAGCCCCGGTGCTCAGCCTTTCGCCCAGAGCCAGGGTGGCTTTGGCGGCCCCGCCATGGCCCAGCCTTACCAGCAGATGCCGGGCAGCGCTGGAGGGTTCGGTCGTGGCAACGCCGGCGCCCAGCAGTGGGCTCAACCGACCCCTGGCGGCTTCGGTCAGGTCAACAACGGCTTCCAGGGATACTCGGGCTAAGTGTCCCCGCCCACGATTCCTTGCGCAACGGCCGAGTTTTCGCGTACGTCTTCGCTTCGACTTTCGCCTCTTCACACGAGAACCTTCGCGCTGTGCTTGGATAACTACCGTATGGTCGCTTTCACATTTGTAAAAATGATGGGATGCAAGCAACTTCTTCCTCCCCCTTGCGCCGGTTCATACTGTAGTTGTCCTTTTATTCTAGGAGAAGTGGGGTTTTGACGGGTTCACAACAAATTGCTGCGTTCACACAAGGGTCAAAGGATTGCGAGTGGATTTCTTCTGCACTCCAACAAGCATGTCGACACGGTTTCTTCATCAAATGCCGGGGTTCTTTAGTTCTGTCGTCTTTGCAACTGCTCTGCAATGATTCTTCTATTTGGAAAAAAAATTGCTGGCTTCTTTTTCGTTGGTGGTGGTTCAAATCAGACAAATCATGATGTAACGTGCTTCTCTCTGCTCTTTACAGAAAATCACTTTCTTATCTACTACACATACCCCTTGGTCGCAGGTACTGGTCGCTTTCTCATTAGCTTCATCGGCGAGCGTTTCTTTTCTGAGTTTATCGGAACGATCTGCAATGGGCTCCGCTTTCAGTATCTCGTACACTCTGATATGGTTTTCCTCACAAAACGCTGTTTTCCTAAGCTGAGATTTCATTTGCACACGTTACTGCTCGATTAGCTGCATCCTCGGTGTTCGCATGGGAGACCGTTTCGGAGCTGCACAAAGGGCAAAGCTTCATGGGCGGATGGCACCACCTTTGCGTGTTGCGCACGAATCACGAGGTATGATATGACGACCTACACGGCCGGAAAAGACTGCTTGTTGCATTTTTTATTTTTTTACATGCCACGTTTTCCAAAAGACCTTCTTCACGGGGCGTAGTGTACGCCGCTGCTCTGCTGTTGCACGGGAGATTTCATCCATAGAGGTGGTCTTTTTCTCCACTACTCTCTACTCTTCAAAAAGTTGGAAAAGGTGACGGGGTTGTTCTACGTAGGGCGAGACCGAAAAGGGAAAAGCTGGGTTGGATTGGGACTGAATGATTGATGAGATGTTCTAATGCTACATACACATGGGCTCCCGCTGGCGAGCTTTGATGTTCTCACCCTTCTTAGCATGCTATCCCAAAGTAATGCCACTGTCCTTTCTGGGACAGTCAATCGCCGCATCCGGATGCCACTGTAGTTTTGGATTTAGCCGTTTCGCCAGGGTCTAATCGCGCCATCGGAGTCGGCCCTGATGCGGTCACGTGCTCCGTTCGCGACGTCGTCTGCCGTGGAGGCTAATTGCTTGGCCCGTGCCCGCGCAGCGCGACGCGTCTTTCACCATCGCGGCACCTCGATACGCGAGGCAACACCCCAATGCCTACTGCGGCCACCACGCTTACTCTGTTTGCAACTCTTTGCGTCGTTCTCACCATATACTGTATGGTGTCTGGTCTCTCCGCCCTTATTGCTCGTCTGCGTCTGCGTCCTCTCGCTCGCACTCCAGCTGCCGCCACCCCGCGGCCGACGCCGCTGCCGCGCTCATCTTCGCGCTATCCTGTTACCTATCCTGCCTACCACTCCACTTTAACGCGCCCATACACCGCCCCCGCCATGTTCAAAAAGGCTGTCGACACCCACCACGCATCCTCCAGACCCGCAAAGCCAGCCCTTTCCCAACAATTGTTCCCGGGCGCTACACCAGCACAACAGACCGCAAAGCTCTCCCAAGCTACAATCAAGCCGAACGACTCGCGACCACTCGCAGCAACAACTGGCAATACGAGCAGAACAAGTACAACCACCCACACAAGCGGAGGCTCCCGTCCGGTACATAACGGTGCAGGAGGTTTAAAACCAACTTCGGGCGGCCTGATAAAGGCATTGGATCCACAGAGGGCATTCGGCGACGAGGATTTGCCCAAGACTGGATCACAGCATAACCCGTACATCATCGACGATACCACAACGGCGAAGAAGTCGACCGCGCCCGCCATGGACGCTGTGTACTTTGACGAAAATGACTTCGATGACGATATCGACCTCGATGTCGAAGACCCTTCCACGAAGAGCACCGTCACCTACCCCGCTCCGGTGTCCAACAATGCAGCACCACCGAAGCCTGCATCGCTCCCCAAACCTCAACCGCTGCCTCATGCAAACGACTACAAGCCGCGCTTTCAAGGGCTGGATCGATTTCAACGTTCTGACTCTGGCTATCATTCGCAGAGCATTCAAGTCAAGAACCACGTAGAAGCTGAGCCCGGCCCAGACGCGACTCAAGAGATTCCGTGGTCCTCATCTCCGATAGAGCACACTCAAGCGCAGCCTCAGGCCACGGCGCTGAAAAGGTTCCTCTACTCCGGCCCGGAAGATCCGGAGGATAGACCCAAACCGGCGAAGAAGCGAACGCTGCCTTGGCCCGAGGAAGAAAAGAAACATGGGGAGTCAATTGCAACGAATGAGAGCTCGAGACCCCAGCCAAAGGACAGCAAGTTACTGTGGAATACTTCATTGACCGCGATGAAGCAGATGCAGAAGAACCACCGTGAGCGCGACGTGAACAAAAAGATGACAAAGACGTCTTCAACCGGCGCGAGCGGGTTGATTGCGGATTCCATACGCACCAAGAAAGGCAAACTATCAAGGGTCTTCCTTAGCGAGGAGCAGACGCACGTCTTGAACCTTGTCGTGAACGAGGGCAAGAGCGTCTTCTTTACCGGTTCGGCGGGTACCGGTAAATCCGTACTTCTCCGGGAAATCATCGCGGCGCTCAAGAAAAAGTACATTCGGGAGTCGGAGCGCGTCGCTGTCACAGCATCCACTGGTCTGGCCGCCTGCAACATCGGCGGTGTGACGCTGCACAGCTTTTCTGGAATTGGTCTCGGCAACGCGCCGGTGGAGGAGCTCGTCAAGAAAATTAAGCGCAATCAAAAACACAAGCATCGGTGGATGAGGGTCAAGGTCTTGATCGTTGATGAGGTGTCCATGATTGACGGTGATCTCTTCGACAAGCTGGAGGCCATTGCGCGGAACTTGCGTAACAATGGTCGTCCTTTTGGAGGTATCCAGGTGATCATCACTGGAGACTTTTTCCAACTTCCGCCCGTTCCGGAGAAGAACAAGGTGGCCAAGTTTGCGTTTGATGCCAACACGTGGAACACGGTGATTGAGCACACGATCGGGTTGACACACATTTTCCGTCAGAAGGACCCCGTGTTTGCTGGAATGCTGAACGAGATGAGAGAAGGCCGTCTTTCCCCAAGTTCCATCGAGGCATTCAAACAGCTGAACAGGCCCCTTGAGTCGGAAAGCGGCTTGGAGGCAACCGAGCTCTTCCCACTTCGCCAACAGGTTGAGGAAGCAAACCGGAGACGCATGACGGTTCTCCATGGAGACGTGCGAACGTACGAAGCCAAGGACGGCGGAACGATTCAGGACAAGACGCAGCGCGACAGGATACTGGCCAACTGCATGGCCCCCGAGGCGATCCAGCTAAAGAAGGGCGCTCAAGTGATGCTCATCAAGAACATGGACGAGACGCTCGTGAACGGCTCGCTCGGCCGCGTCATCGGCTTCATGAACGAAGCCATGTTCGACAGCTACCAGCAGAACGAAGAGCAATACCTCGGCATCTCGTCGGCGAACAACCCGGACGACCCGGAAGAGCGCATGCTGCTCGAACAGCGCCGGCGCGCGAAGATCACCGACATGCTCAATGCCAGCTCGCAGCTGTACCCGGTCGTGCGCTTCACGCTGCCCGACGGCACGATGCGCGACCTGCTCTGCCAGCGCGAGTCGTGGAAGAACGAACTGCCCAACGGCGAGGTGGTGGCCAGCCGGTCGCAGGTGCCGCTCATCCTGGCGTGGGCGCTGAGCATCCACAAGGCGCAGGGGCAGACGCTGGAGCGCGTCAAGGTCGATCTGGGCCGCGTGTTCGAGAAGGGCCAGGCGTATGTGGCGCTGTCGCGCGCGACCAACATGGCCGGCCTGCAGGTGATGAATTTCGATCCCAAGAAGGTGAATGCGCATGAGCGGGTGCGCTCGTTCTACACCAGCTTGAGCAATGTCCAGGCCATGGCGGAGACGAAGAAGAAGAGCAAGAAGCGGGGTGTGACGGGTGGAGAGTATGAGAGGAGTGTCGTGGAGGATGATTGGGCGGATGACGGAGGAGAGTACGCGTATGGATCGTGAGCGGGTGTGGGTGGGTGTAACAAAAAGGGGTTTCACAAAACAAAGGGAGTCTTTTTTCTTCTTGTTTTTCTTGAAGTTGCTGGATTTCACTTAGATTGGGGGAGGGTTTGTTTCTTCTTCCCACGACCGATGCTGGTGGTTGCATTGATAGGTGTTGCTCATATTCCTCTCTCCCCTTGATGATCTTACTTAGGGAGGCTGAACAGGCTTAGTGAGTTCGGCGTAGCTATTAGGGGTTCTGCTATGAGTTCATTCTGACGGAGATAAGGAGTATCAATTGGTGGCTATACTCAATGTAGAAGGATTGTTTAATATGCGTTGTCAGATCGTGTTGTTCGAGACTTGGTGGGTGGTGATTGGGCACGGCGTTGGCGACAAGGAAAAGCTGGGGGCGTTCACGATCTCGAGGGATCGTTGTGGTATTCTTTAATCTCTGCAACCTTCTTAACCTCAAAAAGTGAGTCGATGGCTTCCCGATATTATCATTACATAGCCTTGTGTTCTCCCTGCCCATCAACGGCGTTCTGCACACCTCGAGCCACCATGTTCTTCCTCCAAGGTTTCTTGCTTCTTGCTTTTCTGGCTTCGGCGGGCTCTGCTGCTCCAAACAGCTATCGTGCAGAGGTTCTCCGCCGCACCGCCGCGGGTACTACAGCATCCTCTACAACCACAACTACCGCCAGCACGACTTCCACATCTAATGTTGAGGTTACTGGTACGACCGGGACTGTTGTTGCCGATGCCTCAACGCTCCCGGCATCATACGATTCTGCCCCTGCAACCGTAAGCACGGAAACCTCCGATACAAGCACTGGCTACAACTCTACCACTATGGCTTATGGCACTGCGGCGACGACGACACTGTCCTCTTGGATCAACATCTGGCCCGACCCGCGCTACGCCATGGACCCGGACAAAGCCTTTACCGCCTTCACTCTGTTCGCTAATAACGGAACTAACAGCACGTCAATCATTGCCGACCATGACGTTTGCGCGAACCTGACCGCTGCAAATTTTGGAAAATGGGACAACCTGGCCGATGCGTACTTCTTCCACGAGTTGGAAGCAGACAAGGCGATGTGCTTCTTGTACACGTAAGTGGTTTCCACCCTTGGTTTTGAGTCTATCACCTGTCTTTTATTGCCTCAGGGAAACTTTTGGTTCTTTTTTTTTTTTCGCTTCCCTGCATGCTGATGCCAAAGGTACTAGGCAACTGGACTGCGTTGACGAGATGATAAGCTTGCATGGTGCTACCGGTCCGGTTGCCCTGGGGGAGACCATGGCATACAATGTCTCAAGTTTCAAATGTACGTGGCAGGGTGGAATGAGGAAGCAGTATATCGGGTCGGACTGAGAGTGCTTCGTGTGTGATAATTTGGGGTGAGATAAGGGTCCCTGGGCTGCATGGGTATGTTTGATATCTTGCAAGGTGTCGAAATGCCGTGTCCGCTTTGTTGAATTGTTGGCAGTTGCAGAGGGGAATGCGCCTCATGTGGAAGTTCGGGGCCATGTTTGGGTTTGCTTATGCTTGCGGGGTCTTGTCGTTCACAACTTCTGGCCATGAACCAGTTTTTGAGGCGATATGATGATTCAGGTCTCGGGTGTTGGGGATTATCAGCGGACGTGTATTTGTGGTAGCGAAGAAATTTCTTCTCGAATTTGTGGTGAGGACAGTATATTGATTGCGAACCATGGTAAGCGTACCGTACCACGTATCCACTACTTGGTAGAATTTTTTTTAAAAAAACGTGTTTCTCATGTAGCCAGCGCCATGGTACCCATCTCGCCGCGCCAGCAGATAGATCTTGAACAATGCCTTTGTGCTGTCCCGCCACCGCTCTATATATACCATCGTCTCCCACCGCCTTTGATCTCGTCAGCACCAGGCACTTCCTCGCAAACGGACCAAAATGCAGCTCCTCCACGTAATCTCGCTTGGCATCCTCCCTCTTGCCGCCTTCTCCGGCCTTGTTCGCACACCTTCGGCTGGGGTAGCTTGGATTAACAGCAACGGCACTTCGACCCATCCGGTTGCCACGCAGGCGCCGTATGCCAACCGTACGACCTCGCACACGGCTTTTGGCAGTTTTACACCGGCACTGCGTCCAGCGCGGAACAGCACAGTCACCGTCACAGTCACCGTGAGGGCCACGGGAAGTGCAGTGCCGGATAATGGACGGAGTGAGATGCCGCCGAAGGCGTAAATCTTGCTCCGGATGGATGGGGCGCACAGAAGTTGATGGCGTCGTTGTTCTACACTGGGGTAAGTTCTGTGTTTCTTCATGGCTGCTTGTTTTCAAGTGCTTTTATTGACTATCCATATGTAGCTTGTATACGTCCAGCTCGCATACTCGACGTACACCGTTCTACATGATCTCTGTACCGTACTTCATTCGCGGCTCTTTCGTTGCTTTTTTTCGCTTGTTGCAAAAGAATATCCAGTTGTTAGTTCTCGGATACTAGAGGATAGTAGTGAGAGGTTTTCTCAGCAAGAACTATGTTGCGGAACATGCACCGTTGGCTCCCAGCTTTGGCGGGCTTGGCTTAGCGTTTCTGACATGCGAGTATTCACAAATATCTTGCTGGATCGTAGCTCAGCATGCAGATAGCCGATACAAATGTGATATGCTGTGGGCTGCGGTTGGTCTTCCGGGTGCAAGTAGCCAATGGGATGCTGTGAGACACTAAAGACAAGGCGGTTATTGACTAATCACAGCGTTGTCTCACGGTTACGTTGGACTGGCCGTTGGCTAACGGTTTGATGCCCCGTCGCACGCGCTCTCCCTCGGCCTTGTTCTGTCAGTTGTTCAGAGAGCGCAAACGTGACTTCCCGCAATGCTGAAACATAAAAAGGCAGCTGCGATGCGCGCCCATGGAGTATAAAAGGTCACACCTACTCGCCGATTGCAGGTGAACCATTCAGCCTCTCTCTCAACAAACTTTACAGGCACTCGAATTTCACAATCGTAGTCCTGGCCGCAAACATGAGGCTCAACACGGCTTCGATGGCCGCCTTCATCCTCACCTTCGTCTTTGCATTTCTCCTCCACGGCGTCGCCGCATACCCCGATCTCACTGCACTGACTTCACCTCAATGCCCCACTTCGCCACCGGACCCGCGAGAATGTGACAGGGAAGGCCTCGGAGATACCGGTCGGGGTTCTCACAAATGGGTCGGCAATGGCTTCACTCTTCAGTACAAGGAGGATCTCTATCAGGACTGCTACGCCATGCACAACTTCAGAGGCGAGGCAGGCAAGTGCTACAACGTTGAGGGAACATGGCTCACGTGCCGGCCAGCGCTGTGGTACAGCTTCGACGGCTCCGCAGACTGCACCGTGTGGGAGTAAGTCAATGTCGATTGCGGCTCGAGCGATGAGTGAGCTAACCAGGAACCGTGACGAAGGGCGCGTGACTGCGACAGCAATGGAGGCTCTTCTACGAAGCTGGTGAATACTCAACAGCGTAACCAGGGCTTCGGCGCGGACGGAAAGCAGTCGATGAGGGTCTTGAGCCACAAGTGTGTCGCGAACTGAAAAGGCGGCAGCCATCACTAGGTTTCTTCTACATTGATCCTCAATCCCATTGTTTGTTTCACGTCCGCGGCACCTCCGTATTGACAGCCCCCCGCTCTGTATACTTCAAATCTTGCTGCACCCACTCCCACTCCCTCAATTCCACTTCTCCTGAACTCTTGTCCTCCACGACCGCATACACCGACCCGACCTCGGTCGCTGCCACCGACGAGTAGCTCGCCACCCCTTTGAACGGATTGTTTGCGTTCGTCGCGTCGATGCTCTCCCATATCCCTTCGCCGTCTATCTTGTTCATCTGTAGATATGAGATGCCGCCCGCGCTCTCATCGGGCATAGTGTACAGGACTTGCAGCCCCCCGACGTTGGGAATGTCTTTGTTGTAGCCCCAGCTGAAGCCGGCGATGTTGGTGTTATCCGGGAGACGGGGTTGGTTTGAGCCGTCGAAGTGACCTGTGGAACTGAAGTCAATGGTTTGTTCCCGCCTCCCCATACTCTTATTCGAACCCACTCGAGGATGGGTACAAACAAAAAAAAAAAGAAACTTACGCATAAATGCAAGTCTGTTACGTCTATAATGGTACTGCCACAGGATTTCCGAGTCGACAAAGAACAGCGAGACCCAAGGCGCCTTGGCGGTGCGATTGTAGTCGTAGATGTAGTGCGGGACGAGCGTGAGGCTCGAGTTCGCCGGCGGGTTCCGGATCGTGATGTTGGCGTTCATGGCGAGCGCATCGTCGACCCTGTCTTTGGGGTTGCCCGACGCGTCGACTACCTCGTAGAACCCGTCCGAGCCCTGGAACCACGCGTCCGAGTAGTCGGCGTAGGACGGATGCTGGCAGCTGTACGATGCAAGGTGCGAGTCGGCTGGGATGTTTATGGTGGTGTCTAGAGGTCCGGGGGTCCAGTTGAAGTCGGCTGGGTTCGAGGTTTGAAGCTGGCGCAGGCGCGAGGACGCGTCAAGGAAGTAGAGGGTGAGGTTGGGGGTCTGGTTGACGTTGAATTAGTCGTCCAGGCGTGGAGCGGTCATAGAGTCCGGCAGACGTACGTTTGAGGAACATGCGTAGAAGCTGGCTGATATCGGGGTTGGGGTTTTGAAAATATCTGAGCGAGAAGCGTTGCTGCCCTTGATGTTTACTGGCGACACGGTCCATGACTTTCTGGATGAGTTCCAGGCAGATTGATAGATACCGTCCCCGGCTGTTTGGAAAAAGACAATGCGATGGTCGACAGAGTCTTCGGTGAAGTTTACCGCTGCGAGGTTGGTGTTTGGGAGGAAGGCGGTTGCGGGCAGGGAAGAGTCTTTCTTGGTCAATGATGTGCCCACTCCGCCTCCGACGGCAGCACCTATGACAAGAAGAAGTACCAAGGCGGATAATATCCACAACGTCCGTTTGCGTGTCCCACGTGTCGTTGATGGCGGATTTTCAGTTCCAGCTTCTGGGTGGGTCGCTTCCGGTAAGTTTTCTGGATTGGCTCCGACCTGCGGTAATACATTCGCTCCATATTCGGCTGCGTCACTTGGAGATTTGAGCAGTTTTTCGCGATGGTTCGCCACTTGGTCGACTTCCAGAGTGCTGTATGGAGAAGAGCCAGGAACTGTGTCCGTGGTGGCCATTCTTTCAGCTTCATCCATGGCCTGGCTCGGGAGTAGGGCGAGGGAGTTGAGCCATCCTTATATAGTGTGTTCGGGGAGATCGATCTTACTCAGGTATCACAAGAGGCGGCATAGATTACTGCACTAAAGCATCAGCCACACTGATTGAGCTGCTGCGAAATGACATTGGCGGCACTGAAAAAAGGATCCTGAGGGTTTTCGGTTATTTTGCACATTGCGCAGTTCACCAATAGACCGACGAGGCCCTCTAATTCTGGAGGAGAGTCGATGACCGGGCTGATGAATATAGCGGCTGTAGGAGCCTAGAAGGACACAAAGCGGGGCTAGGCAGACGTATCTGTGGGACGCGGGCGTATAGCTGGTCACACCGTAGTATTGCTAGACCAAGACATGAAGGGGCTGTGGAGCGAGGCTGTCAGCATTTTTTCATCAGTGGTGGCGACTTAAAAAGCAAGGGGTTCTGCCCACAACCGGGCAGACGGCGACAACTTGTGAACCAGACATGATTGGCTTGTGTGGTGAGACTGTCCATCCACTAACCTACATCGGGAGAATGTCTTCTTAGCTATGCGTCTGCTGCTGCTGTCGTAACAGTAGAGCTGCTGCGGGAAGTCAGCACGAGGCATCCCTCGCTCCTTCCCAAAGCTACCGCGCCTTCCCAACTTGGTGACCCGCCCTGTTCGTGCCGGCATTTGCCCGGCTCGAGATATTCAGACTCCGTCCGTTTCCTCTCTTCTTTCTCTCCTCAACCTCTCCGCCTTTCGTTGCCGTCCGGCTTCATCTTACCTCAGTGTCCACTCTCAATGGCTACCATGAATCTCCTCACTCTCCTCGTCGTCCTTGCGGGCCTGCTTCCGACGCTGGTCCAGGGGTTCTGGAAGATGCCCTGCTACGGCACCATTGTCCGTGAGCGCATCGACCCGGTCATGGATCCCGGCCTCGTCTCAGATCACCTTCACCGCGTCGTCGGCGGTTCCGGCATTAACTTCACTATGAACGAAGCCTTGACTCGCCGCGCTGGTTGTTCGTCGTGCATCGTTGTACAAGACAAGTCCAACTACCTGGTCCCCCAGCTGTACTCGTATGAGTCGACCCTCCTTGGACCTGTCTACACTCTCGTCGAGGACGGTAGTGTCAACATCACTTACACGTGAGTCGGCAAGCAATGTCTGAGCAGTGTTGCTACTGAATACCTCCAGTCAAATCCGCAATGACGGCGAGATCATCCACCCTTTCCCCGAGAGCCTGACCATGACTGCCGGCAACCCTTACAGGCGCAGCTTCTTGGATGATGCCATGGCAAACGCCATCTCGTTCCGCTGTGATGGTGGAAATGTCGAGTTTCCCGGCCTCCCGGAAAGTTGCACTATCATCGTCGCCGCCATCCGCTTTCCCAATTGCTGGAACGGCCGCGATGCCACTTCGGAGAACTCCACCCACATGTCCTACGATGAGGCTGGCATTTGCCCTTCGACTCATCCTGTCCGCGTCATGACCTTGCGCTACGACTTCGAGTTCGACGCGTCCAAAATACACCGTACCGCCTCATCCAATAAGCTCATTTTCTCCATGGGAGACGACACCGGCTACGGCTTCCACGGTGTCTTTATCAACGGCTGGAATACGACAACGCTTTCAACCGCTATCAACACCTGTGTGGACACGGATACCGGTGATATTGCGACAACCTGCGACGTGCTGACCCAGTACGACGCCGATCAGTGTATCGACTGCAAAGTGCCTCCTCGTGTGGATGAACCAATCGACGGGGTTGGATATCTTCCTGGTAGTCATGACTGGTCAAACGAGAACTGCACCGGGCGCTCTATTGGTGACTATCAAATCGGCTATGAGAACCTCGTTCCCGGCGGCTGGCAATACGAAGGCTGTTCAAGCACCGCCGATCCGTTTGGCATCAACCAAGGGCTTCACTTTCGCGAGAGACCCGATCTCACCCCTAGTTTGTGCCGCGACTTGTGCCAAAATCACAACGTTCTTGGCTGGTTTGCTCTCCACGATGACGAGTGCACTTGCTCCAAGCTCGATCCCAAGCCTGCGAACCTCCCAGCCGTCGGCTTCCTCGGCAACTGCGACACTCCGTGCCCGGGCAACCACAGTTTTACCTGTGGTGGTTTGAACAGCACTTCACTCTACAAGCACTGCGACGGTACTGGCGATGTATGCCACAACTACGAGTTCACGCAGTGGCCCACTGACTACAAGAGACTTCCGAAGCGCTTCGTCTCCAAGACCGATGAGTACGAGACTATTGCCGTTGGTGGTGAGAAAAGAACCGTCGTCGACGTCGACGAGGACCCGGCCAGCAACAGCCAATCCTCCGACGTGCTCAAACCCGTCGTCAGCGGCGCCCGCCTTGAAGGCTCCCATGAACAGTCGGTTTTCATCGGCTACAAAGTCTGCGCGCGCCACTCCGGACATTTGAAGCACACGGCCGCCGACGGCGGCATCACCTGCAGCGTCATCGAGGGCTCCCGCGCCGAGAGCGTGGCCGCCGCCTTCATCGACTGGGCCATCGCCGAGTACGCACTCGACGCGCATGCCGCCTATGCCTCGCCTGAGGACGTGCTTGACGCGCGCATCGCGCAGCTACGCATGGCCGAATTGCACCGGCTGCGCCCGCGTGTCATGGGCATGGATGCTGTGCTCGCCGTCCTGCTCGTCTCGAGCTTCTGCCTACTCGGCATCACCCTCATCGCCAAGAACCACGAGCTGTGTGGTGCCCACCGCCGCGCCAGCCAAGTGCACAATGACATCGAGCTCGCCACTCGCCTGCTTGACATGGACCCGGCCGTCTTCGAAATGCTGTTCGCCAAGTACGCCGCTTTGAAGGCTAGGCGGGACGAGCTGGAGTTGCAGCGCAACAGGATCGTGGAGCCGGATCGTGAGAAAGACTTGAATGCTTCGTTCTCCTCTTGATGAACGACGTCTTATGGTCCTTTGCCCTTTTCTACTGACTTTTGCTGAGATTGATCACTGGGTCGGTCTCAACTACAGTCAAGTTCAGCATTTGCGTGTTGAACACAATGTAGAAGTAGTTATCTTGGCTCACCTGAGCTGAACTGGAGGGGTTTCTTCTCGGCCTGTCTTCCAGAGCCGATATGGTTAGTCATTCAACGGACCATTTTTGAGTGATTCCCTTCTTACTTTATTGCTTTCCCCTTTCGTGACAATGCAATCGTCTGCCTTTGATTGGTCGCGGCATTCACTGCGGTTTTTCCTCCTCTTCTCTCAACTCCCGACAATGAATCACTCGAGTCTAGCCGGCCGGTAGTTAGGAACGTTGGAGAAACAGCACCGGCTGCTGCGTACGACATCTATCATAGGATCTTGCCCGACCCGCCGTAAAGTCGAGTAAAAGCTGCCGCCGCCGCCCATCGGCTCGTGCAAGAAAGAAAAAGAAAGAATAGAAAATAAAAGAAACCCACGAGTAAGAATGCACGCACGCATCCTCACTAACGACGAGGAACCTCGGTTGAAAAGACGACGGATAAGAAGTACATATTTCTTCTTTCCAAGGCGACTGTCCGTTCGGCAAAACTTACCCGTAAATGTATGTACATACATACATGTACATAATACATGCAGGTCTTCGCACCACCACCACCACCCACGACGCTCATCCCGTGAGTTATGTTTTCTTTTTCTTTCGAGCGCCACTCCGGCTGCGATAGGCACAATAGACGAAGGGCGGGGGGTGGGTCATCTGATGAGTCGCCGCGTACGATCAGAGACGATGGTGGTGGCCCCCAATGGTATGTAAGCGGGGCCAGGGCTGCTGCTGCCTCGGCACCAGGAGAAGTAGTAGTACATAGATACGGTACAAGCATCAAGGAAACTTGTGAAAACAGATGATAGAGGTGTCGAGACGGAATGATGATCACTTTGGATAGATTTCGACCGTCAGCAGTGTTTGTTCCCTTTTCCCCTCCCAAGAACCGTGATGAATGCTCTGAAAATTGTGTGAAATGATCAAGCTGATGATGTACACGACGTGATGCCCCCGGGGAAAAAAGAACTCACAGGAAACACACCGAGGCGTTCACGCAATATTGATGGTGACAAAGAGACACATGTTGTAAGGAGATGATTTTGCGCCCGTTATCTACTTGCTTACACCGCCCAACCAAAAAAAGAACATCCGATTGGTTCCAAAGAAAAGTTATCAACATACAACATGGTGCTCAGAAAAGTGCCGCCCGGAAGCTCCCATGTATTACGTTTCGCAGAGGGTCCGGTTTCGCGTTCGCGCGAGAGAGCCTGGCTTTCCACGTGCGATCGTTCCGACAGTCGTTCGTTTCGGCAGCCAAAACCAGCGGTCTCGAGCCGTTGCCATTTTCGCGTTCATCAAGTGCGCTTGCTTAGACCCCCATCATCCGTACAGTGTGATTGGCTGTGCTGCCGGATTTGTGTTCACCAAGCGGGGGGAAGCAATCTAGGAGTCGTAGGAGCAGACGACACCCTGGTCGGCGCGGGAGTTCATGAGCAGGGCGACGATGAGACCGTACAGACCTACGCACATCACGTCAGCATAACAGTCCAGCAGGAGCGGGTATCGGAGGCTGCACGTACCCAGAACTTCGGCGAAAATGAGAATAAGAATCATGCCGACGAACAGCCTGGGCTGCTGGGCGGTACCACGGACACCAGCATCACCAACGATACCGATGGCGAAGCCGGCGGCAAGACCGGCAAGACCGACGGACAGACCAGCACCGAGCTGGATGAAGTTGGTGAAGAGGGCGCTCTTCTGCTGCAGTCCGTTGGAGATCAGGACGGAAACGACCAGACCGTAGATACCAATGATACCAGCCATAATGACGGGGATAATGTCTGTGCGCGCGTGTCAGCTGCCCAAGCTCTCTCTTTGTCGAATCGAGGAGCCCCGGCATCCAGAGCTGGCGAGATGCGGGGGTTGCGGCGGATGTGGAGGGAGCCATACTCTTGACGATCAGGTCGGGCCTGAGAACACCCATGGCGGAGATACCAACACCGGCCTTAGCGGTACCGTAGGCGGCACCGAAGCAGGTGAAGACGATGGCTGACGTGCAGCCCATCGCACCGAAGAAGGGCTATTCATCTCAGGTCAGTGCCGAGTCCTCTGAAGCCGTGTGGGCGTGATGAAGAGGGTGGTGTGCAGTGGGCGGCCGCGCGGGCGGTGTGGTGTCCGCATGACGACGCAGACGTTGGGGAGCACTCACAGCATAGACGGGGCTGCAAGAGGCGGGCGTTAGCTAGGAATCGGCTCAAGGAGAGGAAGTGGAGCTGCTGAAGGCAGTGGAGATGATGAAGCGGCTGGGGAACAGCGTGCTGCGGCATCTCAAGCTGTCCTGAAGCGGAGCTGGGTGCGACGTACCAGAGATCGGTGGCCATTGCGACGGTTGTGGGAGCAAAGACACTCGTGGGGGTGAAGCTAGTCGAGCGGGAAGGAGGGCAGCTGGAGCTGGGTGGACGGAGCGGAGATGGGGGAGATGGTGATGCGGGAGATGGCGATGATGTCTCGACAGGCGAAGTGCGCTTGGTGTGGTTGCAGGTGCTGTCCATGCAGACTTGGGCCGTGTTGCTTGGCATCACGTGCGGCACCGGGGGCCCGAGCTTCCGCCTCGCGCGGGTGCTGGAACTTTTTTCGCTCGCCTTTTGGTGACGCAAAGCCACAACTCCACCACTCCAAATCTTCTGCCACACGCATCCCAAAAGGGCGATCTCCGGAAAGGAACCCTTTTGTCCAGCACTCCGCTCGATTCCGCACAGCCATCCCCCACAGTCAACATGTCTGACCAGTCCGCCGCCTGGCCCGTCGCCGACGCCGCCCTCTCCCAGGAAATCCTCGACCTGGTGCAACAGTGCTCCCACTACCGGTGAGTGCAGGCCGCCCGAGAGCATGCAGGAGACACTTTTCTCTAACACTTTTGTAGCCAGCTGAAGAAGGGTGCCAACGAGGCCACCAAGACTCTCAACCGTGGTGTCTCCGAGGTCATCGTGCTCGCCGCCGACACCTCCCCTCTCGCTATCCTGCTCCACCTGCCCCTTCTGTGCGAGGACAAGAACGTGCCTTACGTCTACGTTCCCTCCAAGATGGCTCTTGGCCGTGCTTGCGGTGTCTCCCGCGCCGTCATCGCCGCCTCCATCACCACCAACGAGGTAAGAAATTTTTGCTATCCCGTGTGCGCTGAGGACCCGCGCTAATTTGTTTCTTAGGCTTCCGACCTCATGGGCCAGATCCGCACCCTCAAGGACAAGGTCGAGAGACTGATGATCTAAATTTACCTCTTACCGCCGATTTCCGATGATATTTATGGGTCGTTCAGTGTGCGCCTTGAGGTCATTCGGAGAAAATGTGAAGGAAACTTGGGGCTCAGGTTGGGCGACGCTGGGATTAGCGTCAAGGTAGAGCATAAAAATGAACGACTCGGACGTAGGTGTATCCACCCGTTCCATGTCGTGGGGTTAACTTTGGATCCTTAATTGGACTCCAACGGAATTCGAACCATTTTTTCCTTGTGCTTCATTTTTCCCCTCTATGCCGAATTGACCCTCCACGAAACACTAAGAGAACCAATTCGACAAAGCGCAAAGGCGGTGAGCACCGGATAAACAACAAACCTTGACAGCTTCCTGGCGTCACTTACTGACGTCAAAAGCAAGAACATGTAAGGATGGAAATGAGATTTCAGTAAGACTACTTTGAACGCCTACAGAATATTCCAAAATCAAGCAAGACATGAAGAAAAAGAAAATGCAGACGGAGGCACCGAACGGTCAAAGTTGTTCCGCGCCGTCCAAACCAGTAAGGGAAATCTAGAACACAAGAGAAAAGGAAGGTCTAGAGTGCCAAAGAAATGAAAAGCACAGTAAAATACGAAATGGAAACCGGTAAGAAAAGCTGAACGGGTCCCCCTTCCATCTCCCCCGCCACCACCGGCTCCATCCGCAGCCGGAATATCCATCTTAGAGACTACGGCTCACATCCAGAACATGGTGTTGTTGAGGTTTGAATGCCACGGATTGGCGTTTTCCGTCCCACCCCAAGCCTGTGTGATATTGTGCTTCAATGTGTTCGGGTTGCCGGGATATGATGGATCGAAAAATTGCCTCAAGTAGACCCGTCCTCGCTCGCACAAACGGTCCGCGTAGTAAGCCGGAGGGGCGTAGGAGACGCTCATCGTGGCGCGCACGTAAGTGTAACAGAGTGCGTTTGTCTGGACAATCGTTAGTTCCACAACTATGAGATCCGTAAATCAAATGGTGAGATGCACGACAACACTTACGAAGTCCTGAATCCCTTTGGCGTCGAACTTCATGCCGTTTTCGATGACGGTGTAGTAGGTGGGCCTGGAGGTGCCCTTGATCCCCACGTGCGAAACCAGGAAGAAATCGAACTTGTCTGGTGAGACAATTTCCGATTCAACCGTTGTTCCGGGCGTGACGTTCATGGGCAAGTTCCCCTGGTTTACGCGCTTGCATGTTGCTCCGTTGCCAGGATAGAGGCGCGTGTGGTGCCGCTTGGTGGTGACTACGGCAGTGATTGCGACTTGCTTTTCGGAGCAGAGTTTGAATGCGTGCCGGATCGCAGAAATTTCGACCTCCTTGACCTGGGTGTATTGGCCCTCGCCGACACCGTCTCTGTAGTAAAGGATCTTCTCGGGATACCGACCTCCATTCTTGTCCTTGTAAGCTTCCAGACGCTCCTTCACCATGGACTCCATAAGGTCCGACTTGATCGTCTGTAGTATCCAAAGTTAGTAAGGGGATGCGACGCATCGGAAAGTATAATGTAACTGACCTCTCGAGCCTTCTTGTTCTCTTCCGGGTATTGAAGGCGAAGCGAACCACCGTACCTCCCAAAGGTCTTATCAGTACTCCCAACAACAGCTGCGATTGAGGGAAGGCCGCCGACGGACCCAGGAGATGGATGCGTCACGTCCGCGCCAAGGACCATGACTGGGAGCTCTCCTTTGACGGCTGTGCAGACTTGTCCTAGCCCATACACCTCATGGTTGATGCCCCCGAACTTCAGGTTGAGCTTCATGGAGACATTGCCAACGTAGTTACTCCATGGGTTGGGGTTGTCGTTCATGTACTTCTTGAAAAACTTGTCCTTTCGGATGCAGAGGGACTGGATGCCTCGGATCTGATCGGCGACTTGCTTGAACTCCTCGTAACCTTGGTCTTTCAGAGCGATGAACACGACAAGCTTCGCGTTAGCAGCTCTTTTGTCTGTCAGAGCCTTGTGAAAATCTGCCCTTTTGAAGTGACCTTGAGGAAGGCTAAAATCTGTAAATCCGCCACTGGTGTTGATCCTCAGATATCCTCCAAGAAGCGTCATAAAGTCCTCATGGAATTTGTTGATACCGCTGAAAGAGGCATGGATGTATAGAACGGGGGCTATCGAAGCGCTGGCCGGGGTATCCAGATGTTTGCGTTTTACCATGTTCCAGGTGGAGTATTTCATCGTGACCGGATTGCGCTGTCCGTTGGCATCTTTGTTGATAATGGTGGGAGTATTGATCTCCCTGCACGGCACCATCATCAGATTGGGATGAATGGTGACACCGACACGTGCCTATCAAAGTTTAGCATTCGGATCTTGTTTCGCCCCAAGAAAGCGGCAGCCTACCAAAAATCCTTGACTCGGAGGAGGAAGTGCCATGCACCTGAGACCCTCGTCGATGATCTCAGCCTTACTCACGTCCGGAGATTTGCATGCAACGTTAATCATACTGCTCTGTAAATCTGCCGAAAGCTTTGGCCGGAAGGGCTGGTATGGCAGGATATGAAGTGTGCTCGGAGCGTACCAGCGCGGTGAGGTCTGTGTGCCCAAATTCACAGAGTAGTCGGCTGCGTGGTGATGCGTTACCTTGGTAGGATATTCTGCGATCGCGGTCAGTCAGTTGCTTCTGGAGATTATGTTGAAATGTTTCCCGTCTGTCTTACCGTCCGATAGATACTTGAAAACTGTCATGTCCTTGCCATCTTTCTCGAATGTCTGTTTGCTCAGAGGAAGTCCCAAACCTCTGATTGTCTTGATCCGCAAGGAGGGGTCTACGTGTTTCCTTGTTGAGCCCTTCCGATTCTGAGAGTCGTGAGCATAATCGTATGTAATCCATACCCGGACACCCCGAAGAAGTTTGTCAACCTTGGACACCCAGTCGCTGTCATTATGGAAACCGAAATACCTCCTTGAGTGGTGAAGAAATTCTTTGAGCGGTAAGGGCATGAAGAACGCACTGGTTGCAACGTTCAGATTGAGAAGGACATTTCCGAGACCGGGCGTAATCGTCGAGAAATAGCCACGATGGCAAACGAGAAGGCTGCCGTGCTCTTTAGGGCCAATCGGGTCGTAACCGCTCTTCCGGAAAACCCTGTTGTTTCCAATGCGGAACGTTGCGAAGTCCACTGCAGCATCTTCGGCAGCCCCCTTTAGAAGGAGGATGTTGAGTGCCTGTATCGCTGGCTGGAAGTTGTCGCCAAAGGCTCTGGGAAGCTGCACATGGTTTTTGAGGGTGTTGATGTCAATGCAATCCCCAAAAATGAGATTGACCTGCCTCCCATCTGCATCCCCTCTCTTCTTGAAAGTGCGAGTTTCCATGATTGCGCTAGGAACTGGGTTCGGACTCTCGGGGTACAAGTTCTTCGTCGAAATGATCAGAGAGATTTCGTCCGTGGCGAAGTCGTCGCGGCAGTAGTTCAGAGTGGGCGACTCCGTGATGAAGCGTTCCATCTCTTCCTTTTTCCTTCCCCTGGGCGATGTCGCATCGCGTTGGCCAGCCAGAATATACTTGAAAAGCTTCAAGTCGTCCGGTAGGTCAACAATGAAGTGGTTTGTCAGCACCGTCTTTCCGCCTTGACTCTCGGCGAAACCGGGGCGGGAGGGAACTGCGGACATGTCAGCTGAACTGACCATCTGGTGGCCCAACGCCGCCCGGTTGTCGGTGACATCAGGGTTGTAGTTCGACTGAGACGGCGGCTTGGACCCCGGCGGGAGAGTTAGGACAGGTTCAAAGTGGTGCAGGAAACAAGACTCTCCGTTGCTGACGAGGAACTGGGAATGCTCCTTTGGGTCGATTGCGCCCTCGACAAAGGACTTGAAGTCCCTTTCCATGCGGAAGCGTGCGTCGGTCGATTCGGCTGGCCATGCGTACGGTTGTTGAGCGTGATCCAAGGAAACACGAGTCGTGCACATGGGCCAGATGTGACCTGCTGCGTTGCACCGGAGACACTTGTCGCTTGGGAAGAGCCTCTTCTCAAGGTCCTTGAGGTCTAGATGGAAAAGCATTCCCTTGTGTTCATCGTTACCCTCCTGTCTCTTGGTCTGCTTGCGTGCCACTCGACCCTCCTCAGACAATACCCAGCTCCTGAAGTCAGCCTCCCTGAAAAAGGACTCTGCCGGACTGAGGCCGACCCAACCTTTGGCCGGATATTTCTTCGACACCTTCCTCTTGGGTTCCAGTTCCTCGATTTCCTTTTCAGTCCGGTTTAGCAGGTCGATTTGCTTCTTGCATTGCTTCAAGTCGTGGTCGGGCTTGGTTCGACAACGAGGGCATGGATGAAGGTTCGGCGTGTTGACTGGAACGCTTGCTTTCTGATCGGAGGAGGGAGGGGGGGCCTTTTTGGGAGCCATTCTCCGCGGATATGCCTGGACAGTCCAGTTAAGGAAGAAGTGTAGATGGGTCTTACTTGGGTAGTCTAGGAAAAGGCTTGGTAGTTGCCAATGAGATGGGTTTATGGAAAATAATGTTGCAGAAGAGTCGCAGTAAATACTCTAAATATTGCTTCTACGTTGGGCCTGACAGCTGGCAAACGAAACCTGCGGCAAACGGTGTGCGCAACACTGAATCCCATAAAGAAATTTACCAGTTGGACAAGCAAGTCGACGCAATTAGTTGCTGGTAGGGTACCGCCGTGAGCATATCGGACGAGCGAATCGACAAAGCCGGGCAGATCTGATCCAGCTGTCGCAGTTCGGACTGTGCTTCAATTTGCTCAATGTAGTTGTCGGCGTTCGGGTTTGGTCCTGAGCAAACACGATATGACGACGTCAGTGCCATAGCGTAACCTTAGGCTCAAAAATTCCATTCTAAGTACTGCGATATAGGGCTCAGATGTCGCCACAGATGAGTGCGTTCTAACCATTTACCTGAGGATAATCCTGAGCGGCAGACTTCTACCATGGATCGAGAAATAGTACAACAAAAGCTTCAGGTTGGTCCCGTGCAACGGTGAGCACTTTTCCTTTGCTTGATTTGCATAGGAAAAACAAAGAAAATCAAAAAATCGGAAGGTTTGATACAGAACAATGACAGGAAACTTGTAAAACAGTTGCCCGATGAGTGGAATTGATTCCTTTTGTCTATGCTGAGAAAATCTGTACACCAAGCGCTCATTACGCCCCCACGTGAGCGGATTGTCTATTGACTTACCTTTTCGTATTCGTACAAGTACATCGGCCATGGAATTGCATGAAATTCCAGGCTAGTTTCCAGCGCCTTGAAATCTCATGACGCCCTCAAACGCAACAAGAGCCATTGCGTTTGCCGGGAATGCCCTCAAGAAACAGGGCACGAAGCCTCTCCAGTACCCTCTCCATCCCTTCTCTCTGTAGACAGCCTTCGCCGCGTCTCTCCACCGCGGGAACTTCCTGCCCTCGCCAAGCGGATCGGTCATGATCCTTTGCTTGATGACATCAGAAGGGTAGCTCGTGATCCAGAATATCTGAGCGGACAGGCCGCCAGCCCAGAAGTTCACGGCGGGAGTGGAGAGGTCCGTATGCTTGGAGAACCAGCGCGAAAAGACGTCGTAGGATCCCCACCAGAAGAAGAAGAAGGTGCGGAAGAGGAGGGTGGCAGAAAGACCATGATATAGACCGGGCAGTCCATGGCCGCGGAGCTACAAAAGTAAAGTCAGACGGCAAGACACTTGTGACCCAGATATCGTGAAGAACCGTACCAGCTTCTTCGCACAATCAATCGGACCGCTGTACAGCCGCTTCGTCTTATCTGCCGCATATTGTACCTGCAGCCGTGCCTTGACGTGTTCGACGGGCGCTGCAATGAAACTAACAGTCCAACCGGCACAGATACCAGCAATGCCGTGGCCCACTGTGGGGAGTTTCTCATATTTCGTGAAGAGGTTTTCGCGCAGGAGACGGCGGTAGACGGTGAGCGATCCGAGCATGCTATGACCTTGTCAGACTTATCGCGTGTGAGGTGCATGTATACGCGTGCCCTACAGCGAGTCCATGGCCATCCAGCCAACCAACGGCGGCGTCGCGCCCTTGTACAAGCCGCGCACGCCTTCATTCCGTACCGTTTTCAGCAGGCAGTCAAGTGGGCCGCGGAAGTGAGTGGTGTCGGAGGTCTGCAGGCGGACTTTGATTGTGTCGAAGCTTTGGGAACGTTGTCAGCAGTGGATGCCGCAATTGAGGCAGGAAATGCTCACGGGTGGCCGACTGTTGCAGTGTCAGCGCGGAGCAGGCGCAGTCAATTGAACGAGGCTCTCACCACTCAGCTTGGCAATGCCTGAAAACACGCCGGCGACGAAGCCCTTGTAGTTGCTGGGCGCAGGGGCGACGTGCTTCTGCAGCACCGGGGCAGCGGGCGTGTCGACACCATGGCTGACGACGGGTGCGCTCCCAGTTGCAGACATCACCGGGGTTGTGGGCGGGAGGTCAGCCGTCGCGCGGCGGAGATTTTGGGCAGGGCGGAAAATGGTGACGTGCGCGGGCGCGCGTGGAGCGCATCAGGGACTTTTCGGCGGGCTGGCATTGGTCGGGGCGGGGTGGGCGGCGATGACGGGTTGACAGCAGCACGAGATGGCAGGCGTGCGGCAGCCGGCTGTGATCCCGAGGACGCGGAAGCCCGAGAGTGGGCAGCGTCCGCGACTCAAGGCACGGCCGAGTGCGAGGGGTCCGTCACGACCAGCGCGCTGACCCAGAAACAGAATGTCTCCCCGGGCGCGCTCGCGTCGCGGAGATCCTGTCCTGAACCCCTCCGCCCCTGCATTGTTCGGAGGCTACCCACCACTCGTTGACCGAAGAACCGCAGAAACATGAGCGCTCAGGAAGACGTAGACGCCGTGCAAGCCGCCAACCCCGACCAGACGCGGGTGGTCGACTCCAAGAAAGGCATGCCACTCGTGCTGTGCCGCACCATTGGCCGACTGCTAACGGACCTCCAGTGTGGACCGTTTTGATCACGAACACCAGCTATCTGCAGGGCCTCTTGACCCTCGACTACTCGCTGAAGCGCGCAAAGACAAAGTACCCGCTGGTCGTGCTGTACACGGACGAGTTCCCGCCCTATGGCCACCGCGCGCTGGATGCCCGCGGCATCCCCAAGAAGCGGGTGCCCTACCTGATGCCTGAGGCGCACAAGGACTACAGCAACGACCCACGCTTCTACGACTGCTGGAGCAAGCTCACCCCCTTCAGCCTGGTCGAGTATGACCGCGTCGTGCAGCTCGACGCCGACATGCTGGTGCTGAAGAACATGGACGAGCTGATGGAGCTGGAGCTCGACTCGCCCGACCTCAAGGGCGAGGGCCCGCGCGTCTTCGCCGCCAGCCACGCCTGCGTGTGCAACCCGCTGAAGAAGAGCCACTATCCCGACGACTGGTGAGTAGCAAGCAAGCAAGCCGCCAGTGCCGGACCCCCGCTGACACGGAGCAGGGTCCCCGCCAACTGCGCCTTCACCACCCAGCACGCGGCGCCGGACGCGGCGCAGAAGGAAGGCGCGCCGCCGACGGCTGGGCTGGCCATGCCCAACGGCGGGCTCCAGGTCGTGAACCCCTCGGCCGCCGTCTACGGCACCATCCTGCGGGCACTGCAGTCATCGAACACGGACTCGTACGAGTTCGCCGATCAGTCGCTGCTTTCTGACGTTTTCGGCGGCCGATGGGTGGCCATCCCGTACATCTACAACGCGCTCAAGACGCTGCGCTGGAAGGACGTCCACGACGCCATCTGGCGCGACGACGAGGTGAAGAACGTGCATTTCATCCTGAGCCCCAAGCCGTGGCAGGAGACCAAGGACATGCGCATCAAGCGCAACTTCCAGACTGAAGCGAACGACTGGTGGTGGGAGATTAATGACGAGCGCAACCGGGTGGAGAAGGAGGGCGGGCTGGACGACAAGTGGTGATGGACGTTTGGGGCCGTAGCCGGCGGAGCTTTGATATCGGACATTTCTTGCGCAACTTAGCGCATGCGGGCGCGCATCCTCCTATGTGCAATTCATCGTGAAATTGATCGCCGTGGCGCCGCCGCGCCGCAACACCGCAGGCCTAACCGCCAGCCGGGCAGCGCCTGCGGCTGCCCACGACAAGGGCGCGCTGCGGGCAGCCGTTACGCCGTGCCGCCGTTGGCCACGGTGCACGAGTGTGGGAGCCGTTGTCGCGGAGCCGCCGTGTCGCATGTGGCAGGCGTGGTCGTGCGCGGGAAATAAGGCCTGCGGCTTTGCATTTCGCGGATCGCAGCTTGGCCTTGCATCCCCTGACTTGACCACAGGCCTAAGCCCTACATCCAGGAACCGCCCCCAACTCAGTCACTGGCCCTCCAGCACCACCGCAGATTCTTGTCGACAGAGCGAAGGAGGCCCCTATCGTCCGGCTTTTGCTGTAAAGGAGTCAGCTGTCCGGCCTGGCTCAATTGCGCTCTGCATTCTCCGCCTCACCATACCTCTCTGCCACCGACCCTCGACCCGAATAGCACCGGCGCGCGTTTCACACAGGCCCGACGCCGCTCATCTCCCTGCGACTTCCGCCGCTGTCTAAAGCCGACGTTTCAACCGCTCCCACTCCCCCACGCCCACCTGTCCTCACCCACCCCAGAGGCCTTGCCTGCTCCGCCGCCTTCGACCTCGACCCCTCACCTTCCTCGTTCTCCTCCAGTAATCCGTGCCGTTGCGCGACCGCTACAACCGCCAACATGGGTGGCTCAATATCCAAGATGATGAAGCAGATCTTCGGCACCAAGGAGATGCGTATCCTGATGCTGGGTCTGGATGCCGCCGGCAAGACGAGTACGTCTCGCCTGATTCCATGTTGCTTTTTCGCTCTGCCGCACCAATGCGACTGCCAGCGCCGCGACTCCATTGGACGGCCGTGCTAACGCCTCTGTCTCCGTAGCCATCCTGTACAAGCTCAAGCTCGACAAGGATGTCACCACCATTCCCACCGTCGGCTTCAACGTCGAGACGGTCATGTACAAGAAGACGCGCTTTAATGTGTGGGACGTCGGTGGACAGGACAAGATCCGTCCTCTGTGGAGACACTACTTCTCCGGTACGTTGGCTCTGCGCTTCCACTTCTGCCGCCTGAAATTCCACATCGCCGCGCATTTGGCCGCCGCTAACGTCGCGCATACAGGCACACAAGGTCTCATCTTCGTCGTTGACTCGAGCGACCGTGACCGTATCGAGGAGGCTCGTAGCGAGCTGTCCCGCATTATCGCCGACCGTGAAATGAAGGATGCCCGCCTTCTCATTTTCGCCAACAAGCAGGACGTTTCCTCCTCCATGAGGCCCGACGAGGTCAAGAACAAGCTGCAGCTGGATAAGATTGCCAAGGACCACAAGTGGAAGATTGAGCCCTCGTGTGCCACCACCGGCGAGGGTATCTTTGAGGGTCTGGTACGTCACTACTCGAAACTCGCGCCCTGCTGGAGTCCTGGTTGTTAACCTTAATGCAGGCTTGGCTCTCCGAGCAGATCAACACGCAGCCGAACTAAACAACCAGCCTGACTCGTCTTGATGAGATCGCATGATCTCACATCACCCGAGAGCGATCATTCACTACCCCGTTGCGTGCTTTATCTCGGCGTCGTCCTTGCTGCCCTCTCGCTAGATACCATATACCCCGAAACCTCTCCCATATCCTCCCAACAGTCAGCGCACACGCACATATGTCGAACCGTGTCGCGTCGAATTGAGCGAGCGAACGAGTAGCGCTCCAAGCTGACCCTTACATCTCGACGAGCGAAATAGAACGTGGTCTTGAAAGCAAAAAAAGAGTTCATTGCCGTCGCCATGACCCCAGTCAAAAACACATATACCTGTGTGTTTTGGGGTTAGAGAATCGTCGCCAAACGAATTCTCTTCTTGCTTTACAGTTATTCCAAACAACCCCCATTTTAGTCTTCTTTAATCAGATAGTCTCTCTCCCCTTGTCGTTTTGGTCTCGTTAGTCGTGTTGTTCATGATACCTGGATTTGCGTGCTCGTTTTTCCACATATTTCCTTTGCTCGGTCTGTGCTTTTCAGCGCCTTCTTTTCCTTTTTTTTTTCTTTCCCTTTTGGTTTCCTGAGTCACTTTTTTTTTGTTGGTTGCAGATTTCATGCCCAACATCCCTGTCTAGTACATTTTCCTTAATATCCAAACACCACACATCACCCCCCTCAACATCAATCACTGGAAGCGGTTGAAAGGAGAGTGAGTGGACTTGAAAGAGTATAGCGGGGTTGGAAGTGAGGTCGCTTAGTGAGGATGAGGACCTGCGCTCGGAAGTGTCACAGTGAGAAGCGGCTGAAGCTGGAGGATTTCAGAATGGCGGTAGATTTGATGGCTGGATGGATGCATCAGAGCATCTATGGTGCGTAGAGAAGGTGTAGCGTGTAGTAGAAGCCGGTGTGGAGGCGCCTGTATGTAAAGAACCTGATACTGATGACGACAATACTGCATATCAGGCGTCTGGCTTTTTTTTCTCAACTACTCATCCAAAAATGATTCCAATCTTCTGATCGGCGCGCACAGCCTTTTGTGCGAGACAACTGGCTTATACGCAAACGAGTACGACAAGGCTGTAATCAGCCAGGTCTCGTATACAAATATACGCTGGTGGACGGCTACGATCGACGAGCCAAGAATTTGGCCAAGTAACGTTATGCTTGTTCTTCCTTGAGCATGACATCTTGAAGAGAACGTTGTAGTGAGTGGTTGAACGGACAGAAGTAAAGTGATGCGCTAACAGCTTCCAATAACCCTTCGCGAATACCTCCCACATGGAGGAAATCATGTGTCCGACGCATCGACCGATGAATCCCACTCGTTCCTTTTTCGTTGGAAGAATCCCAGTCCCGATATTGAGCGTTGTAGATGCTTTCAAATAACGCGTACCTTCCCTGTCCTCGTACTTTCCCTTCCCTGCAGCCCGTGCGGAGCCGCCAAAAATGAAACGCAACTCTCTCTCACACACATGCCTATTGCTTGTCAGTTCGCGGATCCGCATGCTAATTACATAGCTATTCAGTTGCTTTTTTCTGCATTCTCCCCGACATCGGTGGTGGTAGTGGCCCGTCTTGCGTCTCCCTCCCCACTTCATCCCCCCCTGGATCTTCACGTAAGTCACGAAGATCGGGTTCCAGAGTGCGGATCGAGAGGGGGTGTGCACTTTGCCATGTGTCTCGCCCGCATGCTCTGTGCTGAGGCTAATTTCGCTCATGAGAGAACCGGAAGTGCTGCTGGACGAAGTTGGTTGTACGAGGGTGGCATGAGAAGTCCCAAAGTAATAATAGCGCGGAACGTTCGGGGAGCACGGGGTGACTAAAGGGAGAAAAGATGCAGGATAGGACTACGGTAGATGATTGTGGCTCGAAGTAGGCCGCACAGACATTATAATAATCGAGATTGATCAACTATCTCCGAGATCGTTGCAGATGCTTTTGTTGCCTACTCTCATTACGCTCGTGCATCTCTGAATGACTATGTAATATGCCAAACCGACTACCTAAATAACGCGCTGCGTATCACATGCGATATGCGATCAAATGGACTCGTCGCTCATGATCTAAACTCACTGCGGATGTACCTCTGTCTTCCCGTTCTCAATTATACTCAAGGATTTCCCCCACTCACAACGAACTCTTGGTCTTGTCGTCATCCAGCTCGCAAAACGCCTTGAACGTGACGAACTCCTCGCCCTTCTCGCTCTCGCTCTCCAGCACTGCCTCGGCCGTCGCGCCGACAAAGTAGACGTACCCTGGCTCGATGGGCTCCTTCTTCGGGCCCACGGCAATGGTACCTTTGCCAGACGTACAAAGGATGATGCTGGGGCCCTGGATGGGGTCGAAAGTGACCTTGGCGCCTGGGGCGCGCAGGGCGGTGCGGACGACGCTGAACTCCTCGATGGGCGGGTCGTAGAGCTCCGAGTCGCTGGCGGACGAGTACGACTTGGTGTTGTGCGTGACGTAGGCGAAGTCCTTGGGCGTCATCTTCTGCTCCTCGATGGGCGCGTACGAGTACGTCAGCATCGACGTGAGGGTGCCGACGTCCTTGAACTTGGGCGTGAAGCCCGCGCGCACGACGTTGTCCGACGACGCCATGCACTCGATGATGTCGCCGGACAGGTAGGCGTGGATGTCGTCGGCTTTGAGGAACATGGCCTCGCCCACGTCCAGCTTGACGTAGTTGAGGAAAAAGAGCACGAAGAGCCCGATGTCGCCCGGGAATTGGCCCGAGAGACGTTGCACCAGCTCGGCCAGCTCTTCGCCGCTGGTGCTGGATACGCCGCCGCCGGCGAAGGAGGAGCCTTCGGACTTTGCGGAGGAGAGGAGCTCTTCCGCCGTGGCCCCGATGGCTGAGGCGTCGGAGGTCATGAGTGAGGTGAAGGCGTTCTGAAGAACGGCCTTGTTCTCCTTGGTGTCTTCTTCTGACGTCGACGTCTCGCGGCCCTTGATTGTGTTCTCGAAGTTTGTGGCGGCTTCCTCGCCGACGAGCTTGCGGAAGGTAGGGACGTTTGCGAGAAAGTGCGCAATCTCGGCGAGCGGGCGGAAGCCGCAGAAGCCGTCGAAGGGAGTAATGGCGATGGTCATCTCGGGCTTGTGGTTGTCGTCTAAGTTCATGTCACAGCAGTTAGCTTCCTGTCCAGTGCAGACCGGGTCCTGGGGTGCTTGGTGTACCAGGGTAACTCTTGGGGTCCTTTGCGTGTAGCTGCTCGGCCAGTTTCTTGTTGGGATGGGCCTGAATACTCAGCGCCTTGCGAATGGAGAGCACCTTGAACAGGAACGGCAGTTTCCCACCGTAGCGCTCGGTGATTTCGCGACCCATGAGCATCTGGTTGTCCTGCACCAGATCTAGCAGTGAGCGCTGTGTGGCGACGTCCTTGGAGGGCAGCGACGGGTGGGTGCCCATCCATAGCTCGGCGTAGGGCTTCTCATCTTCAATGGTGAGATCGTTCGACGGTGTGGCGGATGCAAATTTGGCGGCGGCGGAGGCGGAGCCCACCTTGCCTATGTGAGGTCAGGTCTTCGCGGGTTCTTGGGCGGGGCATGCGCATCGCGAGGAAATTGCGGCTCGGTAGGGCTGCTTACCCCAATCGTAGCTGTTGACGCCTGCGCAGTGGTGTTAGCGGGGTAGCGCAGTAGGTCATTTTTTGGATCGGCAGCATACCGCACTGGAGGCGAATCAGAGGGACCTGCATGGCTACGGAATGCTGAGTTGTCGGCGACAGAGAAGGAGTGCGAGAGGAAGGAAACGACAGGTTGTCAGAAAGGAAAAAAAGCTGTAACGGAGACGGGCCCCTCGCATACAACGTCACACTGGCGCATCAAACAGAACGGGAATCGCACCCGCGGAGGCGGCGGGCGGCGGGCGGCGGGGACGGCTTTTGTGGCTTGGCGCGCCCGGGTCGTAGCAGGGGTCCAGCAGGATCGGCGCCGAGACATGCAGCACGCAGCGCCCGGCTTGACCATTGTGTAAACCACCGCCCGATCACTCTCGCCGTGCCGCCGCATTCAGCTCTCATTCCCCTGCCCGCCCAGCGCCAGTGTCGCATCCGCCCGCGCGACATTGTGCGCCCCAGAAAGCACGCGCATCGGCCCACAATTCCCGGCTGGTTGCGACTCGAATGCGCTCTTGATCTTCTCTCCGACCCCCGCGCAGCGAACGCGGAGAAAAGAGCCAGCTGGGCACGCGCGGCGGCGCACCAACCACACACCTCCTGCCTCCCCGCCCCATCCCTCCCTACCAACCATGATGTCGCGCAGCAGACCCCGCGGCGCTCAGCTCAAGGATGACGCCGACGAGGAGCGCAGTATCTGGAACCAGCTCCGCGCTGATGCCAAGAAGGTCGATGCACTGGTGGTAAGGCCGCCATCTCTCCTCACACTCCCCTATGCCCTGGAGCTGCCACAACGTTGCGTCCTGGTCCAATTGGGCACTGCCCCTTTTGCGTGTGTTGCAGCGGGGCATTTGGTCCGGATTGCGCAGAGGCGTGCCATTCCTGGTGAAGCCAGACTGACTGTTTCGCCAGAGGGAATCCAATGAGATCGAGAAACGCATCTACGAGCTCGGAGTGGCACAGCAAGCTATTGAAGGTAATATATGGTGTAGTAACTCTCTCTTCTCTGTCTTTAACTTGTTTGCCCCGTATCTGCACGTACTCTTGCTTTTGACGTTTCCGATGAGGTTGCATGTCACGTGCGTTTAAACGAAGATCGTCACCCCAGAGGATGCGCGTCTTCCATGAACGACTACCGATTCTTGCCTGGTTGACTGATCACTAACTTTGTGAATAGGCCGGGGTGATATGCCTCCAGCTGATGTTGACCATGAACTCGACGACCTGGTCCGCAAAAACATTCGTCTTCACGAGGCCATCAGCAGCCTGACGGACGGCTCTTCGTCTGACAGCAACATGTCCATCACCCAAGGACTCGAACTCCTCTCGGCTCTCCGTGCCGCCTCGGCCAGCTCGCCGGATACCATCTCCAACGGCTCCCGCCACGCCAGCTCCAAGGTCCAGCGCAACCCAAAGCGGAACAAGCTTGACCATGCGTCCAACGACGACACCGACTCCATTGCCGACTCGCCAAAGCCGTCTCTGAGCTCCGGAGTCAAGGATCGCCTGGGCGTCGGAAGCAGCAAAGCCGGAAGCAGGAGTACCAGCGTTGGCGCCGGACGCGAGACTAGTGTCAAGGTTGAGGACGGCAACGACAGCATGGACAGCGTCAAAGGTAAAGTTGACGGTCTCAGTCTGTCTACTAGGCATAGACACCGAAAGCCCAGCAGCAAAGGTTAGACTGACTACGCTCTCCAAAGTCTCCACCGTCGGCGACCGTCATCGCCTCAGTGTCGGCACTGAGGTCTTTTACCGCAACAAGCAGAAAAACACTGAAGGCGAGGGTATCCTGTGCAGCGTTACTTCCGTCATCGGGGAGGGCAAACAACGGCGGTATATTTTACTTTTCTTCGCTGAGGGCTATTGCAGCCGGACTGACGCAGTCGCGACAGGTATGAGATCATCGACTCTGATCCGGACCCCTCTACCCCCTTGCAACCATACCGCGCCTCTGTCAGCAACCTTGTTCCCATTCCGGTGACCAATGCTGGCCTGACCGAACTACCACTCCGGAAAAACGTCCTTGCTGTATACCCCGGCACGACCACTTTCTACAAGGCCGAGGTAGTTGCCTCTCGGGCAGGCAAAGGCCTGAAGAAGGATGGAAAGGAAATCGGCGGGTCCCTTGGCGAGCTCAAAGACGGCTTCGTCCGACTGCGCTTCGAAGGCGAAGATGAGGCTGATCGCGAGATGGATGTGGAGAGACGATATGTCCTGCCCGAGACTGGAAGATAACACACCACCGTTACCGGGCTTGCTGCGAATCCACATCCTCCCCACAACGTTTTCCTTCTGGAGAAAGGGCGCCAAGGCCAGCCGCGCGCACTTCGCCCTACTCTACGGCCGGCATGTCTGCATGATCGGAGTTTTTGTTTCAATTTGGATACGAAAGATCTTAATCGATGAAGTTTATGATGATATGCTTGGCTCCTATCAGGTTAACTGGCTGTTCAACGTTGTTTTTTGCCTTCTTTACGCGTTGTATGCTTCTGAGGCTGGCAAATGTTGATAGCGCACGTGTGCATTCTCTTTTCTCGGTTCAGTTCTTCAGCATGCGTCTCTGCATAGTCTGTCTTCTGGTCTAGAATTTCCCTATGGTCCATGATTCCGAGCCACCTCTTTGAACTAGTATTTCCAACCAAACATACTGCGGCACCCGTCTCCGGGTTGCATCGGGTGAGAACTAGCTACGCATATTCATGCACGAAACAGCAAGGCCCAGCAATAGATATTGAATGAAATGAAGCTTCTGTCTTTGAACTCAGCTAATGGTCATGGTCTTCGCTCTCAGGCCATCTGCAACCAGGGGCAGGTAACATGACGCTTGTCCAACAATGTCGCAGGCAATGGCCGTGAGTGCAGCATAGGGACGCAAGGGACGGGACAGGGTTGTTCGGTAGCCTGGAATACACACACATCTGAAAACGACATCATGTGAGGAAGAATGACACAGAATTGCTTCACGCTAGATACTAGGTAGCATGCGTGCACGGAACAACTCGGAATGCTCACTGATAAGGGTCAACTGGGACAGTAGAGCGGAGCAACAACAGAAAAGAACATGCACCTGAGCCACTTTGCTCCGTAAACCCCTCGCATATTGAAGATCAATGACCTTTTTTGCTGCCCTTTGGGAACCCGTACCTAGAATCCGACAAAAGCATCAAGTTTCTTTTGATTGTAAACGTCACCCTCAACCAGCTTCTCCCACTTCTAGTAAATAAGTCAGCTCACAGCAATTCCCAACTCACCCGACCAAAAAAAAAAGACAGATGCAAGGAAGGAAAAAAGGGGAAATGGATCAAGGAAACTGACTTACCCCCTCGGGCGTAACCTTGACCAACGTCGGCAAGTGCGTGATACCAAACGGCGCCTTCCTCCACACATTCTCCGGCGTCCTCCATCTGTGTAAAGCAAAATCCAGTCAGCCATTCTCTCTATCTCACTCTCTCCCCCCCTCCCTCTCTTCCCTCCCTCCCTCCCCTCTACCCCACCGTCCCCCAACCCAACCCAACCCAACCCAACCCAACCCAACCACAGCCACCACCCCCCGCAAAAACCCCACCCCCCAAAAAAAAAGAAAAAAAGAAAAAAAAAAGAGGAAAGGAAACAACAAAAACTCACTCATCCTTATCCCCCACCCACACAACCCAGCATTTCTTCCCGCCATCACCGTCGTCCGACGACGATCCGCCAAACTTCCTCTCGACCATCGGCTCCGCCGCCACGCAGTCGCCGCACCAGCTGCGTTTCAGCTGACCGCCGTCTGCCCCGTCCTGCACGACGACGTGCGACGCGTAGACGGCGGCGAAGCTGCTGGCGCCCGAAGCCGCGGCGTCGCGCTGCAGCTGCTGCGCGAGCGCGCTGGGCGAGGCGGTGGCGTCGGCGGCGGGTGTGAGGAGGGGCATTGTTGATGGGGGTGGGTTGGTTGGTTGGTTGTTGTTGTTGCTGTTGCTTGCGCTGTGGTGTATGCGTATGGTGTTTTCTTTTTTCTTTTTCTTTTTTCCGGTTTTGCGTTGGGTGAGAAGAATGTGCGAGGAGCGCTTTGGGGATGGTGAAGCATACGATGGGGGTGGGATTTAAGTTTCCCTTTCCCCCTCGGCTTTTTGTCTCGTGTCTCGCTTAAGTAAAGGCGAGCTCAGCTCTGCAGCCAAGTAGTCAGTGGGGGCCTGCGACGGTGGTTAACCGTTTGAAATAAGCAAGAGGGGAGGGTGCTGGAATTGCGAATTCTGTTCACAGAGTTCGAGGGCTCCAGTTTGGCCAATCATACATATCAAATGGAGTGCTACTTATTTCCATGCGTTTAGACCATTGTATTTTCATGTAAGGTCAACTCTCCCAAAACCATCAGCCAATCGGATTCGGAGACGCCAAAAGCTCGTGTGGCTTTGCACGTGAACGAACGTAGGTAATAAAGACAGGACATGAATCATAAAACACGGACCAAAAACCAGCGCGGTGTATATGCCCAAAAGAAAACCAGAACAAAATCCCAGAACAGCAGAGAAAGAGCCATAATGCGAGTAGTGTGACAGAAACAAAAGGAAAGTCAGCCAATGTTTATCCAGTCCACCCTCCTCTAGTCCCTCCAGTATCTCCAAGTCAAGCCCCTTGACCATCCTTCTACCCGCCGTGCCGTCTAAATTTGCCCTCAAAGGCGATCGGGAGCGACGCCGTGTGATTGTCAGCTGCGACTTCTACCATTAAGAACTCGGATCCACATGGGTCGCCTTGATGTTCAACGGTTGGGGTGTCGATCTGCCATCCTGCGGTGTCAATGTGCCGCTCCTGCCTCTTGAAGCTGCTAATGCTGCCAACCCCTGGCTACCCTTTCCGATGACCTCACCACCCACCGTAGCGCTGCGGGGTCTCGCGGAAGCGTCACCAGCGCTGAGGCTGGCTGCGATCGAGCCCGCTGCAGGCGTGATACCAGAAGCTGTGGCCATGGACGGATCAGGTGTAGCTAGGCCCGAAGCAAGTGGAGAGGGAGTGACAAGGCCGGAGGGAGGCACAGGGATAGAGATGTCCTCGGGGGAAGCAGGGACGATTTTGTCGGGAAGACCGGGAATATGAATACGTTTAGCAGAATTGTTGTACGAGGCGGGAATGATCTGGACAGACAATATTAGTGTACCAGGCTTGCATATATTACAAGAAATCTCAGTCATTGCTAGGCTTGAGTAGTATGTTTTAAGAAGAGAGCAACAAAGGAAATGGATTTGTATGCGTTTTGCCTGTTGTCGATGAACAGGTAGTTATAAGGGAAAAGCTCCTTACCTCGATAATCTCATCACGAGGGAAATCCAGCTTCGGGATGTCGGTTGCGTTGCAAGCCATCAGGTAACCGTACAGGACACGGAGGACGCTCTCATGCGCAATGAGCAAGAGATCGTTCTGTTCGCGCTCCAGTTCCAGAATGATGGGCTCCAGGCGAACCGCAAGGTCGTGGTAAGACTACGCCATGTCAGCAAGCTCCAAATCCACCGCATCGAAAAATGCTTCTTCAGATAGATGAGTAGGTATACCTCAGCTCGTGGGTAGCGGTGGTGGTAAGGGTCAGCCTCATGTTTTGCGACCTCGTCAGGAAATTTGCGCCTGATTTGACTCTCCGTCATCTTCTCACAGACTCCCGGATGAAGCTGGCTCATTTGACTGCGCTGCCTGACCCGGTAGCCCGTGTGCGCCAACGGGTTAGATGTCTCGACGGTACGCCGGCGAGTCGACGTCCAGACAGTTAGCGGCTTGAGTTGAGCTGAAGGTGATCCTTGCTCGGCCAAGACTTTACGTTCTTCTTCGCGGTGCTTCAACAGAGTGTCAATCATTTTCTGCGCGTAGTCCTCGCCCTCTGAAGATAGTGATGCATCGGCCTTGTATGAGTCTTCTTCCCTCGTGGTTCCGGCACGGGCGAAATAAGTATGGCGAGACTTGATGTGCAGGTTGAGAAGGTAGAAGACAATGCGCTGGGAGAGATATCCGAAGTTGCAGCTGTTGACAATGACGCGCTCGCCGGCGTTGACCATCTTGACCCAGTGCAAATCGGGCTCTTCCATGGTTTCGAAGTGCGGTATCCGCGACGAAATGCGCTGGAGATAGTCTTTAATCGCGTCTTCGTCACTCCAACCCACGTAGTCCGGAGACGAAATCTTTACGCTCCGCACGTTCTCTTCGATGATCTTCTCGTCGGTACACTGAGACTCAATGAACAACGTCTGGATCTGGCGCTTGGCGAACTCTCTCGCCAGCGCTGCTCGTCCTGCGCCGATAGCGTTTACTGCGTCATAGATGGCCACCTGACCGTTCTCATGCTCGAGGAAATGGTAAATGTCTTCTCTGCACTTTTTGAGAATCTTGTTGCGCAAGAGCACAGAGCTTGGAGAGGCGTTCACGTAGAAGTAGTCCTGGGGGACATCCCTTCCCGGGCCCATGGTTGCGCGCCTGTAGTCGCCCAGATGGAACACGTGCGTCTTGACTCCGAGCCACCTGAGATAGCGTGCCACGGCCACAGAAATGTGGGTTTTGCCTCTGGCTGGTAGGCCGACGGTTGCGATGACGATGCGACCGGAGTGGAACAAGCGACCCGACTCAGTGCTGTACAGCTGAGCGGGCGCCATCTCTTCCTTTTCCGGCAAGTCATGGATGGCGTCGATGAAGGTACTCGACCGCCGCCGGTACCTGGGCGAGTTGGCCGCCACCTCAGCAGTCCTGCGACCCGGTCAGTAGCAACGTAACTGTGCGCCGACGCAACTCTGAAATTGCGACTGCTCATGGAGGAGTGGGAGGGCGGCGCATCACGTGGGCTGGGACGCGGTGGTTGACGTACAGAAGGGTGTCCATGGTGGCGAGCTCTGCGCAGGCGCTGGGCACGTCGGACTGGAAGGCGGAAGGGAGGAGCGGCTGCGCGCTGGAGCGGGGATCTGTTTGAGGCAAGTACGCAGGTGGTGTTGGGCTTCTCGATGCGGGCCAAGGATTTAATTGAAAGGCGGTAGCAGCTAAGCGGAGCCCAGTGGGCGGCAGTCACGCCAGTCAGAGAGCGTCTCAGTGGCCAGGGCCTGGGTGGGCTGCGAGTCGTGCGAGCGGCGGGACTCTGCAGTCGCGGAGCGGCCTGTGAGTTCGAGCTGTTTGCGCGAGGCCTTGGGAGCTCCCGGCGCCGATGACGACGGGCTGGCAGGGTGGGCGCAGAGGGGCTGCAGCTGGGCCGTCACATCACGTGCAGCTCATTGCCGATTGGCCGCGCGCGCTGCGTCGAAAAAGTCGGCGGCCGAGCTCTGGCTGCGCAGCATCATCAACCTCGCCCAGTTCGCCATCTGTCCCGCATCCCTCCATTCGCGCCCCAGCCGCCGCCCGCGCGCCCATTTCCCAATCGCTCCTGCTGCCCGGCCGCCTACCGCGCCGAGTTTGCCTGCTTCTTCCCGCCCGCACAGCTGCTTCTCGCTGCAATGGCGTCACTAGAGAAGGCTGACCAGCAGGCCCTCGACGTGCTCACCAACAACTCCGTCTTCAGGAAGCTGCAGTCCTATTACTCGGCATACTCGGATCGGAGAGACGCGCTGGGCCTGAGCAATCCGGGTACCGTCGACAACATCTCCAAGGAAGTCCAGCGCGATGTCTTTCTCAACAACCTTGCCTTCTCCGGCCTGCGCGCCGACTTGACCAAGGCCTTCAGCGTCGCCCCGCTGTTCCAGGTCTCGCATGCTCTGTCTATGGGCTCGCAAGCCCTGCCGCCCTACGCTTACGCCGCTCTGTATGGCTCGCCGAAGGTATGTTGATAACGCATCGTCGCCGTGCCCCGGAACCGTCGTGACGACCTTGGTATACTAATTCGGCCCAAGGTCTTTATGCAAGCCAACATCGATAATGACTTCTCGCTCTCCGGCCGTTTCAACTACCGCTGGACCAACAGCCTTGTTACCAAGACCAGCCTGCAGGTCGCGCCTGGCGCCGGCCAGTCGATGCTGCAGCTCGAGAACGACTACACTGGTGCCGACTTCAGCGCCTCGATCAAGGCCATGAACCCCTCCATCCTTGACGGCGGTCTTACCGGTATCTTCATTGGTAGCTACCTGCAGGCGGTGACAAAGCGTCTTTCGCTGGGTCTGGAGGGTGTGTACGAACGTGCTGCCATGACGCATGGTCCTCAGTGCCTGCTCAGCTACGCGGCGCGCTACAAGGGTGATGACTGGATCGCTAGCGGTCAGATGCTGGCTTCCGGTGGAATTCAGGGCTCTTACTGGAGGAGACTGACGGAGAGGGTCGAGGCTGGTGCTTCCGTCAGCCTGGAGTTCGCTCCCGCCATGGCCCAGATGATGGGTGCGCCCGGCAAGGATGCTACCACCACCATCGGTGCCAAGTACGACTTCCGTGCAAGCACTTTCCGCGCTCAGATCGACAGCAAGGGCAAGCTTGGCTGTCTGCTCGAGAAGCGGGTCGCTCCGCCGGTGCAGGTTACGTTCTCGGGCGAAATTGATCATGCCAAGGTACGTCATTATGTTGTCTAGATTCGTGATGATAAACTCTAACGTCCACCACAGAACGCAGCCAAGGTCGGTCTTGGCGTCTCGATCGAAGCCGCCGATGAGGAGGTCATGATGGCACAGGAGGGCGCTGCTGCTGCGAGCGCGCCCCCGCCGTTCTAAACAACGACACCTCCCCTCCTCTGATTAGGGACATTCCCGTCATGTCTCTAGTCCCCTCGTGTACGGCATAAACCTTTCTCTTTCATACCACACCTCGACTGTATTACCAAACCCTGCATCGGGCGCGCTTGTTTCTGGGAATTATTGCCAGCTCGGATTTGGCGGATGCGGGAATATTGTGAGCGATGAAATAGGCACCGGCTTTCCATTTGGTCGCTCGATATAGACGTCTGTTTTTCAACGCGCGGTTCCAGGTATTCCTCTTCCTAGGTCTGCAACTACCCCGGCCCACCACTCGCGAGTTCCTTTTTCTATCCTCGGTTAATTGTGCCGTCTCTAATTGGCCGTCTTCTTTCACGCATGCACGAATCGAGACACGGGTTCCGAAGACAGCTCTTTTTCCTTTCTTGGCTACGAACATGACAAGCTTACAAAACGCGAAGCACGCGAGCTCCCACTTGGACGAGAGAGAGGCGACAAAAAAGGCGACGGCGGGCACGGTGTTGTGGATACTGTACATATAGCATGCAGACGATAAAAGCTTCTCCTACTCAACTGCTCTTACGACTCGAAACATGTCTGACGTCATCAAAGCTTGCGCAGATTTCGAAACTTTCGGATTGGTCAATGAGCTGAGAAACGTTGATAATACAGGTGAGAACGTCCATTATTCGCAGCTTTTCAAGCCAATGGTAAGCACATTCGTGAAAAGAAGCGTTCGTCCCTTTTTGAAATCCCTTCCATTGCCCAGGCCCGGCCTTCGCAGATAGATAAAAACTGCGCCCACTTCCTCTTCCCCAGACTATTTGTACAGAGATATGGACATCTTTCGCTCTCGTGATTTCCCCCTTGGTGATGGGAGTTGTTGACGATAATAGTTTCCGGTTTAGGACCGGTGCGCTTACAAAGCCGGGCGAGCCTCACCAGGCTGCTGCGTCGCACTCCCAGGAGCCAAAAGCTGTGTAGGATAAGTTGTCAGCAACGCCGAACGGTCATACATCAATCTCGCGAGGCCCCAGGCGCCGGCTAGACAGCGTTCTCGAACCACGGGAACGGCAAGGGAGAAATGGGAAAAAAAAAAGGAATGACCTACATCGTTCGCGCTCTGCTGCATCTTCATCTCGCGCTCCATCTCGATCATCTGCTGCTCCTCGGCGTAGGCGAGGGCCCACGGCACGCCGAGCAGCAGGGCGCTGCTGCCGACGACCCACAGGCACTTGGCGCCGACGCGCAGGCCGGTGCCCAGCCACGACGAGACGTTGGTGTACGACTTGGCGGCGAAGCGGCGCTGGTGCGCGGGCACAATGTCCTGCAGCGCGGCGATGCGCTCCCATAGTGTTTCCTCGTCCGGGACCAGCGACGACACGTCGCTGTCGGCGTCCGACGTCGTCGAGGACGCGTCGTCCCAGTCGTCCTCGCCCGCGTTGGGGCCCGTCTGCTCGGCGTAGAGCTCCTCGTCGGGGACTGTTCGTTTGGGGGATTGGTTAGCGCGCTGATTGTTCGGACGGGGGTGTGTGGAAGGCGCATTGCCTGTTGTGGGGTGTGCGTATGGGTGTGGGAGATGCGGTGGGATATGCGCGTAGGGCGGGCGGGAGTGGAAAGCAGAGATTGTAGAGCAAGCAAGCTCTCTTCCGTCGATTACACACCTTCCTCAAGCTTGACCATTTTGACTGTTTATATGTGGTGGCAGGGTTTGGGGAGGGGGAGAGCGTCCGAAGGTGGCGGTCGGATTGGCGGAGTGGTGGGAGTTGATGGGTGATGGGGAGTCGGTGGCTGCGGCTTTTCGGTGATGGGCGGCGATGACCTATGCTACTTTTCTTCCCCGAAGCATGGATGAGAGCGGTCGGCGCTCGGTCCGCGTTTTTCGCCGATCGACGGGGAACGTCCGGGTGGATGGACGTGCGTCATTGCTCTCGACGCGTCTCCCGTCGCCGCGCGACAACGTTAGCTTACAACTTACAAGCGTTCCTCTACTTCTCCCGATTGCGACCGTGAGCGAACAAGCAGCTATCCTGGCCCTGCCTACACCAATGTCTACAAATAGCAATACCGTCATCAGCCTCAAGTCGGCGTTCCTACGCACGCAGACGCGTATCTTGTCGCAGCCGCTACTAGCTCCAGAAAGATGGAGAACAGGCAACTTGGAAGCATCTGATATTCCAGAGAACGTGATGAAGGATGTAATCAGAGAAGGTACACTTCTTAAAAGCTCAATGCGAATGCTGTTTCTACCGTCCAACATCCTTCCCTTATACTTCCTCACTCTGGCTCTATCTAAACTCGGTTTATCGCAAAACACATACATCATTGGCGCCTCACTCAGCACCAGCTGTATACCGCACTTCGTCATGTCTTAGCCTCTCCCACTCAATGACGTTACGGTATCAAGTCTGACTCCAATCGAAACAAACAGTCAACCGCCTCCTCCGCCGACACACCAAATCCGCCTACCCATCTCTAGCCATCCGCCACGTCGCCGAACAAATCGACGCCCTCTACTGGTCTGCCGGCGCCCCTCCCCTCTCCATCACAGCACCCCACGACGGCCCCTCCATCCACTCCGACCAGCAAACATCACCAACATCACCCCCGCTCTACCCCCTCCACCCCTCCGCCGACCTCACCGCACATCCCACCATCGCCGCCCTCCCACCCACCTGGGCAGAAGCATCATCCGACGCCACGTCCACGTCCACGCCTTTGCCGGACGCAGACGCCGACGCAGCAGCACGCTACGAGAGACTCGTCGCGCGGCTGCAAGAGCTGGATGCGCGCAGGCGGGCGGCGCGCAGGCGGCTGGAGCGGTGCAGAGAGGTGCGGGGGCGGGTGGAAGCGCTCGCGGGGCCGAGGGAGAACGTGCAGGCGAACTTGGTGACGCGGGATGGGGAGTTGAGCAAGGGCGTTGGGGAGGCCAAGACTTTGGGGGTCAGGGTCGGTGCGAGGGTGGGGGCTTGGGCGGAGGGGCTGGAAGCGGGGGAGGAGGGGCGTGATGGGGTGGCGGTAGTGGTGGGGGGTAGGATGAGGAGGGAGATGGAGAGGGAGAAGGTGAGGGCGTTGTTGGAGGGGTGAGGGGCGGAGTTTGTGTGGGAGAGATGGATGGATGGGGTTGTTAATGGGGTTGGTGGAGCTGCATGAAGAGGGGTTGCCTTTTTGTGTGAAGCTGGAAAGCTTGCATGATGACCTTGTTCGTTGGTCGAGGCTGCGGCATTATTTGAGGCGTAGTATTCGCCGTTGCTATTCTAAACCCTGCTCGAGGACTCTTGTTTGATACCATACTTTTAGATTATGAGACTATTGAAGGTTACCCGGAGATCTTGTACTGCTCTCCTCGTAAGCTATATCCCTGGAGAAGGTTTAAGCCATCGCGCCATCATTTTCGACTCCAGCCGAAGCCCCGATAATGAATTTACATCGGATAGCTGCGACTACGGTAAGTGCTGGAGCGGGGCGCAAACCGCTGCATGCAACCGGGGATGGGTTGAGGCGGGCCGGGAAAAACCAGGGACCGGCGCAGCTGCTGAATGGAAGGACCGCGATACGGCTTTAGCGCCGAACGTAGACAGCGCGCAACGTGCCAGCCAACCCACGGCGCTAACGCTACCAGCCCAGCAAGTACACGACGATCCAACTACCAGGCTACTCGCCCTTCGCACTTTCGTACAGCATTCATTTCCACAGCAACAGTCCCCTCGCGACCGCTCATCGCCCAGCTTAGTACGACCAAGACGCGCTCTCGAAGCTCCGCATCCAGCGCGCCGGACCCAGAGCAACGGCGGTAGCTCCTCCGGCGGCGCCACGACCGCCTCCGCCTCCCCTGCGTCTCTCCTCCCGAGGAGCATGAACAACGCCTACATTGACGCTACAAACGGCATGGCAAACTCTCTCCCGCGTCAACCCCCCAATTCGGGCTCCGGCCACCAGCCCAATGGCTCCGGCGGCATGCCGAACCTGGTGAACGGCCTGCTGAGCGGCGGCCACCAGACCGACATGAACCACCTGTGGCAGGTCGTGCAGCAGCTCAGCGACGTGCTGCAGGAGAACCGGAACCAAACCGCCAACATCATGAACAGCGTGCAGCAGATCCAAGTGCGTTCCCCCCTCCCCGAAAACCAACCAACCAACCACCCTCGTCCCCCCCAGCAATCCCTCCCTCCCTCGCTCCCCACCCCCGGCGGCCGGCACCACCCACCCCATCGCTAACCCCTCGTCCTCCGCCCTACCCCCCAGACCCGCGCCGCCCAAGAAGGCACCTCCCCGACCATCGCCCAAGTCAACGGCGACCTCGCCGCCGCCACGAACCGGCAGCAAGCCGCCGAGATCAACAACCTGCGCGCCTCGCTGCAGGCCGCGCACGGCGCCGCGTCGTCGCTCGACGCGCAAAACAACGCGCTGCGCTGCCTGGTGCAGGACTACGAGACGAGCCTGGCGCTGGTGGTGGAGAAGCTGCGGCCGTACGCGCACCAGCAGCACGACGCCATGCTCGCCCTGCACGCCCACTACAACGCGCTGCTCGAGCGCGAGCGCCAGGCCAACCTCGAGCTGCGCCTCGAGCACCAGGACTGGCAGGCCGGCCTCGGCCGCGTCGCGCAGTTCGCCCGCCACGCGCTCAAGGAGAGCGCCGACGCCGGGCTGGGGTACGAGCGCCGGATCCGCGAGCTGAAGGCCGAGAATCGCATGTTGAGGCGCTTGGCGAATTGGGAGGAGGTGAGCGATAGCGATGAGGAGGAGGAGGACGAGAGGAGGGAGAATGAGTTGCATATGCATTGAGCAAGTGCGCGGTGGAGAGAGGGGAGGGGAGGGCCTTGCCGTTCGTTTGGTTAACGCTACTACTGTGGATATGTAATATGATAATGGGCTTGGGGGGGAGAGGCGTTCTTTCTTGGGAGGGGTTCAGCAAAGAGGCGGCTTTTACCTTTATGGGGGCAAGGTCATGGGCATAGTACCGGCGTTTTTTCGTGTGGTGGCATATTCTTTGCGATGACGAACGAGCTTTGAAGCTGGGTGCGGCGAGAGGGCATCATGATATCTAGCATACGGCGTTCGATCGAGGCCGGACGTGGATGAGAATCGCGCGTAGAAGGTCGCATGCAGGGGGGGAGTATCGGTCTTTGAATTGGCCGGATATGAAGACCCTTTGGAGACGAAAGGGAATGAAACCTAACGTTGAATAGGTGCAACATCGAACACCTCTTCCAGAATTCTACCTGTGTCTGGTGCGTACCTTGATGAGGCTGATTGGACGGCTGGATAGGCGGCGATTTTGGCGAGGAAGCGGAGCAGTAGAGGTACCAAAATGGCTTTCGAGACAAAGCCGCCACCTAGCGGCGGAGACAAGGCTGGGGCGCTATTCGACTTATCTGCTCCTTTAATCCAACTACATTCAGCGTCTCGAAAAGTCACACAGATGTTCTACGGAATGGTTTCTGTTCTCCCGCTGTACGAAGACTTCATCGTCAGCCCATATGAACGAAAATCCTTTGAGCAGACATACAATATTCGTCTTCTATCATCAATTTCTTGTGTCTACGCGGACATTGTCGACTTCTGTCTCGCCATTTGTACGATGTTTTCACCAAACGATGGCCTATGGGCCCGGATCAAAATCTGCCCAACACAGAGTTTTGTCTCATTTGGGACAGTTATGAAAGTATCCAAGCGAGGTTCAAAAATCATGTGGTCGTCCTTGAAGAGTAATGAATTTTACGGTGCAAAGCATGGCCCTTGACATTTCGAAAGTACATAAAGGTTTGGATGAAGAGATCCAAGACCCTCAACGTATCAGCATTGCTCAGCGAAAAGCAGATGAAGGAAAAGGCGTAGGTAGGCGCATTATTTAAACCTTTACCCTAGTGTCAACTTGTTATATAGAAAATCTCTTCCAGGAAATCAGGAAATGAATGAATGCGCCAACATATCAATCAAAATATGAAGGACCAGTCCGAAAAAGGCAAGAGGACACAGGGCCTTAGCTGTGCCATAAGACACATATCAGATCATAGGCAAGTGTTGTCGCTGCGTCTGGGGAAAGTATACATGATGCGCGAAAGCAAAGGTCTCTTCATCAATGGTAAGAATGCGCCAAGCAATTTTCAAGCTTTCCGTTAATATTCTTAGGAGAACCCGGCCATGGGAAGACGCTCCTATGCGCTGGCTTCATCTGAAATCTCCTACGCTGCAAGGAAGCGATCACATCCGATCCCGAACTTGAAGTATCGAAAGATGGCGATGCCGTGTTCCAATTTGTTGACCAACAAGAACCAGATAGCGTCAAGTTCGACAACGCATTTCGTTCAGTCTTAGCCCAGATGATTCGGAACCATCGTGAGGACCGCATTGATCTTGACGTGGCATTGACACTCAAGCAACTTACGAACTACATCCAGGATACTCAGGAGGGCGTCCTCACTCTTGTCCGCTGGTTTCCTGAGCGTTACAGCAGAACAATGCTTGTGTTTGACGGAGTTGACGAAGCGGACAACCCAAAATGCTCCTCTGCACGCCCGAAGATGCGATCTTTCTATGTATCTATTTCCAAACCCGCACCGGCATTGTCTTCATCCTCGACTCAAATTTTGGACGAAGATATCGATGACTACATTCACGGGGAATGTGGACGCTTCGAAGCTTCTTGGAGGCGAGGACACAACGAGGCGCACGTTGGGAGCTATCGAAATCACAGAGTTGAACTGATTGATTTATGGGGATAGTCACACATGTAACGCAAGTTCTCTAAACGTATTTAGTACTAGACATCTACGAAATGGCCATCTCTACAATAAACTTGTGCAGATGTTATAGCACGGCGAGTACCTCTTAGGCATAGGCCAATCTAATACAGCCTGCTGCCGAAACAGGAGAACTAGATCTGATCTTTTTCTTGACAAAACGGGCCAGCACCAGGCTTGATGTGGCCATGTAACCGTAGCGTTCCTACGACTTGCTCTTAGAAGTCGCAAGCACCCGCCAGCAGCGCGGCCAACTCCTCCAGGTACTTCTGATCTTCCTCGTCGAAGCCTTCCAACTCGGCACAGTCAATGTCAATGATGGCGACAGTCTTTCCATTCTGGACTATGGGTACCACAATCTCGCTCTTGCTTGCGCCGTCGCAGGCGATGTGGCCGGGAAACTTCTCAACGTCAGGCACGAGCTGTGTCTGCTGTGATGCGGCGGCGGCGCCGCAAACGCCTTTACCGAAGCGGATGGTCTGGCAGGCGACCATGCCCTGGAAGGGGCCGAGGATCAATTGTTCTGTGGCCGAGGGATCGAGGACGTAGAAACCGGCCCAGTTGACGGCGGACGAGGGCGCGGGGAGGGAGTGGAAGGCGTGCCAAAGGAGGGAGGCGACATTGGCGGTGTTGCTGTCGCACATTCGATGAGCTCAAGTCGAGGCGCGGATGGCGAGATGGAGAGGAGCGGGAGCAGGCGCGTACCAGACCTTCAACAAAGACGATGAGCGTCGGTTTTCCTGAGGTTCACGCGACACGTACCCAGTTCCTCTGACCGTCAACCAAGGCCTTGGCCTGGTCGAGGACTTGAGAATAGACGTCAGGCTTGGTCAGGCCGGCGGCGAAGGTGGAGGATTCGGCGTGGACCTTTGCGCGGAGAAATCAGTCGGCTGGACCATGGCATTGACCGGGCGGTGTGGTGTCCTGTACCATATTGAGGCATGCAAAGATGGGTATAAGCGGTGGTGAGGAAGTGCGAGCGCTGCGAGACGCGGGTTGCAGTGACGCGACAGGTTAAACTCCGGTCATGTCAGCTCGTGTCGCCAGCCACAACATGCCGTGATGCCCTCCTCACTTGTTCCCACCAGCACCACAACATTGCTCATCGGGCTTGAGCATCATCATGTCTCGTTACTCGCTGACTATGCATTCATATCTCCAGGTCTTCATGTGCGCCAGCGCATACATTGGCTGCAATAAATTGAATATCTTGTCAGGCTCACTGGGCACGCTCAAGGTAATCTACATCAACCAGATCTCAAATGTCGGCGCCGATGGGAGGAAACACGTTCTTATGGGGGCTGGAGGCCAGAATTAAGTTCTTGTCGCCGTCTCCTTGGCCTTCACTACTTTCTCGCTTCTAACTTGCTGTCTTCGACCTTTTCTCTTACTCCGCCTCCATCCCCGATCCATTCAGATCACCCACGCCATCGCCACTTGAGAGAAGTAATGAGCATTGGGGAACTCAACCGCGGTCCCGCGTTGCTTACCGCCATCACCAATTCTACACTCATCGATAAACCGCATCTTCTTGCTTCGCCGCAATCCTTCACGGAAAATCCCTCAGCCCACAATGATCCAGCAGTGCTGCGCTGCAGCCAAGATCCACATCGGAACGCCATCCGGCCGCGTCGACAAAGTTCACGGCCTAGACTGCTACATTGCAACACCGCCTACCCGCACCGAGCCGGAGGGCGTCATCATCATCCTTCCCCACGTCTTCGGCTGGGAGCTAGTCGACACTCGCATCCTCGAAGATGCTTTTGCTACAAAGGGGAGCTGCCTCGTCTACCTTCTGGAGCTGCAAGATGGTACGTCCCTCGAGTTTTTCTACTTTCCATCCTTCCGAAATGCACCCGCACCAATACTACCCGGCAACCGGCAACCCACCATCCCCATCTCCCCGCAACCCCCAACACCACCATCGTCCCCCCAGACGCAAAATAAAAATCGAAAAAACAAAGAAAACAAAACAAAAACCACCCCACCCCACCCACCTCCAAACCCCCGTTCCTAACCCCCCCATCTCCCAAACCAAACAGGCACGTCCTTCCTTCCTTCCTTCCCTAATTCCCTCCTCACCTAGCTCCCTCGCCAACCTTCGAAACCTCAGGCCTCTCAACCAACCGCCATCCACTTCCGCACCTACCACCTCGCCCGCACGCGCACCAATACCGATACGACGCACTCCGCATGACGTTGAGGTTGAGGCGGAAGGGAAGAGGAAGTGGAAGGTGGCGGTACGTGTCGTTTGGTGGACGAGCCGTCGAAGATGCGGCGTGCCGGAGGAAGGATGTGGGAGGTGGGGAGGCTGTCGATGAGCGTGGCGGCGGAGCGGAGAGAGACGCTGAGGGTTCTGTGCTAGCGGGTGGATGCGGGATGCGGCGATGGGGGACTCTGTTCTGGGAGGAAAGAAAGAAGGAAAGAAAGGTTCGGGACGAGGGGGGCGAAGCTGCATGATTTGGTTGTGGTGGTGTGAGGGGCGTCGTGTCATCATGGGTGGGCGGTTAGGGGGAACAAGGGGAATGAGTTCGAGGGAAGGAAAGAAGGGGTTGGAGGCTGAGGAGCAGGCAGGCATTGAGATGATTTGAGGCCAGGCTTGGGGAGTTGAGGAGGGCGAGGTCGGTGGCGTGAGATCAGCGTTCGTGGGGGCAAGGGAGCGTCAAGCATGGCTTTACGTATGTCGCGAGCGAATACGTACGAGTGAGGATTTTGACAGCAAGGGCCGGCTCTTTCTGATATTCAAGGCTCCTGTGGATTAAATTCCCAGATGCTCCCACACTTTCTATGATTGTAGGAGAAAAAGAATTCATGTCAAAAGAATAACGTGAAGATGACACTAGAGATGAAAGTGGTGGGGACTACCGCAAGTCTCTTATAAGTCAGCCTATCCAGAATGTTATCCACTCATTGAAGTTGCGTTGGCCTTTCCACCGTTGCCAAATGTACTCTTAGCGGGTCTTCAAAAGCGGGTGAGGAGGTCGGACAGCCTGCGTGCACAGAATATGTAACGGTCAGTCTCGAGGATGCGTTTCCTTCCGCAACGCCAGAGGCTGTAGATAGGCTTGTTGTGCTCTAGCAAAAGATTCTTCGTGTCCCTATCATGTCATGGGAAGACAAGGTCGAAAGTATCAAGCGTTTCTTCGAGCATTTCTCTGGGAATGATAGGTTCCTCGGCAGAATCCAAATAATGCAGAAGACAGACTTTGTGGGACTATCCGGCTTGTAAGCCGTAATGGCCGAAAGCTGGCTGAGTTGATGCGAGAGAGGGTGGGAGCGAAAAGGGGAGAGGGAGGCTTCAGAGTGTGTTTGAGTTGGCTTCACTGTTCCGAAAAGAGCTCAACTGTCACGAAAGAGCAAGGGGAAGGTATCGTCAAAGATAGATCTCGTACTGTAGTTTCAAATTGAACAAGTAGACCAAAGACACTTTTGAGAATGTGCACTATCCGATTGGGGATGGTCCTTCATGAGAAGCTCAAGATTCGGACACTTTCACCTCGGCCGACGCTTGCTTTGCCAACGCTTCCCGCCTGCTCGTGCTCTGCGGGTCAAAGTACGGCCTCTCTCCCAGGCTCACGGCACGCTGACCCGCCCTCAGACCAAGCCCGTCGTAATCGAAGGTGGCGGTGTGGTACACGCTACGATTGTCCCAGATGGCGATGTCGTTGGGGTTCTGCCAGCGGTGGCGGACCTGAAGGTCGTGGTTATCCACGATCAGCCGGACGAACCACTTGAGGAAGGTCTCGGACTCCTCTTCGGTCAGCTCGTTGATCCGCTTGGCGTGTTGGCCGACGGAAAAGATGGACTTCCAGCCTGTGACGGGGTTCGTGCGCACGATGGGGTGGGTGGCGGTGAGGTCGGTGCCCACGTTCTCGGGCGCGCCGCGGGGCTGGCTGTAGAGCTCGAAGTTGTTGTTTTTGGCCGCTTCTTGGAACATTGGCTGGGCATAGGTGCCGGTGAGAGACTCGAGAAGCTTCTGGATCGGCGCCGAGAGGCGGTCGTAGACCTCGTAGCCCGACGCCCAGAGAGTGTCTAAAGGCGCAATCAGCATTCTCGTCTCGCTCAAAGATGGCTCGAGTGCAGCCTACCGCCGCCTGTCTCGGGAAGGTGGGTCAAGCGAAGCAAGGCGTAGTCGCTGGGAATGGGCTCGAATGTGATGTCAGAGTGCCACCCATCGGCTTGGCTCTGCTTCTTCCGGTAAGCTGGGTGGTTGACGTAGAGCTTCTGCTGTTGTTCCGACGAGACGACACTGATTTCATCGTCCTTGCCACCGAGTGTTCGGCCGCTGTTCGACACGGGGTGAATGTGGAGGCCCGACGTCTTTGGCTTGTCCGAGTTCCAGGAAAGCTCGCCAAGGCGGCGGACAAGGTCTTTCTGAAGCTCGTTGGTGATGGCGTCCTGCTTGCGAAAAAACACAACACCGCGCTGCGAGACTACACGCAATCTTTCGTGAGCCGCCTCCTGTCACCATTGCAGAAAGTCAACCCTACCTGTGATTGCCAAGTCGCGCAACAACTCATCCGAGTTGGGAGCTTCCAGCCATTCCTTCAGATTTGCACTGGGGAACTCTCTGCCGATCACCGGCGTGACATCGAAATGCTCGTACTGATCAAGAGCACCGCTGAGCTTCAGCGGCTCGCGATGTGCGGAAGCGGCAGAGCCGAGATTTTCCTTGGTACGGTCGACCAAGTTCTGTGCTGTTTCAGTGGCAGTCGACATTGTTTCGCTGAAGTGGTGGTTATTGGGGTTGGATCCGGACAAGGCACCTCAGATGGTCACTTAATTATAGCAAGATGCCAAGCGCAACAGAAGAGTCATCAACCTACCGTAATATTGACACATTATTGCGCCATCGCTAGAGCCTTATCGCCGCGCGCACCTCTTCGATTGTACTGGTGAGTTGTGAGATGGTGGGGTAATGCACGTCCAACCCGGAGCCCAACCTCTGCCGTTACGTGCCTCGGAATCTTGGCCATAGATACCGATTAGGTAAAGCTATCGCACAAGCGACTGAAAAGACTTGAGCTTGGGATGCCGGTTGTCCGGCGACAATATTTATTTATGCGTTATGTTCGAGCGTCCAGCTTCTGTGCATATTTGGATTTCATAAGACTCCTCTCCAGAAATAATGAATGCGATCATGCTTTTATTCGTCTACCATAGCTGCATACTGTGTACATGTTCCGACCCCGCACCCAGGATAATGAATACCCGGGGTTGATTGCGTGATAGACACTTTGTCTGGGCTTTTTTTTCCCTCACCAATGATCAGCGCCCGATGTCAACCAAATCACATCGCGTGAGCTGCAATCGAACCCGGGGTGGTCTTGTGGCTTTCTCATGAGAACCTGGTTTGGTGTTGTCGGTGCGTTGGCCAACGTCGGCCTGAGGCAAATAACGCCGTTGTCCAACCACAAGGTAACCCGGATCCACACGAGGCACATCACCTGGTATTAGCAAAGTAATAGAGACTGTGGCGATATTCCTGGACCAGGAAACAACAAAAGCAACATGTCCGACGTCTTCAGCTGTTCGCCTACTTCCCTGCTCCCTCATCCAGACCCTGCAGCCCATTTCAGCTCCCGCATGCCAAGCACTTGCGTGATAATTGGTAGGAATAGCAATACCAGTGAAAGCTGTTTTCTCTGATCCCGCATCTTCATCTCGGCTACAATTCCAGTATTAAAGTCAATACAGCCACCATGTCTTCTTCATCCCGTCATCCGGAGACCGTACCCCTGCTGCACGCACACAACATGGCAGACGATCTCGGCGGGCCACCAGTGGGCAAGAATCCTGGAGATACTATTCCGCCACCATACGAAGAGGAGAAGAACGCAAAGAAAGCGCCAACTACTAAGGTCGACCAGAAGGAATCCGATGATCTCCTCTTGAGCCACCCGGGGTCTGAGCGCAGATTTTGGTTCCAGCGAGGCACCAAATTCGACGCCTCAGCCATCGCCACTCAGCGCTCCGTCTTTGACGATCCTGATCTTGCAAAGCACTACGAACCACGCCCAGACTGGGAGAACATCCACCGTTTTGACCCATCTGCAAGGTGGACATGGGCAGAGGAATACGTAAGAATCTGCATGTATGTACTAGCAGCTTCCCGATGCTGACTGGCTTAGAAACTGATTCGAAAGATCGATATCCGCATCATGGTCTTTGCTTGTATCATGTTCATGGCCCTGGTATGCAATGTTTTATCCTTTTCTGGACCTTCAACCTACTGACAACATCGAAGGAGTTGGACCGCTCCAACCTGGAGCAGGCACTTACCGACGACTTCCTCGGGAATCTTGGCTTGAATACTAATGATTACAATTTGGGCAACACTGTCTTCAAACTTTCCTTCCTGTGCGCCGAGCTCCCCTCCCAGCTTGTAAGCAAGTGGATGGGCCCTGACCGATGGATACCTACTCAGATGGTTCTGTGGTCCATCGTTGCCTCGGCCCAATTCAAGCTTGACGGGAGAGCCTCGTTCCTCGCTTGCAGAGCGCTCCTTGGGATATTGCAAGGAGGCTTTATTCCAGATGTATGCTAAGACGTCATATTCGTTGATGCCGGTTTCCCACTTCTGACACCTACAGGTCATACTGTACCTGTCGTACTTTTACAAGCACCACGAACTCTCTCTCCGCTTGGGGTTCTTCTGGACAGCAATGAGCTTTGCCGACATCCTAGCCAGCTTCCTCGCGTACGGCATTTTGCACCTCAGAGGTCATCAGGGACACTCTGGATGGCGTTGGCTTTTCTTGATTGAGGTAAGTTGTGGCCCAACACACCAATACGCTTCACTTTGTAACCCGTTCAGGGTATCTTGACACTGGCCATCGGCTTGCTCGCATACGTCCTGATGCCACCCGGGCCAACACAGACGGCCAATTGGGCACGTGGTAAAAAGGGCTGGTTCGATGAAAGGTGAAGTTTCTCCTTAGCTTAGTCTGTTGGTGATTGCCGTCATTAATCCTTACCCAGGGAGGAAATTATCATGGTGAATCGCGTCATCCGAGAAGATCCCAGCAAGTCTGAGATGCATAACCGCGAAGCCCTTACTCCCAAGATGCTGTGGCAGAGCTTGAAAGATTTTGATCTCTGGCCGCTCTACATCCTCGGACTTACTTTCCAAATCCCTATGAGTAAGTCGATGTCCGCAATGGGTAGGAACGGCAAAAGCTGACATTCTGTACCAGCCACGCCGTCCAAGTACCTCACGCTGACGCTGAAGACGCTTGGATTCAGTACATTGAACACGAATCTGCTCGTCATTCCCTCTCAGGTAAGCCAGGCACGGATGTACCAAACCCAGAGGCCAACAGTTGACTCGACAGGTTGTCCACATCTTCACAATGCTGGGAGTCACGTATCTGGCCGAAGTGTGGCGCAGTCTCGCGTTCACGGCCATGGTCGGGCAAATCTGGGCACTGCCCTTCGTGACCGCTCTCTACGTCCTGGACATCAACAAACTCAACCAGTGGACAGCCTGGGCCATCATGACCATCTTCCTCAGCTACCCCTCACGTAAGCGCTCCACCCGAAGTGGCTGATCCGACGACGTTGCCGACTGACTGCATCATCATCATCCAGCCCATCCGATCCAGGTGGCATGGAACTCGCGCATCTCAAACACCGTGCGCTCGCGCACCGTGTCCGCAGCCGTGTACAACATGTTCGTCCAGGCGAGCGGCATCATCGCCGCAAACATCTACCGTGAAGGTGTGTCGTCGCACTGTCCCGCTTTAATGTCACCGACTCCAGAACTGTTTGCTGATCACTGTGGATATCTGTCTGGTAGATGACAAACCGCGCTATCGCCGCGGCAACCGCGCGCTGCTCGCCATCAACGTGTTGAACATCGTCCTTTACTTGCTGACCAAGGCGTACTACGTCTGGCGCAACCGATCCAAGGCGGAGAAGTGGGATTCGATGACGCAGGAGGAACGCGAGGAATATCTGGCGACGACTGCGGATGAGGGGAACAAGAGGCTGGATTTCCAGTTCGCACATTGAAGGGATAGAGGCGCGCGCGCTCTTGCGGCATGCGCGTGCCGCGCGTGGTAAGTTTTTGGATGACAGAAACAAAATTGAAGTTGAGAGGCGTCGGTCCTGATATCCATGAAAAAAGGATTTCTCTGTGCGAGGCTCAGGCATCGTAGCCGCCAAAAGTAAACTCACAACAGAGCAAGCAGTATTTCGAAAGATTGTGTGAAAGCCAAAACGTCCATTGGGTATCATCACTCATATCTACACATGCCATCTAAACAGACATTCGACCTCCCCTTTCTCTACCCCCATCTCCACCTCTCCCACCCCTTTCTCTCCACTCTACAAAGCAAGCACAACCCCCGCCAGCCCAACAACACCAGCAACCGCAACGCATCCAACACCAGCACCAGCACCAGCACCACCAGCAGCACCGTTCCCAGCATCGCCCGTCGCGCTGGCGGAGGCAGCACTGCCGGTGGTGGCACCAGACGCCGAAGTCGAACTGCGGGCAGTAGAGGCGGCGGCGGTAGCGCTGCTGGCGGAACCGCCCTGAGAGGCAGACGTCGACGTAGCCAGCACGGCGTCGGCGACGGCGGTGACGGTGACGGTCCAGTAGAAGACGTTGGTGGGCGGGAAGCTCACGACGGCGACGTCGGTGGCGGCGGCGGTGGGGGAGAGGAGGCAGTCGAGGGCGGATTGGGTGTCCTGTTGTTGTTGTTAGCGTCGGGGCAGTCTTCGTCGTCGTCGTCAGGTCTCAGGTCTTGTGCTTGTGGGATATGGCGTGGCCGGGGTAGGCAGGCATGCGGGAACTAAGAAAGGGGGGGAGAAAAAAAGAGAAAAGAGAGGCAAAAAAAAAAACTACTCACAATATCATCCGCATCCTCGCCAACACCCCCCGCACAATTCACAATCGCCGCCAACTCATCCGCATAGTCCCCCCCAAAACTCATGGTGCACACGGGGCTCTCAACCGCGCTCGCGGGCGACGCCCCCGTCGCCACGGTAATGGCGCAATCCATGTCGACGGCGGCGGTGATGCCGTCGCTCGCGCCCGTCGTCCGCTGGCCCCAGTAATTCTCGCCAAACGTCACCGTCTGCGCTGCGGCGTCGGTCGCGAACGGGCACAACGCGCCGACGGTCGAGAAGTCGTCGACGTCGGTGGCGAACGCGTCGCACTCGTACACCAGCGTCGTGCGCGCGTCCTTGTCGACGCCGACGATGGAGCCGCTGACGCCGGTGCTGGGGATTACGGTGTAGAAGCCATCGCCGACGAAGGGGAAGGAGAGGACGGAGGAGGTGGTGGTGGCGGCGGCGGCGGCGCTGCTGGATGCCCCGGGTGGTTAGGTTCGGTGGGGTTGCTTGGTGGAGTGGCGGGGGTTAATGCGTACCTGGCGAGGGCTGCGAGGAGCAGGGGCAGAGCAGTGTTGGAGATCATGGTGGTGGAATAGTTTCCTTTTTCGATGGTTCAAGGGTTCCTCGGGGCTGATGATTGCCTTAAAAGGGCGATGCGACGCATTCTTTTATATCTTGGTGAGTCGATGTGGAGATGGTGGAGGCGCACGAAGGATGCTCGCACGGGTATGGCGGCGCGGTGGGACCATAAAGCGAAGGCACGCCAAGCCCCATATTTAACAGCAAAGCCCTCGTGAATTGCCTAAACGGGCCGTCGCTTGCCGCCAGCAGGCAGCACTGCTTGCCATGGCGGTTTTATCGCCGAGACTTTGGCTTGGCGCCAGCGCTGAGGCCCAGCACCGACGTAGCACAGGCCGGCTTCTCCAGGCTGATTATGGCTAGAGAGATGGTGTTAGAAGAAACTGGGTGCAGTTCGGTGGTTCTGACTGGTCCGCCAGATGCGATATTGCCGCCCCCACATTATGGGAGCCTGTTACCGGCCGGCAGCATCCGACCGCAGTTTGGCCCAAGGAGTCAGGCGAGCGACGGTCCCGATAGCAACGATGTTCATCATCGTATTGTGTAATTGGCGAAGTCGGGGGTGAAGAGCTGCGGTTAGGACCTGATAGATCCTTCTTGCCGAAGTGACATAAAGGAACTATTGAGCTCCTTCGAAACCATAGCATGTTAAGCTTTGATACTAGATCCTGCGCGTCGTGAAGCGTGATGGCCGTGACGTCAAAGCGGGCCGAGATTCGAGAGATGCAGCAGCCACAGGTGCCATGCAGCAACATTGGTCAAGGTTCGATGTGATGGGGATGTGTAACTTGAGAGAAAGGACATTGAATGGTCAAGAACAGGGCGTCTCGACTCAAGTAGCTACAAATAGGAAATCAGTGGATATACTTGTACATAGATATTATGCTCGGGTATCTTCTCTATTCCCATCCACACTCACTCCTCGCCGACAATCCTATCCACACTCCCCCCCAGATACACCTTCAGCATGTCCTTGGTCACCTTCAACCTCCTCACGTCCACAACGTCGACGCCGGCCTTCTCGTATGCCTGCATGCGATGACAGCCGCCAAAGGCGAAATAGTAGTCCTTGTCCTGGGCCTTGCTGTGGTAGTGCAGCACGTCGACGGGCGGCAGGCGGCCGGGCTCGATGCGCTCCGGGGCGGGCTGGGGCACGTAGTCGCAGGTCTCGCCTCGCAGCGTCTGCACCATCGAGTCGACCTTGGGCGAGTCGATGACGGGCGGGATGGGGCGCAGGATGGAGGCGAGCGGAAGCTGGGTGATGGGGAGGTGGCGCGATTGGATGCTGCCGGCGAGGGCCATGGTGATGAAATTGGTGGTGGTGGTGGTGTTTGGCGATTTGTTCTGCGCAGACGGCGGAATGGGCGTGTTCACGCTGGTATTTAATGTCGTCGGTGATAGTCTGGCGGCGATAGGGCGAATTCGTAAGACCCTGGCGTCTCGAACGCGGCATGACGTAAGAGCCGATCTCGGGGCCGAGCGGGTGTTGATACACGGCCTCTTCTCCTTCGCGATTCGTAAGCCTACGACACCACAGCTGCCCCGGCATCGGGCCATGTCGACAGCCTCAACACCATGCTTCTTTGCCATCTACCGTGTACATGTCACACGCTACCAGCTCGCCTGCCGAACCCGAGCGGTGTAGCCGCTCCCTGCAACCTCACCTTAGTATTAGTGGGCCTACGATGCTCAATCAGCGGCACAGCGGGACCATGGCTCAATATTGGTTGCACTGCATCGGACACTGCGGGGGGCCGCGGATAAATATACCATGGCAGTAGATAAAATGCACACATGCCGCCATCCAGCTTCCCGTCTTTGTCGCCGCCATGAGCTTCTCCCTGCTACAAGCCCTCTTCGCTCTCTCCGCCACGGCGGCCACAGCCGCTCAAACCACCTACTACCTCACTACCACAGCCATCGTCACCGACCCGGCAACCAACGTCTCCGCTCTCCAGTGCTGGCGATTCACCACACCCCTCGAGGTCCCCTCCACCCCCGGAATAACCGGCACCCAGCTCTTTCAACTCAACTTGTCCAGCGCAGCCGAGTACACCGTCATCCCCCCGCGCTTCGACGGCGGCCTGCACAATGCTCCGCATAATCAGTGCGTGAATGCCGTCCACTATTGTTTCACAGCATTTCCGCGCCTTCCGCATCCTTCCCACCCCTCTCCCAGACACACACTAACCAAACCCAACCCCCAGACTCGTAGCCTTCACCTCCGGCCTCGCACACATCACACTCCCCGGCAACTCCACCGACGAAGCATGGGTCGTCGGCGGCGAGACAGGCCTCATCGTCGCCGTCGACACCGTCGGATCCGGCCACTACACCCGCTACCCGACCGACCAGGCGACCGTGGCCTTCGCGCTGCCGTTCGAGAACGACGAACCGCCGCCGCATGAGGTCAATTCGACCGGTGCGTGCGACCATCGGAGTGGGTCGCAGTTGGTGCTCTGATTACTGTCCGTGGTAGAAGTGAGAAAACCCAATAGGAGTCATGTGCGTTTTTGCAAGCGCTTGTCGACAAAGTGATTCCATATTTCGGCAGCTGAGTACTGAAGATATCTACTCGGAAAAGTAGAACAATTTTAAAACGGAGAGAGAGAGAGAGAGAGAGGGAGAGAGAGAGAGAGGGAGAGAGAGAGAGAGAGAGAGAGAGAGAGAGAAAATGAATACTGGTTGCCGAAGAAACAGGCCAACCTAGAACACAGGGGAAAATGTACCAATGCTGGTTGCAGCAGGGAAGACCATGCATTCCGTTCCGACATCTGGCGGTTCCTCAGAGTGGTTGCACCGGCAGTACACGTCAACACGTGAGCTGAAGGAACCTCCATGTGTATATACCTTGATGTCCTGGGCCATATTGCCAAGTCTACTCAATTCCCGCTATCCTTCTACATCTCCTCTTATCTCACACTCCCGCTTCATGGCTGATTAAAGTCAATGACCACACGGCCAGCAATCTCTCCCCTCCGCAGCTGCTGCACCGACTCAGGCATCGCGCTCAACGGCCGCACCTCGGAAATCGGCTTCAGCAACCCGCGCTTCGCATACTCCAGCGCCGCCGCCGTGTCCGACATGGTGCCCACCAAGCTGCCGGTGATGGTCAAGTTCTTGAAAACGACAAGATTCGGGTCGGCCCCAATAGTCGTCGCTCCAGCGGGGGCTACGCAAAAAACAACCACACCCGATCAGCAACGTCGACAACAGAGAGGGATGGACGGATCGAGGGACAACTCACGCAAACCCACACAAACCACCTTCCCGCCAATCCTATCCCCAATATAACCAACCGCATCCTTATACGCCTGCGGCGCCGTAACAATCACCCCATGCGCCCCCACCCCGCCACACACCCTCTTCACCTCCTCCGCCACGCTCTCCACCTCCCTGAAATCCACAAACCCCTCCGCCCCCATCTTCCCCGCCAGCTCCCTCTTCGCCGCGCCCCCATCCACCACCACCGCCCTCATCCCCATCGCCCTCGCCAACTGCACCCCCTGTATCCCCACCCCGCCCCCTCCCCCCGGAAACACCACCCACTCCCCGGCCTTCAACCCGCTGTCCACCAACGCCCGATGCATCGTGCTCGCCGAGCACATCACCGGCGCCGCCACCTCGTCCCCCACCCCGTCCGGGATCCTGCTCGCATACCGCGCCGGACTCACCACGTACTGCTGATACGTCCCCGTCGCCACCAACCCCGTGTACACGCCGCGCTGGCAGTAGTTTTCTTTCCCATTCCAGCACTGCTCGCACGCCATGCACACGTCCCACAGAGGTTTGATCCCGGCGCGGTCGCCGAGCGCCCACGTGGTGACGTCCCGCCCGAGCGCGACGACGACGCCCGCGCCTTCGTGCCCCGCGCACCGCGTCCCGAATTGCGACATGGGCGGCACGGCCCAGTCGTGCGCCATGAAGTGGATGTCGGACATGCAGAGGCCGGTCATGTTGAGGCGGATGAGGATCTCGCTGGGGCCTGTGTGGGTGGGTGGGGGGTGTTAGTGCTGCTGTGGGGAGGGGAGGGGAGGGGAGGGGTTTCTTTTTTTTTTTTGGCGGTGGTGGGTGTGGGGGAGGGAGGGAGGGAGGGAGGGATAGAGGGAAGGGCGGGGGGTGGTGTTGAGACGTCGACGCACCTGGCTCGGGGACGGGCACGTCTTGGATCTCGACGCGGAAGTCGGGCCCTTCGTTGACGACGACGCCGGCTTTGCACGTCTTGGGGATGTCGAACTTCTTCTCGCCGGCGCCGGCGCCGGCGCCTTCGGGATTGGTCGACATATTTGGGTTTTGCGAGATGGTCGGTCTAGTATGTGAGCGGGGTTTCCCCCTCTTTCGTTTTTCTGCGGTGGATTCGAGCAATTCCTTCTGTCGTCGCTTGGGGCGGTCAAGCTGCGAAGTGAATCGAAGATGGTCGATTGCGGTACGTGTCCGAAAGCAGGGTGGGAGAATCAAGTGAATGAATAATACGTGTCTTCAGGAGCTCGCAGCGACAGCGAAGCGTAGTCAACGCTCACTCGGACCCAGGGAACAATGTGCGAAGGAGAAAAGAGGGGTCTTCACGGCATAGCCGTCGGTTTTTAAACACGATCAGGGAAACAGCGTACGACACATGCGGCCGCGGTTTACATCCGGACGCTGGCATGCTGCGGGGTAAACTGAGTGGATCTAAAGCCTTCTATGCCCAGATTCGAACGGGGCGCGCCGCCTGTTGGCTCGGTTCAGCAACGACGTCACTTGTGGAACGTAGAAATGTCCCCATCTGTGGGGTGCTCGGGGAGGGGCAGTTCCTGGCCTACTCCACCCCGCCGCACGCAGCCACCGCAAGAAAGCGGGCTCATTCCGCACAAAACCGACAGCCAGACCGACCATTCCGCCCCCTCCTTCCATACTCATCCATTCCTGTTGCGCTCTGAGCCAGCATGTATCCATTCGACCGGCTATGCGTCGTCGTTCCGCCATTATTGTCCTGCAACAATGCAGCCCCACCCTGACTATTGGGCAGTCCCGCTTTTTGTGTCAGGGCCCGTCCTCGGGATCTTCGTAAGACCCCCTAGTATAGCTGAAGTTTGAGATCCAGCTGCGGGGCTACAGCTGCTGCCCTTGAGTATGTGACTTGCTGAAGCGGTTAGCCTTGCTGCGGGGTGGTGATCGACCAGAAGACAACGCCTCACCCCCCTCGCTACCCCGCATTTATCTAGCACGTTGCCGGACCCCCCGGCACAGCGCGGAATTAGGTGGCACTCCCATTTACCTAGCTCTCTTCCTCTCTTCCACCCCAGAGAGGCAGCGAGATGTGGGAAAAAGGGGGCTCGATGGCTGGAAGACCCGGCAACAACGACTTCCACCAGAAGCATCGCATCTTTCCCCGTCACTTTCCAAACCGTAGGGCAGTTGCCTAGGTGAACAAACAGGCAGACAGTCGCCCAATTCAGAATCAAGAACAGCGCGCTTTGCCAGACACGACATCGAAGTCAACTCCTCCTCTCCCCTTTAACCCACATGGTCCACTCGTCCATCCGACAGATAATTACCACAACCTCCCCCTTTCCGGCAATCCTCACAACGAAGCCACGAAACCTTCCTCGGCACCACCCCCAAGGATCAAACCGCGCGAAGTTGCGCCGAGCCACCACAACCTAGGTAACCTGCAAGCCGAAAAACCCAAAAAGGTAGGTGTACCACGTGGATGGAATAATTAAAGTTATTGCGCCGAACAGTCCCAACGGGAATAACGTCGACACACCATCTCTGTCCGAAGCTAAGGACTGCAGATCCCAATAACACACTGAGCAGGGTCCACAAGTCGATTTCCAACAACCCTCTCATCAAAGGCCAAAGGAAGAGAGAGGTCACGCGCAAAGTTCACTATTGGTTTTTTTTTGTTCACCTCAAACTTCGCGTCTCCATTGGTAGGTATATACGTGCACGGAAGGTGTGTGGGCTTTAACGTCATTGCATAGCGACAAACGAGCAAACAAAAAATTATCGGGACGTGAGAAAAGATCAAAACTTTGGGTATCAAAGTTTCAGAGGAGCTTGATTGAAAAAAGAAGCAACTAGAAAAAAATAAATAAATCCAAAACGCTTTACATTCAAAGCCAACGACGACGCAGCGATGCCCAACGACGTGCTAGGCGGTGGTGGACGACGTAGCCTAGAAGTTGGAGTCGCAAGTGTGCGACTGGGTCGAGGCGACGGTGACGTTCTTGGTGATGACCTCCTTGCCGGTCGACGACGTGACCTTGACGTCGACGAGGTCGGAGCCGAATCCTTGCTCGTACTCGAAGAAGTTGTAGTCGGTGCGGGTGGTCTCGGTCCAGGTGGCGCCGCCGTCGACCGAGACGTGCAGCGCCGCGACGGGCACGTTGCTGTTGACGACCTGCATGCTGAACCAGTTGGCCGAGACGCCGTCCTTGTTGGTGAGCTGCAGCGGCGTGGTGATGCCGCACTCGACGAGCTCCCACGTGACGTCTAGGACGCCGGTAACGAGCGAGTCGAGCGAGCTGAAGGCGTCCTCGAACAGGTCGAGCGCGTTGTCGCCGCAGTCGGGGCACTTGTCGACGATCATGGCCTTGACGGTCTCGCCCGAGGCGCTCTTGACGTTGACGCAGGCACCGCAGTTGCTGGCCGTGTCCCAGTTGGAGCCCGACAGCGCGGTGCCGAAGATGGACGAGGGCAGGCTGTAGCCGCTGAAGCTGCAGGTACCCGACTCGATGTTGCCGGTGTAGTGGGTGGCCTCGCCGGTGACGGCCTCGGCCAGCGTGGTGACGGTGTCGGTGATGGAGTTGATGAGGCTGGAGCCAGAGCTGGAGCTGGAGCTGGGGGTCGAAGCGGCGACCACGCTGCTGGAGGTGGCGAAAGTGGTCTGCGCATAGCTCACGATGGGGGTCGAAGCGACAGGGGTGTAGACGGGCGTGTCGACCGCGACGGAGGCAGCGCTGGACGAAGAGACGCCATTGGCACCCTCAACGCCGGCACCGTAGGCGGGAGTGGAGGCAGCGGGAACCGGGGTGTAGACAGGAGTGTCAACAGCGACCGAGGGAGCGCTGGCGCCCTCGACACCGGCACCGTAGGCGGGAGTAGAGGCAGCGGGAACCGGGGTGTAGACAGGCGTGTCAACAGCGACCGAAGGCGTGTCCACCGGGGTGTAGACGGGGGTGTCAACAGCAACGGAAGGCGTGTTCACCGGGGTGTAGACGGGGGTGTCAACAGCGACGGAGGCCGAGCTGGATGAGGGGATGGCGCTCGCACCCTCGACACCGGCGCCATAGGGGGTAGAGGCAGGCAGGGGGGTGTAGACGGGGGTGCCAACAGCGACAGAGGGAGTACCGGCCGGGGTGCCGCCAGGGGTCTGCGTAGCGGTCACGGGGCAGACGGTCGTGCCAATGGTAACGACCTCGGTGACGACATGCTCCTTGGAGCTGCCGGCGGCATCGACGGTGGTGCTGGTCTTCACGGCGGTGCTGACAATGTGGGAGGTGGTGTACTGAGTGACAGTCTCCGCAGCAGGAGCAGGAGTGTAGACGGGAGTGTCGACGGCGACGGAGGGAGTACCGGCAGGGACACCGGCGACCGAGGAGCTGGCAACAGGGGTGTTCGCCGGGGTCTGGGTGGCGGTAACGGGGCAGACGGTGGTGCCAACGGTAACGACCTCGGTGACAACGTGCTCCTTGGAGGAGCCGGCGGAGTCGACGGCGGTGCTCGTCCTCACGGCGGTGCTGACGATGTGGGAAGTCGTGTACTGGGTGATGGTCTCCGGAGCAGGAGTGTAGGCCGGGGTGTCAACGGCCGAAGACAGCGAGTAGCTGCTCGGGGTGTAGTCGGCAACGCCGACGTTGGAACCGTCGACGGAGCTGGTCGCGGCCGTGGACGGGACAGTGACCGTAACCGGTTCGGGGTCAACGGTCACAGTGCGGGTGTTGGTGCACTTGCTGCTGCTGGGCGACGCGATGGTCTGGCTAGCACCCTCGGTGGCCGTCACGGGGCAGACCTAGTGGAATAGTCAGTTTCAAAACAAATTGCAAAAATCTAAAATTGGATGCTCACGGTGGTGGTGTGGGGCACGGTCACGTAGACCACACCGCCGGTCGAGTCGGTCGAGGCCGAGGTGGTGTAGATGGTGGAGGTGGTCCACTGGGTCGGGGTGGCAGAGCACTCGGTGCAGGGCACGCTGATGGTGACCAACTTCTCGGTGGTGGAAGTCAAGTGGATGGTGCTCAGCGGCTGATCAGGGACGCCCTGGACGGCCGACGACTGAGGGACGCTTGAGACCGGGGTCGCGGAGCTGGGAACGCTCGCGGCAGGGGTCTCTGAGCTGGCAACGCTCGAGATAGGGGTCGCGGAGCTGGCAACAGAGGCCGCGGACTCAGTCACGGGGCAGACCTAATCGGGAAGGTCAGCAAATGGGGCATCGAGTAAACAGAAGTGGCAAATTACCGTAGTGTACTGGCTGACGGTCTGGTAGACGGTCTCGCCGGCGCCATTGACGGTCGACTGGGTCGAGTAGACGGTCGAGGTGGTCATAGGGGGGGCAGAGCTGGCCGGGGGCGTGGAGCTGGCAGGGACCGGCTTGATGGTGACGACCTGCACCGAGGTGGTCTCATCGGGCTGAGAAGAAGGGCTCGGGCTCGAGACGACGCCCTCGACGCTCGACTGGGCGACGGGCGAGGGCGTCGAGTTGACGGTGGGGGTCAGAGTCACGTACTCGGTGACCACAAGGGTGGAACGATCACTGCAGACAGACTCCTGGGCCTGGGCAAGGCTGGCGCCGGCGATGAGAGCGCCGGCGGCGGCTTTGTTGAAGCGCATGATGGAAGGGGAATGACCGGAAGTGTTGGTATATTAACACAAAGGGAGAAGCCGGTGCTGGGGCGAGCAGAGCAGGCAGACAGCAAAAGAATGGACCTCTGAAAAGTCAGAGAATAACGAGTGAAGCGGCCGGCAAGAGGCGCGAAAGCGTGAGGGAAGGGCAGTGGTGGAGGGCGAGCACTTTTGTAGTTCTTTCTCTGAAACAGCTGCGCACTATTAGGGAGCTCGGGAAATGACGGCGCGACTCGGGCCAGCTGGGGCAGCGTCGCCAGCACTGCCCGAACCGGCTAGGCACCGCTGCAGTGCCGGTCGCTCAAATTGCGGGACGCATCAGCGCAGCGGGTCATTTGCTGGCCCCGAGCCAGAGCAGAGCCGCCGCGGCCCCCGCGCACGGCTGCATCCGCCCGCGACGGCTGCGACATGTCGCTGTGCGCCGCAGCGCGGGTCGGCTGGCCAGATCTGCAGGGTCGCAGCGATGGCATGCGCCGTCGGGCGAGGTGATGTTTCGCTGGAGAGGCGTGAGGGGTGCTTGGTGTTGAGGCTGGCGAGCGGGAAGGGGCACGCACCGGCAGGCCGAGGCGTCGGCCCCGTGGCTCCGACAGGCCAAGAGGCGCCAGGAACAGGAACAGGCTCCTCCTCTTCCCTCCGCACGGCCCCCGGCCACGGCTGTTTGCCCAGAAGGAACGCACAAACGCCAGCATGGTCGCACACGCAGACGGCGCCCGGGGCATCTCGCCATCTCAGCGCTCAATCTCAGCCCGGTCCTTGGTCGAGCCTGCACGCGTGCGACGCACCACGCGATTTCCCTCTCAGCCCTGTGTGCCTTATCACCGCCTCTCGTATCCTTGCGCCGCCGCATCCGTGGGTGGCATACCGCCGTTTTGGCCTCTGATGAACGCGGCCGCCACACGCAAGCTGCCGGCGGCTGTGCGGCCTTGTCAATTTCCGCCTCGCGTGTGGGGTTGCCTGCCTAACAAACTCTAATGGAGCTGCCAGCCGGAGTACGAACAGCCTGAGCCAGCCCGGCTCCGTCGCCAACACCAGCACCAGCACCAGCACCACTTGCCTGCTGCCACAGCGCTCAATGTGTAACACCAGCAGCGGATGCATAGCATGCACCTTTAAGAAAGAGTGCCCACATTGGCACCGTTTCGTCCTCCCACTCGCACACCTCCTCGCTTCTCCCTCGCATTCATGCTTGGCACCGCACTGCTTTACTGAATCCCATGGCCGAAACGCCATGCCACTGGAGCCCGTCAACACGAACACCATTGCATCATGAGCTATTATTCTCTTCCGCCGTGCTGAAAATCCTCATTCGCACCAGGACCACCGCTCCGGGACGAGCTTGTTTCGAAAGCCCGTCAACAGCTACCAAACGCCAAACAATGCGCCTCCGATCCTCTTTTCCCGCCCAACGTCACCTCCGCACTGACCGCCACGATCTCCTCCGTCCTTTCGTCACGAGCGATTGCGAGCGAGCGAGCGAGCGAGCGAGTCTTATTTGACCGAACGCCCTATGAGAAAGTCCCGAGACGTCGGAACAAGGCGACCGTTTTTTTCCCTCCAACACGGGGATCGGCAGAGCGATCTGCGCTGATAAGTGACCCATGGGAGAACGATAGGCAGCCAGCCGAGCCACAGGCGCACACAGTGCTGTGTACTGAAACAGATGTGCGTTGGGTCACACAGAGGCAAGGCCATAACATCATAGCCCCTCATTTCGACACTGCCACAACATCTCCACCGCCACTTTCACCTTCGACTCGCAGCAGCTCATTTCGAAGTGCCACCGTTCTTCCAGTACGAGAATGTGGCTCCATCTAGTTTGCTCTTTTGTTTTTGAGAATAATCTGGATTCACACCAGCTCCCATTCATTCCATTTTGTTGGGAGTCCTTTTCTTCTCTTCTTCTCTTTCTGGGATTTTAGGTCCTATTCCCTCACCTACCAACTCAAAGGACCCCACCCCCGCTTCTATAGTCCATCACGACAGCCCCATTGCCTCCTATGAAAAGACGAGTCACTGCATCATTACTATCCACGAAACTACTCCACTCATCTCCCAGATACGCCCTCCCCATCTATCCGTCCATCCGTCTCACCACCGGGCCCCACTCCTCAGTCGATGATGGAGCCGAGCTGAGCGTGGTACGTTTGTATCCTGATAAGCATCGCATCGCTCATCACGAGCACATCGTAAAGGCTGGAATCCTCCGGCAGTTTGACATACACATTCACTGACACGACAACAGGGACGAGCGGGAGCGGATGCAAAATTAATTGAGCTCACATATGGCCGTGTCAGATCGCGGACATGTCATCTATTCAACTGTTTATACAACACCCAACTGGTTCTCAAATCCAAGAGAAGAAGACATTACAAAGCCGTAGTCGAAAAACGAACTACCCATCACAAAAGATGCATTCAAATGCTGTGGCCGTGGACGTTGACCTCGGCGAAGGCAGCAGGGGCGCCACGAGGCGCGATGGGAGCGGCGTAGTGGGACAGGGTGTTGCGCCACTTGTCGCCGGTGCGCGTCTTGATGACGTCGGTCTTGAGGACGTCGGTCTTGAGGGCGTCGTGCTTGATGGTGGCGGCGTCGCAGGCGCCGCCGCTGAAGCCCTCGATGCTCGACAGGCAGTGCGACTTGACGCCCTCCTGGATGGCGATGACGTGGCGCCAGTCGAGGCTATCCTCGGCCAACGACCAAGCCATGACGTTCTCGACGCCGAGCTCCGCGACGATGGCGGCGAACTTGTCGGCGATGTGCTTGGGCTCGTCCCACGTCCAGAAGAGCGACGCGTTCTTGTCGAGGAAGTAGTTGCCGCCGTTGGTCTCGTCGACGACGGCGCCCGCCAGCGCGTTCTGCCACGACTGGATCGCCGTCAGCCCGTTGCAGACGCCGAAGTTGGCCTGGCACGACAGGCCGCAGTGCGCCTCGGTGCTGCCGCACCAGCCGCCCGAGCTGCAGCACGTGCCCTCGGGGCACTTGAGGCCGAGCGACGCGCCGCAGGTGCCGTCGGTGCTGGTCGTCAGGTTGGCGGGGGCGACGCCGGCGACGCTGCTGGGCTCGAAGGTCATGGCGCCGGAAAGGCCGTTGTCGGAGCCGTCGGCGAGCTCGAGCGCGACCGTCTTGCAGCCGGTGCCGAGGGGCTCGGTGGCGCAGCTCGACGTCGGGTCGATGGTGAAGTACTTGGCGTAGAAGGCGAAGCCGAGCGTGGCCTTGGACGCGGGCAGGCCGAGGTCGAGGTAGCGCTGGATCGAGTCGCGCGAGCCGACGAGGTCCGAGTGGTGCATCGTGTAGCCGTCGCGGCGGTTCATGAAGTCGTACGTCATGATGCCGAACCAGTCGACCAGCGGCACGATCTTGGGCATCGTGTCGGCCGTGAAGGCGAACATGTCACGCTCGAGGCCGGGGACGGCGATGGACAGGAGCTTGTCCTGGCCGATGGCCTGGCGCGTGGCGTTGAGCAGCAGGGGGAAGGCATCGACCTCCCACACCTTGTCCGAGTTGGGGACCGTCTTGTAGTCGGCGCCGTTGCCGCCGACGTACTCGTAGTCGATGTCTGCAGGCGAGGTGGTCAGCACGTAAGTTCTTTGCCCCCAGCTCACGTGTTTCTGGGTTCGGTGAGGATCGACTCACCAATGCCATCGAGGTTGTACTTGTCAATCAGCTTCTTGCAGTTGTTGGCAAAGCGGGTGCGGGCGGCCTCGTCCTTGAGGGTCAGGGTGTAGTTGACGTCGTTCCAGCCGCCGATGGCAGCCAGCACCTTGACGCCGGGGTCGAAGCGGGCGCGGAAGGTCTCGACGGGCTCGAACAGTTCGAAAGTGCCGCCCTCCTCGGTCAGGAAGTCGTTGGTCGACACGAAGGCCATGATGGCCGTGTCGATGCCGGCGTTGGTGGTGGCGTTGCCCAGATCAGACAAGTGCCACTCGTCGGCGTACATGATGTAGCGAGCCGAGGCAAGCTGGGTGGCCGTGGCCAGCATCGTGGCGGCGGAGAGGAGCTTCATGGCGGCAGGTAGCGAGTGCGTAGGTGCTGTGGAATGAAGGGAAGGGCTGCGGCGAAGAAGATCTTGTAGGGTTCCAAAGAGTGTGATCGAAATGGACGCAAAAGGGAAAAGAACGACTGGCGTCACTTGCTGCCCACGGGTAAGGAGGGTCAGGTGGGTGATGGGGGAGTGAACGTGGGAACAGGGACCATGGTGGGCAACGGGCAGGCTTTATTCGAAGCATGTCGGCTTCTTTGTCGCGGACGTGTCAGTCGATGTTGAAGTGATGAGGCTCGGTGTCTCTCATTTCAACGCGGAGGCTCGGCTGAGTCAGTGCGTCCCCGCAGGAGGTGTCGCTCAGGGTTGGCACGCATTGGCAAACACTGGCCGGCCAATCACCGCCGCCGGCCCGAGTCGCAAGTGAGCCCAAGACTGCCGGCTCCTACACAGCATACTTTTGCAACTGCCGTATCCATCACTCTATTTCTCTCTCCTCCGACGCCCGGCGGGAGTTTGTTACGCGCAAGCACTGGCACGGCCTTGCTTGCGCGCACATGCCTTTGCGCGCACATACCCCGCACCACCTCCCGGTGCGCCATCGGTTGTTTGTCGCAAACGGACAGACAGGTGCACGCAGCCATAGCATACTTCAGGCCTGAGTATGGGATGCTAGGGCGTTTCATACGCAGCAACACCCATGACGCACGACACGAGCAAGGCCCAGCGCTTTCCGGCTCGTCCGGCCGCCGCATTCGTTCCCCTCCCATGGAGTCTTCGAGCCAAGTCGGCTGCGCTGAGGAAGAAGGGGGCATCAGGCTACCCAGCCCAGACGACGGTCAGGGCCCTGGGCCGCGTGCGTCCTCTAGCTGCGACACCCCACAACACTCTTCGCGCTCAGCGACAACGGATCCTGCGCACCAAGCCTCAACGAAGTACTGCATCATCCATCATCCGGGCGTGAACGGAGAGGAACCGGGAGTCTGGCCCGCGGACCACCTGATGGAAGCTTTCATCTCCTTCTAGCGTGTGAGTGTGTACAGCACTAAACCTTACGCGCCGCGCCGCCCACCGCTTCTACGATTCATATACACGTGCCCCATGACAAGGCGCATCCCGTATTAATCTAAGGCCCCAATATAGCAACGTGATCATCGATGTTCCTGCCGCCCGCTAACGTCCGGCGATCCTTGCGACACTTCTACACGCTTAACTTTTGCAATGAGCCATGCTTCTCCTTTCCTCAGTGCCGCCCGCCGTGAAGCAGCTTGTTGAAAAACATGTGCAGCTGGCGAGATTCTCGGCTGAGTGGCACAAACGAATGGAGCAGCTTTGCAAGGATCGAAGATGAAGGTAAAGTCGTCTTTTCTATGACTCGAGCGAGCCTCTCTGTTACACAAAAGAAAAGATAAAATGCAAACCAAAGCATCCGGAACGCCCTCGGAATGTGTCCAGTATGTACAAGACGACAGCAAACCGAGTCTTTCTATATCCCTCCCAGCCCCTTGCTTGTCGCTAACCGCAAACCCGCAGAACAGAACAGAAAACAAGCTATTTACAACTCCCATCGCCACGGACCTCACCCCTCTACCTGGCGCGGTCGTTGATAGGCATGCGCCTGATGTCTCTCTTCGAGCTCGTCGCCTTGGGCAGAGCACCGGTGCAGTCAGCCCAGTTGTTGTACGTGCTGCTGGAGATGCCGAGCAGGCCGAGGCGGAACATGGCGTCGGCGAACTTGCCCGTCCACTTGCCCTGGTTGTCGACGAAGCCGGCAAACTCCTTTCCGACCGCCTTCGTCTTATCCGACAGGTTGACGTCGCTGTCGAAGCGCGCGACGCCCGGCGGCGGCGCGTACGTGTCCGAGTAGTACTGGACGTCCCACTTGCCCGGGGTGCCGTCCTGGGGCGCGCCGACGGGGATGGCCGTCTGGCCGACGTTCTTGCTGGTGCTGTGCGCGCCGATGAGCGCGGCCAGGTCGACCGCGTTGAACCCCTTGTCGACGAACAGCTGCAGCAGCGTGTCGTGGTCGCTGCCCGGCCCGAAGCCCGCCGGCATCACCCCCGTCGGCGACGCCGTCGTCGCGTCCCCGCGGCCCACCAGCGTCTTGACCGCCGGCCCGCCCGGGCACGTCACGATGGCGTGGTTGCCCGCGAACTGGATCAGGTCCGCCGCGCCGACGCCCTGCGCGTGGTAGGTGTTGTACTTGGCCGTGATGTACGCGTGGTAGGTCTCCAGCCCGTGGTTCTCGGGCCGGGCGATCTCGGACGGGATCAGGAGGAGGGAGCCGTCGGCGCCGCCCGAGGCCGGGGCGTAGGTCGGGAGCTTGAGGGAGAAGGTGCCGGCGTCGTGGAAGGCGTAGCGGATGGCGGCGCGGGCGAGGTCGGTGCACTGGCCGTCGGTGCCGAGGAAGTCCTTGGTGAGGTCGGAGGAGATGGTGGTGTAGACGGCGGGGCACGAGGGGGTTTTACGGGCGGAGAGGTTGGAAAGGGCCCGGCTGGTGACGTCGTGGATCGACGAAGTGAGGGAATCAAGGGATGAAGGAAGGGAGAAGGAATAGGCGACACTGCCGCATGCGGAAGTGAGGAGGAGGGTTGAGGAACGCATGGTTGGTTGATTGGCTGGATTGGTCGGTGGGATGCCTTTGCTTGGAAGGTGAGAAGACTCTGTGGTGATGAAGGCTGATGACAGAAGAGATGCTGTTGGTGATCGATTGTTCAGAAACGCAAGACGGCGGCCGGTCTATATACGAGTCTCTCGCCTGCTCTGGGGACGTCAACTTCTCAGGTCTCGAGCATCTTCGCGTGTCTCGCCAACCCGCCATGCGCCGCCACCGCCAGCCGCTATCCTTCCAGCCCCGGAGCTGACCGCCAACGCCCCTCGCGTGGACGCTAGAACGTGGCATGCTTCCACGAGACGCTAGAACGTGGCATGTTTCCACGAGGGTACCAGTGTCCAGCGGACTACTGAGCCTGGTACGCTGCAGAAGAAGTTCCTGGACGGTTCGCTAGGCTCATCACATCGCCGTCTTTCCTGAAGGAAGATTAGTCCCGCCATGTATCGACCTGGCTCAGCTCAACCACACTTCTCCTCATCAGCTGGGTAATGGAGACCACGCGATTGGACAAGACATGGTTCAGCTTGAACGGTCTACCGTACTGGGTGGCCGGCTCAACAAGTCCCCGTCAGATATGCTGCAGCTGTATGCATGTCATTGGATTCCACCGTGCTATGATTGGGCGCAGCAGCGGCATGAAGTTGGATCCTGCGCAGTACAAGCGGAAAGTATAACTTTGGCATCTCCACTCTCCCGTCCGCCAGCGCGGACAGCTTTCTTACAGCTACCAGTCAGCGGAGCTACAGGTGGAAGTCCGGAAGCGAGGTGGTGCGGCTGAAGGGCCCCCCCCCTTACGATGTCCGGTTTAGCCCCGATCCCTCCCCGCATGCACGCCTACCCGAACAGGCAAGCGAGCAATACCCGATTGGGTAAGGGATGTCGCGAAGACGATGCGAGACGCCGCTGTCATCGGGAAGATGCCGCCGCCAGGCATCGCTGACTTCCTCGCTTGGCACGCTATCCCGCGCTGTTCAACAGCCCGGGCCCCCGGTCTTGTCCCGCCCTCCCGGTCCCAGTTCTCCGCCTTCAGCCCAGGGTCCAGACTCAGGAACATGGGCCGACTTTCCAGCTGAGCGGTTGCTGGTTGCCACGAGTGTATCAGGACGTACCTGGTACGCGGACGAGGAGAAAAAACGTGTTCGCGTGGGCCCGTTGACGCTACCACATGCGAAAACGCACCGGGCGGCTCAATGTTCTGGCATCTTCCGGTGTGCTGACTCTCGTGAGTGTTTTGAGCAAATTCAGAGCAAGGATGATGCAGGGCCAACGACAAGCAAGCCAAAGTGGCAGATATTGCTGCTAAAACGTTATACGAGGAACGGAGGCTATTTTTGGGTCAGCCACGTCGATCAGCCGTGTGGCCGGGCAATGGATATGCAGGCATGCTCCTAGCTTTGCGCGAGAACAAAATCCAGACCCAGGCCGCCGCTCGCAGCATGGCGGGGAGGACGACATGGCGCGTGACTACCTACAGCCCCCTCTCGCAGCCGATGGCTAACGCGAAGAATAGCAGAACATGGCGTAACCATCCTTAGCTCGTTCCTAAAGAAAAAAAAAAACAATACGTGGGTAGTTGAAGCCATCGTCCGGACGATGGCTTCAACCACCCATGACATGAGCAAAAAACAGATCCACGCTAGCCATCGGCTGCGCGAAGGAGCTGTATATCGTATGCAAGCCCGTACTGCTATTTCCAAGCCGCAAAGCCACGCCCTCAAGCCACACTCCTCCACACTCGGCACCATCCCGTCCAACCACAGCGCCGTGATTACCACGAGCCGGCGTGTACAGGTCAGCAGTCACTGCTCAGCAAAGCAAGCGGGAAAAGCGTAATCGCTCTAATCTGCTCTTTCATTCGTTCTCGGCCATGACCGCCAAGAGTGTGGCTTTATCTTCTCTCATGCCCCGGCTATTCCGCCCAATGGCTTGTGGCTAGAAGCTATTGGCACCGGAGCCCGGGTCTCCAAGGTGTTTTCCCACGATGGTGTGGTTTCCGCCCCGCTCCCTATGTCTATGAATCCCAGTCTATGTCCCTAAAGCAGCAAGAGTGGCTGTTCTTTGCCAAGACCCGCTCAGCACGCCAGCTCATGCAGCAGGTCACAAGAAGAAGAAGAGAAAATGAAAAGAGCTTAGCATCAACCACTCGCTGGTCCGGATGATGCCGAGCCAAAGAATCCATGAAACAGAGAATCGGAACCCCACGGGGGTAAAAAAAAAACCAAGAAAAACGAAAAAAACAAGCAAAACAACAAAAAAGCTTGGCTCCCCCGCGTCGACGTCTAAGCCTCAGCCTTGATGATGTCGGCCGCCTTCTCAGCGACGGCATACAGCGTGGACACGAGGTGGCCGCAGACCTGGAAGGGCAGCACGCCGGCGTCGACGACGCGCACGTTGGCGGTCCCGTAGACGCGCAGCGACGGGTCGACGACGCCGCCGAGCGCGCGCGGCAGCATCGCCGTCGTGCCTACCGGATGAAAATTCGATCTATAATTGTCGAGCACCCAGCGCGCGAGCTCAGCGTCGGTCCGCACGCCCGCACCCGGAGCCGTCTCGTTGGCGAGCAGGGGCTTGAGCGGGGATGTCGCGAACAGCTGCCGCACGTACTTGGCCGTGCCCACCTGCTCCGTCATGTCCCAGTCGAACTGGTAGTAGTTGGGGTTGATGCGCGGCGCGGATGTTGGGGAGGTGTCGATGTGCACGTTGCCGCGCGCGAAGGGGAGCAGCGACCAGAACTCGGCGGAGAAGGCGGAGCCCGTGGGGTAGATGAGGATCTCGGCGAGGGGCACCTTGTCCTTGAAGATGAGGTCGTACTGGATGTCGAAGAAGCGCTTGTGCGCGGCGGCGGAGATGGCGCCGTTGGAGACGTTGGACGCGGCGGCCGCCCATGAGGACAGCTGCTTCTTGACCGACGCGGCGACGGCCGCCGTCTGGTTGCCGAAGATGTCCTCGACGTCCGGGTAGGCGACGTTGACGGCGGTGCCGCTGAAGCTCTTGGCCGCCGTGCCGTCGAAGCCGTTGTTGGTCTGGTCCTGCAGGTTCTCGCCCACGGACGGGAGCGCGACCTTGGTGGCGACGCCCGCCGCCTTGAGGATGTCCGGGTTGCCGACGCCCGACAGCTCGAGCAGGACGGGGGAGCGCAGCGAGCCGGCTGATAGGATGACCTCCTTGTTGGCGTAGATGGTGCGCGTCTTGCCGGTGCTGTCCTTGACCTCGACCCCAGAAGCCGTGGCGGTGTCATCAGCGCCGCCGGACTGGGCCCACACGAGCTTCTGCGCCTCGGTGTTGAGGAAGACGCGGTAGTTGGTCCTGTTCTGGAAGGGGTAGTAGTAGGCGCGGGCGGCGTCCTCGCGCACGTTGAGGGCGACGTCGAGGGTCGAGGGGAAGACGTTCCAGCCGGCCATGTGGCCGCCGGCAATATCCTGCAGGTACGGCACGTTGTTGGCCTTGTACGTGGCGTTGAGCACCTCCGGGAAGCTGACGTTCATCATCTGGTTCTTCCACCCGACCTTGAGCGGGCCCGACGTGCCGTGGTAGGCGGCATCGTACGTCGCGCCGCCCGCCTGCTGGTCCGCGTCCGGCACCTGCACCGTCTCCGACTTCTTGTAGTACTCGAGCAGCGACGCCCAGTTCCAGCCCTTGTTGCCGATCTTCTCCCACGCATCGATCTGCGCGTCCTCGGCTCTGGTGTAGGCCATGCCTGCAAGTGCCTGTCAACATCAAGTCACTTCAGGCGTCAGGGATGCAGTCCTTACCGTTGATGGTGCTGGTGCCACCGAGAGCCTTGCCGGCGCGCAGCGTCTGGGTCTTGCCGCCGCCGTAGGTCTGGTTGACCGACTCGTAGGCCCAGTCGATGTCGGTACCTTGCACGTCTGTCAGCGTTGGCCTCGTCAAGCGGGATAGCACACTTCCGTACCGAAGGCCAGTCCGTAGCCGTTGGGGTTGGTGACGTTCTCGTTGGTGAAGACGGAGCCACCAGCCTCAATGACGGCAACAGTGACGTTGCTCAGCTCCGACAGACGGTTGGCGACAACGAGGCCGCTGGTGCCTCCGCCGACGATGATGTAGTCGTACTTGGCCGGGGCCGCCGGGGCCGCCAGGGCCGTGGCCGCGAGGAGCGGCGCGGCTGCGAGAACACTGTGCATCTTGACTGAGAGGAAAAGAGTGAGGGATGTCGGGATCGGCCACGAGTGCTGCTGTAGAGCCCATCTGGAATCACTCGGCGGGACGGGTGTACATATAGGCGGGCCATGGCAGAGGTAAATCCGGCGTCCCGTCACCGGCCCCCAGGGCTCTATACAGAAGGCTCCAGCACACACGAGCAGGCAGGTACTTTGTCATGCTTAGCAATTGGGGGGATGATCTCACAGGGCGGCACGGTAGTTTGCCATGGGTGCTTCAAGATTGGCCAGGGGTCGGGATGGAGCAGGGCCGGGCGGCCGAAAAGGCTCGTTTCATCATCGGACCGTGCCGAGAAAAAACGGCGTCACCGATGCCGCGGGCGTGCCTCCGGTGCTCGGCCTGCGTAGTGCCAAGGGCGGAGCGGCGAAATCGTCATGGGGAGTCACTGAAGCGATGAGCAATGCAGTGCAGCTACGACGAGACTCCGGTCTGCGCAGCAGCTGCAGCCTTCCGGTTGCGGCCGTAGACTGGTGCCATTGGGACCATCAGGAAACGACAAGGATGCGGGCATGCGAGGACGGAGGCGGCGGAGGTTGGAAAAATTGTCGCAGGGCAGCATCGGACCGACGGCACAGCAAAGCGCAGGATCTTCTGCCAGGGTGCTATCCACTCTCTTTCCCCTTTGGTCTAGCCCAGCTCCCTCTAAGCTTCGAGGCGCAGGGCGGAAATGTGCCGTTCGGTGGATCTGATAAGAAAGGATGTCTTGTAAGCAGCCAGAAACTTCAGCACTTCCCTCGGCGCCCTCTCGGACACGGCATCTGGCAAGGATTTCTCAAAGCCAGCTGCGCTAGGTACCCTGATGCTTGTTCAATCCGCCGCAGAGGCAATCTCGCATCATGGCACAGCAGCCCCGACAACAACCGTTTCCACTTTCTTCCGAGGCCAGACCCATTAATTGTTTGTATAGTGGAGGGGCGCTGTGCCTCGAGCCTCCCTTGCCTGGACCAGCCCGTCGGATTTGTGTTTGTGCTGAGGATCCGATTCCGGTGCGTGCGCGCAGTTTCTCTCTCTCGTTTCAGCCCGCGCTGCTGCTCAAACGAACCTCTGTCGTGCCCCTGATCGGATAGAAGTCGGCAACGGCCGTCGAGGAAGTCTTTTGTTTCCACTCCAGCTGAGTCAGTCCGACGTGTTGTCATGATGTTTGCGCCGATCAGCAGAAACCGTTCCGAAATCGCCACAACACCACGCCCATCGTGCGTAGCGTTCCGTCTTCTGACTCGTGCAAGGCAAACGCCATCGCTGTCCGATGTTATCGACGCTCCACCTTCCTTGTATCCCCCTCTCTTCGCAGACTCGCGGTGTGTTGCGTTCCAAAGGAATATGGATACCTGCATTGAGCCGCCTTCTTGTTAAGCTTGAACACAAGCTTCCGGTTCCCGCCTCGGCAAGCTCTGCGATGGGTTCCGTGCTGCTTCGTTCATCCCCTGCCAAGTGATAAGGGAACGAGGTCCCGCAGGTCCGATCCACCTTCTCGGCATTCACACCGGGGCTGCGCGGCAGTAGTGAGGTTCTCTTGCAGTTCTGCGACTCAGAAAGGGGGGAACAAGGACAAGGGCATTCACCACTTGTTCCAGCCTCTCAACGTTTCACCGCGCGATAGGCGATGCCGACGAGCAGGAAGGAGCTGGCGTGGGCAGCTGCGCCTGCCAAGGAGTGAACATCACTGCCGGTCAGGGCCAAGTAAGGCGTGACACCTTCCCGCTACTTTGTCTCAGCAAAGGCGTCGGTTGCAACAAAGTATGTACCTATAAACATTCTCTTTTTCTGCTGTTGGCTGCAAGCGCACTGCACTCCCCGGATCATCAGTCAAACGTTCGTGCAACCACACGAATAATCCGGGGCACATCCAACGCCCGTCGTCTCCCGGGACGCTAACGTCATGGTACATCCGGTCCACGAGGCGTTGCTGCGACAAGCCGCTGTCGCCACTCTCGCGACCAGAGTTCATCGACACGTGCAATCGCGATTCGCGGGTGGCTCCGGTAGGCACCACGATCGGGGCAATCCGAAGGCTCCCGTGATGAAACTTGGGGTCAAGTTTCATTGATACTGCAACAACTTCGCCGGCGGACATGGAGGATCGACGTAGCCTTCGGGACTTCGATATCATCGCATAAGCTGAACCTATGCATCCGCGTTCTTGCTTCAACTGCACATGGCTGTTCACGAAGCCACAGCAATACCAGGTGATCAGATCCGTAGTGCGAATGGAAGGGCGTTATTGTTCGTTGGGTAGGATCGATCAAGGTCGAAGCAGTCTTTGGTTCGTTCGCGCTCTCTCGGTCTACAAAGGCATCTCTCGACTATGCCTGTTCGAGTTCTTGTAAATCGAGTAGCCATGATCTTTTCAAGCAGCCGATTGGCTGTTGTAGGTAGTGTAGAGAAGCACGTGTGCATTTACCTGATTGCTAACCAGAAAGGGAAAAGGGACCACATACCTACGCCACGCGAGAGAATCATCATACGATGCACGAGAACCATACGGAGAACCAATCCAGCCCCCCATGGAACCACGGGAGCGACCAACGGGGGCGAACGTTCACCCAGCTTACCCGTCGGCAAGCCGGCGCGACGCCGACCCTGAAGCCACGGCCCGACGGTGCAGCGGTTATCCTAAATTAGTTCCGACCGAAGCCACAACAACGGAGAGCCGCACTACCTGCGAGGTTCGGTCGAGACTTGTCCCATAGAGGAATGCGGTCTCCAGCTGAAGACGATGCTTGTTTTGGGCGTTTCTTGGGCCCCGTTGGCCGCATCTGAAACGGTCCAGGTCCAGGTTTCATGGAGAATCCTCCGGCGCTGGCTTCCGATCTTGCGCTGCGTGGCTGCGAGACTGTGGCTTGGTAATGCGCCTTTTGATGAAATGGTTGCCGGCAGACATCTGAAGTAGGCAAATGGAAAAGATAGCGGACCAGAAACACCGCGAAAGCCGGGCAACTTGGAAAGTGGCGAGACAAGAACACTTCCTCTCGGTCTCTGAACCAAGACGGCTGAAATCGCAAAACGGTGGCATGGTGCCGAAGACGCTGTCAAAAACGACAGTGACGAAGAGACATATAGATGTGCACCAGTGCGACAAGGCAATACAGTGGATTGCCAACCAACCACGAGGGCTGCATTGCAAACATGTTAACAGTAGTATAGAGTATCCAGCGCAATAGAAGCGAGGAGCCGTGCCCGTGCAGGCGGCGACGCGCCCTGCGTCAATCACAACCGCTCAAACGTTGATGTCGCACGCCATCTACAGATCAGAGCGTCGCACCTGGCTTACACTATTTCTCGAACTTTCAGGAAACTTTGCCATGGCAACTTCCCAATTGGCATATCACCGCGAGTGGTACGTGTGCTCCAAAGGCCCTGCCGCCGGACAACAAATTTGATCGGGCAGCTTCCGAGAATGCGAGTCCGGCAGCACAGGCAAAAGGTAGACATAAGCAGACAACTCCAGACACGATTCCACAGCCTCTCACCGGCTATCCATTCTTTCTTCGTGCAACACCCTATCAACTGCTCGTTCATCATGAAGTTCTCCACCATTGCCACGCTGATCAGCGCGACCTGACCGATGTCGACAAGCGCTCCATCTACCAGACCATCCCGAAAGACACGTGCACGGACATCAACCCGCAGACGGCAAAGCTGCTGGACGGCTAGGAGAAGCGCGCCGATGGCACCACCGACGATGAGACGTTCCTGCGCGGCATCGTGAAGTGCGACAAGGAGGGCACGGTCGAGTTTCTGAACAAGTTCCCCGGATGCTACATCACCAGCACCACCCACATCCACCTGACCGTCCAGACGAACGTCTCCAAGCACCTCGTACAGTACCTCGGCCGTCCAGCACACCGGCCAGCTCTTCTTGATTCTTCTACGACGACCGGCTCAACACCGTCTACCAGCTCTCCCCCTACGCCGCACATCTTGAGACGCTCAACCGCGCGCTCAACAGCAAGGACTAGACAATCAAGTACTGGATGACCTCTTGCGTGAACAAACCAAACAAATGTTGTGGTCAAGCAATCCGTCATTGACATGGCGTGTTTGGTGAATACTTTACTGCTGCGTTTCTGTCGAGCATATGCAGGCTCGATGTTTACTGGAAAACGTAAATGTGGATTTCGTGTCAATGAGGAGTATCACTATGGTACGGTCAAAGAATGAAAGCGAGGTTGCCTTCTTGCACATTGGACGGGCGTACTGAGAGGAAGGATCCAGGGGCTACGAAGTGCTATGACGTTGATATAGCATGCTGTCATGAATGCGAGAGCCGTGGCAAGAAAAATCGCCTGCATTTTGGGACACCGCCTAAAGAGATTTCGTCCTCGTGTACCTCACCCTACAACACAATCTCAATCACTGGGCTTGGTGGGACGGAGTTCGTTGCAGGGATTCAGATCTTGCGCGCTTCTTGATCCGCGCGGACCCACAGGACTCCAATCCCACGTGGACTCCGTACGTCCTTCATCCCCCATCCGCGGAGTACGATTCCGCCGTCCGCACCGCGATCCGTCGACTCCCTCTACCGGACCAGGATTGGCAAGACGTCGAGCCAGCTCCACTTTCGCTCCCGCCCGTCGCACTCGCCGAAGTCGAACGTCTCAACTTGTCGGGGGAGCCTTCTCCGCCGCTTGAAACCGCACAAGCCGCCGAGACAGACATCCAACGGACCCTCATCCACAAGTGTACCGAGGAATTCCAGCGGAGGCGTTTTAGGCCTCACCCGCTCGCCGAAGCAAGGGCAATCGCCTAGTCGATCTTTCGGATCTTGCGGATCTTAGGCACCACGCTCGTTGAGCAAGGTCCGGATCTGTTCACGCTTAGAGACTTCTTGAAGCTTCATACAATCTTCCAAGGTGACCCGGCCGTCTGGGCTTACCTCGACAAGCGATTCGCAGGTTCAATCCTGCTTACGCATTACGCGCCCTTGGGTGCCGAGTCAGTGACGGAGATGGTCATCTTCTTTCATCGACGAAAAGCTCTATGTATTAGCAACAATGCCCAGATTTTGAAGAAAATAGTTGTTCATACGAACAGCACCAGGCATCAACGGCTTTTTCAGCAGACTGCTTCGGTTTTAGCACTGTAAAGTGGCATAGGGAATCCGGTTGATCCGATGCTATGGTGCTTTTATGATTATTAATAAAGCTTCAGAGTGGTCCGCTCCAGTTGGATGAAAGCATTGCGGCACGAGAAAATAGACTCAAGACAATTTTATTCAAACGTGCTTTGCTGATGCAGACTTCCTGACGTTCGATGTGTGGACGTACGCCGTGCGCTTCACGGATTCAAGGATACTCTTCGAGCTCCCCGACGGCCACCAACGGGACTTCTTCGTCCTTCTGCTTGAGGCGAGTGGGGACGACGAGCCCCAAGAATTGCCGGACGACCCAGTTGACACGGATGATTTCAGAGCTCGCTACCTTGGCATGGTGCGGTGGTGGGAGGATGATAGCGACGACGACCACGTCAACGACGGCGACGAGCCTGCAGACTCGTCCTTGCCGTCGAACTTTAGAGAATGGCTTGCATACTGGGAGATAGATGATTGATTTGTAGAGATTGAATTGAGAGATTTGGGTTTCCACTGCGGATGACTTGAAATGAATCGCGACGAGTGACGGAAGGAGCGAGCGGAGCGAGCAGGAAGGAGCGAGAGGCTGGGGACTTGGGCTGGGGCCAAGCCGGATCGGGCGCTAGCGGGGCGGCGCCGATGCCCAGCGGGCCTGGTTTGGCGGGTTTGGCGGGGCAGCAATGCGACAGCCAGTGACGGCGGCGGCGCCCGGCAGAAAAATACAAAACATCTGCCTCTTCTCCTCCACGCCTCTCACCCCTCTCACCATTATCCTCCCCAGACTCGTCCCTCGCACCAGCTGCCGCCCTTTCGCCCGCCTCTCGCGCCCCCGCCTGCTCCACTCCTGCCCCCGCGCCTGCCTGCCAACCGCCAGAATGAGCGACATCGCCCACCCCACCATCAAGGGTGCGTCCCTCGCCATTGCGCCGCCACGCCTCCTCCGTTGCCGCTGACCCAATCCTCGCAGATGGCTGGTTCCGCGAAATCTCCGACATGTGGCCTGGCCAGGCCATGACCCTCAAGGTCAACCAGGTCCTCCACCACGAGAAGAGCAAGTACCAGGACGTGCTCATCTTCGAGTCGTCCGACTACGGCACCGTCCTCGTCCTCGACAACGTCATCCAGTGCACCGAGCGCGACGAGTTCTCCTACCAGGAGATGATCACCCACCTGGCCATGAACTCGCACCCCAACCCCAAGAAGGTCCTGGTCATCGGCGGCGGCGACGGCGGCGTGCTGCGCGAGGTCGTCAAGCACGACTGCGTCGAGGAGGCCATCCTGTGCGACATTGACGAGGCCGTCATCCGCCTCTCCAAGAAGTACCTGCCCGGCATGAGCGTCGGCTTCCAGCACCCCGCCGTCCAGACCATCGTCGGCGACGGCTTCAAGTTCCTGGCCGACCGCCAGAACGAGTTCGACGTCATCATCACCGACTCTTCCGACCCCGAGGGCCCCGCCGAGTCGCTCTTCCAGAAGTCGTACTTTGAGCTGCTCAACGGCGCCCTGCGCGAGGGTGGTGTCATCACCACGCAAGGTTGTAAGCCCCCACCTCCCCGCACAGAGAAATACAGCATTATCCACCCGTCACTTGGCAGAGAAGCAGTCGGCTAACCAATTCTCTCTTTCTCCGCTCGCAGCCGAGAACCAGTGGCTCCACATGCCCCTCATCGCCAAGCTCATGAAGGACTGCAAGGAGGTCTTCCCCACCGTCGACTACGCCTACACCACCATCCCAACCTACCCCTCGGGCCAGATCGGCTTCATGGTCTGCTGCAAGGACGCCGACCGCAACCTCAAGAAGCCCGTCCGCTCCTGGTCCACCGAAGAGGAGGAGAAGCTGTGCAAGTACTACAGCAAGGAGATCCACGAGGCTTCCTTCGTTCTGCCCACCTTTGCCCGCAAAGCCCTGAGGCAATAGATTGGAGTCTAATAGGAAAGCTACCATCGGCGCATTTACTCTCAAGAGAGCAAAAATTTTCGTTATTAGACGGTATCGGAAATGTAGATACCTGGGTACAAAAGCAATGGATGACTTACGGCTAATTTGAATCAACTCGTCATCAGCGTCCAAAACGAAGAATAATTTCAAAGCACGCTCCAATAATCTCAATTGAGGACCTCTCGACCGTATCACGACCTCTGTCATAACTTTTGATGTTCCCAGATACTTGAAAGCCAAGTCTAGCCATCTGGCCAGCACTTCAGTCTATTCCCTTATCAGCATCCTTGTCATTGTTCTCATCAATCCTGTGCAACGCATCACATGTCTTCGTCACCAAAGATGCTCTTCCCCGCTGCAAGTGGATCCGCTCACCCCATCATGTCCCCCCCACCTGCCTGTGCCACGTCCACCAACCACCTCTCTGCTCCACAAAATCGCACCATCTTTTGACATCGTCCAAGAATGCCAGACTGTTCCACCACAAAAACAGTCCGTCCGGACAGCCGCATGTCTGCGCAATGCTTCAGTATTGTTTGCGCCCGGCTGCGGCAGCCCAACGCTGCGAGATCGCATTTTCCCGAGCATATCGGCTTCGCTCCCCCCTACATAAGAGCCATGCACACGCGTATGCATGTGGAGGGGAATTGGAATTTCCCGGCGAGCAACGTGACTTTGCAACGTCGAGTGTTCCTCATTTGCGGGCTGGTGGTCGTGGCGTCGTGGTTGCGGTCGAGGTTGGTGTCTAGGACATCCGAATAGGTGTGGTGGGTACTTTCGCCAGTTCAGCTCACGTTGCTGGAATCAGTTGTGGAAAGGGGCTGCTGGAGCTTGTCGTCTTGAGCCGGGCGGCGTGTGTAGCAGCAGCAGCAGCAGCAATATCCGAGATATGCTGCTGGTATACCATCTACTCCCGCTCCCCACCCACCAAACCATCAAACGCCGCCATCGCCGCTTCGACATCCTCCCCCTCAGCCCCCTCCTCCCGCTCCTCCGCCTCCTGCCTGCCTCCACCATCTCCACCCCCCTTCCGCCGTTCCGCCTGTCCCTCCACCCCAGCCGCCCCTCGTTGCCCCTCCCCCTCCTCACCCTCCCCCTCCTTACTCCCCTCCAGCCCCATCCTCATCTTCTCCGTCTCCCTCTCCCTCTCCCTCCTCTTCTTCTCCCTCACCCTGTGCCCCCGACTCCTCACATGCCTCTCCCAGTCCGCCTCCGTCACCGCCACCGTCCCGCACGTCTCGCACGCCCGCCGCCGCCACAGGTCCGGCCGCGCGCTGAGGTCGTAGCCGCGCCGCGGCGTCAGCATCTCGGCCGCCGCGGGGGACAGCGTCGTCGGCGGGGGCATCGAGGGTCGTTGCTGTTGCTGCTGCTCGCCATCCTGGTCCTGGTCCTGGTCCTGGAGGAGGAGGAACTGCGCGGTTAGGTCGAGGGCTGGGGTCGAAACGGAGGAGGTCCAGAAGGGGAGGTGGGTGGCGTCGAGGAGGTAGAGGGGGGTGGTGGTGTTGTTGTTGTCTGGAGGGGGAGGAGAAGAAGGAGGAGGGGGAGGAGCGTCGGAGTTGGCGAGCGCGTTGAGCAGCTTGATTCGGATCCAGCGCAGCTGCCGCTTGGCGTATTGCCGGGTGGCGGCTTGGACGTGTTCGATGGCGCGGGCGCGGAGGAGGGCGAGCTCTTTGCTGTTGGAGGTGGTCGAGGAGGAGGACGAGGCGGTGAGGGCGCGTTGGTAGGCCTCGAATTCCTTGAAGCCGATGGAGACCCATATGCCGCGGGTCCGGTCGACGGGGTGGCCCTCGGCTTCGCGTTGTTGGAGGAAAGCGTCGAGCGAGGCGACTTCGGCGAGGAGGCCGTTTGCGAGCATCTTCTCTACGCGGGCGTCCAGCCGGGCGCGGAGGGTCGAGGGGTCGGCGTGGACCCAGAAGAGGAGGGCGGGGAAGCGTTGCTGCTGCTGCTGCTGCTGCGTGGGGGACGTTGGGTCCTGGTCCTTTCCCTCTCCCGTCTCTTCCATGTCATCAACGGCGGTTACGGGCTGCTGTTGCTGCTGCTGTTCCCGCTTCCGCACACTCTGCTCCTCGTACATCTGCGAGGCGGGCTTGCCGGTCTTCAGCCAGATCTGCAGGGAGCGCTGGATCTTGCGCCGGTCGTTTGGGTGCCAGCGGTCTGCCATGACCGGGTCGACTTCTTGGAGCTTGGCCAGGATGACTTCGGTGGGCTCGTCCAGGATGGGATAGTTTTCACTGTCGTTGTCTGCGTCTTCCGGTTTGGGCTCCTCTTCTGTTTGCTGATCTGCGAGACTATCCTTGAACAGCAGGGACTGGATGTAGTAGTGGGTGCCACCGACGATGATTGGCAGCTTCCCCCGGGAATGGATGTCGTCGACGACACGCAAAGCTCTTTTGACAAATTCGGTGACGGTCCAGGTGTCCTCGGAAAGGGTGATGGTGCCAAGCAAATGGTGAGGCACGCTTTGCATTTCTTCCTGGGTGATTTTGTTGGTGATGACGGGCAGTCCTTCGTACAGCTGCATGGCATCGCTGTTGACTATCTCGCCGTTGAAGCGGCGGGCCAGCTCAACAGCAAGCTATACAGCACCATCAGAACCATGTCAAATGGAAAATGCATGGTTCCTACCTGAGATTTGCCCGTGCCTGTGGCGCCGATGACGGCGATGACCGGTTTCCGAGACGGACAACGGGCCATGGTGTTGATGCCTCTCCGCAGGATCCCGGCGACTCTCAGCATGCATTCAGAAGCGGTGCAGTGGTGCGTCGGAGAAGGCGGCTTGCAGAGTCACAGGCCGAGAGGATTCTGCTGGGCTGACGAAAAGTGGTGGCCGGTCGACGCCAACCCAATCTGGTGCTAGGCTGTCGGATCCGTTGTTGCGTGCTTCGGTCGGAGCTCGCCGCGGTTCAGAACGCGCGACCGACACCATCTCGTCATCCATTGTGTGAAATACGCCCCCGCCACGCCCCGCCATGTAGCAGCACTCACGGCCACTTCTCTCTTTCCTCCTCCTCTCCCAATCCCTCGCAATGTCCGGCTCCAGCTCCCAGGCCAATGGCGTCGCCCCGTCTATTGGCGTCAAGAACCTCCACTACAAATTCCCCGACGGCAGCAGCGGCCTGCGGGATGTCATTCTCGATCTCCCGCCGGGAAGCCGCACGCTGTTGATCGGAGGTGAGTCACCCCGCCATGCAACCAAAAAAAGAAAAAAAAAAGAAGGAACAAACCCCGCTGACGCGCGCATTTCTGCCTACGCACCCCAGCCAACGGAGCCGGCAAAACGACGCTCCTCCGCCTCCTCTCGGGAAAGCGCATGGCGCCGGCGGGCACCGTGTCCATCGCCGGCGTGGACCCCTTCTCCCACGGGCTCGAAGGCGTGACGTACCTGGGGCTGGAGTGGGTGCTGAACCCCATCGTGCGGACGGATATCGACGTGCCGACGCTGCTCTCGTCGGTCGGCGGCGACTACTACCACGAGCGTCGCGACGAGCTCGTCGGCATCCTCGACATCGACCTGCGCTGGCGCATGCACGCCGTCAGCGACGGCGAGCGCCGCCGCGTGCAGCTCGCCATGGGCCTGCTGCGTCCCTGGAGCATCCTGCTGCTCGACGAGATCACCGTCGACCTCGACTTGCTGTCGCGGAGCAACTTTTTGCGCTTCCTCAAGCGCGAGACGGAGACTAGGCCGTGCACCATTGTCTACGCGACGCATATCCTGGATAACCTGGCGGACTGGCCGTCGCATCTCGTGCACATGAGCTTGGGGAAGGTCAAGAAGTGGGGTGGGATTGAGGATTTCTACGCTACGCGCGCGGATGTGCCGCATTCGGGCAATAGTCAGCTAGGCGAGCTCGTGCTCAAGTGGCTGCAGGAGGATCTCGACGAGAGGGGCCCGCGCAACGGCCAGGCTTCTGAGGGGAAGACGTATCCGCTTCTTGAGGGCAAGGGCGGCTACGGCTTGGAGAAGAAGGCTTGAGTTGCTATGACCCGAATGTCTCTTGGAAATCAAGGGAGTTTGCACTTGTTATTGGCAAACAGGATAGAAGCAGCTTTTAATAGAAGATATAGGAAGAAGACGTATTTGTTTTGGTAAAGGAGAACGTGATGCCGAGATATCCAACCTGAAGCTCTACGTATGCAGATTGATCACGGATGTGATGAATAAGAAATGAATGGCCTAATCTCGCCGAGAGTGAGTGAGCACATTATCCAGTGTTAACAACTTTCTTGCTCCAGTAGCGGCGAGACCACTTGTGCATGCTTTGGAGGGGCATAGCCACATACCATTCTGTAGTCGCATACGGTGTACGTATAATGCCACACTTCTTCAGACTGAGTTCTGCTCAGAGCGGTCCAAGGCTGAAGATCCCTAAAACCAGAGTAGTATCAGAAAGTGATTCCAGACATCAATTTCTGAGTTGTTCGAGCTTAGTGGTGAAATACCATCTGTTCACATGAATCGGGTGATGATCCCGACCCTGACCTTAGATGTTTCTGAAATTGAGGTTGTTCCCAGTTGACGCTTTCCGGAGCCACTTCCTGACCGATGATGTTTTTGTATACCTCCGTATGACGAAACTGGTTGAAAAGCTCCCTTTGACAGTTCTCTATGAACTCCAGGAGCTGTGGAGTCACAGCTTGCTCTGCGAGACGTTTCCTGTTCACTTTCTCGACAACCTGAGGTATTTCTTTGCTACTAAATGATTCAAACCCATCCAATACTTTGACTTCCTGAGCCGGGCGCTCTCTAGATGCTAGTGCGGCATCGGGTTCGAGGTCTTGAAGTTAGTCAGACCCCGATTGCCGACCCTACTGTAAATTTAGGACAGGGGAAACAATGGAGAACTCACAAGCAGATGGCACTTTGTCCAGTGCAACGTCGGGAAAAAGGATCTTGAAGACACCTCTCCACTTCTCCTCTTCATCACCATCCCCTTTCGACCTCTTCTTGGTCCTTAACTTCAGCTCTTGATCTTTGTCAAACCCTTCAGCATTCGAAATCCGCGGTTGCGGCGTGCACCTTTGAGAAGCACTGAGGTGGACTGTTCTCTCTTGCTCACTGCTGAAATGCTCCTGGCACCGTGGGCATTCAATTGGCAGCCTGTGGATTCTATACAAGTGCTCCCTGTGACGTTTCATCAGCATGCATATCACAAGCTTTGAGAAGTCTTCCTTTTTTACTTCAGCCTTGCCACGCTGGAAAAGCCCGGGTGGACACAGGCCACCGGCCTGCCTTCTTTCCTCGGGTTCTGCTTGTAGTATGGACAGGCAAGCTTCTTGCTCTTTGGATCGCCGCTCTTCACAGATGTCTTCGTTGTTGTGGCGTGCTCGTCGTCCACCGCGATGTACCGACTGGTTCGCTCGCACGCGTCCGTGGGTTCGTGATCTGGGTCTATGTCCTCAATCTTGCGTCGTTTTGGGGACTTCGAAGCGGCGCGCTGGAAAGACGTATTGTGTTAATCTTGACCTAAACCTTGCTTGATCTGACTTTGTACACACTGGATCATTTTCTTCCCGATCAACACTGCCCACTCTGGACAAAGGGGTCAAAAGAGATGGGACGGGGGAAACTGATTCCGATCGATCCGGTTTGGTCTTGTCCTGAATGGTGAGTGCATTGGGCATTTCCTTCTCAAGGTCGTCAAGGGGGTAGTCTTGATGTCGGACACCATCGACCTCTGAGATATTGACAATGCCACGGAATGCAGGTAACTGTGTTGCTTCTTCAGGACAGAATAAGTTTCTCTTCGGTGTCCGTTGCCAGGGCTGACCGGGTCCCCAGCCTTGCCGTAAGGATTTTGTCCGAGCGGTAAACTTACGGGATTGAAAACTGAGCTGATCTTGACGAAACCAAGAAATGGGAGGTTTTTTCGAAAGCGATAACCCTCGGAACGGGTTGGCAGATGGTCCAAGTATGCTGAATGTTTAGCCTTCCGACGGTGTCTGGTGATGTGGCGAGGCAAAGAAGTGAGGCGCTGAAGGAGCGGGGAGCTGATTGATGCCAACGCATTTTAACGCACTTGCGCATTGCGCGCTTATTGGGTGAAATGTCGCCAAAGCAATGGGACGAGAACCCCACCTCCTGCTTTTAGAATCGCTCCCTTAGAATGAAATTTTTAGAGAGTACAGCAAGATTGTTTGCTTTACTGACCTATCTGCTAGCTTAGTTGTGTCTAGATTTCTGAGCTGGCTAAGTAGGTGTTGAACCGATCCATTGCGCCCCGTCGGGTAAGACTATGGCGTGATGATTTAGACTTTATTGGGTTTGTTTTTGTCTTGTGATCACTGAGCGAGTCATAGGACGTTGCGTTGTACAGCACCGGTGAAGGACTGGCGCTTGTGGATATTTGGATTCGAGTGCAACCTTAAAGTCTCAATATTATGATTGGCGAATTGGGGGGCCGAGTAAAAATGACATTGATATGAGCGGCTAAACCTGCATACCGTCAAAACCTACTACTAGAAGTAGTGAGCTGGATGCTTGGGCGGCTTGGTTACTTAGCTTTATCAGCAACTTTATTGGCGCTATACAGAGTACCAGTGGCTCCATAAGGCTTTATTACGGCCAAGATAGAGACGAATAGTGGCTGACTATGTGACGATGCACGTTGCTATCCACTCCAACTAGATTGGTTCCTAAGCGTGGCGCATCGAGTCACCTCAGAGGCGAGTTTGCTTTGGTCAGACATCCGGCGTGAATTTGAATGTTTCACAAAAGAAATCGTTGGATGGTTCGCAGATGATGATGGTAATCTGATTTCTAACAAACTACCGTATGCATGTACATACAAAAGAGTGACTGAAGATCTAGCCGAGCTGCCGAATCTCAGAAACAGCTCAATAAGTCATACGTTGTTAGCTGTCGGTTTGATTTGCCATAAAAATGTCACACAAAGATGCAATGCTGCGAGAAAGCTTCATGTTGCTTGAATTGTTTCGGATGGATCCGTAGAGTCTCTTGTTGTATGTGCCTAAACAATTACTAGATTGCGTGGAACTTGGAAATGGAAGCTTTTCGCAGCAACAAAACGGACCTTAATCAAGGTAAAAGGGATTGGCGGTCGATCAGCAGTATCGACCAAAAATAGTCATTCTATCGGATAAACTTTATCTGCCAGCTAATTTGGGCAAGTACCAACAGCGCCAAGCATGATGAATCCTTTGGCTTACTGTCATGATTTAGTGGCTGTAGTGGAGACACAAGCACGGAAATACAGTGGGGGTTCAGTTGACAGATATCACTGCCACACGGAGCGCACAGACCATTAACCCAATGTAGTAATAGGACAGAGGCAGATTTAGGGCTGAACGCAGCCATTTCATGAATTGACTGGCTCGTTCGGCATTGAGCCGGTCGCATGCACCCATCAGGGTGATCCATCCTTTCCTTTCCGAGCACGGATGCCTTCCGCATCAGCTGAGGCGGCTGCACGATGGATGGAGACAGGGTCTCGGAAGAATGGGGGCCGGAAATAGGGTATAAAGACGTCGATGGATGGCTGGTGAGGGAGAGAGATTCGCAATCATGGCTCGGCTCATCGACAGAGACAACGGTGTGCGCACGAGACCGATGCGGGTCATTTGTGTCGGCATGTGCAGGTATGTTAGGTCGACTGAACACCAGACAATCTAGTGTTGACTGTGAACAGAACGGGCACGCTCGGCCTGTACTGGGCCCTTAACGCGCTGGGCTATCGGACATACCACTCAGTCGAGGCCCTGAAGGATGGCGAGCGAGGCATGAAACTCATGCGGGAGTCGTACGTCGCCAAGTATGAAGAGGGGAAACCCTACGGCCGGAACGAGTTCGACAAGTGGTACGGCGAGTTTGACGTAAGTCCAGAACGACGAGGAGACGGAGCAAAAGTTGAATTTGTAGGCCGTTTGCGATGTTCCCGCCGCTTGGTTCGTCGACGAGCTGTACGCCGCCTACCCCGACGCCAAGTTCATCCTGACCGACCGCGATCCCGATTCGTGGCTAAGATCGATGCACAATACCGCCTTCGCCTGCGTCAAGTCGCCAATGATACGAGTTCTCGGCTGGCTCGACTGGAAGCTCATGAAACCTTTCTGGGACATTTCCGTGAACCTTACCAACCATTGGTGTGGCCAGCCGGATGACTCCAAGTCCAGGCGTCTTTACTGCGAGCATGTCGAGCATGTAAAGGCCACCATCCCACCCGAGCAGCTGTTATACCTGAGATTGGAGGACGGCATCACTTGGGAGAAGATATGCCCATTCTTGGGCCTTCCCATCCCGGACAAACCAATGCCCGATGGAGCAAAGAACGGTCCTATTTTCTTCCATCAGATAGCCCAAGACTTCTTCAACCGGGCAATTCTTGGCATGGTGAAACGCTGGCTCGTCTACTCGTCCGTCCCCATGGTCGCGGCAGGAGCCTGGTACGTCCATCGCCAGCCTGGAGCGTTATGGCTACCATGGTAGTCCGATTTGGGGTGAGGCAATGGGAGAATCCATGTGGATAAGTGAGGAAAGACGGGACGGTGCGAGATGTTGGAATCTACGTATATTGCGCTAAATATAACCGTTCAATTCGATTTTGCGTTGGCTGGCTCCGCATACGCCCAGAGTCTCATTTGGGATACCTCTGATCAGTAGATGGGGAATTGAGGCTGAGGCTGAGGTTTACGTTCAGAGAGATGAGGTGAGAGGACGTGGGGATAAGGCTTGGATTCGTCATTGCACGTGAGCTGCTCTCCAAAGGTTTCCGACTCACTTTGAATCCCCCTCGTCTGTTTCACGATGAAACAGCGATGACTTTCGAGTGGCTCACGTCAGAAGAAAAGAAGAAAAGGGAACGGGGTTTTGACCTGGCTTCAGAAGCAGGTCGAAGATGGATCTGGCAATGCATGGCCATTAAATCGCGAAGACGTGAAATATGATGACAAAGGTGCGAGATCTAGACTCCGCAAGCCTTTGCAAGTCACACTTTTATTCGAACAGCCGTGGTCATGTTCAATGCTGAGTGTATAAGCATGACGATGACGACGGCGAAGACTGGTGCCCGGCGCGACGCACATCCCTTTGCCGCGCGGGCTCGGCCAAAGTGGTCTGTAAAGTCCGCCGTAGCTCCGTACATAGTTGTCAACACCACCACCGAGCTCCGCAAACCCCAGAATCCCACGCAATTGCCGCCGCGAACGCCCTCTCCCGACCCTTCCCCCACGCCGACCACCTGCCGCTCGCCCATTGATACCCCGATCCCGCCCTGCCATCGCCGCCCCGCCGTCCCCTCGCGCCTCGAGAAGCAACAACCCCCCCAAACCCAAAACTTCCAAGATGGATCCCTACTCCGCAGAAGGAGGTACGCAACCAACCCCGCGCCACCCCGCCGCAACCCCCGCGCACACACATACTCACCACCCCCCCCAAAACCCACAGAGCTCGTCAACATCCACAACGCCTTCCACCAAGGCCAATACCAACAAGTCATCGACTTCGACACGAGCTCCTTCTCCGCCACCAACGCGCTGCCCGCCCGCGTGCTCAAGCTGCGCGCGCAGCTCGCGCTGGGCCAGCACGCCGCCGTCGCCCAAGCCGCCGCCGCCGAGCCGGGCGTGCCCGACCTGCGCGCCGCCGGCGCGCTCGCCGCCTCGCTGCAGAACCCGGCCGACGAGACGGCCGTCGCCACGGCGCAGGAGCTCGCCGCCACCGCCGCCGACAACCTGAGCGTGCAGCTGCTCGCCGGAACCGTGCTGGCGAATGCGGGCCTGACGGAGGAGGCGCTCGCGCTGCTGGCCAAGCATCAGGGGTCGTTGGATGCGTGGGTCTTACACCTCTCTCCCCCTCTCCCTCTCCCTCTCACCTGTTTTCTTCCTTTTGACTGGGTGGAAGGCACTGTCTCTTGGATAGGGTGTGCGCTGGAGCTGGAGCTGGGGCTGACTGGGTTACAGGGTCGCGTTGATCATCCAGATACACTTGCAGCAGAACCGCGCGGACCTGGCGGCGAAGGAGGCGCAGCAGGCGCGGAAGTGGGCGCAGGATAGCCTGCTCGTCAACATCGCAGAGTCGTGGGTCGGTCTGAGAGAGGTACGTCCATGGTCCCACAGGGAAAAAAAAGGAAGAATCGTTGGAAGAGGTCGTGCTAACTGGAACGACCGTTCTTTCTGCACACAGGGCGGCGAAAAGTACCAGCAGGCATTCTACGTCTTCGAGGAGCTCGCCCAAGCACCCGCCTCCCAGGCCGTGCAGTCACTCGTCGGCCAGGCCATCTCCGAGCTGCACCTCGGCCGCTACCCGGAGGCGGAGGCTGCGCTGCAGCAAGCCCTCGCGCTGGACCCCCAGAGCGCCGACGTCCTTGCCAACACCATCGTCCTGAACACCGTGCTCGGCAAGGATACTACGGAGCTGAAGAGCAAACTGGAGCAGGTCGATCCGAAGCATCCCTTCTTGGTCGAGGCGACGGCGAAGAAGGACGCGTTCGAGGCCGCGCAGGCCAAGTACACGCCTAAGTTTGAGGCTTGAGGGAAGGAAGCATCAGCGAGACGTGATGCGAGAATGATCCGAAACACGAAAAGTGAAACAGTATTATTAGACGATGGATGTAGGAGATAGGGGAAGCGGGATCCACCTCCTAGCGGGAGATCATTCTGCGTGCGAGATTCGCGAGGGAGCAATTTGCGAACCCCGAAATATATCGGAGGTTCGTGCATGATAGAGTCAGCAATGAAGCGCGCCTACCACAGATAATTGAAACGTCCCCACTGTTAGGGGCTACTTTTAGCATCACGGGATGCTTGTTTCTTCCTCTATCACCACCCTTTTGGGAACATGTACCGCGAAAATTGAACTCGGCTATTTGGCTTCGCGGAACAGTCCGCCTCATCCCCACAAGTTCTGGCAAGCCCGCAAACTATCTCAAGCATGCTGAGTAGTGCCTGCAGATTCCCAGTGTCATCTCCGTTCTCCACTAAGCGTGTCGACATGACCGATCAGAACCTCAGCTTCGGCATGACAAACATGATCAGAATGCAGGCCATCCACAAAGCGCCGATAATGCCGTACAGCCTGATCCTTGCCCACCAACCCTTCCCCTCCGTCATCCGCCTCAAAGTGCCCATCCTCTGCCCCGCAGCCTCCATGCCCTGCGCGCTCGTGTCGAGGCCCTTGCCCGCGCGGTCCAGAATGTCCTTCTCCGCCTCCAGCGAGCTGCCAAACTGCATCGTCTGCTGCTTCAGCAGCTGCGCCATGTCCAGCAGCGAGCCCGTCAGCGTCTCCTGCTCCGAGCGGTTGTGCGACATCAGCTTCTCCGACCGTTGGAGCGTGGGATCGGCACCGGCGTTTTTGGAGCCCGAGAAGAGCGACGAGCCCGTGGCGGTGGCGGCGGCCGCGTCCTGCTTGCTGCGTGAGGAGGGAGGATCGGCTTGCCCCGGGCGGCGGGAGCGCAGGATGTTCTCGGCGGCGTCCTGCAGCGCCTGGTTGCCCGGGTTGTGCTCGACGTTCAGCCCGGCGGCGGTGTTGCGGTGCGCGGGCGCGTAGCTGGGAGGGGGCGCGTCCTCCTCGTCGTCGTCATCGTCGTAGGAGGAGGAGCTGATATCATCGTCGGCGGCGTCGTCATCGAGCTGGTTGAGATCGTGCAGGCGCTGGTTCAGCTGTCTGATGAGGTCCCGCTTCGCGTGCAGGTCGGCCTGCTGGGCTTGCTTGCGCGACTGGATCTTCACGCCGGCCGTGTCGTGCTCGAGGCGCAGCAGCAGCGAGCGGGCATATTCAAGGTTCTAGGCAGCGGGTCTCAATTATTGCTGCTCACATGGTGCTTGGGGACACCGCGAGATTACCTACAGCGCCGACTTTGGTGCGCTCGAAGCTGGAGGTTCGCAGCTTCGGGTCGGCATCGGGCGAGAGGAGGGCGGTTTGCAGACGATCGAGTAAGCGCGTAAGGCTGATCTGGGTGGGGTCGGGCTGGTGCGCGGGGAGCGACTGAGTCCTAGCCATGGGGGGTGGCGGTTGTGCGGCTGGCGGGGGGGTGGGAGGCAGAGCTGACGGTCTGTTCGCTTTCGCGGATCCGATCCGGGGCACAGGAGCTACGCGGCGCGGCACGGGAGCGCTTGCCTCGGGGGCGCAGGGAAACTCGAAACAAGCGGGCGCAGGCGGGCACAGCGGCACAGCGGCAGTTTGCTGCGTTTGGCCGGGGAGCTTGGCGACCCCTCCGCGACGCGGCTGCCAGGCACCGGCACCGTGGCACCTCACGAGCGGGCTGGGAGAAGGACCATCGTTCTCCAGCCGCGGCCCACTCTCGCGCGGCAGCGCTTTTCTCTCCCAGCGGCCTCTCCCCTTTCTCCACCTCCCGAGCCGGCCCCCAGGGCTGCACCGTCGCGATCCTCTCCCGCGGCAACGCGCGTCGATCGCTGCAGGAAATGCGATGTCCAGGAGAAGCAACGCCAGCGCATCAGTACAATATTGCGTACGTGCGTGCCGCTGTTTGATGAAAACTTGGCGCGCGGCGATGCGCCCGTCCCTCCTGGTGGACAGCGTCGGAGGCGAAGCAAGAAATTCAGAGTTGGCGACAACCTCTGGTCAGCGTGGTGCTGGCGTGGATGAGCAAGCCGATGACGTTGGGCATCAAGACGGTTCAGCCCGCCGTCGGCCGCGGAGGAAAATCCGGTCTTGGCAATTTCCCGCCCTCGGTCGCTCACTTCCTCTTCAGCGCAACTCCAAATTCAGTTGACTCGTGCAGGCCAGGGACATGTGGCCGTGAAACTGAGTCGGCGTTGCAGGATCATCCTCGCCGGCCTCCTGTTGATCAGAGAATACGACGCCAACCAACCAAACTTTTACACCACCACGGGCGAATCGAGGCAAGGCCGTCTGGCATTCATTGCCGTTTGATGACAGCGGGCCAACCGTGGTTACAGCGGCATTGCGCGATTCGGCTATGATCAACGGTCTGCCGAGGGCTGAAGTGGCACCGTCAGGAACGCTTCCAGAAAGCTTACGGCGGGCGGGATGCCCTACCCGCCCTCCGGCCATGCACCCTCCGCCAAAGAGAGAGCAGAGATTGCTGCTGCCGTCCGCCCGTCCCTCGGCCGTCAACACCAAGCCGATAGTGCGACACTGAGCCTGCGGATCACCCACAATCCCAATTCCGCGCTGCTTCTCATTATTCCGTTTGGCCACCTCCTGTGGCCACGGTTCTCACGGTTCTCTGACGAGCCGGCCAAGTTTACCGCTTAGCTGATTCGCACAGAGAACAGTAAGAAACCTGGCAGCACGCTTTCCGGCTCTGCAACCCTGGCCATCCGGCCTGCGCGGATAGGTTCCCTGCCGGCCGCGCGCCATTATTACGTCGGCGAAAATGGGTCCAGCGGTGCCTGCGGTGCCTGCCATCAAACCACATGTCGGTGCCTTCGCGAAGTCGAAACAAGGCTCTCGTGAGAAGTGGTGAGAGTTTCACTGCCAAGCTGACCGGTGCCATGTCGTGTAACTGTTCTGGCCGGATCGAGTGGGCGGCTGCAATGGTCGTCCGAGTCGAGCAGGAGTACCGTGGGCTGTGCAGTTGGACGCCGGTGACGATTGTGACGGGACGTTCCCGGGCGGCCTTACTGAGAGGGGACATGCTGACACGGTGACCTCGAGCCGGGAATAACAATTACTGCGTACGGAGTACGGTACAGAGTAGTGGTTCGCGCTGTGGTGGTTTACGGCACAGGATACGGTCAAGAAGGCGTGGGAGCTAATCGAAAGGGACGATCGGCGCAGGGTCCGTGAAATGCCGCACGGCATGGAAGAGAATTGCAGTCGACCGTGCGCAGCGCGTGCTGAGACGCATGTGGCCGCAGCTCCATCTCGCCGGCCATGTTGCCGGGATGCATCTCGCACTGGAAGCGAGTCGAAGGGGCTGACGTCGGATTGCTTTTTGCGCTTTGACACGTCAATTGGCCGTAAACGAGGCGCTGGTGGCCGGCAGTGTGACAGGCGCAATCCTGGCGCACATGGCGGCGCACGCTAATCTCTCACCGACCCGCGCCCTCCCGCTGCTCGACCACTTCTTAACTGCGGCGCCTCCCTCAGCCAATCTAGCGGCTCCCTCTTCCTGCATCATCCTTGCAGCACATACGTTGGCCCCACCGCCGCATGACCAGCGCACAGTGCGTCCCAGCTCCCTGCTCACCTGCTGCGCGCCTTTTTTATCCTCTGCGCCCCGCCCGCCGCTCGTCTGCTTTCCTCCTCACTTCTTCTCACTTTCCCACCTGCACATCGCTTTGAGCGCTGCACAGAACAAATCTCGCCCCTCAAGGAGCAAGACAAGAACTTTCCCAAGAACAAAAAGATTGGAACAAGCAGCGAGCGCCATCGCCTGCTTCTCTCATGATGCAACATCGCAGCCGCGAACGAGGAGCCCACACCAGGTACTTCCCAGCCGGTCCCTTTCCCAGCACTTGTCTTTTTCTTCCAGCAATGGAACCGCACCGCACAGAATAATGTTTAGTCTCCTTTTGTTTTCATTGCCGTTCAAGGTTTGTATTGCCACACAGGGAATTCCAGCCCGGAACGCTCCCACGGATGGATCCCGCCCGGGGAAATGGACCTTGACAATGCCGGACTGCTGGATTTGCTTGGCCATTGGATTTCTTTCTGTTCAGCCCAGGATTTTTGCCCGGATTGTATCCTCGCTTAACCGTCGTATGACGTCACAGCGCACTGTTCGCCAACTTCTGGCGATCAGCCGAGGGGCAAGTCTTGTCCGCCCCGCGACATTGGCTCGTTGAGCATCATTCGACAAACACAAAGCACAAATGAAGTGCGCTTGAGGATTGATGCGACAACACCCATTGCCCTTGGACTGCCGGAATTTCTTGTTCACACCGTCCCAGGACTTTTCCCCATGGATGTCTCTGCCAAAGGATCGTAGGCGTAAATCGACACGCGTTCTGGCCTGTCTGGTAACGATCGACCGTCCCTGCGCTGAAGCGGGGGTCATCGGATTACTTCGACGCGGACGACAACATCTACAATGGGGACTCAGTCCCGAAGATGTCATGACATAATCTGCACCCGCAGACGGATTTTCAGACTCGCTCCTCCCGGATGCTGTTCCCTTTTCGGATTTCTTTTCAATGCTCAGTCTTTTTCCCATTTCGGCCACATTACCAGAGGATCCAGCCACGGATGCCCCCATGTTTGGACAGGCCTGTTGGCCTTATCAGTACGTACCGACAGGCTGATGTCGCCTTCTCATACACCCACCTCAACGCCGCTGCTCGAGTGTAAACTAACTTGCGTGCTAATTAAAGTTCTTGCATGATGTGAAGTATCACAATTTACCCAATGCGACTGGATGTTCACCCTCCCATGGAGTGTTTTGCTGTTCTGGATCCGTTCGCATCGCTGCTTTGCCCGCACCCCGCTGGATACCCCTTTGTTTTTCTCACATTCAGGCCATCTTGGATATCGGCTTACCGGGAATGGTTCTCCCATCCTACTTTTCTGACTGGTCTGTACTCTCGACTCCAATACCTTGATCTATGACTGAACTAACGTGCATCGTAGGCTCCAACGGCTCTCGGCGTACTAACATGGCAATTTGTGTTTTCGCGTGCTTTGCTTTCTTCACAACGTCATCTCTCTCATTTCTTTTTGCACACACTAACATCCCCTGCCAGTGAATTTTCTGAGTGCGACTCTGCTCCCGGAGACTTTTCTTTGCCTGCACCAGTGGACGTTGCTCTGTGGACACAGTCAGTGTCAGGGACTCCCTACACTGGAAGCGATCTCTTTTCCTTTGGCCAAGAAGACCTTTCCAGCATGGCCCGGAACTTCCTTCAGTTCCCCAAGGATGATGAAGCATCAATCTCGTCCTCCATGGATGACAGCGCGTACATGAGCCAGCCTGACACTGGCAGACGCGGCAAGAACGAGAACTACCACATGCCCCAGGACACCAGGAGCCAGATCATGGAGCCCATGGTCGGATCGCACATCTACTCACCAACTCTGAGCGTGCAGAGCCACGGAACATTCAACGGATCTCAGCCTGATATGAGCAACATCATGCTGCCTCCCACTGCCGGATCGGATAACGGAGATGGTCATTTCAAGATGTCCGACTTCACTAACTTCCACAACGCACAGGTCGCATCGCCGACCGACTTCACCTTCAGGGCACCCATGCACACCACCTCTTGGGGCAGCGAGTCCCAGAGCTACAGCGCACCATTTGTGTCTGGCTCCATTGATGCCCCTTCTTCCTTCATGCAGCGCCAGAACGGCTATCCCAGCCGTACCGTCTCGCAGCCCTACTTCGCTCAGTACGCGACGTACGGCATCGACAGCATGATCAGCAACACCCAGAGCATGCCTGAGCAGAGGAGGGTACAATCTCCGTTCGACCGTGTCCGTGCTACGGCAAGGCCGGCTGACGTGCAGCGTCCTACTCTGCAGCACTCCGACTCGAGGCCTCGCTTCGAGGGTTCTGACATCCTTTCTCCTGCCTCCACCGTCATGACTTCGCAGTTCCCCGTGTTCAACGGCGGTTCTGAGTACGGCGAGGAGCCGAGCTTCATGTCCATGGCTGGGTCAGTACATCGACGTTCCCTCGCATCTGCCTTGGCTGACAGTTTTTTCAGATCCGAGACCATGGAGTCGGCGACCATCCAACCGTCCGCCATGAGCAACACTGACATGGATGACGAGGAGGCCGAGCAGGATGCCGCTCGCAAGTCCAGCGAGGAGGCCGAGGTCAAGCTGGCTCGCACTCACCCGCTCTACCAGGCACAGCCACAGGCGGACGAGATGTACCACTGCCCGTTCGAGGGTCAGGCCAACTGCCAGCACAGGTCCACCAAGCTCAAGTGCAACTACGACAAGTACGTTGACTCGCACTTGAAGCCCTTCCGCTGCAAGAACGCGAACTGCGTCAACGTCGAGTTCTCCTCGACTGCATGCCTCCTCCGCCACGAGCGCGAGGCTCACGGCATGCACGGACACGGCTCCAAGCCCCATCTCTGCGCCTACCCCGACTGCGAGCGTTCGATCCCTGGCAACGGCTTCCCGCGTCGCTACAACTTGTACGACCACATGAAGCGCGTCCACGACTACACCAGCCCTGCTTCCCACACTGAGCCCAGCTCTCCTCACAGCCAGTCTGCCAAGCGGTCCACCAGCCGCAAGCGCAAGGCCAACGGCGCCATGGAGCAGCCCGAGAAGCGCCAGAGGACTGCTGCGCAGATCAAGCAGGCCAACACTGCTCGCCAGCGGGACCAGGAGAAGGAGCGCCTCCGCCAGGCGTGGGCTGAGCGCATGGCTATGCTGCAGCAACGGCTCAACACTCTCAACGAGCCCAAGGACGCTGAGGGTCACCAGCAGATCATTGAGGATGCCACGGCACTTCAGAAGATCGTTGCCCAGCTCACCGAGATGGGCTGAATGAACAACTCGCTTCAACACTTTCAGGATTCGTAAGCTCATTGTAACCTCATCCCCCGCTTAGCGATCTGATCTAACGAGTGCAGCAGTATTCATACACCAGACTTGTTCCTAGGATTTCAGGATACATTCCCAGGACGCATGGCTTCGCCCATGCACTTTTATTGATTGAGCCTACTGCCCAGAGGAATATGGCCACATTGCTGCCGGACTCCGTTCCATTGGATATGACCACAAGGATTGTTTCCACTCCAGGGACTTGCTTTTTCATAGGCCACTTCTTCCGGATGGACAACCCGTTTCCAGTAGGGTGCATCACTTCAACAACAACACTCGGTTCAAGGTTCACGATTAGCCCTTTGGGCTTTCGGCGGATCGGGCCAGGGGACCACTTTGAGGACAGCGCCACGGACTTTTTAATAGACTTGACTTTAGAGAGAGAGAGCTCTGTGACTGTGGAGGACTGTGCGTGAGTGTAGAGATGGGTAGCCCACGGCATTGCTGCATAGCAGCTTGTCGCGGCCATCTCGGCGGCACTGGCGGAGGACACACGGGACGCTGGTAGATTGCGTTTGGCCTCAGTAGATTTTTTTTATTAGTGATGAGTTTCATTTGTTGAGTTTCTGTCTTGAGTCGAAAATACCAGTAACGAAAATTGAAAAGAAAAAATTACAAGTGGAACGATGGTGCACGATTGCAATGTGAATTCTGTGCATGCAAAGACGGACGGGTGTTGGAGCAGGTGTGGTGGTGCGAACGAGCGGGGCTGGGGCGGACTGGGGCGTGGTGTTGCGGGGCTGTCACATGTGCAGCGAAACCCTCCGGGCCCGGCACCGAGTCACGTCAGCCAAAGTTTTGGGTTTGTCAAGGCAAAGTGGAGAGACTGATGTTCCCATCAGGGCCGTCTCACGGCCGTAGCTCGCAGGCTGTCCCAAGGCAATATGTCGTGCACGGACAGGGTCGACGGAAGGGCCAGGATCCGAGTCGGCCGCGAGGCCAGATCTGCTGCCGTCACATAATCACCCAGCGCAGCATTGGCCCTCAGCATTCCAAAAACCAGCAAGCGCGTCGCCCCAAGGGCCGGAGACACGTCCTGGATTAGTTATCGCGCTCAGCTGTTGCTGATCAGCCAATTTGGCATTCGTGCCCAGGGGGTTCAGCTTGAACAACATCGACACAATGGCCCGCATGCCGGCGCTATCGCGACTCATTTCTCGTCCGCCGGTGACGGCAGCGGCGGCGGCGCCGGGGCAACTGCCTATAGGTACCGCCGCGCTTGCAGCTGCTACTACTACAAAAGCAGCCTCTTTCGCTCGACCGTCTGCAGCGCCGTTGTCGCTACCACCGTCCTCTTGCATCACACGCCTTAGGTCGCCAACCCCGCCATCATTATTGCCGACCGCTGCCGTCACCGCCCTGAGCTCGTGCCCCGCCGTCATCGCCACTCGCCGACCACCACCAACCTCGTCAGCACCACCACCCGCCCTCTTCCACACCTCAACCACAAACATGGCATCTGCTACCAGCTTCCACGAGTTCAAGCCCCTTGACAGTAAGTCTCTTTTTCGTCCGCAACTGTTTTCTCTTTCCTTCAGCCTGCCGGCAACCCGTTGCCGCTAGCAGCCACTCGTCCGACCTGGCGCCGTGCGTCCGGCCGCCTGTTTCTCGCACCACTCTGCACCGCTCGCCTCTCCGACAGTGTCTCAGACAACAACTCCACATGGCACGCCACGCTGGCTGCCCATACGTTGCTGGCTGAGACCAGAGTCCTTGATCACAAAACACCATGCGAGCGCATGAGGCTTGGTCCCAGCCTCGCCGTGTGCCATCACCATCAAGATGCGGGTGGCGCGCCGGACATGCAGTCCACGAAGCTCCACACACCCCCCGGCACAGCATCTTCCCGCAGCACTCCCGAGTCCCACCTTTCCCCCACACACACACCGCATCAACACACACAACCCTCATACAAGACAGAAAGACAAGGAAAGAAGGCCACAGCTGACCAACCCACCCAACAGAGAAGGGCAACCCCTACGACCTCGCCTCGCTCAAGGGCAAGGTCGTCCTCGTCGTCAACACGGCCAGCAAGTGCGGCTTCACGCCGCAATTCGGCGGCCTCGAGACGCTCTACAAGGACATCGTCGCCGCGCACCCCAACGACTTCGTCATCCTCGGCTTCCCCTGCAACCAGTTCGGCTCGCAGGACCCCGGCTCCAACGACGAGATCCAGTCCTTCTGCCAGGTCAACTACGGCGTCTCGTTCCCCGTCCTCGGCAAGGTCGACGTCAACGGCGACAAGGCGGACCCCGTGTGGGAGTGGATGAAGTCGGAGAAGGCCGGCCTGATGGGGCTGAAGCGGATCAAGTGGAACTTTGAGAAGTTTTTGATCGGCAAGGACGGCAAGGTCAAGGGGAGGTGGGCGAGCACGACGAAGCCTGAGAGCTTGAAGGACGTTATTGAGAAGGAGTTGGCTGCGTAAATAAATTGCATGACGTACTCGCCTGTCCGCGAAGGAGGGGCAACGAAATCATTTTGATATCCAGGGGTGTTACGAAGTCGATAATAAAAAAAAAAGATTGAATGGACAAACATCACAAAGTTCACTGATACCTGGCTCCGTGTGCCATGTTTGACGTGAATACATTCATCTAATTACAATCTCTATTTTCTTTCTTTTGTTTCTTCAAAGCCACCTAATCAAACGGAACCCGCCTCAGCCCCTCGTTCCCCATCCTCTTCTTCATCTCCTGCAGCGCGCCGACGGCACTCGGCACCTTGATGCCGCAGCAGTCGTTCCAGCTGGCCGGGTTGTGCTTATGACTCTCGCCATCCTCGTTCCTCACCACCACATTGCCCTCAGCATCCGGCTCGCCCTCGAGCGTGTACTTCAACACCTCCTCGTCGCTCATCTCCTCCACCGCCGGGATCAGGCTGCCGAACAAAAAGTGCTGCATCACCGGCAGCTTGCCCAGCACCTCGGCGACGAACATCTTGCGCATCCCGCCCTCGATCTTGCGCCAGCTGCGCGCCGCGCTGATGTCGTCGAGCATCGGGCTGTGCCAGCGCAGGCCCTCGACGTTCTTGACCCCGTTGACGAACGCCACCTGGTCGAGGTAGAGGTAGTCGGGCGCGCACTCCTCCAGCACCAGCGCCGAGTGGATCGACTTGGGCCGCACGTACCGGTGGCCCAGCAGCTGCGCCGCCCCGAACAGGAACGGCAGGAACTGGTAGTCGTCCAGCCCCCAGACCCCGTGCGACCCCGCCGGCTCGAGGTAGTACGTCGTCTGCACCCGCCGCATCAGCCGCAGGTACCGCGGGAACACGCGCAGCACGAGCTGCGGGAACGTGGACGGATGCGTCGTCTTGTCATCTTCCGGCGACGACAGCAGCGAGAGCTGGTACAGGCACAGCAGCCAGCAGAAGAAATTGAGCTCGTGCCCGGACCCGTAATCGATGCGCGCCGGATCGCCAAAGCTCGCCGCGAGATACGCCGACAACTCCTCGACGGCCGCCGGTCTCGTCACGCCCAGCCGCGCGTGCCATCGTTCTTGCTCGGCCTCGACCCCCGCCACGAAGGCCCGAAACGCGGGGTTGCCGAAGCGCGAGCCCGTGTCTTCGGGCGGGCAACGCGCGAGGAGCGCCTCGGCGCCGTCGAGGACGTCGAGGATCCCCGCGATTGTCGGGTGCGGGGGTTGCGTGGCGATGGCGGAGACGGGCGTGTCGGTGACGCTGTCGGCGAGGGTGAAGATGAAGGCTTGGAGGAGGGTGTGGGTCGGGGAGGTGCGGAAGAGGGCGTGGTCGTGCGGGGAGAGGATGCGGCGGCGGGGTTTGCGGAAGTGCCAGGGCTGGCTGTTGTTGCTGTCGTCGGCGGTGGCGGCGGTCGCGGAGGTGATGGGCGGAGGCAGCGGGGGGGTTGCGGGCGCGGGGATGGGCGATTCGGGCTCTTGGGCGGTGGTGGGTTTGCGGGGGGTCAGGCGGGGGAGCTTGTCGGAGAGGTCGGGAGGGTTGGTGGGAGCGTTGTCGCTTATCGATGACATGGTGGGTGGGTGTTTTGGCTGGAAAGCTGTTGGAAGGTGTTGATGGTCGCGCCAGGGCCGGGACGTGATGAAAGCGGCGGCGGCGGAGGGGCGCTGGCCGGCGTTAGGCGGAGTTTGGGCGGGGCAGGATCGTTGCCGCATAGAGTTTAGCGTGCCTGGATGCAGTCGTCGTCCTGGCTCACCACCACAAATCGATCGAGACCGACATTCTCCAGCTTCGCCGTGGCGCTCTCGATGTCCAGGAGACCTCTGGCGCTGCGCATGGCAACGGTAAGAGCGAGGGAGGCTTTGGGAGCAGGGCTCGCCGAACTGGTCGACGTAGCCAGCCGCCAAACTGCAACCGCGGATCCTCTACGGTGCCGTGTCCTTGAACCATCTCTCGGCAGCGGCGGCCTACTCTTTGAACTCCTCTCATACATTCCCAACCCAGTCGTTAAAGTCGTCGTGTGGCTTCCAGCTGTTGAATAGAGCTGTTGACGGACATCGCAACGGCGTTCAGCGGACCACCATAAACCCGGCGATGCGCGCCTGGATCGTATCGATCTCGTCGTCCAGCGGCTGCTCACATCCTTCGGAGTCGGCTTCCTTGCCCGCTAGCTCTTCCATCGCCAGCTTGACCTCGCCTGTGTCGCTCTCGGCCTGAGTCGGCCTATGTATGAAACAATGTCCGGCGAGGTAGGCTTTTGCCGACCTTGATTTCTGTAACCCGATGGGCTAACAATAGCAGAAACATATCTCAAATTTAGAACGTTCCCGCACATATATCGGACGTTGAACCCTGGGTATTTGCGTGCATGCAACAGTCGTCGCTGCTGTAGCTGGTTTACCATAGTGCTAAACACCAAAACCACGGCTGGGCTGCCACGTCACCCAGCCTTTTCGGCTTCCCGCCGAGATGCGAGGCTTGAACTCTTGCCGTAATGATAAGCTCCACACAGGTCCCTGCCGATCCTGCTTCAGCTGGATTGCGAAAGGGGTAAATCTACACATGCGGCTGGTTAGATGACGGGAGAAAGACTCCACCGGGCGATCGGCCGCCATCCCTATCGCGGGGTGTGAACATCAATGTATCGCCCGGGGTAGCGCTCTGCCATTGGGTGGAAGCGACGAAGCATTGATCCTGAGTGCGAGCCGCCGCGATGCCGCCGAGCCGATCAGTGGGGTCAACATGGGCAGCCACAAAGCCAGCTGAGGGCTTTCAGCTGAGGGCACGAGGTCTGCTGCCAATGCAAGAATCGGCAACACATTCCGGTAAATGTCTATAATACGAACGTTGATCCTCTTTCCGTCTTGATTTTCTGTCGTTAATATCTCTTAGCAGACGGAGGATTGCCATGATGGTTCTCGGCGCAGACGAAAAAGCTCCCAGTCTTCGATTCTATCATCGAAGATGCACCATTGTTCGAAGCATCGGCGGGTCCAATCTCACAGGTCAACCCCTACGATGGATTGACACGATCACAACCATTCACCAAAGACAAGGACTGAAGGATCAGTACATTGCGATACTTCTCGGATCATGGAGTTTCCAGTAACAAGTAGATCAAGCTCAGTTTGATGTTGGCATCTTTAAAGCCAGAAAAAATTAAAGCTCACCACCAAGGTTCATAATTAGTATGGTACCAAGTCAAGTACGCGAGGTGCATATGGAAAGCCATACCTGGGGTGTTGGCTACTCAATTATTTATATGGCTAGGCTTTTCTGTTGGTGGCTCACCATTCGGCGTTTTGACTGGCTATGCTTGGACCCTGGCGGGCGTCGCACGCATTTTATACGACGCGCTGAAGGTGCAATAATATGCAAGGGAAGCGGGAGAGCGGGCTTTTAGTGGGGGCCTGTATGGGAATCTCCGAACAGTCGCGCGCTAACAAATGCGCCGCATTTTAGAAAGCTACAACAAGACGGTGGCCGATAGAGTACCAACTTTCGGCAGCGATCACTTCTGGAATCTGCTCCCGGACTTTTTCCCCTGGACCTCATTTTCAGTTCATCTTTCTGCTCATGTTGCACAATCTGTATTCCCGAACCACTGCTATCACATGTGGCTTTTTCCGTCCAGCTTTTTGGTGGCGCGGCCTGGCCCCTTGGCCATCTTTTCAAGAAATGCCCGGCGCTAACGCAAGGCTAACGGGCAACATGATACATAAGTTGCCAGCAGCAAGCCTCTGGATGATACTATGGTGCACCGCAGCTACCCCAAAACTCCAGTCAACCTTCTGCAAGATGGCCATTGGTTTCCGGTTTACTTACGCAATCACGCGACCTTATCCTTTTCGCTACTTCACGGTCATTGTAGCAGTCATCTTTATTGTCATGACAATCATATTCTCGCTTTTCAATACCGTTGTCGCTGGATATGACCTTCGGTACGTGCCCGCCGGTATCCCGTTCAGCAGGCCGCTAACCATCTCAGCGTATCCTACTCCACCAGCCCCAACACTACCACTGAGCAAAAGCTTTGGTACGATAACCGCTTCTTTGCGGGGATTAAGAAAGTAAGGAGCAAGGCCATGTTTCGATTCCGCGCCTGACTATATTATTGCAGCTGTCGCCAAGCTGCGAGCCAAAGGAAATCGGCATCAAGCAATGTGAGCAAGACATACCAGCTCCAACTTTTGCTCAATACTTCAGCTAACCAATCCGTAACAGCGTTCAACACTGACAAGAATGGTTTGATTTATACTCTAAACAAAGTCAAAAACGTCGGAAAGCCCGACAGCCCTACTCTTCCGTCCTTGCTGTACCTTAACAATCACCTGCAAGATTGTGAGGTCAGCTACATCAAGATAGAAATGGAAAAAGAAAGTCGCACTGGCCAACAAGTGGCTTGGTCGCGTTGGGGACCAAGTGTGTTTGTAAGTACCATGTCGGTATTTGAAGGACCTCTCTGACGGACACGCAAAGGGAGCGATATCTTGCTCGGTAATAAACGAACTTGGGCACATGGAGATCGACATTACTGCCGAATACGATCTCGTACCAGCGAATGCCGCCAAGCTATCTCTGGATCTCAACGACACTTCTTGGGATGATGCAGCCAGGCAGAATCTGTTTCAGTTCATCACGAGCAACAATACCCAAGTACCTGCAATGTGGTGGGCGGAATCGATCATGTAAGGATCTGTGCATAGGCACCGAGCCCTGTACTAAAAGACAATAGGTCCTACAGCTGGGTTGCTGCATCACTAGATATGTCGACTTACAACAAGGCGCTGGAAACTGGTTTTCAGAAAGGAACATTCAGTATGTTTTATACACCACATATAATGTACATTTTCCGCTAACTCGAGCAGATTTCTGGCCATCTTCCAATGTTTCCGACTTCTCAGACCTCTCCTTTTTTACCATAAGCTGGTATTTTCTTCTAGAAGGAGGAAGCATCTACGCCAGGCCTGAAGACTTCGATATAGAGACTGAAACAACCAGCGCGCAAAACTGGGTCAAGTCTGCCGACTCGCTCGCAAAAGCCTTCTACAGCACCGTGCTCGCCGACCTGGGTATGGCGGATGGACCTAATATCCTAACGGACGAAGACGCGCTCCGAACATTCACCAGCAATTTCAGCAATGCTGCAACCGAATGGGTTCCAGCTGGGCCCGCAACAGGTAGCTACGGTTCTTCGCAGCCTGTGACAGGCAAGCCGGTCATCACCAACTCGACGATATTCAACAACTACCTATGCCAAACACCTGTTCAGAAGGTCCCAGCTTCCTTGATCGTTTCCGTGTTACTTGCAGACTTGGTCTTCCTCCGTACCCTATGGTCGGTGATGAATTTGGCGGCTACACATATTGCGGAGAGCAAAGATCCCAAAGGTACTGCTCGAATCAAATGCAATTCCTCAGTTGCTAACATTTTGCAGCCAATCAATGCCTTCCATGTGCCGGTGAAGAGCCATCGCCACAACCGGAAAGCTATGAACTCCTTACCAAAAATGGGGGCTCTGGATCAAGGGTGGTCACAACGATCGCATAAATGGCAGGTAGATTGCAGTCAAGTGAGCTTAAAGGTCGACTACAAGGAATTGATTCCATCTTCTTATCCATGAATATATGAATTGTAGCTCGAATATTAAAGTTTTAACTCTACAGACCTCGCACTAAGTGTGATTGATCCACCCTGCTCGTGCTTCAGACCAATGACGCGTCTGCTTCGCTTAAATCCACTAGACAAGCAGCTCATCAGCGCGCATCTCCCGGCAGTATCTCGAGAGCTTCTCTAATTGTAATTCCTTCTTAACTTTTGATGTTGATAGCTCGGTCCGCCATTGACGCCACGAGCTGTGCTGGTTCTGGACTGTGACTCACACCACCGTATACTCCAAGTACTTAACCACAACCAAAACCGACACCATCAGAAACAGGCAGTCAGCACCATCACCACCTTCGACTTGCTCAACACCACTCGAGAAGATTGCTTGAAGAGCAAGATCATGGATACCAAACAATGGCGGCGCCAAATCGGCGACCAAACCTTCCTCGTCTCGACCGACTCCAGCCTCATCTCCCGCGACTTCGTGCAGTCATCTTTCGCCCACCCCGCCATGTATTGGGCCGCGGCGCTGGACCCGCAAAGCCTCGAAACCATCTTGGAGACCTCCCTCTGGTACGGAATTTACCTCCAAACGCAAGGGTCTTCCACGAGTTCCCAAGGACAGCAAGTAACGCCGAACCCCTCGACGCTCAAACAAGTCGGAATGGGCAGGATGGTCACGGATCACGCTACGGTATTCTTTCTGACGGATGTCTTCGTGCTGCCCGAGTACCAGGGAAAGGGGCTGGCGAAGTGGATGATGCAGTGCATCAAGGAGAGAACGGATGCGCTGCCCGCTGTGCGGCGAGTCATGTTTATGGCGAAGAGGGCGCCGCATGCTATCAGGTTTTATGAAGAGGCGTTGGGGGCAGAGGTGCATGATCAGGAGAATGGGGAGGTTGTGTTCATGAGTACGCCGCATTGAGGACGCTACGGTGCATGGAAATCTACTGTGTTTGCAACGACTGAACCAGTTTGGGCATTTAGTATCATGGAGAATGCTTTCGAAGGATACGAATCTCCAAGTCAGTCGAGCTATCCGAGAGAAACTCGCCGGGTAGGCATACGGGAATATGTCCACCACTTGTCTTTATGTACAGAAAAATACCAAGACTCTGCAAGTATAAGGTACATACAACGAGGGCCAGAACGGTGTCGGTTTCATCATGGCGTCCTTCGCAGCGAGCGTCCACCATCACTTCCAAGCTTTACGTGTAAACGATGGTCTGTCAAAGAACTGTCGTCCCAAAAGAACAATATCATTTCAGGATCCGCCAGGGCAGCTGGGGATGGTTGAAAGACGTGAGAACGAGTTTTATCTAGGTATATGCGGTTCATACACGCGGTATTCCACTCAATCTGCCTGCGCATGTCCCGCTGCTGGTTTGAACACCTCAGATCTACACAATATTTACTGCCGCGCTCTTTAGGTAAAGCCTATCCGGGGTTGTGGCCGAGTGGTTAAGGCGCTACGTTTAGGCTGCACAGCTAAATCCGTAGTGGGAAACCGCGTGCGTTCGAACCGCACCAACCTCAACATCTTTTTTTTTCTTTTTGCTAAATTCACTTCGATCCCACAGCTGAACCAGTTTCCTCCCACCTAAGGAAAACAATGTCCCATATGAGGATAGCATTTTGGTTGAGGATGGTAAAGACAAATTCAAGTTATCGGGCAAAATTAAGCCCTTCCTAGGTAACGAGGAACAATGTACATAAGACACTGTATTTGCGATTATTTTATAGTAAGCCCATTCTCCCCGTGGACCGTTAGACGTATGGTTCGTGCTTAGAGCATGGATTTGGAGAAATAGTATCATTGACTTTTCACTTATAAAGCGCAGATAGGTTGTTTGGAACGTCTTTATAAGACAGGTACAACGCACGTACTTTACAAAGAGTGAAGAGTCGGCCTTAAGGGCTCGAGTAGTGCACGAACGGGAGCAGGCCTCAGACGTACTGACACCAGACACCAAGCTGGGAAATATAGTTGTACCCAGCTGTTGGTTTACTTCCGGATGCTTTTATCCATGTATGCTTCACGCAATTGTGTCCAGTTGAAGTCTCAGCTACCAGTCCTCTCTCTTCCAATATTTCGAACTGATCTGCCTCTACGTCCTTGGTCTTTCGGTTGGAAGGGATCAGGCCGCCGGGTAGCTCTTCCGCGCTTACATAAGCGGCAGCGCACGTCACGGCTCATCTCACGACCTCGAACTTTTCGACTCCTTGACAGCAGCACAAATGGCAGCCCGCGCAAACGTGCTGTCCCGGCACGCGCCCGGTCGGGCCCCTCTGCGCCTGTTCAACCAGGCTCCTCTCGCCCGCCAATGGCAACCCTCCAGCCTCCTCCGATCTCCCAACGTCCGCCTCGCGTCTACCACCCCCGAAGCCGCCTCCGAAACCGCCTCGAAAGCCGCCGCTGAAACCACAAAGGAGGTGAAGGAAACCGCAAAGGAAGTGAAAAGGGGCACCCGATCTGCTGGTTCGCGCTTCAAGCGCTACGCCTACGGCACCACATTCGCCCTCCTCTCCGGCGTCGGCTACCTCTACTTCACCGATACCCGCGCCAGCGCTCACCAGTACCTGGTCCCGCCGTTGATCCGCACCATCTGGACCGACGCCGAGGATGCCCACCACGCCGGTCTGAAGGCGCTGCAGACGCTCTACCCCCTGGGCCTGCACCCGCGCGAGCGCGGCGACCCGGACGGTGCTGGCGACCTGCGCATCACCGTCTTCGGGCACTCGCTGGACAACCCCATCGGCATCTCGGCCGGGCTGGACAAGAACGCATGGATCCCGGATCCGCTCTTCGCGCTGGGCCCGGCAATCGTCGAGGTCGGCGGCATCACGCCCAAGCCGCAGGCCGGCAACCCGCTCCCGCGCGTCTTCCGCGTCACCTCGCAAGAGGGGTTGATCAACCGCTGTGGCCTGAACTCCGAGGGCGCCGACAGCGTCGCTGCCCGCCTGCGCCAGCGCGTCCGCGAGTACGCATACCAGATTGGCTTCGGCCTCGGGCCGGACGCTGAGCAGGCCGTGCTAGACGGAGCTGCGGGCGTGCCGCCGGGCAGCTTGGCCGCCGGCAGGCTGATGTGTGTGCAGGTGCGCTTTGCCCTGTCTGACCTCACACCACTGCGGAAGGGGGGTTGAGGGAAGAAGAAGAAAAGCTGACATGGCGCCACCATACATATAGGTCGCGAAAAACAAGAACACGCCTGACACGGACATCGAGGCCGTCAAGGACGACTACGTCTACTGCGTCGACCGCCTCGCCAAGTACGCCGACGTCATCGTCGTCAACGTCTCCAGCCCCAACACGCCCGGCCTGCGCTCGCTGCAGCGCGTCGAGCCGCTCACCCGCATCCTGACGGGCGTCGTTGCCGCCGCCAAGTCGGCCGACCGCAAGACCAAGCCTGCCGTCATGGTCAAGGTTTCTCCGGACGAAGATACGAAGGAGCAGATGTCGGGCATCTGCGATGCTGTCTGGGAGAGTGGCGTCGACGGTGTCATTGTCGGAAACACGACGAAGAGCAGGCCTGCGCCTCTGCCCAGAGGCTACATCATGCCGACGCACGAGCAGGAGACGCTCCTCGAGACTGGTGGCTATTCTGGGCCGCAGCTGTTCGACAAGACGCTCGGGATGGTGGCCAAGTACAGGAAGATGCTGGATCAGGGTCCGCGGATCGCGCCCAAGGAAGAAAAGCCAGAGGCCAAGGCGCTCGCTGCTGCCGCCGGCGAGGCGCCCGAGACCACGACTGCTGAAAAGATCGGATCTGGCGCGAAGGAAGTCGCGTCGCAGGTCTCGTCTGCGTTTTCAGAGGTCAAGGTCGCTGACCCCACCGAGAACGTCACCACCAGCCCCGACGACTTGACTGAGATGGCGCCGGTCGTGAAGGCCCCAACCCCCTCGGCTGCGGAAGAAGTGGCCGGTGACAGGTCGCCCTATTCGCACGTGTCGAAGGAGATCTGGGCAACTGGCGGCGTGACGAACGGGAAGCAAGCGCTGCAACTGCTGAATGCGGGTGCCAGCGTCGCCATGGTCTACACTACCATGGTGTTCAATGGCAGCGGCGCCGTGACCAAGATCAAGAACCAGATGAGGCAGGAAATCAAAAAGGAGTAGACTTCAAAAAAAGCGGTCCGAGGGAAGCGGTCCGTCTGTTCTCTTGCGGTCAAAACAGACCTTGTCTTATCCGAACATGCAGAGACCAACAGGAGATGAAATAAACCTGTAGAAATATCAAGAAAGTCCTTGCGAGTGTATCACTACCTTTTCTTCGTATCGGTCCTTACCGGGGTGGAGAAGAAGCGCCCAAGCTAGCGCGCGAGATGGAAATGCTTCAACAATCTCCGAGTCCAGCGCGTGATGGTCTCACAGGTTGGATAAATACCTCCCGATGCCCACTCTCCTGACATTCATCTCGCTTTTCATGAATGATGACTGAAGATCCCATTCGCCAACCACGGCCGCCGCTCCGCCCGCTCACTTACAATGGCCATCCTCCCAAACGCCCTGTCCCTCGACGGGCGACGGGTCGTCGTTGGGTGGCGGCGGGGCGGCGGACGGGTGGGAATGCTGGGGAGCGGCAGCGGCGGCGTTGATGGTGGGTGGGGCTTTGGGACGCTAGTAGTTGGGGGGGGGGTTGGAGTAAGGTGACTGAGCTATGCTAACGAGGGCGCAGTGTCGAGCAAAAGGTCTTGGTGTTGGTGCACAAGTGGCGCGGGGGAAGACGGACATAAAGCTTGCGATGGATGGTTCATTCCGTCTTAACTCCGCCGAAGCTTCTAATGATTTCCAAAATCAGTGGTGGCGGGACCACAATTGCTAGCAGCTCTACTAGCATCCGTCCTATCAGAATGTTGCCTGCTCCTATACTCTAGGTCCACCAAGCTTGATCCCAGCGCCTACTCTACAACTCCGTCCTAACTCCTGCCATTGAGCTATTTTCTCTAGGTTACGCACTCTCCATTTAAACCATTCCCCATTCCCACCTCATCACTTTATACAAACAACAACCGCCAAATCCCACCACCCACCCACCGCACCCACCATGTCCTCCTCCCCACCCACCTACGGCTTCCACACCACCGCCACCGCCGCCGCCGCCTCCCTCTCCGCCTCCATCGCCGGCAAGACCGTCCTCACCACCGGCGTCACCCCCAACAGCCTCGGCGCGCACTTCGCCCTCACCCTCGGCGCGCACCGCCCGCGCCTCCTCATCCTCGCCTCGCGCACGGAGTCCGCCATCGCCGCCACCGCCGCCGCCCTCCGCGCCGCCCACCCCTCCGTCGCCGTCCGCGGCCTCGTCGTCGACCTCGCCTCCCTCGCGTCGGCGCGGCGCGCGGGCGACGAGGTCGCCGCCTGGCAGGAAGCGCAGGAAGAAGGCATCGCGGCGGTGGTTGACGTCCTTGTCCTCAACGCCGGCGTCATGGCGTGCGCGTACGCCGCCTCCGCCGACGGCTTCGAATCCCAGTTCGCCGTCAACCACCTCGGGCACTTTGCGTTCGCCAACCGCGTCATCCCTGGCATGCTGGGCCCCGGCAGGCGGCCCCGCGTGGTGGTGGTGAGCAGCGAGGGCCATCAGCTGAGCCCCGTGCGCTGGGCGGATCCGGGGTTCTGCGCGGGCGAGGCGTATGACAAGTGGCGCGCGTATGGGCAGGCGAAGACGGCGAATTGCTTGTATGCGTGGGCGTTGGCGGAGAGGTTGGGCGGGAGGGGTCTGTTGGCGTTTAGTTTGCATCCCGGGGCGATTGCGACGAATTTGGGGAGGCATGTCGATGTCGAGGGGGAGGATTGGGTGCATTTGAGTGAGTTGGAGGTTTCGTTTGCTTGTTTTTTTGTCGCGGGGACGACTTGCTGACGTGTGCGTGTGTAGTGAGCGTCTTCGCCAGCAATGGAAATCCGCAGGGCTTCAAGGAGTACTGGGAGAAGAACCCGTTCAAGACTCTGGACGAGGGAACCTCGACACACGTCGTCGCGGCTTTTGCGGATGGGCTCGAAAGTGAGTTTTCTGGTCGGTGAGAGTTATTAGTATGACGCTGACATGCTTGTCACAGAGGATAACGGCAAGTTCCTGAGAGACGCGCAGATTTCGAGCTTCGACATGGTCAGTCCGTGGGCTAGGAACTCGTATGACGCAGAAAGGCTGTGGAAGATGAGCGAGGACATGGTGGGCGAGAAATTTAGTTTCTGATTCGCCTAATGTGCTTCGCAACTGGACCGCTAGGGCACTGTTATTATAGCGCATGGGTGTGGAATCCCAACCCGGTTTTGCGAGGATCAACAAGTACGACCAAATCGACTTCCACGCGGAAGAGACGTACATCTCCTACAAGTAAATCAATTGGGTGGGAAATCTGGTTAAAGAACCTTTGAAGAAAACAATGGATATAGTCCAGAAGAGGGTTGACGGGTTCTTTCTTGCGGCGCCCGTAAGCCTCTTCCACGAGTTCGAATACTTAACGACTGCGGGTCCTCTCGCATCTCGAAGTGTCTGATATGCACTGCTGTGTCATCGCTGACTGATCCCGCGCTACTCAGGTGTTCTGCGCGCTAAACAAGGCATTATCTCAAAGACCTTCGACTTTCACTTGCAGCGTGCCAAGGAAATGCTCAACACACTGTCTGCATCATCTCCGGAGGCAAGAGACCTACATCCGCTGAGCCCTGCACGAGTAACAGGATACTTCGCAAAGTACAAGCCACTTTCACCAAAAAGCTTCAGGGCTCCGTGGATGATCCGCTGCGCGAGCCATACCTTCTCAAAGCAAGCCAGATCTTCGGGGAGGGAATGAATGCTAGGAATGGGGGTGGTAAGCAGCCTGCCGTCCCGCGGAGCAAGAGGATAAAGCCGGAACCATCAAGACTCGAACTTCTTTTCACGTACAGCCATAATTCCGAAGTATTTGCAATCTTCTACGATACTCAAGAAGTACCTAAATCCTTGGTAGACGAGCGGCTGTCTCGACACAAGGCGGTAGTCAAAAGCCGTGAAGACATGGAGCTGTTGAAAATGCTGTCGCCAGTTTTTTCTACCCTCCCGGAAAGGTCGGCTCGTGAAGAGTACGGGCTGTTAGTCGACGATGGCTCACCTACTTTTAGCTCCACTTTGATCGCAATGACGGAGAGCGAAGCGAAAGTTTTTTGTGAGCCGCCCCTAGTTACTAAGCACTTCACCAAGGTGTGGGATAATTTAGCGCGATGGGAACCGGTGGTGAGGTCTTGGAGACAAAGGAATACTTTGCTTGGGCGAAAAGCTCTATCAGATGGATGCGATAGGTTAAAGTCGCATTGATCCGAGAAAAAGCAAGTTGATGCTAGCCGTCGGCTGCAGAAGGGAGCTGTATTGAGAAAGGACTATCTGTGTCCTTCGACGGATGATCTGGCCGAGAAATGGAATGTGGGTCAATATCTGGTGGCAGCGAGCCCCCGCAGTCTGGGGATGGCGTTGCGGGGTAGTCTCCACACGGCTATGGCACCGGAACTTCTTCTATTATGCCGACAGTAACTTTCCGCCAATCAACTGTGCGTGTCTTCAATTCAATGCGCTCCCTGCTCATGGTATTTTTGGTTGACTGCGAAGGGCTGCTGCAGCGACCATCACCAAGCATTCGCCAACACAGGACCGTCGCAGCCTTACCTTTCCGGCCAAACTCCTGTGTCTGCCACCTTTCCCTGAGCCTCCGCAATGGTTGCTCCGAATATCTGGTCCGTCGCACTGTTGGTTGCCGCAGGGGTTCAAGCTGCGCCATCCAGATCAGATCCCGGAAAACCGCCAGTTGCTTTCAAAGGAAAGGCTATCAAGAACCTGCTTGCGTTCGGAGACTCTTATACCTATGTCCAAGGTACACAGGGCCACTGGAACTATAGCTTCATTTCGGATGCATTCAATTACACGTTCACTCCCAAACAACTACTCTCAAGCGAGATTGTAAAGAACACAACGAGCTCCGGAGGGCCCAATTGGGTCGAGTACTTGACGGGCTGCTACGAGGGCCTTCCTGCCCATTGCTCAGGGACGAAGCTCTGGGACTTCGCCTTTGCAGGTGCCGACATCAGCGCGCAGTAGTGAGCATACCCACAAAGATTTAGCCAGCGAAGTTTTGGACTGATGCAGGGCAGCCTTCCGCTGCATCACAACTACACGGTGGATCTGGACGAGCAGGTGAAGCAGTGGGACTTGTATGCACGCGACGCCTTGGATCTTGAACCGACGGATACGCTCGTTGCGTTCTGGATCGGGTCCGTCTTGAACTCCCCAGCCCCTGAATGACTTGGATGGGCTGATGCAAGCGACGCAGCATCAACGACATCAACGACAGCGCCAAGTTCACCAACGTGAGCTTTCCAGCGTGGTATGAGACGCTAGTCGAAAAATGGTTCGATTCAGTGGTGGGTGGCCCCGTTCTCGAAGAAGACTGAATCGGGGTGTCCGGCGTAAGCCGAGTGCTGACTTGCTGGCGCAGGAGCTCGTATACGGCAGAGGTTACAGGAAATTCCTCTTTGTAAATCCGTCCTTGGCACTCTTTTAAACGTGGCGCTAACACGGCCAAGATGCTTCCGCCGCCGCTTGAAAAGACGGCATCGAATCTTGTCAGCGCCAATCCGCTCCCGAATGCCGCCATGCTGGGCCAGTGGAACGCGGCGGTGCGATCGCAAGTAGCTTCTTTTCAGGCCAGACACAATGGCTCGAGCACTTTAGTGTTCGACACTTATTCGTTCTTGAATGACGTGGTGGCCGACGCTGCGCGCTACAATATACAGAACACCACAAGGTAAGCATCCGGCCGGCCAGAGTGGCAGGCGGTGTTGACAATGCGGTGCCAAGTTACTGCGAATCTTATGCCCAGCCGGACATTCTGTGGAACTACGCGGCGTATGGGTGTCAGCCCATATCGGAGTACTTCTGGTTCAGTAAGTGATGCGGCGAAGAAAGCAGAGGCCTGTGCTTATCAACGGCTTTAGACTCAGGGCACATCACGTTTACCGTGCACGAAATCATCGCCAACGAGCTCCTGAAGCAGCTGGCGTGAGGGGCGGTCGAACGAGGAGGGCTGGTGACGGTCTTCGCCGCAGCACAAACCAGCCTTACCAGCACTACTAGCTCTAGAAAGAGCAGTGGGGATGTGTCAGGCAGATTGTACTAAAAACTCGGAAAGGCAAATCTGCGACTGGGATCGACTCTTGGCGTTTCACGGAGTGGGTCGGGTGAGACACACCACGAACGTGTTCATCGGGGACAAGGATCTTGCCGAAGGACGCGTACCTAGCCGAAGGAAATATCGTTTGCTGGCTCGTTGGTAGACGGAGGGAATGTATCCGCAGTGTCTAAGCGATGGGGTTGAAGTGTTCTTTTCAAGATATCCTTATACGTGTCCGTACTTAAACTCCCTACCGGCCCGGAAGTGGGTCCGCTGGCTAGCGCAACACGCAATAGGGGATTGGAACTCGAGATCCCACTTCACCATCATCATGTCCATATGAAGGCTGAGTCGTCGATTACCTGCTGGCCGCGTAGCTGACTCCCAGGATGGATCCCAGCAAAGCCCAGGGCTCCGGTCTGGCGGGAGCCAACACCACGGCGCATCCCAGCGCGGCACGCGGGGGAGAAGATGCATCTGCCGAGCGCATGCGAGTATCGTTCCCGACGCGGGCCTGGCACTCCGGCACTGGATGCTCGCAGACGGCGGAATCAGATTTCTCCGCCCAACCAGGCGTGTCGCAGTGCTCGCTTGCACGCACTGGACGCGCCTTAATTCGACCGGCCAAGAAGCGCCAAGCCGTATGTTAGATTCGCTCCGAGCATGCCGGGGCTCCTGATGCTTGCACGGCCGGCGATCTTGGCGGAGTGGGAAAGGGCTGGATGCAGAACATACGCCGCCGGCCAGGGGACGAGAAGGCTCGTGTGGAAGAAAGAACAATGCGTGGCTTTGCAATATAAGGCCGTGGCGGGCTGTCGTTTCGTTCCGTCTTGCTCATCCAGCGCTGGCCAACTCGTTTCACTCGTTCTTTAATTCCAAAACCATGAAGTTCTCCTCCGTCGCCGCTGTTGCGGCCCTCTCGACTGCGGCGTCCGCGGCCGAGCAGAAGTACTCGACGTGGATGATCGACTCGTTCATGCAAAAGGACATCGCGCCGGACAACCACTACACGAACGCGGTGCTGTACCGCGCCACGGACCTGACGTACAAGGCGTACGGCAACGAGACGTACTACACGTGGATGAAGGAGCAGGTCGACGCCATAGTCAGCGACAACGGCACCATCACCGGCTGGCCCGCGGACAAGGACTCGCTGGACGACATCCTGATCGGCCGGGCCCTGCTCGAGCTGTACAACCAGACCAGCGCGCCCAAGTACAAGACGGCGGCCGACAACCTGCGCCACTCGCTCGACACGCACTCGCGCACCCCGGCCGGCGGCTTCTGGCACCGCGTGCCCACCTACGCCAACCAGATGTGGCTGGACGGCATCTACATGGCCGACGTCTTCTACGCCCAGTGGACCTCGGTCTTCGAGCCGACCAACACCACCGCCTGGGACGACATCCTGCTGCAGTTCGAGCTGATCGAGCAGCACCTGCGCAACTCGTCGTCCCAGCTGCTGTACCACGGCTACGACGAGCTCAAGCAGGCCGTCTGGGCCGACCCCGTCACCGGCGCCAGCCCGCACGTGTGGAACCGCGCCCTGGGCTGGTACGTCATGGCCCTGCTCGACGTGCTGGACTACTGGCCGCAGGACCACGCCGGCTTCGCCAAGCTGAAGGAGTGGTTCGTCGCCTGCGCCGACGGCGTCGTCGCCGCCCAGGACCTCGACACGGCCGGCTGGTGGCTGGTCATGGACGAGCCCTACCCCAGCGCCCCGGGCAACTACATCGAGTCGTCCGGCACCGCCATGTTCACCTACGGCCTGCTCAAGGGCCTGCGCAAGGGCTACGTCTCTGGCGAAAAGTACAGCCAGCCCGCCCTCAGGGCCTACGACCTCATGACCACCGAGTACGCCGTGGCCAACGCTACCGGCGGCATGCTGAACTGGGAGGGCACCGTCGAGGTCGGCAGCTTGAGCGGTAACGCTTCATACGAGGTGGGTCTATTTTTTTTTTCTCTTCACCGCTACCTTCCTATGCGTGGCTTGTTTTGGCTGACTTTGTTGCTTCTTTCGTACAGTACTACATCGGCGTCCCCCTCGCCGAGAACGACCTCAAGGGTGCCGGCCCCTTCATCTACGCCAGTCTGGAGTACGAGGCCTTCACCGCCTGAAGGACGTGTTGAGCGACATGTTGGCACACGCACGCACGCGGACGGGACAGGTAGATGGTTTATTCCGTACTTTAGCACCACCGCGCGTCTTCGATATTCACTGTCCATAATTATTCTCACCCCCGTCGCGAATGAAACACGAAGGATTTGCCAATGACCACCGACCGGCCCCGCATCCGACCTACATGCCTGCCTGCTGCGCGTGACATGCTCTCTTGCTCCCATGACCAATCATGTTTTATTTTTGCCGCGCAAGCTAGCCCTGCAGCTTACCCAGACGGTAGAAATTCCATATCCGTTTAGACGCTCCGGTTTATCGCGTCACATGGCTCATCCAATCACTGCCATGGCGCTCTCGCTATAGCCCGCTTGATGCAGGTTGCTCGATTGGTGCTGTTGGCCTCCGCTTGGGAATTCTCGCTGCTCTCCCCTCGGGCAACAGGATGAAGAAAAAAAAAAAGGGACGTGATATTACGATTACAGTCGTTATTCGAGAATTCAAGCAGCAAAGCGGGCATTGCGCAAAGGTTGCATGGCGTCATGACCCCGGGTATACTGACCAAGACTCCGTCACCACTCTAAGGAATCCAAAAGAAAAAAGGGAAGAAGAGAGGAGAGAAAGCCCATTCGCCATCATCCTGACCGAAAAAAAAAGCGCCCCGACGAACAGAGTGAAAGCAAAGGAAACAAGCATAACTCGAAAGGCCTGAAGAGTCAGCCCCGAAAGGCTGTGTGACACTCAGGAGAAGAAAGAAGAAGGCAACACGAAAAGCCCTACCAAAATAGTGAAAAAGAAAACAAAAAGGAAATTCGTCACACGTAACGTCGTCCTCGTCCTCGTCCTCGTCCTCATCTCATCCACCCACTCACCGCCACCCCTTCCCCCCTCCCACAAAACAAAAACAAAAAAAAAGAGAGAGCAAGACAAGAAAACAGAGCGAGATAGAGAGAAAAAAAAAACCCCCCACCCCCCTAACCCCTCCACTCCACTACAACCACCTCTCCAACCCCCCATACGGCGGATACCCCCTCCCCCTTCTCCCTCCCCCACCAGCACCAGCACTCCTCCTCACCCCCGCCACCGGCGCACTCGGCCTCGCCGCCGCAGCACTCTCCCGCCCAAACGCCTGCCTCCGCACGCTCTCCAGCGCCCGGCTCGTCGCCGCCCGCACCGCAAACGCGTCGCCCCCCAGCTGCTGCTCCCCAACATGAGGCGCAGCTGATCCAGGGTAGTACTGCTGCTGTGGCTGATAGTACTGCTGCTGCGGCTGCGGCGCCGGCGCTGGCACCCCGTGTGCGCGGCGCGCATGCGTGTTCGGTCGCGCGGAGGAGCGGTGGTGGCGCTGCTGCTGTCGCTGCTGCTGCTGCTGGGCCGTCGTGCTTGTCGTGCCCGTCGTGCCCGTCGTATACACCGGCCCCGTGCCGTACGCGAACAAGCCGCCTAGTGACCCTCCGCCTAGTGACCCTCCTCCTGCCCCTCCTGCTCCGCCTACCCCTCCTCTCGCCGCCGCCGCCGCCGACGAACGCGTATTGTACCGATGAGTAGGCATCGGCGTCGGTGCCGACGTCGATGGCGACGTCGACGTCGTTTGGTAGTGATGGCTGTGGCTGTGGTGTGACGTGCGGTGCGCGTGGCCCGGGTGGTGCAGGGCGCAGGAGGCGCAGGGGGCGGGGTCGGGGTGCGGCTTGGGCGGGCCGCGGGTCTTGCCGCGGCCGCGGAGCTTGGAGGGGGTTGTGGGGGTGTGGTTATGGTTGTAGCCGTAGCCGTGGTGGTGGTGTGATTGTGATGATGATGGGGATGGGTAGTACGTTGTGGCGTAGGCGGCAGAGGAGGAAGAGGACGAGTGGGGCTTGCTGGTTCGGGGGCGCTTGTTGGAGGGGGGGTTGGTGGTGGTGGTGGTGGTGGTGGTGGTGTTGTTGTTGTTGTTACTGCCGGCGGACCACCATGTCGAGGTGCTGTGGTGGTTGTTGGTGCTGGACGGGCCGGCGAGGCGGACGCGTTTGTTGCTGGGGGTGGTGATGGCGTGGGGGGCGCCGTAGAGGGAAGACGGGGCGGCGGCCCGGGGCGACAGGAGCGGTGTGCTTTCGGCGGCGACGGCGCCGCCCGAGGGGTAGGATGCGGGTCGGCGACGCGGCGCGGAGGTGTTGGCTTTGGCTTTTGCCTTGGCCTTGGCTTTCTTCTTCTTGGAGTTGGATGAGGCTGGGGCGGCTGGCCAGAACCAGCAGCACACCATGGTGTTTGGGGAGCGATGCTTCCTTGACGGAGCAATGCCCAGTGAGGTTGTGACGGCGAAGATGGGAGACGGCGTGTGTATGGATTGTGTGGCGGTAAGCGGCGGTTAGGCCTTGGTGTGGAAGTGTTTCTTGGAGGAGAACGGAAGACAGTGCTTGTCCTTGGCGTGCTGAAGCTCTTCTTCGGGTTGCTCAGGGGATGACGAGGGACTAGACTGTTGCCCGACCTGGTCACCTGATTGCTGAGGAGCAGGAGGAGGCTGTCTCTTCCGAAGGCGATGACGTGGAGGGGGTAGGCAACTCTTCGGCTGAGCCTCTTCTTCTTCCTGTCCCTGGTTGTCTTGCTTTTTCTTCCCGGAACCGAAAAGAGTGCAGCGCCGATTGGGCTGCGGCTCTTCTCCTTCTTGCGGTTGCTGTTTCTTGAGGTTGGGGCAGCAGCAGTAGTAGACGCAGGGTGATACACACTCCCAGACGAGCACAGCGGTCTTTATGATCCTGAGAAGCTCAGCAAGAGGTATCATTTCGGCTGGACGACGACCAGAAGTGAGAAGAGAGAGAGAGAGAGAGAAAGACCTTACAAAGAAGCGGCTAGCAAGGCAGAGAGGTTTGAGTGTAGGACAAGACGGAGCAAAGAAAAATCCAAGACTTCTCAGGGCCGAAAATGGTGGAGGCTCCTCTTCAACTGCCCAGACACACCTCTTTCCGACGCCGCACCGGACCACGCGTCGAGCAGGAGCACGCTGAAGCAAAAGCGTGTTCGCATCTGACCAGCGGGAGTGACCACCTCTTTCCTCAGGTAGCGCGGCTTTGATATCCTGCTTCCGCGCCCTCCTAGCGCCTTCTTGCACGCGAGCGGAATCAGCACGCCGGCACGCCTTATGAGCATACCACGAGCATGCGCATGTGCGCCTCAGCGAAGGAAGAAGGAAAAAAAAAAAGGAGGCGAGAAAATGACAGAAAAAAAACGAACAGCTTCTGGGCGAATGACAGCGATGTGTGGGGAGGGTGGTGGTGGTGCTGCTGCTGCTGCTCACTGCAGCATGGGGGCGGAGGAGGCGGGCACCAGTTTCGGAATGACCATTTTGCATGACACGACCAACTGGGCTTGCTGCTTGGGCGGGGCCCGCCAACGTGATTATAACAACAGATCGCGGTGAGGGCGAAAAGATGGAGACGGTCGAGCAGCAACACGGGGCCCGCACGCAAAGGTGGGTACGATGACTGATTTTTGAGGCGGGCATCTCGTGCGCCAGCTGAGGCCGAGATGGTGGTGACCCTCCCCGGTCATGGTGGGCCGCTTTGGTCCCATGTGATGGCGCTCGTGACCACCCTCGAGCAGTCCCGCTCTCCCGCCTGCGCCCCGTTCCTGCAAGCGCTGCGTCATACCGACCGCACCAGAAGCAGGAACCCGCAGGAAGAGCAGCGTCAAGCGATGGGCCAGCCTGTCTGGACCTGTCGTTCGGAGCAGAGGCCAGAAGCGAACGCGCACGCCTCCTGGGGGCCATCTTGGACGGGCGGCATGCGGTGGCTGGCTGCTGCGGTCCGCCCCCCGCCGCCTGTCCACTGCCCCGGGCCTGCTCTCACTGGTCCGCCGCCCGCCCTCAAACACTGCTGCATGCTCGAGCCCATGCGGCCGATAAGCGCCCAAGGGGGGTCCGAATGGGAAACAGGACGATGCTCCAAGTGGAATTCCACACTACGTGCTAACAACAAAAGGCAATATGGTATCTAGATGTCTGCTCTATCTGGTGGTATGATGAAGGGATGAAGAATGATTCGGGTCATGCTGCGCAGTGCGCCACCCCAAGCGCCGGACTCCGTACAAGGAATATGCTGACATCCAACCGCGGTCTGGTCACCTTCTTCTAAGCTCGTGCCGTGATCAAACGGCCCAGAGCCCGCTCCCTCTCCTCACCGGGCTGCTGTTCCCCGCCGACGACGTCGCCGCGCTGTAGCCCGAATCCTTGCCCGGGTCCTCGTCGTCGATGTCGATGTCGAACTTCTCCTCGGCGCCGGTGCCCTTGTCGTCGGCGCCGTCCCAGGCCTTTTGCTGCGCGCCGCGCGTGTTCCAGCGGAGCGTCCTGCCGAGGCTGTCGAACCACTCGGTCGGCCGACTCAGCACCGTGGGGAACGGGTATTGCGATGCCGCAATCGTAACGTGATCGCCCTGGCGCAGCTCCACACGGCCCTTGCCGTCGAAGGCGCAGTAGGCGGTTGCGCGGCTATTGCGCGGAACCGCGACGCGGAGCAGCATGCTGTCATTGAGTAGCATCGGCCGGAACGAGAGCGTATGGGGGCAGATCGGCGTCAGGAGGATGGCAGGGATGTCCGGATGCACCAGCGAGCCGCCTGCCGAAAGCGAGTAGGCCGTGCTTCCCGTGGGAGTGGAGAAGATGCACCCGTCGGCTTGCACAATCGTGAGCAGCTCGTTCTCGCCGTACAGCTCGAGGTTGGACACATATGGGCTGGGCCCGCGGTCGATGACCAGCTCGTTGAGCACCTCGTACTGCTCGGCCTCCAGGTGCGCCGGCGACTCCGGGTCCGACGCATCGTGGCTTGGATTCGCACGGTAGACGGTGCAGGTGAAACGCATGCGCAGGTTGACCCGCATGCCCGCGTCGCCCATGATGCGCGACAGCTGCTCCTTGTACGTGTTGAATTCGAAGTTGGTCATGAAGCCAAGGCTCCCCAGGCTGAAGGACAGAATCGGCGGCACAATGCGTTGGAACAGCCAGCTCGTGTACAGCACCGTTCCATCACCACCGAGCGTGAGGACCAGGTCGAATTTCTCGGGCATGGTGAGACAGAGTTCGGGGGTCCAGTAGCGCAGCATGGAGCTGAAACGCTCGTCCTTGCGCAGCAGGCCGGCGGCGTCGAAGCGGCGCGAGTTGCGCAGCTTGTGGTCGACGTAGACGTTGACGCCCACGTCGCGGCCGTGGCGCGGCGTGGTCAGCAGCCAGTCGGCCAGCTCGTGGGTCAGGTCGACGAGCTGGTTGTCGCGGGCCTTGGTGACAATCATGACGTTCTTGACGGCAATCTTGACGGGGCGGCGCTGCAGCTGCTTGGAAACCTCGCGCACGCCCGTGGCCGTCTGCAGAAGACGCGAGTGCGACATGCCGTCGTCCTCGCGGATCTCTTCCAGCACCTTGTCAATGTTGACGGCAGCATCGAATTTCTTGTGGAAGAAGCACGGAGAGGCCAGGGCAGAGATCCTGCTGGCCGTCAGGCACTCGGGGTTCAGCGTGAGGTCTGCAGCGGCGCCCGATAAGCGCTTCCGCTGCAAGCCGGGGCGAGTCTGGGGCGGGTCCTGCTGCTGCTGCTCGCGGTCGCGGTTGTTCTGCAGCAGGCCGTTGATGGACGAGGCAATGGACATGTTGGAGGTCGGCGGCGGGCGCGACGCAAGAGCCTTCATGATGGTCTGTCGCGGAACCGAGTCGATGGACACTGCGTTCTTGCGATGTCGGCGCTCGCGGAACGACTTGTGGGGCTGAGGAGCGAGCTGCGGCGGCGGGCACGAGGGAGCAGCGCGGTGGATGGCGACGGGCGTGCTGCTGCGCTCGTCGTCGTCGTCGTCGTCGTCTTGTTCGATAAAGACGGGCGCTGCGGAGGCCTTCGGGGTTTGTCCGCTTACATCCAGCAGCGGAGATACGAGTGGTGAGGTCTCAGGGTGGGCAGCGCAATTAAGGCTATCTCCGGAGTGTGATTGTGACGCAGAGGGCAAGGGCTGGTGGCGTGCGGGTGTTGAGGAACTCCTCAACCGTATGGCGGGCGGGACGGGCTGGGGCGAGGCTGTCGCTGGTGAGCCATGGCGATCGGGGCGGGTGAGGGCGTCGTCGATGGATAAAGAGGTGGGCGTCGGCGTGGAAAGCGGGAGCTGGATTCTACGGGCGTCCAGTGCGGAGCCGGGATTTGTGTCGGGCTCGGCGGCCATGATTACGGATTATGCGCTGTTGCCGAGTGCCGCGTCGCTTCGCGTTCCCCCACTGGCCGCGGGCTGTCCCACTGCTTCCGATTGCTCACGCTTGATTCGTGCCCGCTGTGACGGGACGGGGCCTGCAGACGTGCCTGACGCCGTGCAGCTCGCTGGCTCGTTGTCGCCGGAGATTCGGCGTGCGTGACGCAGGGCGAGATGCAGGTGCTGCACAGCTGAGATCCAGTCCCAGGTGTGGGTGAAGGTGCGGAAAAGGGCGGCGGTGAAACGAGGGGCCGGGGCGCTGCGGTCGAGAAAGAGGCCAGCTCAGAGTCCGAAGGAGCGCAAGAAGAAGAGAACAATAGGTACGGAGAAGAGAAGGGAGCGAGAGGCGTGGCTTGAGGACTGCGGGTGAAAGGCCGCGCCTCTTAACTTAACCCGCACCGCGCCTACAACAGCAATCGGCACGGCCAAACCAGGTGGGACTACTACGGGGTTCAGCGTGCGGCGCCTCGTGGAGCGATTGCCTATTCCTGTTGTGTGAGAAGGCTCGGGGAGGAGGGCCTCTGACACCGGGGCTGCCTCAGCGGCCGCACACCCCATCCGACCCTCCAAGCCGCCCCGGCCCAGCCCATCCAAGCTTCGGCCAAGCTTCTGCGGGCCGGCTGCATTGTCGCAAGTGAGCAGTTTGGAACAGGCGAGATCAAATGGATACGACAAGGGCCGTGGTTGCTCCCATGGGCTCCGCCGCGCAATATATGAAAACGCCTGCGGCCGAGGAACGCACTATGCATTCCAACGCTGTCTTCAGGGGCAGACGCCAGCTCTCCAGCTCCCAGCCCGGCGTCACCTCACCGCTCGCAGCTACCAGGACGCTGTGAGACGTCTCAGCCGGATCGAAATGCCTGCAACGACTCTATGCCGCGCACGGGCAAGCCCCGATTTTACTTGCCAGATTTCCCCGCCGCCTGCGGACTATATGCGGATAGGACGGCGAAAACGCTGAGTGGTGAGACTCTTGGGGCCGGAGTGTCAAACACCACGCTTTTGTGCCGCTGCTCCCACTGGCTTGGCCGACATTCCGCATGGAAAAGCCGCCCTGGATCATCAAGCCCGCGTTTTCTACCCACTAGCGTGCGATAACGGGCCGCCGCCGGACAAGGAACATGCGTCTTGAGGTCTGTCCTGTTTGAAGTTGCCCGCATCTCACCGATGCAATTGCTCGTCGCCGGAAAGGCAGAATGGGGCTGCACGGCTGGCCATTACTTGAAGCCAAGCAACTCATCGACCCGGCGAGTTTTGCGTCGCGTCGCAGAGGAAGCGGCGCCAACATTCGGCAGGTGTGGGGGAGCAGTGACCAGCAATCCGTCCGCCACGGCAGGCGCGGAGGCAGAGGCGGAGGCAGGCGCGGACAGGGCCGAGAAGCGTCCAGCCCGCCGCCACAACTGCGCCGCCACTAAAGTGCTGAGGGGCCGTCTGCCCAACGCCTCCCCGTTCTGGACGTTGGGCCCAGTAGTGGCAACACACAACAAGTTTTGCGGCTCCAAGGCGGGAACACTAACTTCGGCCCTGGTGTGCAGGCGGGAGACCCAAAAGACCCAAAACCCTTGGATTATTTTGGTCAGCCGTGGGGAGCCAGGGATGATAGGCAGTGGCTGAGGAGCGGGAGATTTGCTCAAAGGAGGGGGGGGCGCAACGCAGGTGCAGCTGCGGCGCATGCATCATGCAAGTCGACGATGATGATACCAGCAGGGTTTCAGGGCGCAGCCCGTCGCCATCACCCTCGGGCGGCGTCGGCCACGAGTCCAATGACGTCGAGAGGCGTTCGCATGCCTAAGAAAGTATCAGCCGCGAAATGCCATCCACATCTGGCTGGACTCATGGAATCTTCGCTGCAAGAAATCGGGTCGATCCGTGCGTCGATGTGCAATGCTTGGCTTGCGCCTGCCTTCGCGACCCCTCCACCTACGTCATTTGTCGTCACCATGGTTTCCTCGCATGCCAGCTGCACCACCAAAGCCACCATATAATACCCCGCTTGCCCCTCAACCATAATCTTCTTCACCAAACAAACAAACACTCTCAAACAAACTCCCCATTACATCCACCACGCAAATTTTCTCCGCCTCAAACCACCATCTCAACACACCATTCACCATGTCCGACAAGAACACCTCCACCCTCCAGTCCTACGTCGACTCGGCCACCGGCGCCGTGCAGTCTGCCATCGGTGCTGTCACCGGCAACACGGCCGACAAGGTACGCCCGCATTCCCTTTTCTCCCATATTCGAACCTCTACTGACATCCACCACAGCAACAGGCCGAAGACAAGAAGGCCGAGGCGCAAGCCAAGGATGACCTCTCCCACGCCACCGCCAAGGCCGGCCCCTTCACCGTCAGCTCCTCGGGCGTTGCAAAGGATGACCCCAACCGCACCGAGGGCTCGTGGAACCAGACAGTCGGCTCCGGCAAGGAAATGGTCGGCAACCTGATCGGCAGCGAATCGCTGAAGCAGGAAGGCGTGCGCCAGAACCAGGAGGGCAAGGGCCAGGAGGCCCAGGGCCAGCTGAGCGACCTGGGTAGCGGCATCTCTGACAGGGTCGGCGGCGCTGTCGGCGGCGCCGTTGCTGGCATCACTGGCAACGAGAAGGCAAAGAGCGACTATGAGAAGCAGCATGACCAGGGCAAGACGGCCCAGAGGGGTGTTGAGGCCGACCTGCAGAAGCAGGCTGATGCTCAGAAGTAGAGTGGTGTATTCACCTGCTGCTACCTGAGGAACGTCCTACGAGTATGGAGGTTATGATTATGACTTTGTAGCTTATACCCTGAAATCAACTTCTCTACTTTCCTACCAAAGGTTCAACGCATATTTAACGTGTCTCAGGTTACTGTTCTTCCTTTGGGAATCAATAAGGCATTAATGTTTCACACCGTTCACCACAGACAGCTAAGAAGGGACCACTCAACTCGGTACTAAAGTGAATCAAGGATCAGTGTTCTATCGCATATCTATTGTCTATTTGGTTCACGAGGCCGACAGTGCCCTCAAGGGCGAACACCACTGCATAGTATCTTCACATTTACCATCTTCGCTCAGCCTAACCTGTTATTTTCTCTAATTTCTCTAATTCCCTCCTATAATATCCAGACCTGTGTTGTTCATAGTTCCCAACATGACCAAACCCAATCGCCCGTTCGATTCAATACTACGTTCCTTTAGCAAAGACCGGTGTTCTTAGTGATTTTAATGTCCAAGATGAGCTATCGATTTAGTCGAACTCGATCCCAAGCTCTGACCACTCATCCGCCTTCAACGCCTCAGAGCTTCAAAACTACCTCAATATTGGGAGTACATCCCTCAATTCCCAATTCAAGACAGGGGAAAAAAGATATCAAAAACAGCTTATGCATTTAACAAAGTCCATCGCCAAGCGTCGCGAACTAATCATACAACAAAGTGCCTGCACTTCTGCAAATCAAAGTCAAGACCCGCCCACCAGCAAACCTTCAGTTCTTCGAGCTTCCAAGGCCACTCAGTCCACTTAGCCCGCTCAAACCGCTCGAGCCACCAGTCAGACCGCTCAGACCGCTCAGCCCACTCAACCCGCTCAGGCCGCTCAGGCCGCTGCTTCTGCCGCTGCTCCCGCTGCTCGACGACGATCCGCCGCCGGTCAGCCCGCTCAGTCCGCTCAGAAGACTCGAGCCACTGCCGTCGCTGGATCCAGCTCCGTTCAGCCCACTCAAGCCGCTTAGCAAGCTCGACCCACTGCCACTGCCGCTGCTACTACTACCGTCGGCCGCCGAAGCACCGCTGTCGGTACTGGTGCTGGTGGTGGTGCTTTCGGCCGACGTGCCGTTGGCCGAGGAGGAGGAGGAGGAGGAGGAGGAGGAACCGAGCGTGCCGAGCTGCTGCTGGATGAACTCGGCGGCGGGGCCGGTCGATTCGGACGCGTAGGACAGGTGGGCGGCGGTGATGATGAACTGGTTCGTGCAGACGAGGTCGCCGGCGGCGCAGAAGATCTTGGTGCGGGACTCGTCGATGTTTTGGAACGCCTGCGCGCGGAGGGGGTCGCCGAAGGTCACGGCGGCCTGTGTGGGGGTGTGGCGTTAGTTTTGTGGGTGGTTGGAGGGGTTTTAGGGAGGTGGATGGATGGATGGATGGATCAAGGTGATGATGGGAATCCAGTGACGGTGCGTGCGACAGGCGTATATATACACCACTTACCGCAACCTTCCCCGCTTCCGCCGCACTCAGATCGATCAGACACCCATGCACCTGCTGCGCGCCCTGCGAATACCCCGCCAGCACGATTTTCGTGCCCGGGCAGTCCCTCAGCGCCTGCTGCACCAGCCCCGCGCAGTCCTTGCTCCCTTCCGCCGCGCCCGGCGACACGCTCCCCACGACCGTGCCCGCCACGTCCGCGGCGTAGTTGACGCCTTGCGTCGCGAGCTTGTCCGCCCCGACGGCTGCCGCCAGCTTCGTCTGCAGCGCCGGCCCGACCGTCGAGCCCATGTTGCCTTGCTCCGTCGTGCCCCGCGCGAAGATGTAGGTCACGTCTTTGCAGACGCCGGACTGTACGTCGTTGGCGGTTTGGCCGCCGATGCTGGGGATGGAGAAGCCTTGGCGGGCCTTGAGGGGCATGGCGCTTGCCGCTGTGGCGAGAGCGAGGGTTGCGAGAGAGATGATGGCGACCATTTTTGAACTGAATGAGGGTGGTTGGAGCGGTCAGGCTTGCTGACGTGGTGGACTTGAGAATGAAGGAGGGGAGAGGGAACTGAAATGGCAAGGTCGCTCTGGGAAACGAATGTTGATGTTGCTGATGGGAGCCTTCTTGTTTCCGAGAATCTCAAGATTTATATCTTTTCTATGTCCCCATGGTCTCATCACCTGGAGTTGCCAATGGTCCACATGTGGTTGATGAGACGCCGAATGGATGCATAAAAGCAGCGCCCATGCCAAAAACGCAAAGGTCTCGGGAGAGGATCAGCAGGACAAACCAAACTTGTTCATGGACAGAATTAGTCTCGCTACTGTGACACGCGCCGTCGCGGCAAACGGGCCTCTGAGGTAGCTCGGATCATCGCAGCGGCTATGCTACCAAACCAAAGAAAGCTGGTTCTCCGTTCGCAAGGCTTGAGGTAACCTTCGACTAAGCCGCTAGCCTCGGCAACCTACGCCTGGAGCAATTCTTGAATACGGCGGATGAGGATCACTTGTCCCCTCATCGGTCCTGAGGGTCATGGGGGATCTCCGCTCCTGGATCGGCCCGTTACTGGGAAGTATAATCCAACGCCTTGTTCTCTGCAATTCCGTAGGAATAATCAATATGCAAAATCGGAAAGGTCTTGATATGGGAACTCACTGCAGCAGAAATTGAGTTTGTCAAGAAAAGTGATTTCAGCTGTCCGCGCACGAAAGGGAGTGTGAAAGTGTTTGGACGGGTGGGGCGGGGCTGAATGTTGCTCGGATCGAAAGTCGGCTGTGCGGTCAGCTTTCGCTCTCTGTTACCCATCGCTCGAAAAGGAGCTGCGCTTAACGCTAAAGGCACTGATGTGAAGCAGCTAAGTGTTTCGATACTTGGAAAAACCAACTTCATCGTCGATAGAGTTTCATAGCTTCGACGAGATTATATCGCGCCAGGGACGGAAGTCTTCCGCTGTCGATCCAGCCTCTTGCACTTGTAGTACGGACGTATTCCTTGCCGACTTCCGTTCATTTGTCTGCCCCTGATCAAAGTGCAAGGGGTCAGTCATTCCTATCGTTGCCGCTCATGTCTGCCTGCTTTCATCCGGAGCTCAGTACTTGAATGTAATATTTCCATACTCTTCACTGTTACATGTGTCAGTTTTACTGACGTCGTTTTGTTCGTTCTTCGGATCGTTCGGGACACTCTACCAAAGCGGCGTTTGCGGATGTTCACGCAACGATCAAAATCACCCATCTAACTAAGCGCTCGTCTACTAGGCCAGAAATACTTCGTGTTATTGGTAATTGTGACACTGCAGTTATCATGGCGTATTTGGACTCAATGGGTCACTATCTAAGGGTCGACAGTCAAATTCACACCTACTGGACAAGGCAATACTGGAAGCTTTGAAAGACGTCCATACTGCTTTAATGGAAGTGACAGACTGGCATTATAGAGGTGGATTCATGTGAGGCGAGTTTCTGTAATATCTCAAAGGAGCAATCTGCATCTTGTATTAGACAAATGAGCACTCAATAATTGCAGCGAGCAGCAGTTTTCAGAAACACATTCGCAGTGTAAACAAAATCGACTGACTCCATTGTTGCGCCAATGTCTCGCGTTATCTTCAAAGTCTTGCCAACTCTGTCCCAAACAGCCTATTAAATCCCCATGTGAGGAACATCATCGACCTCGTTCTAAAGCTCCTCGTCCACGCCGAGCTGCCTTGCTTCCAAGACAGCCAAGCCAGCTTCCCCGTCCACTCCCCGTCCTGGATGATTCCATCATGGCCGCCGAGGTAAGTGGCCAAACCCTTCGGACGGTACTTGTACGGCGTCTCGGAGCCGCTGTTCAAGACGCTCGCAAGGTACCTCGCCTTTTGCACCGCGACCTCAGCCGTAGTCGGAAGCGGCGCTCCCTCGATGTCGCACGCATCTCCCAACCCGTAGACGCCCTCCCAGACCTTATCATCATCATCAACATCACCACTCCCATCGGCCTCTACCTCCCCTTCTGGCTTGTAAACCCGCAACCGGCTATCCGTAAGCAGCCTCACGAGCCCCCCACTCGACTTCTTCGCATCCAGCCGCTCAACCAGCGGCACATTCGTATTCGCAGTCGCCCAGATGACCAACCCGCACGGCACCCGCCCATCCTCCTTCGTCCACAACTCCTCCCTCCCAACGCGCTCGACATGCGCATCCACCCTCACCTCGACCCCCTCCCGCCCCACCAACCTCTCGCGCGCATACTCATACAACCTCCTCTCATACGCACTCCGTATCCGCGCCCCAACATCAAACACCACAACCCTCAACAACCCCACCACCCCCGGATACAACCTCCCCAACTCCCCGCGCACCAACCCCCCCACCTCCACGCACAGCTCCCACCCCACCGGCCCCCCACCCACAACAACAACCCGCAACCGATCGCGCCGCTCCCATTCCGTCAATCCCGGCACCGACGCCTTATCCAGCAGCTCCAACAACCGCCGCCGCAGCACGCGCGCATCCTCCGCCGTCCGCACAAACTGCGCGTACTCCGCCGCCCCGGGCACATCGCCCAGCAGATCCGCCACGCACCCCGGCGCCACCGCCAGCACGTCGAACCGCATCCCGTCGTCGTCATCCAGCACCACCTTCTCCTCGTCATCCGCCCCGCGCGGCCACTCGAACGCCGTCCTCACGCGCAACCGGCGCCGCGCCAGGTCCGCGCTCTCGACGCGCGCTTTGACGTAGCGGATGCGGTTGCGGGTGCCGGCGCGGTTGCGGACGGGCTCCTCGGCGAGGTGGGGGGCGGGGGCGGCTGGGGCGGCGGCGACGCGGGCGAGGAGGGGAGTGTAGACGAGGGAGGGGGACGGCGAGATGATGGTGATGGCGAATTTGTGGGGGTCGAGGGATGTGGCGAGCGTGTGGCCGGCCCAGCCGGTGCCGATGATTGTGATGCGTTGTTTGCCGTTGGGGGAGGAGATGGGCGTGGTGGAGGAAGAGGAGGAGGAGGAGGAGGGGTTGTTGTTGTCGTCGTCGTCGTCGTCGTCGTCGGGGTCGAGGTAGTCGTTGAGGTTGTTGTCTTGCGAGTCTTCGTTGGGGTCGTAGTATGGCGGCGTGTTGTCGTCGTCGTTGTCGTTGTCGTCCTCTTCGAGCCGTGCGGCTGGCGCCGCCGAAGCCGGTTTTTGTATCATCGTTGCGAGAGGATGGCGGGAAGGGGAGTGAGTGGGTGGGCGTGGAGCGCGAGTAAGTCGGATCGTGGGGAACCTGGTCGCGCGTTGTCGAGGTTAAGTATATCCCCGCAGTCTGGAATGCTGCAACGCTGATCTGCCGTCTGATTGGTTGGCTCGATTGTGTTCCGGAACCAGGAGGAACTCTATTTGCGAACAGCAGTGCTGATTGGGGGCCCAGGGGCTAGGTGGTGGGGTAAGCTGAAGCTCTGCCAACAGATTCTAGGAAATCATCCGAGTAAAGTGACTCCATCGCGAGTGACAGTGCTTTTTAAAAGCTACATTGAGTGGACTTGGGGTCTTTGTAATAACTGGAAATCGGTTTATCAGCTTTGTTCTTCCAGCGACGTGTGGGGAGGAGCGATTGGAAAGGGATCTCCGGGTATGTCTAGCATGGCGTTGACATGTGATTGTGTCCCGTCATCTATAGAAGTTCCAATTGACTCCGCCATGATATGACTCTCTGCCCCGACAGGTAGTCAGCATCGTTGGACATCTCAGAAGTAGTTGTTTACCATAATCCGTTTTTCACTTTCTACAGCACTTTATCTAGGCTTTTACATGAAGTAGTTAATCAAGTATAAAAAGCACCTTGATATCGTCGGTATGCAGACTCAATAACACAAATGTTCTTAACGTGGATAGACAGGTGCATTTAAACAACGAACGCCCAGATGGTTACATGAATTTCCACTTTCCACAAGCGCCATATTAGGAAGTTATAGTACGATGCGAATAGTCAACCCAGATGACTGCCGAAAACACAGGAAGCTCATGAGCATAGGGTATTCAATTCAAAACCGCAACAATATAGCCAAAAGCTCCTTCTGCACCAAGAAAGCAACGCTTTCATCTACCGCTCAAATGCTCTCAGAATACCGTCCATGCAAGTGCTTGCTCGGAAATGCTGAAGTAGAAAACAAATCCAGACCCAAAGAACGCCCAGATGATGCAAACCGGCCTCACGAGGCGTATGCAGCTACCTCCCCCCTTCCAAATGCTTTCCGAGTCTAGTATGCCAAAGGCACGCCATTTCCAAAGGAAAGAAAAGAAGAAGAAAACAGCCAGGAAAAAAAAGGAAAACCAGCCACACATGCTGCCCGCAAAACAAAAAGCAACTCCCGTCAAAAATGCCAGAAGAAGCCGCCGGCCAAGCCAAGCCAATCCCAGGCCGCAGTAGCCAGCAAGACAGCCAGCCAGCCATCCCGGAAAAGAGAACAAATAATAAAACAAAGACCCAAGCCGATCATGATCATCATCGTCGTCGTCGTCGTCGTCGTCATCACCATCCTGATCTTCCCTCCCTCCCCCAAGCTCCCCACTACTCCTACTCCGCATCCAACACCAACCCCCCACCCTCACCCACCCTGAACCTCCCGGCCATCGTCCTCGCCAGCCCTCTCCTCTTCCTCCTCATCGGCATCGTCGTCATCGTCTCCGCCGCGGCGGCAGTCACGTGCGCAGGAGGAGAAGCAGCAGCAGCAGCAGCAGCAGCAGCAGAAGCGAACAGCAGTTCGTCTTCGTCTTCCTCGTCGCTGCCCAGCGACAGCAGGGCCTTCAGCTCGTCCGTCGGCGAGTGCAGCGGGGCGTCGGCGGCGAAGTAGGGGGAGCGGCGGCGGCGCGAGGGCGACAGGAAGGACACGCTCACGCTGTAGTCGTCGTCGAGGTCGCCGTTGTCGTGGCGGCCGTCCTTGGAGAGCTGCTGCTGGGCGACGAGCCACGCGGCTGTCCGGGCGGAGTTGTCGGCGGCGTCGTCGTTCCCCTCCCTCTCCTCCTCCTCCTCCTCCTCCTCCTCTTCCTCCTCCTCCATCACTACCTCATTGTCGTGGTGGTGGTGGTGGTGTTCGTGTTCGGGACTACCCGGCGGCGTCGTCGTACTGCGCCCCTGCTGCCCTCCGTCTCTCACGCCGTCCACGACAATTTCTCCTCCATCCTCGTCTCCATCCTCGTCTCCATCCTCGTCTTCGCTCTCCGACCCCCCACCGCCACCACCACCACCACCGCCGAGACGACAGAGAGTCGACATCCCCAGCCGCCGCCGTCCCGGGCAGCGGCGCAGCGTGGTGAAGACGCCGCCACTGCCGCCACCGCGCAGAGCCGAGTTCGAATTCAGGCCCGGCGGCACAGATCCCGCATCGGCATCGTCACCTTGCCCAAGCGACTTCAAAGCAGTGGCATCACCACCAAGCCCAGGGGGCGAAGCGGTAACCGGCTGCTGCAGCATCGACATCGGCATCGGCACCGTCATCGCCATCGGCGGCGCCCTGCGCAGCCTGCGCCGCGGGGCCGGGTTCAGCAACATACTGCTGCTGCTGGTGGTGGTGCTGGTAGCGGTGGCGGCGTCGAAGGTGCCAGCAGCGTCGTCATCACCAAAGGCGGCGGCGACGGCGCGGGCGTCGCCGGTCAGGGTGACCCACGTGGCGAGGGGCTGGGTGCGGCGCAGGGTGGGCGGGGTGAAGTTGGGGTCGGGCGAGCGGCGGCGGCGCTGGCGCTGGTGGAGGTGCGGGTGCGGGTGCGGACGGCGGTATGGTGGTGGGCGGGAAGCATTGTTGTTGTTGTTGCTGTTGTCTGCGGTGGGTGGTGGTGGCGCTGCCTGTAGCTGGCTGTGTGAATATAATGGCGGGATTTTTTTTTTCCCTCGTGAGAGGAGAGGTGCTGCTGGGAGCATATGTCTATGTACGTACCTCGGAGAGAGTAGTATCTACGAGTCGCGTGCTTCGGGCAGGCTGTCTCTGCGGGCCGCCACCCAGGCCGGCGGCGGCGGCTCTGGGGTCGCGCAGCCGCGAGACGCGACTGACGTGGGTTTCGGGGCGCTGTCTGACAAGTCTGCCGTCGATCTGCACCGGACACTTGGGGAGCGATGACAGCCGGGGCGGGTGGGCAAGTCTTCTTGGCGCAGGCGGGGCCGTCGGCGACATGTCGGCCGGGGTGGGTATGTCGTCGGTTGCCGTGGCGATGCACATGGGGCCGTATTTACTGCTGGGGTTTGCGGGAGAAAAGTCGAAGAAGAGTCGGGGGTCGAGCGAAGGTGGCCTCCAGGACCTTTGGGGGTGACCAAAGGGATTTGTTTGTAGAGGTTGCGGACATGGTTGGTGCACGGAGGATGGTGGTGCCTATATTTATGGGGTCAGGGTGGTGGTTAGAGCGACCGTGGCGGCTCGGGTGCCTGGGGCTAGGCGGACCTGAAATGCGGTGGCGGCCATGGTGAGTATGCAGAGGCACACAGTGAAGTGAGAGTCGTCCGGGATGCAAGTGTGTGTAGCAGGGAAGGTGGGCAGACAGCCGGCAACAAGTCAACAAACGACACCGGGCGCAGCTTGGTCAGAGCGAAATTGCGGGGAAGGGTGAGATCAAAAAAGCCGTGATTGGCAGACGGATAAAATTCAAAGTGCGCGCTGTTTTACACCGTCGGCAGCGGTAGCTAATGGTCGAATATCAAACCCATATTTTGGTCCCCTGCAACGCCGGCCCCGGATCCTTGTTTTACAGACGGATGCCTTCCATCATCCGCTAGACTGCAACCTGTTAGCGCCGCTCCACGCGCCGATGTCGCAATCTGCGCCGAAAACTCACTTGCGCCAAAGTAGCTGAACTCGTCGAAGCAGATGTTGCCGTTGGCATTGCGATACGACCCGCCCGTGCCCGCAATCTTGGAGTCCTGGCCCTGACTTGCGGCGGACGCGGGCGCGGTTGAGGTGCGCGACAGGCGCTGGCGCGACACGTGCTGGGCCTTCGCTTGCGAAAGAGCCGCCGCGCCTTTAGCGCCGCGGGTGGGACTTGTGCTCTGCGGCGTGACGGTGATCGGCGCCAATTGAGCGTCAGTCCTGCTGCGCCGCGGTTTTGACGGCGGCTCGGTCTTGTGCTGCTGCTGCGACGATGCGAGCTGCTCAAAGTCCGAGTCGGCCGTCGACGGGCGGCTGTCGTGGTCGCTCTTGGGCTCTTGCTACAGAGCTGTGAGCTGGGGCTGCTGGGGCTGCCTCGACACCAGGCGGCTGCGACTGACCTTCGGACTCGTGGCCGGCGACGTCGACGCCGAGCCGTAGCCCTCGTCGACAAAGTGGACGTGCTTCTCCACCTTTTGCTGGTGCTCGGGCACGGGCTGAGAGGCGCGAGTGGTGAGGCTCTGCGAGCGCTTCAAGGCCGGCTTGGTCGCGGGAGGGTGGCGCTGGGCGTCGACGCTGGCGGCGTGCGTGGCCGGGCGGAAGACGTACTGCTGGGCCTGGCCCAGGTGCGGCATTGAAGCGTGGTTCTTGTGCTTCATGTAGGCCGGCCGCTGGGGCTGGGGCTTGGGCTTGGGCTTTGCCTCCCGCGCCTTGGACTTGGCGGCGGGGAAGGCCATGTACAGCGAGTCCTTAAAAGCACATTGTTGGCGGGTGAGTGTTGCCGACAATCGCTCTTACGGAGGGAGGGAGCAAGACGGAGAGAGGCTGGACGGAGGAGTCATACCGACCACTCGCCCGTCGAGGGCGCCGACCAATCGCTGTCGCCCATGAACGGCATGCTTGCGGGGATGAAGTAGTGGATGAAGACGGAGCGGTGCACGTGGGGGAGAGGAGTGGTGCGTGGGGAGGCTTGGGACTCGGGGCGCTATATAAATTCTGGAAAGCAGGCGCGTGGGCGCCGCAGCGTCAGGGAGAGGGTCTCGGAGAGGGCCTCCGCAAAATTTCTCCAGGATCATCGCAGCCCTACACCTGAACCGCCGTGCCCGCTAGCTGCGGCCAGACGGCCAAAAAGACCGCGGCCTGAAGCCGCCAGCCCTCCGTTCCCTGGCGATCGCTACCGGTGACGCCGCCCGCGCGATTGGGGGCTGGGGGGTGTGGTTTTCCGCCGCGCGCGCGCGCCAGCGTTTGCACCTCATCATCATTATTGCCCACGGCCGGGACGGGCAGTGCTGTTGGGAGGCGACGGGGGGTGCGCGCGGCGTGCCTCCTGCGGCGGGCGAACCCGGTTGGGAGAGCGGTGAGAGCAGGCTGCGGCATAAAGACGCGTGCGACCGACAAGGGGCCGGCCAAGCTGAATGCATGCCTATGACGAGGCCCAGTGGCCGACACTGCACAACCGCCGCCCGGCCGCAGCGAAGGCCGGCGCCTGCTCCTGGCCGGGACGAGGCTGCCGCGACTTTGGCCAGCACGCGTCGCGTCCTCCGCATCCGAATGAAATAATGCCACTGCGCGACTGTGCCACCCTGCTCATTAGCCACCGGGCCTGGGCCGCGGTGCAGTCGTGCGACTGAGGTCAAACGCCCGAGAGGGCGCGCGGAAAAAGGGCAGCCAGGGCAGCCAGTCGCATGCGGCCCGGTTGCGCCATAGCGGGTGACCAGTGCGTGCAGCAGTTACATCAGCGACATGGCTCAGTCGCGTGCGCTATCGCAATTGCGCCCACCACCCTCGCCATCGCCAGACGCTGCTGCCGAAGACCTGCGCCCGCCCGTCGTGTCTCCCTTCGCCGCCGACGACGTCCACGCCATCCCGCTGGCCACGCTCCAAATGGCCCCCGACAGAGGCACCCGTCCTGAGCCCGCTCAGTCGCCGCCGCCGAACAACCTGAACCCGCAATCCCCCACTCCTGCCTATCGCGACGACGCCGACGACGACGATGCAGAGCTGCAGCAGGATCCTGCCCGCGTCCGCTCTATCCTGGCTCAGCGCGCCGCCGAGCCTCAGAACTTCACCCTCCGCGGCATCCTCGTCGGCCTCGCCATCGGCATCGTGATATGCTTCTCCAACACATACTTTGGCCTGCAGACTGGCTGGGTCAGCAGCATGGCCATGCCCTCGGCCCTGCTGGGCTTCGCCTGGTTCCGCCTGATGTCCCGCCATCTGCGCCTGCCCTTCTCGCCCGTCGAGAACGTGCTGATCCAGAGCGTCGCCGGCAGCGTGGGCACCATGCCGCTGGGCTGCGGTTTCGTCGGCGTCATTCCCGCTCTGCAATATCTGTTGAAGCCCGAGGAGAACGGTCCGCTGGATGTAGGTCTGTGGAAGCTCATCGTCTGGGCTGTTGGCATCTGCTTCTTCGGTGTCGTCTTTGCCGTCCCGTTGCGTCGCCAGGTTATAATACGCGAGAAGCTCAAGTTTCCGAGCGGCACTGCGGCTGCCCTCATGATCGGCGTGCTGCATGGCCAGTACGGCAAGGGCCAAGTCATCCGTCAGGACGACCATCGTGACACGCAGGAGAGGGACGGTGATGATGGCGAGCGCTCACACCTGCTCGTTGGCCGTGCCGACTCTCCTCCACCCCAAACCTTCCCGGAGACGGACGCGGAAAACGAAGCGGGGACCGGCTTGGATGCGCAGAGCGACTGGAAGGCCAAGGTTCGCCTGCTGACCATAGCTTTCGGCGTCTCTGCTGTATATGTACGTGCATTGCATCATGTTGATGTGAGTCTTGACTGATTGTGTGATCAGACCGTCTTCACCTACTTTGTACCCCAGTTGCGTGACGTGCCAATCTTCGGTCTCCATTTGGCCCACAATTGGCTATGGACCCTGAACCCTTCTCCAGCATACATCGGCCAGGGTATCATAATGGGGCCCGAAACGACGCTCCACATGCTTCTTGGTGCCATTCTCGGGTGGGGCCTCCTCTCGCCTCTTGCAAAAAACAAGGGCTGGGCCCCAGGCCCGGTCAGTGACTGGGAGACTGGCAGCAAAGGCTGGATCGTGTGGGTCAGTCTTGCCATCATGCTGGCTGACTCGCTGGTCAGCCTTGGTTGGCTGATTCTGCGGCCCCTCGTCAACTATGCACGCGTCTGGCTGCCCAGGCTCACTGACCATTTCAGACAGCGGACTTGGAGCGACATATTCTCGTTTGACGTGCACTCGCTCAAGTCGCTAAACGGTTACACAGCCATTGACGGTACTCAGACCCTGAAACGTGATCCATCCGACGAGGAAGAGGATGCCCCACCCGAGCATCTCATCTCGACCCGTACCACTCTCATCGGCCTCGTCCTCTCCCTCGGTCTCAGCATCGGGGCCGTGCACTACGTCTTTGGAAACCTCGTCCCCTTGAGCCTGAACATCCTCGGCCTCTTCCTCGCCCTGATGCTCAGCATCATGGGCGTTCGCGCCCTGGGCGAGACGGACCTCAACCCCGTCTCCGGCATCTCCAAGCTCACCCAGCTGCTCATCGCCCTCGCCATCCCCAACGCCGCGACCAACAAGAACGCCGTCGTCATCAACCTCGTCGCCGGCGCCCTCTCCGAGTCGGGCGCCCTGCAAGCCGGAGACCTCATGCAGGACATCAAGACGGGCCACCTCTTGGGCGCCGCTCCCAACGCGCAGTTCTGGGGCCAGATGATCGGATCCGGCGTCGGCGCCGTGCTATCGGCCGTCATCTACCGGCTGTACACCAACGTCTACGAGGTGCCCGGCAAGCTCTTCGAGGTCCCGACCGGTTTCGTTTGGATCTTCACCGCGAGGTTGGTCACGGGGAAGGGCTTGCCGCCTATGGTGATGCAGTGGGCGTTGGGCGCTGGGCTGGTGTTTGCGGTCGGTACGGCCATTCGAGTGGGAGAGCAGACGAAGGCTGGGACGCGCCGGTGGACGAGATTCGTTCCTGGCGGCATTGCCGTGGCTGTTGGTAAGTCCAAGTTTTTTTTTTCCCTGTCCCCCCTCCCTTCGTTGCCGTTGTGGACATGTCTGACAATTGGTAGGCATGTATAATACGCCGTCCTTTACGCTTGCTAGGACCATCGGTGGCTTGATGAATCTGTATTGGCTGCGCTACCGCGGCAAGCAGGAGACCCCCTTGATTGTGCTCGCCAGCGGTCTTATTCTTGGAGAGGGGCTTTTGAGTATCGTGAATCTGCTATTGGCTAGTCTGGCTGTGCCGCACTTGTGATTTCCAGTGGTTGTCTTTCTGTTCACGTTTGGAATTGATATCGGACTTGCGAAAAGCTTTTCAAAAGTAGACGACAATGAAGTTATGAATGTACATTATTGCTCCTGGTTTTTGAGTGCTTCGGTGGTGCTTAGGACTTAGCTATACGATGGTAAGTCATCCGTAGAGCTCAATCTCTTTCGCCTTCTCTTAATTAATTACTTTGTGGTCGGACGCTAACAACGCCCGTCTTCTCCCACTTCAGCCCGCCACGACACTGATGCCGCTTACATGACTTGCTTTAATGCCTCACTTCAACAGCACGGATCTATCAGAAACTCTATAGCTCATGACCGTGCAACAAGCTTGGTGTGTGCTGGTGCGTCGACGCTCGCACCAAGGCGCTCTGGGCTCTTCTCCCACGCTTGCCAGATGCGGTATCCCGCAATGCGACATTTGTAGATCGATAGCAAATCAGGGTCGCAGATCAATTATGCTATGATGTGTTGTACAACTAAGCACTTGCGGGATCATCATTACCCGTTACTCGAAACGGGCGGATAGCGCAAAGGGCTGCTGCCTCGGACGTGTACATAAAAGGCTTGAATTGAAGAAAGGAGACCCACCGCCCACGTCGAGACGTGAACATGCGTTTTATCCAGTGGCCGTTGTCCCGCGCTACCATGTAGAGAAGGTTGATTTCGTTTTCCCTTATGAAACTGAACTGCGTTTTCCAGGTGAAGATTCAAGCTCCAAAGTGTGCATACGATCTTCTGAAGAGGGATCATAAGCACGAGCCGTGCGCACCGCCAAAGAATGCAGCGAAATACTGGATCCCATCCTACATGCGTCTGTACAACATGCTTCAACCACGCTGCCATGGACTGTTCAAAACCAGCCTTTGCACCCTCCCCTCGCAGAAGCCGCCAACTCCCGAGGGCCTCTTTCCGTCCCTCATCTTCCACCTGAAAAGCTCTCGCCACGTGAGACATGGGTGCGGGGCATAAGTGAGCACATGAAAAAGACCTTCGCGTTTCGGTTTTTTATTTTTTTCATTCAGAAAAGTCGAAGCCACACACACACACACACACACACCCATCGATCCCACAGTTTACCTCCTCCAATCAAGAACACCTCCCTCCCCACCAACTTGACGAGAGGCGCACAATGGGGTGTGGGAAAAGGAATCCGTGCAAAGAAGACTCAGCAGTGACTAGCCGGCGGCACCAATGGCACCGCCCGTATTTTCCCCTTTCGTCCGTTCAGACGGACGGAGACGCGGGAAGAAGAAATTTACTGCGGAGGTGGTGTAAAAAAAAGAAAAAAAGACGCAGGTCAATTGACCTCCGCGGCTGTAGGAACTCGGAACAAAAAGGACCAGCAAGAAAAGACAAAGAGAGAGGGAGAATGAGTAAGTAAGTGAGTGAGCAAGAGTGAGCGAAAGTGAGTACGTATTGAGGTGAGTGAGGGATCAGCAAGGAAATTCGAGACGCGCACGCCGATGAACGTCGTTTGACCACGAGGCGGCGGGAGCGGGATGCAGGGGGGGTCCACATGCCGGGCCGCGGCCACGAGGATCGCTCTTCCCTTGCATTGTGGGAAAAAAGACTGGTACGTTTTCGGGACGGGATGTGGACTGATTCCGTCGGAGGTGGGTCCGTCAGAGGCGGGTCCGTCAGAGGTGGGAGGCGGAAGACGTGGTGATTTGGGTGGCGCTTAAGGCGTGTTTCAGTGCGGGGAAGGCGGCTGAGCATGTGCAAGGCGGTTTTTTGTGTTGGGTTGACGCGGTCGGTTTTCCGTGGCCCTGGGGCCGGGGTTGTGGGTGGGAAGGGAATGGAATTGGGTACCTGGTGGATTGGCTTGGCTTGTGCATGTATTATGATGCAAGTATTTCATGCCGTGAGGGTGGACAAGAGCAGTGGTGATAGAAGAACGCGTTCATTAATTGTCCATCGCCTGGAAGTGCCGCCTACCCGTCTTTGGTAATCCAATGCCTAACGCTGTGCAAAAATCCACACAACCCACGTCAAACCCGTCGCAAGCAGAAAGCTCTCCGCTCAAGCAAAGTCCTTCGGGCAGTCCTCCAAGATACCCCTCGAGCTCACCGTATCCCACGTATCCCCCCGGCAGCACCTCTGCAACTCCACATCCAGCTCCGCCTCCCGCCGCGTCGTCGGCACCACCGTTATCGTGTCCATCTCGATCGCCAACGTCCCTTGTGCCACCGGGCTGCAGAGTGTGGAGTCAAACGATGGCTGCTCCTTCAGCCGGACCGATGTGTGCGCACTGCTACCCTTGGCGTTGTATCTGTCGTTGCTGCCGTTGTCGTTGTCATCCTTTCTGCCGGGCCACGACTGGCGGGTTTGACTGGCGTATTGCGGCTTGAACCATGGCCGTTGTGGTTGGAGTTGCGGCTGCTTCCATGCCGGGCCGACCTGGCTCAGGCGTCTTTGGTACGGGCTCAGCCGGACCGTGTTGTCGTCTGTCTTGGTGACCCAGTGGATGACGCAGACGGCGAAGAGGACTGTGTTTTGGAGTTGGTTAGCAGCTGTGCGCTTGATGGATCTCGTCCCGGCACACCACCACCGCCGTCGTGCTTACCATCCAAATTGCAAGACATGAAACAGACCCAGCCCGGCTCGTCATCCAACAAGACACGAGCTAGCAAGTTCCCGGCCGTTGCTATCAATGTCAAAAGGGAGCCGATAAAGGCGCGGAGGCCGAGGTTTCGAAGCGTGATGGGTTTGTCTTCGCTGGAGTAATAGCGGCGGTGAAGTGGGACGAGGAACAGCACGGTCAGATAGGCCTGAAGAAGTTAAGCAGCTTCCCCAACGTGAAATTTGTAAGAGGCCCTTACGTTCACAGCAACGTCGAATGATATCAGAGGGATGAGAGCGCGCCTGTCGATGCCGAGCATGCAGACGCCATCGTTGTTGATGTACGAGGATCTGCTGTTAGGCAAGTGAGTGAGCGATTTCGATGCGACATATAAGGGAGTCCTACTAGTAGACATTGATAATAAAGATGGCAGTGAATGGGAAAAGCATGCCGAATGTGTTGACTAAGTACAGGCGGTCCTTCATCCGAGGTATTCTTGAAGCCCGAACGATGTGTGCCCGTTCTACGAGGAAGAGGTAGATGCAGAGCTTGGAAACCATGTATAAAATGAGGCCTGGACAGACGTTAGCCGTTGTCTTTTGAAATCCTTCCGAATGCCTTACATATCAATATGGCCCCCTCACAGCGATAGTCTGAGGCGTTTATGCCAGCATCTCGGTATACAGCGCCTACGAATACGAAGAGGAAAGAGCTGCCGTAGAACTGCATGGAAGTTAGCTCCAGAGACTTGTATTTGTAGGGCTTGACTTACGGCAATGACCAAGTAGAAGGATGGAGGCAGGTCTTTGGTTATCTTGATGCCCTGTACTCGCCTCAGGGTGCATATCGAGATCAATGCCAGGCCTACCAGAGACACGAACATGCACCCAAGCTTTCCACCCAAAGGCACCTGTGCTTCTCTTACCGTATCGATAGCCATGCTGTGAATGGCTCACGCCCTGCCGACGGCGTAGGTGGTCGGAACGATGGGAAGTCCCCGGGAAGTATACGGCCGCGAAGCGCAAAAGAAGGTGGGACAGACTTCATGAAAGATTGCAGGTATTGCATCACAGGAAAGATGGTGAAATTCACTGCCGATCTGGGTATTATGGGAAACGCACGAAAATTCACCGCATTGCCGGGGCAAGGGAGACCTTGTATAAGGAGGCAAAGAATATTCTGCGGCAGCACGCGTGGCGCAGGTGAACCCTTGGATGGCGAGAGCGGAACGGGCGCCCGGAGGTAATAAGGTTCGATGCACACGAATTCTGGCCGATAGAGGGGAGATGCGCCGATCTGGGGGTAGCTAGCGGGGTCGCATCGAAGTCCTATTTGCACTGTAAGCGAGGAAGCCGTCTCGAAGACGCTTGATGCGGAAAGGAATATGCTTCCCGGCCTAGGATCCGAGCTACGTGTTCGAGTGTGCCGAGTGTATTGTGACGACGGTAAAGGTATACGCGTCCTGAGATGATGCTTATCTACACCCCGATCTCTGTGGGGATCCCGGATCGAGAGTATATTTCTCGTGCCTCACCGCTCATCAGATGGAGTCGGAGATGTGTATAGTACGTGTGCTTGGCCACAGGGTTGTCGCTGGCGAGAAACATTTGTTATTCGATGACCTCGTCACGAGCGCCGACTCCATGGCTACCGATTGGCCAAACCTGAAACTGGAACACATGGAAGTGCTATTATTGTTTCCAGTTGGATCTGATATGACATGTGTGCAGCAAAAGATTGGCCGGTGAAGGTTGACCGGATCCCGGGCAGCTTGCGGCGGCAAACAGGGCGGGGAAGCGGAGAGTTGGGGCCAGAATGTATAAGCTTTCAACCAAAGATTTGATTGGTACCGGCAACGTCATCATTTCGAAGGTGGGTAGCCTCGAGCCGGGTGTCTTCTGGTTTCCTGATAAGGGACTACGCGCATGTAGTTGATGTTGCGATACCCTTCCGTTGACTATCACAGGTTGGTGTATGCTGCATGCAAACTTCAGCGGTGTGCAAGCTTGGGAAGACCAGCTGTAAAAGGCTAGACGATGACGATGCCGGCGCTGAGCGAAGAGCGCGAAATGCTGACAGGCTGGATGACAAAGGCGAATGGAAGAATGAAGACAGATTTGAGCCTCCAAGGTGGAAGGCAGTGCTGAGGCTGGCGTATGTAAAGCGGAACGACCAGTAAACTTCTCAGAGGATGTCAGGAAAAAGGTGTTGAGATTGCGGCTTGATCGCGCCATTGATCTGGGTGCCGAATTGCCGCGCCATGACGCACAGGCCGTGTCAAAATCTCACCTCCCAATCACTCTCAGAGCCTCCCTCATTCCTCAATCCTTGCATTCGGAGCCAGCGACATTCGCCATGGACATCAAGAACAAGTTGGATCGCGATGCGCCCGATCTGGCGGCCAAGCAGCGCCCAAGCAACCGCATTACCCGGCGGTTCAAGGCCGAACTCAGCACCAATCACGTGGACATTCTGCTCTTGGCCTGTTGTCTCTGCTCCGGCTTGACTGACAGCACACTATACAACGGTTAGCACCATGCACAAAAAGAGACCGCATCCAAATACTGACACCCAATTCACTCCAGCCTACAGCACTTTCGTATCCATGCAGACCGGTAGGACCTTTCCACGACAACAACATTCCATCCCCCGCTAAAGAAAAAAAAACAAAAAACACCAGGCAACACCATCTTCGTCGCCCTCGGCGCGTCGCACCAAAACACCAAACCCTACGGCTGGGCCCGCTCCCTCTGCTCCATCGGCTGCTTCGTCCTCGGCTCCCTCTTCTTCAGCCGGCTCTCGCTACTCCTCGGCCCCAAACGGCGCATCGCCCTCACCACCTCCTTCGCGCTGCAGACCATGTTCGTCGTCGTCGCCGCGGCCATCGTGCAGGGCGGCGCCATCGACGGCGCGGTGCCGCAGCGAACGAGCTCGGCCGACGCCGCCGTGCACTGGAACGAGCTGGCGCCGATAGCGCTGCTGAGCTTCCAGTCGGCGGGCCAGATTGTGTGCAGCAGGGCGCTGGGGCTGGGCGAGGTGCCGACGGTGGTGGTGACGAGCTTGCTGTGCGATTTGATGAGCGACACGGCGTTGCTGGCCGGGCTGACGGCGAACGTGAAGAGGAATCGGAGGGCGGCGGCGTTTGCGTTGACGCTGGTGGGGGCCATTGCCGGGGGGTGGATATCCAAGGCGACGAGGGGGGTCGAGTATGCGTTGTGGGTGGTGGCGGGCATCAAGTTGGGGATTACGGCGGCGTGGGCGCTGTGGAGGGAGAAGGTCTGAACTGGAGACCTGTGTGGTTTTGATGAGGATGTTGGCGAAAGGTGTGACGGTGTGTGATTACCCCTGTTTGCGAGATGTTTGGAGACTAGACTAGATGATAGAGACCAGAATAGACGGTTGAGAAGCCTCTCGCGATTGTTTGACAAGTATATACTGACTAGATGTCAAGAAGGATATATGCATCGAGTCAATACTTCGTAAGTAGTGATACGAGCTTGTTGCAACATAGTCAACTCTGGCAACACCACTCCAGATAGCCGTTGCATATATACCGAACTTGCGCTTACCGTTTCAAGCTAGACTCGAACTGCATTTCATCAACTCCTAGGAGCATTCAAACAGCATTGAAAGAAGAAATTGAAGCCGTGCCTGCGTTCACAGCTGTGTTTGGTCAGACAAGCAATCCAACCAACAGCTGTCACCTACCACCACTATGCCAAGGATGCAGCTTCGTATTGAAGATATCAGCGAGGTTTTTGTTGCATCAACAGCATGATCAATATTCCGGGTCTGGCTATCGTTATCCGTTTAGAATTCGTACAGCGCGTCATGGATTTCTGACAGATGAAACAGCTCTTCCCAAATAGTGGGGAGATAAGGCATTCGTGCGTCTGACACTGGTTGAAATATACAAGGCTGCCCCGCTCGAGCTTCTCCACCTTGGCTCGGCCCCCGCAACATCCGTTTCCGAGACCGGAACTGCTCGGACCCATTCACTAATCACCATCAGACAGTGAAGCTATAAAAGGACAAACCCATCTTTCTCCATCGGCAGATCACAAGACCCACAATGGCAGCAGAGACAGCGGATGTGATCGTCGTCGGGGCAGGCCTCAGCGGCCTGACGGCAGCCCGCGAAATCCAACGAGCGGGATACTCGTGCATCGTGCTGGAAGCTGAAGACCGCGTCGGCGGCATGCTGCTCTCTGTCGATCAGCCCTCAAACTCAGCCAACGACAAAGTCGCCGTCGACGTCGGCGCAGGATGGTTGAACGACACGACCCAGTCCGCCGTCTGGGGCCTGGTGCAGCGCTACGGCCTCACCACCGAGACGCAGGACTCAGCCGGGGAGCTGCTGCGCGAAATGGAAGACGGCTCCATCCTCACGGGCACCGAAGGCAACAAAAAGGCAAGCACTCATGCCGGCCAAAGCCCCTCCCCACACGACACTAACCTCAACCCAGCTCACCCCCGACGAGCTCAAAGCCATGTCCTCCTTCTACGCCACCCTCGGCGCCCTCGTCGCCACCATCGACCCGGCCAAGCCCCACGCCCACCCGCAAGCCGCCTCCCTCGACGCCATCACCCTCGCCGACTTCTGCGCCCAACACACCACCACCCCGCTCGTCTCCCTCCTCCTCAACGCCTCCGTCCGCTACCTCGTCGGCGCCGAGTCCTCCCAAGTCTCCGCGCTCTGGTTCCTCGCCCACTGCGCCGCCGGCACCGGCCTGCAAAACATGATGTCCGCCCGCCCCGGCGGCGGCCAGCACCTGCGCCTCCGCGCGGGGACGCAACGCATCGCCGAGCGCCTCGCCGGCGAGCTCGCCCCCAACACCGTCCGCCTCTCCACCCCCGCCGCCTCCATCGACCAATCCACCACCACCCCCATCCGCATCACCACCGCCACAAATGCCGTCTTCCTCGCCACCCACGCCCTCATCCTCGCCATCCCCTCCACCCTCCACCCCTCCCTCACCTTCTCCCCGCCCCTCCCCCCCTCCAAACACTTCCTCGCCACCTCCGCCGCCTCCAACCCGGGCTTCTTCGCCAAAGCCACCCTCGTCTTCGACCGCCCCTGGTGGCGCGACGCCGGCGCCGTAAACAGCGCCGTCGGCCCCCTCAGCGGCATCTTCGAGTCCGTCCTCGGCCCCGTCGTCTACTCGCGCAACACGGACGTCGCAGCGGCCGGGCACTACAGCATCACGGGGTCGATCGTCGGGGAGGCGGGGGAGCGGTGGTGGGCGGGGACGGCCGGGTCGCGGGAGGAGCGGCGGGAGGCGGTGGTGCGGCAGTTGCGGAGGGGGTTTGGGGCGGTGATGGAGGGGGGAGAGGGAGGCGTGCCGGAGCCGGTGGCGTATGTGGAGGGGGTGTGGAGGGGGAGGAGGTATGGCGGGGGTGGCGGGTCGGTGCCGCTGCTGGGGCCCGGGGTGTTGACGAAGGCGGCGGGGGAGATGGAGGGGGGTGGGGTGGGGGAGCCGTTTGGGAGGGTGTTTTTTGTGGGGGCGGAGACGGCGGAGGTGTGGAGGGGGTATATGGAGGGGGCGGTTAGGTCCGGGTTGAGGGGGGCGGAGGAAGTGTTGGGCGTGCTGAGGAAGGGGGAGGTCGAGGCTGGGGGGCGGCAGCAGGTCGAGGTTGGGAAGCTGTAGGTGGGTGGTGGTTGTGGGTTGGGGAAGGGGTTTAGGGTTTTTTTTTTTTTTTAATTTGGAGGTGGTGGCGGCGGCGGGACTTGCGGGACTTTTCGCTGCTGCTGGCCGGTGCTAAGGTTCGTCGCGGTCCGGTGGAATTTGATGATGGTGGAGCTTTGGTTAATCTATGGTCGGAATCGGGCGCTGTGGTCGTAGTCCAACGGCTTTATTGTCCTCGCACATGTACAGGGTTCCCGGTATGAATTAAGCGTACATGACGCCATTCTTGCTCGCATCGGTAGGTTTATGCATTGGCTCCGAATATTGGCTGTACACAAACCTTGCGATTCAGTCATCGAGGCGACGGGGGTTGTGAGAGGTTCAGAGCTTAATTCAGAGCGCTGGGACTTCGCAATTCTGTTTTGATACATGGACGTCCAGGCAGTTTTTCGCGATGCTGAGTAGAGGACGGCAATAGGCAAGCTGCCAAGAGTTTCCCCGCACCGTCTATATTGTCCGTGGAGGCGGGCTAACCGGGTTGGGAAGGTGAAGCGTCTCTCCGGAGCAGAATGACATGGGGATATCGGAATCCCGGGGGAACCCACCACCGGTCTTGGTCCTGTGGGCTCGTGGAGGGCGGACCGCTCATCCAGCCCACCGGGATCGGACGGTGGTCACGCGTCGATCGAACTCAGATGCTCGCCCACCGGCAAAGGAAGCCGTGCTGTGGAAGTGTGCAACGACATGTTATATTTAAAAGCGTTTCCTTTCTCAGTCATCCATGCAGTCCACCACCCATCGATTCAAGCGGAATGGCGACTCGATTCGCAATTGCCTCGGCGTTGGCCCTGCTTGCCACGGGCGTCGCTGCGCAGGCGGCGCCACCGGTCAAGGGTGAGCTGGGTGTTTCGGCATACCCGTTCGACATCAGTCAGGTCTCACTCAACACGGGACGGTGGCAAGAGAACCTGGAGCGCACCCGGACCTACCTCAAGTTTGTCGATCTCGACCGGCTCCTCTACAACTACCGCGCAACGCACAACCTGTCCACCAATGGGGCGACGACCAACGGCGGCTGGGATGCGCCCGACTTTCCCTTCCGGTCCCACGCGCAGGGCCACTTCCTGACCGCATGGGCCCAGTGCTGGTCCACCACGGGCGACACGGAATGCCGCGACCGGGCCGTCTCTTTCGCAGAAGAGCTGCAGAAGTGCCAGGCCAACAATGCAGCCGCCGGCTTCAGCGAAGGCTACCTGTCCGGCTTCCCCGAGTCCGACTTCGACGCGCTCGAGGCGGGCACGCTGACCAACGGAAACGTGCCCTACTACGTGGTGCACAAGCTCATGGCCGGGCTGCTGGACGTCTGGCGCAGCATCGGCGACACGACGGCGCAGGAGGTGGTGCTGGCGCTGGGCGGGTGGGTGGATGCGCGCACGGCGAAGCTGACGTACGCGCACATGCAGACCATCATGGAGACCGAGTTTGGCGGCATGAGCGAGGTGCTGGCCGACCTCTACTACCAGTCGGGCGACGAGAACTGGCTCGCCGTGGCCAAACGCTTCGAGCACGACAAGGTGCTGACGCCGCTGGCCAACAACCAGGACCAGCTGGACGGCCTGCACGCCAACACGCAGGTGCCCAAGTGGATCGGCGCCGCGCGCGAGTACAAGGCGACGGGCAACACGACCTACCGCGACATCGCCCGCAACGCGTGGGACATCACCGTCCAGGCCCACACCTACGCCATCGGCGGCAACAGCCAGGCCGAGCACTTCCACGAAGCCAACGCCATTGCCGCCTACCTCACCGCCGACACGGCCGAGTCGTGCAACTCGTACAACATGCTCAAGCTCACCCGCGAGCTGTGGGCCACCGACCCCTCCGCCTCGGCCTACTTCGACTACTACGAAACCACCCTGACCAACCAGCTCGTCGGCCAGCAGGACCCGGAGAGCGCCCACGGCCACGTCACCTACTTCAACTCGCTGGACCCCGGCGGTGCCCGCGGCGTCGGCCCCGCCTGGGGCGGCGGCACCTGGAGCACCGACTACGACAGCTTCTGGTGCTGCCAGGGCACCGGCGTCGAGACCAACACCAAGCTGATGGACTCCATCTACTTCCGCGCCGCCGACGACGCCACCCTCTACGTCAACCTCTTCGCCCCCTCCACCCTGACCTGGGCCGCCCGCGGCCTCACCGTCGAGCAGACCACGTCGTACCCCGTCGTCGAGAACTCGACCATCCGCGTCTCCGGCACCAGCGATGGCGCCTGGGCCATGCAGCTTCGCATCCCGGCCTGGACCGAGGGCGCCGCCGTCTATGTCAACGGCGCCAAGGCGGACGTCGCTGCCGAGCCTGGCACGTACGCCGTCGTCGAGCGCGAGTGGGCCGACGGCGACGAGGTGACGGTGGTGCTGCCCATGGACTTCCGGATCGTGCCCGCCAACGACGACGAGTCGGTCGTGGCGCTGGCATATGGCCCCGTCGTGTTGGCCGGCAACTACGGCTCCGCGAAGCCTACCGGGAACCCCACGCTGGATCTGTCGTCGGTGAAGCGGACGAGCGACGATGCTTTGGAGTTCGAGGCCACGGCTGATGGTGCCACTGTGGCGTTGGGGCCGTATTTCGATGCGCAGGGCTTCGATTATGTGACTTATTGGAAGAAGAGTGGAGCGCTTCCTTGAAGCCTGAGTCTTGCTGCATGTACATACATACTACTCACAAACTGCGGAATGTTCGATTGTTGCAGCGCGTCGTGTCTGTTGAAACTTTGTGCTATAAAGAGTAAGTGATCTGGAGTCAGCCGATCGTGCAACTCATCTCCAAGGTGGTTGAAGATCGCGCTGCTTCGCTAAGCTTTCTCCAGATCGCAGTCGCAAATCTGGTCGGGAAGCATCGACCACGCCGTGCATCAATAAAGCTTGGCTGGATACTCTCTGATGCTGCGTGAAGCCGTGTCTGTTTGTCGAGTGGCATGAAAGGCTCAAAGGGCTACCAGCGCGATGAGGTTTTGCCACCCCCTTGTTGTGTTACTTCCCTTCCGTCGGGTGCCTGCCTTGTGTCCACGGAACCAGCCATCATCAAACTTGCACCACTGATGATCCAGGACCTATCCACGTCCCTCTAAACAAAATTGAACGGCCGGATGAAGCAATTACAAAGGCAGTCTCGGCAATACCAGGCTGCATTATCCTCGAATGCCGTGGGCGATATTGTTGCCTCCTCGGCCAGTATCCCAAGCCCGCCGGTGATAGGATTCCCAACACTCAGATTGGCGTTTCAGCCCTGCTCACGGATAGCAATCTGGTAGCTGGGAGCCAATGCACCCGTTGCGATCGGGACCCTCGGTGGCCACCCGCAACGCACTGTTTCCCAACGCCTCACCGGCCACCTTCACCGCACTTCGGCTTCTTCCTTGGCTCATCTCCCCGACATTACCACGGCCGAAAAGCTCGACTTGTCCGACTCCTTTGCCGTGGGATGTTCAAAGAAACTTCTTTATCGATAGGTGTTTTGATTAAAGCACATGTATGAAGGGGCGCGCACTGGCCAGGGTGACACAGCTTGCCGGCAAATGACCGCATATTGGTCGATCATATTCCTTCTTTGCACCGGATGGTACCGGTGCCGACGCCTCATCCAGGCCGTTATAAGTACCCTCTCAAGCCACACTCAGCCTTATCTGCACCACAGTCGTTCGCTACAGTCTACGATCCAACCGACCTTTACACTCTTTTCCACCATGAAGACCTCCGCTGTCGTCACCTCCGTTCTCGCCGCGGCCGGCTCCGCCACCGCCGCCGCCTCTCCCTTCCGCCTGCTGGCTCTCTCCAAGGGCGCCTCGTTCGACGGCGAATTCGTCCGCGGCACCGAAGGCCAGTTCCTGCTCGGCGCGAAGCAGACCAACACCACCTGCGGCACCAACACCGCCCCCACCTTCACGAACATCAACGGCACCATCACGACTTACGGAAACGGCATGGTCGCCGACCAAATGGGTAAGCGTCCACACCCCGGCTTCATGGAACACTCCCCGTACTGACCACGTCCATCAGTCTACGTCGACATCTCCGGCGCGGCGGGCGGCATCCTCTCGTACAAGAACTACCCGTACAAGCTCACTGCCGACGACTCCATCGTCGGCTTCACCCAGACCACCACCGGCGACGTCCAGCATCTGCTGTACAAGAAGTCGACCTGGCTGGCGTGCGAGAAGGACTCGGAGAAGGGCGTCTACAGCGTGTACGCCGAGGCCGCCAAGGACACGAACAAGCAGCAGTGCATCCCGTTCGAGATTGCCACCCAGAAGGTCGAGAAGCCCCAGATCTGCCAGATGACCTAAAGAGGGGATGTCAACTGTATGCCATGTGGACGGTGATAGGATTGAAGAACATGATTTGAAGACCCCCCGATCGATTACATTTGGCTGTCAGGCGGGACCCTGTACAAAGTTATAGAAGAATGTATAATACTAGCACGAGCCATATCACATGAGCATTACGAGTATTTCCCGAGTGGCTGTGGTCCGTGAGGAAAGGTTTTCGAGCCAACTGCCACGGTTCTTCCTTCAAACAGAAACGGAAGCTCTGAACTGAAGAGTACTTGATCCCCTACAACCGACACCCCACCCCCCTCACCTCCCTCGTCCCCCCTCCCGCCACCATCCCCCCCTCATACGCCACCCCATCCACCGTCACCCGCTCACACCACTCCCCCAGCTCCACCACCCCCTCCGTCCCCCCCGGCGTCATCACCTCCGCCTCCACCACCACCCCCCGTCCTTCTCCCTCCCCCACATCATCAACAACCCTCCACCAAACCCCCCACCCCTCCCCCCTCCCATTCCCATTCCCACCACCAACCCCCTTCCCAAACCCCGCCCTCACCTCCCTCACCCCGCCCCCCTCCCCAAGCACCCCAAACCCCACCACCTCCCTCGCCACCCCCCACCTCCACCCCCGCCACCCCACGACCTCCAACCCCGCCACCCGCGCCGTCAGCGCCCCCGTCGGCCCCGTCGCCCACCCGTGCGCCATGCTCGTGTAGGCCGGGTCGAAATTGTACCCGCTCCCGCCGCGGTAGTGCAGGCTGCCGTTTGCGCTGATGCCCTCGGCGAAGGTGCTGCCGGTCATGGTCGGAGACGTGAGGAGGTGGTGCCAGAGGCGGTGGATGAGGGCGAGGCCGGCGGTGGGGCCGGAGAGGGTTGTTGTGAGGTTTGTGGTGGGTGGAGGGGCGGACACGGACAGGTGGGCGAGGGCCTCGACGGAGCAGACGAACGGGGAGACGGTGTCGGGGAGTTCGGGGGCTACGGGGCCGAAGGGGTGGGTGGAGGGGTCGGCCCAGCGGGCGGCGAGGGCGGCGCTGAGGGCGGAGGCGTGGGCGGGGGAGCGGGGCAGGCGGGATAGGAGCGCGAGGGCGTTGCCGTCTTGTGGGTGTAGTTCCGTAGTGGTGGTGTTGTCGCGGTAGAGCGAGGCGGCGGGGTCCCAGAGGTGGGTGTTGTATGCAGATTTGAGGGCGGCGGCGGCGGCGGACCAGGCGCGCGACTGGGCGGGGTGGTGGAGGGCGGAGGCGAGCGAGGAGAGGGAGGTGAGGGCGAGGTGGTCGAGGGCGTTGAGCGTGGCGCTGTACCCGCCGGCGCCCTGGCGGCCCCAGTCGTACGGCGTGGATTGGTTGTGCAGGCCGATGGGGCTGGCGGCGAGGCCGGCGAGGATGTAGTCGACGCCGGCGGTGATGTTGGACCAGTGGTGGGACACCCATGCTTCGTCGGTTGTGTAGATGGCGTAGTTGAAGATGGAGATGAGGTTCCATGCGTGGTACGTGTCGCTCGCGTTGCCGCCGTTGAAGGAGCGGGTCGAGGGCCCGGCGTAGGGGAAGCGTCCTGTCGTGCTGTTCTGGTAGTAGAACATGGTTTCGAGGGCGTTGCGGAACGCTTCGAGGCCGGCGTCGCCCAGGGCGAGGAAGGCCGTGGTGCCGGATATGGCGTGGTCCCCTGGCCACACCGCGCGGTCCCTTTTGGCTCCGTCCATGAGGATGGGGCCGGCCACTCCTGCGGTGGAGTTGTACGCCCAGCCGGGCTTGACCTGGGGCAGGAAGCGGCCCGTATCTACCGGCCCTATGTTGGTCTGCACCGTGTAGGCTCCTGCATACCAGATCTTGGTGAGCAGCTCGTCGTCCGGCGCCCAGAAGTATCCCGAGTAGTCCCGCAAGTCGGCTTGTGATGGCGAAAAGCCTATGGCGCAGGTGATGTTTGAGATGTTCACGCGAGACTTAGCCACGATAGTCATGAACCGGAATCCTCCCCGAAACCTTTCCCGTGGCATCGTGTAGTGTGTTGTCCCCGTCTGTACGCTGACGTTCAGCTCTCTATCCCAATCTTGCGTTGAGACAGACCCGGTGGCATCGTCCGATGTCGCTCTGACGTACATCGGGGATTCTGCAAAGGCAAGGGATAGCTGGGCGCCTGCTTCATCTTCGGTTCCTGTGTCGAAGCTCACAATTCCGCCCACTTCGATCCCGTAATCGAGGCTGACTTGAGCCCCAGTGTTCAAGGACAGTACAAATCCAGTTGGATCTGATGTGACAATCGCATCTCCTGAGATTGCATGGATCGAGACTGGACTGACAGTTCGGTTGCTCGGACTGTAAATGTATTTCTTCCATGGCTCCTCTTCAGGTTCGCTCGGTGAAGAAGCCACGACGCAAAAAGAGAAACATGCAAGTAGCGAAAGAACCCTCATACTTGCCGATTGAAAAGGCGTATTAATCCGCAAAGACAGAAACAAGAGCTCCAAATAAATAGACGGTGTACGGTCTCTTGGCCGATTCTCGCTTGTTTCGGGACAATCTAACGCGAGGATGGAGTGACGTCCGAGGATGCGGGGAAATACGAGTGAATGCGGGGAACCGCTTGAGACTGAGACGCGGAACAGTAACTTTCAAGGCGCTAGAATGCTTTCAGCTTCCTCAGCTTCTGTTTTCTCATTCTCCATCTTGAGAACTCGGGCTTGGTCCGTCTTGGCCTCCGCAGGTTGGCTTCAAGGTCAGATACCTAAGGTCTTGGAACGTAGCAGCTATGAACATTCATGTGAGCTATGAGTACCTCCTGTTTTTGACCTTTTGACTGTGCTTTTAGCAGGGTGACATGGCCGGAGGACGTCGCAAGTGCGGCGAAGCTTCTACGGGAAACGTCACCTATGCGTCTGTATTAAATCTGCATTTACCCTGTGCTTAAGCCATGCTTCTGTACGAGCTTTCTATTTTCATCTGATGAAATCAGTGAGACACGTGTTGATTTAAGCGCTGGGTTGGGAATGCCCACATTCTTAGGTTTGCTTTACCTTACGCGGTCAATGTGATGCGCTGGAAACCAAGGCGGACTTCTGGATATGTGATCGACTGATTTTGCACATCAGACAGAGAATCCAACCTTCTCCAGACCAGCGTTCTAGGCTTAAGTAGCGGAATGCTCGCACTGACGTCAACTCACTACACCCTAGTGACGTTCCGCTACAGTTACCCGACGACTTCTCTATCTCAAAGTACGCCAAGTCTTATTGGCCAGATGGGGGTTTGATCACCAATGATAAGGAAGCGGGGTCAGATATGCCTCGCCCAATCACATGTTCCACTCTGCACGCCTGGACCTTCCATCTAGGCCTCATGGTCGAGGAGGCTTTCGAGAGGCGCAGGTGAATAGTCCATTCCATCCTGTAGAATCTGCAATCAGCAGCCTCGCTCCCACTATCGGGATAAGCGGGCTTGATCTGCTCTTCCATCCCCTTCTCCGCGTTATGGGAAGACGGCGTATATAAACATGGCTTCATCTTTTCCGAGTCAGTGAGCGCTACGGGCATTTGCGACAGCCAGCTGAGAATGACAGTCATGGATGCAACAGCGAGGTCTGGGCAAGAGGACGTTCCCGGCACCGAGTATCTGGTAGATGGTAAGCGTTTTCAACACTCCTACAGTATTGGCGTGAACTAACTGCTCGTAGTCGGCCATAGTCTGGATGTCTCTCATGCAGGAAAGGGTAGCTCAGACATCGTGCTTATCCCACAGCCGACCGTCTGTGGCGGAGACACGTTAGTAAGCTCACCGCATCTCCTTTGACAAGGGAAGGTGATACTAACATACCATCAAAGACATGGTCGCAATGGAAGAAAAACTACCAACTCTTCCTCCTCGCACTCTACGCCTGCGCTTTCTCATACGGGGAAAACACTCTCGGTGGTCCGTAATTTTCCACGTCCCATCACATAAAATCCCAGTTGACCTTTTCCAGCCGCCTGGACGACCGTCAGCGAAGACACAGGCGTATCCCTCACCAACATGAACGGCGGCAGCGCGCTCAACTACCTCCTTCTCGGCTTCGTCAACATCCTATGGATTCCAACGGCCATGAAGATCGGGCGTCGACCGGTGCTGCTGCTGACGACGCTCATCTGCACGGGCGCGGGCATCTGGTCAGCGAGCTTCACGGGGACGGCGCAGTGGATGTTGACCAACGTGCTCAACGGCTTCGGCACCAGCGCCTACCAGGCGGTGATCCAGCTGTGCGTCTTCGACATGTTCTTCGTGCACGAGCGCGGGCGCGGCCTGTCGTACTACCTCTTCGGCCAGCAGCTGGGCTCCATCCTCGGCCTCATCACCGGCGGCAGCATCGCCGACGGCCCTGGCTGGCGCTGGAGCCAGTGGATCGTCGCCATCATCGATGCTGCCGTGCTGGTTCTGCTGGCTCTTTCCTTTGAGGAGACTATGTTTCCGCGGTTTTTGTTCGCGCGGCACAGTGCTGCTGGGGAGAATTCGAACGGACCTGTGGAGGGCGAGGCAAGCGGAGGCAATCAGCACGAGGTCGACGACCCGGACCGAAAGGGCACGAAGGTCGTCGCGGAGCAGCAGTCTGCAAACGGCGTCGACGCCGAAGTGGGCGACACGTTCCCCGACATTCCGAAGAGGACTGCAATACAGAGATTGAAGCCTTGGACGTACTACCCACAAGACACCACGACCTGGTGGCAGTACCTCCGGCGGCCCTTCGTCCTATTCGCATTCCCAAACGTCGTCATCGTAGGCTCCCTTCTTCCAACAACAACAACAACAAGACCCCCATCACTAACACCCAATAGTCCGGCCTCATCTTCGCATTCGGCTGCACCGCTGGCATCGTCTCCTTCAACACCAGTACGCGCCCTCCCCCCTCCTCTCCCCTCACACACCAACCCCCAGCTCTGCCACCCCGCCACAAACAAAAGAAAAAAACCCACTAACCCCCCTCCCCCCCACCCCCTCCACAGTCTCCGAAATCCTCACCCACCCCCCCTACAACTTCAGCACCACCTCCACCGGGCTCGTCTTCCTCGCCGCCCTCGCCGGCAACGTCCTCGGCTTCCTCACGGGCGGGCCCCTCAGCGACGCAATCGTCCTGCATCTCGCGCGGCGGAACAGCGCCGGTGGCGTCAAAGAACCCGAGATGCGGCTGTGGGCTTTGCTGGCGCCGGCGCTGTGCGGCGCCGTCGGGTATTTCCTGTACGGGTGGGGCGCGGCGGCGGGGGCGCACTGGGCGGCGGTGGCGGTGGGCGTGGCCGGCTTGGTCGCGCAGCAGGTGGGCGCGTGTGGCGTGGCGACGGCGTATGCGATGGATTGTTTTCCGGGGGTATGTTGGTTTTTTTGATTTATTGCACCGACCCCCCACACGTTCGAGAGTTTTGGGTGATGGGAGATGCAGTTGTAGGCTGACTTTGTGGTGGTGCAGATCTCGGGTGAGCTGGTTGTTGTGCTGGCAATCTGCTCGTCGTGCGTCAACTTCGCCATCTCGTACAGTGTGCAGCCGTTTGTCAATGCGGCGGGGTATGGGTGGGCGTTTACGTTCTTTGGGATTTGTGTTCTAGGTAGCATGCTTGCCGCTGTGCCGATGGGCATTTATGGGAAGAGTTGGAGGAGGAAGTGTGCTGGGAAGTATCGTGATTTTCTGAGGGAGAGGGGCGAGGTTGAGTAAGTGTCGGTTGTGAGCGAGGCTGGGACTGCAGCGAACAGTTCAAGACTTTAGTTGGAAAAATTGAGATTGGCATCCATGTGCAATCTACCAGCTCGAAATACGAGTCCCTGGTAGGCTCGGAGGCCGTCTCATTTGCTAGGCGGAAACATGTGTCCTACCCAGCCAAGTCTCTCGTGGTCCTCGATGGCGATGGTCACTGCCAGTTTTAGTACAAGAAAGTAAACAACATATGGTCAGAATACGTACTGTCTAGAACCATGACTGCTGCTGCATTTGCAAGCAAAGCCGGTACAGCGATGAGTGTTGAAGAGCGAGATGCCGCACAGAGAAGATACCCAGAATGGAAAGCCTAATTAGGCTTAGTCTACCTCGCAGCATATTCAATCTCCTGTCGTACAGCCCCATAGGAGTCAATCCATCAGACTCGAGAAGAGCTGCAATGCTTCTGCTGTTCATGTTGACAGGTCGCGCGAGTCTAGTCTGTAGAGGACGATTGCGATATTTCTTGAAAAGTCTGTTCGGTCTGGTAGTGGTCCTGATGGAGTGCATACACTTCAAATACTATTTGGCTCGATGCGCCTCCCTTTTACCAACAGCTTGAGCGTCTTGCAAAAGGATGCGCTTCTTCACACCGAGGCTGGGGATATATCACGGATCAATCTTCAATGGAGCGAGAAAAGGAGAGGATGGAAAAAGAGTCAGGTCCCGCCGGCAAACGCGCGCTCCCATGGGCGGAAAAGATTCCGCCCCAGGCCAAAACTAGCATAAAATATCCGCCGAGTTCTCGTCACTGCAACGCGCGAATCGCGGAAACGTTCTCATCCTCCATCAGGCCCCCATCCATCCCATCCGTCTTCTGCCCGTCGTCGCATCTCCGAAAGGCTTTCGCTAATGCTTCGGCGCGTGCTTCTCAAAGCAGCAACCCGGGCACGCTTACCCCCAGCGCTAAAAAAAACGATACGTAAATGCCGCTTTTCGATCGTCGCGGGTCCCCCGAATGAGCGCAAGTCTCCAGGGCCTGAGACAGATGACGACGACGGTGTTGGTGATGAACGGTGATAGCGAGCAGCTGCGTCAGTGTTTACACGTCCAATTCATGAAGCTTTCCACCGCGACGACGACGGCCCACAGTCCTCCATCCCGTCCGGCCGAGCGTGGTCAAGAGCGCCGCGGGGAACCAACCGAAAAAAGAAATCGGGAAACCAAATCGCGAAAAAACGGAAAAAAAAAGCAACCAACCCCTTTCCGCGCACCGGCTGCCCAGCCGCCGACAAGCCTTTCCTCAAGCTTTTTTTCTTTCGGCCGCCCGCCGCCCGCCGCCTGCCGTCCCATCCGGTTCCCCGATCCGACCCGTCGTCGCGGCGCGTAGGTAGGTCGACCGCAACCAGTCATCAAACTCTACTTTCCCCTCCCCCTTAACCAAAGCGCAAACAACAACACCGATGCGGCGGCACGCGCGCGCGCGCGCCATTATCACCGAACGCGCCCAGCAGTCAGTTCGTCGCTCCCAGCACGTTTGCACGTCGTGTCGTGTCGTGTCATGTCGTGCGTGTGTCTGCAAAAAGATTCGTGATTGAGAACGTTCATGACAACGATCCCCCCCGCCTCCGCCCTTCTCCACAGAAAACGCAGCAGACCACCCCCCCCAAAACAATGCCACGCTACCTACCATCATATATCCCGAAAAGCTTGTATATCATCCGTACGTAGGTATCTAGCCCAGAAAACAAACCCTAAGATGCTGGGAGGGGGGGGGGCGAGCCGAGCCAAGCCAAGCCAAGCTGCGGGGAAAACCGGAGGGGGGCCACCACGGGTACGTTTCTCTGGGGTAACAGAAACACGGGATGGGGGATGGGATCCTTTCCCCCAGGTCTGCAGTCGTCAACCAGTACGTAAAAGTCACGCGTCGCGTCGCGCGCGCCCGTCTCGTTTCGCGTCAAGGGTGGGGTGGGGGAGGGGAGGGAGGAGCCGTCGTCTGGGGAAAATAATGGAGATGATGGGGTTGCAGGTGCAGGGTGTTGCGGGGACTAGGGTGGTGGTGGTGTTGCGGGTGGTGGAGCTGTTGAGGGTTTCTCTTAGGCGAGCAAAACAAGGTGGGTAGGTGGTAGGAGGGAGAAGGGAAAGAGAGTCGGTGAGTCTTTTGTTGCGACGCTTTCGCTTCGTTGGTACTGCTTTTGCGCGCGCGCGCGCGCTTGGAAGATGCGTGTTCCTTCGGGATTGATGAGAGGGCGGAAAAGGTCAGGCAGGCATGAGCTGGATCGCGTGATATGCACGTGCGTGTTTTGGAGAAGGACGTTCTCGTCAACGCCTGTCGTGCGATGAGAGGAGATGTGGGAGCTGGTGTGAAGGGAGGCCGGCGCAAGACTAGCATGTGGCAGTCACATCAGTGGTTCTGCGGGCCCAGGAGTCCGTATCCTCTTGGTGCTTGCCATCTCTCACAACACCGTCAAAGGAGTACATTTTTAATGTTCATTTCATTAATGGTTTCTTTCTCATACTCTCATGTGAAGACGGATGCTACGCTGTAGCTATCCTCTCCCCGACCGTGTCCAAAAAATATCGTATATATACAATCACATGAGCGCCCCTCCCCATCGCTTCATAATACAGATGACGGAAAAAAAATATATACACTCATTTCGAGTTGTCCGCGCAGCTCCAGCTAGCGCCGGACGAGTCGACCGACATTTGGTATCCGGAAGCGTACAAGCCGACGCCGAAGATGATGAGGCCGATGACGATGAGGCAGCCGCTTGAGAAGGCGAGGAAGCATTGCTTGGGGCCGGCGAACCACCGGCCCTTGTTGAGGTACCACCACAGCGCGCCAGGGAGGCCGTACGAGAACCACGACGCGCACAGAGCGCTGACGAAGCCGAGCAGGTCGCTGAAATTGGGGATCGACATGGCGATAATCCACGAGATGGTCCACGTGCCGACGCCCAGCCCGATCCATGTGCCCGTCGCGACGACGCCGCGGCTGTGCAGGTATTTGGTGCCGGCAAACATGCGCAGATAGACGTATTTGGCCGTGACGTGGGCGAAGATGACTCCGGCAATGACAATCTGCGAGCGGGTTAGAAGCTGTTCTGTTCAAACGTGTACACGGCATTCGACGTACCGTGGGCATGGCAATTCCCCAGGCGACCTTGCGGACGATTTCGCCGTTGGCGCTGAGAGCCGGGCTGGTGACGTCCTCACCGGCGTAGCGGTAGATGGTCAGAGCGGCAATGACGTAAAGTGTAGTGTCGATGGACTGCAGCGTGATGAGCGCCTTGGGAAACTCTTCGGGGTGGCGGAATTCGCTGATGAAGCTGAGCCAGGCGACGTGGCCACCGTAGGCGAAGACGGCGTTGGAAATGCTGTTGAAAGCCGAGGGGAAGCTGGGGTGGTAAATGCCATCCATGTCCGAGTAGGAAGCCTTGGGAGCGACTCCGAGGGCGATGATGGTGAGCAGGACAGCAGACAGAATGCTTATGAATGCTGTCGCGAAAGGGTCAGTAAGCTACAGGCAGGGCTGGGAAGCGCGGGCGGGTCCAACGTACAAATGATGGACAGGAAGGAGATGTTCTTCAGCGTGCGCGGAATGGTGAGGATGCTGAAAACCACGAGTCCGACGACGCCCCAGACAATGCTACAGGTAGCATGGCCGGTCAGGACGTTCATGGCGATGACGAAGGTCAACAGATGGCTGGCGGCGGAGAAGATGCAGTAGATGACGTAGAAAGCGCCAAAGAACTCGCGGCCGAAGCGGCCAAGCAGAACCTCGCCGACGTCGCCCATGTTGGTGCACTGGAAATGGAGTCAGCTGCTGCGTCGGCCAAGGCGCAGAGTTATGGCATACCTGAGGGAAGCGCATGCGGAATTGCCACAGCAGATATCCGGAGTAGGTGGTGAAGATGCCAAGACCGATGATGGCAATGAGACCACCAATCAGGCCGACCTTTGCGATGACTGCGGGCAGCGAGAGAATGCCCAGCGAGATGTTCTCAGCTATCATGACTGTAGGGGCGGGTCAGCGTCGCGGTCACGGGGGGTGCAGTTGGCAAGAAGGCATACCAATAGCACCCTGCCACCAGCTCATCGTCTTGTACTGCACGGCGGCGCCAACCTCATCGCCGTAGGGGTCGAGCGGCTGCTGCAGCTGCTCCTTGGCGTAGCCCTCCTCATCGTTCTGGCTCGAGAGGCGCTTCTTGGTCTCGAGGTTGTCGTCCTGCACGGCGGGGGCGTGGGCGAAGTCCTGGCCGGTCATGATGGATGGTGGTGGTGGTGAGAGTGGTGGTCGACGGCGCACCAATGTGCGTCGAAGATCTTTGTAAGGGAAACGGGACTAGAGCACCAAGCACGCCTCGAGCCGAGATCTTGCGGGCATTGCGTCCCAGGAGCCACCGAGAGGCTTTTATACGTGGAGCAGATCTTACATTTGTGGGTGCTGTAGCGTTTTCCATTACCTTATTTCATCCTCAGACTAGCTTAGTGTGGGCAGTAGTAGGGCCGGATATACGACCGTCGGAATGGTGGCCCATCACCTGAGGCCAGAACAGCCGAGCGGTTACGAAATGCAGCCGGCACACGGCGTGCCTGGACGCTCCGCCCGAGCAGCTGGGACGCGCCGGCGGGCACGTCGGACCAGAGGCATGGCGGAGCACACGGGGGTGGCAGGCCGGGGCTGGCGGCGGTGGTGGTGATTGCGCTCGAGCTAGCAGCCCTGGCGGACAGATGACGACTGAAGTGGGGCGGTGACCAACGAAAATCAGGACGGTTGCGGCGGGCGTGGGCGGGAGTCGGATCACGAGGCTGACGCGGGAGCAAAGGGCGGAAGCATCAGGAAAGCGGCGGCGCGTGAGATGACGGGCCGGAGCAAGCGGCGGCGTTCGCGGCGGCGGCTCAGCGGCAGGGTGATGAAGGCTGGTGGTCGGTGAAAAGTGTGCTAGCGCGTTTGGGAAGATGCGGCGCCCGGCAGAATTCTGGTGAGGCGCTAGAAGGCGGCGAGCGCGGGAGGCCTAGCCCAAGCGGGCAACCAGCATGCATCGGGCGCAGAGGGCGGGCGGCGTGGCGGCACAACGGTGCCTGAGCTCGGCCGATGCCGGGTCTGAATCTGCTCGCCAGGCCCAGCACGCGTCCTGTCCGCCAGATAAGGCTCGAGGCGTGCTGTGGGAGGCGCCGAGTCCTGATAGCTGATGTATTTGATTCCAGTAATTTGATCGCCCAGCCGTCTCCGTTCCTGACCATCCGGCCAATCACCGCCCACCTCACTCCATGCTCACGCGACCTTGGCAGCATGTCTTCCGAGCCGCCAGACACACGCCGAAAACTACTACTCTCTTCCTCTGCTTGCTACGTGCTACCCGCCATCTTGGGGCCCCCTTTGGCCGCAGCCTGTGCGGGGAAGGGCCCTCTGCTGGTCGTTCCATCGTCCCATCCCACTGCGCCCCACACTGTCCAATCATCATCCCACAACTTCGGCCTCCGAGGGTGCGGTTGTGTCCGTGACGCGAGTGCTTTCCCCATCCCTCCCGGACCTAGCGAACCGTTGCTGATCCTTCCCTTGACCGCCATCCGCGACCAATCAGACATTTCAAATAGATAATACCACAGAACATGCGCCTGTTTTGGCCAACTGGTTGATGAAGGGTCTCGTTAGCTTCCGAGTCCACGCGGGGGTTTCCTGTTAGTCAATCAGACCCCTCCCTCGACGAATGCAAACCGTTGCCATATTGACCACCTCCCTGTTCGCAGCGGTCAGACTTATTGCTCTCCCAACTCCACAGTACTCGTCGGTGTGCGTTGGTCAGGTTGCAGTCGTGCCTTGTGTCCGAAGTCCGACGCCCGGCCGACGCCTCAGTGATCAGTGCTGTTGCCACCCGGCCATGCTCCACAGCCGCCGTCGAATGCGGAGCCGTGACATCCCCTCCACGTGTTACCTTCGGCTGCATGTCGGTAGCTGTGCCCCTGCCGACTGCTCAAGCCATGCCCACCGTCGCCTATCGTGATCCTCTCCGGGGCCAGCAATGGGCTTCGTGCTGATCATCATCTCTACCAACGAGGTGAACCTGCCATCAGTGACGGTCACTGCAATTCCCACTTATTTGATATTGACTCCTCTGAACGCCAATTTCGCATTAGTGTTCCGAAAGGTTGGCCGTCTGTTGTGACACTGACGTCCAAAATCAGCACGACATGCCGAATCTACATTTTTGGCCAGCGAGCTGAGTAACTAGTTACCTGGAATCCCAGGAGGTAGTACATTCATGTCACTCTTAACCAACATCTCGGGTGATGTTCATAGCTCAGCCCCGGAAGGAACGCGTCAAAAGCCACAACTACCATTCCCAAGAGCATTCACATGAGTTCACACCATTTAACCTTCTCCACTTCTGCAGCTACGACTGGTAATGTCATTGCCCCTCCACCTCCACCGTGCGGCCCGGCGCCGGCTCATCTCCATCTCTCCACACTGATGGACTCCAAACCCCACAACACTTCCTCGCTTCCTGCCTCTTCCTACCACTTTTGTCTCTCCGTCCCTCCTCGACCATCCCCCTTCCTGTCTCTCTTGCTAGCATCACCCCTCCAATCACCCTCTCTTCATCCCCTAGATCAAACATTCCACCCCGACGCAGCAGCGCCAGGCTCGTCACCGTTTCCAAGATGATGCTGCTCATGAAAATCCCACCGCTCAATCTTCTACGACACTTCTCTGATGCCAAGCCTTCTACCAACATCCACCACCCTTCCCAATCCTCCCTTTTTCCAAATTTTGCTGTACTTAATTGCAACGTGCGGGGGTGTTCTTCATGATTACCTAAGCAGCAGCTTTAGCTCACTTGGGAGAGCGCCAGACTGAAGCCCACTTCAGCCAAACATCACAGAACTCTGTGCGGTATCTGGAGGTACTGTGTTCGATCCACAGAAGCTGCAAGACTCGGAGTCTTATCGGTCCAAGACCGGTTAAGCGCTGCTCTTTTTTTATTTTTGCTAGTTGGGAAAGATGAAGATTTTTTTTCTCGGTTCGCTGTGGCTCGTGCGCGTAGGCTTTTTGTTCCGGCGCTGGGCATGGGAGGCGGTTGTGGTGCGGATGGCTTGCGGGAAAGCGGGCAAGATGCGGGTGTGTTGTGTGGCGTAAGAGCTTGGACCTCTGCTGTCGTCCTGGCTCCGCGTGGTGGATGCATTCGAGGTCGTTGACCGAGGACTCCTTGCTGATCGGGCTCGTCCTATCGAGTCCTGCGAGATAATGCCACGAGGTAGACTTCATTGGGGCCCTTCGTGGTAATCACGAGTTTGGTATGCAAGGAAATAATGAAAGTGTCTGATTGATGTACGCATTGTCGGTTAATTTCTTTTATTTTCTTTCTCGCTTTTTGCTTCAGAAAATGTCAGTACCGAAATGTAAGGTCTGGTTTCTTCCTCCATGATTTCCGCAATTTTGCAGTCACGAACTTACCATGTAGTGGTATCGGACTTTATAGCTGCTTGAGACCCTACTCGGCCTTGCATCCATCTTACCAGGTGCAGACATCCAAAAGCTTTTTTGATGGATTTCCGGTGAATGCGCGAAGTGATGGTAGTACTTCTCGAACACGCAACCCCAGCATCTACCAAACGTCGGAGCCCAACCCGCAAAATCGGCGTTAGCTCACGTGAACGAAGACTTGAAGACGCCGTCATGTCTCTCAAGAAATCGGTGCAGACTATAACCGATAAGATGAATTAAGATGTGGGGGTGGACTTTAACTTTGAACTAAGTATCTAGAGCACTTTATGTATATCGCCAACTTTTCTTCCCGCACACAAGTCCCTAGCACTATATAAACTCCAATAAAAATACGTGCTTGGGGGAAAAAAACACCTGTGAGCTCTTAATATTGTAGTCAACGCCAACTTTCGTGCGAAACAAGATCCAGACTGTGCCCATTGCAACTCTATCCAGAAGCTGAAGCAATGCAGAAGTGGCAGCTAGCTTTCCATCCATCCCAAGAGAAAGACCGATCGAGATGAAAGTCCTTGTGTTAAGTCTACCGGGATCGAGTATATCAGAAATCAGATGTTCAGGATTCCGTCAGTATCTTCATTCTGCCTTATGCACACGTGGAGTCCCGCTGCAAAAATCCATCGGAGAAGCTGTCTCAAGCTGGAAAACTCAATGTTGTCGTCAAAAACCTGACAACGATGATGATCTATTGCTGGGAGGCCCATGACGGCCGTTGCTGGGCACAAAGCACGTCCAGTTTGCAAGGACTGACGGGAATTATCTGTAGAAGTCGGAGGATCAAGTCGAACACAGTGGGTAAGAGATAGGCAGTGTTGAGTTGCACCTGCGGCTGGGCAAAAGATATTGGCGGCATAGACCAATAGTAAAGACTTTCACTTACGTGGTGTTCCCTGTATAGTCGAACTTGTTAAAAGGTTGAAATGGTGTTTCAGGGCCTCAAAATTCTAGAAGACGCTATTTTCCCGTCGAGCTTTCGTATCCACTGAGCGTGGGGCGCCGTTTTGTCATGCAAAGATCCAACTTGGTCACGGAGTGGAAACGCGCGCTCTTCAAGCGTTTCGACAGGAATTCATGACCCTATGACACTACACCAAGTCTTCTACACAGTCCAGTTGCAGGTGTGATAGAACATACCCCTTGGGATATCACCGCTGGTATTTTCGAATATTCTCGCTGCGACCGGACTTACGATCCCAATGCCTTGAATGGGTTTACAGAGGCTTTGAGAGCCTAGGAAAGGATAAACCGACCACTGCATCGGGGAAAAAATATTTGGAGGGGATTTCACCATTTTCCCTCCTTGCAATTTGAAGAAAGAGCAACTCGAAAGATGAGACCATCGACTTCGGATGATTCCGTGCACAGCCTAAGCTGTCTCTGTAGAAAACAAATCCTTGGTGCTCAGTCTTTCCGAGCTGTTCGTGGGCTGGCTGAAGGAGTGACGTGACATGCCTTTTTTGATATTGGCCGTGCGACAGTTCCTGGAGAAACTTGCAGCCGGTCCACATTGCGCTGGAATTTGAGGACGGTCGGATTCTAGAGTGGAGCGAGCTCGAGAAATGTTCGAATTTCAAGGACCACTAATCACCCGCCGATGGTAAAGGGCACGCGCTCCCTTGATGGGCATAGCTGCTGGCGAAGGCGGTAATGCGGTGGACAGACCCCCGCTCTTCTACCAAAAGCCCAAGGAAATCCCATGGGTAGAGACTGACGCGCTGGCCTACTCCCGGATGACCGCTGCCCAGCACGACCATTGCACCACTGACGACTGGGGAAACCCGCAGTTCACGACGGCTGAATATGAGCGCTAAGTGAGTTTATATATTATGACGGTTGCGAAGAGTCAGATGGCCATGAGCATCATCATAGAATCTGTCAGTTGGATTGAATCAAATATGGTAGCGATTGTGGTGGTAGAGCTATAGAGAGAAGGCTTGGCCGGAAGATTTGCAGATTTCCATATTGGGAAGGGCAGGAATGGCCGGCCAACAAGATTTCGGGATAGGCGGAGGGAATTGGAAGAGTCTGGGTCACTCGTTAGTCTGCGGTGTTCCTAAAAACTGATTGTCGTATGTCAAGTCGGAGATGGAAGTGCTGAAAGCGGACGGAGGCAAGAGAGGGAATGTGGTGGCCTGTGCACCGATGAGTCAGCAGCGCGAACTTCGCGACCGCGCCGCTCGACTCCAACTCCACACCCGTTCATCACCCGAGTCCCAACACCACCATCCTTTCGCATCACCTTCCCATCACTCCGCACGCCTGCCGTTTCGGCCGTGTGCTCGCTGTCTTTGCTGCTTGTGCATGGTCGCTGTACCGCGGCTCCCGGCCGCTCCGTCACTGGTACATCCCCTCGTCCATTTCGTTTCTCCAACCCATCCTTCACCGCACCATCTCGTCCCGGTCACAAGCGGAGGAAACAGCAGACTCGGCAGTCCACAGGTCCGCTCTGCGGCCGTGCTCGCCCGCCAGGCTCTTCTGCCGGACACCCGATGCTCGCAAGCAGGCCACCTTCCAGCCACGCGCTGGGGTCTGTGGCACCCTCACACGGTCGCCGTTGCGTCTCCGGTGTCCTTTGCGAGATGCGGCCTCGCTGGTCTGCGAGCGTGGATTGTGCCCGAGCCCTGCCGAGTCAGGGCTGCTCTGCCATGGCCAAAAGCCCGGGTGGGAGGGAATCGCTCGCTTCATGGCGCGCGGGTCTGAATTTACATGCTGATTCTCCGCATCCTTCCATAGATGAGAATTGCATTCATCACATCATCGTCGCGTCCTCGTATCTTCCAGTGACTCTGTAGCCATGGCCCTCTCGTCATCCAAAACCACCACCAACCATGACGAAGCCATCTTCTCCCGCACAAACACCACCGCAGTCGTGCAGTGGCCCTGCCCCCAAACCTCCACCACCCGCTACCTCGGCGCCAAATCCCATTCCACCACCACCAACCACCCCTCCACCCGCCTGACCGCAGACCTCCGCCTCGACCCCACCGCCCGCACCTTCGACCTCTCCCTGCGCCTCCCCATCGACCTCACCGCTTTCGCCCGCCCCACCCCCATCCACATCCCCATCCCCACCCACCACATCGCCTCGCTGAGCGCGACCCACATCCCCGCCCGCGCCGCACCGCCTGCTGTCCACAACACCTTCGTCCAGCGCCGCGCCCAGCGGCCCCTCTCCGCCGCCAGGAACCGTGCCGACAATGCCAATGACGACGACGACGACGAAGAACCCACCATTCTCCGCCTAACCCTAACTCTCTCCACCCCGCTCATCCCCATCGGCCCCTCGCCGCGCGCCTGCGGCGGGGACGGCACGCCCCACCCCCGCGACCGTCGCGCCCGCGCTTCGCTAGCCGCGCTACACTCGCTGTGCAGTCCGCTCAACACCGGCGACGACGACGACAACGACGACAATAACGACAACGACGCAGCAAAAGCGCACCACCGCCCACAACCCCGCACCCCCACCCGAACCCTAACGCTCTTCCTCCCCCTCCCGCACGACACAAAAACAACAACCCCCCCAACCCCCCCAACCCTCCTCCCCACCGCCATAACCGAGCAATGGCCCGCAGCCACCTCGCCCAACAACAACAGCAACCTCCGCCGCATGTACGGCGGCCGCGGCGGGGCCGTGCTGGCGTGGGACGTGCTGTCCGCCGCACTCGGCGTCCGTCCCGACGTCTACGTCTACTACGTCGGTGACGACGACGACGATCAGCAGCAGCAGCGGCAGCAGCAGCAACGGCAGGGGATAACCACGGCGGCGGCGGCGGCGGCGGCGATGAGGGTGGAGAGCCCGCCGAGCTACGACGAGATTGGGCCGGGGCCGAGTCCGCCTCCGCCTCGGTTTCGGTCTCCGCTTCTTGGGTCGGGGAAGAGGAAGGGGATCGGGAGGGGGAGTGGGAGTGGGAGTGAGGAGCTGGTGGGGGTGGGGGCGGAGCGGAGGGAGAAGAGGGTGAGGGTGGTGGAGGGGGAGGGGGAGAAAAAGGAGGGCAAAGGGAGGTGGGTGAGGGGGGAGGAGTTGGATGCGCTGAGGGCGGAGGTGGAGGCGTTGAAGGGGGGGATGCCGCATGGTGGAGGTGGAGGGGCGTTGGAGGCGGTGGGGCGGAAGGTGGAGGCGTTGGGGGCGAGGGTGGCGGGGATGGAGGAGAGGGCGGCGAGGGAGAGGGAGGAGATGAGGAGGGAGTTTGAGGCGGGGTTGGAGATGCAGAGGCGGGCGTTTGAGGAGAGGCTGGAGGCGCAGGGGAGGCTGTTTGGCGAGAGGTTGGAGGCGCAGGGGAGGCTGTTTGGCGAGAGGCTGGAGGCGCAGAGCAGGCTTTTGCGATCGAGCCTCGAGGAGGCGGAGGGGAGGTGGGGCGAGCGGTATGAGGAGTGGGAGGGGCGGATGGACAAGGCCATAGATGAGCATTTCGACGGCGTGAGGTACGATACGGATCAGGCGATTGAGGCGGCCGATGTGCGTTGGGATGAGGAGATTTTCCGGGCGAAGAATGAGTTGAGGGACTTTGTGAGGGCCGAGGTAGGCGAGGTCGAGGCGACCATCAAAGACGACCTGCGGTCTGGTAACGCGAATGTGACGATAGACTTCTTGTGAGTAGATGTATATATTCCTGCATAAATCCGGGTAAAGTAATTTGATGATCGTCTGTCACTAAGGGCGGAAGCCGTGTACCTGCAGATCGCGGCCCCCTCATCGTGTTTGAAGTGCAGATCTATGCATTCCCGAGCTTCTAGTGGTTGACGGTAGTGTGGAATGGCCCGCTGCAGCTAAAATAGAGCCGACGACGTGCTTCAGAGTTCCACCTTGGAGCCGCGGTCTAGGTCCTCCCGTACACACGCCAAAGGAGCTTCCCGAAAACAGGTAGCTTCAGTCAACAACCTTGTCAGATGGGGCAAAAAGTCTGGGGAAGGGCCCAGCGAAGGCGGACGAGAACTTACTACTTATTAAGCAAGGGCTCACGTGTATGATCAGCGAAACAGCAGACGAGGTTAGCCAATGGGTAACCTATGCACAGAAAGGGAGTGCACAGGGCTCCAAAGACGAATTGCGGCTATCAGTCATCCCGAACGAGTTCGCTGGAAGTCATCGTAGGTTGTGCTGTCGGAGAAACAGCCATCTCGCACTCCGCGTTTCACACTGCAACACAACTTACAGCATCTGGCTGCGACCAACAGATTGAGGAAAGACAATACTAGGTATCAAGGTAAGAGTACAGGTCGGGGTGGTTTGGAGCATAGTCGACAAATGTTAAGTGACGTCCCACCGATACGAAACTACCTGGTGTTGTTGCGCGCACATCAAATGCCCAAGCCAAGGATGACAAACTTTGACACGAGTCGGATAGATGGATGCATCGATATTGGCGTTAGGATATCCGAGGCATGTCCGGGTGTGTGGGAGTTTCGTTTGCACGGCGAAGCGAGAGGCTGGGGAAGTGTTTAGTCAGAAGGCGGGACTCCAGACGTTCAGCAGAGTGGAGGTGGGGGTGGGGCGCTAGGCTAGGGGCTGGCTCGTGCAGTCGACGACTTCAAGGAGGCAAACTGGGACGAAGGGGACGAAGGAGACGAGGGGCTCCACCAGCTCATCATCATCATCGGCTGTTTCCTGCACCGGTCAGCTTGGCGCCAAAATCCAACGGCGAGCCAGAGCGGGTGGAACGAGAAGTTGGCCAACGACAGACTCAGCCAGGGCCAGGAGAAAGCTCGGGCAATCGTGGTTCCACTCTACAGCTTCCCGTTTGTCTCGGGCCAGGGAAGTTTCAACGCGCGGCGCCGGCAAAGATTGCTGGACATGGGCCGGGAGAATACGGGGTCCTGGTAGACGGCGAGCCGGGGTGGTGTGCGCGTCCCGGCGGTGGGACGGGTGCGGCCAAGGTGGCACAACGTCATGCGGCTACAGAGCCCGCACTGTGACGCCGCTGACGGGGGCTGGGAAAGTCTGACGGGGCAAAGTCTGCTGCAAATCCAGAGTTTGCGGAGATTGGGGGGCAGGTTTGGCGAGGACGAGTCGGAGAAGGCGTCTTGGGATGTCTTGGAGGAGCGCGGCGGAGCACTTGGCGGCGCCTCCCGCCGCCTGGGCACTTGGCCTGCCCCCCACAGTCCACCAGTCCCGTCACGCGGTAAGCGGCCTGCCCAGACCCCAGGCCCACGCCCCAGCCGGCACAGGGCATCCTCCGCAGGAAACCAACGCCGCGTTGCTTATCCAACCCTTTGCGGCCTGATGTCCGTCCCTCGGCCCTCGACCCTCCCCACAAACACCATGCAGCCGTGCTGCGTCAGTCGGCAATCTCTTCGCTGCAAATTCGCGCTGCAGCTGCTTGCCTAGCTGCCGCATGCATATAAGAATCTCCAATGCCGTCGCCCTCCCGGCTCGAGTCCTCGGCTTCTCTCCCTCCACCACTCTCCCGTGCCTTCAAGCCACCCTTTGCCCGCCAGACTCCGCACCATCCTCCCTCCGCACTGTCTGACCGCGCCCTTCCTCCTCCCTCGCCAACCATGGCGGACGAGCAGAAGAACGAGACCCGGCTCCAGGATGCTGTTCCTCCAGCCGAGCAGGTCGCCATGAACCAATCCATCAATGTCAAGGAGCCGAGGTACCTGGGCATGCGCGGCAAGATGCTCAGCACCATCGTGTCAGTCGTCGCTACAACCGGCTTCTTGCGTACGTGCTCGCACCATCCCCCTCGGCCCCGTCCCCGACACTGACCGCCGGCACACAGTCTTCGGCTACGATCAAGGCGTCATGTCTGGCATCATCGGCGCCGCCCCTTTCAACGACTACTTTGAGGAAACCAAAGACAACAAGACCTACCAGGGCTTCGTCACTGCCATCTATGAAGTCGGTACGTCATGGCGTTGCTGAAGATTCTCTGGGCGCTTGAGTCTTGTCGCCTTGGCGCGCACTGTGCTGACTCGGCGCCAATGTAGGATGCTTTTTCGGCGCCGTCCTGATGCTTGTCATCGGAGACAGGCTTGGCCGCAAGCGGGGCATTATCGCCGGCGCCGTCATCATGATCGTCGGTGTTCTTATTCAGGTTTCGGCCGTCAAGCCCCACCATCACATGGCCCAGTTCATCATCGGCCGCACCATCACTGGCGTTGGTAACGGCATCAACACTTCGACCATTCCGGTACGCCTGACCACCCGCTGTCCTCTTCACCTGCAGTGCTGACGTTGCCGCAGACATACCAAGCCGAATGCTCCAAGTCCACCAACCGCGGTCTGCTCATTTGCATCGAGGGCGGTGTCATCGCCTTCGGCACTATGATCGCCTACTGGATCGACTACGGCTGCTCGTATGGCGGCCAGGACCTGTCGTGGCGCTTCCCCATCACCTTCCAATGCCTGTTCGGTCTCGTTGTCGCCATTGCCATGGTCGGCCTCCCTGAATCACCTCGCTGGCTCTTGACCAAAGATAGGCACGAGGAGGCCATCAAGGTCATCTCCGCCCTGCGAGGCCACACTGTCGATGCAGAGGAGACCCGCATGGAAGCCGCTGTCATCATCGACTCGATCCGCGCTTCTGGTCACGTCGGCAGCACGAGCTACCGCGATCTCTTGACCGGCGGCAAGACGCAGCACCTCCGCCGCTGCTTGCTGGGCGCGTCCGCCCAGCTGTTTCAACAAATCGGTGGTTGCAACGCCGTCATCTATTATTTTCCTATTCTGTTCGAGGAGTCCATAGGCGAGACGCCCAACATGTCCCTCCTTCTTGGCGGGGTGAACATGATCGTCTACTCGATTTTCGCCACGGTGTCCTGGTTCATCATTGAGCGCACGGGCCGACGTAGGCTCTTCTTGATTGGCACCGTAGGCCAGTGTCTCTCCATGGTGCTCGTCTTCGCGTGCCTCATCCCAGGCACAACGTCCGCGGCCAAGGGAGCTGCCGTCGGACTGTTCCTGTACATCGCCTTCTTCGGCGCCACATGGCTGCCGCTGCCCTGGCTGTAAGTCTAGACTTTCCCCGGGAGTCCCCCATCCCCCTTCTACCACTTAAACACTCCCCCTCTTGCGACAGAGCCATCACTGACATCCCGACAGCTACCCCGCGGAACTGAACCCGCTCAAGACGCGCGCCAAAGCCAACGCCATCTCGACCTTCACCAACTGGATCTTCAACTTCCTCATCGTCATGGTGACGCCCATCATGCTCGAGAACATCGGCTGGGGCACCTACCTCTTCTTCGGCGCCGTCAACGCCGCCTTCTTCCCCGTCATCTACTTCTTCTACCCCGAGACCAAGCAGCGCACCCTCGAGGAGATCGACATCATCTTCGCCAAGGGCTACGTCGAGAACATGTCGTACGTCCGCGCCGCCAAGGAGCTGCCCTACCTGACCGAGGCCGAGATCGACGCCAAGGCCAAGGCCTACGGCATGGTCAGCGACGAGGAGAACGAGTCCGACGTCAACCAGAGGAGGGGCTGGTCCAGCAGCGAGGAGAAGGATGCGTCGCACATTGCCTGAGTGTCGTGATTGCACGTGTTCGGGTGCGGTTGAGAACGGGTGCGGCGGCGGCGGCGGCGTGGCTTTTTGGCCGTGCGAGGCCGTCGAGTCGGAGATCTGATGTCTAGACTTTGTAGATGGTAAGAGTCAGATATAGTTTGCTTGCTGATACCCTGGGAGATGGGGTGGGGAATGCAGTGCTCACGAAGCTGTAAAGGAGGGCTGCCAGGGTCCGCTTTGACGACCTTGGACGCGGCGCCGTAGGTAATGCTACCGTAGCAGCGGTGCGCTCTCGTGATTTTGGATTTTTAGTTTGATACCATTCCTTTAGACGCGTAGATCGAAATGCAGTAATATCTTCAATTCCGTTTGTGGCTCTGTCCCGGTACGCTACGTCTGAAATGCAATCTCCCGCGGCAAAGCTGAGTAGCGTTGTGGCCTGACCAGTGATACTGACCGGAACGGGTAAATGCTGGTTTCTGCCTGATCTCTGCAAACTTACTGCACCTACAACTCTTACCGTCGCCCAGGTTTTCTTCTAGGCTCCCAAGCACTTACTGCGGGGATTCAATGCGATGTCGGTTTTGGAGAAAAAAGAAAGACCCGCAATTCCCCGCAGAGAAAGTCGGTCCAAAGGATAACCCCGCAACTTGAGACCACGAGGACGATGAGGTGGCTCTGGGGATGCGCCGATCAGGTTGTTGATTCAGGCACTGTGGGCATGTGCGTCAAGACGACTTGGCGTTGGTGATTGGCCGATATTTGACCATCCAGCTGATCATAAAGGCTCAGCACACTCACTTTTACCTCAGCCCCTTTGACTTTGGGGCAGCATCCTCAAGGATGTACTGTTAGAGAAGCGTGAAACCCATATCGACGGTTATCATCACAGTAGTTTTCCACGGCCACAACAAGCACGAATAGCCTCTCAGCGATACCTCAATAACGGTCACAACTACTGCGCCAATTGAAACAACTGCAATAGCAGGAGAACTGAACCCCAGATGCTGCTTTATGGATGGTAAGCCTCGCGTCTTTTCTACTTTCGACCAATGTTTACTGAATTGTTGCCACAGCTTGCAAGCCCCTATATGTTCATGCCAGGCGTGCTGATGCCATCGCGACTTGCTCCCGTTTGACAGCCAAGCAGACGAAGGCTTCCGCTACACCGACCGCCATCCCGATCTAGACTCGCCCATACTGTAGCAGCATCGTCGTTCTCTTAGACGCCTGCTCTGCGTGGCCAGCGGTGCGGCCACAACATCAGATGCACCAGCAAGCACTTACTCGTCATTGACGCTGCCTAGCATCTCTACTGGTTCTATTGAGACTACGTAATGAAGATGGTGACAGCCCCGTAATAACCTCTCACCATAAGCTTTGACCCACAGCTACCAGTAATTCATCAAGTACTTCCTCACACTCAACGGCTTCGTATGCACACATGACTCATCCAACGTCGGCTTCATAATCGCCCAGCCCTCCTTCTCCTCCAACATGACCAACGCAAGGTGCGCATGTATCTTCCTCACCACCCCCTCCCTCGTCCGGCCCACCCCTTCCACCTCGGCCGCCCTCTTCGCCAACTCCTCCCTCTCCACTCCCAAACACTCCCTCACCAACCCCACCACTTCATCCACCCCGACCGTCTCCCCCACCACATCCATCTCCTCCACCTACGTCCCCTCCGTCAACGCACACCCCGCCGCCACAAGCCTCCCCACATCATCAATCTCCATCACCGTCACCCTCTGACACCTCCTCCTCCCCCCACCACCAGCAACTCCGCCACCCCACCCGCAACATCCCACACCACCACCAGCTTCTCCCCCTGATCCCCCAACCCCGCCAACCCCGCCAACCCCTTCTCCCCCTCCTTCCCCTCCGCCTCCGCAAACCTCCCCAGCCCGGCCTCCCCACCGCCAGCCAACTCATCCACACCCCGCACCGTAACCGCGCCACCTCGAACAACCGTCCGCCCGCACGCTCCGCTTCCGCCGCCGCCGCAGCCGCGGACGTCCCGACACGCCCGCCACACCGCCTCAACCTTGCCCGCGACGCACGCGACCGCGGCTGCTTCGCCGCCCCGAATGCCCGCTCTGACGGCGCGAAGCGGCGGAGTAGTCGGGGAAAAGGGCGCGCCGCGCGTGGGAGGGCGAGCTGGGTGAGGAGGTGGAGGTGTCGCTGTTGTCGCTGGTGATTGGGAGGACGGAGATGATGGTGTAGATGTCGGAGAGGACGGCGGTGAGGGAGGGGTTATCGTCGGTCGATGTGGGAGATGTGGTGGATTTGGATGTGGGCGGCGAAGAGGGGGGGAGGTGAAGGAAAACCCTTCCTCTCATTTGTTCCAAGCTCCCAAGCTAACGTATAGTAGGTCAATAAAGCATCAAATAACATCTAAGGCAGTAAATTGTACGGAATATAAGGTTTCGACTTTTCTCGACGCCCACCATGCCTGATCCACTCAAGTGTGCTCGATGTTCTCCTTCACTTTACCATCTACCTCTCTACTCCCGAACCTTCCTTCAAGGTTTTGCGCAAACCATTCAGACATACTTCTTTTGCATTCACCATAGCTCCTCGGGCTGCCGAACCACCTGCGAGCGTGTTGAGTGTTCGGTGCATCAGAGAAATCGGTCGGAGTACTCATTGTTACGGAGCTTTCTGCTGATTGAATTGACTCCCTCAGCTTGGAACAAGATATATAGCATCCAAAGGGCATTAAAAACCAAACAAACGGCCTGAGGACCCTCATAGAGGTGCATTCTACCGATGCGCCGGCAGTGAAGCTGAGCAGACCGAATTGGGTGAGGTCAAAGACTGGTTGGGGGGTCCAAATTTATGGCGGCCAGGGATTTTTAGGGCGGCGTGTGAAGGGAGAGGATGGGGATGACGGTTTTGATGGTTTTCATCTGCGCACATCATACAATTTCTATTATTTTCGAGGCTTTCCGCCGATTTGACTTCTATTTTTATTGTGAAATGACGTATCATATTCAGTCCGGGTATTTACAGCGAAGTAACCCACAAAATATTATCGCGTTATTGCATTCGATAACGCACGCGTGGCGAAGCGGGCGCGTGGGAAAAGGAAGAGGTCTGCTTTACTAGACGACATTGACTCTATTCAGTTGCCCATACTTCAAAGAGATCTTTATGAGACGTAGTGTTGAAGCCATTCGCCTCAAACACCTAGAGTTTAAGGACGTCAACCGCATCGAGTAAGTTCAAAATTTGGATTAAATCACGCTCTTGAAGTGAAACCGGCCAACCGGTAGCACAAAAAGAGCATATTATTCACAGAATGTGTCCTCTACGTACCGAATATGAAAGGTACGATGAAGAGTTCAAGAGTTCGAAGACTTTGCACGCTTATTTGGTGAGCAGAGAACGCTGCTAGTTTATCACAAAAGAGGGAAGAGCTGGGCAAGAGTCAATCACGCATGAGAAGCAGAGTAAGCTGAAAGTAAAAAAGGAGCTAAGGAGCGTTTCCCCGGACGGATAGTGGAGAAAGATATATTGGACTGTCTTTAATGTTGCCGAGGACGGCGAGACACCGGATCTCTGTGAGGCTTTCAGCTGCAGTTTGAGTACGAAATCAACCGATGAATCTGTTTTAGTAGACTTCAAGGAGAGGCCAACACCAGGTAACTAGCAAATACAACATCTTCCGTCGTCGACGTTGACGTCAACGGCTGCCAAAGCTTGTCAGAAAGATCGACGTTCATGATTCAAAGTTGCGATGAAGAGGTGCTCTCTGCGCTCCAAGGAAAGTAGGTTTTGGCGGAAGAAGTCGAATAAGTAATTGACACGGAAACCCAAAAGAGAGCAAAGAAGGGCGCCAATGTAATCGCACAGTGACAGTCAAATGGAATACGTCTAACTTTTGAGGAACACTGACTTTGCAAAAGAGCATACCTTCATAGCAAATTCCGGGACGTCTTCGGGTTCTCAGGCCAGTCGAAGATGATCAATTTCAGTTTTTCAGTCTATCAACGAGAGGGTTTAAGAGGTTGGCAATTTCATCCATCAGTGTTAAGGTGGGAACACAAGGCTCTCTCCATTTTGGGCACGGAAATATTGTCATATGGACTGACTGGCAAATTTCCCTTTTGACTACGTCATTACGACATAAACAAGGCTTGCGGCAATAGCCTCGTGGGTGGAGGTTACACCGCAGATATCTGAGCTCTCAATCTGCTTGGCAGTTGCCTCGAGAAATTTCGGGATGCTCCACTGCTATCGGAAAAACATTCTTAACCAACAGTCATTTCCCAATGTGAATCCTTGGTGACCACATAGCATTATTACAACGGCCAGAAACTTGCATCAAATGGCAGGGTGATGGAGGAAATGGCCCTCGTAGTCAACCTTGCCGCAATGCCTGCACTGGTCGCTTTTTTTTTTTTTTCCGCTTGCAAAAGAAAGCAACTAGCTGGTCAAATAGCATGGGATTACTCCCAAAAGCTCGCTTATCATCTCTACAGCTTTCACTCCAGTGATTAATTTCCGAACCTTGCAAACATGGCAGTATTAATTTTGCTTCTGGATAGCTCCTGGATATTGAACTATGTCAACGCACTCCACATCTATAGACAGTAGCACGCGGTAAATAAGACTCGGGATCTTTCGTGAAGCGCGCCTTGTTCAAATGCGGGGACGGCCGATGCCGGTCTCAGTATTCTTGGCGCCTTCTGGCCGATCGCCCGGAGGAGCCGCCGGGTCGGTAGAGATTGAGGACTCGGGAATGGATAGGCGATGCAAGCTACGTCGTCGTCTGGTGTCGTCGAAGCAAATACTCGGAAGCATACGAGTATTGGAAGGCCTGAGGAAGTGCCGTTTCGAGTAAAGCGTAAATGTTGGCAATTAAATAGCAACAGCAGTGGTCGAGGTTTCGGCCCCCAAGTAGTACGAGGCCAGCTGTGCAACCAGACTCGAAAAAGACAAGCGCAGGACCGGAGGGAGTTGCCCCTCCCGGTTCGTCATCCGCACCCGAGCCCCCGTCCTTGGCCAACAATCGAAAAAGAACGTCATCTCGGGAGGCAGAGTCATATCGCAGTGTTGCCTGCATGTCCGCGCCGGGTCCCCAGATCGAAGACGGCCTTCCAAATCAACACCTTGGGCTTGCGGTAGAAGCACCACGGCATCTCAGCGGCTCCACAACGTATTGGACAGCTCGGAGCATCCCGATTGGGTGTCGGCACCTGCGGCACAGCTACCTCAGCAGCTCGACAGCAGCGGAGCTCTCCCCCAGCCTAGCAAGCGCAATCGAGCCGGCAGCCAGTTGCGTCACGGACCAGGCCGCCACCGATAGACAGCTGCCTCTTCCATCAACCATTTTCCCGAAATGTACAGCCGGCGCTCGCACCGGAACTCACACCACGGATGCCGCGAGTGCAAGGAGAAGAGAGTCAAGGTAGGGTCTCACTGTCCGCTTCCCCGAACGCCTGTTTACCTCCTGTGCTGCGACAGTGCGACGAAACGCAACCGCGCTGCCTGCGCTGCAAGTCCAGAGGCCGCAAATGCACCTATACGCACCTGCTGTCCGAGTACAACCCGTTCGATGCGCAGCAACAGAGGGCTCGTAGGCCACCACACGATGCAAGAGCCCCTACCATGCTGCCGCAGCAGCAGCAGCCCCTCATATGCCGGGCGAACAGGATCCATGCGCCCGGTAGCAGCACCGGCGGCGGCGGCAGTATCATGTCGCCCCTGGACGCAACTCTGCTCGAGCATGGCGACGCCGTATTCCATCATTACGTGCACGTCGTGACCACCGTAGACCCGACCCACCATGCCTCGGAGCAAATGTGGCGCTGGGACAAGGCGGTGCGGGCCTACGCCCCGTCCTACGACTTCCTCTACTACGCAGTGCTCACCTTCGCCTCGCTGCACCGCTCGCTGCTGTACCAGCGCGTCGGCAACAACACTCAGCAGGCGGACAACCACGTCGCCCTCGCGTCGGCATACCAGAGCCGTGCGCTGGCCGGCTTCACGCCCGCCATCTCCAAGCTGAGCAACGGCCACGCCGTCGGCGACACGGACGCCGTGCTGACCTGCTCATCCATCATCCTTGCCTGTTCCTTCGCGTTCCCGCCAGCCCCGGGCCAAGACATACTCGACCAGGCGGTGCAGGTGATTCACCTCTTCTACGGGACCTCGGCCTTGTACGAGCGTGCGTGGGAAGCCGAAGACGACGGACGACGGAGCGGGCCCTTCCCCTCTCCCCCGCCATCCTTCTCCTCGCGCACCACCACCACCAGCGACATCAGCTCCTACGTCCGAGATCGCATGCGCGCCGGCGACGAGCTCGGCGACGGCCTCCCAGCGCCCGAAGCGGAAGCGTCGCTGGAACGAGTCGTCGACGCGGTGCTGCTGCGTAGCGCCGCGACCACGACCACCACGACCACGACGAAATCCTCTCCCCCGCCGCGTGCCCCCTCCTCCTCAACCTTCCTCGCCATGCTCAACCCCACCCTCCTCCACCACCACTCCTCCCTCCCCTCCTCCCCGCCCTCCCTCTCCCAAACCACTCCCGATCCCAACCCCGCACCCACAACACCACAAGACCCCCCTTCCCCCCCTTCTCCACTCTCCACATTCCTCCCCCCCCTCACCGCCCTCCGCCTCCTCTTCCGCCGCCTCGCCGCCCGCCCGCGCCTGCACACCATCGCGCTGCACTGGCCCGCGCACCTGCCGCCGGCCTTCCTCGCCGCGCTTGCTGCGCCGCCTCCGCCTCCGCCTCCGCCTCCGCCCGGGTCCCGCCGCCCCCGCTCCCGCCCCCGCCGTCCCTGCCGCCGCCGCGACCCGCTCGCGCTCGTGGTGCTCGCGCACTGGGCCCGGTGTCTGGCCGGGTTCGCGCACATGTGGTGGGTGGCGCGGTGGGGGGAGAGGGTTGTGCGGGCGGTGGTGGGCGAGGTTGCGGGGGGGCTTGAGGGGGGACGTGGTCTGGGTGGTGGCGGAGTGGGGGGCGGGAGGGGAGGAGGGGGAGGGGCGGCGGAGGGAGGAGCTGGTGGGGAGGAGGAGGAGGAGGAGGAGGAGGAGCGGGGTGGAGCGGCGGCGGCGGCGCTGGCGGAAGCCGAGGCGAATGCCTGGCGTGCGTGTCTGGAGTGGCCGGTGCGAGGACTTGGCGGCGGCGGCGGCGGCGGCGGCGGCGGCGGTGATGGTGCGCAGGTGGGCGTTGGCAGTTGGCATCGGTGATCAGGCAAGCCTCCATGCCCGCCCATGCCCGCCCGCTCGCCTGCCTGCCCGCGCGCTCGGCGCCGTTTCCCCCCCCTCCCCGTTCCGATGATGATGACGATCAGACGACGGGGGGGGGGGAGGGATCGGAGGAGCGGGAGAGTGAGAAAGAAAAAAAAAGATTGGGCGGGCAATCAATACGCAACGACGGACCCCCCTGCCGACCGGGAGCGAAGTGGGGATCGGTGGGCATGGGGCGGACGAACAGGAGAGGACGACAGAGAGACGAAGAGAAGGAGGATTTGCTGATGAGCTGGTGTGCCGCCGATTGAATGAACGGACGGACCGCACGCGCGCTTGTGGCCGTGCATGAAGACTTGTCTGGCCCCCGTAATCGTTTGGCCTACACCCCCGCCCGAGCCCCAAGCCAGCCAGCCAGCCAGCCCCCGAAAACATGGACAATGTGACAGGTCATCTTGGAGCCGAAACGACCGCGGCGCAGCACGGTGGATGCGGCCGACTCCTCTTCCCCGATCGTCCGGATATCGTTGGCCGCACCCGACCACCCCGGCCGTCTAGTGACGCGGCCACGGCTGTCTGGGCCCCGGCTCTCGTTTATTGCCGTGGCACAGCGGTGGGCATGAGGGGCTCGAGGCGAAGGGTGGTGGTGGAGTGGAGAGCAAACAGAGCAGAGAGACGGCAGGAGTTGATGTGATGGACGAGATCGGTTGGCCCGCCCGCCCGTCGCGCGGGCGATGAGCTCGATGCCCCCCTGCCTGGGCCTTGCTCGGCCTTCCCTTCCCCCTCTTGGTCCCCTTCCCCGCGCCCCCGGTTGGCCGCTCTGGGCTCGCCTCGCTGATGCGACGCGAACCGAAAGTGGACCGTTGTCACGTGCAGGACGCGGCACAATGCGTGCTGCGACTGCAGCCCTGTTTCCTTTCTCGGTTACTTTTCTTTGCTGTCGAGTCGGGCCATTGGGACGGCGTGCGCAAGTCAAGGACAGTGACAATGGATGCGGCGCGTGGGAAGGCAGCGGACACGTCTTTCTCGGTTAGGCTTAATGCATCACTTGGGCGACTTCTTCACTTCTTCTCCTGCATGGTCCCGAAGAGGTGATGGACTCACTGACGTGGAGTCCCCCTTTGCGCTGGTAAAGTGGGTCTCGCCATTGGGAGTTGGCTGCACAAGCTGTGCACAAAGTGGCAGGAATAGGAAACGTGTGGAGTGACTCGGCCCTGTGTCTAGACGACGACGACAGCATGAAGCAGCCGTTCCCATGTCGGACGCCGTGCTCATCACCGTCCGTGAGTCGGAGAGGGGGCCCGTGCCTCCGTTGAGGTGCCTGCGGCAAGGCAAGAGCAGGGGAGGAGGATAATCGCCGCGAGCAGGGTTGGCGAGGATCATCAGCTGCTCTCTGGCTTCTGCTTCCAGATCGGCAAATCCGGGTCTGCCGCCCTGCAGCACCTGCAGCGACAGGTGGAGAGAGCAGGTAGTGCCGCGTCGAGGGCTGAGAGGAGCTGTTGGCACAACGCTCCCACCGTTCAGGACGTGCTTTTTCACGGTGGAGACGCCCGAGACGAGGCCACGGCCGTCACCGTTGGCCAATCCTGCTTGCTTAAGTCATCGCTGCCTGCAGCAAGAAGGAAAAAGCAAGCACGGAAAAACAAAAAAGGGTGTGAGAGAAAAAAAAAGGGAAAACACAGCCAGCCGAAAGGACCCACGAACCACTCGTCGAGCCGGGTGAATCTGTAGTGCACCCGCATCTTGCATCATGATCACACGCTTGTCGCAGCGCAGAGTGATTGGAGCGGAGGGGCCAGAGTGCCAGACAAAGTTTAGCATCATGTCTGCTGCTGTGTCACACAGGCTGCGACGAGGACGACACGCACTCCGCTTCCTGGTGACGCCTCATCGGGCCATGGCTTTCCATCTGCCGTGCCACCTCGAGCGGGCCGTTCAGCCGTCCGCTGCCTGCTGTTCGCTCCACCCGCCGCCAGCCCCGTGCTCGAGGTCGACTATTTCAGCGGCGCAAGGGGACCAGGACCCGCCCGTGGGTCTTTGCTTCTTGCTCCGCCTCGTTCTCGACTCCCGCCCGCTTTTCTCCAGACACGTTACTCAACCTACGTGTTTGTTGTACCATGTCGTCCAATGCTAATCCTCCCAGTACGGCCGACGCAAGCTGAAACGCACCGCGTCAGTTTCCTCGCCATGGCGGATCTTCACACCAACCCGCGCGGCTGGGGCTAAACATAGCACGGCTGGGCACGGCTGGACGTACACATTAAATGCCTCCTGCAAGGCAACTGCACAACGCGCTGGACACGCCCAGAGATCAGCGGACAGCAAGGGGAACGGCCGAGGGGCACAGGTCGGTCGTCGGAGGAGCGGTGGAGGCGAAACGCAGATCGATCGCAGGTTCGCAGCTCTCAAGCTTCTTGCAGCACGCACCCCACGAAGCAGCGGCCACCGTGCGGACAGGGCATGCCGCCCGACGGACGGAGCCGAGACACCAGACCGGACCAGCGCGCCACGCCATAGGTATGCTCGTCCGACCCTCTTCTGATCTGTCGTCTCGTCATCTGCCTGGCTGGGACAAGGACGAAGCAAAGAGAGCAAGAACTTGGCCCGGTGTTTGGGGGCGGGCGACCGTTGAGCTAGGGACGGCGTCGAAACGAGAGAGGTCCCCGGCGGTCTGGCCTACCTAACAATCACCCACAGATCGCGTCATTCGCACCCCCCTCATTTTCCGGCTGCCGGCAGATGGCAGATGCGCCCGCCAGCTGCTCGATAACACCCCGTGCGCGAGTCATCGAGCCTGTTGCCGAAGAAGGGTCTTGGTGCAGATCTCCAAACCGCCTCTCCGTCTGCCCACGAGGCGATCTGGTGCGATCGTGGCTCCGGACGGGCATGGCATGGGTGTTGAGCGGAGGTCCACTTGCCGATACGGAAGTGGCTGAGCTAGCCGCCGCTTGCCGTCGACGGACCTCGACGTCGCGGTGTTGAGATATTGGCGTGCAAGAGCCACCGCAAAGGGTCCACTTAATGCGTGGAGATATCCTGCCTCTCGTATCTCCGATCCCATCTTCGCGATTTGGTTCGCTGCCAACCCCTGCAATACATCAGAATCTGTGACGCATCTCTTGGCGCCTCTTCCAATCTCACTTTGCCAAGCTTTCGGCTGGACCACGCACCTATACGAGATCACGAAGTCGGCCGGTGGCAAGGCTGGCCGAGAGGTGCGGGTGCATACAGGAGCCAGGACAGCAGCCACTTCTCGTCCATTTGCTGCATACCCTCTCCTTATCATGATGAACTATGTTATATTATCACTACCCATTTCCGGCCAGTCTGTGACGATTGTTCCAAAGCAATCCTGCACGATCCAGAGCACCCCAGTCCTCGAAAACCCCAACTCCCCCAGATCGTACCAACCACGCTGCACGCGAAGCTCCACCTTCCACCCCGACACGTCCTGGAGACAGGTACATGCCTTACCAACACAGCGGCTCCACCCGGCCGCGGAGACGGCCCATTTCCTCAAGCATCTCTACGCATCAATGGCCCGTCCTTGCCCCATCTCGACCGCTCCGACCCGTAGCGTTAGCTCCCGCAACTCACCCATCGTTCTAGGCATGCAGCCTCCGGTCCAGCAGAGCGAATCCATCTGATGAGCAGACCATGATCCCAGCGACCGTCCCCGCGGACCCCTCCTCTCCCGATTACCGTCTCTGCTTCGTCCTGCAACGCCACCAACAGCCCCGACCTTCCTTCCTTCCCTCGGAAACCGTTCTGCACGCCTCGAACCCCGTCCGTCTCGCTGCCGCCATCGCTGGTGAAGCCCTTACGCTCTTACACACTCCATAATCGCAGGTCGCCGGTGGGCACAGTACAAACGGATCGAACAGGGACCTAGGGGGTAGGGAGCGAGCGAGCGAGCGAGTGAGAGAGCGAGAGAGCGAGAAAGAGAGAGAGAGAGCGTACCTCCCTCCCTACCACATCCCCCCCTCTCCCTTCCTCCCGTTCCTTCTGCCCCGCCGGCTCGACTGGCGCCCCTGCCGCAGATACTCGCATATTGCGTCAAGAGGCATGGCAAAACCCCGGGTTGGGGCTGGGGCTCACGCAGCTCACGCGCCCCCGTCCGTCCATGCAGCCGCAGCCGCCCCGAGCAGGCGGGCCCTTGATGTCTTCGGGGCTTTCTGCGCGTTGCTGCAAGATGGATGGATGGATGGGAGAACCCCCGGCAGGCAGGCAGGCTGGTCGGAACCGGATCGGAGCGGGGGTTGTCGGCAGAGATGGAAGAAGGGTGGGGTGCAAGGCGTGTCTGCTGACCGGAAGGAAATTGTCGGAAAAAAATAAAATAAGAAGCGCTGGAGAGACGCCGGCAGGGGCGGGCGTGCGTGATGACTTGGTGGCCGGGATGACGAGGGGCGTTGGGTTATGGCAGGTGAGGGTGCGAGCGGCCTTGTGAGTGTTACGTGGGTGCGATCTGTTCTTCCTCCGTCCGCTTCTCTCTCTTTCTCGCTCTGTCTTGTAGGAGAAAGATTGCTTGGAGAGGGGGGGTCGGTGACTGCGGATGTCTGCATGCGTTGAAATTCTGTTGCTCTTTTGTTTGCGCAATAGCTGTTAGTGGCATGATGGCCTTGTCAGCTCGCAATAAGTAGCCATCAACGCGCTCATCTACGGAAATGGTATCTTGCGCGATGGTCCTCGTCGCGGAATTCGATCTTCTTTTCGCCCAGACGAACAGGTTTAAACGATTGATCGAAGCTAGCTGCGCGGGAAGGACGTTCAATCACACATTGCAGGGGCTCCAAGGGCACGGTGCGGTCCCAAACCGGGAAACCCGTCATCCAAGCTTAAAGGATCTGCGGTAGGGGAAAGAGATCCGAGTGTTGGCTCTCGGGGACCACAAAGAGTGGAGCTGCTGCCGCCGCCGCGTTGCGCGCCGGCACGTGTCAACGGCACAATGTTTCTCGGCTACGCATTCCCGTTTAATGATTCCAGGCGGATGGGGGAGGGAGGGCTGCAGGATCATGGGAGGGTCCGTGTCCGTGTGCTGTCGTCGGGGCGTCCTGGTGTGCATGCGTGGGAAATGGGGCGAGATCGATCACCTCCGCCCAAGCTTCATCGTCGTCATCAACCGGAGACCAGGCAAACAGAGCATTTCATGCGAGTGGGGCTAGGCAACGAGATTTAATACAGGGCTCCCACGCACGTACCTCCGGCTGAATTGGGGGCGGCAAGATAGAGACGATCGGTGAAAGGGGAGGCTCCTGCGCCGTATCGAGGTCCGATCTTGCAACGTCAGGTCCCCGTGCTATTGGAGGGCCTTGGGTCAGTGGTCTGGCCTAGAATGAGAGCTGTCTTCTACAGGAAATGGTTCCGGTGGCAAACGGGTGCTTTGAGCGGCGGTGCAAGCGCACGGCGGTGGGCTTTTTTCGAATGCAAAGATTTGACTTGACGGTCTGAGACTGAGCCGTTTAGACTAGGCCACACTTGGCAGTTAAGTGCAGTAGTGGGATGCACCAGCAACTGCTGCAGGACGGTCGAAGCAAAGCGGCAAATACTTGGTGCTCAGCAGCGATGAAATGGGAGGAGGGGAAACCACTTCACTGCATTGCAACCAACGAGGCTCAACAACCGTGCCAAGGCCCGGCATATCCCATCAATTGACAAGCACGTATCCCGGATTTTATCGACCCACCTAGGTGATCAGGCACCTGTCGGATTGGATCTACTCCATGGGGCCTTGCTGCACATGCATTGATGAGACTTGCCTTGTCTTGTGTAACGTCCAGTCTCTCCCTTTTCTCTTGGAATTGTGATCACAGGCCATGACTGAGGCGGCCGGTGAGCACCCGCAGCAGAGCCTGGAACTTACGTACTTGGTCCGTGGATTGTGGGACGACTGCACAATGACATTGACCAGGAGCTGATGGATGATGGCCCACTTCCGTCTCAAAGGACTCTCCTTCCATGACACGCCCCGTGTTCTCAGGCCCCATCTCGTATGCATGTGCGACTGCATATGGCGACGTCGCTCCCACATGAGGCGTTTGCCCATGAGTCGTTTCGCTGGTTCTATCAACCCCACAAGCAAGGGCGGCGTGGTACCGGATGGACCACCTGAATTGCAAAGTTGCTCCGAGAGGTCTGTAGTGCAGCTTACTGGCATAAATCTCGATCTTCATCAGGCCCGGACAATCTTTTTTCTATGGGTGTGTGTTGTGCGAGTAAGCGCTGATCCGGACTTTTCACCGGCAGCCCCGAAACAACCGGAGCGCCAAGCCAGCAGCCCGACTGTCAGCCAGCCTTACTGCGAGACTGACACTGAGACATTCACTTTTGGAAACAACCACTTGCGAGTTTGGACTATCCTAACGGTTCTCAATGAAAGCAGCCAGGAAAAAGTCAAAGTAAGAGCCATTGATTTCATCCCCGCCACACCATGCTTACCTGTTGGATCTCCTGTTTCTCTACTGAGTAAACAGAACAATAGGCTGGAAATCCGCTATTAGCAAGCTTTGCCCCCACTATAGCGTTTCCTGCCCAATGTCTCATCCACCAAGACGGCCACGTTGGTGCCCACCACCATCACCGCACAGAAACCCGCCGGCACAAAGACTCGTCACCGCCTGATCCTCGTTGAGACCCGTTCACCACAGGACCGACCCATACAGCTGAGACGAGCATCACGGATAACTCGGGCCGGGAAGGGGCGAAGAAAGCGCTCACACGATAACCTCTCACGCATGATTACCTTTTTCTACGACCGTGCCTTGCCGCCAAAACGCTTGACCGCCAGAACGTCTGCAAGACCAAGGCGGTCAGGCGTGAGTTTGAGGACACAAAGAAAAGGACCTGCAGGAGGTGGGGGGAGGTAGAAGCCATTCGGCAGGGCCTCCCGCCTCCACGGCCAACTTCGTGGGTCTGGCAAACCATGCACAAGCCACGAATCCCACCACCTTGGGAACGAGAGAGGGGTGAAGAAGCGTCGCAGAGCAGCGCGCGGAAGCGGTACCGCTGCCGGTCAACCCATCCCATAGGCCCGTATCGCCCGAGAAAGGAAAAGAATGAACAGAAAAAGCGGATCGAGGGGGGATTGCAAGGGCAACAAAGGACGAACGAACAACAAAAGAGAGACAAAAAAAAGCGCGCAAGAGAAAAATCTCACACAAGACACATCTGAGGTGCGGCGTGCGTGGAGCGGCGGCGCGGCGATGGGGGGCAGCGGTCGCCGCCGTCACCGCTCGGACAGAAAAAGCCCTTACCCTACAGGCTTACATAGTACATAGTCTCCAGCTCAGGCCCCCTTCCCCGTCTTTTTTTTTTTTGCCTTTCTATTTCCGATCGTCCACCCCCCCCCGCCCCACCCCATGCAGAAACGTCGAGTCAGTGGAGCGCATGACTAGGCCAGGAGTGCGGGTGGAAGAGCGGGATACCAGACGGCCGGGCCCCCCCAGGCCCCAAACACAGTCGTCGGGCAAACACAGGTGCAAAGGACCGGCCCGCGGGAGTGTGTCGTCCGCCCGTCCCTCTGACCCACCAATGCCTACTCGGCTCACCGGCGGGTGGGACGCTGTAGCATCGCCCTTGACGCGGTCGTACGTCAGACAGACCAGCAGAGCTTCGATGCGACGCAGTTTCAGGGTGATCAGGCAGGCCCTGTCGTCTACCCTGACGTGCTGCGGCCATTGCTTACGGATCAGGCGTCGAGGTGGGTCGTCGGGTTGAAACATGTGCGTATGCGGCTATAGCGACACCTGGGGCGTGGGAGCTGCGTGTCGGAAGCGGGCGGCGCCCAGCACCCGATCGCTGTAACCGTACCGATAGTAGGGGGAGGTTTGGGGAATAGATTGCGAAAATAGTAAAGCTCCGTACGCCCGTTCGACAAAAAACAACGTCGTCCCACCAACGCTCGCGATTCTACTTGTTACCAACCCCGCGGTTAGCCAGCCCTGCTGGACGGTGAGGAGGCAGTGAGTCAATGTCGAGCAAACTGAGGTGCAGCAGCAGTCCCCACTCTGGACGGATGACGAGAGAGTCTGGAAGCACCACGAAGGAGTGAGCTGATTTGTTGCCCGAGATTGGCGGGCCGGGGATGCGGGAAGAGAGGGCGGGACCCTCTCAAGTGGACACCAAGGGAAGCACAGAACACTTCTCGTTTGGCGCCGCCGCAGCGGTTCCCCACGCACAGATGTCCTTTTTTATCAGTAAGGCTGGAGCGGACCGATCCCGCGAAACGCAGGCGGGAGAAAGGTAAAAATAAAGCCAAGACGAACCGTTTGGGCAATTCACACAGCAGCGAGAGGTCAAGCATGAGCAGGCAGGTTGTGGTGTCTCGACAAGAAATCCATCTTCTCTGTGGTACGGGTTCCATTTTCCTTTTCCCATGATGCCCGTCTAACGATGCAAAGTGTGCCACTGCCACTCGTTGGGGGATTCGTTCCGCTATGTAGACATGCCGAAGCCCAGCCCGTAATCCTTTCTGAAGGAAGTGAAGTCATCAGTTGCTGGAGGGGGGATATCGCGGAAACGAGGTCATGCTGATAACAATGATGATGACGACGACAATGACAAATGACATGCTGGTTGCCAGTTTTCTTGCCCGTACCCTTGCGCTCCTTCTCCCGAGCGAGTCCCCGGCCGTGGTTTGATGAAACAGAAAGCGAGTGCCCCGATGCCTATGAACATTTTTGTGCAGAAGCCAGAAGCCTGCAGGATATCCCCAAGCCTCTTTTGATTCCCCAAACCCCATCCCGTTCCAGAAAGTGTTTCCGCGGCGCACTGAACGCAAATCCCAATTACACCGCCCACGCGGCGACAAGACGCCGGGTCAAAAAAAATATTGGGGCAGAGGTAGGATGGGGAAGATGAAAAAGTCGGGAAGGAGAAAAGTAGTGGACAAATTAGAAACCCAAGAAACGCCAATGCCCAGCAGTAGATCGTAGCAAGAAGGCAGTCCCAATCCCGATGCATGTGTCGCTCTCGTCCTCCCCAATGTCCTCTCGGCCGTCCCCCCGTTTCTTGAATTCGGTAAAAAAAAAATAAGGAGAAATAAAGAAAAAGGGTGGCGAGGTGTTATCCGGTGCTGCGGGCGGCGGCGGCGGCGGCGGCGGCCGCAGCAGCGGCTTCTCTCTCCTTGGCCTGGGCTTCCTTCTCCTCGGCCAGGAACTCAGCCCAGTCCTTCCAGACGACCCACTCGGCGCTGTCCGGATTGAGGGTGCGGAGCATGGCGTCAATCTTTTCGGGATCTTCGTTCCAGCTGAAGACGGCGGCCGTGTTGTTGTTGTTGTTGTTGGAGGAGGAGGTGCTGCTGGCAGCGGTGCTGGTGGCGGGCTCCTCTGCCACGCTTCCACGGCTGGCGGGCGAGCAGGTGCTCGAAGATGAGGGCGGGGTCCCGGCGGCCGAGGATACGGCGTAGTTGTGGTGGTGGTAGTGATGGTGCTGGGGGCAGGCGCTGGCCCCCCCGCCGTCATCGGGCGAGAGGATGCTGGAGATGGACATGTTGTGCATGCGGCGCGGGGCCTGGTGGCTCGCGAGGGAGGCGGCCGAGGGCGAGGGCGAGCAGACTAGGTCGGCCTGGGGCGAGGCGGCGGGCGTGGGCAGGCCGGTGGTTGGTGTCGACGAGTTGGGCGGGTAGTGGTGGTGGGTATGGGCAGACATGACGCGGGCACGCGACTCGATCGGGCTCGCGAGGGACTCGGGGGGACGACGGGGTCGGGGCTGGGGCTTGGTGCAAGATGTAGTAGGGACGGGCAGCTGGGGAGGGGAGCGGTAGGACAGAGTGCTAGATATACTTTGTCCTTGCATCTGGCGCAGCAGGCGCGCTCGCGCAGCTTGGGGATGCGCAGCAGGCAGGCACTTTGCGAGCACACCACGCCGTGCGACCAGCTCCGTTGCGCACTGAGCGGTAGGCCGCTGGATGCAGATTTATTCTACAGCAAACTTACCCACCGCGGGCGGGCTGGGGCCCTGACTCGCGGCCGGGGCCAGGGCACCGCCTCGCTTTCTGAGGCGGGCAGCGCCCTTGCGTGCGGCCGGGGGGGGGGGCGTGAACCTTCTTTTCCCCAGCACCGCGCGCAGCACCCAGCACCCAGGCCAGCAGTTGACCGCCTGGCCTCGGCACTTGGGCCTGCGCCTGCATTCGCGCGCTCGGGGAAAAGCGCTGGCGCAGATTCCGCCATCACGCCCGGGCCGCAGCACGGAGGCAAACCGCTGCACGCTTACATCAGGAGCCCACCCGCCGTTGCTTTTTCGGCGCCCACGCGCATGTTGGCTGCCAGAACGCCCAAGCTGGCCAGGGGCCGCGGGGCTCCACCGCGCGCCGGATCGTGCCCGCCTAGCGTGCAGAATCGGCGTGTGCAGACGCCGCGGCCTCTGCGAGCGCTGCCCGCCGCGAAGCCGCCATCGCGACGGCGATCGACGGCAGGATGGCTGACATGCAGCCAGTGGGTGTGATGCTCGGGTGACAGCCCGCTGCCGCCGTGCAGGGGGCCGGGATGGCGACAAAGCCCGGCAGCCGCAGCCCCATGCCCGCCCCCCCATGCCTGCCCGCCGGGGCCCATGCCTCCCTGCAGCATGTCAGCGGGGAAGCCCCACTGCCGAGATCCGCCTGCCAGAGCGCACAGCGTGCACAACTTCGCTTAGCCCTGGGCTGAGACGGACGCGAAACGCCATGCCACATGCGCCGTGCAAGCCAGCAGCCATGCGGCTGATGACAGCCCGGCGGAGCGGGAGTGCCCTCCGCCGCCGCCGCCGCCGCCCCTCGGCCCAGTCCCGCTGTGCCACCACCGGGCGGAGCCAGCGGGCGCCGCATGCGGGCAGTGGCCGCAGGCGAGCGACGGGTCCGGCGCAGGGCCACGCGCGCGGCTGCGAGGCGCGGTCCGGCGGTTCCAGCGCGTGCAGGAAAAGCTCCAGCGACGCCCGTATTGGTGGCGGAGCGGACCACTGCCGCGGGATCCAGCGCATGCTCTCTCTTCAGGGCGCCCCGATCCGAGACGTCGCCAGGTCAGGCTACGATGATTGTGCCCAAGTCAAGGCAGATGCCGCCGCTAGGGCTGCGAGAAACCGTTGCGCTGGCTATGGCTTTGCCGGACAGGGCGGCCGTCTGGGCGATCGCCGCGGGAGCCACCCGCTCTCGAGCGGGCCGGAGGTACGTCCGCCGGCCGGAGCTGGCCTAGCGGGCGTCGCGCGTCGCCTGTCGCGAGGCGCCCTGGCGTTTGCTCTGGGCCGGCCGTGCTGGCGGGCGCGGTGAGTGGTGGCTAAGGCGCACGTCAGCGCGGCAGGATCCTCGCTGCAGACGCAAAGCATGCTGGAAAAAGCAAAGAGCAAAAAAGACGCACGCCGGCTGCAGAACAGGCGTTCGCGGGCGAGAGTGGGAGGCAGGTCGTCGGGCCGTGTCGCCTGGCGGGCGGATGAGGCTTGGGCAGCATTATTTACCGCGCGGAACCACCGGCTTCGAGACGGCGCGGGCGGACCGGACGGGTCTGCACATCATTCTGCCCCATCCGCCAAGTTCTGCTCTCAGGGGCTTCGTCGAGCACGGGGAGCACGGGGAGCACGGGGAGCACGGGGAGCACGGGGAGCGCGCGCTGCCAGGACAGCCGGCGGGGTGGAAGCTCGGAGCGGGAGAGGGTCCCGGGCAGCCTTCGCGACGGCCAACCCGCCTTGGCTGCGTGCTGGGGTGGCAATTCACGTGTCTATCAGGAGAGACGAGGTAAAACTGGCCCTCATCCCGCCTCGACTCCGTCAATCACCGCTGGCACCGCGCAGGCTCCTCCTCTCCCTCCGCAGACGACGCACGTCCTCGTCCCAGCCTCGACGGCGCACACGGCCTTGCAGCGTGAATCCATGCCCGCTGCGTCGCTGCGTCGCTGCGTCCGCTCTCTCCGGGTGACGTCAGGGCCCGGCGTTTGGCGGTGATTCGGCGCGACGTGGCTAGCTGCAAGAAGATGGAACGAGTGCTGGTGGAGCTCGGCGGACAGGCCACCGGGGATGCGGGAGCGGCTCATCAGTGCGCGAGGGCGAGCTTCCGGGATGCAGGGACAGGAGCGCGGCGTGGCGGCTGCGCGGCGCTGGTCGCTGTGGTGTCGCTTGTGTCGCTTGCTAGCTGCCCGTCGCGGTGCCAGCGCCGGCGCGTCGCTGAGTAGGACTGCACAACAGGGGCCGGCGCTCGGAACAAGAGGTGCGCGCGCCTTTTGGGTTGGGATGGGGATGAAACACGGTAGTTTATCACCCCATCGCTGGCGTGCTCCCTGGGGCTGAACGTCGGCGCCCCCGCTTCCGCGTCCACACCCGACTCCTGCCCGGCGACTCAGCACCACCACTCCCGTGCGCCCGTTCCGTCTGAGATACGCGCGCAAACACAGCTTTCCGCCCAGATCGACCTCTCTCCTGGCCTGCCAAACGCCCCGCCGATTCCCGTCCGCGCGCTAGCCCTGCCAGATACGAGATGCTCTGGTCCCCCCC